AACATGCGTTTAAAGCACATAAGAATTAGTTTTCTTTAGTTCATTACTTAATGTAACTCACATATTTTGCCGCATCCAGTAAGACGGAACAATGATCAAGTATTGGAGGAGGAGCAGATCGTAAAATAAGTGGCAAATCACTTCACACTTTATGAAAATTTCGAAACAAAGGAAAGCCAAATAGGTGAAGAAATTCTTGTATTTCGAAGAAATAGCTGAATAAATGAGCATTCGATTGTTGGGGAGGAAGAGACAAAGGATGATCCAGACAAAAATGCAAAAAAAGTAGCCATTTATGATAAGAAAAAGGAGGACTTCGAGGAGTTTAGAATCCTTATGATTTCTGTTCCGTGCTAAAGCAGCATCTGAAAGAATGCACGCAGATTTATATCTCCAGCAATTTTAGAAATGAAGTAATTACCTTTCCATTTCCTGTCAAGGACTTGAAGTTGATTATAAATTCCCATCATTTCTTCCCTGTTAAGGCTCAGATTCAACATGATAACGCCTGCCCATACGTACCCCATGACCCACACGACGGTAACAATGATGTCAAAGCTGTCTTGCTTCATGTCACTGAAGTATTTGACTTGCATGTAAAGTGAAACCGCGACAAAGACCTCATAGAAAAAATAAGTGAGAAGAATGAGGTTGAAACCGAGAAAGGATTTGGAAAGCTCTTTCTCGTTCGTCTTTCCATTTATTATAAAAGGTGTGGCTCGAAGGAATTCAAGGAATTTATGAGCTTTCCTGTAGTTTTGAAGAAATTGGGATGTTATCATTTTGTTTGTGGGATGAATGAGAAGTTTCTGAAAAAAATCCGTGTGTTCTGGCAAAGTTGCAATTTACAAGTAATAATTGTCAATGCAGAGTTGCATCCTCAAGTTTGATTGCAATACGATTTTCATGAAATTTACTTTGTACTGATCGGTTTGTTTACTAATGTTGGGATAAAAATAGGGCAAATATTTAAGAATAGATCGACAAAAGACTGGTTCGAACTGCGTGACTTGAGTCAAGTCACTTGACTTGGTCATTTATACTCCAGGATAACATAGCCTTCGTTTCCAGCAAATGTTTATTTAAAAGGTGCAATTAAGCAATTAACCAGTCGCAATTAATGACTAATGCTCGTACAAATATGAGAGGTATGTACAGTGTTTTGCAATTTACTGCGAAACAATATACCGAAATAATTGTACGGTGACAGCGAATCATCGTAGTAAAGACGATTATCAAATTGTTATTCTGACCACAAGAGCAACGCCAAAAATTATGGGATCGATTAAAATGAAAATTAAGGCATATTTGGAATAATTAAATTTGTCGAATTGTGCACCTACTTATTCAGGTTGCAGAGAATTTATCAATTACTTAAACACTTTCGACTAACATTAAAGTGTGAATTTCAATGGCAATTTAATCCAAAACAGTGATGACTTCCTTAATTTATTCCATAAATTGTGTTTCAATTTACTGAATTCACTTAAATAATACAATCATTGTTCATATATGTAAGCATTATGAAACACTAATTGTCATTATGAACACCCATGTACACAGATCAAAGTGGTAACATATTAACCATAGCACATAATTTTTCATAGATTTTTAAAGATTATAGACATATATGTTCAGTGTTTATACGGTATGTCAGGAATTTCATTGATATTCAGAAATGTTGTAGTGTCATATAAGATACTACCCCCAAATAGTTTTAGTCTATTGTTTACCCCTTTGAGTGGGTGTGGTGGCCTCAAATGGGACCATAGACTCGAACTTAAGGTTACCAAAATCCCTCACTAATAACAACGTAAGAACCCCTCGTAAGAAACATCATATGTTTGTATGAATATATAATATATCTATCTATTATGCAGTCATCGCTATGCAATGTTCTCTGTAAAATTGTGCATCAAACCAGAACCACTGATGTAGAATTGTACATAATTAAGGGTTTCGTTATGTGCATCGAGGATTTGGCGTTAAATTTTGTTTTTAGAATAGGATTCTATTTTTATTGTGTACACAATATGGAGGATATGCATTATGCATAATTATTAATCTATTGTGAAAATTACTAAGATAAAGGTTTTACACAATATTAATACGCGTAATTACATCTTTTGTTTTAATAAAGTCGTAATGCAATAATGCGATCGGTCAAAATTAGTTCACGGAATGCTTCTCAGAAGCAATCAGCCTGGTTTTCCCGTTTTTTAATCAGAATGCACGCAATTTCGTTATGAAATCAAAATCCTCTAGAAAACCAATCCCCCGACTAATAAATGTTTATAATTGACCTAATTTATAAATAAGGTCTACAAATTTTTCATAAGTCCTTTTTATTGTGCAATGTATATCATAGTAGGATTTTCAAATCGAACCGATCATAACCAAAATGCCTACCAAGAGAATGAACCAAGCGCTTAGCCTTTATGCAAAATATTTCCAAGTCTTCAAAACAATCTGCGTTCACTGGGATTCTTATAAAAAAAAGTTTCGATGCATTCCCCTCTCGTCGAGAGAAGTTTGGCTTTGGATTTTCAATGTATTCATCGTGGTGGGATTAATTGGACTTGGAAACACGCTGCTCTGCATGTTACGCATCTTCGTCTTTGGAACTTTACACCTCCCGTGGTTAAACACATTTGCCATGATCATCAGCGTAATCTTCGGCACCTGCGCAATCGGGGTCACGTTGGCCTTGATCCTTTATGGAGAGGATTTCGTTGAGGGCTGGAACCATTTGGACAATTTAGAGTCGAGAATTGTGATCAATGGTAAGGAGGAGCATTGTAACCGAGCATTTGTAACATAGTTTAACTAAATAAATATCTATATGTATATTTTACTAATTTCCGCAAAGACTGTCATGGCCATAACAAGGCAAAACCCAAGCCCATAGACTTTCCTGGAATCGCGACAACTTACTGGGTCAAAATATTGGCAACATATCCCATAATTCTGATACCATCCTCAATATTTCTGAACCTTGATATCTACTACTATTACATTAGAGAATTTAAAAATTACTTTCCCACAAAATATCAAGCCTTCTTTGTGACCTTGGCAACTATATTCGTCAGATTTCCTCTCATATCAGTCTCCATAATTGAGAGTTGCCGTTTGCTCCCACTTTTGTACATTTTATTCGCAAGCGCATTGCAGAATGGAAATGTATTTCTGCGCAAACTTGTCAAGCAAGCGGAAGCTAACACATCGAATGTCCGACTGCTTCGGGAAATGCAGGACAGCGTCAAGTTTTACCAAACTCATGGAATTATTTGCGCCATGCTTGCACCTTTTCAAGAGTGCTGTACGGCTGTACAATTTGCAGGTAAGTTCACCGTTTCGTCAATAATTTGTAAAAAAGTAACTGTTTTATTTTTGCGTGACGCAGTTGGTCTCCTCTCCAGCATAATTTTCATCTCGGCCACACTCCGCACGTACAATGTGCTCCCTTTCCTGTTCTATATGTTCTTTCCTTCGGCGGCAGTTATCGTAATAATCGTGATTGCACTCATGATTCCAATTGCACAAGGAGTGAACGACATGTCAAAAAAATTTATCAGGGTATGGTTGGCGAAAATCAGGGTATGCGAGGCACGAGGGACAAGGAACTTTCTGAGAAGAGTAGTCCGTTCCTTGAGACCACAGGCACTTTATGTGGGAATCTTTGGGTTTCGATTGTTCGCTATTACGAGAAGCAATAAGGTTACTTATTACGATGCCATCATGATGTACACGATGAATACGATGATGGGTGTTCCGCAGAAAATCTTTGAAAATATGTTTCATGCTTAATCTAAATTGTAAGATGTGGTGAGGCGAAGAAATCATGAAAGTTTTTGCTACCTATTGCGAGTTTTAGAAAAAAAGGTAACATACCATACTCATGATTTTTGATTTGTTAAGTATATCGCCATTGTTATAGGCTTGTTATCCAAGTCAAGAAGTGGATGAAGTGCAATAAAAAGTTAAAAACTTTTACGAACCACCACGAAAATTTACGACATTTTTTTCTGGACAATTCAGATAATCTATTTACTTTTCCATCTGTTAGATTTTCAGGTGTTGGTTGGTGCTGTTTTTTAATTACCTACATGCCTTGATTTTCCTCTTGGGTACTCGTATTTGTTTTGAAGGTATATAGGTAGTCAAAAAATTCGAATTTTGACCTGCAAAAAGTGGTTGGGCGTAATTTTTTAGATTTTATGTATTGTATTCTTGATCGTATGACCTTTAAAATTAAATCATGACAAGTTAATCGACTCTAGTCCTTCAGCATAATTGCCAATTAATACTTCTGAACTGAATTGCTTTTGGAAAGTGTTACGAGTCGAGTCCTAATAAAGTATTAATAATAAGTCTTGCAATATAAGCAAAGAAAGTCTCAATTTTTAATTTGAAGATTAAAATATGTACATGGGAAACTAATATGTAAGGAAAGTGACACTTTTAAGCTCACAGTTTTTTTTCTAACGAGCAGTGGAAGTCTTTTAAACTCATAGGTCATGAGGCATGGAAACACGGAGGCAAATGCATGGCAAATATTCATGTACTTGTGCGATTTTTTGACGCGTTGCAATTGACGTACATGACCTAAGAAAAATTATAACTAATCATGAATATCTGTACTGTATAATCGTGCATGTTTAAACAAACAGTTGTTTGTGGCAGTTAAATGATAATAATCCATTGTTTCTGTTTCGTAGAACAAGCATTAGAATATGTAATATAACTCGGAATAAATAATAGCATTCTTACAAGCACTATAGTTTATAGTTGATCAGAAAAGACTGATTTTCTCTGCTAATGATTTATTTTGTCACCAATTCCATTCATTTAGATACATAGTACAGGTTAAATAAGCTTCGTATCGGGACTCCCAATGAGACATAGAGATCTATTGAAATATAGCACATATTCTGTACTACGAGTACATAACACTACATACTTGGTAGTTATCACTTTATAAGCAGCACGGCAAGACCTAGACTGAATTACATTACATAAATATAAAGATCCTGTATACTTATTACTTAAATATTGATTCATGCATGTCCTGATGTACACGACGTACCCGTCTCGGAGTGTAAGAAGGAAATATTATTAACAACCTATTATTTAACAACCCCGGCTGCTCGTATTCTTTTAATTTGTCTTCTTAAGTACTTACATAAGCTTTGTATAAATAGAACAGAACAAAACAATTCTCTAAAGGAAAGTGTGCAAAATTTAATTGAAGAAGGAAAACTATTTAGAATATTTCGATCGGGTTATTCATTTTCATCTCACATTTCATGAAAATAATTGCAAAGGAAGGAAGTTAGAATGTTGGTCAAGATTTATCTTAGAACTGGACCACCTATTTACGTAAAGAAGATGATCGATTGGTCCAGGTCAATCTATGAGTTGGAAGTTCTACACGACCAATTTATGACCGTGCACATTGATCTCACTTGGATGGAGGCTATTGAGAAAAGTTTTAATGGGGTGAGTCGGTCAAGTAATGGACATATTAGCAAATTAGTTTAAAATTGTTTATAAAGCATAAATGGAAAACTATGGACTTAATACTGACAAATTTAAGTAAAAAATATTATGTACTTATATCCGCAGTTTCGAATTGATGCAAACAAGTATTACGTTCGCAGGGTACGAGGTCCTTGTGGCGAACCACCACACACATTGACAGAACCTGTAAGAATGAACCAATATATATTGAATACGAGTTTTATTTATTTAGAAATATATTTCTTTTGCAGATTTCAATTTTATTGTCAGAATTTAAGAAACTTCGCGAAGGAAAAAAGTATTCTGTGCAGATAATGAGTTTTGATGCGAAGGTCCCATTTTATAGTGTGGCTGGAGGAGTCCGTAACGATTTGAGCTGTCAAGAATATGGAGTTAAACGCCAAAGGACACACAAATCTGTGCAGGATAATGACCGTGCTGATGAAACAGACATCGAAGAGGTAACTTCACAGGAAACTGGAGAAGATAACGTAGTTGAGATTGAGACGATGACGAATCAGGAACTAGAGACTTGTCAAGTAAGCGGTGACATATCGTACAGGCAGATGTACATAATATTAGCATAATGATGTTCGTATGTTTAACTTTTTTGAAATGTTGTACTTTTTGTAGGTTCACTTATCACGACCCCCTCCTCCAGTATCCGAGTATCAAAATGGATTAAACTTGCAACAAAGAAATTCAACACCAGTTGCGTCACGACCAAATTCAATTCCACAACAATTCGAAAACCAAGGATTGGATCCGAACGAAGTCAAAGCCAAGTTTTTGGAACGTGCGGAAATGACGATGACAAATTCACAAGTAAAATTCCCACAATGATAATCTTCCAAATCATCTTCTAATTTGACATTGATTAACAGAACATTGCCCTTTGTTTAGCTTCGCAAAGCACAAAATGCTCTCATCCAATTGAAAAACTCCAATAAAGAAGGTAACAAAGAATGGTCAAAGTGGGTCCTGACTTCGCCAGGACCGAGTACCATTCTCCGTATATTGTTTGACGTGTAGCTAAAAGTAAAGAATTTAAAATTCCTACAGCTTTTTCATGTGATTCAAATAAAGACTTCGCATCAATTTATTGCATTAATTGTATGCTAATGTGTGAGGTAGTAAATAATACTAAATTATTGAATCATAGCAGATAGCTTTTGTATATTGTTAACGACTCTATTTTCATTTTCTGCAAAAAAGTATGGTATGTATTTATTAATTAGTAAATGAAAATGATTTTCACACAAATCAAAAATGTTACGCATTGCTGTTATAATTGAAAACAGATCCAGTTCCGCCTGCATTCTGATTATTATTATTAAAGTTAGAATTTTGAATTTCATGAAAATACCCGTTCCCATTATAATTATTAATAGAACCAACCACTCCCTCATTGTTGTTATTATTATTAAGATTGTTATGGCCACCAACACCAGCATCTTTATTTGCTAAACTACTGAAACGTATGATTCTCACGCCATTATCATTATGATTAAAAACTGCCCCAACAAATCCTCCGTTATCATTGTTATTATTATAATTGGACCCGGATCCACCTCTAAAATTGCCGTTGTGATTAAATATGGAGCCACGAATGAGGTTGTTGGCATTATTGTTGTTATAGTTGATTGCTTGGCCTGGAGCAGCATTGTTGGCGTTATTGTTAAAGTATGATCCACGAGGAGGAAGTGGGCGATATTGTTCTGGCTGATGGAAAGGAATGGGTGGATGAAAATGGGGAGCTGGTGGTAACGCTGCTGGTGGTGGTGAGGGCGGTGGGACAAATCTGTGACCATAATGCGCTGGGCGAAAGTAATTTTCTGGAGGATTGAAGTTACCATTGCTGGACGGCTCCAACACGAAAGGGAGAACTAATCCGCTCACAGAATAAGTGGTTAACGCAGTGAAAACCTTATCAAGAATTCAGATAAAAATATTGTGTACACTATTTTATTAATACTGTTAACTACAAAATATATACTGCACTTACCAAGATACGTGCAAGTAACATTTTTTCTGGTCGAATGATAAGAGATGTGTGTTTTTATAGAATATATATGTACTTTCAGCCTTCTTACATATATGCACGAAAAAATAAATTATTGGAAACATGAATCACTTACAACTGTCTGACCTTATGATTTAATGTATTCCTTTCTTCCTGTGTTCCTAGGACTAAGTTTCTAAATTAAGGCTTGACCCATTTTAAGGGGCTATGAATAACCCACTTTCCCTAAGGAAAGCGGATCTAGAACCATGTATTGCATATTTTTAGAACGTTTGTTTGCAAGCGAAAATAGGTACCCAACAAATGTACTAATAAATGCAAAATCCGATCAAGTTGGGTATTCTTTGACCTCGCTCTCTTAAATATGTAAAGCAAGGTCCAGCAATTAATTAGAGCACAAGTTATGTACCGGCCTTCTTTGATTAATATTGTCACATTAAATTAGAATTAGTTAAAAAACGTGAATCTTAAAATACAGGTCACGAACGGAAAATTCTCTAAATAGTTCATATGTATTAAACTCATAAATTGATAATCTTGTATAAATAAAATATATGTTACTCATGAATGTAATTTGCTGTCAGAGTGTATTAATTTATGAATACTTTAAGCCAAAAAAATATATGCACACACATCCCGATCTACAATTTTTGTTGCAAAGTGGTGGCAAAATGGTAGCAACTTGAAACAAATAACGGTGGCAAAATGTTTGTTATTTTAACGTGATTTCACAGTATAAAAAATTACTGTTAACTCTTCAAACCATTCTGCTACATAAAAATAACAGTTAAATTCATGCAACTTTTCATGAAAATTTCATCGAGAAAAGTAGCGTGGATTTCAACCAAATAACAACTGTGGTATTCACTGAAACATGGCACGAAAAAACAACGCAGATTTAACCTGGAATGCTAACAAAGAGAGTGCGCGGGATCCAAAGTTTTGCCTCTACTCCATGTTTCTCTCTCACAAAGTCAGTTCAATTAATTTTATTTCCAAAATGTCATCCCTCCAAGTTAATAAATTTTGCATCATACAAATTGACTGTAACGGCGAAAAATTTGTAGAAATAGCTCCCACGATTTGGCTGGAAGAAGAAGAAAAGTTTGTGTTTTGGCCACCAGCTTCTAAACTGAAGAGTTTCAGTAAAAAGGGAACTGTTCATCCCCTCCCTTCTTGGAGGAGACAGACGTATCAGAAAATCCTTGGAAAATATGGTGACTATCATCGATTTAGTTCAATTATTATAGTAATGTACTTGATTATAAATTTCAGTAAAAATGATCTCAATTGCAGATACTTGGAAACTAGCTTGCGAGAAGGTCAAGATAGCGGAGGACACGTCAAATCTTGAGAGTGCAGCAGAGAATCATTTGGAAGGCCGAAGGAAGAAAAATAGTCGAGAATTGTCGCACCCGAACGTGTCATCAAGCGGCAGCGAAGAGGACGAAGAGAATTCCATTTTAGTTTCACCTCCTCCCATGAACGATGAAGGTAAAAGTAAAACTTTTTTACTAGTAAATACTAAAGGAAAATCATTTTTCAACCACTCGTTTGAATCCCCGTAGGAAGCACTGAAGTGCAACTATCAACTCAAGATAGCGACAACATTCCTTCAGTAAATCAACCAGAAGTGATCAACTTGGAAGGACAAGACATTGGCGTGCTTTTGGCGACATCAACAGATATAAATGATTTAAAGAAATTAATTGAAGGCAAATCTTAGTTTTTACAGTTCTTATCATGTTATATCATTTAATACACAAATAATGTAAATTTTGTTACAGGCTACAATACAAGAATTATTAAAATTCTTGAGCGCCAAAACGCAGAAATTCTAGAGATGAGAGCAACCCTGCATAATATCCGAATATCAAACGACGGCGAAGTTGAAGTTGACTTTTCATCTATTCCACATCGTTATCTGGAAACGAGAGAGCACCTTGAGCAGACCGAAAATTGGCTGGAACTTGCCGATGCAAATCGAGATTTATTGGTCAGATTTGAACTTTTTAATTAATTTTTTAATGTCATAATTTTATTCAAATTCTGAATAATTCTGGTCTTCCAGATTGAATACCTAAGGATAAAAGGAGGCGATACTGTTGAGAAAAATACGCGAAGGGCGTTTAAAAAATTAGTCAGCCCTGAACTTGCTCGACAAATAAATTATACTGGAAAGGGAGGGAAAATAGCTTTAAAAACATTGGGAATTTTCTCGGTTGTAATTGGTTCGTTATTTTATATTTATTTCATTTTATTGTAACACAATATTTATTACAAGTTTATTCCATGTGTGTACTCTTTGATTCAACAGAAAGTGTGAGAAAAAATTATCCTGCCGCAACAGATAACATCATTGAAAAAACAGCAAAACATTTCTTCCGTTTTATAAAAGTGTAATATCGTCATGGCGTGTCAACCCGGATTTTCAGCAAGAAATATAAGAAGAATAGTTTCAAAGAAAGTTCGCGAAAATATTGCAGAATTACGTGAAGAACTAACGTTGTCTACACAACATAGTAATAGTACAGTGTTTTGTCAAAATTCTCAGCAGATTAATAATAATAATTATAGCTCAGGGACTGAAACAAGTGATGTTAGCGATAGTGATAGAAGTTTAAATAGTCGCGTAACTTCCGACTGCAGTCAGGAAGGAGAGAGTATTGATAAGATAAGAGAAAATTTAAGAAATTGGGCAATTTCACATAATATCACTGGGTTAGCAATTCAAGATTTACTCAAACTTCTGAAGGAATATAAAATCTTTAGTTTTCTACCTTCCGATCACAGAACGCTTCTCAGGCCAAGGGAAAATAATTTTACAAAAAAAACATTTGATGATGGGTTGCTATTTTGCTATTTCGGTCTAGCAAATTCTCTTCTCAAACAGATAAAGTATGGTTTTATTTCGAGTAATTGTTCAATTCTAAATATTTCTATTAGTGTTGATGGTATTCCAATTAGCAAAAGTAATACAAATCAGTTTTGGCCGATTCAGGCCACATGTGCCGAAAGCAAATTTGGTGTTTTTGTGGCCGCAATATATTACGGCAAGACAAAACCTCTGAATATTTCGGATTATTTTGCAGACTTAGTAGGGGAACTTAAATTACTCCGTACAGAAGGGGTTACATATAATAATAGAAAAATTATTGTACTTTTGTGTAAAATCATTGCCGATGCTCCCGCAAGGAGTTTTGTCAAACAATGCAAAAATCACAATGCTTACTATGGCTGTGAGAAATGTTCTGAGAAAGGCAATTTTAGAGGAAGAGTAATCTTTGAAAATCCAAACGCTCCACTGCGAACAGATAAAACGTTTAAAGAACAGAGTGATAAAAATCATCATATTGGAGTATCACCATTTATAGATTTAGATTTTAATTTAGTGTCTTGTGTGCCAATAGACTACATGCATTTAGTATGCTTAGGCGTAGTTAGAAAGTTATTGAGGTGTTGGGTGAAAGGTCCATTACCCTACAAATTGTCAACCCGAGATATCTCTAAAATTAATAATTCCTTAACTGTATTAGCCACCAATTGCCCTACAAATTTCAATCGAAAACCACGTACGGCAAAGGAGATAGATTTATGGAAAGCTACGGAATTCAGGACGTTTTTACTTTATACAGGGCCAGTTTTATTAAAAAATGTTTTGTCCAGAACGAAATATCAGCACTTTCTTTTACTCAGTATAGCAACGTCTATTTTAGTTTCTAGTCGAGCGACCATTATAGAATATAATAATTATGCCAATCAACTTCTACGAATTTTTGTTGAGAAAATTAGTGAATTATATTCACCCGAATTTTTAGTGTACAATGTTTATTCACTAATACACATTAGCGCAGACGCTCTAAAATTCGGTCCGCTTGATTCATTTAGTGCGTTTCCTTACGAAAATAATATGCAGTTTATTAAACGAACTTTGAGAGCGTCATACAAACCCTTAGAGCAATGTATGAATAGGATAATTGAGAAAGAAAATGTTCTTTTATCTCAACCTGTGTCTACAACTTCTACCTCGTTTAAATTGGCCCGTAATGACAATTGTTATAAGTTAAAATCAGGGTTTATTGTTGTTGTATCAGAATACATTAAAGATAGTGAAGTCATAGTATGTAAGAAATTCAAAAAGCTTGAAGACCTGTACAAATATCCCAGCTCTAGTTCTATTTTAGGCATACATCAGGTTTCAAAAATATCAAAGAGTTTTAGAGTAAATGTGAGCCAAGTTGAAGCAAAATGTTGGTTGATGTCATTGGATGAAAAATTAATTGTTGGTCCTTTAATAAATTGTTAATATAAATAATATAATTTAAATTGTTAATAAATTGCGATTTTATTACCAATGCACTGCGAAAAAACTACCGTTAATATTTTGCATAAATTTCCATGAATGCCACGGTGATTTTGAAGTAAACATTACTGTTAATTTGTTGCAAATGCCACGGTTATTTTATTGTTACTTTCTACGTTAAAATAACGTGAATACCACCGTGGTTTTCTTGATATGCTAGTTGTTGAAAACCACGTTCGAAAAACGGCCATCAGTTGCAATTCTGCAACTCAGTTATTTTTGCGTGGATTTAACGAAAATTGTAGATCGGGATGTGTGTACACGTGTGTTAATAGGTATTCTACATTTCAAGTAGCATTTCTAATATTACTGATATATAGATACACACAGCTATCGACATTTATTAATAGATTTATTTTAACTTTTTTTTTAAATTACATTTATTCTGTCATTATGTAGTTACATTTACTACTAGAAAATTACAAATTTCAGAATTATCCCCAAAAATTTTCCCCAGTCATTCGGTTTCCAAATATTTGAAAGCGTGAGGTGTATATGTATGTGCATAAATTTATTTTTTATTGTCAATTTTCAAGTTACGAGTCGTAACTTACGACTCAATAATTTTCAGATGTTATGGTTAAAAATTTAAGCATGAGAATTTTATTTATCACGCATGACCATCAATCAAAATACAATTTACATATTCTGACATAATTCCACAAGCGTAAACTTCATTCATTTCAATTTATGGATTATCTGACATTCCGAGTTTTGAGAGGAACTTAGTTGTTATTATTGAAGACGGATGGCACTCCTGGGGGCAGACAGATAACTTCCTTCGAGCCTTGATTATTGTTCGTGATGGTTCCAAAAGGACACTGGGTCTCAGTAAAAACGTGACTTCCGCCTCGTGAAGTGAACCTGAATTTGCCACTGGGAGTGTTGTCGTTAATAATGACTTCATCACCAAATGCGTTATTGTTGTTCGTGATGGTTTGACCAGGAAGTCCGAAATTGTTGTTCGTAATTGTGGCTCCACTCGCCACGGAAATAAGCGCCAGGACGACCTGGACAAAGTTAGCATTATAAAAATTGAATAAGGGATCTTTAAAATTCTAAGCAACAAAATTTGAAATAACTCACAAGGTAGCAATTCATGATGAACACTTCAGATTGTCCAAGAAAGTATGACTGGTTGCAAGGTAAGATTTTATTTCAGTTTTATGTTTTACTGGTAATTATTGGATGGACGATTTGGGCTTGGGTGAGGAAAGTTAATGATACAAGAATAAGTACTTGTTCACTAATTACGGTCATTGATTTCTATAAACACATTTGCAATTAGATTTAGAGGTCGTCCAGTGAATGAAATGTTGCATAATCTGTAAGGGTAGTAAACGTGATTTGTCAATTGTCAAATTCTCAATCTGCGTAAGTGGATTATTAAAGGGTTCATGACTTGAAGACTTACTGTGAGAAGAGTGCATACGTAGTTTCATATTTAAATAAATGTATTTTTGCATATTACTGAATGTACATATGAAATTTGCTTATAATGCAACCAGAAAGCTGTCAAAGTGCAAGAGATCTGGATAAATTAGAATGCGATAATGTCAATATGATGAATACATAGAGTCATGATTTGATAATGATTATAATTTATTTTGGCTTTTTGTTACACACAGATCGCAATAATTTTGTTGAATATATTTAGCTCACATTAATACTATAAATTTTAAACCTTATTGATAAACAGAAATTTTGAATTTTGGTTTACTTTAATTATTGTTGTTCTGAGGGCAGTTGGCCAAGCCTGCATGGAGGACATGAAAATGAATGATTAATCAGGTCTTGCAATGACTAATCAAATGAAATCCCAAAATTTCTGATAGAGTATAACGCAAGCAAGGGAAAGTGCAGTACCAAACCAGGACGCAAATGTTGCGAGGCCGCCACACCCTCCATTGTTATTGGTAATTGTAGCGCGAACATTTCTTGCGCTAGAGGCAGCGTCTTGAATTTCGGACCCCCAAGTGACAACAGCGCAGAACGCAAGGAACACCTATAACGATTCGTTTTCAAAATACATGCACAATTTTCATGCTAAATTATTAAACTTACAAGGAAAAGTATCGTCTTCATTGTTATTGGTATGATTGGGCAAACAGCAAACAGTGAGTGTGAACTCAAGTAAATGTGATGAAAAAAGCAACAACAGAGTAATGATATAATGTGTCGCAAAACGTTAATGAGGTTTAGATGACTACTAACGATAAATATATGACATAAGCATTACTACTATATGGAATATCTACCTTGTCATATGCTACATATTCAGATATGTATATACATACATGCATATCCTGAGGTAAGGTTTTGTCGAATTGAAATTTATTACTCAAGTTATTTTACGCAATTTCGGGTACTTAATCCGATTTGTTTATTTATTAAGGCAGAAAATGGATGCTGTCTTCATGGGGAGAAATTCTATATGTATTTGTATTTATTAGTTCATATGGGTGACCGACCAAAATTAGCGAACCCCACAATCATTATGTATATTTGATGTCTCGTCATGAATTAAAATTTAGAAACAACAAAAAACTGAGCTAAACAAAATGGTAAATAATAAATGGTTAAACTCGATTAATGTAATTGTTGAATTCAGAATTGTGAATTGAGAAAAATCTTTATTATGTTGCACATAACCTCTATATATACATGATGAATTCATATACTTAAACATCCTCCGGATCTTACTAATCATAACAAATACCATTCCAAATACCAGTACAACAGATTATGATGCATAAGGCATATTTTATGCATTACTAAAAATGACCTGCTTATTTTTAACAGTAATATATCTATTTGAATCATATGTACATACGCTAATCTAATTATAAAATTACAATAACTCAAGCTACTGCTTATGCAAATTGTTAAAAATCTTTCTAGGTTTTGGCCATATTTCTTGAACGAGTCGACCTGGATACCAATGCCAATTAGACACGAATAAACGACCCGAATGAAGATATCCATAAAACTAATGGGTTTTGGATGACCACAGACGCTACACAGTCACCTTGGAGCATAAACCAGTTTAGCCTAGCTTTGGCATAACGTTAACTTTACAGATATTGCAGTAATTAATATTTGATTTTAATTATACTTTTCGATCCCAAGAAACTCTTCATTTTCAAGTAAACGATAATATCTAGTCGGAGATTACTTATTGGTTCTTGAAATAACAGAGATTACCTAACTTGCTGATTAATATTACTTCTTGAGTAATAACTTTCTCATAAAGTAAGTCGTGGAAAGTTAGGGTGTAAAATAATGGACGGATTGGTAACAAACTCATCCACTAATCTCCCTCTGAAATTCATCAAATTTTCAAATGTCAAAATTAACTCTCCCCTCGTGCCAAGCAAGATAAAGTCGATGCTTATTGTCAGTGATAGCATGAAAGTTGAGTGCGTCCTGTATGACATAACTAGATACATTAAGTTCATATTTCTAAAAAAATTAAAATTCTAGGTTTTCACCCTCTGATTCCTGCACGTTTGCACCGCTACCGAAGTTGAGGTGGCAAAACGTCAGTTCAACAATAATAACAACAATGGTGGATTCGGAGGGTATCATTTAACAATAACAACAATAACGGTCGCATAGGCAGACAGTTTAACAATAATACATAACAACAATGGTAGGGCTGCCCGTCAATTTAACAATAACAACGGAGAACTCGGGGGTGGCAGTTCTTTTAGTAACAACAATAACAATGGAAGAATTGCTTAAGTTGATAAAGCCTCTAATGTTAAAAGAGTATGTACATAGGTATGTATGTTCGATTATAATTTGTTACTTTCTCTGGTTTACTACATACATGGAAACACCAACTATTTTTTGATAGCCAGTTAATGCATGCTGTGTATTACCAATAAAAATTGCAAATCTACAAAAAATATTTCAATTCAGTTTCCGTCATTTCATTTTGAACATACACACGGAATACATGCATAGACAGTTTCTAAGCATATCATTTTACATGGATTTGCTGCTGACGATGACTTTGAATCAGAGTCATTCAGACTCCGATTCAAAGTTCGAATTGTACCAAGGTTGTAGTGGATATCACTCTAGGTAGCGTTCATTCGTTTCACATTCATGAAATTCATACTTCTATTTTTCTTGGGTGAAGCAAAATATTAGCTCTTGAATAAAGGTTAAAACCAAATTAAATCAATTTAAATTCATCATCATTGCATTGCATTGTGCAATGCAGACTTAGGTTTCTATATTGTATTTACATCTATGTATGTACATCAATGACCAGGACAAACATTATACCCCGTAAATCCATTTCTGCAGAGCTGATTATCATGCATCCGCTCCATTGACTACTAAATACATGATGTTAGGAATCAAATTGAGTCACAATTTTTACTGGTTTATTATGAATCAAAATGAGTCACAACATTTATTGGTTTACAAATATTCACGTACATATATGCAAATAAGTCACAGATAATTTAATTGACACAGGAATAATGCAAAATTTGGCAATATTTGTTGATGTTTCTGCATGTTTACCAGGAAGAAGAGCCGTGATTCATTCATAAACAGAATAATCCGGTACAATATGCAATGCTATGCAAGATTATTTTGCTGGATGCAATTCACATATTCATCCTTTGTTTATCCTGCTGTTTACAAAAGCATGCTTATGAAACTGTCTAATTAAGTTATCCGCACTGGGGCTGATAATGAAGTTTGAACAAAGTAATACGAATATACATAAGTGACGAAACTTTAAATCGCGAATTATTTAGATTCGACACGAAAACAAATAAATTACATAGTCCGCAGTTAATCCATAAATGCAGTGATTTCGGCATATACATGGATATGCACAAACATCATATTACTTTCATGCAGCGTCGAAGTGAAATACGAAAATAAATTGATTGCCATTATTAATATTTTACTTGGATTTAAATTGGAAAATTAAGAAAAAATGAGTTTGTCTACATTAATACCTAGTGCACAACATGAAACACTAGTTTCTAAATTTTTACAAAAGTGTGGTGGGCAGAAGGAATGTCTACTGACGAGAGAAATGTTGGCGGACTTTGCTGGTGTCGACTCTGTAAGCAAATTAAATTATATTGAGGCCTAAAAATTAAGTTAAACACCCTGATATGCTTGATAAAAAAATATTGTATGGCTTTCAATACAGAAATTCCACACCGACCGACTGTTCTCTCTTATTAACCAGCACAATGGAAAGGACACTATCACATTTGCAGATTTCATGTCATTTGTTGGGAAATATTCTGATATGGATGAGAATTCAAAGACGGAATTGCTCTTTCGTATTTACGACACCAATGGAGACGGTTGTTTGACCAAGAAGGAGATTGTGGACATGTTGCGGGTGTCGATGAAGGAGAACAACCTTGTTTTGGATGACACTCTATTGGGTGAGGTTTGGCATTCATGGCTAACTTTCATCGATAAGTATACAGATGTTAATTTTGCACGTATGCAGATAACTTGGGTACTACCCTGTTGGAAGAAGGACTTGGGCCAGATGAGGCATTTCGAGACGGTTCGGTACTCAAATTGGAAGATTTCCGAAGATTATTTGCAGGGCATAAGGAGCTTATACAAAACTTATCAACCCTGTTAGTTCAAGCTGTTAGTTAGTATTGTTATATGGCTTTTACTAAGAAATTGTGTATTCCGTAAAATAGGATTGAGAAGTGGCTGCAACCAATACCTCAAAAGAAAAGGCCTTCTGCTTTTGGTGTTCCATGCAGTAAAAAATGCCACAACCTATTCTACTGGATGGGCAACAATGTAACATATTTGTGCTGGGTGTCCGCCTTCTACGTTTTAAACGTAGCATTATTTGTCGGGAGAATATTCAAATATTTTGGCGACGATGGACCGAATGCACCAATATTTTTGGGATTAGCGAGAGGATTTGGTAAAATAATGCTCATTCGTTTAATTGGAACAGAAATATTTATAGTGTTGTAATTTGTTATGCTGGTTTAGGTTGGTGTCTGGACTTTAGCAGTAGTTTCATCCTATTTACAATGATGCGTCAAGCGCTGACAAGAATCAGATCCACCCATTTAAACAACAATTTCATCCCGATCGACGATCATAAAGAGTTTCACCGAATTATTGGAAAGTTCATTGTCTTTGCGAGCTTGGGCCATGCCATAGCACATTTAATACATGTTGGTACGTCAAAGCCCAATAATATCAAATATTCAAAACACATGTAAATGCACATATATATTTTATCTGACGCAGGTGTAGCAGTTGAGCATGTCACGTTTTTCAACTTTATGTTTGACATGAGTGCAACAACCGCACTAGGCCTGATTCCAGGATTCGCCTATATCAGTGGCTTTGTCATAGCGATAATCTTGCTAACAATGTTTTTCTTTACGTTCTCATTTGTTCGCAGGAACGGATATTTTCATGTAAAAAATATATGTACATATCATAGTGTATACATACATACTCTCGAATTAGAATAGCATGTCAGCTCTCGCAAATGCGTCAAAGCATGCAAATGAACTGACATTCCAGTTTAATTTGAGAGTATGTATGTACAGACTTATTTTGTATTTATGTATGAGTGACTAATCCTAAGTTGTTATCATATACGTTAACGTTACTACCTAAATTGCAGTTATTCTACATCAGCCATATCGTGGGCTACCCTCTCTACTACATATTCATGATATTTCACAGCAAAAACTTTTGGAAATGGTTCATCTTCCCCGGAATTGTATTCATTATCGAACAGGTGTATATGCTATCGATGAAAGTACCGCTATGGGTCATAATTATGATTAACACATACATAACACTTTATTCTTGTCAATGTAGATATTCAGAATCTACAATAACTTTTGTCGGTTTCGAACCACGGTGAAAATGGGCGTCATTCTTCCGTCAAAGGTTACTAACCTTGTTCTCGAAAGACCACCAGGCTTCAAATTTAATCCCGGAGATTATATGTTCATTAACCTCCCACACTTGAGCAGGTTTGAATGGCATGCTTTCACGATTAGCAGCGCACCAGAGAATTTGGGTGACTAATAGAAATTTAAAACCCAAGGAAACCTTGTTGTAAATTAATTTAACTGGATAATTTATAATTTCAAGATGAGCTAAGTCTCCACATAAGAGCCGTGGGACCGTGGACTGAAAATCTCTACAATTTCTACAATTACCTCAAACTGTCGACTAACTTTAAAGTTATTCACCCTGACGGACGTCCAACAACAGGACGGTAATTTGAAATACTTAATTATTCATGGGTAGCTATATGTACATGAGAAAACTCTTATACATACATATTCATTGCACTCCTTAGTGTTAAATCTGCACTAGTATATTTACGGCACAGTAGCAAGATCTCAAAGTCCGTCAAACGGACTGAGTCAGTTTTGGTATCACGGAAACCAAGCACGGATTCGACCGGTGCACCCACAGTTAAGAGAAGGTTTACCGTTTTGACGGCCAACAACTACCGCTACCAAGCACGAAGGCCAGAGTCGGTCATAATTGCGGATAATGAGGACATATTACAAAGAGGGGAACAAGGTCAGCGTCACAAACATGAGTGCATTGCCAATGACGAAGCTCAATCTCTGGAGAAAGAACAAGGACTTCCTGACGAGTACACGAAAGTGCAGGGAAAACCGATACGGGTGCGATAATTTGCATATTTATCCAAATTGCACGTGTCAGCAGATGATGAGTGCCTTAAACTAATCCTAAAACGCCTTTTTAATCCCCTCCAGGCCTACATTGACGGTCCATATGGCGCCCCTGCGAGCGAGATATTCCGTTCTGAACATGCGGTGCTAATTGGGGCGGGAATTGGCGTGACACCCTTTGCCTCCATTCTACAGTCGATAATGTACCGTCACTGGGAGGCAAAAATTGGGTGTCCTTCGTGCAACTGCAAGTTTAGCAATGGTTTTCAAGCTCAGGTAAATCGATTGAAGAAGGTGGATTTCTTTTGGTTGAATCCGGAGCAGAACGCTTTCTCCTGGTTTTTAAACCTCATCTCCAAACTGGAGATTGAACAGGAAGAGTTGGGCGGAGAAATGGAGAGATTTCTCGACGTTCACATGTACATGACGAGAGCTGTGAAGGGGACTGAAATGAAGGCCGTCGCGTTACAGTTAGCGTTGGATCTGTTTTATGAAAAGGTAGTTTGCAGGGTAAACTTAGATAGTAAATTTAAATTTGACTTGAGATTATTTCCTAGAACAAGAGAGACTGCTTGGCCAAGTTAAAGACCAGGATGAATGCTGGCCGACCTGATTGGGAGAAGGTATTGCAAGACGGCATTTACACATTTACATACATATCATCAAATAATGTTGAATTAATATATGTGCCAATTATTGGGCAGGTTTTTACTAAAATAAAGGAAAGCAATCATGGTGCTGTTTCTATCTATTTTTGCGGTCCTAAACCACTGGGAAAGCAGTTGGAGCAATTGTGTTCAAAGTATGACTTCGCATTCAGGACGGAGACATTTTAACTTGGAAATCCACTACGCTTATTTTTTTAGAATTTGTAAACTTTATCCAATCAATTTTTCATGTTCATATATATAAAATAAACCAAGACAATATAAAGCCTCAGCAGTCAGCTAAACTTTTATTTACCCGTAACAGGATTATGAAATGCGAAATGGTACTTTTTTTAATTTGTCATGCATTCGCCATTTTTCCCACCATCTGTGCAGATGGTGCGTAATTTTTAGAGCTATGTAAATAAGTACTTCTCCCCAAATATTGGTTAGTATTCATTTTTAAAAATTAGTTTAGCGTTTGTCATCCGCCCATTTCATTGCCAATTGAGGTAGATTCTCCCACTACATAAATAATTATCATTAATGCCAAGAACTTGAAAGATAGTGACGTTACTATTAATACGTGTGTATTATGTACACAGCAACAGTAATTGTATTTTTTAGATTGCAAAATATCGGAACATTTTTATTTTCAATTTAGTTTATAAATCTTTTTCAATAAAATTTGAATCACTACACTAGATTGAAATCGATCTGATAAATACTGTAATATAATATGTTACATTATTTCTAGGCAATAAAACTCACGCTTGTTAAATTACCATTGCTAGAGTAAAAGTATCGTTTATGATTTCAGTAGTCAATATTTTCGTCTTCTGGGAGTGAAGCAACATTTCTGATAATTTGGGTAAAACGAGGGATGCCAGCCAAATATTCGACAGCATTTATTTTCTCATTGTGCTGATGTGCACGTTTTTCCGTGTTGAGGAACGGATGAATCCCAAAAACTGGAATTCCTTTGCTGCGGACATAACGGCCATCCGTGGCCCCGCTGATTACTTGCGAATTGCATGTTAAATTCCTGTAAATTGAGACATAATATTTTTCGTTAAATCAGTACTTTAAAATGTTATTATATAATTTGTCGATCTGCTCATACAATTGGTCACAAGCCCTCATAATCTCATCCCACCAAACGTTTCCGTCCGTCGGAGTGACACCATCATGTTCTGATCTTTGGATCCATTTTAAATCTACCCCTGCTTCGGCAATGATGCCATTCAGAAAATTGTCCACATGACCAAAATTCCAGTCGGGTTTGATTAAAATCCGCATGTCAAATGAGGCCCATAACAAGTCGGGGATGATATTATCACCGAGACCACCCTGATCAGAGACGGAAGATATTTATTACTATTTAATTACTGGGTGTTACATGGGTTGCTTGCACTCCCACTGTTACAACTGTCAATACTAACAGTCAATTTGCATAATAAGCAAAATAAATTGTGATCATTATACCCCCATCTGGACTAAATTTATAGTTGTTACATCGGCAACTGTAACGTTAGGATTGGTGTTGACCTCGTCCAACTGCTCGGTTCTGTATTGGAGTAATTTATTGATAGCAAATTGTAATTTCCCTGCTGCCGTATCTTCCGGAAGGGTGGACGCATGAGCCGCAGTTCCATTCGCAGTTATATTAAACTCTGAAATATGTAGAGTTTCTTAATGTAACAAAGTTTTAATTTGGAGAATCTTTGCTTACGCCAAATTGCCTTTTCGGCAGTAGAGATGAGTAACACGTTGCCAGCGTTTATTTCGCATTCATCAATATCCACACCAACATTCAACCGTTCGAAATGTTCCGAGTTGACGAATGGCTCCATACCATGGTGACCACCAACTTCTTCATCTGACAGAATTTGCATGCATACAGTGTCTCGGTGAATAAATATGTGAGCTTGCATGAATTATGCAGGGCTTGTAAAATGCATACCTGGCATAATTGTGAGATGAATTGTTCTCAGGGGCTCAAATCCTTCCGCTTTAAGGATACGAAGAGCTTCGAGTGCCCCCGCAGTGGCGGATTTCATGTCAATTGCTCCTCTCGCATAAATGTCACCGTTCGCGTCCATGACAGCCTCGAATGGAGGATGGTCCTGGTCCCACTTGCTCTGTGTCAGCGTATTTATCGTGAAATTGTATGAGCTTTATCAGATTTGACAGTTCAATATTTAACCTCGTCGACGGCGACGACATCCATGTGTGTGTTGATCAGGATTGATTTTAGGGCGGGGTTACGTCCAGGCCATGTTAACCAAAGTGCATACCCGTCATGATACGGAGGTTGCTCTGGCAAGAATTGTAAAGTATGTAAAGTAAAATCCAGCCCAATGTCGACAGATTGGTTGTTTATCCATTCTATTCCAGGTACTAAATACATGGAAATACATTGTCAAACTTTTACATGCAAATAGGTATATGTAAGAAAGTAAAAAAAAAACAATCAAAATTGATTATGAAATAACAAACTGTACAATATTTGCTGGCTGGATTCGGATGGGCAGTGTCAATTTTTAGATAATCTCGAAATCTTTCAATGACAGGGTCGTCCTGAAATTGGATTCCTCCGCAAAAGTGGGAAGCGATTATTAAGAGGGTGATAGTAGCAATGGAATCCATGATTTAAGCTCAAGGAATGTCGTTTGAATTGGGTGAAGTGAAAAGTTGAATTTACATAAATATGTACCGACCTTGGTACTTATAAGCAGGTACATAGTTATGGGAGGATTAAGCATAAAGTATCTTTTATCTTCGGAGCTTTGCATTTATTATCTGATTAATCCATAATTCGCAGAATTTATGTTTAGAACTAATTTTAGTTATATTCGGTTCAACCCGAGTCTAAGCTTGACAGAGATACAAATAATATCAAAATTCTCAGAAATATTATTCCTATCATTTATATACATAACAGAGGTTATTAACTTACGTCATATGCTTAAAATTAATAAATCAAACTCACAATTATCATTGGATTATATATGTACATACATATGAGAATTAAACAATTGATCATTGTTATGTTAATGATTGAAACTGCCAGCTATGAGGACTGATCATAGAAAATTGAGCACGTGTTACTAAATTACATTTCAAGTAAAAAAGGAGAAATGTGAAGTGTGTGGTAATAAATCTTAAATACTAGTCTACAATTATATATCAACTTTGTCAATTGTATAAACGTTAATCGCATTGAGCAACAAAAAATAGATATCTGAAGCTGCAGGACATGCATGTATGTATAAAGATTATAAATATATTAGACATCAAAGAGAGATCGCAAAACTGACACGACGTATGGACACTGCATTGTCCACGTGGTCCAGCGATCCCGTTGTCCAGAGAACTGCGTCCCCTTTTGGGATTGAAGCGCCTTCTTTGCATCTTTAAGCTGGAAGAATTTATCCACAAATTACGCAGTTAAATCCAATTAATCGTAATATAAAAAACTTTACCATATCCTCTGTCAAACAATTCTGAATTCGATTAAGAAAATCCGATTTAAAATCTTCCTGTGGAATTTCAAGCCCGTCCAAGTCTTCCTGTGACTCGTAACTGTGTACAGAGTTTGTATCCTCGATGTCAACATAGCTTGGTAGAGCCGTGTTGTACGCTTGTCTGCTTGACATGGGCTAAGGAATAGATAAGTGTCACATGAAGCTAATGGTAAGTAAATACGTAAAATGGAGGAAAAATATACAAGTATATTTAACACGTACCTCGTTATACTCGTTGGTATCGTTGGTAAAGTTTCTTTCTAACTTAAGTCCCTTTATAAAGTTTGCGCTGAAAGAAACGTCTGGCAGAGGGGTCCTATTTCGCTTATGAGAATAAATACTTGAGACAGGGGAGCTTGGCCTAACTTTCTCAGATTTGATCTTCAGAGCCGTATTAAACCCAAAAGCTGGAGTGAACAAGTTCAGATTGTCACTTTTTTCAACAACCGGCTTGCAGAATTTCTGTGTAAGCCGATAATACTGAATTTTAGATCGATGACCCATACGTGTATACATAACATTATGTATGCTTGCTATCTTACGAAATGGCTGCCCTTCTTTTGATGCACAATGTCGATAATGTTTACCTATATTTTGACATCAAATAAATAAATAAATTCAAAAAAATGATCTCATGAATGTGTAAAAAAATTTCATAAGGAATTTAAAATACTAACTTTCCATGGCCCTTCAGGTGCAACTTCAAATTCTGCCATAAGTTCAGTGATCTAATTGTATAAATATAAAGTACTTTCTTACATATTATCGCTAAAAAATGCACATATTAATATCAATGGATACACAAAATGTGCCTCATATTCATGTCCTTACTCGTGACTTCATGCTGTGTAAGGCTGGCATTAATGGCATTTTTCGTAATATTGCATGTCTGCGGAGAAAGTATCGATTTTCGTCAAGAGTAATCTGCATAAAGAAAAGATTTATAAGTGAGTTTGTCACTTTTTCACACCTTTAAAATTTTGCATAGTAATTCATCACTCACCCCGAATTCATTTTGTATTGCTTAAAACAAATCGAATAAAATTTTTAGCATTAATTCAAAATAAATATTAAGAATTATTCAAATAAAACTGAACCCCACGTTTCGTCCACATCAATGAGGCGCGTGACATTATGAAGGGATTTTATTCCCTGGTACGTCTTGCCAGAACGACCAAGACTCCCAGTCGTAAAATTTATGGGGATCAGGACTGGTCCAATGGAGGCTTCGTCGTCGTCGTCGTTATCATCGTATTTGTAGTTCTGGACCTCCATTTTCTTTAGATGTAATACGAATGTGTAAAATTATTTGACTTTTCGATTCTAAAAATTCTATTCTTTGGAGAAAAACCAAAAGAAAGTCTAGATTTGTAAATTTCTTAGCGGTGGTTACATTGGGAAATAATTATAAACTAGGACTTGCACGATATTATTATTATTATTATTATTATTTGAATTATTGAAAAATATTTCGGATCCAGCAAGAGTAAACATGAATGATAAATAAATACGTACATAGGCGTATGATGCCCTTACCGGAGTATGTTGTAAACTGGTCTATAATATTATGCCGATGCCTAAGGCTAAGGGTACTGTGAACTGTAATAATAAGTTTTGTACTATATTTACACGTGTATGCAAGTAGTAGTGGTAGGGTCCGGTTTGCCAGAAATACACTCAGGCAGGAAGTGCCGCTGAAGCATTTTAACTAAAAACGATTCTCAACCTTGATTTGTGTGTTTATGAGATGAGTCACCAATAGATTCAAGGCTGATAAAGAATTGTAGCAAGTCTTTAAAGGGTGTTATGTTCTTTGTATATATAAATACATAAATACATGTATTGGGAGGCTAGGGGCTTTGGTTAAAATTACGGGTTCCAGATAGAAAATCTAACTGATAAGAATCAGCTATATCTTTTCATGCAGCCTTGCACACATAGATACTTGGCATACTTGCATATCTAAACGAATCTAATCTAGACGGTTAACTTCTGAGAATTATGGATTTTTAAAATGAGCTAACAAATAGTGTTGTCACATATTTATGTAAATGCAAATGTTCACTTCATCCAATTCAAACTGAATTGCTTTAGACCAAAGCCGTTACTTTACTGTCACCCTCTAATCCTAAGAAGGTCACTCTTAATAATCAACTTCCTGACAAATCCAATTTCCGGGTGACCCCAGACAAATATGTCGGAGTAAAATAATTGGTTGTTAAGGATTGCATATACATACTTATACATATGCAATGCACCCCAATTGTAGTCATGGCACTGTCGCTGCTCTTTAAAAGTTTCTTAGAAAGCACGATAATAAATCCGAATTAATCTTCATGAAGGATATTTTTTGAAAAAACAACAAATTTAATCGCCAAAGGAGAACGGTTGACCCGATTATAATCAGGAATCGATTGTTATCCCTGACCTTGACTTTGACTACCCTTCTTGCTTAATGCAGATCATTAAAAAACATTACTTATTTATTCAAGTACCAAATATATTCATGTATTACTTGAAGGGTTTCATGCTTTCATACTTTCATTTTGGTCTCACTGAGAACTGGGGAGTCCATGTGTCTCGTACATTATCCGGGTCGAGTTGTGTCCCAAAGCGCAAAACCCACATGCCCGCATCCTGAATCAAAAGCCCATGCCCAATGGAGTTTATGAAAACGTAGTTTTTATTGCTTCGGTCGGTAACAGAACCAGGGGCGTTATATGGTTGCAATGAATCTGAATGAACCAATTGTTTTATTATAATATTTGCATTATAGTTTTGCAGCAGCTCATGGAGTAAATATATTTATGGAAATTGATGAGATTGATGTAGCTTACGGCAGCCGAAGACCCCAAAAGAGGTGTACAAATTGTATAAGATTAATTTATTTTCGTATAAACATACACATAGTTTACTCATCTATTTAATTAGTTACACAAATCTTTCCATTGGAACTCCACCTTTCTTCTCATTAAGCATTTCGGCATAATTGTACACCATCAGGAAAGCAATTATATGTGTGACTAGAGCTCCAAATCCTTTCAATCCAGTGAACAAAAGTCCAATAATTTCCAATACAAGAAATGAGATATTTATTCCCAACCATGCTTGGATGGAGACGAGATGTTCCTAGAGAAAAGAGCAGAGAAAAGTCATTAACTTTTGGAATCGAAAAATTCAAATAATATGTAAATATGGCAAACCTCCCACCATCCAAACCAAAGCAGTGCTGTAGTGAACACCCAAATTATGGAAGATATTCCGAGACAAATAAAGTACTTGTCTGAAGCCGAACCATCGCCCCACCAAACTAAATTGCAAATACATGTAAATAATTGCAGGTAAATAAAAGTAGTTGGTTTAGACGTTTTAAATAACGTATAATTGCATAATTGGTTTTAGTTGTGTACGTTTCAGACTTACAAAACGTATCCCTATCTCGAGTAATGTACACGTACAGTAAGAGTATCCACACAAGAAAAATTGAAATCTTGTAAAAGACAATATGTATATAATTATATTGATCCATTACATCGGCATCAGAGGACATTTTAACTTGAAGTATATAATTATGTCAGAATACTTACATAAATTGAATATGATTATTTGAAAATGGACCTACCGAACTCCAAACGGCCACTGTTAAAGCCCCAGTTTTAGGATTTTTGCACATTTCGCATTATGTGCAGTTTGTAAATCTTTCATCAAATACTTTTCATGGTAGTATAATAAATTTAAAAAATAATCCTTGTAAGTCAATGTAATATTCTTTTGTGCTCAAGCAAAACTATAATGTTAATACGCCCACTGCTGTCATTCAACTAGGGCGAAAGCTGGAAAATGTATGTATCAATTAATTGTGCAATATACTTGGAAGTATACCATGAATGCTTTTCTCAGAATTAAATATACCTATGGGAATTGACTACAATGCGGGCTGACTCGTTGCCCTTAGAATGTATGCAAAATTTTAAAATAGATATTAAAGAATAAGCAAAATACAGAAAAAGTAAATATTTGCTATTTATTTGGACTTCTTATGCAAGTGAAGAGCTGAGTAAGTTACCAAAGAGCCTAGAGTTGTTTATGAACATACTGCAGAAAACTTTGGTATTACGTAAATAAGATGCATAAATTCGTTGACTAATCCCATCCATGAAGTCTATCCTACATGAATATCAAGGACTCGGTTCAATGAATTATGTAGAAACTAAAGCGAAGGAGTTGTTTTGATGCAAAAACCCACGACTCCATGTAAATAGAGGATGGAATGCACCTCCTACATACAGCTTCACGAATTGGTGTAGTTTTTGATGTACATATTTAGGTACATATTATATAATAAATAAGGTATAAATACATATTTACATACATACGTATGCTCAATATGAGCGGATTTGTTAACATACTGAAATTGAAAACCGACATTCCATCTCCAAAGACGAGAGGAATAACATCACGCGTATATTTAAAACAAAAAATGCAGTTTAGTATTTATATATAAAGTTTATTAACAACCAGTAGCAAATGTTCAGCGTGTCAAAAACAATATTCATTGACATGCATAAAGTAGTACACTAAAATGGTACATCTATGTATGTATGTATAATATATGTGATGGACAAACCTTGGGTAATAATTTCGAAACTTCGTTTAACCCAACACCAATTTGTACTTGTATGTAATGTATGAGGGTCGGATAAACCTTTTCAGAAAGATATGTAGTAATCGGTACAAAAATAAATAGGAACATAAATAATTTCACGACTTCACTGGTAGGACATATAATTTCTATTTGGTAATCTGTTGTTGTCAATTCATTTCATGTTTTAGACATCGAAAAGTGCTCGCAGTACAGCAACTGGGTATGGACATTGAATTGACCATCGGGTCCAACGATCTCGTTTTCCATTAGCTCGAGATTGTGACGCCTTAAGATTTTCGAGTGCTGTTTTTGCTTCTAGTATCTGTACAGGGAAATGAAAATAATTATTAATTAGGAGCAAGCAACTAAATACTTCAATCAATGAAATCTGCTACTAATGTACCATCTCTCCAGTCAAGTTTTCACGAATCCTTTGTAAGAATACAGTTTTGAGATCTTCATGCTCTATTCCGAGGGCGTCGAGATCTTCCTGGGAATCTTGTGAATCTTGAGAGTCCCGGCTGAGCATGGAGGCAGCATCGTCATCATCGTAGGCAAAACCATTAGTCGGGGGCTGAGGAGAGCGATATCCAGCGGTGTGGTAGTTGGGCAACACAGACTGATGAGGATGAAATTAAATTTAGAGTTAATGCTAATAAAATTTTCTATGCATTGAAGTTATGTACCTCATCTTTTTCGAACGAGTACTGGCTTAATGCTTCTCTTCCTCCATTGCCAGTTCCTTCCCATCTAAAGATTTGCTGTTGCTGTACTGGTGGTAGGGCATGTCTTGAGTTTGAGGTGACGGCATATGCAGGACGACGAGTAGATTCGTAACCGTTATGGTCATGACCTGTTTTTTCCATTGTCTTGTAACTCTTGTTCTTGACACTGAGGATTGGAGTATCATTATTATCGCTATTATGGTGTTTCCTGGTTGGAAGTGCAATTGTCCTAGGATTGTGGTAAGGCGGTGGTGTCATTGACTCTGTCTAATCATCAATTTATAGAAAAAATAACGAAAACATTAGCCGACTATTAGCAAACAAGCTCCAATAAATAAACCCCTAACGTATGTAATATAATATTAAGGTATAATATAATATTAATATGTAATATAATATTAAGGTATGCATACCTTAATCCCATTAACGTCAACAGAGGAATCATACAGCTCTTTATGAATTATGGTAATTTTCCAATCACCCTTTGGAGAAATCTTGAATTCCGCGAGGAGTTCGCTTATCTACATTCAAACAGACAGTTATAACATGCATACCCTTCCTTTAAGAATTAGCTAGTACTGATCGCATTAAACTTTATACCTTTGACTTCACGCTGTGCAATGACGAGTTGCATGCAGTTCTTCGAAAAAAGTACCGCTTAGAGTCAATCATGATCTATAAATGATAATAAATAATTTATACTTGTTTGAAGTTGTCTGCAGTGCAGAATACCAAGCTGGTTCATACTCCTCCTTGCTACATACGCTCACTGTATTAGACTTTCAGGCCGGTTAAAATTCTAGATGCCCGTAGGGACTTAATTTGTTTTTTACGGTATTGGGCTAGAATTCAAAATTTAAGCATTTTTGACCTTCCTATGCATGACAAAACAAGTTTTTTCGACATTTGACCTGTTTTTCGCCATGCTAAGGCCGCCCCACTTGGAGTTGGGTGACTGGGTTGAAATTCATAATATAAGCGGGGCGGCCTTAGCATGGCGAAAAACAGGTCAAATGTCGAAAAAACTTGTTTTGTCATGCATAGGAAGGTCAAAAATGCTTAAATTTTGAATTCTAGCCCAATACCGTAAAAAAAACAAATTAAGTCCCTACGGGCATCTAGAATTTTAACCGGCCTGAAAGTCTAATACATTGAGCGTATGTAGCAAGGAGGAGTATGAACCAGCTTGGTATTCTGCACTGGTTGTCTGCCATTACATATTGCTAAACTACACATAATACTATATACATGTGACCTTGATAAATACATAACATATTCACTACTCACTCCGAATTCTTTTTTAATTGCTTCCTGCCACGTCAAGTCAACTTCCAGATTTCTGAGATGATCACATGACGTTAATGATGTCTATAACCGGTTGAACTGCACCAAAATAGTGAACACGAAATTTGTGAAAGTCCACGACTGCTAATACGTAACTAACCTAGCACAATAACCCTGAAAATTGTTGTGAACTTTGTGCGAAACAAATTTCGTGCACACTGTTTTGGTGCAGTTCAACCGGTTATAGATAAATATCTTCCCTGGTTTGGTCATGTAGTTCACTAATCTCGTTGTAACGCTCCCCACCTCGACCCATACTGCCCAATTTGATATTTATCGGGACGCTTAACGCCTCCCCCAAGAGATCGTCGTCGTCATCAACTTGGTAAACGACAGGCTCGTAGTGGTGGCTGTGCTGCAAAGGAATATCAAAAGACAAACAATTCAGTCGTTGCAGTGTATTATATTTGCAATGCAGCAACCACAAAACCACATATTTCACTACTTTTGGGCTTTGATGCACTTACCATCATAACTTTTTCCTTCCTGTCAACAGTGTCGTTTTGAATAAAGCTGGTTTAGAGTTAAATAGATCAATTTGGTAAAACAAATACTGCAAACAAGAAGAATCAGTGGATCAAATAAATTCGAGGAGATTTCAGCATCAGCCGTGCAGTGAACTGCTGCAGCCTAGAGAAACTGTGAAACTTTCCATGGTGAATTCGGTAGTCAGCCGTATTTCTGTTCATGTATAATGTGCAGAGAGTACCATATATTGGTGTCATAATACACGTATTATACGTGTATACTCGTTGCAACAATTCCAACCAACGCTCCGTTTTGGTTGTATGGAAATTCGAGAAGTAAAACTATAACAAAGCCTAAATACAATTTGCATACTAAAATTCACTAAATTCATATGCACTTCATATCAACTTATCCTTAGAGAAGCAGCCAGTTGATGTTTCATGAAGTACAAATACCACCCGAGAAAAATTTATCAATGCACTGAATTGTGTCGAAAGAGTATTATGCAACAACTAACCTATTATGCAATGCAATTTGTGCGACCTTGATTTATAATTGATTTATTTATCACACTCAAACCAAGTACACATAAAAGTGAAGCAAAATTTAGGAATTCAACAAGGAGAATGTATGCACATAGCGTTGTGTTAAAGTATACAATTTTATTGCCATTTCATGGTTGAACAGAGGAATTTATAGATACATATGAATTACACTTTGATTAGCTCATTGTCTAACCATGACGATATTAATTACGCCGAGGAAAAGAGCCAGCACAAGTCCTGACCCCAAACACCCAGCTGACCCAGCACCGTTTCCTGCTGTAACGTTCATTAAATTCAACCTCCCATAGCCGAACTTATGATTAGGCCAGTCCTGGGCAGTGCTGCAATCTGGGGCACCGACAAAGTCACGCAACCCTTCTCTCTGGGCCTTCTCGAGAAGTTCTTTTCGCACCGTGGCGTACGAGGCGCGTGGATTTTCCTGCAATATAACAACATTTTGATGATTTAAAGGCTCGAGAATTATTTGTAAATCAATTATGAAAATGCTAATAACTGAGAGGAGGAGAGCGACGGCGCCGGCAACCTGAAACCAATTTACACACCACCATAAAACTAAATCAACAAAATTCGCATAAAATAAATCGAAAATATGCAAAGTATACGTGGGGCGTGGCCATGCTCGTGCCGCTCAATTCGCCAAATGACATATCAGTCTGAGCTGTAGCGGAACGAATTCGTGCCCCCGGAGCCACAATGTCCGGTTTGTAGTTCGACCCACGCGTGTTTGGGCCGACGCTGGAGAAAGCAGCGAGCACATCGTCCTGTGTGGTTGCACCCACGCTGATGACGTCTTGATTATCTCCGGGGGAACCTATGGAACCACAGTTTGGACCAGAGTTGCCCGCCGCAAAGACGGGAATGATCCCAGCAGCACGCCAGGACCTGATTACGCTGTCATAGAAGGTCTGGCCCCCTTTCCCACCCCAACTATTCGACACGATATGTGGAACTCCAGTACAACCGCTAGGTTGGCTGGGGTTGTTTGGGCATATCATGAATTCTCCGCAGGCAGCAAGATCTCCGCCAAGACAAGTGTCATTAAAACATCCGAGACAACTCATCCATTTGGCGCCTGGTGCGACACCAATTCTGTAACGAACACAAATAAATTTAAAGTGCAAATAAATTTATGTATCATTTAACAGGATTACAAATTATCTACAAATTACTCACCCATCTGCCCCCACAGCGGTGGCGAGAGTGTGCGTCCCATGACTTGATCGTGATGTCTCGTATGGGAGTGATGACGAAGAATTTCGAGGGGCGAACCAGCCTCCGACTCCAGCCACCCAGTTTGAACGGAGAGAAATGTGGGTGTAACGGACTCCCGAGTCTATGTGCCCGACTAATATGCCTGCGTTTAGTTTTATTTAAGGTACTAATTTATTTTATTTTTCTATATTTTAATTGAAGGCTAGTATTTTAGTAGATAAGGACCTTCTCCAGTATGGCTTTTATTCGCCCAGAAAAAGGGGGCGCCGACTTTCTCGATGCTCCATTCGTTGGCGAGAGTGTTCTAATTTTAAAATACGCTTTAAATAAATAAATATATTGCTGAATATGTAAATGGTATACGTTTTCATTAAATAATATACACACCACAGGCTCCTCTTTCAACACTTCCAATGCTATAACAAGTTCCTCTGTAATTACGGCAACACCAGGTGCCCCCTCCAAACTCAGAATCAACTCCTTGTCTGCACCACGCACAAAGACGGAATTTGAAATCCAACTTGACCAAATTTCTGGTGGATCTGCGCCACTTTTCCGTTTTCCTTTATTCTGAGCGAGGAGTGTTAGCACCCCTTTTTGTGAAGTTGATGCATGAGCAGCTAATTCTTGACCGAGGAGTGACGCCTTCTCATCTCTCGTGAAATCAGTTAGTTTTGTGATGGCGAAAGTTTTTTGGAATACAGATTCGACGCCATCTTCCATTTCGACGACAATGTTCCATACACTATTTTCCGATGCGGTTTGTAACGATGAGGAAAGAGATGGGGACAGCTTTGATGATATCTTGGTAGTAGTTATTAGTGGAAGCAACACTACGACAAGTGAGAATATAAAGAACTTCATCATATAAAATAGCTCAAGTTTTTTTAAAACAAAATGAAAAAAGAAAAACGTGGACTAAAATCAATGGACTTGTAAAACAATTATAGTTCAATATGAAAAGATTTGCACCGCATTGATGCAAAAATCTCGACCAGTCAAATCCAAAATTATTGAGCAATAGTCCTTAATCCTTCATTCGTTCCCCAAGTGGAAATATCATGCCGATAAAAATTAATCGATTTATGATGCAGGAAGCAGTAAGGACCGTGAATCATAAAGATATATGATGCATCACCGACAATATGCTTATCGACGGATTTACCGGGATTTAGCAAGGGCATTATTAAAAGGTGAAAATATTTATGGGAATGCGTTGTCTGTCTGTGCGTATTCACGATAATTTTTGAACGGGCATAAATGCATACATATGTATATGTAGAAGTTCGTGTGGGGTTGAAATCAATTGGACATTAGGTTGGGACATTCTCATGCTTCAGAAAATCAAACTAATTATTTTCGTTGAAACTCCACCGAAAAATATGATCATGGTGAATTGGCTGCAAAACCTGCACGGGAAGGATACGATACGATAAGTATTTCACAGGTTGTATGGACACAAGTACATTACCAGTCGTAATGTGTTTAAATGTTATTTGCACACTCGCAATCAATTTATTATGCTTGGCAATATGTTAGGCTAATGCTACGCAGAATGATATGCAAAAAGCCCATGGATTAATGATACGAGCAGAGTCTGAATCACAATGCTGGAATGTTTTAAGGTCTTGTCCTGATGAGTGATAACATAAATACATATTATAGGTATATAGGTATGTATGTACATATGTATGTAGATGTTATGAGGCAGAATGTTTGGATGGGTAGTATGCACATAAATGCATAATATACGCTATATATCACATACATATATTTATATTACTGCCTATTTATATTATTGCCTTTAAAAGGCAACATCAACTTATTGTCTTCGATTTGTCGAAACCAAAATATCAACACAACAATTATATTTTATTTATTTGGCTTTATTGTGGTTATAATCTAAATTATCTAAATATTTCACCAAATCGTTCTTATAAGATAAGTACTTAGGTCCCGGACGAGTCGACAACCAGTTCGACAACATTTTAGGTCGACAAAATAGGCGGTATCGACCAATATGTTGTCGACGAGCAGTTTGTCGACCAACTCGGATAAAATATAACGGATTGCTGGTACAATGTAAATAAGATAAGTGCAAACCATCCGCATCTCATAATGCGAACAATTGATTGGGTGCCGATTGATTTTTGCACGTGCTGTGTTTCCCAACTTATTCAATATTATGAGGATTTGACTATAATCTTGACAAAGTACAAATAATGCAGTCCATCAAGAGCTGGAAAATGAATTGACTTTTAAACAAACACACGGGTATTTATTTACAAACATGACTTTCCTGTTGTTTAATGGAGACATCTCATCAAATAACTTATGGAAATTATGTACTTGCTATCTAGCAAAGTATCTGTATTTATCCATCAAAATTGAGTGAACCTCGACTTAATTCAAAGGCTTAAGCAAATATCTGTACACCCATTCCCTTATATATTTCCCATATTTCCATATATCCTATAATTGTCCGAAATATTTAGTTGGACAGTTAAATCAATTGAGGTCACATTGCCATGTTTTCTACTGACTTTCTTCCTATTTTCAAATTTCATCTCAAAATTGCCCATATTTTTGGATGCATTCCATTCACATTAGATCACAGCACGGGATGGTTGAGAAAGACCCAATCTCATAGTCGTCTCAAATTTTTTAAGGTGCAATGCTTGCTCTCGATTCTGTACAGTTTCACACTACTGGTCAACCTTTTAAATGGTTCATTAAGCCTGACTCAAAAAGCTGAAGGATTCGTCTTCTTCTTAATATATTCGGGTATGAGTTTGATCCGTTGGAATTACAAGCTAGATAATTCCCCGATGCAAGTAATTAACTCATTCCTGCATTTCGAGGCGGATATTCGTCACAAGGGTAATTTTGCTCTAGGCAACAAAATTTACGTTCAAAATACAATTAAGTAAATATATGAATTTAAAAATAATTACTCCCTCGAAAATTTAGACCCAACTAACGTACCGAAATCTAATCTGATCACGAAAGCAATGAAGCATTTCCTCGTCATGGGGGAAGTGACTGTGGCGTCTCTTCCCGTTCTGCAATTTTTAATGTTAACGTATCGTCCTTGCACACCCCCATTTCTAATGTCCATGATCCCAAGTTGTATTGTTGTGTCTAAACAACAGCGCATCATTGGCGTAATAATTCGTTCCCCGGAAACTTGGATGGGTTGGCATATCTTGTACTTTGGTTCCATGTGGCTACTGTTCGAGCTCTTCGTGGGGATTGACTGCATCTTGAGCTACCTGCGCTTTCTGGAAAGGTTCGTATTCAATACGAGACGAATTATCGTTTCAGAATAATATCTGCAGAGGTTTTAAATTGCAGCCAAATTCAATCAGTTCGAAATGAAGATGATGCAGACGACTGCATACAATTCTACAGAGCGATACAAGTATTGGAAAAATATTTCAACGCCTGCCCCCACATAAAGAGGATAATCCCGTTAACAGTATTCATTACCCCGACGCTCCAAATTATCACACAATACGTCTGCATTTCACTTCGAGATGCGGTTCCGCTACCGGGATTCCTGGTTTTTCCGCTGATTGCTGCTGACACGATAATCAATAATGTACTGATCCTCACATTGGGATCAGGCGTTCATTCTGGATCTCAGAAAGCTTTGCAGTTATTGAATAGAAGAAAGCAGAGGGGATTGAAACCAGATAGAATTATACGACGCAAGGTTAAAAGTTGTTCCCTTCTGAAGATCAGATTCGGCTCAAATTTTATTGATCGAGGCACGCCGCTGGTAATTCAGGACTTTTGCATGGGCCAAACCGTTAATCTAATTCTGATCAACTCAGGATGAATATTAATATGACTTTTTTTAAGTAAAGTCAAATCAATCTTCTATAATATTGGAATTACCTATTAACCTTTCTAGAACTTTAATATGTATATTTATGCTTTAGAGATAATTTACCCTTAAATACGTGCTAATACATGCATGCAGAATTGCAATGTCAAATAAAACATTAATTAGATAAATAAATATTTTTACTTAAGATCAAGTCGATAAAAATGTATTTCCATTGTAAAAATCTTGAGATCATTTACGTGAATATTTAATTAAAAGTTAAAACTTAAAACTTAAATGTATGTATTTCAAGAGCTACGTAACTTTTAGTAAATATATTATTTAGACTTCATATCGAAGAAAGTTTTTTTTTGTTCATGAGTCATTGATTAACTTTCATTGTAGCAAATGTTTTTGTACAAAAATGTAAAGAACATTCAACGTGGCAAAATGACCAGTGTGGTTATTTAAACATATTAAATAGGAAGGCATAATTAAAAATAAAATAATAAAAGCTTACGATTAACCTTCAATTTCACTCCTTCGCACATATGCATAATCAGTTCATAGTAGGTAAACAATTTGAGCTAGGGAGGTTTAAATATTTAATTATTTGTTTAATCGTATAACACCTTAAGTAAATTCATATTAAATATCATGTTTCAACTAAGGGCAAGGGCGATAATATTTTATGCTTTCAGGTGCAATTTACAGATTCGCGAAGGTGGAATGTATACCTCCAAAGTTTTTCCCCTGCTTAAATTGCATTTACGTATTTGCAAATTCCTAAAATGTCTTCCATTTGATGATGGGTTGAAGAGGTTGACAAAATGTAGATCCACGGGCCGAATTTTAATTTTTAGGGTTCAATGCGTCCTTTCCAGTTTGTATTGTGCTGCATTCTTTCTCAATTTGTGTCATGACCGTTTTAACCTACCGCAGAAAGTGCAAGGGTTCATTTTCTTCGTCTTGTACGTTGGGCAAGCTATAATTCGATGGAATTACGATTTGGACAATAGTGGGATTCAAATCATCAATGCATTTATGGATTTTGAGTCTCATCTTACCTGGGGTATCTCTAAAAATACATAAATATTGCATATATATCTCATAGATTAAATTGTCCAATTACTAGATTTTCTATCGAGTAAATCCAAAGTGGCCAACATGATGCAGAAATTCTTATTTTTGGGAGAAATTAGCCTTCCGGTGATACCAATTCTTCAGTTCATCCTGCTCATCTATAAACCATGTACACCGCCCTTCATCATGTCCATGTCGGCAAATTGTAACACGACACAAAGTGTGCATAGCTGCAATTCAATTGTTGGCATATTGGTGAATGTCTTGGAGTTATGGATGGCGTTGCACACCTTGTACTCAGGGTCGATCTGGGTGTACTTTGCGCTATGTGCAGGAATTGGGTGTTTTCTGTACTATCTGAATGTTATTCATAGGTAAGCACCAATCTAACAAATAATTCCTAAAGTACCTAGGTCCGATAGAATTGCTTATTTGCTTTCATTCTTTAATACCCAGCCAACTGGTTTCAATTCGCACGAAACACGATCTCAAAGAGTGCATCCGACTTTATAAAGCTCTTCAAGTTCTGGAAAAATCATTCAATGCGTTCATTATGAATCGAGTTTTGCCTACCGCGATAACGCTTGTTCCTGGGCTGCAAATTGTGGCGCAATACGTGTGCATCCGCCTAAACACGGAAATACCAATGCCTGGATTCCTAGTTTTCCCACTGATTGGCGTAAACGCAATAATCTACGATATCTTAATTTTCACAGTAGCCTCATCAGTGCACAATTTGTCACAAGACATTCTTCAGTCGTTTTGTAGAAAGATATCGGGAATTTCGATGGATCCAGTTGAACGAAGGAGAACGAAATGCTGCTCTGTTTTGAAAATTAAATTCGGTTCTAATTTCATAGACAGAGGGACTCCACTCGTGATTCAGGATTTTTGCATGAATCAAACGGTAAACCTAGTTCTTATCAAGTAGGAGTTGAACAACTTCAAATCTAAAAAATAAATATGCGCCATAAATAAATAAGTTTCATTCCTTATTACGTTATCACTAAATTTGATACCAATCTAATCCTAAGTATCGATCAGCAAGTCGTATATACATATCTATGCCTAAGTACTTACACGTGCTATTTCTGCCTGCATAAATTATTAAACTGGTTAATGCTTTAAATTTCCATCCTAAGCTAATATTTGTCATAAATTTATAAACTGTAAGTGTTAAAATAACAGGATGTTTGTCCACGAGCTAGAATTACATGAAGCTGTTTGCTTAATTGTCCATAATCTTACGTTTAAGTAAATTCCGTCTTATGTCTTTGCAAAAATTTGTTGCGAGCCATGGTTTCAATTTTTGGGAAAAATTTGTGCACCATAGTTGGAATCATAAAGGAAGGGTGAATTATTTATGAAAAATAAATACCAATCAAACATTAGATATATATTAAATCAACAAAGCAGAGATAGTCGTGAATGATTTAATTCAGTGTACATAATAATACATATTTGCCTCAACTAAACATTTATAGTAATTAATTATTGTGCATATCTCTATGTATTTATAGCAAAAGATAAAAAAACAATATCTAAACCTTAGGACAGGTGTGTGTAAAGCACATCCTCCCAGTTCTATCAAAAGTGAATACAATTCACATAAATATAGGTTATTACTTTATTTAATAAATCATAAGTAAATTTAAAAAAGTATTCAAAAAAAATCTAAGCTTTTCTGTTCTAATTACATTTTAAATAAAAATTATTTACATATTTATAATACACGCGTGAATAATTTTTGTCAATACTCAAAATTATTTCCGTAACTCAAAGTGGAGGGAATATCTATCCGGGGATAGAGTGGCAGAATTTATTGGCTCCATCGGTGGCATTTTACCCGGAATTGTAGAAAGTTTGAAGGTTTGAAAGATATTTGTCACGTAAAGAAATACTGTATTCCACGCCAACGTTTCGCCCAGACATAATCTCTTTCCTATAAATAATTTGATAAAACTCATGAGCAAAAAAAATTACAATAATTAATTTTTATTTTATTTGCATACCAAATCCAAAGGAAGCCACTCTTTCAGTATTAACGAGTTGCATTGTGCCGTCATCATTTGTGGATAGAAACCGTTCTGGACGAAATACATCTGGGTCGCCCCAATGTACTTTGTCGGTTAAGACCGGGTCCATGTTGTACATGACTCCCGCGCCCTGAGCAGAGACACATTTAGATTTATAAGTAGGAGAATATACTTATCAATTTACTTATCATTATTGAAGTGGCGTACCTTTGGAAGCGTGTATCCTCTCACGGTAATGCTATCTGTTAAAATCCTCGGTGGTGGCGTGGGTACGATGTCTGACATGCGAAACATTTCATAAAGTGTGGCTTTCATGTAGACCAAACTGCAAAGAAAGATACAAAGTCAATCGGGGACTAATAAGTCAAAAAGATGAAATATCTACCTAAATAAATTGGGATTATTCTTATGGTTATGTGACTTGGGTTCATTTACCTCTTTTCGTTATCCAGCGTTGGTGTAACATCAGATCCAATAACTCTGCAGATTTCGTCATAAACTTTTTCCTGTACGTGACCATTCATCGCGAGGTGATACAACATCCAGTTTACGGATGTGCTCGTAGTTTCTGATCCGGCGAGAAACAAGTCGGCTAAGACCACGATTAACTGATCGTCTGTAAACATAAAAATCCAAATTAGTATTTAGAATTAATCTGCGTATTGTTAAGATTCTAAATTTTCTACACAAACCTGTAAAATTGGTATCTCCGGTGCCTTTACGTTTCTCAATCTCATCTAAAAATGCCTCAATATAACTCTCGGCGTCTTGATTGCTTCGTGCACTCCGTTTTTCTTGAATATCTTTGATAATCCGCTGAAATTTAGTAGATCAAATTAGCCGACACAATTCTCAATTCTTAAATTTTTAATTTATACCCTCAAAAACTTTTGCATCTCTGCATAACACTTCAAGTGTTCCTCATGTTTGCTCAATTTCGGGAAAAGTGTCTTCACCCATGGAAAAGCCGTGTATCGGTTTGAAAGACCACATGCAAACAGAATGTCGTCATTTAACCTGACAGCCTCCTGGAGGTTTTTGTCCTCGAGGGAAAATCTGTACCCTGCCACCAAGCTCCAAAGGACGTTGATGGCGGATGAGGCGAGCAGGTGAGGGTCAACCTCCCACTCGCCCAGGCCATCAAGCACACCACCCTTAATTGTGGACATTAGCTCGTCAACTTCCTCTTGCATGACGCCATTCATCGAATTCTTTTTCCCAAAGCCAAAATCTCTCAGCGTTCGAATCGTGTATCTTTTCAGTTCTTGCCATGATTCGCCACTATTGAAGATAATGCCTAAAAATACATAATCGCATGGTGAAGTTCGCATGTTCTTTATGCACGAGAATTTTTAGTGGTTGCATAAATACAGTAATTATACCGCGGTTAGGATTGCCATAGGCTCGATCCGGCACAAAGGGAAATACAAAACGGCCGATATTTGCTTCCGGTTTGGTTAGCATTTCCTTCATAACCTCATACGAAGATATGACGACTGTAATAAAATGTTTTAAAAAATGATCTTTATAAAATTGCAGATAATGTTGTGTAAATTAATCGATACTTTTTTTACATACTCATAAAATGTGCCCCAAACTGGATTTTCATGATTTCTCCGTACTTCCGAGACAGTTTTTCTAACGCTTTATGCGGATATTTTATGTCGATCATAGCCATTTCGATCACATTTCCGATAATCGGCCATGGATATGGACCAGGTGGCAGATTCTTGTATTTTTTTTTGTTCGTAAGCAGTAATAATACTATTAGCGCAGAAACAATCACAAATAGTATGAAAACCATTTTCCACTATGCAAAAAGTACTTCACAATTGATAACAAAGTTATAAATACGTCTTTATGTAACGAAGTTGTAAACACAAGTGGACAAACTTATCAGTTAGCCGAGGTACACAGTCGATTTTGCAGGTCCAGCGTCCACTGATTTAATTAATGTTACCAAATCTGAATTGCAGATATCATGCAAAAAGCTTGGCTAGTTAGGTTTAATTGCGTGCGAAAAAAAATGCGCGTGGCAGTTGAACAACTTATAGAGAAAAAGAGTGGTTGGATTGGACTGGCGAAAAAAATCAAAATCATATACCCTGCTAAATACCTTTATCTATAGATGTATTTTGTAAATAAGAGAGATGAATGGGCCAAAAAGTACGAAGTGGTTGCCTTTTTATATGACAATTAATGGGCATGTGTAAGTAGTTCTTGGGCAACCTTCAAATCCGGATTTACACTCAGGCAGGCTAACTATGTAGATGTGCAAGTATGTATTTGCATTTTTTGTATATACTTAAGTGTGTGCGTAGCTGAAAACAACAAAAATCTGTAATTCTTATGTAACAGGAGTTGGAACTGCTACACTGGATCTTCTTGAATAAAAATGTACAAACTGGAGACAAAAGTGATCATAATGATGACGAAGTTCGCAATTTTATGGCATATAAGTAGGTAGATGTACCTTTTGAGGATAAACATGGTTTAAAATCATTTAATAGTAGTGAAAATGAATGTGATTGTTATTTAAGTCCTTCCTCCATGCCGACTTTGCATGCAGGAAAGTGGTATGTACGTTTCGATAAATTGAAAAGCATCTGCTAAATAGCGTACTTGTTATGCAAATCTGTGTAGCGTGCGACGTAATTTGTAACAGTTTATCTTGTTTAAAAACCAATGATCCTTGACTTTCCCGTTGGGATGAAGGGTGAAGGAAAGTAATTTGCTTTATTTTCGGTTGTTTCATACTAAAATTTGCGTGCCAGAAAAACATGAAGAATTTAAGTTGATCAAAGGTCAAACTAGGAGGAGCTGGAAAGCTTCATTATTTGCCCCTCTCAGATTTTGATGTCCTTTTGATATGTTACAGTACCCGATGAGATGAGTGAACAATGACCCCCAAGTGGTTTGATGCCGTGACCATATTTGCGCCCACCACACCCACTCAAAAGGGCAAAAATTACGAAAATTAGCATCTTCAAGCAAACATTTTTAGGATTTCAAAAATTCTTGTAGTAAGTTGGTTGTTCTATCATATCCAGTATAAAACGTAACTTTTTAAATTTGTAAATATTTTTGAAAATTTCCTGTCCTTCGAAAAAATCAAAATTTCAGAAAAGTTTAGTTTAATATAGGGTTTGAGAAAGAGACCATCTTTCTAGGACTGCAATAGTGATTTGGACTAAAAAAAAACAGGGCTTCTTTCTTGTTGTTGTGCCTTTGAGAGGTGTGGCGGGCGTAAATGGGACAATGACATCAAAACATTTGGAGGTTCTTGTTCACGGGATATTACATCATATGCAAATGGTATTAAAATCGGAGGAGGGCAAGTACTGAAGCTCTCCTCCTTGTGTAATGCATGTATTGTATGTATGTACATACGTTTACATAAGAAGCAATAGATGCATACACTGAAGCTTATATTATGCCAATATTGGAAAAGGACGACAAATTTTTCGTGATTTAATGTGTAGATGTATAAGTATAATTCCATGCAAAATTTCAATTCAGTAAGTTACACACGTGTACACGTGCAGGTTTTTGTTATCCCTTATTTACAATCTCGTCTTAATTTATTGCTTGTTGTTGCCGAATTCAATTTCTCCAATCTTGTACTTGTGCTAGAAAAACCAGTCCAGACATGCCTTATGTAAAAATTAAGATTCAAGATATTGTGCATATAGATGTTCAATGGTGGAAAGATATTTTATACGATTATTGGTTGAATGAAACCAACCCAATGAACTTGAATGTTTATTATGTACACCTTTTATGAATTTCAAGCATTTTCTGCTTATACGTAAATTAAGGGGTGAAACCCTTTTATGACATCGTTATAGCTTTATGTCTGTCTGTCTGTCCGTCTGTTGGGCCGATAACTCATGACGCAACGACATACAGGCTTAGAACTTTGAACGTTAGCTCTTTACGTCAAGGGGTAGACCTGATTAGAATTTGATACTACAGGTCGCACCCTCCAAGGTCAAGGCCGTTTTTACCTCAGAGGGCATGAAAGGTCACACAAGGGTTGCCAAATATTAAATTGCATATATACATATGTAGATAGATACATGACAAATTTCGAAAACGCGTCAGCGTGTCAGCTCTAGCAGATTTTCGACAGACAAAAACAATACAGATACATATGTATTCATTTTGATGCATGACACTGTTTTAGTCCGTCACATGAAAATGTTGGTGTGAAATGTAAGAGGTGTCCTTGAGTGATTCCGAACATCAATTTATGGTGGCAATTGTTCCAAGCTTCTCTGCAAGAGAGTGGAGAATAGATGGTAAATATGTATGTGCAAGTTTGTAGATCGTAGTTTATTGATTTGAAATGTAGGTATCCTGGCAACTCATTTTCTTATCTAATGTCTCCATATTTTGTGCACTGATGGCCGGAATTGTAAGCTTTCTGTGCTGTATGTCCAGGTAATTGTCTTGGGTATTGGATTGATTTGTATATTGCTGAATGTGGATACATATTTTAGAGTGATTTGTACTGAATCTGTGAATTTGGACATTTGCATTCATCAAAATCTACAACGGTTAGAAAATGCATTTGACAACTGTCTCATGAATCGTATTGTTCCAGCCGCAGTTATTTTCTCCTGCAATGATGTAATGTAAGTGACTTGCAACTGCACAGTTTGTGTGCATTCATTCGCATAACGAGATGTATCAGTGATTGGGGTCATGATATTTGCGTTGCTTTCCGTGCAATAAATAGCGTGCTAATGTTCGCCTTTGCATCATGAAATCATAGAAAGTACTCAGGTATCTAGGCAGTAATTAGATTTTTTTATTTGTCTAATTTTTTATTAGACAAACGAGGAGAAGAGAGGGTAAATTATAGAAGTAAAGTCGTAATTAGTTGCACAGCCGTAAAAATCAAATTCTTTGGACCCAACTTCATCGATCGTGAAGAATTGGAGCTCCACTTGTCATTAGAACTTTTGTGTAGTTCAAACAATTAGTCTTCTTATGCAATTAGTGAAAGTAATCATGCACTTTGGAATGATAAAGTAAATATGAAGCATACGTATGTATGTATGTATATATGTACATAGTCGTAGCTACATATATATATGTAGTGGTTTGGTGAATTGAGTGCATAATGTAAACAATTAAATCATCCAAGTTTAGTTTAGTAGTTTAGCTTTTGTCGTCGTCTTAAGTCATGTTGCATGCTTAAAGTCAGAGAAATTCAGAGAAAAAGACTATAAATTTAGTTTCGAGGACCAATGTTAAAATTGCCATTATAAATTTGTATCATATGCATCCATTGTATTTATGTAGCAATAAATCACAATTTGTCTCTTGTGTTTCCGGACAAAGCATACGTTTCATTCCGTGCAAAAGTTATATATCATTTGTGTTCTATTACAAAGAGACGGGCTTTCTAGGAGTGCATGAAAATGAAAATATGCATTTCTTTCTCTACTTACTTAACAAACCCCATGTAATACCGCTCACTAAAAGCGATGGTTAGTACTTGCGAAGCTTGACAACTTGAACACGTTCAATTTAGGAACTTGGAAATAACATTGTCAATTGTGTTTTTGCTTATCGTGATGCCACCGTCAGTGATAAATGACTCCATTCTTCAACATTTGATAAATGATTAGCTCTATGCATACGCATTTATTGATTTCATCAAATTTGAAAAGCAGAATTGCAATTTAATCAGCACACATCCAATTTACCCAACCTCAATACAACACCAGTTACCTATCCACATTTCTGAAAATATGCTGAAAGTCGCCGTTTTCCTAACCCTGTGCGCTCTGGAGACCTTCGCGGGCAATCCTATGGCGTCGGTTTCCAGGTTGGGCGTTTTTCCCAGCAACATCCTCCGAGCAGTTCCTCGCCAGGAGGAATGTGGAACCTGCGACACTGATCAAACGTGCTCAATTCCACCCGGCGAATATTTCCCCTGCGACAAAACCTTCACAGCAAGTAAGTGGTTGACGAAGCTTGTAAATTAATTTATTGATAACCTTGATGCCTAATTCACTGGTTTGGTTTCGATTGCACAGCAACTTCAACTTCATCGCTCACAATGCAGGTTGACGTCTGTTTTGGCACCGATATCGAATACTGTGTTCATTTACTTGATACTGATCTACCAAATTCTGCAATAGAAGGTGGACTCTCCTATACAGTCAGATTTTCCGTCGTGGCGAGTGACATTTTGTCTGGAAAAGATGTCCAATTTCGTTCGAACCTTTTGCATACTGATACCAGGTTTTTGGAGTTCTGTGTTGCTATTAACTGCAGAATTTTGTGATTAAATACTTATTGGAACTATGTAAAAAATGTAACCAAACATCAGAGTTTTGGATTATTGTGATTGCAAAATTTTGTTCTCCTGAATAAAAGTTTGCCTTATTTTGCGCTAAATTCAATGCATCTACATATGCATAAGCCAGCAGAAATAAATATTCTTTCATTACTGATCTTGAATTTAATATTTTAAATTCTAATAAGTAAGACAGATGAAGACACAATTCAGACTGATAAATAAATACAAACGTGACAGATAACACATACATATGCGAATCTTCAGAAGTTCTGAATCAGAACGACTCTCACCTAGTTATTTACATGCATCCATCGTGAAAAAATATTAAAAATATTAATATGTATATGCATAACAATTGAATATGCCGTTCTTAAATTTATTCTTTAACAAATCTATCAATTAAATTTAACAATTTAACTCTTATACATAAATTCATTGATGATTAACGATATTACATAATAAACCGTAGTAACGTTAGAAGTAGCTCACCCTGCAATAATTTGAATATCACTTTGCACCAATGGTGCCGAATTAGCCGACAAAATATGTGCATAAGCATTTGCAGGGTGAGCTAATATGGTTTTGATTTAAATTCGGACCAAAGGTGCTGAATAACCGCAAGTATAAAATTTATATGTTTTAGCATCAATGGTGCAGAATAATGGAACAAATAGATGTAGAATTTTCAAAAAATTTTGCAACAATGGTGCAGGATAATCAGGTAGAATACCTAAATACAGGTCATGTAGTTTTGCACCAATGGTGTAGAATAAGGCGACAAAATAAATATCCAATTTTGACATAATTTAAATTTTTTGTCCAGAAATGATGATTCCGTAGTGTCAAATTTTTGTTACTATTTTGCACAATTAATTCGCACCATTTGCGCCACGGATTGTTCGACCCCAATGGTGCGTCTAATTTATTCAATAATGGTCATGGGGATTATTAATTAGCATCAATTGATGCAAAAAACTCGTGAACACACAGACAGACGGACGGACGGACAGGAGGAATTCAATAGCTCTCGTGCTACGCAGTGTGAGCTAATAACTAATGGGTTTTTAGGAGCGTGGGCGTTCTCAATATTTACACTTGTACATAAGCATGCTAAATTTGTTACAAGAATATCACATTATTTGCAAATTGATAAAGCTGTAATGTGCAATGGAAAGATAACGATACAGCTGCTAAATATTCATTGAAATAAATGGATGAGCGATCTATCGAGAGTTGATAAGGCTTCAACTGGCAACATTGATCCAATCACCAAAACTACTTGCTACTGTCATTTCTAGTGTTCAGAGTCATTTTGTATCCAGCACAAACATTTGAAACTTTACACACCACTGTAGGTTATTGTGTTACATATTGCATATTTTGCAAATAATTTGCAAATATGCTAAACTGCGTGTACTTGTTTCTTTTTGCACTGCTAACTTTAACACTCAGTGCCAACAAATTTGAGATTAAGCGAGGACCATCAATAACACGAAAAACTGGAAAAGCAGGACTTATCCCAGTTATTCAACAAGAAGAGTGCGGTCCATGCATAAGGGACGAAATGTGTATAATCCATCCAGGAGAATCATTTCCTTGTATTCGAGATTTTACTGCCAGTAAGTCCAGTATATATTTAGACAACGCAGAATAACGTATGCACTATGTACATAATGGTGTGATTATCTAAAAAAAAAATGATCGATTATTGATGACCAGCTACATCAACTTCATCATTATCACTGCTCGTGGACGTATACATTGCCGCTACGCTAGAGGACGACAATGAATATTGTGTCCAAATTATGGACCTAGAACTACCAAATTCTGAAGTAGAAGAAGGCGTTTCGTACTTTGCAAGATTTTATGCCACACCAAATGACACGCTCAGCAAAAAGAGAGTTCAATTCCGTGGTAGTATTGTTCATACGGATACCAGATTTGTGGAATTGTGTGCGTCCATCGATTGCTACATAATTTAAGAATGCATACTTAATTAGTATTTTAAAATGTATGTTTAATGTATGTTTAATAGTATCTACTGATATGTACATGTCTGCACCTATAAAATTACCGACGGATATTCACTTAGATATTTTGTTCCATGCATCGTATGACCACACTAATATAACTTGCCCGAATGAAAAGTATATATTTTTATCCCATTAGAATATGGGATATAAATAAATAAACCAGAAGATAAATATGTACACTCTAAATAAAAATAAGTAAAATTTATTCGAGGTTAGAGTAAAAAAGAGGATGACACAACCAAAACGTAAAATTTGTCGAGCGGGTGGATATATTTTGCACAACGTTGGACAAATTTTACCTTTTGGTTGTGTCATCCTCTTTTTTTACTCAAACTCGAGTAAATTTTACCTATTTTTATTCAGAGTAACTAATCGGTGATCGACTCATCACAAAAGGACTTCACGAGAGTACATGTAACACTACATGCGTATGAAAGATACAAATACTCATCCTCAGATTTAAAGGCGACCGGCCCCTCGTGGTTAGGTGTGGTTATGATTAAGATCATTATTTCGTACAGCATAAAAAAGTAGGTCACGAATTTCATTGTGAAATGAATACAGAAACATAAATTCTGTACGGCATCATCGCGTTGTACCCATGCCGTTCAAGTAATTTGTATCTTGAATTTGACCTTTATCTGCTCTTGAGGAATATTAGACAAATTTTGATATTATTAGCTTTAAAAATTAAAAATTAAGATTTATTTAGTTAATTGTGAATTAGTATTCCATATTAAACTCTCACTCAATTTAAATATTAATATTTGCTATCTAACTTGTATAACTGTATTTTAAGTATCTGTTACGAAATTAATCTGCATATATTGTTGAATGTCAATAAATAAGTAAAGTAGCCGTTTCTGTTAGTTCAGTGGGTTTAAGAAGTTATGAATTTCTTTCATGAACAGAGAGTATCGTACCGTAAATTTTCTGTGAAAAATTAAATAGAATTTCGTCGCTTTCAAACTTCTTATTCTTAATCTCACTCTAAATATATTCGCTTTGTGTAATTATTGAAAAGAGTTAAACTTTCTAATACATAGTAAGCTAAACATTTTTCTTCTTTCTCCCTTATTAAACCGTACATAGTACGACTTTCACTCCTCTGATATTTAGTGTGAGGTCAGACTCCTATTTACATATTTACTGTAAATTAAAGGAAAATAAAATTTCTTTCTTAAAATGTTATACGATTCTTGTGCATGCATATAATGTTATACACATTTCAAATATTACTGATAAACGTTGGGTACAGGCATTGACCTCAGTCAATTTTAAATAAATATGTCAAAGTTACAAAAATATGAGTTTTTCCAATTACATATAACTTTCCAAAAACACCTTTGCTAACAATTACATATTTAAAAAAAATGGCGTGCAACCATGAAAATATTTCCTGTGACATACCAACAAACCGATGTTAGCAAAGCCGATATTATATGTAGTATCATGAGACAAATATGTGTGTGTGCACATATTCTTGTATGTACATAAATACATGCATACGCTATTCAACAAAGCAAAATGTTTCAAGTATTTATTGAATTAATGATTAATTTTAAAATAAAATCCTTGCAAGATGATTGATTGATGATTGATGATGATTGATATTTGCATAAGCCATATGTCAGCTTGCTAAATTTTCAAAATGAACCTTGAGTTAGTAAATTTTTCTTCCGAATTTTACGAGCCAAATTGATTATTGGCTATTGCTTCCTCAAAATTGGCATTGACCCAATTAAATACCTAAAAAATATATCTACAGTACCTATAAATACAGCTTATAGCTACCATTCACACTCACCGGACCCTGGAACTCATTTACATATTTACTTACATTATCCGAATTCAATCAAAGCTTTCGACTTGTAACATGTTATCTGCAAAATATTTCATTCTCTGTGCTGCAATTCTTGCCCCAGCCGCGTGCATCTTACCTCCAGTAAGAATACATACATAAAATAACCAAATCACAATTGCTAAATGCACTGTTACCAAATTACGATTTACTATTTCAACCGTTGTATGTCAAAATTTGCAGGGCATCTGGCTGCCTCTTCCAGGAATAAATTTCGGAGGGTCCAATGCAGTGGCGTGTTCAGCAACGGTTTGCTGTCCGGCGTCCTGTGCAGCAGCGGCCTGCTCGAATCGATTGTGTGGACCTGCACCAGGAACTCCGGCCACAACCTGCATGACCACCACGGTCTCTCCGCTTTGTACGGCGGCAGGGTGCACGGCTGCGATGTGCGGAACTACGGCTTGCTCTACAACTCCGGCCAACGTTTGTCCAGCCACGTTGACAGCTGGATAGTTTCAGAGACGTGAAAATCCAGGGATGACAAATATTTAAAACCAGCTCCACTTTAAAAATATACAATTGAAACTAAATACATATGTAATTCTTGTACATTATTTAGATGTAGATTCTAACAGGAATAATTAATGACCGCAACGTGTCTAAACAAATCAGCGACTCGGATTCCTTCATACTGCCTTAAAACATGCCTGGTTCATTAATTCCATAATGCAGGATAAGCTCTTAAGGATTAACTCGAGAAAATTCGGGAAATGCTGACTAGAATTCAAGGGCCAATTATGCATACATACTGCAAGATTGTCTGATACCATGGATTCGAATGAACGGATAGTCGTAATTGCCAATGGCCTTAGCAGAGTCATTCAGCACCTTGTCCCACGAAAATTATTTACTTCGCATAGTAATTCCATAAAATGATACTGCATGCGCATGTGATATTTCGGAAAGCATTAAAATTATTTATAATCAGGTGTCACGCCATTCTCGACATCTATCAAGTCTTGTGTGATATGTGCTATCAGACACGATTTGTAATTTAGATAACAGGAGAATGTCACAACTCTCTCCTCAGAATATTCTCGACAAAGTAGGCAACTTGAATTGAGTTTGGTCAAAGCAAATTTATTTCAATTGCGCACGATTTTGGAGTCGTATTTCTGAATCATCATGTCGAAATATCGTGAGGTTTTTGTTCTTGTTGTTCTAATCGTACTTGGATATTCGAAAAGCATTGACAATAATGACGTCGTTTGGTTCCCCAATCCAAATGGTGACGGTACCCTGATTCCTGCCCACTTGACACCTTCCCCTGGGGCACAGGCTGGAAACCCTGCCGATATCCATTTCCTTCTTTACACGAAGTAAGTCGACTCGGCAAATAATAATAAAACTTGAATAGTTATTGGTTCTTAAACGTCTACTTTCCTATAAATATCTAGAAATAATAAGGACACGTACGATGAAATATTTGCTGATAATGTTGAGTCAATTGACGCATCCAATTTTATTGACGGGGCTCCTGTTAAACTCTTAATTCATGGATTTGGTAGCAATTATACTCATAGCTTTCCAAAAAATCTTCAAGTCGGTTAGATCTCATTTTGTCCAACGAATATAAATTAACCCAATGTATAATTATAGTAGTACTTTGTCTCTAAAATAGACTACGTATCGGATGCCATGACGGAAACTTATAACGTGATTCTGATGAATTGGTCAATTTTATCCGACTCCCCCGATTACTTTACAGCAGTCGCCAATGCTCAGATTGCAAGTGCTGAAGCTGCAAAATTACTAAAGGTTTTGGTGGACCTTGGAAAGACCTCTTGGGATAAAGTTCATTTAATTGGGTACAGTTTGGGGGGTCAGGTTGTCGGACAGATTGGAAACCGTATTCAGAAAATGGCAGGCATAGTTAACCGCATTACAGGTAAAGTCTGTTAAACTTATGTTTGGCAAAACTGCAAATTTGCATATTTAACATGTAATTCTAGCTCTGGACCCCGCACTTCCCTTGTTTGATGTCGCACACCCGGAAAATAGGACAAGTCCTGATGATGCTGTGTTTGTAGATGTGATTCATACGGCTGCAAATGGAATTTTGGGTAAGATTTTCCTCATCTTTGTGTATTTGGGGTTAAATGCATAGATTTATTTTTTACTAGGGTACTGGGATCCTTTAGGTCACATTGATTGGTATTAAACTGCATATTCCAATTTAATTATATTATATTTACTTGCACATATTTTATTATACTTAATTTTTTAGGTATCCCAACGGTGGACGGTAATTTTATAAATCGTACTTTACCCATGAGTGGATACATACGTATAAATGTACACATTCACGTCTTTTTGTTATCCTATATTCAGGTATCAGCCAGGATGTGGTGTGGACCCTAGTGGTAACCGCTTCTAACTTTTATGATTCCTTGAATGTTCTTTAATTGAGTATGGCCGATATAATTATAAATTATCGCACAGGTTCCTGCGCCCATGATCGAGCCCCAGCGATGTTCATGGAGTCTGTGTTTTCGCAACTTAAATTCTTCGGTCGACAATGTGAAGATTACGATTTGTACAAAAACGGCGACTGTGATAGCAATGCGCTAGAGGAAATGGGACATCATACGCCTTCATTGTTAGCACATACAGTTTTTTCAAGTTTACTCAATTGAATTTTATAATTCATTGTTTATTTCCTAGTGCCCGTGGTATTTATTTCTTGGACTCCAATGCGCAGCGCCCATATGCCCAAGGACCATAATATGTATAGTAATAAATATTTACATATATTCAGCACGGTGCGATGTGACCATTAATGACCTATTAAAGATGCATATTCAGATTAAATCCGAGTATGATGTTTGCACTGAAAAAAATCGAGCGATTGACATATCTAAAAGAATTCCAATAAGAGTCTAAGTCCAAGTGTTTATTGATAAGTTAATTCTTGCATAACTCACGTGCATATCTGCAAGTACCATAATTAAATATACACTAGTCGTACATACATAGATACACACATACGTAAATATATACTTCACAGTATAACACATGCATGAAGTCACAAAACTCGACGGCATTCTCGCATCTCTTGCTTTGTTTTCATAGGTCATGAAATACCTAATTTATTTTCTTAAAATTAAAATTGTATTCAAAAATTAAATTTTTTTAAGTCATATCCTATAATTTTTCATGTTGTAAATATGGCATAAGTCAAATCACCATAATTTTTCTCTATGTTTTATTATTTATTCAATATTAAGCACATTATTACAGTACACCCATGAGGAAAGAAAATGTGAATAATGCAAACATAGAATTTAATAAGCCCTCAGCACTCTTCATGGCAGCATTATCTGCAGGAAGGAACTCAATTACGGCGGTCCCTTTGTGTTCTTGACCATGATAATCGAGATCGTCACAATCTCCAAATGCCATCAAAACGAAGATTGATTGTCCCTAATGGTGATAGATATTCGTGAATCTGAGACATAAATTTATGTATTTCTTAAGTATTCATCCCTAATGTTGAACTTACTCGAACTACTTGGATGTCATTTCCATCCATGGGATTGAGCTGTTTTGTCCATTCCATTGTTGTAACGTTCACCTGTGTTCCACCCACGGTTTCAACTTGTTCAGTGACGCTAACAAATTCCCACGCTTTTCCTTCGTATACACCAACAATTCCGGTTGCTGATCCGATCAAGAGCTGGATAACACGAAGTAAAATATAGAATTAGCACAAAAAATTGGGATGAAATTTATGCATTATACTTGGTTGTAGGGTGTATCGACTTGATTAACGTCGACGTAGAGGAGTGAATTATTTCCTAGCGTTGTTGGCGTTGAACTTGGCCTCAACGTAGTTGGGGTTAGCGGCACCTGGCGCACACCAGCGACCTGTAATTAATTTACCTGGTGTATAAAATACATAGATAACACAGCGAAAGCGTAGATTTGAATTACCATTAATTGACCTCCATCCATCCCTCGCTTGGTGTTAATTCCAATTCCGACCCACCCCGGGGTTGTGGCCACGGATTTAAAATTGATCTTTACACAATTCTCCATGTTAGGGAATATCCGTCAAATCCGGCCTGGCCTGATTGACCTGTCGCCCAACTTATGCAAACAGCGACAACTACAACGAATTGCGTGCTAACAAATTTGAACATATTTGGGGTAATAATTCAGCAAAGTGAGAAAAAAAGAATGTGCCCAGTGAACCGAGAAAACTTATTTGACAATAATGAACGTCATACCATTTTTATATGTCGGCAATATCAACTACACAATTAAATAAACGAAAGCTGGTATTAGTTTACCGGCTTAATTTGACGAATTGTACCCGAATTTGCTCTTATCAATGGAAAAACATTTGTACCAATAAGTACCATTAATATACTAATAAAAATTTTATTACTATCAATTATTTGTGCTATCAGACAAATATTTCTGGGAGTCTAATTATTCAATATACATACGCAAAGTTACATTGTACATATTTTACCTATTCGTTTATATTTAGTCATGCAATCTTGTCTCAATAGAAAGTCATGTTTAAAGACGCATATAAAATTTTGGTGGGGGCTTTATTGATTATTTTTGGGTTTTAAGCCTGGCCTACGTTAGGCTATTATTTATATAATTGTTTATTATATAAATAAACAATTTGTGCTCCTAATTCTGCTGCAAATTCCACATTGATTTATTAGTACTACTGATCATGCTTTGAGTTGATGGGGTTTTGCGTGTATGATGAAAAAGAAAGCTATAAAATAAATTGTATCACACTTTTCTACAATCAACGAGAATATCTGTAATAAAAAGATAAGCCAATTGCATTCGCATGTAAATTTTAGCAGAAAATCAGTTCTGTAAAATTCCTCGACGCTGATAAATTATTATTGCAGTATGAATCATAAATTATTACGAAATGACCGTACCGAAATACCGACACTTTTGTCCCACGTGAAAATAAATATTTTGGCATTGATCCGTCAACTTTCATTCTTTATTAATACAATTTGCATTTTTGTAAATAAGTTAACGATTATATCAGTCCTATTGGTATCACTATTGAGTTAGTCTGCATGTAAGAAAACTATAAACTTGTACATTTTGTGCGGCTTTAGACGTCATAAACTATACATTATTTAACATGACAATTTTTTACTGTAAATTAAGTACGTATACTTGTGCTAAAATACATTTGTAGTGCAACCCGTATTGCATGCGGTATCATGCATTGTAAAAATATCCATCACTCATTTAGTCACGAAAATTAATAAAATAATTTCTATCCCTATTATCAACACTAACTTATTTATCATACTTTAAAAAAACTTTTTAACCAGTTCATTTCTTTTTCAATTTCCATCCTCAGTTTTTCCACCTTGTCAGCAGTTGGATTATCACCCCATCGTTTTATTAACGAGGCCACGTCCCACACCGCAAAGCCGACAGACGCTACTGCTCCCGTGATGGCGATTCCTGTGGCCAATCTTGCCACAGCAATTGATCCGGACGTTGCTGCAGCTGCTGAAATTGATGCTGATGCCGGTGCTGGTGGGGCCGAGTGTCCTAAAGCTTCGGCAAGTTTGGCAGCTTCCTTCGCGTCCAAAACGGCACCAACTTTACTGCTCACGGTCACCGCATCCGCAAGCATGCCTCGGGTCGAGAGCACTTTTGCACACTGGGAATCAACTCCGTGATCTTTTATGAGAATTTCTATAATTTTGTGGGCGTTGTTATCTTGGCTTGATTTCAATTGCTCGAAAAGTTGTCTGAGTTTTGAGTCGTGGTCTTCCCCAAGTTGATTTAATTCGTTTAAATATTCTTTCATTCGCTTTTCCTTGATTGCGTCGGTGGTAAGGTTGACACCAGTTCCCACTAGGACACCTGCATCATAATGTGAATGAAAAATGTTAGGTATATTGAACAGAGGACTAAAATTTTGTACAATTTTGTAAATTTAAATGTAATAATTTACCTGCCAAACCACCAACGGCAAGACCAAGGGACATCCCCGCAGTGACAGGGGCTAAGGCCAAACCACCCAAAATACTACCGACACTAGCACCAGCGGCCAAACAATTGATTGTGGTTCCTACAGTCTTTGGGGCTCTCGTTTTGTCGTGAAGATTTTCGATTTTGGTACGTAATTCGGTTAATGTACTTATCAATTTTTCGTCATGCTCAATAAACGCAATAATAGGAGAACATCCTTCTTGGTAAAATTCTGTGTCTAATCCTTGGTCAAAATCACTCTCGGAACTTGCTAATAATTCACGTTTAGACATTGTGGAATAAAATAAAATTATGTCGAAAATAACTGTATATTTATTAGAAAATAGAAAAATCGTTCACAAATCTAACTTTGTAAGAAAGTAAAGAGAGATTAAATGAGCTCACCAAAATATCACATGTTTTATAACTTTTAGATATTGCATGACAGAGTAAACGTGTTGATTGTATGTATATGTATGAGATCAGTAGTTAGCAAATAAAACGTAAAAAATCTGGCAAGCGTTAAAGAATCCAGCACGCTATGAACTGTATAATACGTGTGTGTCAGTCGATGAGTCATGCATTTCGGGCAAATCTCATTCATCTTAAGTACTGGTTCATAAATAAATAACCATTTTGTACAGATATTCGTAGTGATGATTCTATCTACTAAATTTACCTGGTCATTACATTAGATGTTCTATTATAAAAATTTAATAATTACCCTTTCAATTCCATCCTAACTTTTCACTTTTGATACATTCTGGGCACGTTATCAGTTTCCCGTGAGTTCCGTAACTCGCAATCTTTGACCATTGCTGTGATTTATATGATGGATTTTTGCAGACCTTTCTCAACGAGTTAATTGCATTTACCTTTCTCTGAAAATACTTCACCTTCTGCGTCGGATTCTACGTCCGAGTTATTGTGTTTCTTTAACTCTTCACCGTCGTGATTGTCATTCTCATTGTCGGATTCTTTCCAATCCTCGCCGAACTTATGATCGTTGATGGCCCCTTCCTCCTCTAGCAGGAATTTATCCTCTTCCAGAACAGGGTAATAATCCCCATACTGTGTGTGGCATAATTGGAGATGATTATACTTATGACTCTCAATTTCGTATTGATATTCGTACTCGTCACTTTGCTCCTCCGCATCCGACTCGGACATTTGATGCACAAAGGCTTGATTTGGTTCAACTTCGTAATATTTCAGGATCTGTTCTTCCAGCGGGTCAACTGTTGCGTCAAGGTGGGAGAAATCTCCACCCTGAAATTTGATCAACATAATTATTTCACAGAAACATGTATGTCTAAAATTTTTGTTAAAAGGTGGCCGAATCGATTTAGTACCTTGAGTCTGACTTTCACCATTTTAAAATTAAATTAAAACCTACACAGAATATTCAGTAAATTGTTCACCGCAACTGTTTTTTTTCAAAACGAGAGAAATGGATTTTCACAAGACGAGCAAGTCGTGGAAGTGACAAATGCTCCTCTTTTATTACGCACCGTCAATGTGCACTGCTCCATAACGTTCGTTTGTGTTTTTCGGTCGTTCAGTCAGTGATAAGATAAACGTTTCTTTCAGTGAATGCGTTCCGTATTCGTCTCAATTCCAAGTAATTTCATCGTGATCCATGTAAATTTAACAATGCTTTTATTCTAAAAATTACACGAAGGAGGATTATTCCTTGTTCCTCAATGTGTATTTGTAGATGTACATACAATGGCAATGAACAAAGTGAGCAATGCGATGGGTATTTAGCTTGTGTAGGTAGGTTAGTAGTAAAAAGGTGTAACGTTGGCATTAGAGATGTAGTGGAATTGCATATATAGCGATTCGCCGACACAAAATCGATTGACGTTATGCATAACATGTAAAGAGTTTAACAACGTTGTAAACAAAATGAATCTTTGACTCGACTGCTTGTTATTTACTCTCATCATCAGTTGTAGCACTGTGAATAGTAAAGTGAATGATGCAATTTGAGGACCAGTGAAGTACCAATGCAGCGGTAGTGAATATTAAATATTATCCGATGTGTATTTAAATTCACCATTCAGTAGTCAATAAGATCGGAGAGAAAATCAAACTTCATGCAGTTTAATTTTTTCGATTTAATTTTCTTAGGATTTGTTTCGCTGCATTTTTTTGTTATATAATATTTGTATGCCATAACTTGCGTTTGGCTCTACTGTCTTCCTGGAACTGCCAAAATTTACTTCCTTGATTTCAATTTCTGAATCAAATGTTACTGAAACTTTTAACACTAGCCACGTTTTGCGTTCGTTTGTTTGACTAACATACGTATCTCTATACATAGATAAGATCTAGAATTATTCGAGTCAGATAAATTAGATGGACATGATGATCCCAGATGTCTGTCTGGTGGACAAGGTGAAGAAATGTAAGGTCTAACTTATTGTTAGAGGTCCTGCGCTAAATTGCATAATTATTAATATCGAAGAAACTTGAAATTTTAGGCTCAATTAATTAAACTTTAGTTCTTTCAAAATAATGGACATTCCCAAATATATTTATTATGAACGCATTTATTTTATTACGATTAAGTGAAACATTGCAATTTTCACTGTAAATACATAGGTATTACATATGTAGTACACACGTATGTTATTTTCTATACGTATCCAATAATTTTACAATAATAATCCATTACCTATCCAATAATTTGTAAAAAGTATATTTATTTGTATGACTTTGCTCTTTTTTACGAGCCCTTATTCAGGAAATATATTTCATAGAAATAGTTACAGTTGTTACCCACACTAATATTATTTAGTAACCCAATACATATGTATTTGTATATCTATTAAGATTACAAACCTCAGTCAGTCCCCTATGCAAACTTGATTTGGAAAAAATTCCGCTATAACTTTTTTCAACAGGAGTAACTTCCTGAGCTTTATACCAAACTTACTTATCATTAGTACCTATTAATTTTAATATTTATTGCCCAACTTTCAAGTTCACGTCCTCGGATTATTTCTGTTCCCAAATTGTTCTCGATATCACCTTGACACATATCTAGACAACTATTGATTTGTTTAACGTCCTCTACGTCCATACGAGTCGTAGCTTTAACATTTCCAGCAAAATCAAAGTTAGGGTCCATCTAAACAGAAATTAGATTGTTTATCCATTTATCAATCATATCAATAAATCAATTTTTTAACTTACATCTCCATCCTCATCTTCGGAAGATTCACTTTCATAATCGTCATCAGTATCCTCCTCCTCCTCATCATCGTCATCATCAGATCCAGGGAAGTCAAACTTAATCGTTGCTGCGTACTTGCGACCGTCCTGTGGTCGCCCATGAAATGCGACCCAGACATAAACCCTGTCCTCAACTTGTTTCGCTCGGACCAGAAACTTGGCATTGTCCACTTCCAATATTACGAGGCTTGTCGATCCATCTGTCACAATCAGTAATTTCTGTTACTCTAAGCATGCACAATTTTGCATATGTACATATCTATGTATTTACATGTAAAGTTGTAAACATACCTCGAACCAATTTGCGATCATCCTTTACATAATAATTATTCCAGTGAGGGGATCCTTCGAAATGTTTAACCTTATGAGTATTTATCAGGTGCACCAGGTATTCCGAGAATCGTATCTCAGCATTGTTACACCCGTCCGTTTTCAGGCAACATTCAATCGGCCTGCAAAATTGAAAGTAATGATTTTTTTTCTCGTTTTACTAATACATGTTATTTGATGTTATGCTAATGCTTAATTTTTAAATAGCTTTCAAATCCTTACCGATAATGACAATTAAGCTCATGCTGCTGTGCTCGATAGGCTGTATTTCGATACGTACAACCTTCTGTGGCGTACTCGCAGGCAATCAGGCTGGTAGGTCCAGGGTTGTTATTGCTCGGACTGACCACTGTGTAAGAGGAATTGTTTCTCGGTAATCGAGCAGAGGCCTGGACGATGGGAATGGTCCTGGTCACCACCATTGACCCCACTTGTCTCCGCGTATCTTGACCTTGTCGCCTTCTCCGTTCAATAGCGACAAGATTTTCCGCTAACAAGTTGCGGGATAATCCTTGCGAAAATGAAATTCGACAAACGGGGCACTCATGTAAACGAGGGACATGCGAGGCGCAAATGTTGTGACCGTTTTTGCATTGTTTAATTCCACCAGTGCACATGTCAAGACAGACGCTACATTGCAGTAGTGAGGACAGGCTGGTACCTTCCAAATTGTTAACAGAGCTGTCAGCCATTGTGTAAATGGAGAATATCTATACAAAAAATAAGTATGAGAATTGTTTATTAATTTTGCACGAGAATAGTTTTAATTCATGTTCAGCTAACAGTGAGGCTCGTCCTTAAGTTAAATATGTTTTAGGGGAAGCACACAGTTTAAATAACACGATTATTAGACGCAATTATCTCAATCAGTACACATGAAATGAGAATTTACAGAATTTGTTTCAAGCAACTATAAATTGTAACTGTGAAATGAATTGTCTAAATGTAAAGTGAATGAAATTCAAATTGTATAAAACATGAAATGAAAAACATGGATATACCTTTTTCCAAGAACTTTTTCCGAAATATTGTAGCAAATGTCAAATGCTAGAATGTCGCCTCACCAAATCAGTAGTGATAACTAAATGAGCATTCACGCAAGCAAAGAGGGTTAGCAAGAAAAGGCCAAACTTATTTTTTACATGAAACGTTGGCTAAAGGATAAATGAATGTGAAATGACTCTAATATAAATATAAGGCTAACTAAACAAATGCACACATACCACATACGAAGCATAATATCTGCATGCAGTAAAAACGCTGGTACACGAACTGAATTTTGTATTGTAAGTATAACTTGTTCATTTGATTGCATTGCACTAACACAGATACATATGTTCAATGTTCAATCTCTGCATTTATGAACTCATCCTTCCAAACCAACAAGATCAGGTTTAATTTATATCGAAACGTTCATGTGTAAAATGTTTTGCAAATTTCATCAAGGCTACGAGTAGTCCAACGATAAGTTTTTAAGATTAAAATAATTGATTTGATCAGGTATTATCTAAGGAACTTGATATGCGTATATTCGTTGCTTCCAGCAACTTTATTATGAAGCAATTTTCATGAGAGCTTCCATACAACGAACAAAGGTTTCGTGTAAGCTTTAATGTTGAAAATATTATTATTTACATTTTGCATGCATATATTACGTCATTCATATAGGTATGTACATAGTACATACATACATACACAAGATGTAGGGTGTAAAGTCCAGAGAATAACCGGCAACGAGTTATAGTACATTTATCTCGTACTCAACTTTGTACATATATTTATTTCATGCAGCTGGATACAGAATCTGGATGGAAATATATAGAGTTACCTTTTACCTTACTTACTAATTACTATACTTTTGCAGCATTTACTCAAGTTGAAATTTTTACTTTCTTGAGGAGCTCATCAATATTTAAGCTATATGTATTATTGGTATGCATTTCAAATTCGTCATCTCAATTTGATAATATTTTAACAGTTTATTGTTTCCATTTAAACAGTGAGAAAATATGCAACGAGTCATTCCACTAGTTTGTTTCACCACAAAAAGACAGTTTTCCTGCACATTTCCAAGATTTGCCGGAAAGAAGGCTGCACTTATCGTGGGGGCTGGAGACAGCACTGGGTCCGCTATTTCGAGAGCTTTCGCCAATGAAGGGTTCCACATTTGTGCCGTTCGTCGCAACAAGGAGAAACTTTCTCCTCTCATTTCTGAAATTAGTGGGAAAGGTCAAGGCATAACAGGACTTGGGGTGGACTGCAGGAAAGAAGACCAAGTTCAAGAGATGGTTAAACAAATCGAGACTGACATTGGTCCAATCGAGGTCGCAGTGCACAATATCGGGGCCAATGTTCACTTTGGAATTACTCAAACGACAGCTCGTGTTTACTACAAGGTAAATATCAGAGATCGAAATTTTATATTTTCTTCAGAAATAGTGCTTTACTCATATTTTGATCTGTGTAAGGTGTGGGAGATGGCGTGTTTCTCTGGATTCCTTGTCGGCAAGGAGGTCGCCACCCGGATGCGGGAGAGGGGTGCGGGGACAATAATTTTTACCGGTGCGACCGCCAGTGTGAGGGGAGGCGTTGGATTTAGTGCATTCTCAGGTGCAAAATTCGGTCTGAGGTCGCTATCACAATCCATGGCGAGAGAGCTGGGACCTGAAGGGATTCACGTGGCGCATGTCGTGGTGGACGGAGGGATTGACACGCCGTTCGTCTTTGAGAATTTACCAGGAGCTAAGGAATTAGCCAAGATTGGAGGACTCCTTAATCCTGATGAAATCGCGCAGAATTATATTCATTTATTCAAGCAACCCAAGTCTGCTTGGACACAGGAGATGGATCTTCGACCTTATTGCGAAAAGTGGTAGATTTGTTCTTCTCTGTTTAAGATACATGCGTGTAACTCAATAAATTTTGTTTGGAATATGGCTAATCGAATTTCTGTATAATTCGTTACATGAAGTCAAATTTTGTACAGGAATTTCATAATGACCGAAACAAACATAATTACATATTTCCATTAATTAATAAAGAGATTTATTTTCAGTAAAAAGCCTTATTTATTTAATTAGTTTGCACTTTATTTTTTAGTCGAAGTGAATCGTGCAGGTATGTACATTTATGTATCATGCATCTCATCCTCAGATATCCACATACATATATACATACAGACATATGTATGTATAGTATGTGTGTACATACATATTGAGCCAAATTTTGCATGACAACTTTATTACTGTATCAATTTATGCATACAACACACAGATATTAAAGGATGAACGTGTTAAATTTGCTCTTGAATTGTTTTTTGCGCAATATAATGTCAGTCGTTCTTCTCTTTCAGTTACTACTGCATTTCTTCCTTGCGACATAAACAGTACCGTACCAACCGTGGTATATCGTGGTACCAAATACCAGGCCCGGGGCCCGCAGGGGCCCGGGCCGGGTCTCTTGCTGTACACTAGATAAAATGAACTTTTCGTGTCGACGATTTTACGAATAATTTATTTAAGCTTACAAGGGACACTCACAATCTGTCGTTTGAGTCCAGGGTACCCACCATGTTTTTTAGAATCTACTAGGACCCCAGATGAAGGATTCATTCTTATTTCCGTGTAAAACTCATATTTGGCGCCATGGCGTGGCGCCAAACTTAAAAATTTGCATTTTCGACCAATTTCAAACCCCCATAACTTTTGCAGTTTATGTCGGATTTTTAAAATTGTATGCTTAAAATGATCAGAAAAGTCGAAATTTTAGAGAAAAAAATAAAAATACAAAAATTTTAATTTTTGAGATATTTTTAGCATTTTTTCGACGAACCCGAAATTTCGAAATTTTGCGAAAAGTTAAAAGCGATAATTTTGGAAAAAATTTCATAGAATACGAAAGTTGAACTCCTTGTCATGATTTTTGCCAAAAATTTTGAAAATCCGTCCAGGATTTCAAAAGTTATGGCGGTTTTAAAATGAAAAACCATCAAATTTGGCGAATTTGGCGCCACGCCATGACGCCAAATATGAGTTTTACACGGAAATATGAATGAATCCTTCATCTGGGGTCCTAGTAGATTCTAAAAAACATGGTGGGTACCCTGGACTCAAACGACAGGTTGTGAGTGTCCCTTGTTAGTTTTAAAGTAATTTATTCCAAACAAAAGAGTAGTATTGCATGAGTTTGATTAGTTAAATATTGTGTGAAGTTATTTTTAACTTCGTCAATTTTCATTTTATTGAATTGTAAATAATTACATATTTATAATCTGTATTTGTAGCCGACCAGAGCAATTTAACAATGCATATTAAATATATATGTAGTTATGCAAGGGAATCTAAAGTACTGTCCCACCAAGATCATGTGAAACTGGTCGCATTTGACAGATAATTTCGTGAAACTAACAGATTTAATTGAACACTTGGTTCTAATTATAAGCGAAATACGCAATTATGGAGCGGAGACGGTGCAGTTTTGCAGGCTCATATCCTAGTTTAACCAGGATAGAATGCCACGATATTAATGTAATATCGTGGCATTCTATCTACATATATGTGTATATTTAGAGCATTCTGTTTTCCAAGATTTGGGTACTGCATTTGACTAACTTTGATTTAGTTTCTTCAAAGCTTAATTTAAGCTGCTTAAAACAAATTAGCAAAACAACCTCCACATTTTGCAAATTTTTGAATTAATAGTTAATACAAATAAGTTAATACAAAACAAATAATACAATTTAAATAATTTTTCAATTATGCATTTTCTTGTTTGTTTAAAATTTTGTAATTGTCTACGTAATTTTTTGAGATTATTGAAATTTTGTGAAATTCTGAAACTTTTGAAATGATGATTTTGTCAATGTTATAAATAATTTGCAATTGTGAAAATTATTTCAAGTTTTGAACAAAATCTAAAAGATTATAAATCACGAAATGTACATTCGCTGGATCCAACTATAGATAATCTTGAGGTGGAGAATAGAGTTTTGCTCCTACGCTGTGAATTACTCATTTTTATCGCACTATTGCAAAGTAAAAATCTCCATGGGACGGAAAATTTATCTGTTATCTCAAAGCATAGTGAAAGAAACCAAAGTTTGTATTTCTCTGTCCCGAAGAGATTTGTGCTGTGCAATAATTGCGGAATAATTCATTTGAATCTCACGGTTCTATGATAAATTTCCAATTTCCTTAAATTCTTGTTGTCCGTATAAAAAGGATTTAGAATATTCTGAATAATTTACTTTAATGCCAGCGACGAATTTATTCCTGCAGACTCATATTTTTACATTGATTTTTAATCTGAGCATTTTGTTGGACTTGACAGTTATTTGAAGACAGAACGCTGGTTTCATAAAATCTTTTCAAAATTTTGCATTATGTGATTGCAGAAATCAAAAATGTATATTCGTGGAATTAAATGGGATGGGATTTTCGAAATTGCATTTTCGTGGTACCTAATTTTAGTCCTAGAATTTTTTGAAATTCAAAAGCTGACAAACGACAAATAAATTCTAAAAAATTTTGACGGCAACTATGTAAATACATATGCCACAATACTGAATACAGAGCTAGAAATATGAAACTTACCTATTCTTGTAATTAAATTTTCTATTTCAATTCGGCAAATAAAAAAATATTTGTATGAAAAGGGCGATATATGCATGAACTTTTAATTAACCTCTTGGTATTGTATAGCCAAAATGAATTAAATAATATCGAATATATTGAACTCATGAAAGGGCCCGGTGCCCAAAAACATACCAGGCCCGGTAATTTCATGGTACGGCTCTGGACATAAACGTTTTTGCTTTAATTAGTGAAACACAATTCTACCTTACCTTTTTCAGAATATACTAAAAAGTAGCTAATTTCTTTTTAAAAAATGGTGAAGGTAAAGTGCACGGGCTTATTTGCAAAAATCACACAACCCATCACAGCCGGGGAGGTTTGGAAATGGGGACCAATTCCCTTGGAAGACAGAGAAAGAACACCCTTGAATTTAATCCAGAGGGGAATTGAAGAGAAACTTATTCCGCAAGAGCCAGAATCATTCACTCCATCTAAGTTTGGGGCGAATCTTCAACAATTTTCGAAGGACAGGGAGGAACAGGCCCAATTGTACTCAGAATATGACGTAGACCCAATATAACATAGGACTTACCATGAGAATAAACCAATCAAAATTTCTAGCCAAGAAATTAATGAAGCAATTAAAGAAGAAGAACGATACCGTTCTAACCCTAAGAAGCATCACGAACCGTGTGAAGCTTTGGAAAGTGCGATTTTGGATGCAGAAATTCAAGAATGGTTGAAGAATGGAAACACGTAATTTTTTGTTAATAGAGAAATTAAAATTTCCATTGGCAAAGGAAAGCAGTTTGTACTAAATAAACGGCATACTTTTTTATAGCTTGTTTTTAGGCTCTCAACGACCTTTGAATATCATCATGAACAACGCTTCGTCTAATCGTGGGTATAAAATTACACTGAAGAAGATTTCGGCCCAAATCTATGACATGTTTGTCGACTCTCGGAATTTATACTACTCTCTCGACGACACTTATCAGAAACGCACAGCGATTGGAAAAATTGCGGAGGACAAAATTCTCCGTAAATCAGGTATAAGACGAGGGTATTGTACTTAAGAAATATTTACATATACCGATATGGTTGACCCCATGGGCGGTGATGCGCGTCCATGGCGACAGTTTGGTCGTGGCCCGATATAAATGAGGCCAATTTCGTTGGATGGGTTGGTGCTTACGACACCGGAAGATAACCCTAACCGACATGAGTGCAACCTGGCGCACGACCGGCAACAAGTGTCCCCTTCGCTCTGTACCACGATTCTCTCTGACCGTAGACTGGTCACGCACATAAAAAGAGAACGCAGAGCCATCTTAGTCAGGAAGTTTGGGACCCCGGTGACCTCTGTTGTAGTCCCATGTCACTGGCAAAATAATTCACGATTTTTATACAGTACTCAATGCAGGCAACAGTGCCATGGGTGTAAAAATTTATGGGATATTTTACATTGATCTTACCCCAACAATTCGGTAATTGTGACTTGACTAATGTTTTTAATGGAAGCATTCACAGATATACATATTACATAATTGTTAATTGTTTAGAATTTAATACTCGAACTCGAGTTAGTCAAGCTTATAAAATCGATTACTTTGATTTATACTACATTGAAAATAATATACATGCATATGCCTAAGTGCAGTTTATATGTTTTACAGATTTCTTTACCACTCGGAGATAGACTATGGTAATAACTGTGGTAACGTTGGACTTGAATTGAAGACAAAGGCTTTTTTCCTTGGTGAAAATGAGGAGCGTGAGAACTTTTTGGAATCAACCAAACTTTACAGGTTACTAAACCAAATTTTATAAGTTCTGGAAAGTCTTTCCTCAGAATCTTTATGGTACTTTGAACTTGCAGCTGCAAGCTTAAGGAGATTTACTGCAAAGCATTGCTGTCTGGACTGAACACGGCTGTCATGGCGATAGTTCAAGCAGAAACACGTAGCAGGACACGAAATAATGGTAAAAACTTTGTCATTAAGACTATGCGGTTTTACAATACAGGAGAAATTCCCAAAAGTACAAAAGGTATTTGGACCAAGGAAGAAATTGAGCAAGAGCTGCAATATTTTCAAGAATTTTTGCAAACCGATCAATTCACTCAAGAGACTAGTGACCCAAGAAAGAACTTGTTTGAGATTGTTGGCAAGAAAGTTAGAGGGGGTAAGACTTTGATAATGATACACTAAAATTTGTCAATTACGCCTTTAATGCCCAATGATGCCCAATGATGAAGCTAAACTACTGGCTAAAATTATGTTTAATAAAATAGATTAGTTTATTGCGAAACAAATAATTAACTAACTCGTACTCCACTTACATTTTCGTACAATAGAATGAAACCAATTCAAACTGTACGAATCCAAAAATTATTTTAGTTATGCCTATTTACGTGCAATATGCATAACTCTTTCATAAGTTATGTATGTACCTAGTATATGAATACGAAAAATTTGCGACAAAAGTCCTTACATATTTACCTAAACTAAATATGATCAAGTTAAGTTATAACAATTCATGGTTTAATGATACATATGTATATGTAAATTCTATTCTTGCTAACTATGCATATCGGGACATTAAACATTTTTAAACTATGTAAACTAATGAAAGTGATTTGCGTCACAATAAACAAACTTGATTAGCACATCCCTAAAACTTCTCGACGCTAGTAAACATAAATATTTTATTTATTATAAATATTAAACATAAATATTATAAATTATTTATTTAGTATAAATAGTGTTATACATAAGCACTTTTTACATACATTCCAACTTTTTTATCATAACATAAGGTGTATCTTCATACTTTGAAAGAGTTAACCTGATCATAGCTTGGAGGATTATCGCATCCAGAAACAGATAAGCCCCCGACTGTGGTAACTGTTCTAGTAACCTGACCATGACAACTGTTTCCAAAATCAGTCTCAATTTCCTTCATAAATTGAACAACAATATAAATCCCAATAAAATGGAAGAGGATTGACGTAATACAGAAACCGTAGTTGAATGCGTTCGGACCGAAAGCTATGACAATCATTGTCGACATGGTAAATGTGGTAGTCACATTACGCCAAAATCGAGCTGATGCACTTGCTTTTTTGGCGTCGTCAAACACAACGTGCACAGCTCTAAGGAGGCGCACATCCGCGATAAGCTGAAAAATTATGAAAACTGATGACAAAATAAAAGCAATCCAGAGCAAGAAGGCGGAAAGATTGCGGCCTTCCAGATCAAGGCCTTTCGTGTTCTCGTTGACCACATCTTCGACGTTGATATTATCTGGAAGGCTGTTCCCAAGACTGGACCGTTTCGTTGCAGCGAGTGCGGAACATAGAATCAAAATTGGCTTCCAGATGCTTAAACTGGTCAATAAAAGATCCATGATGGCAACAACTTTTGCCATCCATCGGAATTTAAAGTATCCCATTTTTTACTAGAAAAATATTATAAAATATGAAATATTTAATGATGAAGTGTACTTAAAGAAGTAAGTGTAAATGTACTTAGTAATTAATTACATGTTAACTAAATTCAAGTCGGCCTACCTCTCCGTCCTTACTGAGGTTGTAAAATAAAGTGCATGTACTTCCTGTGAGATCGACTAAAGAACTGAACTCATCGAACTGAATCGATCAAAGTAGGAAGGTGGGGATAAAAAAGAAAATATGGTTGACGTTTCCATAGGTTTCTGATGAAAAGATGAGTCGCACAAACGTCAAGTAGAAAAGGTTGGCATTATCATTTTTATTATTATGCTAATCCGAAGTTAACTCATTGTCACATGTGCAATTATTCATTCCACAATAAGGAATTCATGTGATTTCAACTAATTCCATGGCATCGGATGCGATTATCAAGACAGGCACGGCACAGTAAATTATACACACCCTTTTATTTACGGCTATGGCGAATGAAAAGAACCAATACGTTTGCTGCGTCTGGTTTGAAACATATTTAATTTTGCATGAGAATCAAGTGTGAAAGCAATTCGTGTATAATTTTGACATCTGGGTTGAATTATATAATTTTATTGATTTGAAATAGTTGAGTCAGGTGAGAGAATAAATGTATTTGCGTTTAAATATACTTAAGTTAACAACACAAATGTTATAGCTTAACTATGGCGCAAGTTACCAAAGTAGACACGTAGCTTAAGTGTCATAGAAAACGTTTGCAGCAACAGCAGGATGATATTGTCCCACATTGATAAATTTTTTAAAAAATTTGTTGCTACTGATTTTCCAATTTCGTAGTCCAGAATTACGATGCGATAGGTAGGAACAATTCATCTAAGCATCAATTCAAATTTTAAATTTATTATCTAATAATATACAATTATGGCATACTTACAAACTGGTTGGTTTATACATATGTGGAATGAAATGATAACTTATTCATAGACCATTTAAATCTTTCTTTCCTCAGAATTTACTGAAAATTTATAAATTCATTGCATACTGATTATGACACAAAATATATAAAACTAGAAACCAATTTACTGCGAGTGTTGTGCAAAATGATAAATTATCAAAATGCTACAGAAAAGGAAGAAACCATTTAGCCGATGTATCTCTACGGATTTTAAAACGATTTGTCACCAAACAATATAAAATTGTCTGTTGATTTCTTGATTCTTGTTAATATCCAGCGACAAATTATGGTTTTAATTTTTGGATACTTATTAATTATCAATAGTCAAATTATTCTGTACATATTGTATGTTCCACATAAAACCTTACGTTATGGTCACATGAGTCATTTTTCACGGAGTCAGGGTATTAAAGAAAACTATTTCAAAGTCATTTTAGACAAAATATCTATTAGGGAAACTTAGAATTTAATTTGGTTTTAAATAAGCATAAACACATTTCTAATCCGCAATGGATTTGTGGATAAAAATAAAGTGGATCTATCTATTGCATTGTCTTCAAATTCGCGAAAAATAGCATAGCATTAAGCAAACTATAGATACTAACAGAAATTATAAAGTACGAATACGAGCATATGCATTTAGATATTTAGGTTTTGTAGTCATAATTCATAATTTAGTAATTTTTAATGTCGTTTACATCCAGTAATTAAATTGTGGAAACTTTTCCGAAAAGGATTATGATATACCTATGTATGTCTATGTATGTATGAATGTACATTTTGGGTGACACATCGTTCGCACAATTCGTAAGGTTAGGCACACGCAAAACAGTAAATATTTCTAGTGATGCGTAGCCATAATACCACATAATATCCCACTTAAGGAATATAAATCTCCTAATTATCTCGAGCTAGATGGCTTTTGTTATTCCCTGCCAACTATTAAAGGTAAATGAATCAGACCACATTTACTTTGGGTTTTCACCATCGTTTTCTCATGTACTAGGAAACAAGTTAATCGCATCATGACTCAAATTTAAGAAAGCAAAGGAAACGCTACCAAATATATTTCTTTCGTCTCCGATCTGTAATTCATACTTGGAACTCGTAACGGTGACACGGATGCCTTCTTGCAGGACTGACGAATCCTCAAGCTTTTTCGTCATTCAATATTCGGTATATATAGCATGAATTTGGGGTGGTCAAGCATGAGTCGAGTTCTGGAGGTGATAGTCAAACTTAAAGACTAAGAGTTCCAAATTTAAACAATCTTTCTGAAAATCGGTAAGCTAGGAAAATTAAAGTGCAATAATCTTTAGTGAGAAAGAGAATTTTAATTAATTTCTAAATTTTATTTTTTCAAGTCTACTAGGATCAGCCACAGTATTCAAAATGAGAACATTCGGATTGTTATTTCTTGTTGTATTGGCCATCATTTTGTGCTACATGGTGTGTTTTTCTGAAGCTCAGTTTCCTGGATTTTTCAGACCAACTTTCTACAGACGCCGTGGGAATTTTGGTGGACACCATACGAGGGAAAGCGATTATGATTTTAGAGAGAGGAATAGACAGTATGGATATGCTGCGATTCTCGGGTGAAAACTTTTGACGGGGAGTACAAATTATATGTATTTTGTATTTTTAATGTGATATTTGTTAGTGTTGTACTATAATGAATGATTGAGAATCGAATGCTTGTACGAAAATTATAAAAGTATTTATGCACTTTTGTGTCTAAATGAAATAAAATATAAAAAGTGCACTTCACACAGCCTGAAGGATATGTACATATTTGTATGCATATATTAGTACGTTGCATATAATTAACCCTGCTTCAGTAAGACAACTACTGAAGTTTTATGCAGAATTTTCAACATGTTTGACAACAAGAGAGTATTTTCTAACAGGAAATTTCAAAACATACTATTTGGGTGCATACTAGGAACCCACGTATTACAATAAGCACAGCTTCGCGAATGTTACATGATTATTTCTTACCAGATAAATAAAAACAGCACATTACAAATAGAACAATTGCCACATCACCTGTGTCATGTGTACAAAGGATAATACACGACCTGGAGCATAATATAGCAATTTCTATTTTCCCATTATCAGAACAACTGGTATCTGCAGATCATGACCTGACAATCATTCCGAAGTGGTGTAGAACTTTGTGAATAATAAATCGGAATAAATGCATATTACTTTTGCTAAAATAAGACCCACTACATTTCAATTAGCCCACATATGTAACAGGATTATTAATACGTACAATTTTTGGCAAGCTATTTCCAAACAAACTGCCAATCTAGGTAGGCATCATTATTCTTTGATCAACTACATTCATCCAAGCTTATCACATCTTTCAAGGTTCATTCATCCCAAAATGATTCTGTGTAATAGAGATTCGAAGATAACCGTTCCAATTTTTCTGGTATTTTTAACACGAATTAAAAAATAATAATTGTGCATATTTAGCATTGTATATAAATATGTATTTATGCACGTAAGGTTTCTTTCATAAGTGTTGCGACTTCGATCCCTCTCGATACCACACCTGTTAAAACAGTAAGATACAAAATACTGCAATCCCAAAAAATCCAATTAATGCTCATTAATTGAACCACTTCATAGCAACTTCGCCAAGAAAGTGCTGCAATTGAAGCAATAAATGCAGCCGAGACTCCCTCAGAAACATTGGAAGGAGTTGCAGTTCTTCTTGCCAGTATTTTCAAGGGACTCTCGGACATCCCGGTGAATGCGATCAACGCTGCCAAACCGAAGCCACAGGAGGCACCAGTACAGCAAGTTGTCCCGGTCACAACGGGTCAAAATGTTGCACCCCAAATTCAACCACAAGTAGAACCAGTTCGAATTGCTGCTACTGCTCAAGCAGCAGTTATTACACCATCCACTCCAGCGATAACTTCTGCTGCCCCCACTTCTCCTCCCTCCACCGCCTCGCCTGACGAGGAAGTTACGGAGATTGTGCCTGAAGCCGGTGAAGATGTCGATGAAGATAATGAGGCCAAGATTTAGACCAAAAACTGTGGTGATGTAACAAAAGAAATCTATAATATAAAGTTATCAACAAAATGTGACAACGCAAGTGCTTGTCTGACAAATTTACAATAAAATCAATGAAGACTTTGATATTTAGTCTGCAAAATTAAATACATTTAATCATTTCGATAAATCACATGAATTCTCAGTAAATTGTACGATAAAGGAGCAAAAATACTTATGAATAAATTGCAATCGTATCTATTTAGCTATTTGAGAGACAAATTGCCAGTAAGGAACAATATCGATGAAATAGCATTAATGTTTCTGGTAGGGAAGTAAATTCAGCAGTTTCTTTCGTATCAAGCCCTCTTTTCAAAGTTTTTATTATTCATTAGTGCAAATATAAATGCAAACGAGTATAAGCTACTAGACATTAATTATTTTGTTAATAACCGTAAACGAACAACTGTATCAAATAATAAAGTTACGACATATTCACCCTTTTAACATACTTGTCCATTTCCCCCAAATCACAAGGGTTTTGAAGTAAGGGCGATATGCCTTCAATCAAAGTTCTGGGATAATTTCTGTAGTTAGGACTGCTAGTGGTGGGTGGACGAGGGGTCGGTGTTCCTGGTGGAGGTGTTCCACCCACACACTCAGGTACGTTAAACTGCCAATCACAATCTTCAGTTCTCTATGGGAAGTAAAAATGGTTCCGAGTTCAAGTGTTGTAAAATGTGGTAATGTTTTTCTTCGCGAATTTATGTACATAGTAAAAATTATAAACTGAATTACTTAACAAAACCTTACCGGATTGTAAAACAATGGGGGTGGACATTCCATAAGACACGGACGTCTTCCAGGATCACAAATATAGAAGAAATTACAGACATATGGATGAGCCAAAGGTCCCTCGTAACCTTCTGGGCAAACCCAATTGATTGGATCGTCCTAATTTTAAATTAAGTATTAATTTCTGGAAAGTTATTGTTTCTAATTTTTTAAATTTTAAATGTAAAATCTAAATACGTACCTCTTCCGTTGTGGGCTCTGGTGTTGTAGTTGGTGTGGTTGTAGTTGGGGTGGTAGTTGTTGGTGTGGTCGTTGTTGGCGTGGTCGTTGTTGGGGTGGTGGTGGTGGTGGGTGTGGTTGTTGTCGTTGGTGTGGTTGTCGTAGTTGTAGGACTTGGCAAGGTGAAAATGACGCAAGGAGTCGTACTGTAGTAAAAAAAGTGACCAGAAATATAAGTAAAGCTATTCCATTAATCGATTCAACTAACTCAAATTTTAAAATAAATACCTTTCATGGTTACACACAGTTAGATCCTGATCCCACACAGTTCCTGGGGCACAACACTGGCAAAAAAAATTTAAATTTCATTAATGTGCTACATACATATGTATATTTTGCAAGATTTGCATACCTGCGCCTTGGCAACGCCATTTGTACATTCTAAAAATTTTCTACAGTCCCACGGGTATGGATGATAAGTTGGAACATCGGGTTCCCAAATGGGACAAAGCCCATGAAACTATGGAACAAGACGCAATTTATAAGATACATTAATTTTAACACGCATTTACAAAATTTTTAAACGGAAATACCTCATCTTCTATGATTCCGCACTCTGGGTTTTGTGTCGACTGAGAGAACCCGAATTGCACTAAAGTTATAAAGAGACTCGTGAATATTAAATTTTTGAATTGTTTCATGGTGAGATTTTACGATTGACAATGTGAATACTGCGGTAACGATAATACAAATTTTGTATTGTGGTGAGGAATTGATTGAGGAATTTTCATATCGTTCAGCTCCTTATAAAGATAACCCAACGGTGTCGAGAATGATCAATCATACCAGTCAAGATAATCCTTCTGTAATTGACATTTTTTTAAGGTGTAATAATACCACCAAAATTCTTTGATAAATTGGCAGATCATTTTTATTGTCATCATTTGCGTCAATCGATTGCAAAAAATCCTGAACTTTGGTGATAACTATGGGACCGCCTTATTATAAATATATTTATCATGACAGCAAGCAAAGAATGCACGCTTCAATCAAAGACTCGAATTTGGTTGAAATCAATTGAATGGTAATGATGAATATGAATTTGCAAATGCAAAAATAGGGAGAGGCGTATGCAGCGATTATTTTTACTGAATTATGTGGTTCCAATATATGTAAATAAATTCCAGTGATAATAATAGCTTGCGTAATGAAACTAATTGATAGTGTCATCAATAATCATGATGTAGTCAAGCATTCTGGTTTAATCGAGTGATTTTTTAAACGGAATTCGCTATACAAGGAATTGCGATTGATTTGAAATATTTAGAAAGACCATGGAAAATTATGATTACCTAATATTTATTTACCAACATCAAAAGATGCGGCATTTCGATAATTGACATGATTTTCAAATCAAACCCGACAGAAATTGGAACATAATGTACAGCACAAAGATAATACAACATTGTGGTTAAAAATCATGAAATGCATACAAGATCGATAACGGAGCACTTCGAAGTTGGCCAAGGTTTGTGTAAACTTATTAATTTTTTGTGATAAAACTATCGATATTTGTAACAAATGAGGAAATAATTAGTTTCGAACAGCTTAAATGACAAGTCTGCGGATGTAAGGTTAGTTGGGTGAAATGCCAATGCCACCCGTCCGTTATGCAATAAAGGTTGTAAGTATTCATTTAAAATAAAATAATTATTTTATATCTATAAGTATTATTGTTATTATTATTCGTATCATTATTGTTTAGTCGTACTATGATATTTTTACCGTTTTCCTTGCCATTGGAGGCACAGCCACGTTTTGCACAAATGCATTCGTAAATATAGAGCGAAGGGCCATAGATTGAAAAACACTCATCTGCATTCGATTTTGATTTCGATGTAGTCTCGTCTCAAAATTGAGTTCACATTCATTAAAAAAATTAATTTTAAACTCTCTTCTACAAAAACATATGCAGTTCATTTCCGTACATGTATACCCACATACTTGTAATGTCCGTGATTTATAAATACATAATGGTATGTTATGAGTATTAAATGATTCATTGCTATGAAAAATAAAACCACCCAGTTTTTTAACCATATGCATATTATGGTCATCCAGTTGTTGAAATTGATTATATATATTTCATATTTTGATCCGCACGTGTCTTTTCGAATTCCTACGATCTAAAAAATTTGACAGTCCACTTTAACTACCTAATATTATGATCAAATTAAAATTATACTTTCGTGCAAAAGTTTCATTGTTTCATTGCAAGTTTCATTGCAAAAGTTTCACCGAATGACTCAAAAGAGTCATTCGGTTAAGCTTTACTAATATAGTAAATAATCATGCAGATTGCTATTAGTTTTATTTTACCTACAAATCGACAGACCTGGCATTTTAATAAATAAAAAATTAGCCTGGTAAAAAAGTGGAATCCTCGTGACCTCTTTTCATTTTTTCAATTGAATTTTGAATTATTCTAATATCGTAATTTCTATTTTTACAATGTGCTGGAAGTTCATCAAAACCATTATCCAACGTTTGTATTCACTAATACTGACTGAACAGAGCTACACAGGTTGATCATGTGCATATGTCATACTATGTTTCATACTATGTTTCAATCCAACCCCATACTGAAATAACCGTTGGTAGCTTAAAAAATATTGAGGAACATCTATTATCATATGCATACACAAGTTTTCTACGAAAATCTCGAGTTCCGCGAATTGTTTGGAGTATTACGTTCGGCAAGATAACTTTGTGTTTGTACTTCGTTCATAGACTTTGTACTCACAGAAGCAGTGAAGATATTTGTCATGTATAATTTATAATTTTATTATTAGTAATAAGTATTTATTAATGACCCGTGTTTATTTACAGTACGGTTGATCTAAGTTAATCTAGTTCTAGTTGATCTAAGATAAGCTAGTTCTGATCTATTTTAGATCTATGATGTAAAATATTCAGTAAGGCTTAATAAATGATTCCTCCATAAAATCCAAGTTTCATGTCCATCCTCAACTACGTCATTTTAAACAACTGCATATATATATGTATGCACAGTACATATGCTACATTTATGTAATCTCGTGGTGCTATAGTCAACAAGTAAATAATTTGTCGAGAAGGAATTACTCCATGTAATGAAGGAACAGCAAAGACGTATGTAATGCTAAAATATATGGATGCATTTGGAATACTGAATGAAAGAGATGAATATGTGAATGTATGCAGAATTATCATATAGCGTACAAACTATGCAGGCACACCACTGGCAAATCAAACAATTGTCATCAGCTCATCCACACAACAACTCAAATCGTAAGCGATTGATCGAAAGATGAATCGCTTCAAATTTTTTAGAAGATATTAGTAAATTTAGTAACCCTTTAGTTTGTCAATCGAAAAAAATTTAAATTTTCAACTAATAATCATTCCTGGGACAATTTATCAGTATGGAGAGATTTGTCTTTGTCCAGCAGAAAATTTTAGACGCCGGCCAATCACTTAACAAATTAATATTCGCTGTGTCAAACATACCCGATTTTTTCAACTCTTTTGAAGTAAGTTTTTCAATTCAAAAGGAAATACCTAAGTTATAAATTAACTAAACTATTTTAGTTTGCACTGGCGAAATCAAACTTCTTGGATAATGTGGCAAGTATAATGGGCAACATATACGAACTGAGAAGCAGTACAAGACTAAAGATTGACCTATGGAAATTACACCAGCAGCGTCAAGCAGACGGTGTCCTCACAAACTGGACGGAAGGAATTGTCCCCAATTTAATGGAAATTACACAAGAATTTGAAATGTTGGCCGATTTAATTTCGACGACAAGGTCACAGATTGAAAAGTTTGTTGGAATTGTGGGCGGGCAAGACTCTCGGGGGTCAGACTTGCTAACAGGGCTCAGTTGGTTACTAGCTAATGTTGCAAATGATATGGCAATCGTCGAAGTTCAACCGTGGCAGGTACATAAATTTCATACGGATTTTGAATAATTTTGAAAATTAATTAGGAATAAATAAATCCATTTTTGACATATGCAGCTCATCAAACCCCAACAAAAATTGAAGAGAACTCCTAAATTTACATTATTGCTCAGAAACAACAACATCATCCCTACCCAGCCTGTAAAAGCCACATTGATAAGCTCGACCCAAGCGAGGTCGCTTTTTATGACTCCGACGTGTCCAATTACTCCTGGATTGATATTACTCAACAACGAAGCACAGTTTGTACAGGAAGATAACTCTGGAAGGCTGTGTGCCACATTTTCAAATTTGAAACTGAAATCGATCGTTGGGAGAGTTCAAGGAGGTGGAGATTTAGTGACGAAGGAGAAATATTGTATTTTATTTGAGACTGTGGTTCACTTTAGGGGTGTCAATGTACAAGTAAGACCAGTAAATATTTCAATTTATTGACCAAACATAAGTATATTTGTCTTGCAATTACATACGTCTTGCTTTTTAGATTCGTACGATTAGCCTTCCCATGTCCGTCCAGAGCAACATATCGCAGGACAGAACCGGACTTGCAGTAATTATTTGGGACAATGCGTTCGCCAAAATGGGACGGCTTCCTTTTGAAGTTCCATCCGAAATTGAATGGGTCAAGTTGGCAGACGCAATTTCTAACAAGTTTCTCAGCATGGGGGGACGAAAGTTGAGTGACGACGATTTGCAATTTCTCTTCCGTTTGGCGAACCTTGACCCGGCAGGAAATGGGATGATTAGTTGCAAACAATTTTGCCAAGATTTGCTACCTGAGAGACAATTTTCACTATGGGATTGGATTTATGCTACATTACGACTTATTTCCAAAGATGTCCACATCAGAAAAATGTGGGAGGAAGGACATTTGATGGGATGCATTGAACGGGACAAAGCAGAGGGACTACTCAGGTTAGCTGCGTATTATCTATGGCGCATAATTTAGAGAAATTATGTTAATGTGTTTCTATATCTTTTTAGTCGCTGTGAACCTGGCATGTTCCTTTTACGCTTTAGCGAGTCTGTTCCAGGTGCAATTTCCATCTCGTCAAAACTAGTCGTCAAAAATCAAATCGTAGTCGTGTCAACGGATCCCATGAATTTGAACCAACTCAGAGTGACACCAATACCCAAAGTGGTCATGGAATTGGACGCTCTGAAGTGGATTTATCCTGCAATTCCGAAGAGCAATGTTTTCGAAAATTATAATCCAACTAGTTTTCCAACGAGTACAAGTAAATCAGTGATTCCTTACAAGAAGATCAAGATTATCATTGACACCACTGACGATAATGATGAGCCTGAAATGACTCGACTTGGTTTGTCTACGGGACTTGATAATATTTTGTCCACAGACTTGGAAACTTCTTGGTCACGAGACACGCATTGTGGTATTGGCCCGATTAGGTAAAATGTTTTAGTTTGAGTAAACCGTAGAAATGCAAATTAATTTACAATATACGAATTTGTTGAATTATAGTTTTCAAGAAAATTGTTCTCCTCCAACTTCGCAAGCTCTCCAACTCTTGGAAATAGATGATTCTCTTGCGGCATGCATTTCGAATCACTTGGATATGGAAACTAGTTATGACCTATTGGAGAGCTTTTTAAATTATTGAACGTTATAAAAAAAGACTTGATTAAATAAACGTATTTTTTATCGTAAGTAAGGTTAGCCTAGTAATTTGCTGATATTTGTGCATGTATCAATGTATAAAATAATTCCATGCAAATCCTAATAATTTAGAATTATGGTGCAATTTTTAAATAAATGTAATCAAAGAAATCGTGTCTGGCTTTTAGTTAACGCATCATCGTTACTTATATGTACATATTACTTTATATATTTATTTCATAGTTACATCTGTACATATTTATTACATACTTATTTATTTCTACTCAATCCATCAAATCCTTTGCATAACAACGCATTTCTGCAAGTTCAATGTTAAACCGTAATGTTAGCACTTTTAGATTATAAATTAGTAATTAAACTAAAAAATTAAATCACATAATTAGATGCCTTATCACCTTAAGATTCGTGTAAGCAGGTATTTATGCTTAGCCCTTCCAATTTTTTTCATAAATAGCATGACATGCATGTAAACTATGTAACTTTCCCCAAATTTACAAAGTCCCTTCCCCATCCCGAAATTGGACCAGAATCACCAAAAAAGTTAAAACTGCTGACATTATCTGGAAACCATTAATAAAATACTACAATTTATGCATCCGTAATTTTTTTTACTAAATTCCTTGACATGGAAATTATTCTACTCACCGATGTCAGTAATCGCCTATTGAGTGTAAAGTATAATCCTGGTTCAACTCTTAACGCGTCTCCAGACAATTCCTGCAACCAAGTCGCCAACCTGCCTTTTACCCCGTCGCTCAGGTCATGCTGAGGAATGTGACATACACTGCGGAGTATCTTCCTCTGGTGGATTTCCAAGTTTCCAGCCTCCGTCCCCAAGTGGTAAATTATTTTTAGACACAGTAAGATTGGAATAATTCGCGAAATTCCGGCCCCAATCTCGCCACACGCGCCCCAAGTAAATCCAATGAAAAGATATAATAAAATAAGGAGAGAATTGTACACAATTTCAAACAATATTATACTAGCCGACAATTCATTGTAAGATCTCAAAATTTTGATGATTCTGTGATAATTTTGGATGCACACGTCTATCACATTTTCATTGATCAGGATACGTTTAGGATGGACTAAGACACCACGGGTATCGTGGTCCTGTGAAAATTCACAAAGTTCAGCATTTATCACTTCCAAAAACGCGTTGACAACTTGGATCGGATATGTAACCCACAATGTCTGAAAAACATTGAACGCACCAAGAATATTCCATGATAGAAGGGAAAGCATGCCAATTATCTGTTGCTCTGGGGATAAAAGTGATCTCGGTTTGGTTGGATCAGCTCCTCTTTCATCCTCCATAGTATAATACGCCAGCAGAAATTGTGAAATGAGAAGAAATATTAAAAAGAGACTGCTGTGAACTGTGTGCTTCACAGAGTTCTTTACCCGAATGAATATTTTGCAGTGTTTCGAAGATGGGTCGATGCTGATCAGAAAGTTGGGATGACTGGATGAAATTTGGGCCACATTTTGTACAAATGCGGTCCAACGGTCCAACCCAAGCTTGGGCGACAATATGTTGAACAATCGCTTGGAAAATGTTTGGAAAACGAGAAGAATTCCGGAAATGTTGAAAGCCAAGACTTCCGTGGATCTGACTAGCCGCGTCATGGACAACACATCGTTTCGAAAGTAGTACCATTCAATGACCAAAAATGTTTGGAAACAAACGAGCCCCAAGGTGCAGAAGATGGGAAAACTGCACCAGCAGAAGACGAATTTCTGTGTGGATTTGGTCTTCAGGATGGAAAGTGGGAAATATCCGATCCATTGAGAAACCTTTGTTCCCAATGAAATTAAAGAAATTAAGGTAGATTCGACCAATGGAATTGAATTTGTAGCTTCCATTTGGGGAAAAATTGGCGTTTAAAATTTTGTTACGCATGTACTAAGAACTTTATGCGGTGAAAATTGGGTTTGAAGGACATGGAAATGGACATGAACATGGAGTATGGAAAAATGTTTGAAGGGAAGGATAAGCTCCACCGTTCGTGACGCGAATCGGAAGGCAAGGTTAATTTATTATTGAAGATCTGACACCTTTCCATCCTGCCATGAATAATTAAAGCAAAGATTAATTTATTATTGTTTAGGTTGACACAGGGCAGGGTTTTTATTTAGGTGACAAAGGTCGTAGTATTTTGGCAGGTAATTGGACTAATTACTTATGATGTCACTTTACTTATCCTAAAATATATATGCCCTTGGATTCTTATATGCAGAATGACTAAATTTTGGAATGTATTTTTGAACATTTGAACATTTTATTATACATTATTGGTGGTTTACAACTTAATGACTAATGTGAAACTTCCAAAAATTGGTGCAAATTAAAAAATAATAAAATACTTTCCAATATTACATATAATTAATCGATGTATTCATGTAAACAAATAATGTCCAGCGGAAAACTTACATGCATATGCAATTAAGAAACAATGGTGCATATGCAATTAAGAAACAATGGTGCATATGCATCGTTACCTTATTTATTCACCATCCCGAAATTGTACCAAAACAACGAGGAAAGTAAGTATGGCTGATAAAATCTATAAATATGATATATTCATTTAATGATAAGAGCTCTATGAGTTACTGTAGTCAAATTGCTTAAAATAAAACATTTAATCGATTGAAGTCTTACCGAAGTCAACAAACGCCTATTCATTGTGAAGAATAACCCCGGTTCGATCCTCAAGGGATCGCCATTCAATTCGTGAATCAGATTTGTCACCTTACACGTCATCTCTTCACTCATTTCATCCTGCTGAATTTGACACACTACTCGAAGAATAGCTTTTTGGTTGGTCTCCAGTTTCCCTGCTTCCGTCCCCAGGTGATATATGATTTTAATGCAAAGAACAACGGGGACTATTCGCGACATGGCAGCACTGAGCTCGCCATTTGCACCCCAGATAATCCCGATAAATAGGTAACATAAGATCAGCAGGGAATTGTACACTATTTCAAACGCCATCCTATTCGAGGCCAACTTTTCATAATTTCTTAGAATTTTGACAACTCTGTGATAATTCAAGAGGCAGAGACGTAACCTATTTTCGTCCAAGACTCGTAGTACCTTTCGTGGCGGAGGGTCATCTCTGCCGACTTTCTTCACGATAACGAACAAATTCTGTAGTGATGCAACTTCCTCATTTCCGTGACAAAATTTGGATAATTCTTCCTCAACCATTTCCAAACACGCGTTGACCACTTGAATTGGAAAAGTGATCCAGATGGACTGAAATACGTTGAGCGAGCCGAGTACGTTCCACGAAATTATTGCCACTATCGCCACGATTTTATCGTGGAGGGTAAATTCTATTCTTGAGAGTGAGGTGTTCACATTTCTAGTCATCGAAATACAAAATCCTACCAGAAAGTGAAGTACCAAGATGAGGATTAGCAGAATACTACCGTATACCGTGTGCCTCATAGATACCGCAACCTGGAAAAAGTTAATTTTTCTCAAAAACTAAAGAAAATTCGAAACTATTTTTTAATACTTTTCTGAACTTTTGACAATGTCTCGCCCACTGTTCTGTGTTAATGAGGAAGGATTCGTCCGGATCGCTGTATGATATTTGGGATAAATCTGCAACAAAGGCGGACCAGTGTTGCAGCATTTGTTTTTGCGCGACGAGGTGAATTACTCGTTTGAAAATGATTTGGAAAATAATGAGTGCGCCAGAAATTTTGAAAGAGATTATCTCAGTTGGCTTATCCAATCCGGTCATGGTGAGCAGCTTTTCGCCGAAATATGTCCAGTGAATCATTAAATAGATTTGATAAAGTACGAGGAAAAGAGATACAAAATTTGGGAAGCTGAACCATGAGAAAGCTAATTTGTTGCCATGGTTGCTTTTTACGATGGTCAAGGGGAAGTAACCGACCCATTGAGATATCCGAGCCCCGAGTGACATTAATGAGATGAGAGTGGATTCAACGGAAGCTGTTGAAATGGGTTTGATATCCTTGGCCATTTTGGCTGCAGTTTCTTGAATTATCAAGTACTGTGGAATTTATTGGCAAAAAAGTTTGGATGGAAATTTTGTATCTCGTTCACAAAATTAGGAGGATTAATATGACGTTAAATGTTTTGTAGCAGGTGGATTTCTCATGAACATTGGGTGTTGTTTACAAAAGGCGTGCAATCGATAAGGGCTAAAAGAATGCAGATAATTAGACCTGTTAAGTAATTAGATTAATCAGCCACTTTATGGGCTACAAAGTGTGATTGTGTTATGTCAAACCTTGCATGGGGCACTGCCATACATTTCAAATAAATGCATGTTTTGGGTCATAATTTCATTATTTATCGACATATTTCCAACTAATTATTAAATATGCGAATGTCAAGCATTCTACATTTGTATAATTGCTGGAAAAACTTCGTATTTATGTGTTAGGAACCATACATACTTTGTAGAATAACCTTAGTAGTCGGTATTTTTTGCATAAAAGTGATGAAGTATGAATATTCCTGAAACGATGACCTAAACTCATGAATTGTGAGATTTATAACGTTGCAAATCCGGTCTACTTAATATGTAAGAAGTACATACATATTCGTATGTACATATATATGCAAATATATACGCCAAGCTCGCAAATATACTATACATGTAAATATCTCAATGATGGTACCGCATACAAAATACAAATTCACTATGACATCTCTGTTTGTCTTTGCCGACAGAAAATGTTACATATGATTGTGTCCATCATAACGAGTCCAGGGTTGCATGTACTTGAATTTAGTTGAATCGCATTTTTTTTATTCATATGTACATCTTAAAGTTTCTTACATACGTACATATGGGACTCGCTTATGAAAGTAATAAGGTTTACTGATATGTATGTACGCAGTCTTGGCAATCATTTTATAATCACACACAACACATGTGTACTGGTTAGATAAAAATATTTCTCGAATTATCTAGGGGACTTTTTTATATTTATGAAAATATTTTACCCATAATGAAATTAAGATTTTCACCAGTTTTGAGCTTTGTGCTTATTGTTACTGCACTGGTATTGATACAAGTTCCAGAATCAGAAGAGGTTGAGTGGACATGGAGCAATGTGAAAAATCGAATTTCGGTAATATATAATTTAAAATATGTATACATTTATACTTACATTTATCAATTGAAAGCCGTGCATGTCATTTATTTTTTAAATTAGGACAAACTTATCCCATCCCGTCAGACTAATGCTGCTGCTTCAATCACTATGACTTACCCAACCCCACCAACTGCCCCACCCAGACGGAGGACAACACCCACTACGACTGCCCGATCGTATACCTTGATCCCTATGACGACACCCCGCAGGACGCAAGTTTCAGATCAATCGAGGACTTGTGCCTGTGGGGAAGAGACAGCTTCAGTATTTTTTAGGCAAGGAGCGATTTTAGGCATATTTTTATATTTCATATGGATCACATTTATCCCTTGGTTTGGGAAAATACCTACATATAATTTGTGCTTTGCGATGAACGACTTTCTCATCTGCTTAACTACGTGTTCCGAGTTAATGAAAAATTTAGATTTATTTAAGGAAAGGCGAGCATAACATATTTTGATATCGTGCTCTACTTTCACATCTGCTTCATTAATTGTGCAAAGTTGGATCGGTTGGGATATGCAGAAAGGGTCAAATCCAAGCGTATGCAATGTATGTAAAAAAAAGTTGTGAATTATGTATGTACTTAACTACAAGTTAATTAATTACGAGTTTCAGGCCTGAATCGGTTAGATTTATGTTTGTGATTTATTTCATCAGTTAAAAAATAATATGTACGTTCAATGATTTACAGCTATCATTTTACCAGTCAATGAACCTACTGACTGACTTTGTTTCTGTAAATTAGAACGTGTGTTAAATGGTAAATATAAACAAATACTTATTTAGACTTGTTTGTCTTCACGAGCTGCTTTGATCTTGTCAAATTCTTCTTTGAATTCATTTCGGGATTTGTCGTTGGTGTAAAAGTAGCTGTCTGGGGGGTCCCCAACTTCTCTGATAAGGTCAGCCATATTCTGGAAGCTTTTGTAGTGTCTCTTGACCTCTGGCCTATCTGGGTCAAAGCGGAGAATGAGCTCGTCCTCAGTGATGGTGTAAGGAAGAGTGGTTGCTTGTTCCATGGTGGCCCAAAGGGGAGGATGGGACCGGTCCCCTTTTTCTACAATACGGAAGAGGGGAACTTTGTCTTCTGCGTATTTCATGGCCTTTTTTATGTACTCAAACTCGGGAGAAGCCGTCTCTGTGTCAATGTACCGTTCATAGCCAAGTAATTCATTCGTCTTTCTCGCGTAGGCCTAGGATTGAAAAAGAACATTTGTTTTCTTTTGACCGGTCAAAATAAGCATAAATATGTATGACAATACACTACTCACCATCAAAAATCCTTCAACACTTTGTTTTGTCGCAGTGGAGTCGCACAAAATGACTTTGTTCTGCATACAAGCCAGCGGATTTGGGCTCCCAACAGTACGGATGTAAATATGGCTGGGCCTTAAGGCTGCAGTAAAGTGAGTGTCCCTCATTGAAAAAAAACCACGATGACCACCGCAAATCCCAATGTAATACAGCAGCCGGAAAAGAGTTTCATCTTCTAGGACTGGTCCTAATTCTTTCTTCATTATGTCAATTAAACTCATTTTCACATGTTCCTTGGCGAATAATGTGGCGATGTAAACGATGTCCAAGGGGAGGCGTTTGTCATTCGAACTCGACTTGCTCGACTTGATGGTGTCATACAGCGGATGGTCTGGATCTTTATACGCCATATTCCTTTCTCGGTGAGACTGAGATATCCCATCTTTAAAAGTCCGCTTATAATATGAAAATAGATTGTTTCTCTTTCCATCAGCTTTCAGGATATAGTATCCCTTGATGGATGAGCCTATACATAAATAAATCCAAATTAACTTTATAGATGCATAATTATTATGTAACAATATCACACATACCGGGAATTTTTGTGTCGAATTGAACAACTAGTTTATCTTTTCGACGTTGCTGCCCCCAATCTGCGGCATTTTCCAATTCCAATCTTTTGGTCTCATTGCGCACCGGAACCTTCATCTTCATCACCTCGTCAAGCCTATCCAGTAAAACTTCGCGGTGGAACTGTTGGTATACATTGTCCGACAACTGTAAAAACATTGAACCGGTTCAAATCGAGTCTAAAAGCCAAACAACAATATCAAACAATTAAACGTGCTCACATCTCCGTATCGGTAATGAGGAACTGGGATTCCGCGTGAAGGGCCGGGTTGGGGGCTGACCTCGTCCGTATTCTCCAATGTCGCTACATCGTGATCAGTCTCTTCATCATCACTAAACGTTCTGTAAATCAACAAATTACATTGAAATAATTGAAGTTAATCCAATGTCATCAATCGTTGCACCGGTGCAGACAAAAATGACAATAATTTAATAAACGTTTCTTACAAATCTATAACACCCGAATCGTCCAGTCCACTCTGTTCGACCTAGGATAAAATGGATTAGCACGCGATATAGATAAGTAGATTTGTAAACAGTAAAGTAAATAATATAATATTTACTGCGCTTTGAACAGCTGTCATCATCGAGGACGAAGTACATGGTTTTGGCATGGCCGGGCGTAAGGACTGATCATCTCCCCTGGCACTAGAATCCACAAAACTATTATTAAGATTCAACAAGAGAGCAACAATCAAGTTATCCACTAAAGTACAAGAATATATAAGAAAAATAATAAGTAAACAAATATTTCCTTACATATTGACAGCAGTTTGACCGGTCAAAACAACACGAGGCGCAGCATTCTCCTTCCCCTTTTCGTGGTTTTCTGATTGATCAAAACTGAAAATAATAAACTGTTAGAACTGGAATGAAAATACTAATATTTTGACCGGTTAAATATAATTAACTTACCCAGGAGTTGATGACCGTGGTCTTTTCTGAATAAATTTATCCAGAGGACCAAATCCCACTTTGTCCATCGACTTAACAGGGGGGACCCTTTTAGACATGGTGGAATGGGGGGGTGTGGCCTTAAGAAAGGCCTTTGGTTTGATTTTTTGTTGTTGAAAAATTCAATTGCACAGGAACAAATAATTTGCTGCTTTCACACGCACTTCTAGCTGACGACTGATTGATTTGGAGATTATGCGGGGGAGTATGAATTACTCGCATTTTTGTTACACGATTTGTCAAGTTTGCACCGGTGCAAGTAATGTGTGCTGGTTCTTTAGACATGTTGTGACTTGTTTCTAAACTCATCTTTTATTTCCCTCCTTCCAGCATGTGGGTCAGTTTTTAGTCTCGTGTTTGTCATGCTATTTGTCACATGTTTGAATTGGAGGGATGGTCGTAAATAATCGCGTCACATTTTTTTCTACTGTTCCATGTTTCATTTCTCTTTGTTTCATTCACACTGATAATTGGGTGCTAATTGAAAGACAAAATAATAATTTATTTACGCGGTATTTTATTGAAAATTATTTCAACAAATGGAATTTAAAATCAGCAATAAGAATTGGGATTTATTCAAGCAAATTCTGTTTTACATGTGATAAAATATTGAGGTCATACGGACTTGCAGAATTGATAAAGTTGGGACAAATTCTTTGTAGAAAGTGACCTAATAATCTAATTGGGGCTTGTCATTTCTCAAATTTTCATTCTCAGTAATGTTATTTACTGTCTTCCATATCCATAATCCTTAACCTTGGCTTTTATCGCTGTAATCTTGAGCTAGATGTAAGATAATAGACCTGAGAAATTTATTGAAGTTGGCTGCATTCGTCATACGAAATAAATTGTTGTACCACATTCTGCTCTTTTGCTTTCGATACCTGATGTGTTTACTGGTCGTCATGGAGATGTGTCAGACACTTTGCTACGGATGTTTCATATCAGTATTTGATGCAAGGATGATAAACGAAACGGTGAGGCTAATACAGAGACAATTGCAGACTGGGGATTGGAAATACGCCTTAAAAAAGTGTCGAGAGGTTGGTAAATAAATTACCGTCGGTCTGTAAAAAGTTATTTTTTGTTGTTAAGTAATGCTAATTTTTAATAAACCCTCCAAACGAATATAAAAAAGTAGCGTCAGAGCGATCCAAGTTTCCTTTAAAATGATCCCTCATCCCATGACAATTATGTGTCTTTGACCCTTGACCTCGATCTCAAGGTCATGAGGTCAAAAATAATAGCATCTTTGAAATAATCGTCAAATTTCCTTTGAACTGGAGCCCTGAAATATCACAATATTATGTAAGTTCGGGTGCATGCAATATGCATCCAACGGAATTACTTATAAAAATAGTTGCAAATTCGAGTGTGCCAAGAGGAGAGTGTCGCGTAAGTTAGGAGAAATCGTGTATATGCCAATTTTATTTATTATGAGGCGAATTATGATAAAGTAGACGCCTCTCATATTTTGTTAAGGTCTCCGAATCGTTGGGACTGGTGACTGCGGAAGTTCCATGAACAGGAATGATTACTGGAGTACAACCCGAGGAAGTCGGCAATACTACTAAAACCAGATGTGAAATAGTCAACCGTTGCATTTTTTAATTGGAAATTGCGTATTTAAATTAAATGAGAACTAGAAATTTATTCGTGTGAAAATTGCATAATCTAGATTATATGTAGATTTTAGTGGACATGTAGAGCTTATTTTGAACAAATGAGTAAAAATATGTTAAAATGAGTCGTCCAATTTGTGCCTAATGTACAGCGTTGAAAATAAAGTAATAAGTTACAAGTTATTGACCATATTGTGATAGATACAATAGTTATATTTTTAATTCAATAAATTGCAGAAATTAATTCGGAAATTAATTAGTGAACCACATGACCCAATCATGCACATGTATAATATTCATATATGTATGTACGAATACAAACATAGACACATTTCTAGTAAAAGTCAAGTGGTGGGTGTAGTGTTGAACATATATATTTAATTTGGGCTGAGCATTGTTAATGAATTTCCCAAGGCGTACTAATATTTTAAAGTGTCCAGTCAATAATGTCAATTATGATTGTTTTGCAAATTCCGGCTGAGCTATTTATGGACTTCACATTTTGTCAAGGATGTGGGAACAGAGCTATTTTTGAAATCTTGTTGGCTTTTTTGGTGTCAGGACGAGATAACGAGGACATTTGATCTATTTGTAACATTGTTCCTCCCACGTTTTGTCCAAGTACTTTTCCTGTGTCTGTGTATCGTTTGAATTTGGTATAAAAGAAGGAGCTAAAAGAGCTTCTTCGTGAATTGATCTAAAACAGCGATGTAATTCAGACCTCTGCTGGTCCATACTTAGCTCCGAATTTCGCTAGGTCTTTACTAAATACTTCACTACTTTATTCTGTGACCCACAATTCTATCACTTCAAGTCTACCCAAACTAAACGTATGTAGGATTTGATTCATCTCATAAATAAGTAGATCTATACAATACATACACCAGAAATTGCAACCTTTTACGCTAAACGTATGTATAAATAGGGAGTTTGCATGAATGTTTCCGTGGACCCTGAACGTGACGTAGAACCGTAGATTTTGAAACTACGTCGACGTTGCGTTGTGACAGTTTGCAAATTGACGTCCGTGTCGTAAACCGTAACGTAAAAATGCATCTTTTTTATACGTTGCACGGTTACGGAATTATAGTTTGCAATTCCACAAATAAATAAATACGTAATTATGTTTTCTATTCTTCCAATTTTTACTTTACAATTTTTAGTTGTGAATTATTTTAGAATTATCAACAAAAGTTTTTGTTTAAATTTCAAAACCCTTCCCAGCATTAACTTGACGGAGATAAGCAACCTGGGGGCGGTTGCACCAGACACTTTGCACCCCACACTTTTCATTTTTAAGCTTTTTTTAAAGATTGTATTTCACCAAATCCGAGTTGCATTTAGAAAATTAGTTAACTAATTAATTTCAACAATTTCAGTCCTTCTTCCACATCTTTCTAATTACTAATTAATGCCAATTATAAAATCGTTAACCAAAGTCCTTGGATTAGTTTATCTTAATTAATATTAATAAATTCATCTGCAAAATGCACCGATTTTACTCTCCGTTTTGTCCGTTTCGGATGCAAATATTGCAAATTTCATACTAGTTAAATTTTTGATCGATTGATACTTTGTTAGAAATCTGTAAGAATAGGTGCGTTAGGAGACCTCCATTGTTAGTCAATCTAACACTGAGGAGGTGTGAGGTGGTTATCGCCAATTTATCCAGGGGTTTTCCAAAATGCGAATGTTTACGCCAGTTACAGAATTTGAAAAAATCAGAATTTTTCAAAACGCTGCCACTTTTCGAAATTGAACAAACATAATTTTTGATAAGAAGTACTATAAAAATTCATTTTATAAAATTTTAAATATTTTCATGCTATTTCTAAGTTTTTTTAAAACGCAAAACCGTTAATTTTTTGAAAATTATAAGTTTTTTAAATGGGTTTTTTATAATTTCAGACTAATTCTGAGCACAAACTGTGTATAATTTTTGAAATCGGGTTAAAATTCGAAAGTGACAGCGTTTTGAGAAATTCTTATTTTCGCCAATTTTTTTAAATTCCGCTACGGGCGAAAACATGCGCATTCTAAAAAAACGCATAAATATGGGTCGGCATATTTCTGAGAGTGACAATTTAAAATTACTCCTGTCAAAATCGGAAATAAACACGTAACACCTCCTCATTGTAAGTAAATTCAAGCAATAAATAACTAATTATGCAAATAGTGAGGAGATAAAGTCAAATTATTATTCTTAATTGTGATAGTATTGCTCCTAACATATTAAAACATTCGAAAGAAAGCTGTTAAAATATTTGTTTAAGGTTAAGGAATTATTTTGTATATGTATTTACGCTATTATTTGAACCAATTTTGTAGAAATGGTTGAGTCCGTAGAACGTCCGTGAAAATTAGTTTTTCACGTTGATTTTTAAACGTAGCGACAGAGAAAACATCGTAAATACGTGAAAAATTACGGATGTCTTACTACGGGTCACGTTGCGTGTTTTTATGCAAACTGTCGCCCTCCGCAACGTGAAGACGTGAAAAATTTCCGTGAAAAGCTACGGAATCACGTTGCTACGTCACGGAAATTATTTACGGAAGTATACATGCAAACTCCCTAATAAGTATTTAATTATTTAGGCACATTTTTTGGAGTACAATTTGCCGTCATACTGTCATTGACACTGGTGAAGGATGTTATTTAGTATAAAGTAGTGCGAATCATTGCAAATACATATCTAATCTATCTCAATTACTTAATTATCTCCCGTTTCAATTTATGAAACGTGACCATTTACAACATTAGCCACGTATGTATGAAATGATTTACATGACGTGCGAACCATACATACGTATACAAATTTGATGTACTAAATAGGTTTGCAAATTAAATTGTATTCCATAAAAGTTCTATTCATAGCCAATTTGTTCTTCCTAAACTATAAAACTCGATGGGCTATTAGTTATAATTAGATAGGATTACAGATTTATAGTATTCTTCACTATAGGAAAATTTCAAAGTGACGTAATGACAAAATGATGACGTTAGGAGCCAACAAGTTTATTGATTCTTGGAACAATTATGGCAAAAAATATTTTAGTCTTATCGCATCTTTCACGATTAAAATAATACCAAAATTGTACAATTTCAGATTTAAAATGCGCCCCACAAATTTTGCAAATCTCTCAAAAGTTTGGTGGATCGGCCTAATTTATTTGGCAGTGATAGTTCATGAGACTCGATCCGAGTGGAGTGCTGTGCGTCTCAACAGTTACAGAAACAGGGTGTGCTAAAAGATTATTTATGCTTTATATTTTTATCTGTTTTATTTTACCATGAAAAATTAGTCTTAAAAAATTACTTATTTGCAGGACATTCCAATTCCGTACCAAGACTCTCGAAACGCACAACGGATGACTTGTGACTGTGTGGACGAAGAAAATGCTTCAGTGTGTGCTTCGAATGGCATCCGGTATAAAAATCGGTGTCAGTTCCACTGTGCACGACGCTTCGACTTGAGTACGTTTTCTTTCCTTTTTATAAAACTAATTAATTACAATAAGATCAACCAAATAAGTGTTTTATTTTTTAGATCTCCGAATTATGGTGGATCGATTTTGCCGAAAATTTTACTATGCAGGATATCGATACGGTTTCTTTAATGATAATGGGAGGGTAGACTGAGGTTGGATCTATGTAGTTAGTGGAAATCGGCAAGCTGCAATTATTTATAGTCTCAACTGCAGTATTAATCAGTATTATTTTCAATAATGTAGGCATATTTAGAATATCCTATTTTGGATAAAATACATAAATTTTCCCATGATATTTAAATATTAAATAAAATTGTATATACTTATCAAGCTTTGTTTCTTTATCAAAAGTATTGAATTAATTTCCTCGGCATCAGAGGATATTTATCAAAAATATTTATGGAGATTCAGATACAAACGTCCTTGACATTTATTAGCATTTTGTGAACAAAACATTAACCTCGTAACGACGAAGTACACACATTTGTGTAGTATTATATTTTTCCGTTGACGACGAAATACACAAATGTGTGTACTGCAGAAATTTCCTTGACACCAAAATTTCTTTAAAAAAAGAATATTTCTTCCGTATTTTCTGGAAAATTCGATGGTGAAAAGTGGATTTTTTTTCGATATTTTTCACCCAAAATTTTGGAATTTTCCCTATACCGACCAATGTTAAAAAGTGGACTTTTCGTGTTTTTCGTCAAAAACTCGAGTTTTGCAAAGTGGTAGGAAATTTTAATTGGTTGCTATCAGGTATAATTATTATTTTTTAAATCGTACCGAAGGGAAATTTTATTTAAAAATTAGTAGTCCGAAAGAGGTTAAGTAATCTTAAATTAAATAGAAGCGGTTCATGCTAGCTCAAAGCATCATCTTAAAGCTGAATATTAATTAATAAACGAGCGCGTCAACTCTGCGGATGTTAACGTGGAAAATTTGGGTGTGGGTGGAGTTATAAATGCCGCTGATGAGATTGGCCCCATTGTGAGGTACACAAAATGTACACATACGGCGCTAGAGAATTAATTCGGTTTAATAATGGCTGAGTTTGGTCATTAATACATAACTTTCTCATTACTTCTTATGATTTATTGAACTTTTCATAAAATTATGACTGGTAAATTTATGTAAGTAATATTAGGTAGGTTGCGAGTTTACGTGAACGTGAGAAATTTCTCCCGTAAACGTTAAATTTTGCTTCCCGGCAATTTTCGGCGGCGCCCATTTAAGGTTTACGTGACATTTCTTTACGTTCACGTTATTTTGGACGTTAAATCAGTTCATTTAGCGTGCGTTTTATGTAGATTTACGTAAAGGTTTTTCACCATGCAAATTTAAGAAAAATGAACAACAGACATGTATTTTTTGCGTTAATTATTGATAAATGCATTAAATATATGTTTATGCTTAATTGAAGTGCTATATAATTAATTTTGAAGCATTAAAACAAGAAGCAAACTGATAATTTCTCATGACAGGATTAAAAAATGAGGAGGCTTTAAGTTAAACTAACTAAATAAATCTTCTGTTGCTTTTGTAGCAAGTTGCAAATTAAGAAATTAATTAGTAATTATGTAATTTATTATAGTACTATTTATTAAAACAACGTCAAGCTTGGATGGAGGAAAGGAAGTATGGAAAGTGAATTATATTGCACAAAATAAAGAGCTGCAATAGCAAAAGCATCATTTCAAATGATTCACTTGATTTAATTAGAAACAAGTAAATTTATTGTTTATACATTACAAGAATAAAGGTTTAGTACATGGCCTAGATTTCTTATACACACAATTTCATGGAAAATGTAAATACTCATGATCTGGAATTGCTTCACAAAAGTATCCGAAGTTTGGTTGCCGTGAAAAATCCGTGACTGCAATGAGCAAGAAGAAAAAGTAACATCAAGTCCACAAATCTGTGAATGAAATAATTAACTGATTTAGTGAACTAATTAACTGATTTAGTGAACTAATTAACTGATTTAGTGAACTAATTAACTGATTTAGTGAACTAATTAACTGATTTAGTGAACTAATTAACTGATTTAGTGAACTAATTAACTGATTTGCTCTAGATTGATAAAATATGGTCCCCTTACCTGCTGGGATATGCAATCCTCAGAGTAATGCACGAAGTGTCCTCGCTGACAAGCAATCGTACCCCGAAGTTTAAGGGTGCATATAAGTTTCAAACTTATTTTTGTAAAATCCAAAGTTTAGGAAAAAGAACTCGTACACCATGGAGTTTAATTTAAAAATTGTAATTCTTTTAATTGATTAATTTAAATTATTTGAACGAAGAATGTCTTCTATTTCGAAGTCGGTCAATACCGACAGTAACTTTATTATTTGTTTTGAAAACACTGGTATTTCAAGCTAGTTTATAATCAGATAAATTAATTAATTATAATGAGCAAATATTGCATGAAGAATGTAAACAAACCATTGGAATTAAATTCAAATTTAGCGCACAGGTTTACGTTCACGTTAATTCGCACACACGAAATTCGTGCATCCCGTAAACGTAAACGTTAACGCCAAATTTTACGTTTACGTTAGCGTTGACGTGAGAACCCGTAAACTCGCAACCTACCTATTTGTACAAGTAACGAACTACAATGTTCATTGAAATGTATCCTTCTCGACGACATGGTATGCTCCTCGAGATCTAGAAGTATTTAAAAATTACGACAAAGTCGATATATGTCAGTAATGTTATTTTTTAATATTCATACCCTGTTGGAATATTGACCCCAATTGGTATAGAATCGGGGCAGCTTATCCTGCAGTTTGCCCTGCACTGACAGACCAATCCCATGCACGGACAAGCCTTTATGTCTCGGTAGAATGTGGCAGCGTACAATTTCCAGGAGTAGGAATGAGAGCAAATTTCTAACATTCGTCATCCACAGTAAATAATTAATACTAATCAAATATTATAAAATTCGGAGCAAAGAAATGCACCTTTCTTTTCAACATTTCCACAACCAGGTTGATTATCTCCCCCATTAACGTAAACGTCCACGTCTCCTAATCTATGATCACTGTCACCCAACCCGTTTCTATTTGTATGGTAAATGTCTACAAATGTGGCGTCCCCTTTAGACAGTCGTCTATCCATGTTAAGCCCACCGCTAAAAAATGGACCTGATAATCCTCAGTGTCAGCAAAAGTAATTCAACGAATTGAGAGTCAAAATATTATTTACACACCCGCAGGATCCAATCCGGTTATTCTTCCCAATGTCATATTTTTTCCGAAATCGCTGGTAGCCCAGAACCCCACCGCGCCAGCGATATGAGCACCAAGGCTGTGACCTATCACATGCATCTGAGACGGTTCAATGGAAGCGACTTTTGCCAGATAGTTGACAAATTCAGCCACCTTCCGTCCCACTGGACCCACATTGCCAAGTACGAACAAGTAGGTTTGCGAAGTTCGAAGCAAGTTGAGGGCCACGATGGGATTCCCGGAACCAGAAAGTGCCCCCCAGTCAATCACAATTACATTTTCGGAGGGTCGAGTTTTAACTAGGGCTGGAAATATTAGTATTATACGTACTAACACATACAAGATTTAAATATGTGCATACATGGTAAAAAATGAGACTTATGCTTACCATCCTTGATAGTTTGTGACATTGGTGTGTTACCGTGGGAGAGAAATCCATCGATGACAAAGGTGGTTTTGGCATTGTCTCGAATAAGACTTGGTTTCGAGTTTGATGTCATATCAATTTCGGTGCCAGACTCATTTCTCCCAAAACCGGACCTATTGATGTAATAAATATTATGCATATTGCATATGCATATTTATACCAGTACATAATAGCAATTTTATATTATTTGTGTGTACTACATAAGATGTAAAATGTAAAATGTAAGCCGCAAAGTTACCCGTAGTATACAAACTTTACGAGGTTAGTATCCCTTGATATTTCTGAGTGTGATAAATTAATAAAAAACACAAATAAGAAATACTTATGAAGTTGGGTCATTTTTGCTCTGTGCTATTAATGTGTCCTCAGTTGGGTTTAAACTAAACAGGATTTTACAATAAGAATGCAGTCTTATTTTCTACAAAAAATGGGATTTGTACAACTAATTGCATTTGCTCATTGTTCTAAAATAAGGGGAGGAGTACCGTATGTAATATGTCACGCTTATGGATAGTCTCAGCGTTTTAAGGATCAGATCAACATGATGAACATACATATATTCACCAGTTTTTGCTCATAAAATATCTTTGTAGATGTTCTATGCGTGCAGAGTATGTATTAAGTAGTGTACTTATGTACATACGTATGTACATATGTATATTACGAACCTATACAGGTACATCACTAGGTACCAGCTTTTTTTACTTTGACCATAAATATAGAAACAAATTGACTTCAGTTGTAATATTTGCGTAGCCTGGAACAAAGTGTCGTTCAGTCAGTTTACCTGGATAAATATGTAAATACCATTAGAATGAAGAACAAATATTTAAAAACGTTTCACTCTAACGCCCATGAGTCATTTCTTATTAGGAATTAAACTGCTCACGTGAATTGAGAGTTTTTATACTTTATAAATAAATTTGTTTGCTGTGCGCATTTACCTACTTTTATTAAAACATATTTTTTATTATTTGTAATTATGCGTGGCTAAAATTAGGACATGATGATGGAAAATAATTAATTAGTATGACAGTTATGGAGTAGTTGTTCCAATTTCACTTTTCTCTACCCAGCTATTAAAGCATATCCATGAAAAACACGCGTGTTAAATTTAGTATCTTATTTGGATAATATTAATCATTCATCAGGGTAGTCATAATTGTTCATCTGTTGCAGGGAATACGGAGAATTGCGACGCATGTACATACACACATATGTAAATATGAGTATGTACAACTATTATGCAGTATGAACCATGCTGGGAATTTATTTAATTGATTTGCTTAATTAAATTGAAATGCTGCTAAATATTTGGTAAAAGCTAAAGTGTAAATATGAACCTGAATTATTTCCACATTATTTTTTACCTAGTTCGCTCAGGGTTCGGTCTTACAATTACAATATTTACAAATATATCACTTCGAATTTTCTCTTTCCTTAATTTTAAAAACTTCAGATACTGAAGTGATTGAATAGAAAGTTCACTAAAATGGTGAAAGCGGTTGCGTAACCACATACATATTTAGCTAGTTTTCATTTTTGCTGATACATACATACATAGTTGCATTTATGTAGAAAAGACAAGCTGTGTATGTACGTGTACCACACATTTGATTTGAATATACTTAAAATAGATTAAAGGAAACTTTTTATAATTTTAAACCATTTGTACGAACCGGATTGAACCAAAGTAGTTTTGGCTTTAATCAGTGAAAAATTACGGCCGAGATTATTTTTAAGCTGATAACTCATTAATTTACGATACATACATGTATATATTTAGTAGTGTTGAATCCACCAACAAAACAACATCCCGATCGATTCGCCAGACGCAAAATATTTTTTTAGGTGCCTTACATGAAATTTTTAAAACAATGGACAACTTGATTATCATATTAGCCCTGATACTAATATTCGTGTATCTTATAAAACGATGGTTTCTATCAAGTTATACCGGCTATTGGACCAAGCTTGGCATCATCTCCATAAAGAACAAGGTCTCCCTATTCGACTTACTCACTGGTAAGAAATCCAACAACGATGGAGACATGCAACATTACACAGCATTAGGTCAAGAAAGGTACGGTGGACTGATGGAATTTGGAATTCCACTCCTTCTCGTGAAGGACTTGAGCCTTGCAAGGACAATTTTCATTAAAGACTTTCACCACTTTTCTGAACGGAGAGACGTCCCAAACTCGTCAGACACGCTTATCACAGACTCACTCTTTTTCATGAGGGGACAGTCTTGGAAAAATATGAGAACTTTCCTCAGTCCCGGATTTACATCGGGCATGGTTAGAAAAAAGTTTCCACATTTTGCAAGGTGAAATTATTACTGAGACTGCACCTTTTTAGGACAAACTTCAGTGGACTAATGAACAGAATTAAAATATTTTCTTAGAAGTGCCACAAACCTGCAAAACTGGATGAATACCCATCAAAAAACTTCATCCGGAGAATATGAAATCCCAGTTTCTGATGCAATGCGGAAATATGCCGTCGAAGTTATTGGAGCAGCCGCCTTTGGATTGAACTTAAATATATTTTCCGATAAAAACTCAAAATTTCTGGAAATGGCTGATCGAATTGAAAATATTAATGTGTGGCAAAAATTTAAATTTGCAATTTTCCAAACATTTCCTCGATTTGCCGACTTGTTCAAGATTTCCCCGTTGGATTCTGACATGTCCAAGTATTTCAGAAATGTACTTGCATCAGCCATCGAGGCTAGAGAGCTGAGTTCATGTGGTGAAAAAGACTTTCTCCAGTTGTTGGTAGACCTTAAGACTGGCACGGGAAAAATTGAAGTACAAGCAAAACAAGGAGATCATAAATCTAGGGAAGATCTCGCCGTTTCTCAAGCTTGTTTATTTTTAATAGCTGGGTGAGAATATGACGAGAAAAATATGAAATATTTTGAACTTTTAAGTAAGCCTGTCTTCAATTAATTCCTTTAAAGATTTGACACGGTCGCAAACAATTTGATGGTATCAACTTACATGTTAGCGACTTATCCTGAACTTCAGCAAAAGGTGCGAGAGGAAGTGGATAGAATTTGTGGTGAGAGTGAAATTTGCTACGACCACATTAACGAGATGGGCTTCTTGGATAACTTCATAGCAGGTTATTTAGACTTAAATTAAATTGGATTATACATATATTTAAATATTTAGTAGAATATTGACCTGAAATGATTTACAGAAACTCTTCGTCTCTACCCGGGTGTACCTCGTTTGGAGAGAAAATGCGTTCTGGATTATCCAATTCCGAACTCAACCCATGTCATACCGAAGGGAACGATTGTCATTGTCGTAGCAGAATCAGTCCATAAAGATGCGCAGTACTGGACCAATCCTCTACGATTTGATCCCGATCGGTTCAATTTGGAAAACAAGGCAATTCAGAACAATAATGCATACATGCCGTTCGGAATCGGTCCAAGGAATTGCATCGGTACGAATAGCCACTCACTTTGTCGAAAAACTTAATTGCTGAATTTTTGTGTAAATAGGCATTAAATTTGCATTGGTTGAGACGAAGCTTGCCCTGGCTACTCTCGTTAAACATTACGAAATTTCTGGGACAGAGACAACTCAGGATTATGTACCAGTTAAAGATTTGTTTGGATATAAGACACATCCAGATCTTAAACTTCGATTTAAGCCAAGGAAATAGTTTTAGTGAAAAAATAAAATAAAAACTTGTACCGAACTCAAAATAATCAAATAAACTATGTCACAATATATATGTATGAATGTGTCTTATTTGGCGTTAAAATCAATATGAATTACTAAAACTAATCATGAATATGAATCTACAAATTTGCATATCATTTCATTTACAACTAAAAAAATAAATGTCAATTAAAAGCTTGGAAGTCTAAAGAGTTTAGCTCAAATAATAAAACAAAAGGGATAATGCAAGCTGTTTAAGGCTAGAATTGAATAATGTTAATTAAGAAAGAATGATAGACAAGGATGGTTTCACGCTAACTTTATAAATTATTATCTGGAATGGGTGTCATGCAATCCAATTAATTTTCGGATAAATGCTCTGTTCTGAATTTGTACTTTTTTCAAGGAAAATTCTTTCAACTCTGTTTTTATTACCTAGCCACACTCATCCTCAGTTCTAACCGAAAATTTACGATATACCTACTTATCAATGCAACAAGAAATTTTCGTTTTCCAAACAAAGAAATTAAGCGTCCAAAATTTTAATGGTTTCACATGTTTGTATTGATAAAGGTACGGGAATAAATATTTATTCAACATCTAAGAGCGTTTCTAACAAATACAATTATAGCTATGCATAAATACCCATGTATTTACATACGTGCATGGTACAACATAACATCCATTTTAAAATACAAACTTAGTTTTAGAGTCGACGAATTACTGCTATCTTACAAAACACTGGTAATTGTATTTGATTAACACAGGGTATCGTGATAAGTAGATTAATTACAAAATCTTTAAGCATTAGTTGAGCACGCTATCCAATTGGTAGGTATTTCATAAGGTTGTCTCAGGAGAACTGGACAGCGTTATCGCAGATGAAGTTGTTGTCGGTTAACCTGTTGTCGGCGGTGAACCTGTCGTCGGCGGGGAATCTGTTGTCGGCGGTGAACCTGTCGTCGGCGGGGAATCTGTTGTCGGCGGGGAATCTGTTGTCGGCGGGGAATCTGTTGTCGGCGGGGAATCTGTTGTCGGCGGTGAACCTGTCGTCGGCGGGGAATCTGTTGTCGGCGGTGAACCTGTCGTCGGCGGGGAATCTGTTGTCGGCGGGGAATCTGTTGTCGGCGGTGAACCTGTTGTCGGCGGGGAATCTGTTGTCGGCGGTGAACCTGTTGTCGGCGTAGTTGCCGTGGTCGTCGTGGTCGGCGTGGTCGGCGTAGTTGTCGAGGAACTTGTCGGAGTTGTTGTACGTGCCGGCAATTCCGTGATCTATAAGATAAATAATTATCGGAATTAATTACAAAACCTAAAATATATGTACAGTCATCTCTGTTGTACAATCTGCACGAACCGGTGAAGGGCGTTTAACACAAGTTTGAGAACTTTCATTGAATTCATATTCGTCAGTTGTATCATCTGAATCTTCGCTGGGACATTTATAAAAAACTCGAACAAAGGCACCACGATCGGGGTAGAACGTGCACAGGACATAGTCGCATTTTCGATTTGAAAAAGGACAATATCTGAGTTGATTTTCGCTTGAAATTGCAAAGTACCCATCCTGGGTACAAGGATATGGTTCTGTAGCCGAGTTCGTCATCGGGAGAAACAAACCCAGCAGACTGACGCATAAAAATATCTATTCAGAAATTAAGAGTGAAAAACACATTTATTAGCGATCCTGTACAGTTAAGTCATGTAAAATTAAAAATCTAGTTATTTGTATTTACATTTCTTACAAATTTCAAGTCCATGATGATAGTCAGCAAGGATACTTTAGTTAATCGATGGTCGCTTTATTAGGTGTGAGAAGAGTTGCATTTGGAATGATTGACCTTAACATTGCAATGTCAATGCTTATATAGGTCTATGCGTGTTTTGCGGAAGCAGACATTTGCATTGCGGACAAACAATTTTATAATCCCCAAATCTTGATATTAAGCATTAAAATTGATACCTCTTCCACTTATCAATTCCGATTTTATGACTACAATTAAATATTCAAACATCAGATCCTCCGTGAAGTTGATACATATCAGGATATGTAGCTTTTATGCTCATTTAACTTTGTGGTATCAAAAGTAATGCAATGAGGAAGTATATAGTTCATCTTTAATCTAAACTTTTAAAATTTTACCCGAGTCCTGTAAAACGTGCATTGTGATTTTGTAAATATGCACTCATCCTGGGAGTTATGTAGCTGGAATTAACATAATTGCATTTATTAGTTCCTGACTTCATGATTTACGTATATTTACCTGTAATACAAATATGTATAATAAACAAAACTTAAAGGGCGGCTTCGTAGACTACGAAGTGCGATAAAAGTGCGATAAAAAAGATTTAATAAGCTTCTTCTATGTGAATGATGTAGAATTACTTATAATGCATCCAGCATATGTAAGTTTCAAAATGTACCCACGTTAGAGTATCTCTGTTTTTTTTCTCCTGAGTATGGTAACTTTGTACAATTTTCTAAGAATCGTTATGAATGAAATATTAAATTGTGTAGAGGATTGACCTAAAGACCTGGTTAGGAAAACTAATGAATAAATTTCATGTTTCATGTCGATTTAATTTGTACGCAGGGATAAAAGTAAATGTCAATGAGAGAATATATCCAAACAAATTATACAATGCGCACAAATAATAAGTATTCGTATATTATTAATTTTATTGGCAAGTTTTAAAATATTTAGATGTGTCCAGTTAGTGCTTGGCTGCGTGATAAATATAAATATGTACCGTAAATATGTATCGAGTCCCTGAAATGTGGTCTTAGAAAATAAATGTAATTTATTTTTACGAATTATCATTTTCATCAGAGTATTCGGAACTTATAGAAATATTTTCGTCCTCTACTTGTTTATCACTCCATTGGAGACCTCTTTTTCGGTGAAATATTCCACGTCGAGCTGGACGATGTCCACCGGCACCCAGAGGCTGGAACTTTGTAAGGAGTCTTCGTTGCAAATTTGCCATACTCCTTCGCAACCAACGAATCCACATTTGTAGGTCCGATGAAATTTTATGGATTGGAATGTTATTTGACTCAATTTTCTGTATGTTGTAAATATTTAAGTTTTGAAGATTTTCTTCAGATTCTTCTGAAATAGAAGATTCCTCGGATGCCTTTAGTCGCTGTTCATTTTTTGCATGTTGTAGTTTTCCAATTTTTGGTTGACTTTGCTTGCCAATTTGCAGACTTTTATATTTTCCATTTCGTTTGTAAAAGTCAGAAAGTTTTTGAACCAAAATAGGTTGACGATTCTTATTATTATTTTGTGCGATCTGATTAGACGTAGAAGGTCGAGGTCTGTAATGATATGTATTAACTTTTTGAAGGTCAGTTCCAACAGCATTTGCACCATTCTGTTCAGACGCAGAGATAGTTATGGGCAGCTTAATATTAGCATAAACAGTGTACGGATTTCCATTATTGTAAATTGAAGTTGTGTCGTTGAATTTTTGCTGTTGGTTTGCGCCACCCATTTCTGCAACCTTCTGATTTTGTTGTTCCTTTGGACTTGGTTGCGCCATGGCCAATGCCCCACCAATTCCTCCAGCGGTCATCAGCAGAGATCCAAACGTATCTAGGAGCATTGTCTGCAGCTCAGAAAAGTTGAAGGGGCATGCCTCCTGTGATGGTGGCATGACCGAAATCGGGGTGGACGAGGTCGGTGGATAATTATTTCGAATCAAAGTCAGTTTCAGGAGACGGCTGTTGCATTGACGGGAACTTCGCGAGCGTGGAGTTTTGAGAGCGGTACGCAGTTTGTGCAAGTCCGCAGGGTTGTAGCGTCCCTAAAACGGCATAATTTTATATCGTCGTTTTTATTAGTTAAGCAGTGAATTTGACCAATAAGATGAATAAGGCTACCTTTTTCTGTATTTTCATAAATGGGTTAAAACTTCCAAATAGTCTCGGATATCGTTTTGATGGTGGGCCCACTCTTCGACTAAAAAATCCGTCGTATTCATTTACCAACTTTTCTAAGGAGTCAGACTTGTATATGGGACGTCCCCGTGACCGATACGACCTTATGTGTTGGTTATTATCAAGAATATTTTTGTTGGTTATGATGGCGCTATTTTCATCGTCGTCATCATCATCGTTTTCTTCTTCACTGCTTTCTTCTGCATCACCTTTTCTGTAACGAGGAGTATTTCAGTGTTGTCTTAAACGAGCACAATTATCTTACCAAATTGATATATGTGTAGAAATTAAGTATTAAAAATGATCATCTTCCTTGCTCTCCGAATTTATACATCAATGAATATTTGTAAAACCAGAAGTAATGTCTGGTTGTACAGGACTAATATTAGAAATATGCACATGTGATGTTTGTATGTATATATATGCAATGCATCAAACATGCACTTGCACAGTTGACAATCAGATATGCATATTTTACTTAACAATAGCCTACATATTGAATGGTGTACGCCGGATAAGCCGCGGATTAGATTAACTTTAGTAGACATACATATGTATACAAGTGACAAAAGATGCATCAAATCTGGTCAGAACTGACGAGAGAGATAATTGTCCGTTATTAGTGGTTATGATAATTGGCCAGTGTGTTATTCTTATTATTATTGTGGTCTGTCACACCATGAATTGTACACACTCGTATGTAACAACTTTTGGTGAGCTGAGCAGACGAGCAAAATTTAAGGTTTACAGTATTATAGGTTGGAATGAGAGCAAATTTCACTTCTAAGGATAAGTGCTTATTCGATTCTAACCGGAATTCTAATTCTAATTTCCACACATGCTTATGCTGAGTCATGACCTCAGACATTATTTTGGCTCAAATCATAAATTGACTAATACTTTAAATTGAAGGGAATAATATCAAAAATACTGTTTCTTCAAGTGGATTTAAACGCCTGATTCATGGATATGCATTCATGGATTTTAAATTGTTCTGCAGATAAATAAGCGGACCCATATTTTTGCGTTTTCTTGAATGAGCTATCGGGAGTTGGCGGGATTTTTAAATTGAGCCTTCACTAAGAACATTTTCAGCTAAAATCAGGATTTTTTAAAGAAACCCTAACTCGAATTTTAACCTGACTTAAGATTCATGGATATGCACAAATACGTATTTACATAATTGCATGGTTTTAGTTGGCAGAATTTGAACATATTATGAACTATGTATGCTACCAACATAAATGTACATGTTTACCATTTAAGCCAAGGTTTGCCAAGCTTTAAGTTCAACTCACATCAAATTTTTCATGAGTTTCTTTAACAACTCCTCATTCTTGGACCCACTTTGAACTTCTGAACCATTCATCATGCAAATTATCCTGGAGATACAACTCGGTAAATTTTGCATGTTAAGTTCGTTCCCTTTAACTGTCCTTGGTTGACGCACCGTTGAGGGAGACACGCTCATCACAGCTTCAGTTGTATTAATATGAGCTACAAAATCCGAATTCAAATATTAAGCTATGCAATTTTAAAATAATAATGTATAAATACTAATAAATAGACTTTAAAATTGAACAGACCAGAAGCTGTAATTTTGTCACTTAGGAAAACTAAGGACACGAAGACACAAAACATAACCGAAAATATTCCAGAACAAAGCATGATAAATTCAATGCACAAATTTGTGACAATAGGTATAAATTTGATTTATTACAGAAAAGCTTCCCTCATACCTTGAAATCCTGACACAAACTGAAATTAAAAAATGCATGTGTAGAAATGTGTTTGATGTATACATCTACCGCGAGGATGGTCAGCAATTAAGATCTTGATGCGGTTTTGTGTTCTACTGATCGAATTGTGGTAATTTTTTTGTTTAAAAGCGAGAGTTTGGGGAAATGCAGGGAGTAGAAATAAAATTAATAGTATTTTTATGAACATGTTGACAACAGTGATGTTGCACAATAAACGATACGTAGCATCAAGACTATGCATATCTGCTATGATTGAGGAAGATGCATATCAATTGCATGCGAATCAAATCAATTTGAATAAAAATAAGTAGTTGCATGCTCTTAATAAATCAATATATATTTTTATAATCACCAGATTAAATTAAATATGACGAGATCATTTTAATCGTTTCAAACGTAAAGCTCAGGCTCAAATTGAATCGTTCAATTGATTGTATATTAATTGTCGCAAACAGAATTTCTGCTTCCTGGATTTTTTAGTGAATCTGTGCATCAATGGAAATAATTTATAGAATAAATTATACAATAAATATCTGATTATTACATAAAGCTGTAATAAATCTGAGGTAATTTTCTGCCAGGTGGTGATAATTTTGGAGGGGAATAACCCGACTTGAATTGAATTACAAAGGAAGATAACTTCAGTTTAAAAATAAGGATCAGCATAATTTGATTCATAACATCCGCATATCCATCCTATAAAATACAATTTCGTGTTCATTAACAATTTAAAGATCACATGTGCATCAGTAACTCGCTCATAAAGTAGATAAAACGTAATTCCAGTCATTAAAAAAATGTCCAGGTTTATTTCTCAAATTTATTTTTTCTTGTTGGTGGGTGCAATTGTGTTAATTCAGGTAAGTTAAAACGCCATTTTAATATTTACAGACACACATAAACACAAATTATAAAACTATAGTTACATGTTGTAATTATGTAGAATCAAGCGTCAGGGTCACCACCAGGATCTAACATCGGACCAGCTCGACCTAGCAATACCACCGGAAATGCTCCGCCTCGAGTCCATCCCAACGACGAAGTCACTGAGGAGGACGTTACAAGTATAAATGGTACATCACGATATTGTGCATATTGTGGGGGTTATAACCCCATTGGGTGCAGTGACTACTGTTACTATGCTGGATATTCGTGTTACGTGTGCAACTCTTGTACTTGTTATTGTCTACGGTATCCTTGCTACTGAAAATAAGTGTTTAAAACCTGTTCCGTGAGCAACACAATTTATTAGATAAAACAAATTATTCATTAATTACCTACTAAATATTTACATAAACCCGATACATTTACATGTTTGTACGTATTATTTATGTATAAATAAACTGGCATAATGGTTGTTGGAATAGTCAGGTTATAAATGATATGCATTATTAATTATCTTGCATGGTATTTGCTTAGAGGTATAGAATTGCGTAATTGTTGGACGACAGATTTTCCTTGTTTTCTTGTCCACGAATCACTGTCCTCGCAGAGTTGGGATGCAGCCAATTGTTGCATCCAAATGTTTCGGCTGGGACTTGAAGTTGATTGTCAGATTCGAAAAACAAGCTGTTGTAAGATGGAGGGGAGTCACTCTGGTTGAGGTGGACTACGGGTGAAATGTTGCTAAAGTTGTCCATCGTTGTGATCTCTTTCCTATTTGCAGGTGGAGAACGTGAAGGAGATTGTGACCTTCTCCTGTTCCTATGTTTCCGAGCGGATTTCGAGCTATATTAAATTTTAAGAAGTTATACCATGCAAAAAAATCGTATATAATATTATTAATACTTGGAATTTGGCGTTGTAGAATTTGCAACATTGTTGATGTTAATGATCGACACTTTTCCCGTCATTCTGTGCTCCTTCGAGGCCTTAAACTTGTAGTAGAAGTGGTTACCTGTTATAAATAAGAGGCACACAACTACAAAAAATGCAGGTATTGCAAAAATCAGAAGGGATTCCTCCATTTTAGGGAAGAATAAACGTAATTAAATTTATCAGACGGAGAATAACGTTTTTGAGGTGCGTGACGTGATAAAAATTATTTAGTGAGTTAAGACGGAGAATGAAATGAAGGTGTTGGCGGAGGAGAATTAAGGAGCAATCATAATTAGTTTGCTAATTCGTAACCAAACTAATAACTTTGTAGTAAAGTGGGGATGATGATGACGACAAAAAATGAATACATACGTATGCATGTAACTTGTATGCTGCATACTTACACTCTCATCAGGTGTATTTCTGAATAATAATAATAATAAATTCATTCCACTACTAATGCTATATGACTTTTACGTTGTGGTCTACTCGTGCTATTTATTTTGCCATCTTTCCAGCAAATGCGATCATGTCATGATGAAGTGTGTATGTGATGTACATAAACATGCTAGCAAAATGTGCAAAAACATGCCACTTAATGTAATTCGCCCCTGTTTGTTGATCAATATACATGCTATGAAAACTATGCTATATATTATAGCATGTATATTTTAGCAAAAATTATGCAATTTTTCATAACTCGAGTAAAAATCAAAAATTCGCCAAGCGACTTGCATATCGATTTTGATTTTCATAACAATGATTTATGCAAAATTTCATCAAAATCGGTTTAGAAATGGCAGATAAATCGACTTATCGTTTCCCAGATTCCGCTGGTCTTGGTCTTGGTCTTCACGAACTTGCGGCCAAAACTTGCTGTATCCCAGATAACAATTCGCTCTGAATTCTCTTATGTTTCGATATTACATTCGCTTTGATATCGATATCGAATTCGCCTCGAATTTCCAACTTTCGAGATAAATTCGAGGAGATATCGAAGGGAAATGTCCGCCGATTCGACAGGGAATCGATGGAGAATCGTATATCGATTTCGCCGGTAAGTCTTCGCGATTTCGTCTTGAATTCGATGAACATGTAAGAGTTTATAACGATTTCTAAACGAATTCAATGCGACTTCTCCACGAATTTAATGCGACTTCTCCACGAATTTAATGCGACTTCTCCACGAATTTAATGCGACTTCTATACGACTTCACTGCGAATTAAGTAATAAATCGATACGATTTCTCCTATATTTCGAGTTAATCCAGCTTATAGTTTATTTTATTTATTTTAAATATTATGTAATATACATAACTGTTTCTATTAAAATAAACATAAGTTGAATAATCAGATGACCCTGGTAGTGAAATTGGCCGCGATGTTAAGTCACTTCCTATTGAAAATATACTAATGTTATTCCTAAAATCTTTTGCAACAGTTATTATCGATAGTATATATTTGTACCTCATACGCTTCCCAACTCTATCTGCGACTTTCTTAAGAGATTTTTGTATTTCTTCGTCAACTGTGCCCTCGTCTGTATAATTTGGAGTCCTAGGGTGAGCTGCTACCGCATCTGAGATTAACATATTTTTAAAATGTTTTAGAGTGTTGCATAATGAGATTGCATTTTGAGGAATTTTAAATTCAAGGGACCAATTTTGGATACTATGTCTAATATCAAAAGTATCAATTTCACCTTCACTTTCTGAGCTAATAGTTTCAGCTGAACTTACTTCCGACTTCAATTTCTTCCAGATCTTCCTCGAACACTTGTTCTGAATAAATGTTTTCCCTTTCGGCCTGGACTAGGTCACTATTAGTATCACTATAATAGTGTTTTTAGAAGTCTTCTTTTGTAGCGAGCACTCAACTGAAAAAGTCGTCTCCTTCCCATGAGGAACGATTTGAATGTGGCAGCTAAAATTACTTAAAAATACAATAACAGCGTGAAAGAGATCACAGTGAATTCTCTAAGAATTATTTACGAATTCGAGATTCAAGGCGAACAGTTTATAGTCTCCTATTCCTGTAAGAAGAATTCCTATCGAAATCGGGGAGAATTCCTCACTACAATAACAGCGAATTCGTTTAAGAATTCATAGTGAAGTCGTTTCGAATTCGATAGAAGAATTCTCTGAGAATTCGAGTCTAATTCATTACGAATTCTGAAATGAGCGTAATATCGAATTTAGATACGAATAATTACCGAATTCGATGCGAATTCGATACGAGAATAACAACGAAATCTGAGAGAATTCGAGTTCTCTGTTTTAACGCGACATTCTCTGCGAATTCTCTAAGCGAATTCATAGCGACCTGTTATCTGGGATGTTTCTCATCTGCGCAAGTGATGAACGGATGACTAATAGTAAATGTTGTTTCTAAAGCGTTGCTCTTTCAAACTAACATAGTAAAAAAATAATCGGGGCTGAACATGGTTTGCATCCCCATTGTTAGTAATTTCGTTATTATGTATTTTCCTCACTAATCCTAAGAAAAAAGGTTTAGAAAATTTATAAAAAAAAATATGAGAAAGCCATTCTAATCTCTTTTAGCCCCAGTCGGCGATTGACTGACTGGCGATTGGCTGACTCCTGGGAACGAACGTCAAACGTGCAGCAAACGTGCAGTGAGCTGTGTACAGTTGGAGGAGCATATACGCTCGTTTTTTATTATTTCCGAATTATTCTGAATTTAAAAAATTGTTCACAGTATTTGATATAAAAGAATTGTAACATGTCTTTTCTCGGTGACGAAGCTGAAGAGTCAGAGGTACAATTCCTAGGTCAAAGTGATAGTTCACTTCTTTGGACGAGAAATAATAAAAGATTATTATTATGTGAAATTTCAGCACGAAGGAGAAGAAGAGATTGGGCACGTCAGGAAGTACAAGAATAAAGACAAACGTAAAAAGCAAATTGACAGTGACGAAGAGGAGGAAGATGGTAAATTGAATGATTATGATTAATAATTTAATTAATTAATGTTGCGATTTGTACTTATTCACACAAAAATGTATGAATTGTATAATTATTTATATAATTTGTACTTTTTTAATTTTAGATGATGAGGAAGTGTTGAAAGATCTTATCGATGATAATCCTATAGAGGAGGACAGCGATAATGAGTCTGATGGGTCGCGGAAGAGAAAGAAAAGCGATGAGGAGGATGACTTTGACGATCGCTTGGAAGAAGATGATTATGATCTTCTCGAGGAGAATTTGGGAATGAAAGTCAAACGGGTGAGTTTAGTTTAATGTAGAATGGATTGTAATTGTCAATGTTTTTTTGGTTGTCTTTTATTTAAATAAAAATATAAAAATGTTAATTCACTTTTTGACATGTTAATTGAGCAGAAAAAAAGCTTTAAGAGAATTCGACAAGATGCGGAATCGGACGTTGAAGATTCACAGGAACAGGGCGATGATCGGGAAGCCATTGCGAACCAACTCTTTGAAGGATCTGATAATGTGAGCATACATTTTAATCTGTGCTATGATTTGTAATTTTAATATTTTTTTAGGAGAATGAGCGCCCGTCACGACGAGAAGAAGCACCAGAACAATACGCTTCTGACGAGTCTGAAGTGGAGTCGGAAACGGATGATTTCATCGTAGATGATGACGGTCAGCCTATTGCAGATAAGCGAAAGAAAAGAAAGCCAATTTTTACTGATGCTGCCCTCCAAGAAGCCCAGGACATATTTGGAGTTGACTTTGATTATGAGGATTTGGACAAGGAAGATAAGGAAGAGTATGATGAAGGTTATACATACTTTATTTAATTAATTTCAGTTTATTAAGATTATTATTTGTATTGTACTAATTGTATTCGGTCTTTTGTACAATTGATTTTGTCTTGTGCAGATGAGGAGGACGAGGATGAGTATGAAAATGAAGAGCAAAACATCGCAAGGCAAGCTCTTTTTAGATTTGGCAGGGATGAGGGAATAACTTGGAGCCCTGTTTTTAATTGAATTTTTTTATATTTTGCAGGAGAACAAAGAAAGCATTAAGGCGGAAGAAGAAGCTCAAGTCCCTCTACGAATTGTACGAACCTCATGAATTAGAAAGAGCTGGGATTACGGAAGAAGACAATCGAATTAGAAACACAGATATCCCAGAACGTATGCAACTCCGCGTCGTCCCCATCACTCCCGCCGACGAAGACGAACTTGAGGAGGAGGCAGAGTGGATATTTAAGATGGGTTTCAGCAAATACAACTTTGCAGCCATCGTTGACAAACCCAAAGTAGGAGAGATTACCCCTGCCCCACAATCTGATTGGGGAGAAGATTGGGACAAACAGTCTGGAATTGCGGTTCCGACTCCAGCTGCCAGTGTCGTTTCCAGCACGGTGAGCAAACGAGGTGCAACTCCTGGGGAAGAAGACTGGGAAGAGAAGTGGGAGAAGGCTTCCTCAATTGTCTCCGCTGCTCCAAAATCCACCCTTAGTGCAAAACAAGGAGGAGGCGTCGTGGACGATGATGACAATTGGGACAAGGCTTCCTCAATTGTCTCTGCTGCTCCTAAATCCACTCTTAGTGTTAAACAAGGAGGAGGCGTCCTTGACGATGATGACAATTGGGAGAGAGAATCCAATTTCGAGAAACAGTCCGTCACCGGAGGGCCGAAGTCGAGGGTTGGCGATTCCGACGGGATTCTTCCCGGAGCAGAGTCTCATATCAGCACGGCGGCGAGTGGTGCCCCCCAAAAATCTAATATTCAAATTATGGAGGAGTATAAGCCAAAAGTGGTGGCAAAAATTAGGAAAGCACTTGAGTTCATGAGAAATCAGCACTTGGAAGTCCCGTTCATCGCGTTCTATCGCAAAGAGTATATCCAACCAGAACTGCAAATTAACGATTTGTGGAAAATTTACAAGCTAGATGGGCGCTATTGCCAGTTGAAATTAAGAAAGACAAGACTAAGCATCCTGTTCAAAAATATGCAAATGTATCAGACTGATTTGATAATGGAAAATGCAGATGAGCAAATTTCAGATGCTGTGCGCATAATTTCCGAAGACGATATTGATCGTATTAGAAGCTTAAAAACGTCGGAAGAGCTTGACGACATGTATCTGCTCTTCAGTCTCTACTACGCGGATGACGTGCAGTTAATGAAGGAAGCGATGGTAAAGAAACGGCTGGAAGCTAAGCAACGAGCAAGGGAAGTGGCTGCTGCAGAAGGCGAACCAGTCGAAGATCCAGACGACCTTGACTCGGATCCTATTGAGTTTCCATCAACCAAACGAAAAATTGGGGGTGGATCTTACGCTCTATGCAAAAAGTTGGGAATTGACAGCCTTGTCAAGAAATTTGGATTGACTCCAGACAGGTTTGCTGAAAATTTGCGAGACTCGTATCAACGATATGAAGTGGAGCAATACCCCATGGACCCGCTGGACACGGCAAAAGAATATATGAACGAGTAAGACAGGATTTTAAGTTATTCACATGAAATAACCAATTAAACGCTTTTTTTGGCTAAACTAATTTATTTTTTACTTTGATTTTGGCAGAAGACTGAAAACTCAGGAGGAGGCATTGAAGGCGGCCAAGTTCATGTTGGCGACGCAAATGTCTCGAGAACCACTGGTCAGGTTGAGCGTGAGGGAAGTGTTCTTTGAATGTGCCACCATTACAGTGACCCCAACAAAGAAAGGGCTCCGTGAAATTGATGAAGCACACCCTTGTTATGCGTAATTATAAAAACACGTCATTACTAATTACTTTTAACTTCTTACGCTGACTTGTGTCCCTTTCGTTCTGTAGAATGAAGTACATCAAAGGTAAACCAGTCCGAGATTTAAAGCAGGACCAATTTTTAAAGCTGACGATGGCAGAAGAAGACAAGTTGATCAATTTGGTGATTGGTGACCAAATCAAAGGGATCACCGGAGATACTTATGTGGAGGAAGTTGTTCAACTATTCAGGAGAGTACGAAATATATACGTGTATTCAAGTAGTTTCTAGTTGGCAACTTTATATTATGCATTTGCTTATGTTCTTGTGCTTTCAGGATGAGTACAGCAAACTTGTTCAAGAGTGGAACGACATCCGAGCAGAATGTTGCCAATTTGCACTGGAGAAACTCTTGTATCCGATTTTTCAAAAAGAATTGAGAGCAAAGTTGCTGGATGAAGCCAAAGAATATGTCATTGACACTGCTACTCATAAACTGAACGAATGGCTCAAAGTAAAATCAAATTTCTTTCTCATTATATTTCTTATTTTACTTTGTTTAATTTTGTATGTATTTTTTTATGAACAGGTTGCACCTTACTCGGTCAATTTTGCCGACGAAAATGAAGAAGACTGGGACACTAGTAAAGGAATTCGTGTTTTGGCCATTGCCTACGTTCCCGATTTCAGCCAAGCTTCCTTCGCCACAGTGATCTCTCCTGCTGGAGAGCCATCCCAGTTTATTCGCCTTCAAAACATCATGAAGAGTCTCAAATCCTTTAATGAATCTGACCGGAAGGATAAATCAGAAGATTTAAGGTCAATTAAGGAATTGATTGTCGCCAAAAAGCCACATGTGGTTGTGATTGGTGGAGAATCCCGTGATGCAATAATGATTAAGGAAGACATTCGAAATTTGATTGCCGACCTTAGCACGGAGGATGGTTTCCCAGCAATTAATGTAGAGATTGTGGATAATGAGTTGGCAAAAGTCTATGCTAGCTCTATTAGGGCTCAGGTCAGCACTAGTAAATTATTGTATAAATTTTAAATATGTTAAACATTCTTTAATTCATTACAGACTGATTTTCGTGAATATCCTCTCATCCTGAGGCAAGCAATTTCTCTCGGTCGGAGGATGCAGGACCCACTGATAGAATTTTCGCAACTTGTGAATCATGACGATGAAATTATGTGCCTAAGATTTCATCCTATGCAGGTGCATATTTTTTTTACAGATTAATAATTAATAAATTTATTGATACAAAAATGTAAGATTTTAATAATATTTTTAGGATCAAGTTGCAAAAGAAGAATTGTTGGAGAGTTTATTAACGCAGTTTGTGAATCGAACGAACGAGGTAGGGGTTGACATAAATCGTTGCATTTCTAGTCCCTTTACCATGAACGTGGCACAGTTTATTTGTGGACTGGGACCCAGGAAAGCTGTAGCACTCGTTAAGGTAATACCTACTAATATCCGCAATTTATTTACTGGGGTAACTAGTCTTTTTCTAGACCAATTTAATATTATCTTTATAGACACTGAAGCAAAATAGCCAACGGCTTGAAAATCGAACCCAGCTTATCACAGTGTGTCACATGGGACCTAAAATATTCATTAATTGCTCCGGCTTTATCAAAATTGACACCAATTCTCTTGGGGATAGGTATGCGCACAGAATTATTAAAGTGTTTGGTGATGTAAGTGCTAATTTGTTATTTATCTAATTTTGTTGCTATTCACAGTACGGAAGCCTACGTCGAAGTATTGGACGGCTCCAGAGTGCACCCTGAAACTTATGAATGGGCCCGTAAAATGGCTGTGGATGCTTTAGAGTACGACGACGAAGATTCAAACCCTGCCAGTGCACTAGAGGAAATTCTGGAAACTCCAGATCGATTGGAGGAGCTGAATTTAGATGCTTTTGCTGAAGAGTTGACACGTCAGGTTCGTAATATTACAAATTGTCGCTTTCTTTTCATGCAAAAGTAGTCGGTTGAGAAACCAGTCAGAAATCACATATTACCCTAAAATGGACCTGTTTGTATAAATAATGTTTAGGGTTTCGGAAACAAGAGCATTACTCTTTACGACATCCGTTCTGAACTTAATGCCCGTTACAAGGATCACAGAGAACACTACACGACTCCAAATGCTGAGCAGCTTTTCAACATGCTCACCAAAGAGACTCCCGAGACGTTGTACAGAGGAAAACTTACAACTGCCACCGTTGTCGGTATATCGCATAAGAAGCCACAAGGAGAGCAACTCGATGATGCAATTCTAGTTAGAAGTGAAGAAACGGACATGTGGAAATGTGCTTTCTGCATGAAAAATGACTTTCCTGATTTATCTGATGTAAGAATAATATAAACTTGGCAATACTAATTGGAAAATATGAAATCTATGAAATGAAATCACTAAAATAGGTTTGGAACCATTTTGATGCGGGTGCTTGTCCTGGTCAAACTGCTGGGATACGAATCCGACTTGATAACGGGGTCAGTGGCTTCATTTCACTTGGGAAACTGTCCGACAAAACTGTAACCAATCCGGACGACAGAGTCAAGCGTGGCCAAACTATACATTGCAGAATTGTGAAAATAGACGTGCATCGATTCAGCGTTGAGTGCACATCACGAACGAGTGATCTGGTCGACGATGACCAAAAATGGAGGTGATGGTGTTCAATGATGCTGTTTTGGTTTATTTGTGTGTACAGTTTATCTAGCAATAGTAATTAATATTAGCAACTTCTATTTCTTGGTAGACTGCCAAAGGATCCGTACTATGACGCCGAGGCTGAAGATAAGGATAAGAAGCAGGAGGAGGAAGTCAGGAAGAAGAAGCACTATCAAACCTATGTCCGCAGGGTCATTGTACATCCAGCGTTCAAGAATATTTCATTTAAAGAGCTTACTCCGATAATGGAGACGATGTATCAGGGCGATTTGATCATACGACCCTCCAGTAAGGGCTCGGACCACTTGACCGTGACTTGGAAAGTTACAGACTCCATTTGTCAACATATTGATGTGCTCGAAACAAAGAAAGAAAACATGTTCAGTCTCGGTCGGTCGTTGCACATTGGATCGGAAGAATATGAGGACTTGGACGAAATTATTGCTCGTTGCATAAATCCTATGGCTTCGCACTCAAGACAATTAGTTTCCTACAAATACTACGTCAAGAATCTTGGCGGAAGCCTGGCCATGGCAGATGAATATCTAAAAGAGGAGAAGAAGAAAAATTCGAATAAGATTCACTATGTTATTCATCCCAGCAAGGAGTTTCCAGGAAAATTCGTCCTATCATACCTTCCTGGAAACAAAGTTCTGCATGAATTCATCACCGTGAATCCATCTGGCTTCAGATATCGTCACCAATCATTCCCGACTTTAAATGCTACATTAAAGTGGTTCAAGGAACATTACATGGAACCTCCGCCCAGCACCCCTATTACCACACCGGCGACCAATGTTGCGGCATCTAGCGCCACTGCACAACAACATGGTAAGAGTCCCTAAAATTAGTTAAATCAGTGGTTCCAACTATTTTATACAATATGAATTGAATTTTTACAAAAATGTCCTGGTTTTGCATTACTTTAGGCATGTTTGTTCCACCGCCACCACCATCCAGCCATTTTGCATTACGTACTACTCCACATTACACCACCCCAGCACTAGGGTTGACTCCATATTCTGCATTCACTACGGTACAATTTCATGCTTTGTCTTTTAATTGTCATCATTGCCATAAGAGGAAATCATGTTTTATTTATCGTTTTACAGCCATACACACCAACAGCCCAAACTCCATACATCACTCCGTACCAGACCCCTTACCAAGGAACTCCGTGGGAGTCGGATCCGCAAACCAGGGCCCCATTTGTAAATTCTTCTAATGGCTTCAATAACTCGGGACAGAAGTTCCAGCAAAAAACAAATATGATAAGGCATGGCCTGTTACTGTTTTCTCCTATTATCCTAATGACTAAATTAATAAATGGAATAGATACTTAACTCGTCTCGATTTTTACTTACAGAGTATCTAGAGACGAACAATCTAACGATGATGGTAATGATTGGCGTAAGGCTGCAGATGCCTGGGCAAAATCACAACAGCGCCGCCCACAACGACCGCTGGATTTTCAGAGAAATGATGACAACCCCAACTTACAACCACTCGGATCAAGGCAGCATATATCGGACCCGGCTTTACGAAGCAGTATGCTACCATTCCGTAAAACAGGGGAAGGGTTACGAGGAGAGCACCATGCAAGTGTTAAAATTTTAATGTGAATATAAATAGCATGTGCTTCTAGATTATTTCTCTTTAATTCCTTCCAGGCTTATGGGTCATCCGCACATAATTTGCTTCCAAATCCTTCTCATCGATCTGGCCGTGACAGTTTGAAATCAACTCCTCACACCAACTATAGCCCGCGATCAATGGTAGAAAGCTCATCGGGCGATGAAACTCCACTTTATGATGAAAAGTAAAATAATTTGATGTTCCAATTAGTTGATATTTATTCCATTTGGAATTAGCTTTTTGCTAAAAAAATATTTAGGGTTTAGCCAAACATGTGTCTAGTGTAGTTCACTTGTAGTAAATAAATTTGCAAAATGCAAAATTCGAAATAGTTGAATGTATTGTTTTAGAAAGAGGAATTCTTGACGGCGAACTGGCGACTAATTTCCTTCATTATTTTATTTATTTTATGCACATGTATGTATGCCCATATGTACATACATGCATCGTACTTGTCGGCATTGATTTTTTTGTGAATCTGATTAGATCCATTGGTTGCGTTGATTTAAATTAATATGCATAAATGCAAAATATGTAATTGAAGATGTATAGCGTTTAATGAAAAACTGAGCAAAATCTATTTTGTACACATTTTATTTAAAATTAGAAATGTTTTGGACTAGATCTGTTTCCTAAAGACCATTAGCGTATTTTTAAACCAATCAAACGTACTCGCAGCTCGTAAAGTTTTTTCCGCCTCAAAATCTGAATTGTATCCTTTCTGAACAATTTTATCCCGAATGTAGCTGTTATTACGAGTATTTACGTGTGACGTTCCTCCCTGACCTTCCACTGCCCAGCTGAGGATAATGCCGTACTTGCTCCCAAGGATGTTATTTATAAAGATATCTTCAAATTCTTTGGGTATATGCTCTCCTACTTCAAGAGAAAGTGTCCAATCAAATTGACAAAAATCAATTGGTTTACTCAGATCCACTATAGCACATCTTCCTTCAGATAATTCTTGAGTCTCGGGATTCCCATCGTAGCAAGAGATAAGCACGCCAGCCTCCTTTATCATTTTCGCGTAAGCTCCCGTCCCACACCTAAAATGGAATATTAGTCTCGGTCAATTCTAGTCTAGTTGTTTAATTGGTTCAGTTTATATTACTTACCCAAGCTCGAGTAAGGTATTGACCTATGTTTGTACGCAAATGTACACAATAGTCTTTGTAATTATTGAATTCTAAGCTACAAGAATGTCATTTTTGTGTTAAATATGTCACCTTTTCCTTCTTCATAAACTCTACTAGAGCTGTGGCCAAGGGTACGTCAAACATGTGACCTTTTGTGGCCCCGAGACCCTGCCAAACGCAATTTTAATTCCATTTCGCTTCTATTTAAATTGCAGACATATTAATTTTCCTGACCTGCCAAAATCCGCGATCTGCTACCGAGAATTCTTCTTTATCCCTCTTCACTCCTGGTTCTACAGCTCCTCGATCATTTCGAGCATAAAACTCGATAGCTCTGGCTTCCATGTCACGCAGTATTTCCAGAGTTTGACTTAACCTCTGCTGTGTGTAATTGTCATGTTGTTTCCGAAGTTCTGAGGACCAGTTTAGGTATAAAATTACTCCCTGTTAAGAATCACAAGAATCATTTTGAGACGAATTGCAGACGTAGATAGATGATTACGAATTGCAAATTTGATTTTACCAATATTCCAGCGCACGCTATAATTAATGGACGATTTTGTTGAATACAGAGCGACATTGTTGAACTCGGTGTGTAATAGCCTTTGCTAACTTTAGACATTTATTGAAATAAAAAATCGGTTAAATCTTAATTGGTGACTTAATCTATGTACATACTTAAATGGATGTGTGTAACACTGGGAAGAGAAGGAATCGGTAAACTAATTGATACTGCCAACTCATACATTGTGACGATATCGCAGAGATAATGGCGTGCGTATGTTATCAATCAATTTGCGGCATACATACGAAAGGAAGTGTATTATGATTAAGCTATAAAATGGGTTATCTACGTAAATGCAATCAGTCCGTTTCTGAATTACGTAATCTCAACTATGCTTCTCTATCCCAGGGAAAGGGCTGATGCAGATCGCTGACGACAGAAAATTAAGTACATACCCACGAGTATTACTTTCCCAAATGATCAAATAAATTTGAGATTTTCATATCAGGCAAGCGCACTTAGTGATTTTCGGCCCACATATATTTCGATATTGTGCTTCTGGTGATCAGATTGCTTTGCTTTAATAAATAAGGGGACAATGGGCAGATATTGAATATGTACGTGTATTATCTGCACCATGGGTATAACCCGTTCATCATCTCTGATCAGATTGATACATATGTGCGTATATGTACATAGTTGACTTTTACATAACAAATTGTCTTAAAATCCAGGTATTTGCACAATTTGTGAACGACGTTTTCATTCATCCTGCGCACTTGTATCTCTTATAGGCTTTTTGATACGTTTAATCCACGAGGATAATATAAATAACTTGTTTATATGATATTTGCATTGTCGGGAGTGCACCTACTTTATTGATGCTGCAGGTATACAAATGCAGGTCAGATACATATAATAAATTTGTATTGCTTGAGCTAAATAATTGTGTCGGCTAACATCCAGGCCGAATTTTAGGCCGTAATTTATCTCAAACAAAAATTCATGACCTCTCTATTTAATAAATACAGCACCAAATATTGTTTGTATGTATGTATGAATATGTACAAAAATATCTAACTTCACAACCAAATACTTGATTATACATCAAAACCGCATTATTGTTCTTATTTTTTCTTGAATAAGTAATCCTGTGACGTTTCTTTTACTACTTCAAACCCTTTTTCACCCAAAAACTTTTTGAGAACTTCACCTCCCTCAGGAATCCAATAGTGTTCGACAAACAAAACCTGAATCAGAAATAAGTAAATCATGTGTATACCTACATACATGCATGCAATTGTACTAAATATGTATATGCAAACGAATAAGCCTTGAAAGTGCTAACCTTAATATGAATTCTGTCGAATGGAATATTTTTTAGTATTTCATACTCATGCCCTTCAACATCCAAACTAAAAAAGTCGACAGTTGTTACGTTAATAGCTGCAAGCACAGATTCAAGTGGAAAACAGTCCACAATTCCTTCTACGTTGTAGTCTTCTTTTTTATAGCCCCAAACTGGATCTTCCTATAAATTCGGGGCAATTAATAGCACATACTTACTTAAATGCATGCATAATGAGTCATTTACTTTTGCTAGGTATTAGATAAGTATGCAACACAATATGTATTATACAACGCAACCACTTTGTCCAATTTTGGTTGTTTAAAACAATAATTTTTAAAAAAGTTACCCTTGGTTCCTTATATTTTCCAGGTTTTAGTTTTCCCGTGGCAAACCTCCAACTCCAGTCGGTTTTGTTGGACATTAGAAACTCCATCTAATAAATTGCATACTTAGCACTCTTGATAAATCGCAAGTATTTACACCTTGGAAGCTCACTTTTTCGATGGATCCACTCAAACACACATCCGCCAACCATGCCTTTCTTTTCTTCTTCTCCATGATTTTAAATAGCGAAGATGAGCTTTCTATCAGCAAACCATCCCAATTATACTTTGCTTCGAGACCAAAAGTGTTAGTATTAAACTCTCCGTCATTGGCTCCACATTCTATGAAAAATCCTTTCTACTCCACAACAAATACAACATTTTTCTCAGAATACACAAAAAATTAGATCCAAATACTCATACTTTTGTGGAGGCCTCGAGAATGTCGACGTATGCCATCGCCCGTGATGAGAGGCCATCAACGGTCGCAGCGATCTGATACGGCTCTTCTTTCGGAGGGGGAGGGACGAGGTGATGTTCATGCAAATATTTTATGACGGCAGGGTCAGTGGGAGAAAGTGGCGTGTTAAAGATATCAACGGGACTTCGATTCGGCAGATATGACAAAATTATGTTATGTGCTCTGGGAATATTTTCTCTGTACAAGAATAAAACCAAGACAAATGCAAGGCATGCAAGTACAAAAAGTTCTGTAGTTTGTGTACGGAGGGAACGGAGTAAATTTCGAGACATGTTTAGAATTTGTGAATATCACTTAATTTGTGTAATTAAACTGTAAGGTTAGAGAATTCGGTGCAGATTGAATGAGGGGAAATTGCCGATACTTGTTGTGTAGTGTACTGTGTATTATCCAGAGACTTGTGGATACAAGGGTACGTTATGTAAATTATGAATGAACTAGTACCAATATTTTACTTTTAAATGAAATATCCATTATGACCTACGCATTTATAGACAATACACATTACGCTATTTATAGGGTTTGTGAGTGCAGAATAAATCTTCGAGTATATGATACCCCAATTTAGCAATGGAACATTATCTTATCTGAAAGTTATGTGTAGATAACCTACTACCGCTAACTGTAATCAGCAAATTCTGTTCGATAGCTTTGGTTTTATATTTATGTACGTTCTTATTTTTTTAAATCTGTTCTTAGACATATAACATCAAATTTCCGTATGTTTTCTAATTTTGATAAAATACTAGAGTCTAAAATATGTAACTACACAAGTTTAGAACATGTTCATAAATATTTCATTGAATATTACGCACAGCGACATTCTTATTTATGTGTACAAAATTAATCTCCTTAACTATATGCACAATTTAATTCTAGTTTACATAAATGTGCAATATTTATTCTGTGTTAGTAATAGCGTAGCTGGTTGAAAAAAGGCATCGTGGTGCCCTAGAATGTCTCCAAAATACCTAATGATCATCCCATGCCATTTTTAGCGTGAACTTTGGCAACTAGGATAACAAGTCAGAAAACAATTCATGCAATTCTTCTTTCATATTTAATGATATACAGCAAGTGCCAGAGTTTGTTTTGCCATTTTAAGATTTTACCGTCAACCGTAATTGTAAAGCTGTTAGATTAATCACATGACTTGGCCGAATTCGCAAGCTATTACCAACATACGTACAGGATGTATGCATGTATGACAAGTAAGCACATATGCAAATACTTTCGCCTAGACAAAAGGAAAAACAGGAACCCGTTTACCAGAGTTGATATTTTGTCTTCATCATCACGGGATTGGTCATAAGTTTGTTTGTTGGTGTTGCTTTATCGTGAGAAATTGCTCTTTAAGAGGTACTCCGAGTTGTGGTATAGACGGAATTTTAAAGTCTGTCATACCTAGGTATTCGAAATACCTAGGTATGAAATTCATCATAGGTATTCGAAAAAAACTAATTGGCAGAAAATATGAAGGTATATGCAAAATAATGCTAAGTAGATGCAGAAAATTGGAATACAAATTTTTACGTTAATGTCGCTTTGACTAACTTAATTTAAATGAGTTGAAATAACTGAGTTTGATAAAGTTGGATTTACTGGTAGTTAATATTCACAGGGACGTAAAATGTTTATAGACAGGCACACATGTAGTGCATTTCAGAGGTTAAAACTCCGAAGGAAAATACTATTTCATGTCGAGTCGCTAAATTAGAAAAACTAATACTGTAATTTTATTGTCAAATCGAATAAATAAGAGTCAAAATCTAGTGAACCTTTATTTATTGTATTGTATTATCTCTAAAATTACATATTGCTAACAAATGTATGATTGTAAAAATACATCAGTTGCACTGCAGTTTTTCTGGAAGAAAGTTGCGAATTTTCATGAGATGAGCAGCATATTCATGAATTCCTTCCTTCTGCTGTTGTTTTCTGCCGGATGGATATCGAGCTTTGTGCCATGCACGAAGTGGAGTCAAAACTGCATGAGCCAGAGAAAAATTGTCCACATTTGCATAACATGCAACCAAAAATCCATTCGCAAGGAAATGTCCAGTCATTGTGAAAGGGGCGAAAATTCCAGTGAATTGTTCAGTTTGAATCTCAGTCACCGGAAGTAATGCCAAAGCACCAGTTTCATCGAAATGCAGCAATTTGTCACCTGATCGAGATAATAAATTCGTAAATAAAAATATCATTGCACATTTTCATAGTTTATGCTCACCTGGAGAAATATTTCCAGCTTTCTGTGCGACCTTGTTGCCATTCTCTCCAACAACGAAGAGCAAATGCTCACTGGAAATTGTGAGCTGTTTTCCATTCTCGGTTTTAATTGCCAAGAAATCGGCAATTCCATCTTTCTCGTAATGACCCCATGTGTAAAATGTGGTCCATTTAAGACTTGAGCCTTTCAGAGTCGAAATTTTATCAAGAGGGCGTAAATCCTCGATATTTTTGACTCCTCTCTTCGTAGTGACCGTGGTCCCAGCAGGAAAGCAAATGCAAACCATGTCTTAATATCAAAGTGTAATTATGAGTACTTCAAAATCTCGGAGAATAAATTGTCCACTTTGTATCCGATGTCGAGTTAAAAGTCAACTGTGCAATTTCCTCGTTCAACGCGACTTCTTAAATGTGGCCAAAAACGTTGCTTAAATACTGCTGCTCAAATTGCTTTCCTGGTTCAAGGTAACGCATACGACGCTCATACAGGTGCAAAAACTAACTTATTGGTGCTAACCTAACCTGCACCAACAAGTGTGCGACCTAGGTTAATGAGTACCCGTGCATATGTACTGGGATCAGCGTAATGGAATGTTGGACACAACAATTGTAAAACTTGTTAGGCACCTGATGTTAGTGAATTAGAAATGACGGGTACGGTGTAAGTGGTTATGAAATGGAATTGGTCAATGTCGAAAGAATTGTTTTCAATATCACATGATTGGTCCCAAGTTGTTGTCGTGGATTTTGGCGTCACGTGAGAAATCAATATTTTTATGGAAGTGCACTTGTTTTTTACACAAGAAAAATTGTGTAATATATTATTGTTTAGTATTCATCCCCCCAAAAAATTACGAGCTGAGTTAAAATACGTATTTGAATGTGGGTGAAATACATAATTATTTTGAACTGAATGTCACGAATTGTAATTACATATTTAATTAGTTGAAACATATGTATGTATGCATTTAGCTCCCAGTTCAAATTACTAATGATGTGAATCGTACTTACCTATTTATTGCTGTATGATGCAATCTGGGGAAAATTTAATTTCTCATAGGTTGATCTCATTAGCGATGCAAAAGTTAGATATTTGGTAGCATGAAGTAATGCATCATGGGAATTATAACCTCGGTATTTCTCCAAATTAACTTTTCATTATTCATGAAAACGATTAATGATAGATCACTCTCAATAAAGGCTCAATTATAATTATTTTATTATATTGTACATTAAAAAATTATGTATCGAAGAAATGTAATCTTTAAAATACATCAATTGAATTGCAGTTTTTCTGGAAGAAGGTTGCGAATTTTCATGAGATGAGCAGCATATTCATGAATTCCTTCCTTCTGTTGTTGTTTTTTGCCGGATGGATATCGAGCTTTGTGCCATGCACGAAGTGGAGTCAAAGCTGCATGAGCCAGGGAAAAATTGTCCACATTTGCATAACATGCAACCAAAAACCCATTGGCAAGGAAATGTCCAGTCATTGTGAAAGGGGCAAAAATTCCAGCGAATTGTTCGGTTTGAATCTCAGTGACCGGAAGTACTTCCAAAGCACCATTTTCGTCGAAATGCAGCAATTTGTCACCTGGTTAAGAAAATGAATTCATGAATATAAATAACGTTATAGTTTTCATAGTTTATTTAATATGCTCACCAGGACAAATATTTCCAGCTTTTTTTGCGACTTTGCCCTTCTCTCCAACAACGAAGAGCAAATGCTCACTGGAAATGGAGAGTTCATTTCCATTGCAGGTTTTAATTACCAAAAAATTGGCAATTCCGTCCTTCTCATAATGACCCCATGTGTAAAATGTTGTCCATTTTGGTTTTGAGTTATGCAAAGTCAAAACTTTATCAAGAGGACGCAAATCCTCAATATTTTTGACTCCTAGTTTTGTAGTTATTGTAGTTCCACCAGGGAGACAAATACATAAGCAAACCATGTTGCTAACAAAAATATGAAAAAATTATGTATTAAAAATTATTTGCAAGTTCGGGTCAGTAGCTACTCGCTTCTGCTGTCCACCAAGAACTGACCATCTTGACTCTGATGCACAACAAGTTAAATAAAAGGGCAATAGCATAGCGTCGTGCATATCTAATAGCATAAGTGCGTAGTGCATACATAAATCATGAAGAAGAGTGGATACCACACCCGACGACCAGGAATTACCCTGTCTATTTATTAACGGGTTGAGTTAAAAGACCAGTGAAGTTTTTAGTTGTGGTAGTCTATTCTGTTTTTAATGTGCGGTATACAGGAAATCTGTCAATGTAACCAGTTTTTCGGGCGTTTTCTCGCGATATGTAATCTTAAGTTGGAGCATGTAAAAAATTTACGACAAAATTTAAGCATGGAATGAAGGGATTACTTAGTAATAGGTACATAGTAAATTTGGTAAAATCTGGATTTGTTTGTTTCAAAGAAAACGTTACCAGATCCTTCGCAGACCAAACATGTCTTGACTTGATGAAACATATCTTGGTCAAACGTTTGATCAAGATCGATTGTATCTGCATTCTGTGAAGTCAGATGTGGGAATACCAGGTTTGCAATTTGCATACTCCATCAACATGAAGACGAGCTCCTGCTTCCGACAAGTTGATTTCGATTACTTCATGTTTCAAGTTAGATATTCGCCGTAAAATTGTTATGAGTTATATAATTGAGGAATGAGGAATAATTCGCAGTAGTTAAGGTAAATTCCCATTCCAGTGTATCAGAGTTATGTACCAGATAAGGAATCCCATAGAAAATTTTGTTGGTATACCTGTACAGTCGTTAAACATGCTGCTAGAAGATATTCAGCAACAAGAGGTCAAGGTAGGATTTCTAGTAATAATGAGAAATATCCTACCTTAAAATACTGTGTGAGAAATTTATTGCTTTTGACCTTGTACTTGTATTTCACAAGTAGTTTACTAAATAGTATTCATATTTTCACATTGTTTTTCCTAAAAAAGGCAGGGGCATGGCAAATAAATAAAGTGACAATGGAAGCCATTAAATCTGTCAACTCATAATGAAACTATGCTTAATTAAATTTAATTTCTTTCGAATTGAATGAATACAGATAGACGTGTTCTGGAAGTCACAAGGAGTGTGATAATATTAAACCATGTTGGGTCAGGTAAATATTTAGTTGACAGGTACCAGTGGTCATGCTATAAGAAGACACGTGATGTTTTTCCACAATGAAAACATGTTATGTAAATGTTTTTTATGTGCTGAACTTCACTTGTTACATATACGTATATCATTTGCATTTTATTTCCTAATTTCATACATCTATCAGTCTATGAAAAATGCAACGGAAACATTAAAATCATTTGGCATGTTATAAGATTTATGCTAATTAAGTAAGTAATTTGCCTGGTAACAAGATGAGTTCATAAATAATTAATATTTTGGGCTATATATAATATAATATCATTAAAATGTCAATAAATATTTAAAAAGCCAAGATTTATTCAAATACATATTTACTTTCATTGACCGAATTTCCACAAAACGAAACTTGATGAAAATTTATGTTGCTGCACAGTATAAACAAGTTCATCTCGATCATAATCGCAATGACGTATCGAGCTGAAGTAAATACGGTATTGTTGTAAACAAACTTTGAAAATAGAATTAAATATCTAAGAAGACAACAGAAGACTCACGTCACACCACAAATCACAATCCTCTACAACCATGACCAACTCAAAATTTTTTAAAATTTTCCTTCCTAATAACAACAACCAATAACATGTTATGACCGTGTTGTTTGTGGCAATTTACATACACATGTATGAAAACCATTAAAATTGTTTGGTATTTGTTCTACAAAATCTGATTGTTGATACACTTTTTTGATACATCTTCTGTATTTACTGAAAACTTGGCTCAGTAGGATATTACTTGCATAACTGCTTACGTCATTGTCCAGAATACCGTGATGCATGTAATCATGTCAATATTGACAATTACTCTGAATGGTTATATGAAGGAAACCAACTAAATATTATAATTCTACGGTTTTGGACTGTACATTCTTTACCTATTGTTTCCAGATTTTATAATAACTTTCTTTGCATGGTTGACAACCTATTCTTTGTTTCTTCTTTCTGTCAACAGATTTCATAAGGTCTAATAACAGATTTGATGCAGTCTTTGAACATGCAAATTATATTTTAAATGCTTTACCGTAGGTGTCTATTGATCTGCATTGACCGCTTTTAAACCATATACTGAATCAAAATTCTAATCTGAGAAATCTTCCCAAAAATGCAGAAATTAGCTATTTAAAAGTTTCTTTACATCTACATATGATAATGGATTAAAACATACATGCACATGTACATAGAAAAGGATATAGTTCTCAAAACATGCACATTTAAATGTTATATTCTGAAATTTGTAAACTTTTATTAAATCCGTAAAGCAACAGGTCAAGTAAAGCTCCGTTCATATAGGTCGATCAATGTCTATTTATTTATTTTGTATGTTCAACCTTTTCAATTATTATTTATTGATGTCCTTCTTGCTACAAATTTTGAATTAGTGAAATGTAGTTTGAATTACACATTTAAAAAAATAATATGAAGAAGAAGAATACCAATAATTCAGATGCACTTTGTCATTTGTCATGTCCAGGCGGAGTGGGGAGATTGAGACTGACGAAAATGAGACAAATCTCTTTTTATGCCGGCTCAAACCTGCTCAGCTCACTGTCTTGTTCTTTCTGGAGAAAGCGTAAAACCGTAAGTTTAATTGTTCTCTCATTTAACGTTCTTGTCCAGTAGTAGGGCTTCACCTTCACCATTATTATTACGTGTACTTCGTGTATTAAATATATAGGTGAAAGGCCGAATGATTTCAGTTACGGAAAAGTGGAATTGGCAAAATTAGCATTGATTGAACGGTAATAAGGACAAATAAATATTTTCGCCTGGATTATTTCCTCCCCAATACCCCAGCAATTATTATTTTTAAATAAAGTGCTATATACGTAATAATTTAATCGAGTGGCTAATTAGAATCTAGAGGAGTAAAAATTGTGCTTTTGTAAAATAAAAAATAACCGTTTCAAATTATTGAATTGTTTTAGAGACTGGACTGGAAAGGATTGAATATAACCAACATATGACGTACGAGGTACGACGATACAATATAAAAGGTTGTATGTTTTGAGTGAAAGCTTACATCGAATTAATAAAAGTGTCGCTAACAAATCATTTAACACTTCTTACAGATATTCCATAAGATAATTGATCGAACCAAGTTTGATCAGGTTAGAAATTCTAACTTAGAATTTTGTCCACTACAGTATTGACTTAACATAAAAATCCACATTGACGTATAACTCTGCGCAGAGAGGTAAAAATATAATTCTTCCGCACTATTTATACCTTCGCCAATTGTCGCCTAGTGGGATAGAAACAATACCATATCCCACCTATGTAATATGTAACTGACTGAGCAACGAAAGTATAAAACGGGCGTACGAAATGAAATTACTTTAGCAATTTTTTCATTGCATACATAGATCGCCATCACCTTGTACAATGGATGAAACGAAAATGAAGAACCTTTGGGCCAACAAACAGTTGTATACCCTAAAATTACCGGAATTAAAACAATTCTTGAAGAGTGTCGGCCTTCCGATGAATGGAGAAACTGAGACGGTTACAAAACGTACATGAATCATATTTTTTAAGATATAGTTGATTTAATCGCATATTGTATAATTTCTTGTAATAATGTGTCTGCATAATTATGTATGTACATAGGTGTCGCAATGTGGCTCGACGTAAAATATTTGGATCTCTTTGTCCTTCAGGATGGAGTTAAGACAACTCCACATGAATTAAAACCGGCACAATTGCGTAAAATCGTGGCTCAATTGGGCATGGATCCAACTGGAGACAAGGATGAATTGCATTTTAGTTTGATTGAACATCTCAAGAAGAAAAATGCTGGTAGCTCTAGCAGCGGTGGGGATGGTGAATCTGCAGACTCACCAGGCGATGCCCCTGGAATTGTTGTGGCAAAGCAGATTCTCGAAATGCAGACCGATTATCCTGCAGTGTTGTCTGCATCCGGTATAAATATTACAACCGACTCCTCCATCGCCACGATGCGCAAGGCATATCTTAAACTATCTCTTCTCATCCATCCGGATAAGTTGCAAAGCATCTTTCCCGACGCCACTAAAGCCTTTCAATGTCTCGTAAATGCCTATGAGCGATTATCTCAGCCTGAACTATTTTTGGAGGATGAAGATGACGAGAAAGTAGCCAAGAAGAAGACGGTGATGCGTTCCAACGACGGGTGCCACAGGACTCGTCTGTTCTGCCCGCGATGCAATGCTGAGTGGGGTACGATGGACAGTGGGGTGGCCGACTACGACTACAATTTTATGATGATGGGACTCAAAACTTACAACTGTGCGGGATGTCTCTTTGATTTTGGATGTATGACGGCTATTCACAAGTGCCCCATGTGTAGAAAAGGATTCGAATATCATCCATCCGACTTTCATCGCAAGATTTTTTGCAGCAACGACAAATGCAAAAAGACGTTTGGCTTTTTCGTATTCAACATTTCGGACCGGTTGGAGAAAGAGTATCGGCAAGAAATCAGGAAGAAACAAGAAAAACAATTGAAAGAAAAGGAACAATTGCAGGAACGAGAGAGACGAGCTAAATCACGGCAGAAGGGAAGTATGGGTGCTACAGGGAAGGATAAGTTGTTCACCCTCAACTTGCTGGATGAATGTCCACGGTGTGGCGAAGAAGTTGAGAGCAGCGCCGAGCTGAGAGAGACTCATTTGGCCGAATGTACGGACAAGAAGAAAATTGCTGCCTACGCCAAGAAATTAAAGGAAGAACAAGACCTGGCCGAGAAGAAGAGTAAGGCACGTGAGGCACAGGAAGAAGCACAAAACGTTTCAAGTTGGGACTATCTCGGAGCGAAGACGGCAGACATGTGGCTATTGACGGAAAAGCAGATAAAACTCATGTGTCAAAATTACAAGATCGATGATACTGGAAGCAAAGATGAACTGATAGCACGGTTGGTGAGACACAGGAATGACTTGGATTCCAGGAGGATGATCACACAAGGTGGGGAAGAAGGCTCGTCATCCGGTGCACCAACCAAGAAGAAGAGGAAGTTGAATGTGGAAGATTTGCCGACAAATATGGAAAGCCTGAGCGTTCCCCAATTAAAAGCATTTTGTGCTTCGAACGGCATTGTTACAAAGGAAGGAACAAAGGCTGGAATAATTAAACAGATTGAAAAGATCGTTCATGGAGATCAACCATTCCTACGGCTGACGGGAGGAAAAGAGAAACCAGTCGAATAATTTTTGTACGGTGGTATTTTTTGACGAGATAAGTGAGTTCTGCAATTATTATTAACTATAGATTGCACCTCAATTTAGTTTTCGAGGTCCAGTGTTTAATGGAAATTTTTACTTTAAGTTACATTTCCGGTAATTCATTTGTCAATTTTGCTATGAAACTTTAATACTTCAGAGATGAAACTGTATTTGATGAATTAATCATTTTGCATTTAGTAGGAGACTAATTGTTGAAATAAAATACGTTCATTATACTTAATTGGTACTCAGGCATTTTATCTCAATTTCGTAAAAATTCATTTTGATAAAAAATTAGTCTGAAACAGTACAATATTTATTTCAAGATTTCTATTATTTTAACAATCAAGTTGTCCTAAAAAATTTAAAATAAAATCTCTACTGATAGTTTCTACATGGAACATATACTAAATACGTAGTGCATATACATATACATCAACGGAAATTTTGATGCTACTTTACATACATTGTTATCTATATGATGCGAATTACTGCAAAGTTCAGTTCCACACTATACTACTCCAGTTCGTGGGAACTATTTGCGTAATAAACATTATTTACATTTAGACAAGATTTCATGGAAGAAAACAAAGAGTGAAGCATAGAGTTCGTTGCAAAGATGGGATTTTTTTATTACGGTTTTTCACGTCCACCATATACGAATCGTAATATTGAGTAATGTGCCACAAATTGCATGTGTGTGGGTGTCCGAAATCCGACGACGAGTCGGACGAACTGCTGGGTGTTTTTATCGATCTGACTGAACTTAAGTCACTGAAGTACAAAGTACTGAAGAAGACCAAGAAGTAAATGGGGTAAAGTCTCTTCTTATCGATCGACACCTGTTCACTCAGCATTGCCAAACCACAAATCTGCACTTATTCAAGTTATACTTACATATTACATGCTTAGCTAAATTAAATACTTATCAAGTTGATCAGTCCAAGAGACAAGACAAACCACTTATTTTGCTCTAAAAGTTTCCTCATTATTATTATGGAGATTGAAGGAAATAATTACAATTTTATTATTGTGTGACTCATAGTTCTAAAATCTAAAGACTTTGCTTAAAAGTAACTCGAACATTACGAATTCAACTATCACTACACACTATGGAAGATAACAACATATTAAATATGGATAATGACGATGAGGACATTGTACTAGAGCAAGCCATGTCGAACCACTTGGTAAGAAAATTATATAAATTGTATACTCATTTGTTTAAGAACTGATCAACAAATGTATGAATTGCATAATAATAATTATGCGGTTTGTTTCTTAGATTGTGGCGTCCATTCTAAAATATTTGCCACCTGCAGACGTTAAATCCGCCAGATTTCTTAACACCACCTGGAACTCGACTGCTTTATCTGCCATGCCCCCAAAGTTACGACTTAACCTCGGCAAAGTTCTCCGCTCTGAGGATAATTCTCAAAATCAATCTCAAGGGGGGATTTCTACTGCGATTGCTCCTGCTGGTGGTGGGGGAGGTCAGTCTGGGGATTGCAATTTATTATCAGACGAGGACGACATGTCCCTCTTCGACCCACGATTGGCTAAACAATTGACCATCTCAATCTCTCGACTCCCATCAAATCCATTCCTCTCCAATTTCTCTCACGCTGTAGAATCTCTTATCATAACGACGGAGAAGAACTGGAGACGAAATCTTATCCTGGAGGAGACTGGAATATCGAAATCAATTTTTTTCCGTCCACTATTCACGGGGAATTTGAAACAATTAAAATCTCTTGAAATTCAGCACATTTCTGGATTTTCTAATCAGGATTTACTAAAACTGTTTGATCAAAAATTGCTGCCTAATTTACGAGTTTTGGGATTAGGACAAGATTTTGATTCGAGAAGGGATCAGCACGGACTTGTTGATTCAGCTCAGATTGACGAATTACTCGAGATGGCGGAATCTCAAGGGTTTGTTCAGGGAGGGATTACATGTGTCAAGTTGGTCTGGATCAACTGGACAAGTTTTGAACGAATTGGAACGATTTTTCCTTCAATGAAGGGTCTGGAAATTGGGGTCATGGTAGCAACAAGACAAGATCGGGGAAGGATTGGATTAAAGTCCATTAGAGAATTGGTGGACGCGATTTGTTTCCAATTTATGAATAGGGCGAGAAAAGAGGAAGGGTAAGTATCTAAATAAGTGTAACTAACAATAAGTAAATCTTATTGTCAATTAAAAAAAAAATGTCCTTTCCTTCCTCCAACAGATTGCGTCATTTACATTTACATGTGATTGAGATGTATAATGATTCCGATTGGGGTGGCGTCGTCGCGATGATGATGGAGAGGAAAGATATCTTAGGAGGTAAGAAATGAAAATTTTAATTTCCAATAAATCTACATCGAAAGAGTTATGTAATCCATATGGTAGCAACTAGCATGCATTCATGGATGTTATCTGTTGACGAAATTTTGAGTATTCTAAAAGCTACTATTTTTGCAATTATTTAGACGTGTAATGCAAGTTAGCCCCCTAAACTACATACAACATAAAATTGCAAAAAAGTCGAGCATTCAAACAGCACCTATGCATAATTAGTTTTGCAAACATGACTTAAGTTGCATGAAAGTAGAAATATCTTTTATAAGACTTTATTATTGCAACCTATTGTCAATTGTATTTACTTTTATCAGATCTTGAAACCTTGACCTTCGAAGCTGATCGCGGAGGGACGCTGAATTTGAGAACCGCACTTGATCCAGTGGAAATTGAAGAGATCAAAAGTAATTTTGGATGTTTGTCGGAAATCAGATTTACGAATTTTGTGGTGCGTACATACATACATACACAAACAGTGATCACTATTTAAATTACTATGAGTAATTAATTAATTATTTATTTCTACTGTATAGTGGCCAGAAGATGAAGCTGAAACTGAAAATATTGATCCAATTCCCGTCCCAGTTATCAAACCCAGACTAATTTTTGATATTAAAGTTCCCGACTCATTAAACTTGACTATCATGTCACGTAAGAAAAGCTAAATAATTATACATTACATATAATATGACTGGTGTGACCATGTTATGACAATATTATCCAGGGTCAGATACCAAAGTCAAAGCGCGATTCACTCTTCTCACATATGAAAATTGTCGTAAGGAAGAATATTACTCCAGCGACTGTGACTTGTTCAAAGTGGAAAGCTTTGAAAGTTACCTTCAAGGTTTGGCAAAACTTTAAATACAATAATAACTAGAACAGAAGTAAATAATTTTGAATATTTATTTTCAAGAAAAAGCAGTCCGTAAGAAAGTGGATAAATTGGCCAAAAAGGTAGACGCTATAAGAAGAAAAGTCTCAACAATTGGCGCTGGACGTTGGAGAGGAATTATTTCTGTTAGGAGTACTGAATCGGAAGGGGAAGTGGTGGAAAAGGGTATTGGGAAGGTATGTTAAAAAATCAATTGCATACTTTATCTAGCTAGCTTTAACTAGTAAGTGGTTTTCATGTTTAACGTCAAAGCTAAATTGTCACCTAATTTTACCGTCAGATAACAAAGCACCTGGAGAAAAGGATCCGAGACTCACATACAAAACAACTCAAACTTCTCTGTACTCTGAAGGAGCGTGAAATGAAGGAAATTAAGAAATATTTGGGTGCCTCGTTGAAAGATGAATGTATCCGAATATCGAAATTGACCCGTGATAAGGCAGAGAGGACTCTGTTGAAGGGTGAAGTTGCCCAAGTCCTGGTGGCAAGATGCATCGCTGAAAGAAAAATGGTAGTCAAGAATTTTGCAGAGATTGAAGCCAAATTAGTTACGGATTATGAGGTTGTCGAAGAAGAGTTAGAACGTTGGAGCGGTGAAAGACCCGTCGGATTCTTAAGAGATGTCGGGAGTGAAGAATGAGACAGTGGTAATAGTGGAGGTCTCAGTATTGAATTGGTGTGAACTAACTACTATTTGCATGTAGCTGGTATATTAATTATTGTGTTAATTATATGATGTGATACCCATTTTTATGTGATATTTATATGTCTTGCTTGAGTTCATTCCCAATTTGTGTTGGTGTTTTTCTTAATCTAGTCTAACATGCATAAAGTTGGTGCTAAGAAACATATATTAGTTTTATTTGAGTATTATGTAAGTTAGTACATATTTAGTATACACGTATGGTGTCTATCACTCCTATGTAAACATATACTGCGTTGTGATTTATAGTATTTAATTATGAAAAGTATGAAAGAATTTATCATCAAACAATTTTATATAATCGCAAAAGTTGAATGTGAAAAAAATTGCTTTAGGTAATGTACGGAATTTCATTTATTTTCTATGATTTCAAGTTGCATACTATTATTAAGGAATGATAATAAATATGTGCAAATGTGTTGTTAAAACTGAGAAAGAAGTTTTCTTGTGTTTAAAGTAAATTTGTATTACGATTACTGAATTCTGAAATTTCTTGTCCAAATCCGACATCATTGAGTGTTTTCACGCCACCTACATAATAGCTTAAATTTACGACATTTACCAAAATGCCATGCTTAAGAAGCTTTGTAAATATGTATACGTAAGGTTGATGCGTCCTTTTCTTCCAAAATATATTTTGAATAATTAAAAGTCTGGGTATACACGCCTTTGGCGAAACATACAAAAATATAAAAAATCATGTAGTCTTAATTGTTGCACTAATTCAACTACAGTCAAGCTCCAATCAAAAGCTTGAATGCTCTTCTTGTGTACTCCAGAAATTTTTAAGATTGGAAAATTTCTGCGATGTAAAACCTACAAAAGAAAGATTTTATCGGTTAGCAAGGTTTCTAAATAAAAGCTTGTTATAAAGTTTACAAAACCATACCTGCTAAAGATTCCCGTTCCTTCTTGCGATCTCCTTTCTCCACCAGCACGTTATAAACTTTTGCGTCGTCATTGAATTCTTCTACCGAATTATCCAACAATTTTCTTTGGTTTTGTTGTCGACCATCGACCTGTCCTCTCCGATTGTTTTCTAGCTTTATTGAATTTTTATTGGAATCAGATTCCTCCTCTCCTTCTAAATTTTTACTTCCTTCTTCATCCATATTATTATTATTACGACAAACTCCGACATACGCCGTGAAGAGGGACACGGTACACTTCCGACATGACTTCAAACTGACCACGATAGCAATAAAAAGTACGGAAAACGCTATCCCCAACGCTATTGAAGCATATCCCACAGCTCGGACGACATTATCATCAAATGCAACACTGATCATGAGACTCAATTTTATATTGATATTTTGTAAAGCTTCTCCCAAATTTTTGGACGCTTCGGCTCCAAAATCCTTTAATTAAAGGTAATTCTTTAATGTGTTAATAAATTCAACCAGTGATAAATAGTTTTCTAAAGTAGCTTATATTTACCTTCATATCGGCGGTGTCTAGGGACAAATTCCAGTTTTGTGACAGCTTATCCACCGCATCTCTCAAACTTTCAGTCGCAGCTTTTCCCAAATTTTCGAAATCTGCCGAATTAATCTTTACACTGACTGATCTAGCGAGATCGGAGATACTGGTAGACAATTCTGCGACGACTTGTCTCGTCGCATCAATTCCTTCCCCCATGGCGTCAGTAAGTCTTGCACTGGCATCATCAAGTGATCTCTTGAGATCCTCGGATGATTGAACTGCAGCTATTGAAAATTCACGAGCAGCTTCTTTCGCAAAACCTTTACCTGACAGAAAATTACAATTTTTTAAGACAAGTTCCATATAGCTGAGAACTTTTGGTATATAATAATTTTCTAGCAAATCCCTCAGGTGCAATGCAATAACTATCCTTACCTATATTGTTACACGATATAGTGGGTGTTATTGAGATCTGAGAGATAAGGAAGAATAGAATGACTAGATTTGTAAAATTCATTTTTTAATTGAGATATTTAAAAACACGGCAATCTTAGCTAAGCTATAATGAGAAAAGTAGTTACGCTGATCAATTTAGTTCAATACCATGTTGATTTTGTTGCTCAGAAGTACTTTTATTTCTCTTTCTATATGACCTAATCCTGTAATATGTTTATGTGGAAAGGAGTCATGCTTTTGCTTTATAATTAGTGATAAGATAAAACCAGTCCAAACAAAAAATATTCAGGTTAGGTGTGTATGTACATATATATCATATCATTTATAGTAGTCATTATGTCTGGTCATTTACGCAGCATACTCATATAACTTATGTGCCAAGTAACGTGTGTATTTACTGACATTGATTGCATCTGACATCCTGCTGGATAATAGATGTAATTGCATTTTGAAGTAATGTTGTCAATTTATTCAATCGTAAGAACTCTGAATAATTTTATTGTCATATTTTATGTTTTCAGATAAGTCGCGTGACGGATATTGTAAAATCAAAATGTTGTCAATGAATCACAATAACTTATAGGATGCATCATCATACGCATTTATGTATGTACATATACCAACAAGATGCATATATTACAAGATACATACATACACATTAGTCCAGCACTCAAATGTTTTCCAGATTACCAAAGTTTCCTGCATATACATGTACACCTAGGTATATTTTTCTTAGGTGAGGCAAAAGTAACAATGGGTGCCCGCAAAAAAGGGTCACCATGGTTACGGCGAAGCCTAAGTATGCTTTCGTATACACCCTTTGAAACTGTAGACAAGGCTAGAGCCTAAACGGTTAATCCTACGCAAATGGTGTAAAGAGCAATCGTGCAGAGGAGAATTAGGAGATGATGTTTTTCAATATGCCCGATAGAAAAGTTGTATTCTTCGCTCTCAAATTTCGATTTGAAACTTTAAAATCGAAATTTGAAAAAATTGTGCCATGGAACTATATGCATAAAACATGATTTTATCATGCAGAAATCGGTTGTGCGTCATTTAAAACAAATCCAACTGAGATCGGTCCAAAACTGAAAAAGTTTTGATGGATGCATCTGAGACTATTCATGTTGCTAAGCAAAAATTTCAATATTCCTAGTTGCCAACTAGTAGTTGGTTATACTAGCTATCAATATAACAATTTTTCAAATACAAGTAGTTACGCAATTGCAATTAGCCAAATTAATTGGTCAATTGTAATTTCCATTTTTGGCCAATCGCCCAAAAACTTTCTTCCTGATCAGCTTTGGGCATGATTATTAATCCAGATTAATTACAAATCTTTTCAAAATTCAAATTTCAAAAAAAATTATTTAAGTACTGCGTCAAATTTACAAATTTTAAATTTGAACACCCTATATGCATATATTTTGGATTTAAAGTTCATTTTGTAATTTATAATATGATCCAGATTAAACAATCTTAATCCCTAATCCAGATTGTTCTCGCGAAATAACTAATCCCCGTAAAACCTAATATCTGAAAAATTATTATTTACGAAATTAATCGTAATTAAAAAAATTGGATTATTTGATCTTTAATCCCTAAGCCTGAGCAAAAAAAAACACATCAACAAACTCTGTCAGCGAAAACAATCATCAAATACTTGATTTTAACGCATTTCAATCATCGATGTGAATTACAGGGAAATTAATTTTGCGACCCCCTGTGGGTATTTTCAACTAATTTCGTGATGAAAAAGATAAGCATATTCGGTCTTCATTCCAAAAAGTTTAACAATTTTGAGGTGAAATTAATTGTCTGAAAGTGTGTATCACCTAAAATCCATGAAATAAAATAATTTTAAAAAAGCTTGCTTAGGTGAGGCGCTGCTAAAAGTGAAAAACAAGGCCTCTGGGCATATATTTTAAATATCTCGTCCCTTCATCATTGTAACAGGAGTTAGTGGCTTTGCATCACCGTCAGGCCAAACATTTGGCGTTAAGCTTATAGTAATAAAGAATATATTCGGAATAATTCGCAAGAACAAAATCTGGGTTTACGAATTTCTGAAAATTACATATCACTTATTACTTTATAATTCGTATTGAAGATTAGTTGTGCTACTAAATGAAATTAGGTAATAAATACATCCTCGAGTGATGTCCTAATTTATGCGTCGGTATTTTCACTTCTGGAATTGCAAACCCGTAAAAATAGTGATACACAGCACTAATATTATAGAACCTTACATCTTCTTGATCTTCCCCATCAAATTAATATATATTAATTTGTTACACCAGTCTCCTGAGACAAACCGTTATTTTGTGGAGTTATTTGAAATACCGAGTATTTCAATATCTATTACCGTTGATTGCCTAACACATGTCGTGGAAACGGTAATTGTTAATGGAACCCGTGGGTCAACAATTTATGGAGCGAAATCATATACCGTAAAGACTCTACTTATAGCCGGGTCAATTTAATAAGCTTGTCTGTAATCATGGCATTGGTTTAATGCCTATTCTTCAGTGCTTCAAGTGGTGTATAACCGAAAAAAAATTTACCCAGGTCTCCTATTATACCTGGTTTGTAATTGTAGCCTAATTTGTGATGTCATTGGACCCGGCTATAAATAAAGTATTTACGGTACTTAAACTTGCGAACCGAGACGACATTTTTGAAATAAAGCAAGCGTGATTGAAGTGGCTTGGAAAATTGTACATGCGTATCAAAATTTATTAGATACCTCAAGTACTGGTTAGCTTGTGAATTAAATTATGAGCTAAATAAGCATGTTGAACTACTGGTACTGGATTATTAATCATATTAGTCCCCCACAATGGTTTTTACAAGCTCCACTCAATTTTATAAACCTTCTAAGCAATAAACGTTTGTCTAAGCATTAATATATTGATACAATTTTAATTAGCAATAATTGCATTTTTTAGCAAAAAATGTAATTTTTGTTTTTGTAGCTGTGTAATTATCTGCGTGGTAGGTATGATGTGCGATCAAAAAGTTTGGCCTGACGGTGATGCAAAGCCACTAACTCCTGTTACAATGATGAAGGGACGAGATATTTAAAAGATATGCCCAGAGGCCTTGTTTTTCACTTTTAGCAGCGCCTCACCTAAGCAAGCTTTTTTAAAATTATTTTATGTCATCTTAAAATGCATACGCATATATTGTGACAAGTTCTATTGTGGTTTTTTCCTAGCTGAAAGTGAAAATTGTTTGAATTAGTTTACGTTGAAATGGGACATCATTATATTTGTGAGAAAAACGAAGCACTGTCGTTGGAATAGTAGATGTAAATCATCAACTACAACCCCTTCATTTATTCATTTAAGTTTTATCAACTGATAAAACTTTGTTTAAAACGAACGATATGTTGTGTGTAATCTGCAAACGATACAACAGCCAGGGCAACAAACACAATTCACATCCATGTGAATGTCCATGGACCAAGAACTCGCCCGACCAAACCTATTCAAAATCTGAACGATGGGAAGACTCAACGTTTCAAAAGTAGCTGGAATCTTGATTACCAACGAGTATTTAATTACTGGGAGGAACGACTTTATGAATTTGCTAAATATTGATGCTGGAACTAAGGAACAGTTGGAAAACCGCTTCAACAATGGAACCATCACCCCAAAAGATTATTTTTGTAGAATTCTGGAAATATGGGAAGGACGACTGGGAAATGGTGCAACAATCGAAAAACTGTGTACTTGCTTGGAAGAGGGGGGCTTTATAGGTGCAAGAGGTTTGTCGAATTTATTTTAAATTAATTCAATATCTAAATAATTTCAGTCTTGTAATTCTTGTCAGATTATTTAAGAAGCCTGGCTCCAGATATTCTAGCTGCGCCAACACCTCAAGGGTCGTCCGTGTCTTCAAGGACAACTATGTTCCTCTCAGATCCAAAAATTCGCAAACAAGTTTCAAAAATTTTGATGGAAGATACAGAAATGTTTACTAATTGGGGGAAATTTTGTTCCTCCCTGGAAATTTCCCCAGTACGAATCATGGAAATGAGGCAGCAACTCCAAACAGGTGTGATAGCAGGTTCTTACGATTTGATGGAAAGAATATTATCAACGTGGGGTTCCCAAAATGGGTGTGCCGCCAATGTGGAAAAATTATGTGATATCTTGAGAAATGATAAATTTGGGACTTCGGAAGGTAACGAGATCAGAATTTGAGATATTATTAGAAATTTGGAAAGTTTATAATTTTGTAATTTAATTTCAGAAAAGCTGATGGTTACATTTTCATCGTAACACAATACATATGTATCGTATTTCAACCTCCATTGCAATATATTGTAATATATGCTCAATTATGCAGACAGTAATAAAAATGTTTTGATTAAATTTACACGTTGCAAATTTTGCAATGCAAAATGCGTGGGTTATTTTATTACATATGTACATGTACATCTATGCTGGAACCCACTTTTCAGCCGATAAGAAATTCACATTGCTTTATCTCTGGTGTAAAAAGTAAATAGTTAACCAAGTAACACAAAGGTTTGTTAATCCCTGAGTTTTTGCAGGAGTTTGCATGCATATATGTACATTAATGTAGTCGAATTGATGGTACATATGTAAGAAATGTTCATATTTATCTTACTATCTTTCCAGACTGATTTCAACCGTTGATGAGTTAATATTTATGCAAAGTTGATGAAACGAAAGTTTGGATTTTGTCCGTTACCTCAGTTGAATGCAGACTTCATTTATAGTGGCTGATTTTAAGTTAGAAATCATGTCCTCACAAGTTAACCGAATCGTGGATTATTCAGCGAACAGTAGCACGAATTCGGATTTTTTTGGCCTTTGTCATGTACGTGAAAATTCCATTAAATTCTTCAGAAAGTACACTATTTTTTAGTTTGTCCACCAATTGTTCATTATTACAGCAGAGTCCACAGCCCAATGCACATTCAACGCCAAATAAGTATCCCTTGTTACGAAGGGGCGACACCTTAACTAAAGCTCCAACACCGCTTGGCGTACGAAATTTTTTACCGGACATCGAAGAAAGCAAACCTGTGTCTTCAAATCTTCAAACCAGAAAAAGTACACGATTGTCTTCTGCACAGCCTCGTGCAAGCGTCATTGTTACCTCCAAATGCTTGTTGGAGGGAGGCAAAACCATGGCATCAATAGCCACAAGCCCCATGTGCTCGAATTTCCGTCAGACACTTCGACCCATGCCTCGTGTCCCGTATCAAGAGCCGAAGACATTCACCACTCCAGAAATAGAGGCCGGACTCGGACTCAAAAAAAGGAACAACAAAAAGATGCAAGACAGCGACATTTTGCTGGATGAGGTAAACATAAATTAAAATAATTCCAAGGCTTACACACAAAAAGGTACATTTGTACACATGTATGCAAATTAACAAGTTTTTATTAGTCCAACTTAGAGAAATGTAGGAAACCTTCTAAAAGACGTACTCAAGGGGGTCGACGACGAAAGACTCAGCGGATGCAGTATTCGGCTTACTCTGACTCATCGCATGATAATGAAATCGTTCGCCCAATTTGCCCCGTTTGCGTTCCACCCAAAACTTTCTCATCTATAGCTTCGCTAGTTCATCATTATAATTTCATCCACAAGTATCCTCAGAGAGAGTGTCCATATTGCAAGAGGATTTTTGAGAACCAGTCAAGCATTATGAAACATATGAAGAACGGTAAATGTGCAGACTATTTTGAATTTTCGCCTTCTAAGTCTTTGGAGTGGGACAGTGTCATATAAATAAATTGTGTGTATTTTTTATCGTGGTATTATTTCAGTGGAAAATAAAGTTTGTAATATATTTAAGAAGGAATTGTGTTTATTTTGTTTGTACTACATATTTATATCACAGTTGTAATTTATTTATTTCTATTAGCAATTTAGAATTTCATTTCCATTCATCTGTATATTTACCAATATTGGTAAATATGTCATACATACTTACCATATATTTATATTGTTGATGAATACCTAGGTATTGCATATGTACATGCATAACAATTCCATGTTGTTTATACCCATCTTTTGTATATAGCACCGTGAATAGTGTTTGAGTTGGAAAATAGCCCAATTTCAGTGGTATTTTGAATTTAAGCAGTAATGTTTTTATTTGTCAAAAAAGTACATAAGAATATGAGTTTTGATTTTCATATTATCTAATTTACGATTAAAATTTGGAATATAATCCTAGGCGTTAAAATGAATAATATATTTAATAAGTTTAATATTTAATTTTGGGGATAGAAAGGTGTTCATCACTTAAATTTTAACTACATATCTACGTATATATTGCCCTGTCATAAAGAGATATATACATAAGTACATTATATTACATGGTCCCTGCAGTGCATGAAGCCTAAACCGTGTAGGCTTGCATATGTATATAACTCGTATTATACGAGTCGTATATGTATCCATAAGCATGCAGATATACGTATAGATATATACAATTCATCCTTTGATTGATTACTGTTGATCTTTAGGAATAAAAGGATGAGTTCCAAGTTTCACTCATGATCAGGTAAACAAGAAGATCAATCACTTCTAGGAAGGAAGTGATTTTAAATATCTGTAGTTGCAGTTAAATATGTACGTGCTCCTCAAGTTACATGGCCAGTTATTTATTTTTTAATTTGTTTTTACTAAAAATACAATCAGCAGATAACTGTTTAATTTAATTGCATATTTAAATTGACCAGATAGACCTGTCTACTAAACAAATGTGCTTATGTATATCAGTAGTACACGAGTTCAATGCTTAAATAGAATAATATCATGATGTTTTAATTTGATCCAATAGATAAAACTTATGTTGTGGAGGAGAAAGTCCGGGTTCTCTGTATTGCATATACCAGTAACACCAAGAATTTTACGCCTTACCCCGAAAACGGGTAATATGTATACATTTCTGCAACCTACAATGGGACATGACTCATCAATTTTTATATATATTTTTCGCAAGTGGAGGTAACTATGTGCTATACATGTTGACTCACTGCCTCATGATCACATAATAATATCACGCCATGGGGTGCATAAAAGGAAGATGCAATCCAAATCTCATCTTATTCCGGAACTAACTTTCTCCACTTGTGCCATTCTCACATCTCGTCCCAGCTCACATTCCAAGTTTCATGGAAACATGACGAGGGATCGGTTAACCGAGTTAAAATCTGTAAGAATAATTAAATTAAATTTTACAAAGGTTCGTTGCATTGAGAATATTTTTTGTAGGTACAAAAAACAAATGGTGACTACGATTATGACTACGAGTGCATTGTGGTTGATTCCGATTTATTCAATGTGGGGAGAGACTCTGAAATGATCTCTTTTCTGGAGGAGGTAAATAATTACTATTTTTATAAATTGGGAGCAATGTTTTGATTTATACAAATTAATTTATACAATTTAATTTCATTTATACAAATTATACAAATTTTAAAATGATTACTTAGTTGTGTGTAAATTTAGGTCGAATGTATTCGAAAGAAATTGAGCGAGATAAAAAATAACATAGAGAAATTGACGGTTATCCAAGATGACATCTTATCCATTATATCATTTTCCTAAGATAACAAATTTTATCTTTGTATTTTGATGAAAGCATTCCACGATTTGCTGTATGGTTGTATGGATGAAATTCAAAAGTCATCTGGCCAAGTTAGAGAAAGGTTGAGAGGTGAAAGTGGACGTAACAAACTCATGCATAATGTTCACTTACTTTCATGATGTCCTTTGGTAACATTAGTCATGGAGGAGGATGACATTGAGCGGATGATGCCCGACTCTGAGATTTATCAGCGTGTAAAAATGTCTCAGCATCAGGCTTTAACAAAGGACTTGACAAACTTGATAACAGAGTATACAACAGTTCAAGAGGATTATACGGAGAAAATTAAAGCTAAAATCAGACGACAACTACGTAAATGTTCTAAAGTTTAATAATTAAACTGGATTAGTTATATTGTGTTCGCAATGATTCTAGCTGACAACGGGATAAACTTTGATGTTGAGACTTTAATGGATCAAGGAAATATTTCGGCCCTAATGCAAGGCGTGAGTTGGTAAATTTTCAGATTGAACTTAAAGTAATTCCTTTTCCACATAAACGCGAAACATTAGATAGTCATGGAGGAAGAGCAAGCCAGAGGAACCATTCATTTTATACAAGCTCGGCATTCCGAGATTATAAAGTTGGAGAAATCAGTCAAAGAATTGAACAACCTTTTCGTGGATGTGTCAAATCTTACTGAACAACAGGTAGTTTCAATAAATATTTAATTTGTGGTTCCATTTCAGCCCAGAATGTTTTTATTGTTGAATCTGGAAGAGTGAAATCCTGGACAATATTGGTTACAATATGGAGTTCTCAAAAGAGAAAGTTGGCACTGCAACAAGTGATGTTAGACTGGCCCATGAATACACGCGGAAAGATCGCAAGGTATGTATGCAAATATGCATATGGGTAAGCACATAAGAACACAGTATTTTGAATATAATTTTCAGAAAAAAATGGCCATGGCGATGTGCTTTGTTATCGTTGGGATCATTGCAATAATGTCCATTGCAAATTTCTTTGGTTTCTAAAACCGTTATCTCCATAAATACACGGTAAAGGTACTACTAAAATATGACAATACTTGTGAAGTTACTCAAAAATTATAACCTGGGAGATTTTCTGCATGGATCATTGTTAATACTAAAAAATTATATGTATAATTTAGAAATTGGGATCAGATTATAAAATAAATGTTTTACTGTGTAAATACTTATGTAAGTATGTACATAAATATGCTCATGTATTGTTTTCATTGCGCAAATCATAACGAATACAATTGATCTAGACAAAAAAATATGGTCATATGTATAAAAAAACGACTATTCTGAGGAACAAATTTGTTGGATTTCAAACTCGATGGCCCCAACACATTCGATGTATTGCTGTGCATGGGGCTGTCTTGGCTTATACGAGGATCGCTCATATCTTCAAACTCTATCCGAAGCTGCATTCAGATAAACTCTTTTGGTTTTAAATACAACATGGTAATCCTCATCGTCCAATATTCCTATTGTATGGTAGCCTAAACAAGCTCTGGCTGAATACATAAGTTAGCAGGCATGGTCGCCATCGGAATATACGCCATTTGTGTCTTCCTGGCGTCACTGATGAAGTTTAACCTCTTTGGCACGGCAAATCCACTGAGTTGTGTGATCGTGGATGATTAATTTAACTTATCCAATTATCTTAAATGCTTTATTATAAGTTTTACTAGTGGCTACCCGCTAAACGACAACTAAATTTCATCTACATACAACAAGACATGATTTGTTTATACACTATAACTAATTAACAATACTAAATTAAATTATTTAAGTAATTCATATTTTCATATTAAATATGTATGTTCTGTTGGGTGTCCGTTTACATTGAACTTACATGTCCTTCATAATTTAATAATCGATAGTAATGTTCAAATAATTAGTTCAAACTAATGGTATTTAAACACATTTCATAAACTGTCCAAATATGTTAATGCTTTTGTAACCAAAGTAGAATCCAGTTTAGGAAAATACTTAATAATAAAGGATTCCATTTCTCTATAAGATTCAAACTTTTTGGCATTTTTACCTTCAGCATCATACACAGCCACAGACTTTGTAAATATTACCACAAATTTACGACCCTTGCCGCTAATGTCCCCCTCTTCACTGTCGAGTGGGGAAGGCAAAGCTCTGAATAGTAACAAGTTTCTGAGGAATTTTGAGTTTTCTGCATCTGTAAAAATGGTGACAAGGTTCTCTTCAAAATAGGAGATTGGTTTTGGCCTTGTTGTAAATCTATAACGTAACTGTGCCTCGTTTTCATCCTCCTAGTAAATTTTGTACATATAGATAGTTTATTATTCAGTCAATAATTTTTCAAGCTTAAAATTTCTTGATACAAATAAATATGAACGCATCTTACAAATTTCTCTCCTAAAATTGTCCCATCCAATTGCCACCTCTCGTACCAGTCTCCATCTGCATTATATCGGTATTCATATCTTACTCCACCTGCCCTTCTGGTGTACGGGAGCTGATGCAAAGGTATCGGTTCATCTATCGGATTACTACAACCGACATCCACCCCATAAACTTTGCCCTGCAGTTGAAGAATCCCGATGCAATGGGTGCCTTCAGGGCTTGGGATATAAGCAAAATAATTCCCGGCAGAGATATGCGCCTGGAATCCAAGACTTTTGAGGACGGAGACAAACCACGCGTTGAGATGGACACAAACGCCACCAGCCCCAGACATCCCGAGAGTAACGCAATCCGCTGCACGGACGGAGCGACGTTCTTCCGGCGGGGTAGTAAGCAACCCAATGTTCTGTACCCACAAAATAAATAGTTACAATTTGTAACTTACACATTTGTTACCTCAAAGTTGAGATGACATGTGTAGTAAATGGATCTTACATACATGGAAATAACAATGTTCTTGAAATCTTTGAATAAGCTGAGTCACAAATTTAATCTCATTATGATTATCTCTGCATTTTTTGTGTTCCTCTTTCCAGCCTGGAAAGACGAGAATGTGTCGGATATAATTGTCTAATTCCAGCTCTGTTAAATTCTTCATGACGATAGTTAAGAGCTCTAATAACAAAAACAGCAGAACAACAAAAATTAAGTGTATGAAAATCTTTATGTCAGCTGAAAAACTTGCTCAACTTTATTGATAATATATTCCGCATACAAACTATGCTACATTTAACTTTGTGCACATGACTAAAAAAGTACTAATGATGTGAGTAGCATCGTTACATACTGTGATATGTAGATGACATTGACGAGAGAATGGTACAGTATAACATCTTAAGTAAATATGTATGTATTACTTATTTGCCACAACTGACCATTCCATATTGTATCATTAGTTAAATCTTATTATTGAGCGAGTGATTAACGATCAGCACCATTCGTATTGCATGCATATTTAGATTGAGCAAATGAAATGATATCATAACTAGCGTGTTTGCAAATGCATGTACCCTGATAGTATTATTAAGTATTTAGAAGTGATTGTCGAGTGTGCAGAGAGTTTGCACATATTACCAATCTCAACTATGTACACCAATGATAAAGTATTAGCGTGTATATGATTCCTTCAATTTAATATGACAAATTATGTTATAAATATTATGATCATTAAGGGTTGCACTGGTAATAATGTCAACGAACGCAATATGAATTTATAATTTAATCACTACAAATTGTAGTCTACAATGATTCCACGTGCAGTAATCTAATTTCCTGATAGACCTGTGTGGGTGGATTTGGGTGGGGGTGGAATTATCAATGCCGTACTTATTTGAACATGCATATAAGTCACTTTATGTCAACGTCCATTTATACTCATGGATACGTACCGTCCGTCGGTATTACCAAATATCTGACTTTCTCCACTCACTCCCTTGGAGTGAGTGCTGGAGTGACTCCAGCTACCTCTGAAAATTTGGAAGCCCAACAAATATAAAAACCTATCAGTACAGCTTTGCTTAGCCCGAACCAGGATTAGTAAACCCATGTTTCTCAGTATATTTAACTTCATATTATTTCATGAGAAAGCAGTCTGGATCTCTGGTACAAATTTCAGCTTTCTATATTAATTTCTAAAAATCGATATGGGTCACCCCATAGGGTCGCTCTAGATAAAAATTTCACCAATTTCATGTCATATTCTTCCATTAGGACCCACAAGCAAACTCTCCACCAAATTTCAGCTCGATATATATGACGATTTTGAAAAATCAGTATGGGCCACCCCCTAGGGTCACTCAAGATGAAAATTTTTCCAACTTGAACTCATTTTTATCTATTAGGAGCCATTAGCAACCTCTGTGCCAAATTTCAGCTTTCTACGACAATTTTGAAATTTTGGTGCGTAATACCCCACCCACTCCGATGGCCCCCACCGGTCCAAAACTTTTCTGATCGAACCCATCTTCGAACTCGGTCGTTGCATTGTCCAGATACATGTCTGTATCAAATTTGGTCCAAATCGTTCGAGAGTTATCGAAAGACAGACGGACAGACGGACAGACGGACGGACATGACGATTACATAAGCCCTGGTTCGGGCTAAAAATAATTATCCTCGACATCGCAAATATACTTGGGCAATATGATTTTGAGTACTCAACAGCCGTAACGAATGACCTCCTGGTTCGCACAGAACATAGGGATTTGATTAATGAAGACCGAGATGCATGAGCAACGTAATTTTCCTGAAGTATCCTTACCTTGTGGCGAAATAGGCAGGAGTTTTGCACGTCGAGTTATACAAAAGGCTTGAAAGCGGTATAGAATTAATTGCAATTAATCATTTCTAAATCTGTGTATACATAATTTATTTATCCATTGGTTTTAAATATGTATAATAATGTGCACGTGTAAACAAAACCTGCATTATGTATCAATATGTTAGGGTTACCTTACTAGACTATTTACATATCAAGTGAAAAATTGAGCTTAATTTAGCCGGCTCCAGACTTTGTGCTTGAAATCATGCTCTAAATTTTCAATGCTGACATGAAGTCTGGAGCAGGCTTTATACACTAAATCTGTAAATATGTACATACATACATATACATTGTAAATAAACAATCGTATAAATTCTGCCATTTTTGTAATTTGTCACCTATATTTATCACACATTACTGTTTTGGAAGAATCTAAACTAATTAGAATAGTTGAGGTGGACGTTTGTGGACGTTGACTTATTTTTACGTAGCTACACAACTGCTACCGTTGCTAGCTTGCATACTGCAACCAATTCTGTTGGATGGTCGTCGATGACTCCTCAGTCCTGTTGTACTCCTCCCAAAGATATAAATTGGTATTTACATCACTCCATAACGTCCACTGTCCACCAAAAACTAAACTAATTAAAATAAATTCCCCCACGCCTAGTCAGAAGATCTTGTGCAGTTTCATATCCTTCACGATGGACTCGATTAGTCCGCTTTCCTTCTTAATGAGCATCTTCTTATTCATGCCAACGACCTCTTTGTTGTTTCCATCACCCGCATGATTATTTCCAGAATTCTTCATTTGCGCAACTTTCATCTCTTGCTTTTCTTCTTGCTTAATCCTCTTCTCCACATCGTCCGATACGTTGCTCAAATTTGTCAGGGTTTTGATGACGATGGTTTTATAGTCGTAGAGATGGTATGGAAGTCCGTGCTTTCGTGCCAGCTCTTTTACTCGTTTTGCAGCCAACTTATTTCGGAATTGTGGCATCGTGGGGAAAAGGTGGTGTTCGATTTGATAATTAAGATAGCCCATGATGTAGTCCACCCACCATGACGACCTCACGTTGGCAGTGTGCACCAGTCCGTACTCGACCCAGTGAGTGGGGTCTTCTGTTATTGGGAGATGGGTGTGGCTCAACGTGGCTTGCAGAACCATGTAGCTCAAAACAATGCAGCCGGAGAGGAGGTAGAGAGGAAGGCCTAGCTTGTAAACGAAGATTTGGTGGATTCCCATATGTACCTAATAAACATACATTTATTTATTTATGACTTTTTCATTTCGAACACGTCGACCACCAAACTTTGTATGGTTGCTTATCAATACTTGTGAGTACAGTGTTACTGTTGTTGTTTTAAACGTTTCATATATGATAATAGTGACATGTTCGCCAACAAGTTTGGAAACAACAAAAAACTTACGAGGTCCCAGTAGTAGCCATTTTTCCAAGCGTAGACTGGATCTTCAACCCATTTCCAGTAGAAGCCCATTATACTGCTTTGTATAATGTAGATAAAGTATTTCTAGAACCGTAAAAAAGAGTTTAGCTAAGTTTACGAAGGACAGAAATATAGGGTGGAATTCAATATACGTTAGGCAATGCTTAGGCAAGAGAAATTTGCCTAAGCAAATTTTATTTGTATTCAATATTTGTTGCTTAGGAAAAATTCTAAGCAAGTGCTGAGCAAAATATTTAGGATTTTCTGTATTCAATATGCACAAATTCCTAAATTTTTTGCCTAAAGTTATTCCAGCTCGGAGGTGGAATAACGACTTGCGTAACTATAATTTAGCTTAGAAAAATATTTATTTCGACCATTTTAGACGTAGTTTGGGGCGAGGATGTCAAAAATCGACATAGTTTTGACGTGCCATGACCTTGTGACCGTGTAGACGACACCAAAGTCAAAAATGTCAAATTTTGTGTCTTCATCGTTTTAGACGTAGTTTGGGGCGAGGATTACAGAAATCGACATGGTTTTGACATGCTATGACCGTGTGACCGTTTCGCTTCACCCCTTTGTTACATTTCGCTTGCAACGGTTTATTAAATATTCTAATTATTTGCAATTACATACAAAGTAAAACTTCAAAAACAGTTTCACATATACTGGATCTACTAAATAGTGCATCACTTTGTAAGTTTAGTAGCCAAGTGGTCAAAAATAGGTTTAGAAATTTGAAATTTTTGTAGAATATTCCAAACATATCGAACTGGATATATCTACGGACAAAGAAGACTTTAATCCATTATCCATCTCGTATTTAACTTTTTTCTTCACCTCCGTCATTAGTACTTTTCCGGCAGACTGCAAGTTCATTACTAATTTTCTTCCACCGGAACAGAAATTTTCTTAAAGTATCGTCCGTTTCTCAAAGCTGGAAGTACCTCTTCCAACACAAAGCCTAAAATCTTGTTTTGAGTCGGATAGGGGAAGTTTAGAGGGCTTTTGACAAAAATTCGTCAAAAAATGCCCAAGAAATTATGAAAATGCCCATTTGAAGTCGACCATCGCATAAAACATTTTTCGGAAGGAAAATTGTCACAAACGAAAATTTTGGAGAAGCTGAAATTATCCGGATAGTGTTGCTCATTCTACAGAGTCTAGTATACTTACTTCCTTTGGAATTGGATGAAAATCTAAATTAGCGGGACTGCTATCCTCTGTAAGGTACCAGACCCCAAAAACGTAACGCGTACCGTTTTTCGAAAAATCGACGCTCTGACAAGCCAGGAAAACACCCAGGCCCAAACTCAGTGGAAAAGTTGTTAAAATAATACTGGGGAAGTATAACCTCCATCATCCCGCGCTCGTATCCTTCCCATACTATTAGCATGGTACGGATACGCACGCGGGAGCCAAATTTTGATGGAGGTTATGCTTCCCCAGGTATATGTCAGCTGCATGTGAGTTGCACCATCAACAACAAACTTCAAAAACGTCAAAAAAGGTACACTTAAAGTTTAATTAGGTTGTAAAAAATTAAGTTTGTTAAAAAGTGGTAAATGTCGGGTTGATATTTTAGCCGAGATGAAATAAGATGCAAAGATCGGAGCATCAAAATTTTGCAAAAATTTTGTCAGTTCACACGAGGTCACAGATTTTCGTTGCCTTAGGCAACGAAAATGGCTAGGCAAAATGCCTAGCCATTGCTCAGAATTTGCGTAAGTTTAAGCATTCTTAAACTTACGCATGCCTAAGTCGACTTTATATTGAATACGAAATTTTGCTCAGCAAAAACCTTGCTGAACATGTGCTTATCTACGCAAATGCTTATGATCGCGTATATTGAATTCCACCCATAAGCGTTGACTTATCAATGTACCTGGTATTTCACAAAGAATCCAAACTGTTCCTTCTTTGTAACCACCCTTTCATGAAAAGCGAACAATGGAAGCGTATGTAAATCAATATCATTGTGTATGTGTTGCGGCATTGCATGATGTTGCGAGTGATGGTTTCTAGAAAGTTGCAAAGTTGTAACAAAATGCCATATGTAACTAAATGAAATATCATAACATTATTTTACACGAATGACAACAACCACCTACCTCCAACTTGCTCCCGAACATCCGCAATATATTCCTAACATGAAATTGAGTTACGAATTTTAGCTAATTGACTATGAATCCCAATTAAATATTTATATGTTATTTAGCAAATACCATAAATGTGTGACTGCATCCATCTGTCTAACCAAGGTTTTCCGGTCAATGAATGATGACCAGCTTCATGAACAAACCACGTCGATCTTCCTGCAGCCCAACAGACGAATGCGACTCCTATAGCGGTATAGCCAGCGGAGAACAGGTACAGCCCTAGACTCCCGATCGTTGTAATTTCCAAATATCGCATTAGCACGTGAGATAAGCTCGGTTCAAATAGTCCGTCATCTTGTAGCTCTTTGTATAAGGATTCGAAATCACGGGTCAAGGCACGATGTCGCTCAACACGGTCTGGACCCCAGGTTTGAATTACTGAATAACAACAAGTAAAGGTTAGGACACGTTTTCGTTATATTGCTTCGAGAAAATAAATTTCGAGTCAATTAAAAAAATATTTATGTAGTTTCATTTTTATGCAAATTTACAGTCTGCGTCGGTAGCTTTTCGCTTGGGAAATGAATTCATAATTGCGTCCACTCTTTTTCTTGATCTTGCATGGAACTGCTGAATCGCTTGCGTGGCGTCTTCACAGTTGTTGAGGTACATTTGAATAATCGGTCCACCCGGGTGGCGTTCCACGAAAGACGTGACATCGTAATAGTATCCGTTGGATAAGAGTTCCAACTTTTTGGACCCTGTGTCTTGTTGGGGTTTCGGCGCAATGTGATCGTCGTCGACACACCTGGCGTCCATCGGCTCTGGACTCATGATTATAAGCACTGTGCAAGAAAATTTGCAAATTAGCGAAACCTAATAGTAGCAAATAATTGTGACAGGGAAGAAACCAGAATTGCAAATGGAAATTGATGTACAGATTGACGTAATGAAGATCAAATCAGCTATTTCAACAATCTTTTCGTGCAACGCTGTCCCTGCCCCTCGGTTTGACTTTGGAATTGGGAAATCGTTTATCGAATCCAAATTGAGTGGTGGGTGCATAAGAATTTACGTAACGCAGTGCAATGCAATAGCAAAAACAATCGTTCAATGACATGACTCATTCTTTACGTGTGATAATTATGGGTCGGCGTGGTCTTGAATGTGGCTATTTTTTTGTGAAATGCAGGTACAATCACTTTTTAAAATTTTAAAAGGTTAAATTTTAGAAGGTTGCATGACCCAGCATTACTTTTTTAAATGTTCGTTTTTCTGATCATCATTAACTTCCTTAAATAACACTTGAACAACAAAAAGCTTTAAATAACGGCTGAAAAATGCACAACCAATCATCTAATCGGTACTTTAAAATTGCTTAGCCTGTACAATTTTCTAACCACGCAAATGATGAGACGAGTATCCAAAAACTTTGCAGTTAAAATCTAATTCCGGAAACCCAAAAGTAACTAATAAAAACTTACCTTTATTAACGAACTCCAAATCCAATTTGTTCTTATTACAGTAACTTTTTTATTGTGACACACACACCAAGCAAAAAAGAGACACCACGGACACTGCTGAAAGATGACTGTGAAACTGGTATCACAGTACAATTATCTTTTATTAAATTGACGAGATTTTTTTTGCTGATTGCAAAAAGCATAAGAAATAGCATTTGCATCATACTATTTCTGCCTGGGTCTAAATAGGTTAGCATCGGTAAGGCACGTTACATTTTTACAATGTTTTCTTCTTATATGCACCAAAATATGCGTCTAACAATGATAATGAATTCATCACAAAATAATGTTGTTGGATTGCATTGCATTGCAAATGAACGTTAGTCATGTTAAACGTGCAGCGAATTCAAGAGTGGTTCTTGTGTGTTATCGCATCCACATATGCATTATGACGCTGTTAAGGTCGGTAAGGTCCAAAAGGGGTGGATAAAGTTTAGATTTGTGGATTTGCTATCACTTTTCTTGAAGGGAGATGGACGGACGCTGTCCACAAAACATGAGCTCTTTCTCTTTTAAAATGACATTAAAACGGAAGTCGTGTACTTGAATAATATTTTCGCACGCAAGTCCACCTCAAATTGTGTGCACTTATTATCGCAGAAAATAAAAATCAAGGTTTAATTTACAATTGTAAGAAGTGCATGACGACAGATTTTCAGAGTACCTTAAGGTCACAATCGTTATGAACTCACCGCAGAAAATTCGTCAAACCAGTTAGATTATCCAATTTGTTGGCTACTTATTGGTTTATTGACCACAGCATCACCATACACATTCATACGTAGGTAAATATCATTTGTTTTTAGCAAAGCCAAAAAAATGAACTAATTTGCATACATCAATTTCACATCGAAAAAAATGAAGTCGATACAAAAAATGACGAGGAACAAGTGCAATGCAATGCAATACCTTCCTGATTGATGCATGTCTACATATTTATACTTCAATTGCATAAAACAAAATTGCCACAAATATAGCATCACACCTTATTTATTATGCACATCAGCACTATATTGTACAGCATGTTAGTTGTTACGCATCCCCATATACGAAAACAATTTTCTACAAATATCTACGTGACGATGTGATCGTGAACTCGTTCATTCATTACATTGACACATTGCGGCAACAGATTTACAGATTACATTACGCATCATTACAAGCTATCCGTCCATCAATGCAGGAACTGGCTCAATTTTGTTTTCTCAATTCGTTTCCCAAATTTGCACGAAGACGTCAAATAACCATAGTATTGTAAAATGTTTCTACTAGAAACATCTTATTCCATAACAAATCACGTAACGACAAATATTTAATATTGCACACAACAAAGTTAACCATCTCATTTCAACGGCAAACCAAGCTCAAGTTCAGTTGCAGTGTCAGAGTGAATGGCATGCTTAACCTTTTGTTCCTTTCGTTGCAACAGCCAACCACTCACCCACTAATTTGGCGCACAAATAAACATCTGCACTTGCATGCATGCAAAATTTACGTTCTAAAACCGGTTTTCGCATAAAGCACTTTATGTAATATTCTGTATATGCAGAATGACGACGTTGTTGTCGCCTCGTGTCTGTGATGATGATGTCTTTATAATAAATGTCGTTGCATTTCTTTATCACGCTGGACGTAGCTGCATATGCATAGTTTACATATGTAGTTGCAACGATACACATAGTATGATACAGATATTATATTTCGCTCATTATTGGTGATGACATGCTCATTTGCTTTTAATTTGCACCCATGATTACACTACTCTGACATTTTCTTAATTTCCTCCCCATGTAAAAATTGATTTATCTCTTTTAAACAAATTGTTTGTTTATTCAATTCAATTAAAGCGCATGTCGAAATAGCTTTAAATGTTTTTATTTAAGTAGATGCACTTTTTGCGTCATTTTTAAATAAAGATTTTTAAGGTGTTATGATATGTCATAATTAGAATGGCACTGTTATTGTTACGAAAATCTATAAACAGATGCGATCGAGCCAACAAAACCATTAATTAAGAAAGGTGAAGGATCACATTTTTATTACTTGAGTAACCTCGTAAAATGAACTTTTTTTAGCACTTTACCATCCCGTGTAGTTTGGTCTTAACCTCAAAAACGCCCCTGTATGACAGGATAGGCTAGTAGCGATAAGCAATGATTATGATGATGATTATATTACTGAACTGATAAACCAGTAGTCTCATGCATGCACGTAGAAATGATAGTATTTAGATGTGAAATTATCTAAAATGTGAATGTCGGTTTGTCTTCTTTAATCGTCATAAACTTGTTAATTAACAGGATAGATAATTTTTTCAGCAACAGGTTCAGTAGCTAAAATTAAAAAAAACTTTATGAATGAAATTGCCAAATTTAAGACATCCTTGTAATAAATGGTAAGTGGCACTTGGTACTAAAGCATCAATGTCTGACTAATAGATAGATGAAATAAGTAAGCAAGTAGATTTATCGTGTCTCTTAGAACGCACATGTCTTCCTTAACCTAAATCATTTTTAACCAAGCAGGATAAATGTTAAGACTTGATCTAGACAGCAGCTATGTAACAGTAGTAATTATTGATGAATCAGAATCTACTAGTCGGATGTCATTGAAATTGGCGTTTCATAAACTAAATACATAACTACACTCTGGTCTTGTATCAATTACCTGATTTTATTTTTGTTTCATTCCTCTCTGATTCATTGTTCCTCTTTCTCTGAGCGTACAGCAATTTGTATGCAAAAGTTGATCTGACACATTTGAGATGATTCCTAAAAGTAAGTAAACTCGTTATAACACAAGGACATGTATACATATATGCAGGCAGGGAGCCAGCTAAATATTTACATGGCGGAAAATGCTATGCTATGTATTTAATAGGTAGCTGATTGGCAGTTCTCTTCATCCTTAATCGATTTAGCATCATTGTTTACATTGCGTACTGTGTATGTTCCTACATAGATACATATTTGGAAATGGATCATTACTAAAAGTGTACACATGCATACACACCTACACTTAAAATTCCGTAATAATCTCTCATTCTTAAAATGTAAATGAACAGACTAAATATAATGTTGGGATGAATAAGGGACAAGAACCTGACGCGAGCCAGAAGTGTGCTCAGGTGGTTATTGATCATCATGTCGGTCGTCATTGAAATTGACACTTTGTAAACTAAATGCATAACTAAAGTCTGGTCTGGTCTGGTCTTGTGTCAATTTTCATTTGGTACAGTGTTTCACTGAAATGATTTGTGAGCCAATAATCACTACATTAATTTGACATATTTACATGTAAATACATAGATTGTTCCTCAAATAGATCAAGCTGCCGTACTGTAAGACAAGGACGTGAGAAAAAATAAATAGGGTAATTTTACTTGATTGATGGTCATACATTGAACTATTTTTATCAATGAGTGAGCTGTCTCACTTTGGCGTTTTTCGATCTGATCCTGTTACATATAAGAAGAAGTAGGTAAACAGGGTTGAAAGTGAGACAGATAAATGTGAGACTGGATACGTAGGGCCTTATAGGAATTTAGAGATTGATTTGATTGACGGGTCGCATCAGTCATTCGTATGACAGCAGATCTGAATGATTTTGTTGCGTGAGTCGCTTTATTCACGAGTTAGCGTTTTATGCTATCAATAAAATTGGTTATTAAATGTGACTTACTTTAACAAACTTCAAATTGCTTTACTAAATTTAGCTCATGTACAACATGTTACGACTTTAAAATGTGGTAAAGCTTCCGATATCAAATAAATGGTTTGGTTCAAATTACTACAAACTTTTATTAATTTTTGTAATGCTTATGTAAAATGTGACAAAATACTTAAAACTGCATATATACCTATGTCGCATGCAGGTGAAGCCAAGGCTTGCATTTATGTGGATACAATTGTATTTAAATACATAGCTAAAAGTACGTATCGTGAGGTCATTCAACATTCAGTAATGTCAGTAATTCAGTCTGTTCATTCAGTAATGGAAACGAAGACTTTGTAGATTTCTACAATTGTCATAATTGGACAACTGTCCAAGTCCCAAGCAATTTAATTTAATGAACAATTTGATGTTGTACAGGAAATACAAAGAAATATGTCAAGTCTTGATCTCGTATCCAGCCTTGCCAATGAGGTTATTTTAGGTTAGGATGAACGGAAATTTAAAATAATGCTATACTCTTTTAAGGATGTCGTGGAGGATATTTTAATTTGATTGTTAGGAAGCAAGATTTGTGAGAAATTGATAGTTACACATCGTCTCCGTTTCATTGAAAAGTTTTCTATAGGGAAACTGCAAGTCTTGAATGAGGAAAATTCATTTGGAGTTCAACAATGCGCTTAAATATGTCAGAGCTTAAAAAATCATAAAAATTCACCTAGCTAATTCAAAAGTTTATAACTTTGTTAAAAAAATCATAGGTACATCACTGTACAAAATGACACGAAGTTCGCAATGACTTGGGAAATTAGAGCCACTAACGAAAAGTAATACTAGTGGTGAGATTAGAAGTTGTTGGTAAGAAAATTACGACCTTTTTGACACCTTTTGCTACTTTTCCTGATGAGACGCATCCTTCTTGGCTCATCCGAAAGTTCTTCTGATGGCAATAGACAAGTTATCGATAACTGAATTATCTGCTACTCGGTATAATCTATTCTAATACGCTCTCCAACTCTGGAGACTGAATGAGTTATTCCAGTTAAAAAAATATTACTACTCACAAGGGACACTCACGACCTGTCGTTTGAGTCCAGAGTACCCACTATGTTTTTTAGAATCTACTAGGACCCCAGATGAAGGATCCATTCATATTTCCGTGTAAAATTCATATTTGGCGCCATGGCGTGGCGCCAAACTTAAAAATTTGCATTTTCGACCAACTTCAAACCCCCATAACTTTTGCATTTTATGTCGGATTTTCAAAATTTTATGCTTAAAATGATCACAAAAGTCGAAATTTTTGACAAAAAAATAAAAATAAAAAATTTCTAATTTTTGCAATATTTTTAGGATTTTTTCGACGAACCCCCATTTCGAAGAAAATTACGAAATTTTGCGAAAAGTTAAAAGCGATAATTTTAGAAAAAATTTCATGGAATAAGAAAGTTGAACTCTTTGTCATGATTTTTGCCAAAAATTTTGAAAATCCGTCCAGGATTTCAAAAGTTATGGCGGTTTCAAAAATAAAAACATTCAATTTTGGCGAATTTGGCGCCACGCCACGTCGCCAAATATGAGTTTTACACGGAAATATGAATGAATCCTTCATCTGGGGTCCTAGTAGATTCTAAAAAACATAGTGGGTACCCTGGACTCAAACGACAGGTCGTGAGTGTCCCTTGTCAGATATGCATATTTAATATATGATATATTTATTGTGCGACTGTGGTGACGTTTTATTTTGTACGAATCTTGTATTTTGTTGATTTTCACAAACTTGCATAAATTAGTTTATCTCTAATGAATGAGTCAAAAGTTAATCAATCAATTTAGCTGACTTAATCTAATAATGGAGCACTTGTTCTTTTGTATTTAGTATGGATGGAGATGGGTCATGCGTCGATGTTTCAGAATATAAATACATATATCACCCATCATGATTTTTTTTCTGACTGGTAACGCAAACACTGTAACCATGATAATGCAAAGAACAATTGATTTTGACGACTTGATGACGATTAGTGTCACTAATCTGCGTATGCCTGTGGCTATACTTAGGAACACGCCAGCAAATAATCAGCAAATGCGTAATCATGTATCAATTACATTAAGTCATGAAGTAATTCAAGTTTTGTATAAATACGATCTTTTCATGTGAAACATTACAGTTGCCAGTGAATCTGCAATTCTCCAAGTGACACATTTTGAAATCTTTCTCAGGTCTAGTCGTCTATGAGTTTCTCTACCACGCTTTGGAAAATCGCCGTATTATGCATTACGGTGTTAGCAACCAGGGCAGAATCCCGAGAAGGTATATTAGTAAATTCTTCATTTTAATATGCCAAATTAGAGATAATTCTAACATTTATGAATTGTATGTACGTAATAATTACACAACCTATGCATTGTAGTTCCATCTCAAGGAATAAAGACGGCAAATGGGGATTTCTACATCCCTAGCCCAAGAATGAATATGGTTGGGAATTTTGGAGATAAATACTATTTCATAGAAAGCATACCGACACAAACGGTAATGAAAGTCAAGTGTACCTTAAATGCAACACCATAAAGTAAAGTAACAAATATGATCCTGTACGAATATCTTTCACGAAATAGGATTACTATTCAGCGTTGACCTTTTGTCCCAATGAGCATCCCGCGATGACATCGGTGAGGGTCGACTCTCAAGAGGAACTTCGCTATATTACGAGCTATGGGATTAACACGACCATTCCTGCAGGAAGTAAGTTAAGAGGGAGGGGTTTAAGGTCCCCCATTTAAAAACAGAGTTTTACTATTGGACTTATGAACTAGCAATAGATAGTATTTTTTTTAACTTGTAAGCCCATAAGCTCAATGCTAATGTTCCCCTCTTGAGTACACCGTAGTTGGGGGCTACTGTTTGTCCATAAATTAATTGATTGAATTATGCACAGCATACTGGACCGGGGCCACGAGCTTTGGCCTTTACTCTTGGCCAGATGGAAGTTTACTTGAGGACTTGTACATTGACAGGGGAAATGACTATGCCCCAATGTGCCTCTATTTCCATGGGTCCAACGCCGCTGGGGAAAGGTTGTGGGGAGAGCGGTGCATTAATCGACATTTTCCAATTTGTCAAATTATCACATCGAAATGAATAGGTTATAGTGAGATTAAATCACGGAGTGCAAAATTCTTTTAAAACCTTCTTTTTTCTGATTTCTTGACAACGCGGTCCACAAGCACACGTACAGATGTCCTTGACATATAAATTTCGAAAGTGTGTAATGTAATAATCAAGTCAAATAAATTTTAAATTGGTAGAATGAATGGTAACTATCTAAATGTAAACTGAAAAAGACCCTAATGTATAATTCATACAAAATAAGTTGAGATGATTGATTTAATAAATAAAATATGACATATTGCAATCGAATTAAAATGGTGCTAATTTTTAGAATTATTTGAAATATCAAACTTATTCCTCGTTAAAAGCAACAAGTTTTCTCGTAGATGAAATTTTCAATTAAGTATTTTATTCTTTTAATGAGCAATTTATTCGAGTTTTGTTTAAAAGAAACATCAATTTCATACATAATAAATCTCGTTTTGTAAGCAAATGTACTACATAAACGTCGTCGCTTCAAATATTTTCAGAAGTTAAGTGTTCTCGGACTTGCCCATAATAGCGTCAATCCTGCTTCCCTCCCACACAGTCAATGGGGGATGCGTGTGTGGCGAATTAAGTTTCCCACCCCCTGTAAAAGTTTGGTTGAATCTTGATGGACATTCGGCATCCTGACATCTCCAGTATCGTCTTCCACTCTGTTCAACCTTACGCAGCCGGAAGGCATGGTTGTCATGCATCAGCCAAACGCGTTTAGCCCCCTTATGGTAACGTACACCAAATTGAGCGTGGCGAAGTGGGTCTGTCAGAAAATTGTAATTTAACATAGACAATTGATAAGGTGAGCAGGTTTATTCACTTAAATTCTTTAACTCTCACCTTGTAGGTCGTCATTATGGTATGCAGAGATAGTTCTACGCCTAGGAGTGACCTTGGTGACTGAAATGAAAGACTTTGATATACTTTTTCTTTTTGATTGTAAGGTATTTAAACGTGGCATAATCTTCTTTTGATTATTCGTCTTTCTTTTGGCTGGAGTTGGAATTAGCCTATTCGGGGTTGCGGAAGGAAGAGGCACTTGTGATGGCGGAGTCATTTCCTGGACAAGATCTTTGATAAGTCCGGTGGTCAAAACCTTGTGAGATTGTTTTCTTGGATTTCTTAATTTGATTGCGTTTCGAGTTTGCGGGGGTTGTACATGCAAAGGATTTTCCACTATTTCATGCTTTTTTTCTTCCTTGACAGCATGGAAGTTTAAGTCATTTTTGACCTCGTGGAACGTGTACCCTGAGTTTGGAAGATTAACAACAAAATTGCCAATATCTTCATCACTATCTTCACACCATCTTGGGTTTAGTTCTATTTCCTCCTCCTCCTCATTCTCTTGGTCGTCTCCACAGTCTTCCATCTTGATTTGACACAGGTCCTGACAGCCAGACATATTTGCGTCATCCCCTCCAATATTATGCAAAATAGGGACATGATATTGGTCAAGTTGCTCACGACGGGCCAAATTATGAGAATGATTTATTGGTTCCTCTTCCTCGACGACCGGTGTGGGTATTAGTTTGATGGTCATTTTCGGATTGGCCTGCTTGAAATCTTTAAACTCTTTATAATCTGCCCCTGTAATGCATAATTAAGTACATGCTTATTAAGCATTGTCATGCATTGTAATTGTACAATCAAAATTAATCAGTTAGTAAAATACAAATTGAAGTATTACCAAACTTTAATCCAATAAATTCCTCCAACTGGATAATCTGTTGAGATAATTTCTTGACATGGTCTAATACCGCAGGGAGATCCATTGTCCTATTTATGAGTCAAAAATGGATAAAACGTGAAATAATTGAGTGCTTAATTTAATTTAAGGAAAAATTGCAGTATAGCGGCCTAGCTCGGATATGGCTAAAATTTTTTGTGTGAACACCCTAAGGTCCCCTGAGCATAAAAATACCTTTTTTTCGTCGCGGTCTCAAAAACTGAAATTTCTAGAAATTTTTGAAATTTTTTATAAAAATTATTTTTTTGTCTTAGATTTTCATGAAAATGATTTTCTTGACTAACTAAAGTATCCTGAATAAGAATCTGAAGGAATTTTTAAAAAACATTCAATAGCAAAAAAGTTACAAATTTTTGAAATTTTGTATACAAATTGTTCTTCTTGTTGTTCAGAGAATTCCAAGACTTTGTCTCACTTCCCCCCTGTCAGGAATTAATTTTTTGGGGTAAAATCAAATTTTCGGGGTAAGATGAGATTTCTAGTTTCCGGCTCTCCTAGGTAGCACTAGTACCTAGCTCTCCTAGGTAGCACTACTACCTAGCTCTCCTAGGTAGCACTAGTAGGTAAAAATTCCACGCTTTTCGCCTACCTAGTTAAACTAACCTAACCTGCTCGCTTCGCTCGCTAAAATACGAACAATACCCCAATACGGGCATAATTATAACTTTTTTTGCTATTGAATATTTTTCAAAAATTTCTTCAGATTTGTGTTCAGGATACTTTAGTTGGTCTAGAAAGTCATTTTCATGAAAATCTAAGACAAAAAAATAATTTTTATACAAAATTTCAAAAATTTGTAGAAATTTCAGTTTTTGAGACCGCCGCGAAAAAAATATATTTTTATGCTCAGGGGACCTTAGGGTATTCACACAAAAAATTTCAGCCAAATCCGAGCTAGGCCGCTATACTGCAATTTTACCTAATTTAATTTCCGACTCTAAAGTCTACTGTGCCCTATGATAGCCGTATATTTATTTATTTGTTTTTATTTTATTCCGGAAACACAATGTGAACAACACGTTTGTTTTACAAACAAAGTTGTGGTGCAACACGGCAAGCGGGTTTTCCCTCTATCATAGAGGCTCTATGACATGAAGTATAATGCACACGCTTATGATTTTCGAATTTCATATTTTTATTACTCATTAAAAATCTACAGTGAAGTATTTTGAATTACAAAAATAAGTTTGAAGTATACTTTAATGCCTTTGAGAGGGTGTGGTTGACATAAATTTGCCATGTAGTCCACTCGCCTGACAAGTAATATGTTTTTTTTATCCCCCACATCCATGTAACCATGCTTCCATAATAATTAAAAATAACTATATTACACATTTACAATTTAAAATATAGTGCTACATATCTTTTACATAACTTTTAGTGACTTGTTGATTTTTAAATGAAGAAATGTTTTACGTAACTTAGCATCTTTTTGCATGCGGGGAAATGGGTGATGGAAGTTTTTTCCCCAAATCTAACGCTGTACAGTTATCTCACTCTGTGATATCACTCCAATCTAACTCTTGTTCTTCTTGTTCTTCTTCTTCTGGTTCATTATCGATTATTTCAAATCGCTCCCAATTGATTTCGTTTTTTTCGAATGAAAGAAGCCAACGATTTGCTGTTGTAAATGGGCGTTTCTGATAAAAATTTTGGGCAAACTCCTCATTTGTCCCCTCTCCTCCAACAGTGCCTTGATTTGGGTGATACATGGATATGAAATTACGAGGTTTGCCCTGCTGCTGTTAAATTAAATACATAGATTAGGAGGCACAAATAATACATTAGTATGGCATTAGTATAGGTGAGTAAGTACTAGTTTCTTAGACTTACTTTTTTAAATGCACGTTTAAATGTGTCATTCGCCTGTTTGCCGAACAATAGGAATATGACGCTAGGATTTTTTCTGAAAACTCCTCTCATAATCCCTTCTGTAATGTACCGTTCATCATTATGTCCACTCATGAAAATATTTAGTAGGAGCACGCCTAATACCAAATACAAATATTATGCAATAATTATTATTTTTTGTGGATATTGATCATATAATAAGTGCAATTTGTGCAACCCTGTGCAATCCATCCATTTAAGTTCCCTGTAGGTTCAATTGTCTCCGTGATTCCAAGATCTTGTTGCATGTATTGAAATAACACTTTAAGGCTGTCCGATGCCATTTCTTCAGTGCCAAATGCATAACCTCTGGATTTTTGTAAGTTTGGTGATGGAGCGTCCCCTTCGACAATTACTACGTCAACCTCCCCAATCTGCAATCGGACATTTCTGGCTTTCGTGAAGGCAAAATAATTCTTCGGTTTCAGATTTTCAGTTTTTTTCTCGTCCATCTGTAGAAAGTTCAACTCATACAGTAAATAAATTGATAAGACTTTCAGGAAAGTCATTTATGTAACCTCATGAAGAAGTTTATCCAAAAACGTAAGTCCTTCCACTGGGGATTTCTGCGTTTAAAGAAACGATTAAATAAATATACGGAATTGAGACATTCCAATTATGAAATTTTACTCGATACTGGTCGAATTGATGGATAATCATCCACTGCCAAGCTGTGCAAGCCATGCCGAATTCAGTAAGCTTTGCTTGCACTTTAACAAGCAATGCTTTATATTGATCGGTATTTTGCATTACGATAATATGGAGGAAAATCGAGCCTTGTGTGAATTATCAATGTGCAGGATGTTAAAAATGTGGAAGCTACTTCAAGAACAACACTTTTGAATGTACTGCAAAACACAAAGCGGAGTATTTACATACTTATATATCGCGTATATGTATGTATATTATATTTTTGTACTATGGTGGATAGTTCAATTTTAGAGTATTTAATAAGATGACTTAGAAGTGAGTGTAAAGAACTGTTTAGATTCAAAGCCAATAATACGTTTTTATTAGCATAAAAAACGTTGAAGTGCAGATGCAGTTGGTATACATTGCACAAAGGCAAGTGCATGAGTAATGCAAACCTATCAGCTGGAATTTGTGATGACAAAAGTATGTTGTCAGTAACATGCATCATGAGATAACAAAGCATTATAAACAATTGAACACGGTTAGCGATTTTGCAGACCCAATTTCGACTATGTACATAGTTGCATACACACATAAATTCGCAATGTGTGTACGTATAATATAGTAAGTATCTATTTACATAAATCTAATTCCATGTATCGATCGTGCACGATGCCAATAAACAGTCTACGGGCATCAGATGAGATATCTACGTATGTAAAAGGCAAAAAACTTTATACTTGAAATAGTTTAGTTACTTATGTCATAAATGATGCATGAAAATATTCTACCGTTAATTTATACAACTGAGATAGTGGCATAGGATAGTGGTAGGCATTTAACAGAACAGTAAAATACCATGAAACCGCATTATTTTAGACATAAATGCACACACACATGCTGGGTTCATATTCATAATTTTTGCACTGGGATATTTTTCCTGCAGTAGTGGGCGTTAATGCATGCGATACGCATTGCTATTTACTCTCAAAGTTGAAACCCGGACATTTATTTTTATGTTACATGAAAATAAAATAACATCAATTATCATATCACCATAATAAAACCGACTCTAGTCACCTCAAAATGAGCAGAGTAATGCGATTTTGTATGATTATTTTCATTGTGATATTATTTTTCGGAACGTGGCTATTGGGTTCGTTCATTGTGATTCAGATAGATTCAGAACAATTTATCCACGATAAACAGTTCAAAGTTTTACAGAAACAAAATCAGGAGCTTCAACGAAACGTGGATAAGCAGTGCAGACTTATAAATAAGAAAGAGCTTGTCAGAGATGATTTGAGTGGTGACAAATATGACAATAAAAAAGACGCTCATAAAGCCTGGGAAAGGGCCAGGAAGGAGAAAGTCATCAGAGATAATCTCATCTACTTTCCACATTTGAACCAAATGTGGTGCCTGGTGCCAAAGGTCCTCATTTTTAACCTCTATAATCAAATTTTGATTTTAATTAAATTTTTCCTACTTGACTTTTATTTTACAGGCGGCTAGTACTTCTTGGAGTAAAGCTATTGTGGACCGCTTGAATTTCGAGTCCACAAACATTTTCATAGACTCTTCTGCAAACTACTCGTTGCAAGTTATTCTCAAACAAAATTTTGGAAATATTAACAGAACGGTAGGCAGGCATGCAAATAAATACTTGTGAATTCTTGATGCTAACTTGGTTCGGTCAAGATTTTTTATTATTACAAGGGTTATCTTGTAGGCATTTGTAAATGCTGCGCAATCGGACAAAATAAAAAAGGTTTTATTGATTCGACACCCATTTTCAAGAATTGCAAGTGCTTATCGAGATAAATTGGCAGACAGAAAGGCGAAAGTGGATGGAATGCATTTCTTTCAGTATGTTATTAATCTTGATTGGATTACATGAATTTTTACACTGGTCAAAATAAATTATAAATTTTCAGACAGTTCGGAGTTAAAATTAACCGACGATTCAGACAGAGCAGAAAAGACGTGAAGCAAAAGGAGCCAACATTTCAAGAATTTGTGGACTATTTAATCGAAACAAAAGTAAATGAAAAACAAAAATCGAACGAACATCATATATCAATTAAGATGATTTTCTTGTACGCAATCACTTATTCAATATAATGATTGGGTTTGGAACAAGATTGAAATTCTTATCGTAATTATATTGTTCCAAAAGTCAAAAGTAAATTACGAAAACTTAAATGTTACTTTAAGCAGTAACTTTTCGAAGGGGTTGATAGATCGATTCAAACACAAAATCAATGTCGAAAGTTTTGTTAAAAATAAATTTAATTTTTCTACAGCCCTTGGACATGAATGAACATTGGCAGCCCATCTCACTTATGTGTGGCCTCTGTCATGTCCATTATGACCACATAATTGCGATGGAAAATTTGGAGAAAACCAAAGTGTTCCATTTAAATCAACTAGGATTTCCAGGAAATAATTTTCCGGTTGAAAACAAAAACTCGGGCACTTACAGCTCCCAAGAGCTATTTCGCAATATTTCAAATTCCAGGGTACGTAAGACAAGTATTTTTTAGCACATGCTTTTCTTAGATATTGTCAGTACGAATCTAATTTTTTTTTGTATACTTAGAAAGTTCGGTTGTTGGACAAATATCAAGAGGATTTTAGGCTTTTCCAGTATAGTTTTTTAAAACATTATTATATTTAAGTCGTGACAGAATAAATACAATTATAAGAATATCTCGCAAACATTTGGACGACTATTTATTCTCCTTTAATCCTTAACTCGACAAAATATTTTTGTCTCAAACATGAGCAAATCGATCAGATACAAAGTCTAAAAAAATTGTAGTTCTGAATAAAACAAAACAGTAAGTAAAAATGGATCATTCGGGTCACTTCTTTCCGTCATCACTTTTTGTTCTAGATGGTTCAGGAACAGATTTATCATTATTTTTCACGGCAGGAGAGGCATTAGCGTTTGTGGGTATACTAGTAGTCGCTATGACCGGATTAAACGCTCCATTTCCTGCAATGGTCCCTACAACCTGGCCACCTAGTATGACAAATTGAATTCCTGGTGGTTGGTTTGTTGCTACTATTGCTTGGGGTTGGATTGCCTTAGGTAGAATTGTAACCGGCTTTAGTGAAGAGGAAGGCTTCTTGTGATGCTTTGACGTTTGAGAGGCATTATCAATATTCATTTGACTAATCTTCTTCATATCCGCTCTGGTACGGTGTTTAGGGGTTTGGGGAGATGCAGAATCGGAAATGCTTCCGATTTCTACTTTCTGACTTTCAGTATTAATATGGTTCGTGGCAATGTGATCATGTAACGATACCACGGTCGGGAAACTAGTTGACGTACTGCTGGTATTTTCACAAATTCTACAGTTAATGGAGATATCATCCTGCTCTAGGTGCGCGAGCAAAGCAAATTTTGATTTTAAGAATATTGCAGGAAGTTTATCTCTCGAATTTACAGCATCAATTAACTCTTGCAGTCCATAATGATTCCATCGATGAGTGGAAACTTCGCTAGGGAAAATAGGTTGCGAGCATATGGAACAAGGGCTTCTCTGGGGTTTTGGTAGATCGCCACGAACTTTTGGCTGCTGAATTTTTCTAACAGAGTAAAATAAAACACAAATTTCATTATACCGTAAACATAAAAAGTAGTGAGGGACCACGCACAAGGACGTCACAGGTAGAGGGGGCAGGAGTGGGGGGTAAGGCCAACTGCGAATTATGACTAGGGGGTGAGGGAGGGCAGCATGAAGTACTGCGCAATTTTTTTAATTAATAAAATGCACTTCATTATGTTAAAGCTTTACTGTTGAAAGGTAGAACATTCAGATTTTTGAGCGTCGTCATTGTGCAGCGTCCCTAAGTATTTGATTAAAGGTTTTTTAACTCTTGACTTTACCCACCTCTTTTTCGCTTTTGTCTTCTTTGTAGCACGTACACCAATCTTATCATCAGTCACAGTAGTAATTTTTTGTTTTTTCTTGGCTGGCCTTGCAATATTTTTTTCTTTTGCAATATTGTTTACTTCGGGATGCAGCCTCTTGATATGACAATGTCGGCTATACTCTGACATAAATTTCGTACTGCAATGGGGACAGTCAAATACAAACATTTCCGCCGTGTGATTATTATCGCGATGCATTTTGGTATGCACATTAAGATCGTATTGCCTAGATCTTGGTAAGTTGCACAGAGGACACCGCAGTGTAAGGTTTTCTCGGAAATGAATCCGTCTTCTATGAGCAACAAGTAACTTTCGTGTTCTGAACTTCCGTTTGCGACAATAAGGTTCTAGAGTAAAATACATCTTAGACTTGGTATATTAAATATTACTAGTTTAAATATGTACAACATACCTTCACATGTAAACTGAACTTCACTCTTTTTCATCTCGTGCACATTCCTAACATGAACTCGAAGGATTATTCTATTCAAAAAGACACGTCCACATCCTTCGACCTGACAGGAGACTGTTTTCTGCTCATCCCCTTTCTTGTGGAAGTTAAGGTGCAGGGCGAAATATGGCTTGGATATCATTTTACCGCAGTGAGGGCACATGGAAGATTTCAGGCGATCTGGGAAGTCGCCTAAGGCAATAGCTGCGATCTTTTCTTCTTTATTCTTATGGGTGAATTCATGCTCTCTGAGGTACCCCTCTTGAACAAATCGGCCACAAATAGAGCACATGGCATTAAAACTTGTTTTAATATTCGGATTTGATTCCGGTGCCTTGATTGCTAGTCTTGAAGGCGGTATACCTTGACTGCCACATTTCAACGCAATCTTGTGCTTGCGCATGTTTTGGGCGAAAGTGAACAGTTTATTACAACCATCACACTTATATCGTGGAGTATGTCGGGTCCTTGTTCCACAGGTCTTCTCGTGAATTTTCAAACTCTTTAAACAGCTTTTACTTTCATTGCATAGGCTGCACCTGTATGCATCTGTGTGGACGGGGGGGGACGAGACAATAGAAAAATAAACGTTAGACTTGCCCATACATATGTATTTGATTGATATGTGTAAATGAATATATGAATATCAACCACTTACTTAAATGTATTCCTTTGATGTGAATTTTAACTGTGCGTTGTTTCACTGATTGCCTTACTTCATGATTATTGGTCTCCTTCCAGTTGCATGTTCCACACTGCATGTTTCCAGAAGGGAGGGTGATAATTTCATGAGATTCGTAAAACACGCGACCATCGCTAGTTTTTACGATTGGAGCAAATTCTTCAGCAGCGAGGAGGCGACGTTTCTTGAGCATAGAAATTCTTTGTGCTGTAGGCATTTTTCCTGGCCGGGGTCCTTTTTTATGACGTTTAGGTGGTGGTGGAACAGGAGAAGAATTTGAAGAACTTGCACTCCTGGAGTCGTTCATATCTTGGTCGCCATCATTATCGCCAGCAGCCCAATTGCTATTCACTGGACAATTTTGAGGTTCTGAGGACTCCAACATGAAATATTCTCCCTCATCCAACTCTACTCGTTGGGGTGTATTAATTGACTCTTGGGGTGACGCAAAGAAAGACGGAGTAGGGTTCATTTTCTTTAGCCGTTGAGATCGACGATTTGGAGAAAGTGATTTGACCGATTGAAGACTATTCCCTAAACACACAATTGAATTGTTACGTATTATCGGGATTACGACAACTAGTTAATATAAAATTAAATAGTGAACTCGTAGCTTACCTGCATTGTAACTGCATTGTTCCTGAAAATGAGAAGTACCCTCGTCGCTGGGGACATGTCGAGTCCCAGCAATTAGCTGAGCCCTCAATGAGGATATAGCAGGTTGAAACTGACCACTAGTCCCAGACTTAGCTACAAGACTTCTAATCGATTCTACGGTTTTGACCAGTTCTCCCCGCAATGTATCCAAATCATTTAGAAGTTTCTGACAAGTAGTGCAGCAAAAAAGTGGGAGTGGATAAAGTTCAGCCAAATTAATAGTATTTGTTGGTCGTAACTCTCCTCCATCCAGAAAAATGGGGATAAGACGTTCCCAAACTTGGGTCTGGGTGGTCTTTGTCCCCAAATTGGCCTTGGTCCTCCCCTTGTTGAGACGGGTGGCGCAGATGGTGCAACAGTTGGGCGACATCTTTTCACTGAGTTATCCTCCTCCTATGCAAATTAACAACAAATTAATTGTAAACTCCATGCAATTAAATCTCTTTTTGTGTTTTGTATTCGTGTACAGCATACCTTACTTAATTACTAATTTTCATTGTTATATTGGAATTTAATAAGTAACATTAAATTCGCACTCCAAATTATATCTACACTGATACCGTGACACAATAGTTCAAAAAATAGTCACATTTCACATTTGACATACACACGATTTTTACAAATTTAATTTTCTGTGAGCGATTGAACGATTTCCCACTTTTGGCTTTCTCCAAAAAGCGTAAATTGAGAATCTTACTCAAAGTTGAGAATCTCACTGGTTGAGTTGATACAAATGCACATTTTAATAACTTTGCACCCTTTGGGATTGCAATTAAAGTCTTGACTACAGTTTGGTCATTTGAATTAGAGACTCTTTTTGCATTTTGCAATTTTTTCCAGGATAGCAACTAATTAAAATTCGCGAAGAGCCATAACTAAAGAGCAATAACTAAATACCAAATGATGATTTATTACATTATGTATAAGTGTATTTCCAATCTGGCGTTTGCCCATCTTTCTAATCTCATACTCTCAGGATAAATTTTAGTTTTATCCATCCATAATGAATGAAAGTGAAAATAAATCTAATACAATAATTGCAATTGGTAGAACGATAGCACTTTTATTCCATTGTCAGCACCATAGATAATCACAACAATTGACAGTCTCTCATACATATTTGTACCCAGGTCAGGTCAGGTCACATCGTTAAATACTTAAAGTTATTTCTAGGATAAAATAATTTAAAACTCGTCAGTCAAGTTTAGACCATATCCATATTTAATATGGGCGTGCTTATGAATTGGCAAAATTATGTTGGCAGCATGCCCGCATTCCATCGTTTGACGTATTGACCAACATACAACAACAAAAGTGACATCGACTACAAATGCAGTGACCCAAACAAGTCTCATTTAAACCAACATATTCCTCCAGCATCCGGCTCGTCATAGTCACTGGAAGTGACCCATTTCCGGTAATATTGTTATTCTGGTGATGATCATTGTGGCATTTGCTCTTACTTTCTGCAGGATAATGGCAAGCCGCCCGTGTGGTATTATCGGCGTAAAATGGTGGCTGATCGCCGAGATATTCGTAACCAGGACACATCTCTCCCCGGTCGTTGTTTTCACTATTTTTATTAGACGAAGATGTGTTCACTTCGACGTGTTGTTCTCTGCCCTTTGAAATATTGTTCATATTCATAATAACCATTTGTGACTGTTTTGGGTCAGGAGAGTGGGGCTGTCGCTTTTTATAATTATCGTCACTCAATTTAGTCGTTGCCAGCATTTCCCCCAACTTTTTCGCCATCGGCCATCTCATTGGAGTGCGACGAGAGCAGAGTCGTCGTCCTTTGTTGCTTTTCGATGGTGATTGCGACCTTAGTCGAATTTTCGCTTTGGAACGAAACCATGCTCGCAACGTGTAGAAATAAATTACTTCAACGAGACTAAGACCAGAGAAGCCGAGACAGAGTCCCATTAATCCACCAGTGTTGGCTTAAGAAAGTTAGTATTTATTTAGTTAGATATGTACATATGTGTAAAAGTGTAGAGTTACATATGGTAATTACCGATTAGATCTGTTAAGCCATACAACTCCTTCCTCACCCTGGCATAGCTTGAGTCTGAAGAAAAGTAGATGTGAACGATGGACAAATTTTTACTTGACCAAGGGGCAGTTGTGGATGTTGAGGTCCCATCCCGTATCCAAATTGCATCGCCGTCTTGCAAAGGAGTAAACGTGGTTTCGGAAAAGTATTCCAACTCTGTGCAGGCCGGAAGGCAGAAGTCGCATCGAGATTTTATGACAGACTGGAGTGAAGATTCTATGTACAAGGAAAAGAAAGTTGATGACAATTGCACAGGAAATTGGTTTGTTTGACATGGTTTCCTTACTCCTGACATTTTCAGCACAATGAAAACTTAGTGCACCACAAAGGTCTCGTGTATCATCTCGAGGCATGTAGTAACTCACGCATCCACAAATTTCATACGTTTGATTAGCCAAACACTCGTCATAACAGTTTGTAGACGTGTAAAGTTTGTAATAAGCCAGTGGAAATTCTCCGTAAAAGTAGCAATTCCGTTTTTCCTAGAAAGTACATTCATGCAAAAATGAGTATGTACATAATACGAGTAAAGACGTATATACACACGAATTTAAGAAGCCATAATTTATGTATGTATGTCACATAAAGTGCTCATATCATATCTTTAGTTATTTAAATAATTTTTGGTACCAGTTTAAAGTTATAGATGTCCCGATCGGCCATCGTGATTTCAGGTTTGACACCCATAAAAACTTCAGCATTTGGGCGAATTGCAATTCCAAAATCCACAACCTTTGGATTATCGATGGGCAGATGTTTTACCAGCTTTAGAGATATAGTGTAGATTATAATTATGTGCATATCAATTATATGTATAATTCATATCCATCTACCTGAAATCCATGACTATCACTGCTTGTGCAAAAATATTCCTCCAAATCGGGATTCAATAGGACAGATAACCCACTTGATTTCCCGGCACGCTTTTGCCGTCGAGGAAATGGCATAGGTTTCGAGTAATGATGTCTCGGTGTCTCGGTGGCCGAGTGGGAGTGCTCACTACGTTCCTCATCATCGACGAGCAATCCATTCTTTACGGGATAATAGTTTATAGGATAATTTTGAATAACTCATAAATATTAACTTTTTGTTAAGTATTAATCCGTCCCTAAGAGACCGAATCAAAAATCAAATAAGTACTTTTTCAATATCCCATTTGGCCCAGCCAGCGATTTCTTTCGCATCGTATTTCCCCTCATTCCTAAAAAAATTATGAAATACTTTAGAAACAACCACACCTACCACCACCACTATTATGAAATAGTATAGTTAGTCACCCACATATTTTTATACAGGAGGAGGTGAGGGATCATGTTAAATGAACAACCTTTCAAAGTTAAAACAATTTTCAAAAACCAAAATGTTATCCCTGAATATTTAAAATGTAAACGAGAGTTTTCACGTCACCTCGTAACTGTGATAAATTTAACAGAAATTTCATGCTTACGTAGCTTGGTAAATAAATGCAAGATTAATGCGTCTTTTTCCTTTGTAAGAATTAAAAGTTAGGATAATACTTCTATAATAAGTAGTTACCGATGCTATTAGGCGCCGTCCATAAATTACGTAACGCTGGCTGACATGAGCAGGATAGGGAAAAAATCCTATCTTGCCCATGCTAGCAAGCGTTACGTAATTTATGGACGGCGCCTTAGGTAAGCCAAATGGAGAATTAAAATAAAAACCTTGACGAAAGTATTATTTACCCTTCCACGTCAACCCTTTGTAAATTTACGATTACTTTTTTTCGACTCAGTTACGAAGGCCATGAAAACCCAAATACAACGTACATTTCCCGAAATCGGTTTCAATTGGCTTAAACAAATCACTACAATTGTACGTCGTATCCTGCCAGGCGCACAAAAGCAGCATCGTGTCACACGGTTGGGATGCCTTTAATAGGAATTTATTAGAATTAATTCACATAACGATGTCTTTGGGTGCGTAGTGCGATGTCTCACAATTTGAAGGAATCTGGCGACGTCCCTTTGCTCATCATCGCCGTCTTCAACCCTGGTTCTGGCAAGAAGCGAAGGGTCCACTTGTCCCCGTTTTGAGGAGTAATTGAATTTTTGGCTAAAACTTTTTGATGAGGAACAAACGTGATCTAAATAGTAGACATTTTTTCGTGCTTCGATAGTTTCTTCTTCGTCCTCCGGACCTTGAGCGAGTCTAAATATGCGTATATTGTAAATATTTACATGTATGCATGCAAAAACGTTAAGATCAGGATAAAGTTTCAATGCGTATTTTGTAAGGTCTATTTGATTTCTAACCTGATAAACTCTTCAGCCTTACTTTTGAGTACTTTGTTCATGTTGCAGACTAATTACGGCACAAAACATTACTGAATAACGTTTCTTTAGTATTTATCAGTTTGTCATACTCTTACTCGTTATGGCTGGAAATGGAATTTTGTCAATTGTCGTCTCAAAAGGTTCAAATGTGACGATGAGAGGTGAACTTAGGTAGTTTGACCAAACATCTGATATAAGCCACCCTGCCATCGTTAACCCAATACCGAAAGCGATCATCCAGAAAATTCTGCACATATTTAACAACATGCAAATTATAGCAACTTGAGCCAACTTTTAATCCATTAATTTTTCACTCACCTTTCTACAATATGTCGCTCGGGTTGGCAAATGTACTTCAAACCGTGCAGGCTTGTTTCCAACGCAAAATCGACCGTATCGCAATACTGGTCGTCGTCATCCTCATCATCGTCATTAATTTCGCCATCCGTACTACTCACAAATTCTCGATGATAGCAGCTTCCAGGTAAGGGGCGGGTCGAACCGGTCGATGCGGTGCTACTTCTCCTGCCCCTGGAGGGATCTCGAGATCGTGATCGCCTCGTAAAACTGGTAGTACGACCGTGAATTTGATGATGATGATAGTTCCCAGACTTTGCAAGAAAATAAGAAAATATTGAAATCCAATGAACATAACGTTTAAAATTTATACTAAATCCACCCACCAAGTCATCAGACAACTCCACCTCAACGAAACTAACACGACGCTCCGAAGCACGAACAATGTGAGTTCGAGCGGACGAGGGTTTCGCCGTCGCCACCATCGTCGTTCTCGCCAAGGGAAGGGGATGTGGAGCGAGGGGGCGTGGCGCCCAACTAGGGAGAGAGTTACTTCGGCGTCGTTCCGCCTTGTGGTGAAGATGGTTGGCATGGAGGTGATTGTGGTCGTGTAAGTGGGGGCAGTGATGCATGCTGAGAGGAGCAGTCGTGATCAGTCTCATTATTTCTCAATCTGCCCCCAATCCACAAATTATGTTGCTAATTTTAGCACTATGCGTCGCCAATTGACCTAATTCTTTACTTGAAGAATATGAAAATAACGTGTATGTAAATAAAAAAAGTTTTATGGTCACATTTTTTTTACAGCCTGTTGCTTTCACCACCTTGACTTTCCCCGAGAATGAATGGCAGCGAGGAAAGCTCAACGAGTAAGAGTATCCATGTCTGACATTTGCTCGTTGTCTGCAAAATGTCTCATTTGCAACGCATCCTGATCATTTTATTTCTTCGTCTCTGTCCGAAAAAGGGTTCGTCAATCTGCGCAGGAGGAGAGAGATGGGTGGACCACGGGACGACCAGTTGCATGCATTCTTGCACACTACTTATCGACGAAAGAAGGAATAACTTAGGGCACCAGAGCCAGCCAAAGTAAAGAAAGAAACCACGCAAGCACAACTAGATTGGGTTCATTTATCCTCATTACAACAACAACCATCATGACATGGTGACTCCATTAACATAAAGTAATGTCGTAATGCAGCCTAAGCCATATTGGATGGTGGAACCAGTGAAAGACAGTGAAATCTCTGACTCGTGTCAGTCTTTATTCGCATCCTCTCCGTCCAGCAGTCCAGTTTCTGCTTATGCTTAACTCTTGACACAATGAATGTATACACAAGTGTGTGAGGCAATAAAGCAATATAAGCTTTCACTCGGTGGGAGATTGCTTAATGAATTTCTCGCTCTTTTTTCAAGGGCGATTAGATGTTCCTGAGGAGAAGAAGGTGACATTTAATCAGATGCCCATGCACTTCATTCCACTAATCTTCCTCGTGTCCCATAATATCTACCACACAATAAGCAGAGACGAACAACAAGTGCAATTTGTGCAATCAATGTTGTCGCGATTTTATGTCTTTAATGAACATCATTCGGATGGACTTGAGATGGAAATGGAGATTGATGGACGCTTTTATTTTCGCAAAGGGATGCTTTGTAGCGCTGAGGAGGAGATATAACGCACCATCATCATTGTCGTCATGATGATGGCGATGAAATAAAATAACTGACCGTGAAACAACCTTGGTCAAAAAGAGAGGAAATTTTATGTAATGGTGACAATGGGAGAAAACTAGGTGATACTGGAAAGTAATTCCTTATACTGACGCTGCAATTGGGCAAATAATGTCAGGTATGTACGTACACGGGGACAGTATTATGGGAAGAAAGCACTTGTGTTTGCTTTGACATGATGTAGGAGAAAGCTCGCTTGCTTTTCTTACAGAATTTCATGCCTCAGTTATGGGATCTTTTACAAGGTCTGCCTACTACCTTTGCACAACTCTTTTTGTCTGTTTTGATTTCACAGGTTTTGGCCAGTTTAAAATATTTTCAGGCTTACACGTGTACAAAGTTGAATACTAATTACGGTACAAAGACATCTTTTTCCGAGGAAGGAAAATGTGACTACGTGACTCGGGAAGTTTAGAGATATGACAAATATTTAGAGACAGGATGTTTGAAATGTAAACCAATCCAGCTAAATCCGACTTTTCAGTAGTATACAGAAGTAAATAAATGGTTTCTTAAATAGGATCTCATTCAGAGATTTCTTGAAATTGGGTTAAAATGAAGACGACACAAAGATTACATATTTGCATACATTGCATGTGTGATACTTATATAACTGCATACGCAATATTCTACACATTTAGTTAAAACTTGTACTTAGCATACACAAATATTCATCCTTCAGTAATCGAAAAGTGTAATTATTTGTCTCCATTTTCTAGATCCATTTGGGACCCTTATTATTGGTAGTTTGTACCATACATACATATAAAAAGGTAGTAATATTGTATTGAACTTGTAGGCTCTTGGTTAAAACTTAATGAACTTTAATTTAATGTAACTATCTCTCCACGTCATTTTAGGACCATATCAAATTCCTGCACATACAGCTTTGATAAATGGTACATGCACAGATAAGTGTGTAATTACTTTTCATATGCATACATAAAAATGCATGCGCTAGTTCTTTCACTCTCATCCTCACCATCAGAGAAATGTTATGTCTGAATAATGTACATACATACATATGTATGTACGTACTCGCTTCATATATACATACTGGACAGTGAGTGTTAACTGTATTACTTAGATATCTATCTAGAGAAAAATCTATGTAATATATTAGCTGTGTAAAATTACATTAAAAAATCAAAATCAAAATTATGTAATGTACAAATTTAAATCAATACAAAATAATAATCATAATCAAAATTGCATTATTTGCATTATCGGCGTAAAATTTTTAAGAACTAAGTAGACATGAGCCGATTGCTGAAGAAATTACTTTTCTTAGTGCATAGTTAGATTCAAGAAAAAACTCGTTTGAATTTATAAAATTTGAATGTTTTATACATTTGATTACCGTTGAATATGGAGGCAATTTAATACTTTGTTATCTGTGGGAAATATGAGACTTAACAATTTTCAAGTTTTCAAGTAATGTTAAAACCAACACATCATTAAAAATATCAGTTGTTCCTTGAACATTTAAATTCAAGTTCAAGTTAACAAATACATTTTTTCTACATATAATTGGGCATGTGTCATATCGTTATAACATGTGTTATAGATCCATTATCTAAAACATTCATGCAAAGTTTCACAAAGTTTAGTTTTGAACATGATTATGCATATGTATAAACAAGTAGATATACTTAAAAAGTATAGATAATTTATATCAGCACCTAAAGCAGTGGTGTAGGCGAAAGAGTTATGAATTTCCATTTTCAAGGGTAGTCTTATTGGTTTCTAGCAGGACAAAGGTTGCGCAAATTAGCGTAAATATCTAATATGGATACCATTGCATATTTATTTACAGATCGAAAAATCATCAGAATGGATGTATCTCTTAAACTAATTATATTAATAATAACTACACTGCTACAATTAACCAGTACTTTAACGGTTAGTGGCAGCAGTCGTGCAGCAGAGGTTATCAAACTTTCTTCCCTTCTTGACACAGTACAAATGGAAAGCAGTTGTCTCATCGTTGTATTCTTAGCATCAGTAAACGACGATAACGAACTAAACATCGATACACATGATTTCCAAGATCCGTTTCCTGTTATTCTCTGGATTCACGATGAGATTGAGAAGGACGGGGAAATAGGATCACTCAACAAGTTGAGCGTAATATTTCCGACCAATCCTTGCCGAACGGTGCTTGACCTGGGATCAAATTCTACTCTTACTGATCGTCTTGCTCAAATTAATCTTAAGAGCACCGTTTTATACCAAAATGTACAGCATCCTAGTTCCCATCTTGATTATAATTTCAACTATGTCGTTCAGCTTCGAATTAATAATGCAAATCCTTCATATTCCCTTTATTGTGGCACCACAACCGCCATCGTCCACTCATCCATGTCTTCCCTTCCTTCCCCTTCCAATATCCCTTCGACCTGTTTTGCTGCCCTTCGCGGATCTCGGTCTCATATTTACTACTCTGTTGACGAATCTATCCATCCGTCTTGGCTCATTCCTCCAATCACTTCGACTCATTGTGAATCAGCCACTTTTCTCTCTTCTCGTGCCGGACGTTGTACCAAAAGTCGCATTATGTTCCACCTCATCTCGGTCAGACTCAATCTCACTTTCACTCCGGCGTCCCAGCTGCAGGTCCCGTTCTCGTACGACGACATCGACTCCACCCACCCTGCACTCGTCATGTGTGCAAATATTTGCAACCTTAACATCGACACTCATATGGAGGGGGCAACACGAGGTATTCTTCTCGAAGAAGAATTCCACTACGTCATGTACTGCACTGCTAGCCACGTTTACCAAGAACCGCACTGGCTCGTCATCTTTTCCGTGTTTGACCTACCCAGCAGAATTTCCCTGCTGCTCGTATGCATCGTATTGGGTGTCCTCTTGAGAAAGGTGGAGATCACTTTCGACACCATGTTCTTACTTTTGGGACAGTCCAGTCAGACCAAGTGGAATCCAAGTGAAATTTTCCCCTTCGTCTGCCTATTTCTGGCCGTTCTGAACCAGTACTACCAAGCGGACGTGACCACGCATGTGATTGCGCCCCCAAAGATGAAACAAATTGAAACGGTTTCTGCCACTTTCAAAGCAGGCTTCAAGTTTATTCTTCCGGATTACGATACAGTCCAGATAGCAGTGGAATTGATTCGAGATCGATATGAAAAGCTGGGGATTGTGATGTCATTGGATCAAGTTGACGTAGGTAAGAGCGAAGTCAATATTAATGATGGCATAAGGAGTCGTTGGTTTGGGGCATTGGCCAGAAATAAATGGGTGATCTCGATAACGAGAAAGCAGCACGGCCAACTTGTACGGAGTGGTGCTTTCCATCAAAATCGGATTCTTGACGTGAGTTGTTTCGTGGTGAGGAATTACAACGGGGACGATGATCAGCATTTGTTCGTGAGGAAAATTATGTGTACGTGTACATCCGTAATTATGTAGTTATCGCATACACTGAAATAATTAATGTTTTGCTAAATGTTGTAGCTTATCTTATCTTAATTACAGATATGTTTCGAGGCTGGATGCGAGACAAGGCGTACCAACTTTTGAGCGGACTTCACGAGTCGGGTATATCACTAATGTGGGATGATAACATGAACAGACAAGAGTTGCGACGGTCTGGAATTTTAAAATCGTGTGCAAAAACGAATGGAAACAAGAATGATCACTGTCGAGCAGAATCGTATAAATCGCTAAGTTTTCATTCGCCTTTTAAAATATTGCTGTGGTGGCATCTCTCCCTTTGTGTGAGTGCTTGGTTCTTCTTCTTTGGGGAGATAAGGTACCCATGGTTGACAAGTCGAAGAAGGAATGCGAGCATGATTTTCTGATTCAACATATTAATAAGTAGATAATGATAAGATGTAAATACACAAATAAGTAAATAGATTAAGAAATACAACACCATGAAATTAATTACATGACTAAATTTGTTCGATATAGATAATAATGAGCATCTACATATTTACATATATTTTAAAATTACATTTAAATTAGTTTGCAAACACCGTTGGGGATCAAGCTCTACACTAAACGACACTTGGGTTATTAAAATACTGAAAAATACTATCAACAACTACTCTGTATGTGTTCCTACATATGTGCTATAAGGTAAATAGTATATAATTTAAAAAATATGCTTAAATTTCACGTTATGGATATGCATGGACATATTTATCTAAATACACATACATACTATTTGAAGCATCACAACTATGAAGAAGCTCATTATGACACTTGAATATGATGAATTCCCTGTGAGCATAAACCCTTACGATAAGGAGACTACAATTTTCGAAAGTGTGAACATGTATTAGAAATTTATCAGTAATTCAAATCCTATCGAATTAGGTCACTGAATGATTCAGGTAATTTTATAAAGATCCTATACATCTTAAGATTTATCTCCAAAGTTAAATATGTATGTAGCATATATTCAATAAATGAGACTATGTTTATCGCCAAAACAAAATTTTGAGCTATGAGAGAAAATTATTCCGATGGGTTCTACATATATAATTGTATAAGTAGAGTAAAATTCTCTTATCTACCTATGTACATATGTACATGTAGAAAAGAAAACTTTTCTCCAGAAGATTCATATCTCGTTCGCAAACTCGTTATCGGCAACTGTCTACTTTTGAACAAAAAATGGAATTACTGACTTGAAAAATTATGAAAGATTTGAAGAAATATAAATGTTGGTGCATATGTATGTTGTGCTTCACACGAAAAAGTATTAATAAATAAGTATGTACATGATTTCATTCTAAATTAAAAATTTCGCCAATGAATTAAGTAGTACTGCATCGTTGAAAAGGCGAACTGTATTTTCATGAAAAATTAAAGCATTAATATTTTGCAACAGTCGTAATATTTGGTATTCAGCACTTTTCATTACATTAAAAATTAAAAGTTGTGGAAGAAAATATACACAATGCATTGGTTTTCGATCGAGAACTGTGATTTATTTTTTTTTGTTTTGTCCTTCGTGTGTATTTTTCTAGCACAATATTTTTTTAGACCAACTTACATTAACATAAGTTAAGTCTGACAGACTCGTGTTCGGATAAGTTTGAAGTACGGAAGGAAACAATAGGAAATAATAAATATAAGTACTTTAGTTATGGAATGTTCGAATTTTATATCATCCAGTTTTACTGAGTAATTGATTAATTAATGAATGGAAATATACTAAAGCGATCATTATTACGGCGCATTTTTTGCCCATAGTATCCGTTTCTCCATTGTCATGAAAGAACCTATGCGTCATTCATATTTACATGGTTTACAGGAGTAATTTTGGTACTAAAATTGTTATGAACACCGCCAGTTACGGTACCTTATTGAAATTAGGGCTCATTTCTAAGTACATATTGCACAGCAACTTGGATAACAGAACATTATAAAAGTCTTAATTCTGTATAACATAAAAGTAGTTACTTCCTAATATTTATAAGGTGCACTTATTAGCTTGTACCATGGAAAGATTTATATTTATATTTCTCGCCCTGATTCTGTCCGTGATTGGATTCTGTTTATGCGACAGATTATTTGGTAAATTACTTAATACTTTCATTTTATTTATTGTTTCCCTTATGAGATCGATAAATACTAGATTTTTAAACTCTTAGCCGGACTACATCCCTGGATAGTAGCAAATCATAGCGCATGCATGTCAGGGGGTAAAGCACTCAAACTTCGTCATAAAGGGTAAGCAATTAAACCGACCAGCCAAACTTTGGAAACTTTGGTACTTCAGTTGTGATTTTGTTTTGGTTATGCATTTAATTTTAAGCTGGAGAACTAGATGTGAATCCAACCACAATTGGACAGCAAATCACTCAATTGATGCGTTGCATCATCCGATCTACACCGTGAGCTGTGTGAACAATGCAATTTCCAAGAAACGGGGACATATTTGGTTTGGGCCGGAATTGAAGAATGGTCACCCAAGCTCTATTAATTATGAAACTAAACTTGAAGAGCTTGACGCAATGAGCGTGGCCTACTCCACGGGCGAATTCATAGTCATTGAAGCCACTGATTTTGGGATAGTTTATTACATCCAGATTAAAACACCCGACCCACATTCGGCATCATGCTACAAATTGGTCAATAATAAAAGTCCGAACATTACGCTAACGAGGGATACGAAGTGTTAGCGTTGTTATTTGCTTTACTTTGTGTAAGAAGTGTTGACAAATAAATCTCGTTTTAACCATTTTTGTCCTATTTACATTTATACTTGCTTGGTTCATTTGTTACGAAGTAATACATTTTATTGCGGTTGTGAACAAAGAGTAAAAGTGTGTAATAACTTAATCAATTAATTTTTTAATGACTCAATAATTAATAACTGAACGAATAAAGGATGTACGACTTGTCTCTGTTTACTATATGTATATACAATAGAATAGCAGATTATCACTCAATATGTTTTCAAGATCAAGGCTGTGTGAGTTAGATATTTCGATATTAAAAGAACGTGCGTACATATTTATGTATTGTTTTGCTAAAAGAAGGGAGTTTCATGTATCTATTTCGGTTAACGCTGCATACGCATTTACTTACGTGTACAAAAGGCAAATGCAGAATATGTGTTTTCCATCAAGATAAAGAGGGCTCATAAGAACAGTACAGTTAATAAGTAAATATGCATGTGTGTATGACTATGAGCACAAATTTATCAGTAAACAGGAACTATGTAAATTTTGTCTCAGGTGCATTCATTCAATCAATTAAGTAATTAACCATGACTTAAATAACAGTGCCCTAATTCTAAAGAATGAACTGAAAGTGGTAATCTTACAATTACGTAGAGAACATTTAAACTCCTCCCCCCTCTTGTCTTACAATATTATTGCCCTTATACTCTCCCGAAAGCAGCCTCTGATCATTAACATTCCACAGTTAATAATTAAGATTTCTTTGTCGAAACAACAATATTACTATGGGCATATTAAACCCACCACAATGCGATAAAATACAAATAATGCGTGTAGATACATGCTTCTGAGAATTGTTTACCGACATTGTCCATGACTGACTGACGCAGAAATATTCTAGATATTTACATGTGTGGTCACTTTAAGGATCGTGTCGACACCAACCAACGAAATGACTCATGCTTCCATTCACTTTATCGAATCTTACCAAATCCTTGTCAAATTACTTAAATTCACTACGAAAATTAAGTAATACGTATTCCATCACTTAACAGTTAAATACTTGTAAATGTACTCTCAAGAAAAGTTTGAAACATTGCATGACAATTCCGTCCAAACAAGTTGACTAGGAAAAAATGGCTGTGACTATCTCGTTTCAAGTAGCATAACTAAATTATCTGCACATTCTGCCAATATTTATTTTATTAAGGAAAAGAAACTTATTTTTACGTATGTTTCTTGCATTTGGTGTAAAGTCTAATCATAATCATATTTATATTCTTACATACATATGTACACTCACGACTGCTGCAAAGAATTGACATGAACTGGTTCTATGACAGACAAAGATAACAATGAAAGTAGCACTGCCAAGCTTAAAAGTTTCCACGAACTCACAATCTTCAACCACATCGGCACCCTTGTCTTACACATGTGCACATATGTACATACTCTTTGTCTTTAATTCTTGTAATGAAAAATGTATGAATGAGTACCCCATGTCAGATTTTCCTACCTTGTACTATATAAATTACGCGTAGTGCTACACGTAACAAAGAACAATTAGCCGAATACATACAGAGATCATATATCTACTATCTCAAATTGGATGCGTCACCCAAAACCATTTATATGGGCATACATACAAATATCATATAATACATATGACCACATGCTTTATGGTGTCACTCGGTCATTCGCCTTAGTCGCACGCACTGTTGCACCGTCTCAAAATTTCTACTTTAGTAATTCCCCATTTTAAAACAGTATGGTTTCCCTTTGTATCTGTTTCCCTGGTGGGACCTTTGTCACCACGAGGCACGGAGTGAAACAGTTGGATGAGTTGCTCCAGGGGGAAGAAGTACTAACGCTGACTAAACAGAGTCAGAAATGGACACAATTTTATACCTGGGGTAAGAACATGTTACATAACGTATATATTTTTATTTATGTTACTTAAATAAATGCATATATTATAATAATATAAATTATGATTATTAAATATAGGTCACATTCAGAGGGATCTTATTGCAGAGTTTGTTCAGGTTAAAGTCAAGGGGGGAAAAGAGTTGCAAATTTCTGAAGAACATTTACTCTTTGTGGAGGGGAAGAATGGAAAAAGGGTGGCAAAAAACGCTGGACGAGTTGTGATAGGTGCATAAATTTTGTTAATACAAAAATTTTATGTACTTTTTTAACATTACATTATGCAAATTTTTAGGGGATAAACTGTACTATTTCGATGAAGATTCTCAATGCACAGAACTTTTAGCAGTTGAAGAAATCGGCAAGGTCCAAGCCAAAGGCGTATATGCTCCCTTCACCATGAACGGCGATTTTCTAGCAAACCGATTCGCAGTTTCTTGTTATGCCAATGTGTCAAATTGCAAAGTTGCACATGCAGCACTTTCTCCATTAAGGACGTGGTACAAAGTTAGACCGGAGAAAGAGGACTTATTGAGCAAGGAAGGAATTCATTCATACGCTGAAAAGCTTATGAAATTTCGGGAATTGATAACAACTTCACCATTTGCAAGGAAAGTAGTTACTAATAAATAACAAATTTGTTAATTGTTACGCCATTTTAAGTTACTTTGTGTGTAACGAGCAAAATGTTCCGGGCAGATTTTTTAATTGAAACAATTACTATATTGAGTATTATACATGAATATCTACTTTTTGTACGCCACCTTCTTAGGTTTTAGACTTATTATTGTCTTTATTAAAGCTTTTTTAATAAATATTTATTACGACTAAAAGTTATGACAAATTAATCTTATATAAATCTTACCCATTATTAATCTTTAATAATGGGTTAAATTTAATCTCAGGATAATTCCACATTTCACGGACTCGATAATTTTTTTCAAGTTCAGACAACTTATAGTTAGACCGATGGCAGTTTCTTCTATCAGTGTTGCAATTTGTAGATTCCACCAATTTTGTGAAGATTCAACATTTCCTTATCCTTGCTCAGGCTCGTCTTCAGCTAAACTCCTATCTGCATACCGAGCTTTTGATGAAAAATCTCCAAAATGTTTCTTGAAAGGAGTGAATCTCTTCAGGTAGCACAGAAAATGAAATAGCGTGTCGCAAACTAAGGGAGCCTGTTAACCAAATTGGGTAAGTTTGCATAAATACGCACTTTGAGAATTTAATTTCTCGGACATGCGACTTATTTTTAGTTTTACCAAATCAAATAGAGCAATATTAGCTCCAAATGCGAGTACAAGTTGAAGAAAATCAAACTTTTTCCCCTGACCAGAGACTACAATGAGGAATTTTATCCCATACATTTTGACAAGAGTGCGACGGTTTTCTTCGTGGTAAAATGATGTCCTAGTTTGAATTATAAATTTTCAAATTGTAAGAAAGTACTTTGATGCAAATGCATAAACATGATTTAAGAGCTGTCTCACCTAAAATTAAATCCAGGAGCGATACTGCTATTTGCTTCATCCATCCGCTCAAAGATATACTTCGGGAAACACACGTTACTTGTGAGCCCGTCAAAATCACATTCCCATTTTAATTCTATTTTAAATAAGGCACCCTTGGAAGACAAATGAGGATATGTTTAATGATATTTTGGATTATGTACTTGTGTATGGCTTATTGTTTTGTGCTGCTTACCAACGTTGCAACTTTTGAAAAGTCTTCTCCACTCCATGTCACAACATCACCTAGACGCAATATTGGACAATGGTCGTCTTCTCCCACAGAATGCAAACATTTTTCCAAGTAATCGGAGGAGGATTTATTCTTTATATTGCGATAATGTAGGTCTTTTCCACATTCGGGAAATTCGACCGAATTTTTTATTAAGACGGTAAAATTAGCGACGTCTTTCAGCAAGGCTCGATTTCCTTTCCTGTAAATTATTAAATCGAAGCATGTAGTTTTCGCAAACAATGTTCCGAAGTACAGTTATTTGAGCAATTGTTAAACTGACAGTGGAAGGCTGGACGATTCCACTGGACACCAAGAAGACATTTCGCATTGGCCACTGTCTTTAAAACATTTTCCTGTTAATACGCCATCATACGATGGTCCAGTTTTCCCTTTAACACAATCCTTGTCAAGGGTGCATTTGGCCTTGGCAGAGTCTGTTGTCTAAAAATGTATTTATAAATATATTTAAATTGATCCAGCCAACATTAAAGTATTTGTTACAGTATTTGCATGAAATACTTGTGGGCATCGCCCCCTCGTCTGATTTGGTGTGATCAATAAGTTAGTTACTGCTACAAATGTACCGTCATCTTCCCCAAATGGGGGGTAAATTAGGTCTGCTGCATCAAAGGTACGTTTGTAAAGGGACGAATCAGCCACGGAAAACTCTGAGTCGTCCAAGTCTAGAGTGCTCAGTTGACCTTTGACTTTTATTGTCACGGCTCCCTGCACGGGGCAAGAACGTTGGTAGACATTCTTAATGTTGAGATCGAGACTACATATGAACATAAGCATGAAATAGAAATAAAATATATTTTCATGTTAAATAAATTGTGAACACATATTTAAGATAAGTACATACCTCGTTAAGTATGCCACCCAGACAGTGGCGACCAGGATAAGATATGTCACTGCCAGCAAAGTGGACTTAATCTGAATTTGACGTGATGTTGAGTAGGTTGTAAAACACCGGGCGATATGGTGATGTAACATTTTTTGACCTCAGTTCAAATTTAAGGTTTACAATATTAGGAAAATACGAGTAGTTTGATAATATAATAACAGCTGAACATGATATGAAATCACACAAAGGAAAAAATATAGCTGACACGGAATAAGTCTAGAAAATACCATTAATTTGCTGAAATCCACTTTTGTCCAGCTAAATAATAAGCACGCAAAATGAAATGAGGTATGCATAATAATAGTAAAGATTTTAAAGTGCATATTAATGCTGATTTTGTATGACTATGACTGCATATTTATTTTGCAGTCATAGTCGTACACAAGTTAACATTTAAAAAATGAATAATATTCATTTTTTACTGCATGCAATATTTATCCAGAAACATGGTATTGTAAATGCTAAATATAAATCCTTAATAGACATGTGCAATTGTAGGTAATTTCATTAAAAATATCTCATATATATCTTGGAGCAAAACATTGGAAGAAATTTGATAGTCAATACTATTACAGTTTCGAACTAAATTGTATTGAGTCACAAAACCAACTGAATAAACCACTAAAACATAAATAAATGAAATTGAAAATTAAAAACAATATACTCAATAATTCTATTGCATTTTGAATTGTACCCATTTAACATTTAGCATTTTGTTGCAAGAAGTTGAAATTCTCTCATGATTAAATGACAATGCTATGATGTAAGTACATAAATGCATACATCTACATGCGTGCTGCATATATACGTACCCTCTGCAATATTAGTACTACAATCTCATGAAGAAACACAATAATACGAATGTAAATAAATATGTATATACGGAGTTTAGAATAACGTGAATTGAGATAGTTACCATTTCCCGAGATCTTAAAAAATTATTATTTTTTAATTGAACTTATGAATATAGAACTCACTTTAAGTATTTCTTCCCAATATTACATGATGAATAAATAACTGATTTAAAATTGTATTTTGATAGCTAGTCCAATGTAAAATAGGTATGATATTTATCATTTCGCGAATACTTACGCATTTATTCTGCCCTTTCCAGTCTCTTGGAAAACCAGGTGCAATAAACTTTCAAAAATGTGTAAGCATTTTCCCAAAAATTTTCCAGGCGTGCCAGTCTCCATACGGACCCAATTTGTCCACGAATGTAATAATATTTCTATGTTTCGAAAGTTGTTCATAGATCATTACCCATTTTGGTATAAATTACCTCTGGAATGGTGTCCCAAAAAATCTCGCATTTTGTCCGTCAGACGTAATAAATTTGCTTGGCTGTTGGACCGCATCCCTCTTTTCGTCATCGGACTGGGAATATTTGCAGGGTTACTGGGAACACGTGGGATAACGTATGGCTTATCAAGGGGGCTAATTTCTCCTCAGGAGTTATTTGTACAGATAAAAATCCAAATTTGTGTCGGCACCATTGTTTTTTGTATCGCCTCTGGAGCAACGCATTACTTTGTGTGCATCTGGTTTAAGGATGACGTCCGGTGCGGGGTCAACTCCCTGTTGTCGTTATATTGGGAACTGGAACAAGACATCTATTGGAAAAGCGTTCAGCATAAATTTGCAAAAGTATCAATCTCGTCAAAAAATTGCAATGAGAGTAAAAGTTGGCAGGAATGCAGAACTCGTCACAAAGGGATAGACGGAGTTTGTCTTATCATAAAAACCGGAATGATTGTCGGATATTACATCTTTCCGCTCGGACTACCGATATTCCTCGCTTTAAAACTGGATCCTGCCATCCACACGCTGGTGCATGCAGATCGCTTCGTCTCCAGTTTCCCTGCTTCCGTCCCCAGGTGATATATGATTTTAATGCAAAGAACAACGGGGACTATTCGCGACATCTCGGTTGGCTTATCCAATCCGGTCATGGTGAGCAGCTTTTCGCCGAAATATGTCCAGTGAATCATTAAATAGATTTGATAAAGTACGAGGAAAAGAGATACAAAATTTGGGAAGCTGAACCATGAGAAAGCTAATTTGTTGCCATGGTTGCTTTTTACGATGGTCAAGGGGAAGTAACCGACCCATTGAGATATCCGAGCCCCGAGTGACATTAATGAGATGAGAGTGGATTCAACGGAAGCTGTTGAAATGGGTTTGATATCCTTGGCCATTTTGGCTGCAGTTTCTTGAATTATCAAGTACTGTGGAATTTATTGGCAAAAAAGTTTGGATGGAAATTTTGTATCTCGTTCACAAAATTAGGAGGATTAATATGACGTTAAATGTTTTGTAGCAGGTGGATTTCTCATGAACATTGGGTGTTGTTTACAAAAGGCGTGCAATCGATAAGGGCTAAAAGAATGCAGATAATTAGACCTGTTAAGTAATTAGATTAATCAGCCACTTTATGGGCTACAAAGTGTGATTGTGTTATGTCAAACCTTGCATGGGGCACTGCCATACATTTCAAATAAATGCATGTTTTGGGTCATAATTTCATTATTTATCGACATATTTCCAACTAATTATTAAATATGCGAATGTCAAGCATTCTACATTTGTATAATTGCTGGAAAAACTTCGTATTTATGTGTTAGGAACCATACATACTTTGTAGAATAACCTTAGTAGTCGGTATTTTTTGCATAAAAGTGATGAAGTATGAATACTCCTGAAACGATGACCTCATGAATTGTGAGATTTATAACGTTGCAAATCCGGTCTACTTAATATGTAAGAAGTACATACATATTCGTATGTACATATATATGCAAATATATACGCCAAGCTCGCAAATATACTATACATGTAAATATCTCAATGATGGTACCGCATACAAAATACAAATTCACTATGACATCTCTGTTTGTCTTTGCCGACAGAAAATGTTACATATGATTGTGTCCATCATAACGAGTCCAGGGTTGCATGTACTTGAATTTAGTTGAATCGCATTTTTTTTATTCATATGTACATCTTAAAGTTTCTTACATACGTACATATGGGACTCGCTTATGAAAGTAATAAGGTTTACTGATATGTATGTACGCAGTCTTGGCAATCATTTTATAATCACACACAACACATGTGTACTGGTTAGATAAAAATATTTCTCGAATTATCTAGGGGACTTTTTTATATTTATGAAAATATTTTACCCATAATGAAATTAAGATTTTCACCAGTTTTGAGCTTTGTGCTTATTGTTACTGCACTGGTATTGATACAAGTTCCAGAATCAGAAGAGGTTGAGTGGACATATATCTCTGAAGCTCTGTACAACTCTGAACGAAATTATAAGTTTAGATAGAGAGAACAAAAACATTAATTATATGTATTAATACATCAATAAAAACACTAATCTAGTCTTCTTTGTCTTCACGAGCTGCTTTGATCTTGTCAAATTCGAGTTTGAATTCATTTCGAGACTTGTCGTTGGTGTAAAAGTAGCTCTCTGGGGGGTCCCCAAGTTCACTGATAAGGTGAGCCATATTCTGGAAGCTTTTGTAGTGTCTCTTGAGCTCTGGTCTATCTGGGTCAAAGCGGAGAATGAGCTCCTCCTCAGTGATGGTGTAAGGAAGAGTGGTTGCTTGTTCCATGGTGGCCCAAAGGGGAGGATGGGACCGGTCCCCTTTTTCTACAATACGGAAGAGGGGAACTTTGTCTTCTGCGTATTTCATGGCCTTCTTTATGTACTCAAACTCGGGAGAAGCCGTGGCTGTGTCAATGTACCGTTCATAGCCAAGTAATTCATTCGTCTTTCTCGCGTAGGCCTAGGATTGAAAAAGAACATTTGTTTTCTTTTGACCGGTCAAAATAAGCATAAATATGTATGACAATACACTACTCACCATCAAAAATCCTTCAACACTTTGTTTTGTCGCAGTGGAATCGCACAAAATGACTTTGCTCTGCATACAAGCCAGCGGATTTGGGCTCCCAACAGTACGGATGTAAATATGGCTGGGGGTTAAGGCTGCAGTAAAGTGAGTGTCCCTCATTGAAAAAAAACCACGATGACCACCGCAAATCCCAATGTAATACAGCAGCCGGAAAAGAGTTTCACCTTCTAGGACTGGTCCTAATTCTTTCTTCATTATGTCAATTAAACTCATTTTCACATGTTCCTTGGCGAATAATGTGGCGATGTAAACGATGTCCAAGGGGGGGCGTTTGTCATCCGAACTCGATTTGCTCGAGTTGATGGTGTCATAGAGCGGATGGTCTGGATCTTTATACGCCATATTCCTTTCTCTATGAGACAGAGATATCCCGTCTTTCATGGCCCGCCTAAAGTATGAAAATAGATTGTTTCTCCATCCATCAGCTTTCAGGACATAGTATCCCTTGATGGATGAGCCTATACATAAATAAATCCAAATTAACTTTATAGATGCATAATTATTATGTAACAATATCACACATACCGGGAATTTTTGTGTCGAATTGAACAACTAGTTTATCTTTTCGACGTTGCTGCCCCCAATCTGCGGCATTTTCCAATTCCAATCTTTTGGTCTCATTGCGCACCGGAACCTTCATCTTCATCACCTCGTCAAGCCAATCCAGTAAAACTTCGCGGTGGAACTGTTGGTATACATTGTCCGACAACTGTAAAAACATTGAACCGGTTCAAATCGAGTCTAAAAGCCAAACAACAATATCAAACAATTAAACGTGCTCACATCTCCGTATCGGTAATGAGGAACTGGGATTCCGCGTGAAGGGCCGGGTTGGGGGCTGACCTCGTCCGTATTCTCCAATGTCGCTACATCGTGATCAGTCTCTTCATCATCACTAAACGTTCTGTAAATCAACAAATTACATTGAAATAATTGAAGTTAATCCAATGTCATCAATCGTTGCACCGGTGCAGACAAAAATGACAATAATTTAATAAACGTTTCTTACAAATCTATAACACCCGAATCGTCCAGTCCACTCTGTTCGACCTAGGATAAAATGGATTAGCACGCGATATAGATAAGTAGATTTGTAAACAGTAAAGTAAATAATATAATATTTACTGCGCTTTGAACAGCTGTCATCATCGAGGACGAAGTACATGGTTTTGGACTGGCCGGGCGTAAGGACTGATCATCTCCCCTGGCACTAGAATCCACAAAACTATTATTAAGATTCAACAAGAGAGCAACAATCAAGTTATCCACTAAAGTACAAGAATATATAAGAAAAATAATAAGTAAACAAATATTTCCTTACATATTGACAGCAGTTTGACCGGTCAAAACAACACGAGGCGCAGCATTCTCCTTCCCCTTTTCGTGGTTTTCTGATTGATCAAAACTGAAAATAATAAACTGTTAGAACTGGAATGAAAATACTAATATTTTGACCGGTTAAATATAATTAACTTACCCAGGAGTTGATGACCGTGGTCTTTTCTGAATAAATTTATCCAGAGGACCAAATCCCACTTTGTCCATCGACTTAACAGGGGGGACCCTTTTAGACATGGTGGAATGGGGGGGTGTGGCCTTAAGAAAGGCCTTTGGTTTGATTTTTTGTTGTTGAAAAATTCAATTGCACAGGAACAAATAATTTGCTGCTTTCACACGCACTTCTAGCTGACGACTGATTGATTTGGAGATTATGCGGGGGAGTATGAATTACTCGCATTTTTGTTACACGATTTGTCAAGTTTGCACCGGTGCAAGTAATGTGTGCTGGTTCTTTAGACATGTTGTGACTTGTTTCTAAACTCATCTTTTATTTCCCTCCTTCCAGCATGTGGGTCAGTTTTTAGTCTCGTGTTTGTCATGCTATTTGTCACATGTTTGAATTGGAGGGATGGTCGTAAATAATCGCGTCACATTTTTTTCTACTGTTCCATGTTTCATTTCTCTTTGTTTCATTCACACTGATAATTGGGTGCTAATTGAAAGACAAAATAATAATTTATTTACGCGGTATTTTATTGAAAATTATTTCAACAAATGGAATTTAAAATCAGCAATAAGAATTGGGATTTATTCAAGCAAATTCTGTTTTACATGTGATAAAATATTGAGGTCATACGGACTTGCAGAATTGATAAAGTTGGGACAAATTCTTTGTAGAAAGTGACCTAATAATCTAATTGGGGCTTGTCATTTCTCAAATTTTCATTCTCAGTAATGTTATTTACTGTCTTCCATATCCATAATCCTTAACCTTGGCTTTTATCGCTGTAATCTTGAGCTAGATGTAAGATAATAGACCTGAGAAATTTGTTGAAATTGGCTGCATTCGTCATACGAAATAAGGCGATGTACCACATTCTGCTCTTTTGTTTTCGATACCTGATGTGTCTACTGGTCGTCATGGAGATGTGTCGAACACTTTGCTACGGATGTTTTATATCAGTATTTGATGCACGGATGATAAACGAAACGGTGAGGCTAATACGGAGGCAGTTACAGAAGGGGGATTGGAAATACGCCTTAAGAAAGAGTCGAGAGGTTGGTAAATAAATTATCGTCGGCCTGAAAAAATTAAATTTTGTTAATTTTTAATAATGCATGTGTGCTCATATTGTAGTTTCGGGTCTTAATGGAGACAGCCCGTCGTCCACAAAGTCAGGGAACTTTCTTGACAATGTCCACACTTTCCGTGTTCTCGGTATTTTTGAACTACACCCTTGTGGAGTCTGTTCAAAGCCATGTTCCATGGTTCGTTGTCCTCCTGGCGTTTTATGTGGCAGCATCAGTGCAGGCTTTCTTGCTCCTGGGGATGAGGCTGTGTGTCACATTTAACGACGAGACAACAGCCCTTATGGGACAGTTTAAGTGGGTTTTGTCACTTGTGAGGCGTTTCAAGCGGAAATGGCTTGTTCGGGAGATATCTGCCATGCCGGTCAAAGGACTCCCTCTTGCACTGGGAGATTTTACAATGCTTCATATCACTAAAGATGTTACAACAACCGTGTCAAGGATGATATTGGATCACACGATAAGGCTCACTTTGTCATAGGGATGGGCGTCATAATTTAAAAAAATTAATTGCAATAGTTATGCAGCATAACTTATGCTGTCACATAAATATTTGCATTGCCATATGCATACATAAGTATGTACATACATATTAATTGTTCGAAAATAGAAAATATTTTATTTTAACTCGTGTATCTTTTTCTATAATTTGTGTAATCATGCAATATGAAATATGTTCGCCGGCCCAAACAAATAAATGACCAAACAACCAGGCAAACTCGCATGGTCAAGTTCAGTTTCTGGTTTCCATCAAATGTGTAAAGTAGTTATAGATACATATATTTTGATTGTTTGTATGTATATGTAGTTACCGTTCTACGTTACGTGTGAACCTTAACACTCTATTAACTACATATCTGCACTATTGTTAACTCTATGCACTTATAGGTATGATTAACTTATGTTAGTTTAGTGCTATGATTGAGGTAAGAATAATATTCGTCGTCATTTTGCTTCTTGCACAACATCTCGCAAAGTAGCAACTTCCTTACTGCCACATCTTGTTTTTGTGGCGAATACCTACTTTTTTTCATTATTTGAATGTATGTATTGCCCAACCGAAATAAAGAGTAAAAGTGCACGCACAATACACACATTTCTGTCTTGTGGTGTGGTGGGTGGATGACTTACTTACTTACATGAAATTATTACTATCAAAAGCGTATTTATCAAAGTTATTAAAACACAGAAAAAATTATACCCTCAGTTTAATGAAATTTAATATTCATTGCAAACTTTAGTTTTATGTACATGCGTGACAATAAAATGTTGCAATTAGATAATCCTAAGGATAAACAAAATGATTCTTATCCCAACTCTCCAGGTGAGAAACGACTAGGAAGTATTGTATCTCGCAATTTTTAATACAAATGCTCCTCAGTTCAGTTGACAATTCACACTGAACATCCCAATTACTAAGGCTCAACCTCTCTCGATCACTTCATGTCCTTTACTGTTGTGGTGGTACTCAACGCATTGATATATTAATGCTAATCTACCACATGTAAAGTGACAGACTTAAATTAATCCATGAAGCATATTACTTGCATAATACATAGCACATGTGTAAAAAAATCTAAATAAGTGGCTGAAATTAACTGACGCTTTCAATTTTAGCAATTTATGTTACGCAAATAAATATTTCGAAGATGGATGCTGCACCTTTGTCAAACAATTGCGCTAGGTTTATTTAAATATGTCATTATGAAAAGGCTAATTTTGTAAAGAAGCTAATATTGCCAAATGCAGGCTGGCAAAAACTGTGATATACCATGAATTTGAGGACGCAGCAAACGTACACATACATCTAGATACGTGGTAGTAAATTTGTTTGTACACTGATATTTATTTATGCGTGTGTAGATAGTCCATCCCATCCATGTGCTTTCATGACAAGACAATTCTGTCGTTATCTTCGCGTATAAAACCACGTGCAATGAAGAGCAGTTATGTCAGTGCAATTTTCCTCTAGTCACTTTTGGCAACTACCTGTGAATCGAATTACAGCGCGTGTGTGAAAAAAATAACGCACAACTTGACCATTTACTTAATTAGGGCAGTACTTAAAATTATAAAAAATTACAAACATTCAAAATGGTGAGGTTTTATTTATAAAAAAGATATCGTGTTTTTAAACCGTGATTTTTATTCCGTGTTTATCTACTGTAGTTGTTCACAACGCCTCTCAGCCTAGTTACACTTGCCTTGGCGTTCGCATTAAGTTCGGGATCACCATTACCAGAACAATTTCAACAGCACGCACAATATAAGGATGTTCCACTCCAGACAATTTTACGATTTGCCCCAGGACTCGAGGTCGTGGAGGGGATGAGGTTGCATAAATATCACGTGGCTCCGATGGCGTACTGGCCCGACGGACAAAAGGTCCAGCAGGAAGCTGCACCTTACATTCTGATCGGAGTCCCGCATAACAGTCAATTTTAATGTTAAAAAAATGCAGGTAACCAGTTTAATAGTCTGGCAAGTGAGACGAGTTTTGTACAAATTTAAGAAGTAAGTGTGTAAAATAGTAATAAAGATGAAAGATTTCGGAGAATTTTTTAAAATTCTACTTGGATTTTTTTTTGCATTATGCAAATCATAAATAAATTGCGAGCTGATACAGGTATATAATTAAACTAAAGGAAGAAATGTTGTGGATTATGATTTGTTCTAATTCCATAGAGGCCTCAAGATAAATAGATCAATTAGTTTCTTCCGCCTTGTACCAAGTTTACGAAACAATTGGATACAAAAATCGTGTCAATCACTTCATGCACTTTTGGTGGTGACCATTTCATGTGGCTGAAGGGAAGACACATTGTGATTATGAAATACCACAAACCGGCTTTTGTGCTAGCACAAGCAATTTTTCCTAGGATGTGGCTGATTTGGGGCTGATGATGATGCAACTATACTTCATACATATATAAATTTCATGATGCGACAACAAATTATGAGTGGCCAACTGACCACCTCACTTTGGGCTATGGTCTAGTTATTGTGACAAGATAATGATAGATCAAATGAAAGCGAGTTTAGTTGAAATGAAAGATTTTACAATAAAGCAAGTCTTCTCGTCTCGTTTTAACTATTCAAATTAGTATTATCTGAGATAATTTATCTCGTAATCTGAAATTTACTCAAATTAATCCACTATTCATCCTATTTCCACGCTCTCATTATACTCGGCTAGTTTGCAGACCACAAATACACACATAAACATTTTCATAAATATATAAGCTTGTACATATGTACTTACGTATTCATTGCTGGGGGTTTTTGTCACTTAAGTAAATCCTAGTTGTTATAAATACATACAAAAATAATATTTGACAATTTGAACGAAATCGATTTTTTAATCTAAATTTAGATGGATATCTCTACAATAATAACATTTGACAGTCTTAGGATTAGTAATGTTAGGCACATATGTACATATTTTCTTATATGAATTCTTCAACAATGGGAAGTGATACATATGTAGAAAGCAGTAGAAAACCGTACATTTTGTAAAATTTTTGGGCTATTTTTTAAACTTTTAATATGATGTTAGCACGTAGAAATTTGAAAATGACTTGGCGTGTGATTGAGCAACAAACGGTTGTCGCATGATCTTATCCAGGTTGTTCTGCGATAGAACACTGTACCAATTTTTCTACAAGGGCATCCCAGGAAAACTTAATTTAATGAATTTGTTAAGCTCATTCATACATTTAGCTCTAACATTTCGGTTACAGCCACACGAATTTATATTGTCAAACTCGTTGATTTTACGTGAATAATGGGGAATATTAAATCAGATTCATGGTTTATGTCATTGAGCTCCATTGTTCATTGTTTTTTAATGTCCTCCTCTACTTCCTTTGTCGCCCTTATTTTACAAGATTTTGTATTGCGTTAATTTCATATTGAGCTTGGTAAAACTCATTCAGATTTTGGTACATTCGTATTTTTAGTTCCAAGCTACCTAAATACTCGATTTTACTACATACATACATTATCCGCTTTCAAACAATAGCATAAATACAAATTTATTAGTATGAAGAATTTCTGGACAAAGATTATTTCCTCGCCCTTTGTTAAATTTGCGGTCACGCTAGTTGTATTCATCGTTATATTTTTGTTCCACGTATACCGTGGAAATGGGATAATTAATCCACTCTTAATGACACCTAAGCCGTTTCTGGCAGGAATCATCAAAAATATAACCTCAGGTAAATGTATTTTAATATAAGTGTATCCATATATAAGTAAACACTTAACGTGCGTGTACCAGGTAAATAACAGAATGATAAATTCTTTTACAGATCAGAAGGAAAGAAACCTTGAACTTGAAGAAATGTTTCAAATCGTGGCTACAACTCCCAATCTTTGGGGATATCGTACCGAAAATATGAAAAATAATTCGACCCTGGATAGAATTTACGAACAGCGAAAATGGATTTCTAGAATTTCCCAGACAGAATTTATCAAGAGGTCAAAAGTGTGTGTACTTTTATATTTTATGTAAATCAAATACCTAAGTAATCATTTTAACCATTTAAAGAGGACAAGTAAAAGTCATAATGTCCATAATTCGTGTCACCAGGCGACAGTAGAGTTATCTTAATTCGTGAGGGAGGTTTATTTTTAAGGGATCATTATTCGTAACCAAAAAATGCCAGTCAAATATGTTACTCCGTGGCAACATTTTCACAAAAAATTCTTAATTTTTAGCCCGACCCAAGGCTTATGTACCCGTGTTGTCCATCTGTACGATGATAACTCTTTTTAAAATTATCCGATCGACTTGATATTTTCCACACATATAGACCATCCAAATACACAACTCGAGTTCGAAGACTGGTTCGATCGGTCAAGTGGTTGGCCGGTAGGGGTCATATGGGTGTCGGGGGTCAAGGGTAACGAAAATTCAAAATTTGCGTGAAAGTTTATAATGACTTGCAATGGAAGAATATAACGTGGAATTGAATATATTTTTATCTTGAGGTACCCTATGGGGTAAATGCTAATCCTAAGTTATTTCTCGACTCCATACTAAATTTCAGCTGATTATATCAATTTTAAGAAATCGGTGTGGACCACCCCCTAGTGCCCCTCTGCAAATTTTTGTTCATATTTAACTTCCTATTATTTCATGAGAAGGCAGATCTCTGGTCCTAATTTCAGCTTTCCATGTTAATCCCTGAAAATTGGTGGGGGTCACCCCATAGGGTCCTTCCAGATGAAAATTTTCCAGATTCCAATGTATATTCTTCCATGAAGAGCCATAAGAAAACTAAATGCCAAATTTCAGAACGATATGACGATTTTGAAAAATCAGTATGGGTCACCCAATAGGACCCCTCCAGATGAAAATTTACCAATTTGAGAAAATATTTTTCCTTTAGGACCCATAAGCAACCTATCTACCAAATTTCAGTTCGATATTGCGACTTTGCAAAATCAGTTGGAGTCCCTTACCATAGGGTCCCTCAACATGAAAATTTTTCGAATTTGGGTTCATATCCTTCCTTTAGGACCCATTTACTACCTCTGCACCAAATTTCAGCTTTCTACGACAATTTCGAAATTTTGGTGCATAATACCAAACCCACCCAGATGACCCCTACGGGTGAACCAGGGGACCGCTTTTGCCCATCTTCGAACTCGGTTCCTAACTTTGTCCAATATGCATCTAGTAAAAATTTCAAGTCAATCGGCCAACTTGTTCCAGAGTTATCGAAAGACAGACGGACGGACGGACGGACGAACGGACATGACAATTACAGAAGCCCTGGTTCGGGCTAAAAACAAATGTCGACGTCACGAATTATGGCGAATTTGCCTAGGAACGACAAACGTCTACGTCACGAATTAAGGTAAGGTTTTCTGTGGCAACATATGTCATCGTCACGGGTTATGGAGCGGATTTTGGCGATGACATATGCCTTTGTCACGAATTATGGACAAATCGCCAAAGCGACATATGCCACTTTCACAGATTAAATGGTTAAGTATTGTTGTAAAGTTACAAATTGAACTGAATTCTTTATACATTATGTGTCATAGCCCAAACAAATCACGGTGTATCTTGAACCAGGAGACGCTTATGTGTACACCAACAACAGCGTCAGTTGCCCATTTGCACCAGAATTTGAGGGGAAATGTTCAGCAACATTCGTGGCGCTCGAGTGGCGTGAAATGTTTCGAAAACCGGTGAACCCGTACCTGTACAAGTTAGCACATACATATTCGCTTAACGATGTCAGTACATTAAGTCAAGGTTAATATATCGTATACATTCCTGCAGATATAATCACGTTGACGCTGTGGTAGGAATAAGGAACGGATTTTGGGGGGAAGATGAAATATTTCCAGAACAAAATCTTCCATCTGGAACTGCTCAAATATTCTATCAAATAGAAAGCCCAAGTCACACTGGGTCAGCTCGACTTGGACAAACCGGAGCATGGTTGGCGTCTTACTGGAGGGGTTCTGATATTCCAGTTTTGTTGTACGAACTTATGGAGAAGACGGGTGGCGGGCAGGGTGAGCAGAAATTTTGAAAAAAAAAATTACAAACTTAATCTGACTCATCGTTTCCAATCAGACGGAGTGTATGAACAATTACCAAACTACGAGGAACATTTAGGAGTCAGGAAATTGGTCGCAGGATTGATATCCAATTGTTACTTCGTTAAGAATGATCGCCTCGGTTACATTCATCAGCTCGAAAAATACATGAGAATCGATTTGTATGGAAGGTGTGGAAACTTGACATGTCCAGAAAACTGCACAACTTTCCTCCAGCAAAATTACAAGTTTTATTTAGCCTTTGAAAATTGTAATTGTGAAGATTACGTGACGGAAAAGTTTTTCATGACAGCAATCTTGTAAGCACGTAGATGCGTGAAATCAAGAAGTGGTTTATTTAAATGCGTATAAATATGAACCTTTTTTAGGAACGGTATTGTTCCAGTAGTGATGGGACCATCAAGACAAAGTTATGAAAGCTTCGCCCCACCAAGCTCCTTTATTCACGTCGACGACTTTGCCTCGCCGAAAGAACTTGCGCAGTATTTGGAAATCCTGGATAAGAATGATACACTCTATCAAAATTATTTCGCTTGGAGGAGAAAACCTGGGCCGGGATGGATTATAAGTCATCGAAGCGGACAAGATTTTTTTTGCAGAGTTTGTGGTCAATTATATTACGCTGATTTTGTCCCTCCACCACCATGGCCAACGAGAGAGACCAGATTTTCCGATGTAAATCCGTGCAGTCATACGGCAAACATAAATATGACAAATGAAAATAATATGTAATAATATTATTAGTGGCGCAAGATATCTACTTGTTTCCGATTTAGGCACAATGTATTTGTCTAATCTGTAGATAATGAAATGTGATATATTTACATTTTGTAAGAATTCTAAATCAGCAATGTTTTGCATGAGAATTTCAAGCATTTAATTATCTATGAACACATCGAAAACGGTCATTATCAAAAGTTTCCTTTAATTTATGGAATTAACTAACAAATTCATAACATGAGCTTGATGTGACAAAGGACATTGCAGAGTGCAAGAATGCCGATCTGAGGCTAAACCTTTTTAGCCTACAGACAAAAGTTGTTGGAAGTGATTTTTTTCAAGTCTAGCATACTGATTTGTTCTTATGCCATCATAATCTTCAAAATTTAAAAAAAAATTAAAGTTTTAGCCCCACATCGGCATTCTTGCACTCTGTCCTGTAATTTTTAAATTCTCGGACAGGGATTTCCTAAATTTTACAAGCATTTTCTAGTCAGCATATATAATGTACATAAATGTATATGGGAAAGCAGTATTTGCAACATTTGTTCCTTGATTTATGCATTATTTCTCAATTTTGTCCTACTATTTATTTGCTGCAATAAGAAGAATTGGACCACTGATTTTTATCTATTTACTATTAATGAAAGGCACATCTTGGTAAGATCTTGGATGAACGAGTTAGAAGATTGACATGATCGGTTCAATGGACCGATTGGGGTAAATACCACAAATTTTAGAAACAGTGTGTAGAAATTTGTTATTCCAAACTTACATGTTACCATAAGCAGGATGATCAGTAAAGATTTAACAATACTGAAATTAGGCTGATAGACAATGAAACTACATATAATTTATTAATGTAGTCTAAATCATTTCACAAGCTATTAAAGATCCTAAATCCCCTATGTGGTTAATGTTCCTCCGAGATGACCCCACATGCCAGAGGGATCAAGATTTAAGGTCGATGGAATTGTATAACTTACGAATTTCTAAGATAATGTGGATACAGTCTTACAACAATGCAACAATTTCTCATCAACGTATGTAGATATGTAGCTCATGTTTAGGGCGTTGTAGGAAATAAATAAAGCATAGTGAAAGCAATGGAGGTATAAAATTTATACTATAAATACATATGTACAACGGCTTTAAATACCTTTTGGTACATGTTATTTCCTGCTATTCGTCAATTATTTAGATAATATGGTTTAAAATCAGGTTTCCAATTTGATTTGAATTTTACGAGGGATTTAAATCATCTGTTCGAAATTGGTCAGTCAATCAATTAATTTTGTACACACATATATGTATTAGAGATGATAAGACATTACAGTTTTTAATTCCTTCAAGCTCAGTAGTCGTATAGGAATCTATGTTAATCTACTCAAAAATGACGATTTATATTAATACTAGTGTAGAAGCCCGTCATTCGACGTGCAAAATTTGCCCGTCGATAAGCCCGTTGCCCCAACATTAGTGAAGTTAGCCTCTCCTGTTCTCTCTGCAGAGTGGAGAGAGAAAAGGAGAGGCTAACTTCTCAACTAAGCCACCGACCCAGCCAGCAGCGATACACTCGCCTGCTTTACTAAAAAAAAAAAAAAAAAAACTAGTATATAGTTTTATAGTTTAGATTCTGACTATTGGATTGAGTTGACCAACTCTAAAGGTACATAAATATGCCATAGTTATCTGTACGTGCTTGAGTACAACTCTTAATTTACATAATTTTGTTATGTCATGATAAAAATACTTGGAAGATGACCGGAAAGGATTCGTCTAACATTGAATAATATCCATACATACAATTCTATTTACCTGCTTGGTTGGTCACAACCAATTATCTTTATTGTGACCAGAAGATGTGTAGAAACAAAATTAGACTTGTTTTTGTTGTTGTGCAATTATGTTAAGACTCAAAATAAAATTGTGTTCAAATTAGGTCAGATTTTTTCATTGATTTAATGACAATGGATCATCGGATGATTCTGCGATTCTTTGACATGGACATTTATTGAATGGGAGTGGGAGGAATTTTGATATGTGCAGAAGACATTTTACGTGGTGCGTCTCGGGCTTTCCACTTTTCAAAGTTGCATAATAAAATAATTTAGAATTATTGTTTAGTTCATTACTGTGATACAAATGGACTGTCAATCTGTTATTATTGTTGCCTTCACGCCCTACAAAATTACCTAGGTATCAATCATGTATGTAATCGTATTAATGAGTCATCCGGTCTCATCACTCGGTCCAATTCTCATATTCGTATTATCTTTAGTTCTTCCTTGGTCTATAAATATGCGCAGCAGAAAGACCTTAGATCACACGTTTAGACGAGCGGACAATTTTTAAAAATGATTCGATATGCTCGTATTATTCGCAATTTCTTAAAGGGATCACTTATGTGCACACTTTTTCCTTCCAGCAAAATGGCTGGAGTAGGGTTATTAATATTTCTGTAGCACATGCTTATATGTATAACTTTAAGCTGGCTACTGATGATGACTATGCATGTACCTTGGTTACATGCTATCCTAAGTAATTTCTAATTAGCAAAAGTCGTTCTTGCATAGTACGTGATGCGACACAGTAACTCTAATAATGTAATTTAATAATAATGATATGGTCAAATATTTTGCGAGATGCATCGAATAAATACTTGTGTATGTATTTATGTACAATGCATTCAACCATGTCTTATGGAAGATACACATATTTAATCATTCATACATATGTGCAATCCTCCTTCCCATTGTCATGCCTTGTGAACATGTAACGCATCTTCTTCACTTGTGCATATTTATATTTAAGTACTTATTGGGCTCGCATCGCACAAATCACACAAACACGACGAAAAGCGATGACGCCACAAACAAAGTAATAAATGCGGTGGAAGATTGCAGTCCTACCACAGTTTGTGACCATCATCCTTTCATTCAAAGTGGACTTAGATCTTCAAGTGCTCATCATGAATTTCAATTCCATAAATCTCGGATTACTTCTCTGTGCTGCTCTAGGTAAATAAATACTTTGTAATTCATAAATAAATAAATAAGATAATAAAATTACAATAAGTTTGGCTCATATGTAATCAATTAAATTCTGTGTAATACATACGCATTCATTTAATCAAATCTAGTCTCATCCCAAAAAAGTTGCCCCCAACCGGACGGATACTTTGCGGATCCTGCGCAATGTGACGCTTATACGGAATGCAAGGACGGCGTTGCGGAGCAGGCCCTTTGTCCAGAAGGGTTAATGTTTAACGACAAGTTGACCGAGTTTCCGAGATATCCATGCTCATACCCTCAGGAGGTCGATTGTGGGGGACGATCAAGAACGCGTAAGTCGCAAACTCTGATTTGCACATATTTATTGTGCATTATTTTTTCCAAAGTGTGTAATTATGCATGATTGCCTGGGCCAACTCCAAGATTTCGCAATGCTGTGTTAACATATGTGTCTCGTCTTCAAGATTAAATTAGCATTTATAAGGTAAACGATGAGACCACGATGATTGCATGCAGGTGCAGTATTGGTAGTGAATCAGATTAGAGAGCGACGAATATGTATACATTCTTGCGTCAATATTATTTAGCACATGGAGATGAGCAAGTGAATACAAGGACAAATAAAGTGCATGCACTCTCTAAAATCGAGTCGGCAAATTATCAAGGAACATTATTATTTTGTATTTAATTGAAGATGAGCAAGTTCAAAAGTGAACGTGTTATTTTTTATTGTTAAACTCGATCACCTTCCACTTGGTATGATTGACAATACTTTTATGAGCGATTGTTGTAGGATAATTTTGTTTCTTGTAGAAAATTTAATGGAGGAATAGTTTGCGTGAAAAATATTTGTTTAATTGGAATGTTTTTTTTTGCATGGATGTTTCCTACTCTAACTTGTAACGCACTGTCCAGTCACATCCAGAAACCAGTTAGTGGGGGTGAAAACAAGAGTTTGAAGTAATAAAGCAAAAATTAAAGAGAAATAATTTGTATGTACTTCTACATCCTTGTTTAAAGTGATGATGAATAATTATACGGTTTCTTGTGTCTCAGTCTGGAGTAGGATGATTAATGCATGAGAATGCTGGATATAATGTACTTGTACACCAATCCAAAACAACTTCTGGACACTATTATCATTAATTATGCAAATTTATGGCAAACTTTTTACGTCTTTAAGTTATTATCCAACAACCCATCAAAAGTGCCCAAAATTGCACACTATTTTTACAACCATTATAAAGTCTTAAAAATATTCTGAAAACGACTCTTGTTTATTCATGAAGAACCCAGCCAATCCTCGGCAGATTGTCCCCACCAATACGGAATGTTCCGCTCCTCCTCGTCTTGCGAAGGGTCATTTTTAAACTGCGTCGCAGGGAAAGCAATTCCTCATGAATGTCCTGAAGGTCTCGCGTTCAACGAAGCGAAACTCCAATGCGATTGGCCAGATCAAGTTCAAGGGTGCGATACGGCTTCTTTCCTGAGGTTTAGCTGTCCAGGATTGAGAGTAATATAAAACACTAATTGAATTGTCCTATAAACATGAAAATTAATAAGTAATCATGCACAAATGATGTCGCAGGTGGAAGCCGACTTGGGGCACCCAAGATATTCAGATCCTTCAGACTGTAGAAAATTCTTTGTTTGCGTGGAGAACACAAAGCCAAGGGCACACAGTTGCGCCGTTGGATATGTATTCAATCCGGATCTTGGTGTCTGTGATGAACCACAAAATGTCCAAGGATGGTAAGTTATTGTTCAATATTTAATGACAATTTTGGGAGGAGTTGCTGATTTGGAATTGACTGCATTTTCAGCTCGAATTATTACCCGAAGGAGGTCTTGGATGCAATTCAGGCATTAAGGAAATTTGATAATAAGCTACTGTAGTGCATGTCGATGTACATTTGTATACGTGACATCAAATTTTGTGATTGCACAATTTAAACGGAAATAATATGCATGTACACAATTTACAAGAAAATAAATAAATGGGCTTACTAAAATTTCAATTTGTAGAAAAATTGTATTTTAGTTCGAAAAAATATTAATGTAGAAAATAGTAACAAATATTTCATATCCAAAATTGATATCTTGCTTTCATTAATGGAGTACATTCAACAGTTGGCTAAAGAGACCTTGCGTCTGTGCATTTATTTTATTGATAAATTGGAGCAACTAAGACGTGTCCGAAATAAATGATCGATTTACGTGTATAAGTTGCAATCATATACGTAATAAATGATATGTAGGTATGTACACATAATGAATCATGATCGTGAGAACAAAGGCAGTTTGATTGGTGAACTGCGTGCCCACTGCTTGTTTGGGTGTTATTTTTAATCAATCGTGTTTGTGACATTTCATGTATTGTTCTATGTGTTCATGTTTTTATAATATGATTTGTCACTGAGCCTTTGTATCCGGCCGATAAGACTTAAAAACATTGCGTACATAGAATTGCTATACAATATGCTATGCAATACAATGGGTCAATCTTATAAATAATTTGTGTGTATGCGACATATCAGTCCAAAATATTGAAATACACTGATGGATTGAAATATCCTGTTGATTTGTTAACTGAAATTATCGCTGACTATCCAGCGAAGTAATGTGATCAAATCCGCAATTTCTTCCTCCTATTTTGACACGTATTACCTTTAATGTAATTTACATATTAAATAAATATGTGAAAAACCGGCCTCAAAAGAGTCACACATCTGAAGCGTTATAAAAATAGTCACCCTAACCTAATAAAAATAACTCACAACAATACATAATATGTAACATGCGTGCATATTATGCACGCATGTATGTATCTGTACTTATGTATTTATCTGACAATGAGTATGAGCTTTTCTCGACTCATCAATTTTTTTGTTTTTTGATAAGGAAGCCAACATTTTGTGATGAACCGTGTATCTAAATAGATGCGTTATCAAATATAATTTACAAAAGTTGACATCATACATAACTATATATGAATATGTATTCAGTACATACATATTCAAGGGTATCGTAATATGCCCTTGAATATGCATGTGTGTACATATTGCATAACGTTTTTAAACAATTACATGTAATTTACTACATTTGTACGATAATACTGTATATTTCAATGCAAATTGAATTAATTAAACATGTGTAGGCTTATATATGTATGTATTCAATAATTGAAATAATATTATTACTTTTATTGATTATATACTGAAATAAATACTTTGCTGGATTTAAGTTTAGCTTAAATACATGGAAATATTGCTTAAATATGATTGTCTTAAAGTTTGGCACAAAATTATTTATACTTAAAACACGTATCTGTATTGTCATACATAAATTGCATATTAATTCATCATATGCGATCATGTGATCAAGAAGTTAATTCAAAAAATATTATACTACTAATCCAACAATTTCTGCTACATTCGTTAATTTTGTTTTCTTTTTCTTTTGGGACAAACAACCATACATCGCTTTACAGATTGCTAAATGGTAAATAAACAAACCCAGAGCCATGATATCGGCGACCGCACCCATAATAGCACCGATCGCGTAGATTGTGTTCATCACTACAAATGCACCAACGAAAACCACAATATACCCAAACCCCACAGTGTATGTGACCACTCTTAAACGATTTCTTTTTTGAGTTGGATTTCCATAAAATTATTTTTTTAACATTTTAGTACTATTTCTTAAAATTAGAGTCCCTACATAGCACACTACTACGCAATACAGGAAAAAGAAGAAATAAGCGATGATAAACAGCACAATTATAAATAAATCGAAACCCTCTGGTTTTGTAAGCAAGATATAAAGTGCTACGGAAATAGTGGTTGTGAGAGTGTAGAGGAAATTGTAACCTGAAACCACGATAAGCCAACGGATCCAGGTAACGTAAATTTCTTTCGGGTTTTCAGCAATCGTTAACACCTTTTTGAGCTCGTAATATAAAGACGATGATTTTCTACTTCGTTTGTGATTGTATTCGACAAAATTTTCCAACAATTCTTCCTGCAAATTTACCAATTCCAAAATTGTTGGTTCGCTTAGTCGACCAAACTGGGTGATCAACCTTTCTGCTAAATTGTACTTGGAACATGTAGTGAGAATATTCGCCTGGACGAGTTTCCGAACCGCAGGATGTATTTCAACATACTTTTTAACTTGTATTGAAGCGTGATTGTAGGTGGACAGGTTTAACACAAATGGTTCCACGGTGACCAAACCAAGTTCTTCGAGTTTGATAATTACTTCAGATAGCAAAAATTGTTTTGTCTTGCTTGGATCTAAGCAATCAAAAATGTCGAGAATGGCAGATAAATCTGCTTTGTTTATGGGCACCAGCCAGCAGAGTATCATGAGGAAAAGATGAGCACTATCTTGCAAGCGTTTATCACTACCTAATTCGATAAATGCATGGCCAACTGTTTTCGACAACAAATCAAATGATTGTATAATCCCCACATTGCTGTTTCTGGTCTCCTTCCCAACGCTTAATTCGTCAGTGAAATTATCAAGATGATACCGTTGGTTGACGCCACATTTTTCGGATTTAACCTTAAATGATTTCACGACCATGCTAAGCGTGAGGGGATGCAACCCACCATTTTCCACCAGGGCATTTATCTCTTTCGGCTGAATTTCATCTCGATTCAAGCACGATTGTAGAAATGGCTTGATTTCACGGGAGAAAACTTTTAAGGAAATTTCTTTATAAACGAAACCAGGAAGATTTGGATATGTGGCAGTAAGCACGACAAAGATTCGAGGGAATGGGAAACTAGCAAGACTAAGGAGAAGTGTTTTAACAGCCACATTATTCGGGTGCAAGTTGTCAATGAATAAAACGATCGGGATGTTTTTATACAAGGTGTGTACAGCCTTGATTATTTTAACCGCTAATGAGGCGCTGTGTTTGTCAGTTCTAACTGAAGCGTCTGAAAGATTAAGATTGCATTGTTCTTCTAATCGTAGAATGGAATTGAGCATTCCCCCATGTGATTCTCCGTCCAGAAAAATGCATGTATGGAAAAGCGAGTCCCGTATTTGGTGACAAAACTGAGTAGCTAAGGAAGATTTGCCAACTCCCTCCGCTCCCGTTATGAAAACTATTCCCGTGGCGTCCGTGGAAGTTCTGAAATTCTTGTAGTGACACATAAGAGCCTGCAGTTCTTCCTGTCTCCCGACAAAATTGGGATTCTGTGACCAACTTGGAAATAGATTGGAAGCTGGTTAGGAGTAGTTGAATTCTCCGACGTCGGTAGTGTGGATGGGGAAATAATAATGAGAAGATTAGCTGGAAATTCTTGTTCCAATTTTTCTGAAAATATTTTAGGAAAATTTGACAAAGTTTCTCACGCTAGTTGAGGCTTTACATAATATTATTAATAAATATTTATACAAACCTGCAACAGAGATGAATTCAATTTCCTTGAGAACTCTGATTAGCATATCTGTCGAAGCCGACAGACCCGATTGATTGACCCATTCTTCCAATATTTTTGAAAATACGCCATAATAACCTTCCGCTCCAAGTAAGTGTCGAAGACGTAAGATTTCAAAATGACTCGCAGGTAATTCTAAGGTGTCGTGAAATAGACGAAGATTTTCTACAAGTAAGGTATCCGCAGCAGACGTTAATACCTGAGCGGTTTTCGAAACGGTAACTTTTGTAAATGTCATATTGGTACGTTTGTAAGTATGTATTTATAATGAAGAAGCTTCTGAAAACGTCCCTGCTTTTATGATAGTGTTGGCTGACAGACTGCTCAGGGAACTGTTCATATTAATTACTTTTGTTTTATTTAGTATCAATCAAATGCATGTTCAGTTCGTGCAATCTGTCGCGTTGCATAAAAACATAGATTGGATGAGGATAATCAGTTATGAACTCATTTCTTTATAAACAATGACGTTCGGGAGACAAAAGATAAATCATGTAGGAATATGTTTCAATGCACATGTGCGTAGTTTTTTATTTGCAAAAAAATTAAAAGTTTCTCACGCGGATAGAAAAATTTTTAAATGTTTTACAGATACTTGTCAAATTTCTCTATTTTTTCAGCATTTCCCGAATTTATTGTATGTACTAATTTATTTGTTGCTGGAGTTTATTCATTTGCTTGTTATGATGAATTGTAGTCTTAGATTATGATTATGATATAACATTAACAATTCATATGTAGCTAATATTAAGCGTTGTCTTGCTTGGTTGACAAAGTGCTTATTCTCTTTCTTACTTTGCCCAATTGCTGAAACATAATATTTACATATTTGAGGCCGCTCGACTTCCAACGAGACCGAATGAGACTCAATTCAAAAATCAATAATCTCTGGATAATATTTTAATCTGGCATACAATTTATAACTCGATTGATATTGCAATGGACTACAAATTATTAGTTGAAAAGGTGGATTTAATGAGCGAACAAATATCCTTGCTTCAAAATTACATTGAAATTAAATTTGGTATGTTTTCAAGGCTTTATTTATATAGACTATAAATTATTATAGTCCAGTTCCAGTTATATAGACTATAAATTAGTTGTTTCTGTATATAAATTTGTATTTGGTATTTTAAACAGGGCTTGATTATAAAGTGTACTGCAAAAAACGGAGGAGACGGAGAGAAAAAGAGCAAGACAATAATACATCTAACAATGATGGAAGAATAACAAGGCAAAAACAGACACCAGTTCCAGCAGGCGAATCTTCGTCAGTGCTTACCGTCACTGCAGGTCAAAAGGATAATTCGTCAATTGGAAATATAGAAGACGATGAAGACTTTTCTATGAATTTTGAGACTGTCGACATAAAAGTTGAAAAATTAGACGACGAAGATGTCGAACCATTCTGTGTCGGTGGAGACCATGACCTGGTGGATGTGGTTGGTGGGAGGCAAATTTGTGACGACGACGATGGGGACAACAGTGAAATTCATAATAATGACGATGAGTTCTTGGTTACCCTATCAGGTAAGTGATGTAACACCACTGATGTTATTATTCATATTTATACTTGTGGTCTTTGTTAATGTGACATTTTGTAAGTAGATGAATATCTCTCGTCCTCTGATTCATCCAGTAAAGTCAACAGAAGGAAAAAGAAAAGTTTTGCTGGGTCACGATCCTTGAATTCTATACGTAGAGGTGCGTTTGATGAATATTCATGGAATTAAGGCAATCACGTAATAAAGGATTTGTTTTTATAGATTCGTCTTCTGTCGAGGGACAAGCTAAAAGTAATGGATCATCATCAACTAAGCCAGTACGATTTGATCCTATAGGTATTAAACTTATCCAATTTCATTTATTTTCTTGATTCACATATTTATTACTACGGACTTGCGCATAATCAGCCCAATATGGTTTAAACTTTTAGAGATCGGTGACCCCCTCCGCCACTCTCAGTATGGGATTACATACAAATTATCCAAACGGGATAAAGCCAAAGAATCTCTTGTTCTTGACAATTATGTCTTCACTTTAAATGCATTTCGTTCTGGGACGAAGTATTGGTTATGCTCAGGGAGGGTGAGAGGTTGCAAAGCAAGGATTGTACAGCAACCGGATGGAAAACCTACGCTGACACATAATATTCACCCACATCCACCTCCACCACCGGAAGATCCAAATAAAAAGAGAAGAAAACGGAAAAAAATAGTCAAGGACCCAGCAGTGGTGCAGCAGCAATGTTCCAACATTGTTTAGTATATATACATTGTGCGACATTAATCATCACACAATGAACAATATACCTAATATACAACTTGTTACGTTATATTTGTAAAACGGAATACTGTTTAGTGTTTTGATGATTATTTTGTAAAATAAATGCATCTATAGAATGCTTTCTCTGGAAAATACCTACATATGTATACATACGTTGTTTTTATGATGACATCTGGTTCATGAGCTACAAATTATGAATATATTATTAGGTCTATAAAAGTGGACTTAATTAGTTTCAAGATCACGAATATAAGAGTTATCATAATTTCTGGATGTCGTTCATACTGTCAACTGTGTAACTCGGGTCATTTGGTTCAAACTAACATGCCAGAGAATCCATGAATTTTTGGATCAACGAATTTCCATGTAAAAGTTTGCATTCAAAATTGTAATAAGAATGAGCAGTGAGAGAATCAATTCCATTAAACATAAGTGCTGCATATGTACAAGTGTTTGGTAAACGGTTATTTTAGGTGAGTGCTATATTAATATACCCTTTTGTAAGGCAAATGGCTCTTCATTTGTATCAACATTGATCGACCATTATGCTTATGCATTATACAAATGTTCATACTCAATCCCCCTCCGTATCTGAATAGAAGGGGGAGAAGCAGAGTTTTATGTAATCTCTGTGCATGTATTTAGCTCATAAACCAGCTGGAAGGTAAAGTTCAAGGTTTATCATTTAAATCATCTTTTCATTAAAGATCAAGCCTGTTACAAGTCGTATCGATTTATCACTCACAGCATAAAACGACCACATAAAGACATAACGTGTTGCAAAGTTTGAGAAAACATGGTTGGGACAACTTTAAACCCGTGTGTCGCTTTCGGTAACAATTATTCTTTCTAATAAATAGTAGTTGTGCTGTAATGTTGTACCTTATATTCTGTTCTATATGTGTTTTTACATACTATTAAATTTCACATATTTGCATAGACTCGTCCTTATTAACAAAGGCATGGGACGAAGAAGAAGTAAAGACAGTGTCCCAGGAAGTTGTCGCTCGTGGCTTGGGTGGCGTGAAAAATGCGAAAGATAGAACTGGATTGCTATTGAAGGCTGTGTCCTGCATTGATTTAACTACTCTCGCCGGTATGACAAAATCATGAAAAATTACATGAAAAATTAGACAACTTCATAATTTTGGGAATTGTAGGAGATGATACGGAGAAGAGAGTGTCAGAACTTTGTGCCAAAGCTGTAAAGCCTGTTAGCCAGGACGTTTTGACAAAACTTGGGACAGATTCCACAAGTCTAACGTGTGGCGCAGTGTGCGTATACCCTGCCCGAGTTGGAGATGCTGTCAAGGCTTTAAGCAAATTGGGAGTACCTCTTCCGGTAGCGTCTGGTACGAGTGCATAAGTCTATAAAAAATCCATAAAAAATTAACTGGAGAAAGATTTGAGAAAAATGAGTTATTGTAGGATTTCATATTTTCAGTCGCCACAGGGTTTCCGTCTGGACAAACGTTCCTTAGCGTAAAAATTTTGGAGATTAAAGAAGCCGTTGCTGCTGGAGCAACGGAAATTGATATTGTCATTAGTCGACCTTTGGCCCTTGCAGAAGATTGGGTTGCGCTTTATGAAGAAATTAAACAGTTTCGTACCGCAGTGGGGTCAGGGGCTCACATGAAAACTATTCTCGCCGTGGGAGAATTAACATCCTTCACAATGGTTTACAAAGCTTCAATGGTGGCGATGATGGCTGGATCTGATTTTATCAAAACTTCCACTGGGAAAGAAGCTGTGAATGCAACTATTCCAGTCGGATATGTTATGAGCATGGCGATCAAGGACTTTTTTGCAAAGACTGGAAATCAAGTTGGTCTTAAGCCTGCTGGAGGATTAAAATCTGCTCAAGATGCGCTGGACTGGCTAGTTTTGGTGAAAGAGGTTTTAGGAGAAGGATGGTTAAATGAAAAATTATTCCGGATTGGGGCATCCAGTTTGTTGGGGGACGTGGAACGGGAACTTTATAAACAAGCGTTTGGAAAATATCCATAAATCAAGACGAAATATTACAAATTATTGGCTATTCCAGAAGTGGTTTCGCATTTCATAAAATATTATATTTTATTATTTGGAAGCTTGTAATAAATTGTTCATGTCCATTAGAAAATTGTACAATTTCATACATATGTACAAATTTGTATATTGTACATCACAAATACAAATGAGTGCACAATTGTTGAATTTTGAACCACTTATTTTTAATATTTGCGCAAAAAGATTTTATTTCAGTATGGCTAAGAATTAAACAAATTTTCAATTTTAATCACATTATGAACACATTTTTTTTACAATGTTTTTACCCGTAATCAGGAATAATTAGGTTGAGAATAGTTAGATTTAGTACTATCCGTCATTTAAATGCAAAAGGTCTTTGTGTATAATTACGAACATCTCCACCACACACAACTATGGCTGCAACATTCTCTGAAAGATGAACACGAACCTCCAGGTGGTTTGCACTATAAAAATGGAAAATTCATTTGATACTACCGTTTTTATAACCAAGTTTACCGTTTTTATAATGCTAAGATTGCGATTACTCACGGCTTCGGATTGTACAATTGCAACAATTGCCAACGTAAAGGCAATCCACAGGATAGAAATGAAGATCTGGGAAAGCATGTCGCGATGCATTATTAAAATGACTAATTCAAGGTGGAATGACTTGTGGGACGCAAAGTTGAAGTGCTACTGTATGTGCTACCTCTGAAATAGATATATATATATGCAAATTTTAAAGTGTTTTATTTATAAAACAATTTGTTTACAGTGATTAACAAAATACATAGATAATAGATCAAATAACACCTTATGCTTTTGCGTGGTCAGCTACGGAAGTGCTTGAAAATATGTTGATGCAGAACTCGGATGATTGAATTGACAATTTCATTCAGTAATAATTTTGTACAACGCAGCAAATTTATTGATTGCAACAACAGGTCGTGAGGCTGAGGTGAGCTGATAAAGATCCATAAGCAGTCAGTGCAAACAAGATAATCCATAAATTCGAATGAGGTCATTCCATTCTCATTGTCATTTCTGAATCATGATGATTGCTTCGCATAACATTTGCCTTTGTAAATGTAGACTAAATAAGTAAATGATGCGAAGATGGGGAAATATAATTTTATTAGCTTCATTTCATTTAAATAGTTATAGCATTAACTGGAGCGGGTATAACAATCAAATCCTGATTCTAAGGGAGAAAGTAGGAAGTTGCACTGGGTACAAAACCAAATAAATTTATCGAGACAACTACATAAATGTAAATATGTAACAGAAAATACCCATAATTCTAACGAGTTTGCTTTTAACCAAGCTAAACATATATATGCACAAGACATGCAAATATTTTCTAGAACGTGATGTGACAGAGAATGGACAAGAGCTAAAAAAAAGTACAATTACGCGGAATACAAAAGGCGTTAGGTGATGGTTTTGACGAATTCGCGGGTGAATATCTCTGGCAGGGAGTAGAATTTTGAAGTGATTTTTGGTAGACTGCAAGATAATACTCTCAAAAAGGTATTTCCAAAATTTTAAGGTGATAGCTTCAAAAATGACACCTCCAGTGTTCTCAGAGTTGGAGGGTGCCGTAAAAACACTTTCCAAACTTAAGTACTCGTATAGCATAATAACCTAAGAGGTCAGAGGTGAATTATTCTTAATATTATAACCCTAGATAATCATTGCATGTAATAATAAAAGAATCCACAATGAATTACATAACGTTGGCCTTCCATTGTCAATGAAATTTTTCCATGAAAAGTGATAAATCGGACCGTGCACGGGAAAATTGACCTGCTGACCTTGAATGCAGACCCACTGGGTCAAATGAAGATTGAGGGTAAAGCTGGAAGTGTCCTGAGTAATATTAAACAAAATAGTTAAGATTTTGAGTAAACAGTCTTGGAGAAGGACCCAAGCTAATCAGCTGACGGGGAATCATAAAAAACTCGTAAACTAATTTGGAAAATTAATGGTCAAATTTTGTTGAAAATAAATTTTAATAACGTTTTTGTGTCCCCTGCTACAGAACTATTTTACCTACAAGGTACAAGTGACAAAATAATAAAATTACCAAGTTTTGGTTAGTTAAATTATTTTTGAAGTTCAACCTTGATGACGACGGAAACTTTTCCAAAAATTTTATTGGGTTTGATGAAAACTCATTTCGTGGGGTGTAACCACTTATCAAAATTTAATCAAAAATATTTACAGTGCAATATACTATATGTACCTTGGATAAAAACAACGTTAGGGATTTTTAGAATCAAAGTCCTAAAATGTGGGGGCCTTAAAAGTCGAGGAGTTGCGTTAACGAGAGCATTCCATTAGGACAAGTATGAAGCTAGACTACAAAAGTGACTTAAAAGATAAGCATGAGACAAAAATGGTTTTATATAGTGAAAAGTATGCTAAGTCTCTTGATAATACTCGCAAAGACGATTTTTGCATCAGGACCTAAGAAAAAAATCTTTTGTTCAACGCCATTTTATAAGAACACTGGTTTGGAAAACTAAAAAAGGACACCTCTCTATATTTGACCTTCCCTCATTTCGCAGAGTACACAAAACCGGAAGCCAGACATGTTTACCTATAGTTTGAGACACGGGCTTTCACATAAAAATGTTAGAAATCTCTACAACTAAAAACCATCCCGCAATTAAAATATGAATTCGTCAAAACCATGTCCTAACGCCTTTTGTAGATATGTAAGGCATGCAAAATATGTACATTCTGCTTCCGGGCATGGACTGCTAAATTAGTGCAAAACAAAATTTGTAAGAGGTACATTTGGCAATTCTCAATAATCGATACCTTGTCGTGTCAAACTGAAATGTCGCGTTATAATAATGAGTCTGATTGCGTAAAACTTTTACAAATCCAGGACGCCTTTCACTCAGGAGGGGAGCTTGCGAGGTTGATAATAACAGATCTTGATGCCCTTTGGATATGTAGTAGGGACCAATGAGTGTACTAAAACCCTGAAGTGGTTTGACTCCATGGCCACATTTGCGCCCGCCACACCCACTCAAAAATGCCCAAAAAACGCTTTTACTCCAGTTTTCACTCACTCAAATCCACGCCAAAAATCCAATTTTACTCGGATTTTGAAATTTCTTTCACCATTATACTCCCAGATAGTTGCTTTCTTCAATCCAATATCAAACTCAATTCTTTCGAAATTTTGAGTATTTTTAAAATTTAAAATTCTGAATGAGCATTGTTGTAGTAATCAACAAAACAAATTATTTTTGCGAAATAATCATCAGTAAAATTGAGTCCGATATTGTATTGAAGAAAGCAACTATCTGGGAGTATAAGGGTGAAAGAAATTTCAAAATCCAAGTAAAATTGGATTTTTGGCGTGGATTTGAGTGAGTGAAAACTGGAGTAAAAGCGTTTTTTGGGCATTTTTGAGTGGGTGTGGCGGGCGCAAATGTGGCCATGGAGTCAAACCACTTCAGGGTTTTAGTACACTCATTGGTCCCTACTACATATCCAAAGGGCATCAAGATCTGTTATTATCAACCTCGCAAGCTCCCCTCCTCAGCGATACATAGTTTCCCTTTCGCTATGTCGGTCTGTCTGTCCGTCCATCTTTTTGCACATACATAAGTCCTGAAACTCGGGACATGAAATGTATTTAGGGGCAGAAGTGGTTAGAATTTTTGCGCTCTAGGTCAAAATGCCACAGCGCCAGGTCAGGTGGAGTCAAATCGATAACTTCATAGGTTATTTTGATTTTTAAACTTGGTTACGAAGTGACATGGGGACAATCAAAAGTAGAACATGCGCAAATTTCAAATTTGTATTTTGTCGGACACTTTCCGTGTGCGACCAATGATGGCGAATACACGTTTGACGATGGTTCCGCCCTTTGATTACGTTCATTTCTAACAGTTTTGTACATTAATCCTAATACACTGCATGAAAATAAAATAATCCAATGTCCAATATTTAGTCTTGAGCTAAACATGGGTCTAAATCCATGTTGCTTCGGAATACCTCTTCAGACTGGGTGTAAAATAATTGCTGTCCTACAGATTGTAGGGATCTATTAATTTTTACTGTGCATCTTATCTTCAGCCAAGTATAATTAACAATTTTGAATGCAATTTACAGATTGCTTCTGTTTTGATCCTACTTTCCTCAATCCTGGGACTAATTGCCATTGGCATTAAGTCAACCGAAGACAAAAACTCGAATGGTGACGACAACGCAAAGGAAACTGACAAGATATCGGATGGTAAAATAATTCTGCAATTTTTTAAATGTCAAATAAATTATATGTAAAACTTGCTATTTTCAGATACCGTGGTTATTGTTGTGTTATCATTGATACTAACGTGCAGCTTAATTGGACTCATTCTTTCTGTTGTACTTTATCGCGGTGCTAAAAATGTAAGTCATGTCGAAATGTTCAAAGTTGGTAATGCAAAAATATCTTAAATCAATAAATGCATAGAAAAAGCGCAAGAAACTTTTAGCCTGGCTCTGGATTAGCTTAATCCTGCTGGTGGTAATGGTTGTGAAATTTATCGTGGACTGCATTTACGTAAAAATTGGACACGCATTGGAATTGGTACAAAGTGCTGGGTACATACTCTTGAATTCATATTGTATATTTGTGGTGTGGTGTTATCGACAAGAGTTGAAACATGGGGATGATGCATAAACTCACAAATTTCTGGAAATAATTTCCATTAAAGTATTTTTAATGAGATTACAATGTAGAGAGTGATCTGGTCCATTATATGCATATTTAAATAATGTAATATTCACTTTCATGTACGTAATCAGGTTTATTTTGTGTTTCATTTTTATATGTGCTTCGGGATAATAAATAAAATTATAAATAATAAATAAAAGATGAAATTACTTCAACAAATAAAATTATTTCTCTAAACATGAGAAACGATATTTTGCTACTGCTTAATATTGATGAATTCAATTATCTCGCATATATACATACTTAAATGTAGTTATTAGAAATTGACTGTTCAGAACCCGTGACGTACAACTACAATGCAGCAAATGGTAAAATATTAATTCCATGTGGTGTGCGGTTTTATTTTAATAATTTATGTAGCTTTGGGTAGTTCAGTATTGACAACCACAGAAATTAACGTTGGTTCTTACTCATTGTAAATTATCACCGAAAAAAAGCATATCGTTATCTCGCACTTTAAATTATTTTCTTAAGGTCCTAGAGTAAAAAATGTTCCGAAATTTCTTCTCACTAATTTTCCTCTTTCCATTGTTAAGGTTGTCCGCATCTACGATTTGGCCACAACCCAAACACGTGTCCATCGACACTTCAAACTCAATATCCATCCCGTTATCTTGTGATGTTAATCTACTCCTGAATTCTCTACGGAGAACATTCCCATCAAAAGCAAAGTGCATGATTACACAAGCTTTTGAACGTGCTTCGAAGAATTTCAAAAGCCAAGTCCCATCTCCGTCTTATAATTGTGCTGTAAACCCATTAAATATTAATCTTTTAGTGACGAATCCATCATATCAAAGTGTAAACCCAAGCAAGGATTCCGTTTCTCAAGAATCATACAAAATTACAATCAATCCACAATCAGAGATTTTTATTGAGGCTGCGACAACAATCGCCGCACTTCGCGCAGCTTGGACATTTTTTCAGATTCCGACAAACCCATCCAGATTCATACAACATCCCATCTCCATCAGAGATGAACCTACGTTCATCTACCGTGCAATTATGATGGACACGACAAGGTCAATCAGTGTTACAGAGGGACAGCGCCATCCAATTATTCGCCTTTACGAAATGATTGACCGGATGGAAGTCGTCAAGATGAATATCCTCCATTGGCATCTAACGGACACGGATGGTCTCTCCTTTCAAGTGGATAATGTAAATGTGACGTCGCCATATTCAGTCGACGAAATTAAGAAAGTTGTGCAATACGGACTGGATCATGGAATTACTGTTTTGCCAGAAGTGGACATCATGGGCCATAGCGGAACCGTGTGGGGGAGACAGACAAATATACCATCATTCGCCCCTTGGGATTGTCCCTACCAATTCAACCTGGACTCACCCCAGGCTACACAATTTATCACAAATCTCTTTAAAAATATGACGACAAAGATATTTACGAATTGCCCAATCCTTGCCACCGGACAGGACGAAGTAGCTCCATGTGGAAATAATTATGTTCGAGATGCCACAGCGCTGCAGAATAAATTGGGCCAAATTGCGAAGAATGCAGGAAAAAGGGTGCTCGTTTGGGGGGACACTATTCTCGAACAAGGGCTAATCTTTGACTCGAGAATTACATTGGTAGCGCCGTGGAGGGAGTATGAAGGCTGCAACGGATATGCAGAAGGAGTCAATAAATTGGTCGAGAGGGGATACAAGGTCGTGGTATACAATCAAAATCCGTGGTACATTGGCAGGGAAACTACGGCAGAGGGACTTTACAGCTACAATCCTTTGGATGGAGTACAGCCAAGCAATGTGGGAGCAGTTCTTGGGGGAGCGGTGTCACTGTGGGAACCTTCGCTGAGAGATTTGGAGCATGGATCAATATTCTGGCCAATGTCTGCCGCAGTGGGTGAAGTTTTGTGGTCAGGATCCCGTCAAGGGGGCGAGTTTAATGAGGAAAGATACGATAAGATTTCAACATTTCTTAGAAATGTTCCTGCTTCCGTGGTGTCGATGGTAATTTGCAAATAGGTAAATACATATTTCCAAAGTCTCATGAATTTTTTTGGCCTTGTGAATTTTACATAAGAGCGAATAAAACTTTCTGCATAATTGTTATCTAAAAAAATTCTGTGGATGAATATAAATGAGTATGTAATGACAGATTATCTATTATTTGTTCGTCATTTTTACTTATTTTTGCAATTACAGATTTGTAAAATTCCAACTAAAATTAATAAAAGCACATCGACTTTAGTAAGGTTATGTAGTATTAAATGCGTACCCGTGTACGTAATTATAAGTTCAGTGAAGGTTACTCATGGTTAAAGTTAATCAATACTTATAATATTAAATTTGCGCGTGGATAACACATTATTAGATAAACTCACAGCCTGCCCCCTTTTCGTAAAACTAACCTTTAAATAAACCATTTAATTCGACCCATATAACATATAATTTACTTCGCTGGCGGCTTTACTACCGGCAACTCATCACACACAGTCATTGAAAAAGTTAAAAATATATTTAGTTTCTACATTATATTTCTGTAATTAATGGGACTTCGTTGCAATCAATAATCGGACTGTGCCTCTCGCAATAGAAATAAGGTACATAAGTGCAGTCTTTGGCGTAATGCAGTAAAATATCCCAAATTGTACTCCGATTGGTTTGCATGATGAAATAAATCGCTTAAAATACTCCTCATGTGTATATCTCATCTCTCTTAACCAGTGTCTATGCCTCCAAGATTTGATGCACTTACTTGATACGTATTGAACTCGAGAAAATGTCAAGAAAACCAAGAAAACGACAAAATTCATTACAAAAATTGTTGCAATCAGTGCAAATTTCAGAATTGGATGAATTAATTGGTGATACTTTACGAGAATGAAAAGCGTTCCAATTACCACTCTCGAGATTACGAATTGCAGTGGGAGATGGTAACTCGTGGTGACAAGCTGAAACAGGTTTTGAAGTAATTTTAACGATTTGAAGGTTGTGACCAAGTTCTTTGGCGTCCTTAGTTTGGGCGATGTCCAGGCATACTTCAAATTCAAGCTAAAATTGGTATTTCAAAAAATTGATGATATTGGAGTAGAAAGTATATAGCAAAACTAAAACTTACCACAATTGTCCGTGCATTCGATGCAGCACGACTGGAATATAAAGCGCCGTCAGTATGTAAAATTTACAACTTTCCCACGACTTGTAGACGATTAAGTAAAATCCGACTGCAGAAATTAGTGTACTTATGACTTGTATTTTTGTGGAATACGAAATAAATGAAGATGACGGAGATTGCGGCAATCCTGGCATGATAATGACCCCAATGCCAGTTATTGGAGCAATAATACAACCCATCTTATCCATTATCTTGACTACTAGATGAGACATACTGGATAACTTGAGCTGATCGAGTAGTAAGACGTGCTTAATTGTCCCACCATTAATTCTAGGTTGTCGACACTTTTGCTGCAATTTTATTTCGTGTAAGCGAAAAGTATCTGAAATTCCGGGAGGATAGACAACTTATAATTTATTGAAAGATATTTAAGCATAAAACTAGATAACTTTACCAGAGAAAAATATCGCATATGAAATGAAAGAGTTGACCATCACGGGGACCTCGTCGATTTTTACGAGTGTCATGACATGAAATATAAGAACTGTTAGTGACCCCAAATGAGACACAGGCTCATGTCCAAGGCAAGTGAGAATTGGCGACCTGGTTCCTCTGATCGCAATTGACGGTAGAGGATGAACCCTTGCGTGGATGCGAAGGCTGCATAAATGGCAAGTGAGACAACGAAAAATTTCCATTTTTGAATGGTTTTCAAATTCTTGGTTTTAATGATACGATTGTTTTCTACGCTAAATGGGAGACTGCAACAATTTCCTGCACTTTGAGGAGAGTTCAACCACTCTTCTAAATCCATGTGTTGAAAGGCCTTGCATATATACACTGCGTTATAGTAATTAGTAGAAGATGTGCATATACGTTTGAAAGAATTTGAGGTATGAATTGAGTTCAGATTCAATACTATGCTGATATAAACTATTTTCTTTTACTATAACTATTAAGTGGAAGAGCACACGTTTATCAAAGTTTTATGCTGTAATTTATTGGATGAGAATTGTGGCAAATTGATTCTACACTACAATTGTAAATGGTCAAGTTACATGCATGCAAATTTTGCGACACATCCCATTACCTATTAACGATTACAAAGTTTAAACTTACAATTTTTAATGGTAGTGCATACGGTTGACGGTACGAGATACGATTATGTGTATGTACACATAAGCGTTGGATTCCTATTTGAATTGATAAACGTCAAACTAAAATGGTTACACTACATTTCCGGCGTGGCCATTAATATTTATATGTTTCATAAACACACTTAATCGGTTTTATCACCAATTACGCCAGTTATAATTTTATATGTACTAATTTTCCACTACCCATCTTTGCTGACGCAAGTGAGACATTGCATTGTCAACGTGCCATCATACTACATATGTAGTACATACATACATAATATGTATAATAAATTTCACATACATACATAGGTACTTATTTATATTCCATAAATATTATAATTGCTGTCGAACAGTGTTCTTGCTTTCTACTTATTTGTTAACGGCCAAAAGATAAATTCCAATTCATAATTTAAATAGATAATAACGGATGAAATACATGTATGTGTCTTACATTTTGTTTACTTGTTGTACTTATTTGTTCCTTTTTTCATTGTTAATAAACTCAATTTGAATAAAACGTCCAGTAATAATGCATACATAAATTCTTTATGAAAATCTATTCATACTTAAGTATCTGAAATGTAGTTTTTCAAAAGTTTCTATTGTTACGAAACTATTACACATTCCATGAATTAAGATAATTCGCACTCCCGTCAAATTGTCGTGTCTAAATATTTCAATAATTCCTTATCATTCATTTAGTCGAATATCATGTGCATGACACGAGTTAGCATGTCTTCACTACTTTACCTTGTTTTGTCCCTGGAAACATTTACTTTAATTTGTTGTACTCAATTTCCAAGTTTATTACTAAATTGTACACATTACATTAAGACGGACTATATCCTAACAAAATATGAAGTAACAACTCAAATTTGGGGGACATCACGAAATTTTCACTTGTTTCCCGTAATCCTAGAACATACAAATGAAACCATTGTTAATACTTATGTAATGGATCACTTGACTGGTATTCTGGTCGTGACCTATAATAATCCATTAAATTATCATCGAATTTATGGTAGACACCAAATTTGTGTTGTAGGCAGAGTATATTCGCATTGGTTGCACGACAAACAGGCCGAGAAACAAAAGCAGACACATGTTCAAATCGAAATGGGAATACTGCAAATATTCGCAGCCAAACTAAGACCTCAAGTTATATTTTTCGAAAATGTAAATTTTGGAATTACTAAAAGATTACAGTTTCCATTCATCCATCGTCTTTATGCAAATTCCATCTTTATCATTTTCAACAGTGGTCATGGAGCCAATCGAGTTGGAAGCATTGTCAGATTTATCTATGGATACAAGGGCTTAGCAAAAAATTTAGTGGGACCTGACATCTCCGATGTGACTTCGATAAGTCAACTGAAACATCTTTGGAGAATGGAAAACTCAAATCTTAGACGACGCAAGGTGTTCTTCGCATACACGTTGAAGCATCATAAAAACTCGTATTGTTCCTTGTATAAAAATAAATTTGGAAACGGAGAGACAAAAAGGATGGAAAAGTTTGTGGAGAATGACTGCATCAAATCGACCCTTCTTGAAAGAAAGAACATTACACGTGCCGACTTAACTGCGTTTTCGAATTCTGTTATCGGTTTCATTTCGAGCGATATTCCCATGCATTCTGACGTCAGCAATGGATTGAAACAATCGCAGAGTTCTATTCAATGGGTTATTCATGGCGTCGGAATGGAAACGTATGGATTTTCTATACATACTGATTCCAAAGGCGAAATTAGTGCAGCAAATTTTTCAGCGTTTGTGCTTCCATTTGACGTCATGACATGGATATGTATTCTAGTTTCTATTCTCACGATTAGTATTTGCACAATCAAGATTTCTAATAGCTTTACGAGATCAATTTTGTACATTGTGAGTACAGTTCTAGATCAGTCAGACCTAATTTCGCATAAGCAAAGGTTATCCAACTACGACATGACCCCCCTACTAGCAGCGTGGATAATGGTCGCCATGTTCCTTGGATTCTTTTACAAGGGAGCTTTATTTTCATATATGACTTCGAAGCCTGTTCTAAACGTACCGTCGACGTTGGAAGGACTACTAAAAAGTAACATATCGATTATTTCAATCACATTTGTCCTAACGTTTCTTAATCATGATCCAATATCTCCTCTGGACATTATTACCAAAGATTTGGTGAAGATATTAGACCCTAACATGTCCCTGTATGATATAACAGTCCAACTAAGAAACCGGGTTATGTATGTCCCCGCATTTTATAAAGTTGTTGAAATAGCAGAGAACATTTCAACCTCGAAACCCGTGGAGACATGTTGGGATCCAAACCAGTCGAGATGTTCGGATGGAAACAGAACTGAAATAATGATCCCAAAGACGTTTGCTGTTATGAGTACTAAAATTGATATGCGTGCATTTTCCAACTACATGAAGCAGTTTTCTGGTCTAACCGAAGTGACGAATACGAGTCCGCATCCAATTTCATATAAAGTTCCATGGATTGCGTTATATAATTGTTTCTATAATGTATTCTCTCGTCACATGTCGTCGCTGGTGGAGTCTGGGATTTATTCTTGGTGGAGGAAAAACTCCAACGTTGCACGACAAGTGAGAGATCTGTTAAAAAACGAGGAAAGAAACAACAGAAGTGAGAATGTGGCTTTTGTGCAACGTTTATGGGTGACAGAGGACGTGGATCATGACCTGGGGGAACGGATGGGAATAGATTTACAAGGTGTTTCCCTGAGCACCCTTACAGCACCGTTTACAATTACCCTCATTTTCTCAGGGGTAGCAGTTTTTGTATTTTTTGTAGAAATTCTAACGCGATTTGCGAAGGTGCTGAAAATATGAGAGAAATGCAATGTGAAATTATTAGAAGCAGTAGCATTGTTTTTGCAAACCTTTTGATTGGGTGAAGTTTTTATGAATTATGTTTTCAATTGTTCCTTCTGTATCCCTTTTAATCATGCGACTGAAATAAAAATACCCAGCAAACTCTACGAAAAATATTTAGTACCACGATATGAAAATAAATTGTTGTCCAGTCCCAAAATTATCTTTGATTATTTATAAATAAATTATGGTCTGAGAACGATAATTAGTTCTTTTCACGTGCTGCATATGTGTCGTGGTATGGTACTCGTGTGGGTCGTAAATTTAAATTTTCTAACTGATGGTCAATGAGGTACCTAAGCATATCTCCTTAATAAATTAGAAAACGTGGGATAAGAATAATTTGCTAAGCATCCACCTTACATTTACTTCAGGTCGTTACCTATCTTCAACTTGACATGCCCCTAACATATGAAATGTACAAAGACATATATATTATTTAGCACGTGAAACTATGATACACAAAAGTATCAAATAAATCGATAATTTTTAACTGCTTTCTCCACGCGTGTTTTCTTACGAATATTTGAGCTTGTTAACAATAGTCTTAATAACGGCCTCTCGTTCTTAGAATTGTGTCTTAGTCTGCAATTTATGAGGGACAAAATTGCTGAAATACGTAGTTCAACCAGAATCAGCCATCGTGGACAGAAAGAATACAACTAGTTGAAGCTTTGTGATAAAATGGTCAAAGTTTAAGTGCTGTGACAATACGCCGCATGTAAGCAATTATTAAAGTTTTCAGCCAACCCAATTATAACTTAATCATAGAAAGTGATTCACATTTTGTACATATGCATCTTATATTTAGTGATACACAATCGTTTGAAGGTAGATCCAGCTTTGTGACAATCTTCACCATGTGAGGAATAAAGAAAGAGGATGCTATTCGAAAACTATTGATAATCATCACAAAATTTCTGTAACTCACGAAAGTATTTTTGCTACCTTGGAATGATAAAAAATAATTGGCCCAGTGAATTCTGTCAAGGTTACGTCTGATTTCATTAAGTCGTTCCATCAATAATTTGAATATTCATTCTACGATATGTGGAAATTTCACGAACACAATGACACAAAATCAGCATATTGCAAGGGTCAGTCTTTGGTTTGTTTGGAGGGAGTGTTACCAATTTCTATAAATGGCTGTGTAAAAGAAACATTACATATGTGTCAAACTAACTCTATAATCCGGATGGAGCTAAATTTATTTGCAATAGAAAATCCGTGACCCCATTCTAAGTTTAGCACTGTATCATCAAAAACCTTAACTTATACAGTTTACTGAATGCTTGCAGAGTCTTGCTTAAGTCTTTAAGAAATATTTATTTATATATTCTGGAAATACTTAACACTCTGGAGAAATCGCGGATCAGTGTTTAATTAATTGTGGTTTATGTAATATTTTGGGAAGTTTAGGTTAGGGTAGACAAACATAAACAGAAGACTAACACAATTAATAAATAGAAGTGTCGACGACAGTCGTCAGCGACCTGCGTCAGAAAAACACAAAGTAACAAACAAATACGTATGTACGTACGTAAATTCTATCCAAAAATACAAAAGAGATGTCAAAAGCTTGAAGAGAGTCCAAGGAAAATGATATAAAATATATGTACATGTACGTACCCAAGAATATGATAGCAGTAAATATGTAAGACATTTAGTTCATAATGTTTCACCTATGCATACATACATACGTATGTATGTACTTATCACCGTATTTATAAATAAATGTAGTTAAGGTTATATGATTTGGACGGACTTAAAATATTTCGTATATTCAATTCGTCTTCAATAAACCTTCGATGCAGCAGTGGTCGACAATTCTAGTCGGCTCAAATTGCGAAAGTGCTATTTAATTACAATAAATTAAACGGTGACATGCGTACCATTAACAATAATTGTCGGTATTCCATTAATTTGATTTTACTAAAGGATGTCAATACAAGTTTTCTGCAGTAATACCTGGCTTACAATTTTCAGTGTTAGATAACTTATTGAGAAATTGCTAGTTACATACATACCTGCAAAAGTCACTCTTCAAAGAATGCATACAAATATGTACTGCGTTGCTTTACACATCCATATGCCAAAACGAATGCAATTATTAGATTGCAACTAAATATTACAACAAAGTAGGATATTGCAAACATCATATTTTGTCACACTGCAAAGAGAGTCGTACCTGCAGGCATGCATATAAATACGTGCGGACGATCGATAGCTAACAATTAACATTCAATTGGTTTTCCATTCAAATTATTTCAAATGGATTGTTTGCTCAATGAATAATGTCGTCAATTTCCTGTGTGGTAAAGTTGTATTCTGCAGACTTTGAGAATACCGAAATTTAAACATGACCTAAAATGTTTAATTGGCAAGTTTTAAAATTGCTTAAGCGCGTAATAAAAATATTAAACTTCACGCGAGCATTTGCACTTCGATGGGACGACTCCAAAAATTCATTGTTCCCAGTGAACTCAAATCGGCGTCTGATTTTCATCCAGGCTTTATTTATCCATCAATTACTCTACGGTTTCTACATTGGTTGGAAATTTTATGCAATTTGGGTTAGCACATTTGCCACAGTGATGGACAGTTTTTGGTTCATGTTTATGAATTTGGGATACCTATTTTGCGCTGAAGGACTAATTCAATCTGCTCTGAGACGAAACGAATATTCAGAACTATTTCGACACCTCCTGCATTTGGATGGCAAATTTATCGGTAATTTAAACCTTTGTGGTAACAAGTTAATATTTTTGAATTTTTAAAGAATGAATTTTTTATTTGTAAGGATTATGTGGAGGAAAGAGGATAACACATGAAACAAAATCAAAGATAGCGTTGTGGATTTTACGAATTAATGTCGTTGGTACATTTGTGTTCATCATCCTGCTAACTCTGGTCTTCATAAAGCGTCCAACATCGTTTTTCTACATTTACGATTTATACCCAGATCACGAATCGTGGGCGATCTTTTCAATTTTTCTCGTATTTGAAATCTTGTCAAAAAGTATTGGTGTTATTGCGTTTAATCTTATGAGCACGTGGTTTCTGCTCTCTGTGGCCTTCCAGTTTATGGCACTTGCTCAATTAAGGTATTTCAATTTATCTTTTACTTTTTCACAATTGGTAACTGGGATTTTTTCTGGGGTTACAGAAAGTCTACAGATCATGTTGGGAAAAGGATAGCGTATTACAAGTACCTCGCAATATTTAACAAATGTCACATGAACTGCTATCTGCCCATAACCCTGCCATCAAGACTGACACTTTTTGGGCTACTTGTGGTAATTTCGGCACACCTTCTACTTCGATATGGTCATCGGTTGATCCTTTTCGAGCGTTTTCTAGTATTTCAACTACTTCTATGGAGTATCGTTACAGCTTTCTTGTGTATCCTTGTATCCGGCAAGATTTATAAAAGTAGTAGCAGGGCATTGGTGAGGTTTCGTAGTTATGATAAGCATACGAAATATACTAGAAAAAGTTTAAGGGCTTTGAGACCATTTGGGGTGAAAGCAGGGCCTTCGAAAACACTGACTTATGGAACTCTCAACGCTTATTCGGTTGTTGTTCTTAAAGCTTTAACCACTATCCTCGTAAGATTTCCACCACGCTGACAGATTTATGCCAACATCACATGTCATGAAATAATTTTTATTAACAAAACAATTGTACATGTAGGACTGAAATGGGTTTCAAACATAAGTTACACATTAAAGACCAAATATAGTATTTAAGTGTGTACTAAATATCTATCAATCTATGTAAATATTAACTATTTATAATTGGATTGACAGAAAAATTAATAAAAATTGACCGAGAGCCAAGAAATTATTATGTGTAATTACTTACATATATATGTGTGCATTATGTACATTTAGACATACATATGTGCTACATAAATGATACTTTGTCATTGCAGGATCAGAGTTTAATATGTGATATGAACTTGCAAATTTCTAGGCACAAGAAATGAGCAAGAATGTTGAATTTCCAGAATTAAAAAGTAAAAGTGAGCTTCCCGGAAATGGAAACCGATCGATAATTCTGTACTTGTATAACCAAGGTCGTAATAAGCTTAGCAACTCATCCTCAGTAGGCTTTAGCACGTTGTCAGCACATTTTTTAGAAAAGTTATTAAATCTATTATAAAATCAGTTGGGGTTTTCCCAAATCAAATTACAAGCTAACAATAGATTAAAAACAGGGTACATCAAGCATACAGAAATAACTAGTTTAGTTTAAATCGCGAAAATGTCAACTTTTCTATTACGAAACATTATAAAAGTGGCTCTAATGGTTTTTCTCATCATCTCAATTGCTGATGGGAATCCAGTCAGAGAAAAGGATTACGTTCCCAGTATGGCTCGCAAAGCTGGAGGTGGTTACCGAAAACGGCCGACGGAAACCCCACCGATGATGGTTGATACAGACGGTAAAATTGAAGAGATTAATCCAAATAAGACCGATGATTTTTGGATGGTAAGTAATTTATCACAAGTTGTGTTCTACATTTGATAATTATTTTTTAGAAGTGACAATTTTTTAATTGCAGGAATACGACGAGGATGTCGAGGAGGATTGCCCATCATCCGAGTTTTGGCATATCCGTGCCAACCGATGTGTTCCACTGATCTGTGGAGGAGGACGAGACCCTGAAACTGGTCAATGTATGCATTTGACACCGTCAATCAATATGTTTGGGAACAACCGGCATGGATTCAGGTATCCACACGTTGGGGCGACAAATTGGAATTTCCATAAACACCCGGTGAGTTATTTAGTTGGCTAATTAAGTTTATGTACATATGTCCATTGCTCAGGAATAATTATTATATTTAATACAGTTCAATAGGATACGGGTGGCCACGGGATTTAGAAAAGGATGAAGAAATGATACCCTTGCTGAAAATGCAACTTTCATGTTTACAATGCGTGCTTCCAATGACAATATTTTTCATAGGTCTAGCATATTGACTATTTAGTTTGATAGTCTGATATTTCAGTAATGCACATACAAATAAGATTATAAAGCTTGAAGGGTAGATTTATTCATAAAATTATATCAAAGAATATTGCAATTAATTATTTATAGGTAATAAAAAGGAAAACTAAAGTCTATGCATTGTAAAATTTATTTTCATTCAATGGTTTTGCCTCATTCACTATAATTCGATTAATACATACATATTTAAGTCGATGGAAATGAATAGAAAAGACTTTCACAATTCTAGCAAAACATGTTAAGTATATACATACATACATATCTGTAATATTAATGTAGTTTGTTCATAAAGACATTAGACAAATGCTAATTTATAGCAAATGTTAGTATTAGAGTTAGAAGATATGCATATCATTCTAAATTGTTTAAGAAGTGAAAATTCTCGACATATCGAGAATGTTATATGTAACCTTTAACCCAACATATAAATATCGTTAACATTCAACATTGGTTGGACTGAGGAGTTGCACAATTATTAAATTAATTACAATTGAACTTTAAATAAGTGAGTTTATTCCTAAAAATAGATTTAGCCTTACAAAATTGTAACATGTTTCATTAGGGGTGTCATTACGAGTTGGCAATTTCACATCCCAACATAATTTTGAAAAATATTTTGTGAACTACATGCTAGGCTTGAAGATGCCCAAGTTCGCAAATGGATTTTCAAGCTAATTTTTTTTGCGAACTTGCGAACTTTGTTTTTTTTTGCTAACGACTCGAACTCGAAATAAATACCCACATTGTTGAACTATTAAATCCCCAAATTATCATCGCCCTACACCTCCCGATCTGGCAGTTGGAATACATCTCCCCACAAATGTAGAATAGTGGTAACCAAACGGACATCTTGTATTTAATGCGTTTACACTCTGCCTGTTCACCATCGATTGAATTGGAGCCGTGGTCGGAGTTTGGGTCGGTGCAAATCTAATTGTTTGTGTTTGCCGTCCACGAACTGCACAACATGATAAGTCAACTTCGGAGAGAAATATGGACACAAGAACGACACAGAGTACTAATTTTGCTGCGGATTTTGCCATTTGAACTCTCCTAAAACCAATAAGGCCAATAATTATTCCAGATCAAATTCGAACACGATTAATGCAACTGACTCAATAATTATTCTGCGATCAACTGAATATTTAAGTAATTGTACCTTTCTTTACGATATTTTTTGTAGAATTATTACAGTTGCCTGTGATTCACAAACTAAAACCAAATCGTTTCTCCGTAATTCTTCTTGGAACGTGGGAGCCCATGCTTATCTTGGCTGAGATGCTGTGACCTGATGGCTGACCCTGCATTAATCTTTCTCAGTATTGCTGGCTAACATTCTCAGTAATAACCTGTAGCATACAGGTTTGCAAGTTTGCAACCATCACTTTATCAATAAAAAGTGTACATAAGCCAAATATGAAATCAAATACATACATACATATGTATCTGTATGTCAAATATACATAAATACATATTTGAATTAGTAAGCTGAGATCTCCATTCAATTTGTTTAACTTTATTGGTTTGTATGTTTTAGCATTGCACCATAACAATGTTTGCCATGCTCTCTTACATGGATCATATTGGGGTAACATTTTGCACGGTTGATGGAAATCACAAAAAAACACGTGACTTCAAGAAATACGTAATCTGAAGATAAAAATACATTATTTGAATACTCACGCAAGAAAGAATATGTAGAAATTCATAAAGTGCACATGAATTTGACATAAATCGGTCGATTTGGCTTGGGTGAATATTCAGAAAGCTATAATATTTGAACCTTCCCTTAATAAATAATCATGTACATTAACATGCACGATTAGATTAATTATTTACGCCACAAATCTAATTCGCACTCTGTCACATCTTGTTTCATGAAAAGCTTGGATCAATTTTGTGTAATTTCACTGTTGCACTATTATATCTGTATTGCCCACAATTAAAAAGATAATCAAGCTGAACTAAATGCTAGCAGCAGAATAGAATTAACAAAGCAATCAACAATTATCTTACTGAGTAAATAAAATATGTAAATTGTCCGCAAAATGTCTCGGTCATTGTAATTATACATTCTTATACCTCAATTGAAAGTAAATAATTTATCAACATTACTGAATATCTGGATGAATCATTAAATTTACCAAAACCACGAATTACACCCTGGAATCCTTAATCCTTAATTAATTTATACGTCCAAAAAAGTTCTTAACTTTCGTTCTCTTCATCCTATCCAAGTAACAAGGGACGTGAACTATATCACTAACATTTTCACCTTTATATATATCCCATTAATAGCAATTTTTTAAGAAATGCCATCTAAAAAAGCTTTCAAAGAACTCGGTTCATGGCTAACTTTTAGCCAAAAAACACTTTCTCTTCCTTTCACTTGGAATCAAGCTAAACTAAAAGTTGAACTACTTCCGTCGAAAAATATAAAACAGTATTATGCGTTTTACTCAATATTTATTTTTTTAAATCTGCATATACTTCATTTGCTCCCACAAGCCTATGTAATATTTTCGAATTCCAAATGCTTACTAGACGCCACAGGGACCAAGCAAAGTTGTCACCGAGAGTATATGGCGATAAGTTGGATTGTTATCTACACCGTGGCATATTTCTGGTCTGTAGCAATAATTTATAATTTGCATATCAACCGAAGCCTCCTGGTAGGATTATTAAATGCAATATTTCATGTTGGGCAACAAATAAAAAGTGGTTTGTTAACAAGTTATTTAAAAAATCGCTTGATACATATATTGTAAAAGCTGCCTATACATATATATTTCTAGATGATCCTCGAAATCGTTTCGATTTGTCATTCATCCTACTCTCCATGTGCAAACTTAGCATGTTTTTTGACTGGATGGCATGTTCTGCTGCGGCGATTATGCATCCAGAAGGTGCTCAATTTCTTGCTGCCTACGCCACCGATCCATTATGCAGAGGGTTTTTAATATTTCTCGACGTTACTGGTGTCAGTTTGCTCATCATCAGTCTATTCCTTGAATTTGCGTTGATCTCGTTTTACATAATCTTTGTTATACAATCTTTACAGCAAATAAGGTGGGTATGCAAATCCAGTAATTTCATTTGTGTATTATTAACTTAATGACGAATGTTCTGTGATGAATAGAAGGAGTCAATTACTACTCAATCTTAAGTGTCAATTCTTCACACGTCTCCAAATCTTGAACACAATCCATAACCTCATCTACTCTCACAGTATGCCAAATCTTATTGGGGCGCTGGCCATGGCAACTATTATCGGAAATTTTGGAGCAATACGACTTCATCATCTGTTGGGACCCTTTGATCTTTGCACAATGATTGTATTGGCCATTCTTGGTTTAGTTTTTATATTAGCATGTCTTCACTGCTTTGGAAGTGTCAGCGACCAAAGTCGTAAATGTGTAGACCGAATTGTGTATGAAACCTGCAGCACTTGCCATGAAAACATTAAGTACTGGAAAAGAAGAGTAAAAATTCTGAAAACTTTTGGAGTTCATTGCGACCCTGTTAGAATTCTCAAGTTCAGCGCTATGTATCTTTGTACGTCAGGAATTGTCAATATTTTAGTTACATTGTTAGTTATGACATGACTCTAAGCTTTTAAACATCGATATATGTACAGTAAGGAAGAATAATAACATTACATACATATGGTTCACAAGTAAATTAATTTTTAGCTGTAATTCACAAGGTTTGCGCGAATGTATGTAATTCGAGTTAAAATCTAAATCTTCCAATTCTTGACAAAAGTGCTTTCTTGTTTAGTCCCTTGTGCATTTTATGATAGATTCATGTATTTATGTTTATTGACAACTAAACTCTTCCAACATAAATATGTAACCCATATTCTCAAACTTTAAAATCAATTAAACCATTTGGATAAATTAAAGCCTGTAAGTTGGATTTTAAGATTCACAAAAGATAAGCAAACGTGGCCCCAAAATATAAAGATGGTCAAAAATATATGTCGAGCTAAGTAAGACCAACTGTCAAAAAGTTTGTGATTGAATAAAATCAACCAGTTTGATCATTGCATGGTTTACTAATCGTATGGCTTTGGGGACCCTGATGATATTAGTAGGTGTGTAAGGGTTTACTTTGCTAGCAGGAAAAATATTCGAGGCTATTTACTATTAAGTACAAATTCAAATCTAAGGAAAAATTTCCATGAAGTATACATGATGCATGAAGGGAGAAAGTTTGACGCTCCAAATGTTCTTCAAACTTTCCGGGTTTCGATATAAATAAAAAAAGATCTATTCCAAAAGACAAAATCCACCTAAAAATTTTGGAGAAAGTATACAGGTCATTACGAGAATAGTCATAAAACTGCTGAAATTCTTGACAAACTCGTTTCGCAACTTTTTGCTCTACATAGTTTTTGAACCTATCTATCTACCATACATGTATGTAGAGGTAAATACTTTAATTAGTTTTCTAATCAAATCACCTTATGTATACATAACAATTCTTTTTTTAGAAAGGTAGAAAAACGACTTTCTTTAAGTGATACTTTTTCAAGGCATATATATTTACTATGTTTATAATATGTACATACTTATATATTTATATACAAGAACAGGTATACAGAATCACAACCCATCAAAATATTCAGTAACCATCTCTCCAAGTTTTATTAGTATCAGAAGGTTTAGAAAGCCATTGTCGAATACATGCCTGGCCTGTTTAGTCGATGTACACACCTGTATGTATTTTTACTACCACATAATTTTTTTGTGCAATTGGTTTTGTCCGACTAGATTAAGAATTAAAATATAGTACAAATACATATGTAAAAGTAACTTAGGTATATTAAAATTTGAAACCATTTTCTCCCTGCTTAGGGAGAAAATTAAAAATACATTGTAGTTTTACGTGAATCATTGGGGTTTTTGGGTATATTTCTAACAATGATAGGACAACTGAATGAAATTAGTGGTGGTGATAAGCAGGTTAGATTATCCGTAAGTAAACCTTTTAATACACACAGGAAAGTGCATATACAACATTATACAGACAGAAGTACATATGTAATCCATCACTTTACAAAATATAACCTACATACGTTAAGACATGCCATATTCCGTGAATTATTTGCTAATACTAGATTAAATCTCACAGTAAAAGGAAGGTTTTCCTGCTCGTATAAATATTTATTTTTGATTTAAGTGAGCATATTTGCTTTAATGTATCCTCAAAGGATTAAGTGACAAGTTTATCGTATAAGTGCGGCTCAATTATTTAGCCACCGGCTAGTACAAATTTAAATGCATGCAGATACGCGTACCTACATAATCATTTGTTATCTCATAATCCTTAATTCCACCTTAAAACGCCTTGGTTACACATCAAAAATTTTGACAGCATCTTTTTCATGTGTCGCCACAAACAACGTAAACACATCTATGTATATAGACGAAATTATAGTGTTGCTGAATGAGAAATCTCTATTTGGCAAAGTGCCCCAGATTTGTGTACCGGTTTTGCTCGACGATCCCCACCACAAATCTTGGTGGACTTTGGCTCGTTCTCACCTCATTCGTATGGTTTTCTTATTTCCTTTGCACGTCATGAAACATAAATTCGTCATCTAACATCATAGCTCAGCTGCTCCTAAATATTTTCCTTCCACAAAGAAATTCGCCTCCAACATAGTTCCTATTGTTTTAAATAAATTTTGCATAATGTTGGAGGTGGTACTTTCATCTGCTCTGGTCGCATATATCCTACTTGATGTTAACTACTTTGTGAGGATGTTTCTCACTTGCTTTGCTGGCCGATATTTCCGACCAAAGTTGGGCCCCACGGATGCCAACGTGACTTATGGTAAGAAATAAGGATACTAAAGATAAGCACATGTATAAATATGTAGATAAATTTGATGTTTAATTTCATTTTTATTGGGACTAGGAATTGCTCTTCCTTGGGACGTGGACACGACCCTCGATCACATGAATAATTCAAAAGTCTTGAGGGAATTTGATTTCAGCCGGATGGAATTAGGAGTTCGAACAGGCGTTGTAGGGATGGTGATGAAAAAGGGGGGTGGATTTCCAGTCAATGCAAATTTTATTCGGTATCGTCTCCCGGTGAAACCATTCTCGATTTTCAAGGTATGCAAATATCTACTTGATGTAACTGAGGATAAGTGATTGGTTATATATAATTAATTGTGTCTTCTTCAGGTTGAATCAAAACTACTCGCATGGGATGAAAAACATGTGTTTATCCAGCAAAGTCTAACCACTTTGAGCGACGGAATAGTCAGGGCCGTATCCTATCCCAAGCTATCCGCTGCAGGGTGGAATCCTGTCGAATTGATGGATGCCAACTGGCCAGGGACAGTTTCTCCCTCAATTCCCACACAGTTTGAAAATATGAAAGAAATTGGGGACATTGTTAGTGAAAAGTTCAAAAAGGTCGGGAAAAAGAAGGCGGAGACATATGACGGTACTAAAGGATCCATCAGAGACTCGGTGGGGCCTTGGAAGAATGGTGGAACAACTGAGAAAAGAGACAAGTCTATATAAAATTAGTATTGTATTAATGTGATTTATCAAAGAGTCAGTCAGTATTGAAGGTTATTGATTAAGGTTTGTTAAGATGGTGTAAGCAAAGTATTGAACTTTATTTTTATTTGCATAGTACTGCTAGGTATGTATGTATACGTAGGTACATATGTAAGTGTGGGTGTATGTATGAAAAGCAAAATTATGCCTAGCATCATATTTAAGTGAGTTGTTTAATGAATAACTGTTATGTACAGGAATACAAAATGTGCACAAAACCTGCAATTTAGTGAACGTCCCATGAGGAACGAGTGTAATTTTTTCCGTACAAGCAATACTTGAGTACCACGTCATAAATGCTTTATTTTTTTTAAAGGGTGGTATGTTTTTATCACCTCTGACATTATGCACTTTGGAGCTGTCCGATATACGTAATTTTGTGTCTCTCTGGTAGAATCAGAGGTGAATTAAATAGCTGTCAATCGATTCACAGAATCAATATTCACTCTCATCGATACAATATTGTATCGATGAAAGTAAATATTTATATAGAAAATAGTAAATTAGTAAAAATTTGAACAAATTTCCTGCATAAAATTGGCCCAATTTTCTGCAGAAAAGCTTTATGCATAAAGCTTTCTGAAGAAACCTATGCAGAATTATGCACATATGGTTCTGCAGGATAATAGCGACACAAATTTTCTGCAGGATTATGTAAAAAAAATTATGCATAATACAATATGCATAGGGTTTTTGTCGATTTCTGCAGAATTCGGCAGAGTGATTTCAACCAGGGATACATGACGTTAATGTTAATCTTATTATACATACATAAAAGTAAGTACATATGTCAAATCATAGTCGAACCGTCAAGTTAGATATTTATTTGCAACCTGATAATATAGAGAAATTTTATTCATATAATATGTGAGAATAAATTTTCGCCCATATACGAACATTTTGCATAACATTCAAGTTCAATTTTTAGTCCATTTCTTCCCCCAATAATTAATTAAATTATGGTACTTCTTGACATTGAATATTTTGCTGAGCTGCAGCAGCCCCAGCCACGTTTCCAGGTGGCGTATACCTCGCGACAACGACCAGATATCCATCAGGGCCGACCGCAGCGCCATACCCCACCTTCTGACTTCCCTTCCAGACTAGCTGTGTGAAATGACCGGCGACAGCGACCTTGGTGTCAACGGCCCCACCGGCTGGACAGTAGTTTGGTTTTTCCCCATACCACGCCGTATTAGCACCAGCGATCGTGGCTGGTGGATTTGTGGATGAGCAGGGAATCTTGGCCAAATTTTCCCCATATCTTCCGGCAGGTTGACTATGCAAAAATTGTTTGGTGGAGGCCAAGTACTCGGCGTACTGCTGAGCTTCCGCTTCAAGCTGTGTTATCCATGTACATAAATCTTAATTTTTACTATATAAAATATAAAATTTTTATTATCATACAGCAGGATCCACAGTGAGCGGTGCAGCTCCATGTTTCCTTCGGTACTCGTTTCCATTAGCTAAGGCAGCTTGTCGTTGAGTCACAATGTCGGTTGGAACACCAGGTCTTGCCGCGCTACAAGTTCCCGACCCAGAACCACCCCCACCTGGTTTGTAACATGGTGGGCACATAATGTTGAACATGACGCAACCCAATGGAGCGACGCAAACAGAAGCTGGAGGAATCAGTGGAAGAGGAATAGGACCAAAGTACAATTTGCTTTCGGGTTGGGCTGGTTTTAAGGCCTCGCTGCATCCTACCAACGCCACCAGTAAGGCGACCGGGAGTAAAACTGTTTTCATGATGAAGTCCTGGAAACTTTTGAAATTATGGTACAAACGAGAACTTTGTTCGAGTTTTATATCATTTTTGGAAAGACGTCAGACCCGTGGCGTATAATGGTTTGCGAATAAATTGGCATTTGTTCTATTCGGGTCTGTTATTATGTCAATATTGGTCAGTAAATTATTTATTTAATTTCGCTTGACTTCGTATATACTTTTCTCTGGGGGTGGGTCGTGGGTCACATATGGGATATACATTTCATTGTCAATGCCTCGCACCCTGGACCCACGTAACACATTTACTATTTGTACAGGTTTTCCATTCATACGTTTCAATTAAGCTTTACCCAGAAAATCTGCAATATAAGTCATGCAACAAAGCAAGTTTTGTTCTGGAAATAGAAGTTAATGTGACTAGCTGGAAGAGTTTACAAAGCTGGCTTATTTTGAACTAAATATGCAAGTAGTTTTGTTCTCAATCACAGTTCTGGAAGTAATTACGTGCGTAGGAAGCTTTCACGTCGTAATATTCGTAAGTTTACTTGCATATGCATCATTTTTGACAGCCGTGGTAAAGTTACGAATTGTGCCTCCTGTGAAATAATTTTCATGGAAACTTTCATATATTTTATAAAAATGTATATTATTGCATATGTATATACATACATACTGAAATGGGAAGCGTATATGCATATATATTTGTGTCAGCGATCATTTGGACCACAACTAAAATTTTTATGACATGTTTTACGCACGAGTTGTGATTTTCTAAATGCAAGTATGTATGTAGGAGTACATATCGCATACCCTGGTTATTTAAGTATGCGACATTCATAGAGTTATATAATAATGATGACATTTGATACAATTTGTTTGCATAGCATGCAAACACGGTGTCAAATTACTTTCTCCATTCTCGCTTCATAAACAATGAAAGATTGAGACGATGATGAAATAAGTAGGCTGAAAGCATTAGTTTGTTCTTGGCTACGATCTCCATTATTTTAATGTTATAAATATATACTCAGGATCAGTACAATAAGTACCCGAGTTTGCACACATGTTTGTTTGCTGTTGCGCTCTTACAGGGGGAGCTCGCTTCGCTGGATACGAATTTGACCTTGCATAGCCCCAGAACGGTTTGTCGTAGCGGGTCAAAATTTTGAACAGAGGAGCATGTTATCCTCAGATAGTTGTGTGCAAAAATTCAACTCTCTACTTTCAAAAATGCCTCCCCCACAGTCCCCAGAAGGTGAGACAGTCATTTCAACTCGTTCCAAACTCCGTCTAAAAAATTCGGTCTCCGCAGAAAAGATTTTCTTTTCAAGTATCCGAAGCCGAAGAACTCCATTTGACTTACATCGGGGGATTGTACAGGTATTTCACTATTCGAAATGATTTTTATCCCCATTCTAGGTTCAAGGTCGTTTGCATTATCTTGAGTCAACTTTGTCGTTTTGGAAGTCGCAGAGTCATGATGAAAAATCCTCTTATTTATTTTTTCACCGTACAATTTAGGGAAATGTTATTCTAAAAGTGGTTTCAAAACACGGTCTACATCATACTTTGCAGATACATTCACTTTTTGGGGGACTTTGATAAGTGGGAGGACACCACGACAGGACATTGCACCCACAACCATAAACTGTTCAAAAAAGTTCTCCTCACTGAAAAGCACCAAATTTCTTGATTTTTTTTTTCGGCATTTGTCGTGTACTAAGCTCTTCGAACCCAATTAGTAACTTGTAGGGAAAATAGTTCTTCGTCAATTGTCACCCATAACTCACTCCAATTCCTCAATAGAAAATTTAAATACATTTGTTTGCAAACACCGGCGAAATTTTTTTGGAACAAGTTAAAATGACTGTCTAACCTTCTGGGGACTGTGGGGGAGGCATTTTTGAAAGTAGAGAGTTGAATTTTTGCACACAACTATCTGAGGATAACATGCTCCTCTGTTCAAAATTTTGACCCGCTACGACAAACCGTTCTGGGGCTATGCAAGGTCAAATTCGTATCCAGCGAAGCGAGCTCCCCATCTGTAGTGACTTAATTATTCAAAGTCAAATCTTCCTAAAAATGTATTGAATTATATTTAATTGTGACCAATACCATGAGTTAAATTTAGAATTAATTGTCAACTATGGCAGACGTGTTTCCGTACATAGCTTACTACCCCCACATTCAATATCCCATCATTGGAGTGTTATCCCTGCTTAACATGTTTTACCACAACGGCCCAATTCCTTCAGTTCCTTCTCCAATTTCTTTGCTGAAATATACCTACGATCACACCGGAATATCGGCAAAATTAGAGGAATCTATCCAATTTTACCACGTTCTTCTCTATCTCGAGGACAAAGTCCGATTTTATATTAAAATACATATTTTATTGCAAATATGATAAAAGTAAATATTAAAGATTAGTTCTTGTTTTATTTAGTTGGAAAAGTATCAATTGCACCTTGAAAATAAGGTAGAAATAGAGTGGATCATGTTAGAAATTGAATACCAAAGTCTTGGAAGACTTTTAGAACTGATTAGATCCCAGACTCTAAAACTTGTCTCCAGAGGATTATACTTATTTGAAGAAGACTCTCGCCTCGGAATATATCCCAAAAGCAGTCAATTTGCGGCATTACTTAGTTCCTAAGGTAAGCATTTATTTAAAAGTTGTTGATATAGTAATGTGACAATATTACTTAGATTTGTTAAAAATTATTGTATTTACTGACTGAATTTAGCAAACAAAATTTATGTTATGTTAGCCAATTATAAAATGCAAGAAACATGTAGCAAAAAGCGAATTATCCAGAGTGACATTTTTAATAAATCCTTGACCTGAATGGAGAAATTCGATTAAAATCCCTAAGAAAATTAACTTTTTCAATTATTGCATATTTACAGAGAGACGCTTTGTTCACGGACGCCCTTCATCCTCCAATCGAAGATTTTTCATTCGATGCAATGCATTTACTTTTCACAAACTACACCACAAAGTTGAACCATACTTTGGACTCACTCATCGATCTGAACGAAAGTGGCTTTCACCTGTTACATAATTTTAATATTCCGTGTGATAAGGACAAATTTGACATTAACATGCTGAATGAACTGCGTGACATTTTTGTCGAGTTGGATTTAGCATATGAAGCAAAGGATTTGGAGAGGGCATACGATATCACCGTAAGTTCAAAAATAAACGCTGAGGCTGAAAAACTAATGCTCAAAACTTATTTGTGTTTTGTATTGGTGCAGACTTATTTTAAGCCAAAATTACCCAACATGATGGAGATTTTATCGGATCTGATGACTGCACAAGGCAAAGACGCTTTAAAACTGAAGTACATCGATATCCCAACAATCTACCTTAACAACAAGCAAAATCTTATCCAATTCACTGCTTGGTTGGAATTTCACGACTACAAAATTCGTAAGAGCGTGTCCATAATTCAGAAAAAGGTATGTTTTGTTAATCTAGATTCAATTTTAATCTCATGAGTATATTTACATAGGTATGACTTATATTTATTTTTCATGCCTTTAAAAGTATACACGGATGACAAACTCATTCTCCAGAATCATGCAAATCTATGATGTGTTAGTGGTGGAAGTTCAAAATCTTTATAACAAATTTATGAAGCCTTGATTATCTATGTTTGTTTTTTAAGGTGTGATACATACGTTTTTCTGTGTTCAGATTTTTAATTGTTAATTAATTTGTAACATACCAGTATATGTAAATTAAATATATTTTGTAAGTATATATGTATGTTCTGAGAACAATGAGAAATAATAAAAATTCAGTTATTTGATTTAATATTTTTTTTTAAGTGGAAATATTACGTGAATTTTATTTCCATTCAAATGATGTCAATTCCGTTCATTAGTAATTTCAAATTTGACTATTAGCATCGATTAAGCTAGTTAGCACTGCATTTATGTTGGTTGTTGGTGTATCTTTACACAGGCAAAAGCTTAACACAAAGTAAACATGTATGTACATTTTGTGGAGAAAATGTTTCGCCCTTTGGGTAATCCTAATTTATTATTTATCCAATTAGTTTCTCATTCACAAAATGTATGTACATTGCTATCCATTTTGTTAATTGCCACTCATAGTGTTAAATGCCGAAAATGGTGGTTATAAATATGTTGATTTGACGTGCTTGTCAATATGTATTTCAATTTGGAGCAAATTAATAAAAATTGCTTTTCCTTTGTCTTCAGATTAGATTGGACTATGTAACAGTTGTAGAAAGACGAGCCACAGTAATCAAGCATTTTCTCAGAGTTTCGATCATGGGTGAAAAAAATCTTGTAAAGTTTCTTAAAATGGATATTGGTCTGCAAAACGCATTCGCGACAAACAAACGTGCCAGCACTTTGTCTATTGAATCCGATTTGCTAGAAATTGGTAAAAGTATTATAAGATCAAACCAGCTCATAGGATACTTACCCATGACTTGTGTCACCTCGTCAAACTCTGATTTACAAAGGAATTCGGAATTCAAGCGGCTTCTTCTGTGCCCGAAAAGCGTGCCATTCGTTTGGAGTGTCTGTCTTATATTCTATCAAATAATATCGTACGCTATGTGGCCTCTATTTTTTGCAAAGCATATGTACAACAAACTCCTGATTGATAGATCAACTGAAAAAATTGCAATGACAGCGTCACTAGTTTTGGCTGCTTTCATTATTCTTGGGCGACATATCTATGGGCTGGTTGGCTATAGGAAAACTTTAAAATTTTGGTCTCAATTTGTCAACCTTGTGCATAAATTTGAAGGACCAAGTGGTCAAAATCACCTGAAATCTGATGCTTTTATGCGCATTAAAGTTTGTATTAATCGGGTTATTGTAGAAAATGCTGTTGTCACCTTGCTCTATGGAACTTTCTGTTTAAGTACGTTTATTTTAAATCCAGAGGAGGAACAATGTGGCATTGCTTTCTATTATGGACACATGATTACAGCCATGTCATTTAAAATCATGGCATGTACACATATTTTCATTGAAATATGGATGACTTTTCCTGTACGAGTTATTCAAGGTTTGCTCCACATCCTTAGACAAGAATTAGACGATCAATTAATACTAAGCAAGGATGGAAAACTTACTGGAAAGGTGACTTTATTGAGAGAAAGTTGGATTGAGGACTATCACACAATATGCACACTGGCCAAACTTTACACCCACCATTTTGAGAAAGGTTTGATTCTTGAAATCGGATACAATTCGGTGCAAATGTTATGCCAGATCTTTTCAACGCTCTCATTAGTTCTGAGTGACATGGTCAACGCAGCTATAGCTCGCTGTACTCCGATTGCATTTTCGTTTAGATCAGTTTATCAACTAGCTAATGAATCTGATAAATTGTGTCAATTGCATAAAGAAATTTATGAGAGGTTATGCACCTATCATGGAGATTTGAAGCTTAATGAAGAACTCAAATATAAGGTATACACCGAATATATGCACATATTCAGTAGGACTCCTATTGAAGGAGTCGTGATTCACTAATGTATGCAAATGATTATCCAAGGATATTGCCGCTATTTACTATTTGCTGTTATGATTTTTTCAGATAGAATCTTTGCTTCGGGAGATGACCGTTAACGATCTCTCAATTCAGCCTGGTAATGTTAACGTATGAAATTTAACCAATTTAGGCTTGTTATTAAACGAACCATAATTTTGTAGGAAGGTATTTCAACCTGGATAGAAAATTGGTTACTTCGGTAAGTTGAAATTATGAATATGACACATGCAAAAAATTAATTAATCTAAAAATCTTTCAGATCATGTCGACTATAATCACATTTGTCATCATTCTTGTGCAATTTCGAAATGGAGACAAATAATAGTAACTTGACTTAATGGAAAAGTAATCTAGCTCTGTGTATATACATAATTTTGACTTATATTAAAATGTCCGATAGTCAATTTAATGGAAATGTACAATTTAATTCCCATCTAATCATGATAATTGTATTCACTTTTTAGCTAAAACGTTAATAATTATGCAATGTATAATAGAAATACAACTATTCATATATTTACATACATTCATAAGTATATGCATTTATTATTAATAAAACTTATACGATATGAAGGAAAGGTGCGCCACAAATTCGAATCAGGGAATTGCTAATTAATTATGTCCAAGTAAAATCATTATGCAAATTTTCTAAGTTCGATATTTTATTCATATCAAAGACAAACTTGAAGTCTCACATGTTCATCAAGGAACTGAATGACATGAAGCCAATTTACATACATGTGTATTCTCAAATATGTTGTAGAAGGTTAAAAAGAATAACCCTCCCCATTTCGCAATGGACATTTGAAACCCGTTACTCTCAGAATAATTTGATTGAACTGAGTTACATACACATGTCCGTGATGATAATACACGACTTATTCAATTTACTTGCGCCACGCCCACATCCAAGAGTACTGTGCTGGCCATCGAATATTTACCCCCAGCTCTTCCGCCGCAGTGTAAACCCAGTTGGGATCTTTAAGAAAGTGACGCCCTATCCCAACTAAATCTGCCGAACCGGTACGAACTGCTTCATCTGCTAACCTACGTAATAAATTATTCCACATTGCTTAATTGGAAATAATTAGTTAATTTAAATTACTAATTAATTATCTTACTTACTTGGGGTTTTGAAGTGATCCCACCGCAGCGACCGTTAATCCTGGAATATTTGCCTTTTTTATAAACTCTGTGAGTGGAAGGTGAAAGCCAAAATCGGGAGCCATAATTCCTTTCGTCACGATGGAAAGATTTCCCCCAGAAGAAATGTCTACGACATCGACGCCCAGTTGTACAAATCTTCTGCACAACTCGGTCACTTGATAAATGTCCCACCCCGTTTCATCCTTTGCCAATGGTGCACCACCACCACCGACATAATCCGTTCCAGACAGGCGACAAAATAACGGCATTTCCTCCGGGATAACTGACCGAATTGCAGACACAATTTCAAGCAAGAATCGAATCCTGTTTTCAAAACTACCTCCGTATTCATCGCTGCGGTGGTTTGTATTGCCTGAGAGGAATTCATGAATGAGATAACCGTGGGCGGCGTGGATCTGTAAAATGTGTGATAAATCCATTGATGATTCGACTTCATAGTTGACATATTTATAAGTAAAACAAGGTATTCTTATACCTCAATGACTTCAATCCCAGCGCGTACCGCTCTTTCTGCCGATGATGCCCAGGCAGCCACCATTTCTTTAATCTGGTCTTTTGTCAGCTCATTCGGTGTGGGATACTTGCCATCATTTTTCCATGGAATTGCACTGGGTGCAACGATATCAGCACCCCAACCGCCTTCCTCATTTGGCACAATTCCCCTCCCTAATCGACCACTGTTCTCTTCAAAATGGTGGAATGGTGGATATGTCGAGGCTTTTCGACCTCCGTGAGCCAATTGGATCCCAATTTTAGCTCCGTTGGATGCCTTCGCTAACCGGACAAGGCGACCGAGGGCGACTTCCTGTTCATCGCTCCAGAGGCCGGTGTCTTGTGGACTTAGGCGACCATTGGGAAGTACTGATGTGGCCTCGATAAAAACAAGGGCAGGACCGCGAAGGGACAAAGTACCAATGTGGGCAAGATGGAAGTCGGTAAAAACCCCGTCTTGGTCTTTGCAAGAGTACATGCACATGGGTGAAACCTAGCAAAATCCGATATTACATGATTGCTATGCAAGTTTTGTCATAATTTCTGTCAATGGATCCACACTCACCAAAATGCGGTTATTGAAAGTAAGACCTCGAATTGTCATTGGAGAGAAAAGTGACTCCGCCGTGGAAGGGAGTTCACTTAGCGGAACACCCACCGTCTTTTCCTGCACATGTCCCAATGGCAGTGGGGCCAGACTTTTGCTAATGCATCTTGCGTCACCCATTTTATAATTGTGTTTAACAGTGGAACGAAATTTTGAAAACCTGCTGACACACAAAATTCTTTTGTAGCACGGACTGGACATTGAATGGTGTGTATTGTTAGTAAACGAGTATATATACAATAAACTCCAAACCACGAGACCGGTTTTTATGCATATTCATAAATACATAATTGCATCACTCGTTCGCTTGCATGCAGTCGTCACGCTTTATCCATGAGACTGATGCGGGTCTCAACGATTGAATGGTTAGATGTATATGTAGGTTCTGTATGACAGATGCATGATAAGCAGAAAACGAAACGTTGTGATTTGCGTCACTAACATAATTGATACTTTTCATATGTACTTTTCAGCCATGCAAATTCATTACAACTTTGAGTGGGCTGGACAAGAATTATTTTCTAGATCAATCCATACTGCCCTGTTTCGTTAAACACATTACGTTTATTGCCATCATTCACAGTTCATCCACTTTAGTGGATGAATGAGACGAGACAAGTAGGTAATCTGTATAATGGTGTATGGTAGGTCAGCCTTGGAGCAAAGTTCAGTTGAGAAACATGCTTTACGTTTATGACAACAAATATGAAGTGATGACCATGAAATCACGTCATTACATAATGCAATAATTTATATTATGATGCATACATATAGTACATACCCATATTTATTTAAGTATATATGCACATTAGCAAAATAAATCTGTTTATCAATAAAAGTTTTACCCAAAAAGTAGTTTAATTGACCATATTAAAATTTGAAATATTTCCAGCAAAAAGTTTTTAGTTAACAGATATTTGAACGGATTGTGGAAGCAGATCTCGGACCTTCATAAGGTTCTTGGCATATCCATGAATCCCTTCCTTTTCAACTTCTTGTCCGGACTCGAATAATTTGTACCATGTTCGAAGTGGTGCCATGGAGACGTGCGCTACTTCAAAATCCGAAATATTTGAATAACATGCAACCAAAAATCCATTGGCAATGAAATGCCCAGTCATCGTCAAGGGAGCATAAACACCGGTGAAAGCCTCCAAAGAAATCTCGACGACATCGAGTAGCTCCAAACTTCCAGACGTATTCATGTGGTAGAGCTTGTCGGCTATAGTTTTTAGACAATTTTTACTTAAATTCTATGACGAATTTCTAAGAAGTTCGACTATTGATTACTTGCCTGTCGTTACTTGACCCGCCTTTTTGGCCACGCGTCCCTTTTTCCCAGCAACAAAGAGCAAATGATCCGCTGTGATTTGAACCTCTTTTCCATTGCTCATCTTCAGAATGACAAATTCGGCTACACGATCCGCTTCACGATGCGCCCAAGTGTACAATTTAGTCCATTTCAATCCTTGTCCCTTCTTGTCACTTGAAGTTAAGACTTTGTCTCCTGAGACGAGCTGGTCAAGTCGTCGCACTCCGTGATTCGTTGTGACGATGGTTGATCCTGGAAAACAGCAACATGGGACCGCCATCGTTCCAAATTTGTTGCACAAGAAAAAAGGTTATGTAATTGAAATGAGAATTTTTGGTGGAGTTGAACCAAAACCTTTGAAGCGAATGAGATCATCCGTGAACAGGTAGTCTATTTATATATATGTAAGGGGCAACTTTTTTTATTTTATTATGACCGGGGTAATAAAAATTGTAACTATTTAGATGGGTGGAACATTCAATCGAAATAAATTTTTTTAAATCTAGTATTTACATAGAGTGGAACCAGTCTCAATTAAGCAAGTTGAACATCCCGATTCGCAGTGTAATTCCCAAAATACTGTAAAGACGCATTATCTAAATATGTACGCTCATCTGCAAAGTTTATATTGATTTAAATGAGATTGATGGTATCAAGTATTTTGATTTTTTTGCTGTCAAAATAAATTCTTGACTTAACAATTTTTCTTAAGTGATGCATGCAACGTCATTAACAGCACATTAACAAAATTACCTAATCTGATAATTTGTAAATTACAACTGCCAAAATTAAAAAAAGTCCTGCCCAAGCATTGATTGAGCTAGCTGTTTGAATTTTTTTCATAATTGCTAAATGCTTGTCAATATTGATTGAATTCAGCATTGATAAGTATTCAGAATGTACTTTCTGAACAATAAGAACAATATTAAGTACTCGCTTATTATAGAGGCCAAAGGTAAATAATATAGCAAAATTTATTTTCTCGGTAAAAATTAATGATACAATGACAAAGTGTGGACAAAATCTCCGAAAATGAAGAATAAGCTCGGAGATTGCTAAGATCGGTCAAGTAGGTGACCAGTAGGGATCATATAGGTCAGATAAGGTCGTTGATGCAGAATATTATAATTTGTAAAATTAGGCTAACAACCAAATTCATGGCAAAATTGCATGCAATTCCCCAACTTTTGATTTTTTGATTTTTTTGAAAAAAATATTCATCCTTGCACCACCCCCTTAGGAGAAACCACGGACAACAAAAAGTTTATGCGCCCTGGGACCAACTACTTCCCGCAACCGCGTATGCAGAAAATATTACCCCCCATAAACTTACAAAAATCCCCCCTTTTAAATTAATATAGGGTTACGATCCTGTTTTGCCCTCCCAAGTAGAAAATCCATTTTTACGTGTCGATGACGAAAACTTTAAGCCGATTGCCGTTTTGTCGAAATACTCTGATTCGAGTCGCAAGAAAATCACGTACAAAAAGGTCGACTGGGTTCTTCGTTTATCTCACGATACCCGTCAGCCAAAATGGATTGGTCCTTACGTCGTAATTTCCCAAGTTTCCGATACAGTTTATGAAATCATAGACGCACGACAAGATAAACGCGACGACGACCATCCAAAACTAGTAGTTAGCAGTAATGACCTTAAGCCCTACCCACACAGAAGTTATGCTGGTGACATCTCAGAAGACGCCACAGATGAGTCCGATGACGATATGTCTGCTGATTCAGTTGATGATTTTGAATTTTCTATTGATTTTAAGATAAACCCCCAAAAAAGCTATAAACTAACTAAGAAACCTATTTTTCGAGCCCCTTCCAGGTCAAATTCTTCCGTTGGAGTCCCGCCACCTTCGAGACAGAGTTCCCGACCTTCTTCACATCCCAATTTTCTGAACCCCAAAATGATGAATATAACGATGATGATGATACCCAAATCTCAGAGAAGTCGCACACTAATAATTCACATTCTCTTAATACTTCTAGTTCTGGGCGTAATTCAATTAATTCTTCTTCTTCTGATTCACACAGTATGCCCCCAAGCGTATCAGTTGTTAGTCTTGCCCCACGATCCCAAATTCAGTCGCAAACTGACCCCGATACGTCACAAAATGAGTCCGAACAAGAATCTTCAATGTTAAGTCGTAGCACGAGAACTAGAATTCCCTTGTCGCGATACTCTCCAGGAGACTTTAGGAAATGAAAATCCTGAAAATTTTTACTTATTTTGATATTATTTTATATATTTTTAATTTTTATTCCTGTAACTTATTTTTTAGTGTGTATGTACAAATTTCCTGCATGACACACTTTTCCGCCTAATTTTTACTTTGTATTACACTTTTTAATAATTTTAACTTCCGTAAAAATTTTTTTTAACCACAATTTCATACTCCAAATTTTTCCTTCATTTTAAAGATTACACATTTTTATCCACAAAATTTCTTCCTTAAAAGAGAGAGTTTGTCGAAATGCCGAAAATGAGACGAGAAATTTGAGACGCAAAGCCAATATGTTTTACTAACAACTAATGATTTTATATGTACATACACTAAACTAATTTGGTCGTCCAATCTTGTTTTCAGTTTCGTCGCCATAGCATGACGCCAAGGCCCCCAATTCCCAGATGCACGTTATGTGGAGGATATGGGCACTCCGAGAAGGATTGCTGGCGAAACCCGTGGTGTCATCCGCCGTATCTTCCCCCATCGGATACGTCCCCTTCCTTCCGCCGCCTTACCGCCGCCCCGCGTCTGGAGATGGAGGACCATCTCTGGCAAAAACCGGCCTCCTGTGGGGATTGGATATCCCCCACCCGACGAGCCTACCACTCGGCCCACGGAAGCCACCGTGGCCGAGCTCGACTGTAAAAAGGAAGAACCTCTCTCCAGCTCAGGGAGACCGACCCGAGGATTCCGAGTGTGAACACCTCCACAACTCTTCTCTCCATCATTTCTTGCACCACGCCTTCTGCGTGGCTGCCATTTTGGAAATACATTATTATCAAAAATTAGGTTCCTAAAATTCATTTATTGTACACGTTATGATCGTTTAATGTAAGGAGTAAAGATTTCTTAAAACCTTGTCAAGTGAAACTTATTGCGTACACCGATATCGAACAGTTTATTCGGGTCATTCTCCATAAAAATTCGTACATTGAATCGTGCCAGGTGCAGTTTAGTATAGAAACGGTGCATAAGTGGAAATCAGAGTGCAAAGCAAGACAGTAACTTTAATTGCCAAGCGAGAGACAATTCATCCTCCTCCCCGTGCGTCGTAGCTCTCATCTGGCTACTCCCCCTGTGGCGTGTAAAGGTGGCCGTGACCAGAGGCGTGTCCGCATCCGTTCCCCCAAGGACCCTGACGTCCGGTACTCGATGAGACTCGCCCAACATCCCTTACCGAGCAGCCGCCGCCATATTTTACGCCCACAAAAGATGATTGCTGAAGTTTATTTTATTGTATCACCTAAGAATTACGAAATTTTTCGACTAGTCTATTTAAGTACTTATTTATGGCTATTTCGTCTTGAGAATTTATGCAAAAGAGATATGCTCAGGATTGGCAAGTATTGTCCAGCACACGTGTTGAGTTAACACAATATGTATTTATACTTATGAATCTATGTATGTACTGTGGATGAAGTTCTAACCCTGCAGACTTATTACACCGCTTTGTAGCATTAATTTCACGACGTCACCGGTCAAAAAAATTTTTTCCTCCAAACTGGTCCAAAATAAAAGTCTAGCATGGGAATAGTATAGAAAAATTATTTTTAGCGTTCTATGACCCCTGGGTCATGAATTAAGGGCCCCTGAAGGGTCAAATAGCGTTCCCTGATAACCCCATGCAAATGGGGTATCAAATTAATCCCCTGGACCAGGGGAACCAGAAAAATATTTTTATAAATTTTTATGACCCTTGAGTCGTGAACTAGGAGCCCTTGAAGGGTTAAATATCATTCCCTCACAACTAAAGGCAAGTGGGGTATCAAATTAATCCCCTGGACAAGGGGAACCCAAAAAATATTTTTCTGATTCCCCTGGTCCAGGGGATTAATTTGATACCCCATTCACCTTAGTTACCATGGTTACTATGTTGACCCTTCAGGGACCCTTAACTGTTGCCCGATAGGTCAAAAAAATTCAGGAAAATATTTTTATGCTTGCCCTTTGCCAGGGGATTAATTTGATACCCCACTTGCATGGGGTTACCATGGTTACTATTTTGACCCTTCGGGGGCCCTTAACTCTTGACCTGAGGGTCAAAAAAATCCAGAAAAATATTTTTTGGGTTCCCCTTGTCCAGGGGATTAATTTGATACCCCACTTGCCTTTAGTTGTGAGGGAATGATATTTAACCCTTCAAGGGCTCCTAGTTCACGACTCAAGGGTCATAAAAATTTATAAAAATATTTTTCTGGTTCCCCTGGTCCAGGGGATTAATTTGATACCCCATTTGCATGGGGTTATCAGGGAACGCTATTTGACCCTTCAGGGGCCCTTAATTCATGACCCAGGGGTCATAGAACGCTAAAAATAATTTTTCTATACTATTCCCATGCTAGACTTTTATTTTGGACCAGTTTGGAGGAAAAAATTTTTTTGACCGGTGACGTCGTGAAATTAATGCTACAAAGCGGTGTAATAAGTCTGCAGGGTTAGAACTTCATCCACAGTAATCGATAGATAAATAAATTCGTCCATAATGTATGACATTTTCAAACGCTTCGTATTCGGGAAATGTTATCAATCTCTTACATATTTTCACAAATATCTGAAATTTTTAGATATGTACATACATATTTTAGAAGGGGTTAGAACGAGTTAATGCCTTATGAGTTTTATTTCGTCAAACTTCGTACACCAAATTGCAAATGGTTGTTGCGATACTAAATACCAACTGATATGTACATATGCAACTGAAAAGCAATCCCAATCTCGTTTCCGTGCTATGAGATGGTGAAAACTGCTACTTTAAGAATCCATATTAAATTGCATAATAAATCTTAAAAACAATGAAATGAAACTCCTGGTAATTAAATTATTCGCTAATGATTTTGTAGGACTTTAGCAGTACATTAGGTAGGAACATGCTAGTAGTAAGAAGTTCAAGGTTGTAGTTTAATTCTAGTTTTGAATAGGATGCTTAAAGTAAGAAAAAAAGGTTGATATTTTTTATTCAACATTATAAACATTTATATCGTGCGTGATAAGACAATAACTACTGCACGTTTTGTGTTTTCCTAGAACATTGATAAAGAAATAGCAATCTAAAAATTATGGAATTTTTATGAGATCGAAAATACTGACATTTATTAATTTGTTACTAGTGTTCAACTGGGCATAAATTTTTGTATCTGCGCTATAATTTGAAGCTTAATATAAAATCACCGGTATCCTCAACTCAGAATTCCAAAAAAGAAGTATGTACGTATGTAGTTTTTGATCCCCTAAAGCATCGTGCGTATAATTAATACATAATTCACAATAGCAAGTAATTCAACATTCTACGCCTTAAATTTCTTACAGAACATTTTGTTTAAATACATCCATGCATATTGTAATCGTGTTGGACAAATATTTAGTGCCACTCACACTCTCTTAACTTTTTTAACAGACAAATATTTTGATTTAAATTAAAAATATTCATTAGTTCGCTAAGTAAACATTTTATTAATTGTATACAATATAGAACTCTCAAATTTACATCAATAAAAATACGAAGAATTTTTTGCACAATTTTGTCTTATGGGCCATAAGTTATGGCTTAATGCCTTGGGTTTTTATGTAATTTACAAAGTGTGGCATGTATGTATAAATTTATGTTTATGTACATATTTAGAAGCAACATGCTTGAAAATAAGTCTTAGAAACATGCAGCAATTACATGCAGTACAAAAAATAGTACATTGAGAAGATTGGCACATTGAACACTGCAACTACATGAAGAAGTACATTAACATCACATGAAATAATTTTTGTATTTATATAATTCGGAATTGACCACAGTTATGTAATTGTTTGGACCAAAGTTTAAATACAATTTTCCCGAACCACCAAGCATACCAAAATCACATTACAATTTCTTAATTTTGTACCTCAACTTGTTAATGTCGTGCACAAGTCCAACACGCAAATCCAAATATCCTTTTCTTCGATTTATCTCCTGTAAAAATTTTAAAAAAAACATAAGTATACAATTACGTATGCCGAGCTTAAATTTGACTTTGGACATACATTTAGATGAAAGTTGTCAGCCAACTCGGCCACCTTGCTCCCTGTGATTGAATGGTGTGGCTGCAACAGTTGGATGAACGTGCTGTTCACCAAGACGTACTGCTTCACAGCTTCGACCAGAATTTTTGTCCGAGGAACGATAACTTCTTTCAGTTTCTGATAATCCTTTGTATTGTCATCCTTTGCACGTTTCAAACTTTGTTCATTCAAACCGGTCTTATCAATTCCCAGTTTGTTTTGCAGCCGGTCCAACTAAAATCAGTTCAGAAATTCATATAATCATATGAAGTGTGAAAAAATACATACATACATATGTACATACCTCATTCCAAGCTTCTTCCCGTTTTTTGAGTAATGCAACCAAATTTTTAACGATGGTCAGAACGTGATCGAAATTGTTCACGAGTAACAAGTTATCAATGTATGCTCCTCCCTCTATGGCGTCAACTTCTGGCGGTGGTGTAATATAAATATGGTCCCGAACCAAATTTTCATCATGAAGGACGTGGATGATGTATTCATTTTCTTCCACCATAGATTTGTAGTCAATCATTAACTGCTTGGCTAGTGCAGCGTCACTCCGTTGAATGTCCTGAATCTATAATAAGAAGATACTAGGTACTATTTTTAGTACTGTATTTGTTTCATGCGAATCGTGGTAATGTCAACGTGTAAAACTTGATATTTAAGGGTCATCTCGCCATTAGAGCTTAATTTCAATTTTATTACCTCCATATCAAATTCGTGTTCCAATTTCTCGTCACACTCATCCAACGCCCTGAATGCCGTGGTGATAAACTGCATAGGTTTTTCAGCCCTCTCCATCCTTTCGTATTGACTAGTTTGCGAAGTGAGACTTGTCACGATGTCTTGAACTGGCTGTAGCTTTGTTTTTATGAGAGATTGTAACGCTGTGATGTCACTAATGGCTAGAAACTTTATATCAAATAGATCGTTATTTCGGAAATAGGGACCAATTTTTGTATCCTTTGATTTATTTCTGTCTGTATTACCTGCATTTCTACGGATCTCAAGTGTTCACAATCTTGGACAAGTTTCCTCATAATTTTATAAGTCGTATTGATTCCTTTGTCATGAAAATAATGGTGGTATTTGGCCCCATGTTTTTGGGAAGTGATCATGCCTCCGATGCCGATTAGGACCAGGAAGCAGATAAATAGGGCGAGCAGTGCGAGGGCGAGAACCCATCGTCTTTTGTGATAAGGAAGATTTGCAGGGTTTCGGATGAAGGGATAGCCACCAACTCGGATATAGCTTTTGTTCGCAGGTCGACGAGAATTTTGACCGCGGGGTCGCCGAGTGACGCGATGTGTGTGACTGTACGGCATGACGATGCCGTTACTGTGAGAATAGGTAATGTTTTACAGTAAAACTTCTATGACCTTAACAGAATGCTGTATACTTATCAGGAATATGCACACTTACCTCCTCGAACTTTCAACGAATCTTGTCATCTGCACAATGTATGATAATATGAACGAGAAAAGGTGACAAAATTTGCCAGCGCAAAGTTCTAAGCATTTCTGAATCGAATCAGACTCTAGCACTTTATTTTATACAAATGAAATAACGTGAGAGAAGTGAAAGAACATGTGCTGGGTAGATAAGAGGTCTCCCTCCGCAATTCACCCACTGCTTGCTCCTGCTTTCTCCGAGCAACTCAGCCACTTTCTCTTCAGGGATGTCAGTTGCACGGGCTCCTAAATCAATGCAACAGGCTTCTTCCCAGATTATTGATTTATGCAATTCTAAAATACTGAATCTGGATCTATAGAATCACGATATGACATTTTATTGCGTTCAAAACTCTTTTATACATATGTACATACATACTAGAAAATCATGAACTTTTCCATTCCGTTAACTCCATTGTAGATTTGATCATTGTATTTATTATAAAATTAGAAATATATGCGTAATAAATTTTATTATGTAGATTTTACGTATGCTGTTAGAAGCTGAGGATCACACAAATTTAGATTGTTTAAAAGGATATCAAAGCATTTATGGTCTGATCTAACAAAACTTTAAATGCTACCAAAACGGTAGACTTTGAGCAAATGAATAGTCTATGGTCGAACACGCCGATGGGAACACCCGGCGTTGGAAGGGCTCGAATGTCTTTCAAATAACATTTTTTTCTGAACGAGGAATAATCCAAGTAATTTGAACCCATTCTAAACTCTCGCAAAAGGTTGGCTGAATGGTCTCTAAATTTTGCAGTGAAGCTGAAAGTCACCATCTGGGTGACAAACGAAGCGACCGAAACATACATTATTGTCAACCATAGCGAAAAAGGGTATGACTTGTAAAGTCGAATTCCTGCATAAGTGCTCAGAATATGCATCGTTGAAGCTAACACGGTGGCCACAAAGCCCAGGAGCCCCGTCACATTACTAGCAGCATACAGAGGGATAAGAATTTGTCGAAAGTAATTTGCATGTTGCCCCCGCAAAATTCCTCCTCGAAGAATAATAAACTTAAATGCGAGCCTCAAATCTGAAACATAATTACTCAACCAGGTCACCGTTAGCAAGATGGTTAGCATTGCCAACATTGTGACCCTGACGCACTCGTACACCGAAAGGAGACAAATTGCACATCGGATAATAAATGAGACTAGTCTAACATACGGGTTTCGATCTATGCCGAATTTAATTGGGATACGGCTGCAAATAAATGATGTAATGTAAATGGTTGGGTCGACCTGGAACCACATAAGGACCAGGATACAAGGTGCAGGGCAAATGTAGGCCATGATGAGAATGATTTTTAGAATAAACTCCAAATTCGTTTTAATGGTTCGTGTTCTTCCATTTCCCCCAAAATCTGAACGAGAATAAAATTAAGATTAAAATTAATAATTAAATGGTAGATTTAGGTGAATGCTGGGCGCTAAGTAATTCACGACTTACCTTTACGAAGCCTTGTATTAACTTTTATGACAGCGTTCATGCTGAACACAAATTCTTCTTGAGAGGCGTCAAAAATCCGATAGAAGACAAGCAGCACCGTCGAAAGTGATATTATTATAATTTGCAGAGACATGACAAGCGTTCTTTTCGTCAGAAGATTTTTGACCAACTCTGATCGCAACCAAGCACAATTGAAACATTTGGTGGAAATAATGTTGCGTAAAAGTTTTGCTGTTCCGTGTTGAGAATTTGTTTTGCAGAACGCGTCAGAAAATAGACCATATTTGATTAGTGAAATGCACAAAATTCCAACAAAAATTCCTGCTAGCCCAATAAAATATGGCAAAAATTTCCAAAACCAGTTAAACTTGCGATGCTTACTGCAATAAATTTCTTTGCGATTACAATTCCATAACCACGGTAAAGTGTAAATAAATGGATAATGATCTTGAAATAAATTGGCATATAAAGCCCAAACTCTAAAGCCCGAGGTAGTCATTTATTATTATTGAAGTATTCAAATTTGCTGACTTTTGGGCTACTGCTATGCGTGAACGTTTCAGTAAGATGTTTATATACTTATGTAGCTTTTAACGAGTGTAATAATTTGGGATTAGATATTTCAACAACAATATATCTCAAGAAAATAGAGTAATTAGGGTAACAAAAATTTCTACATGCACATTCTGAATTGGATATTATAGGTCATACAATGGTTTCATATGAAAAAGTCGTTTCCGTATGAAGAATCTAAAGCGTTCTTAAATTTACCAGTGTATATGAGATATTCTGAAAAAGTTACGTATCCAAGGATTGCAAAATTTATAAAGCTGGTAAAAATGACCTTATGGATGAACAGTGTGCTGAGAGAATGTTTGAATAGTGTAAGACTATTGATAATTTTGAATTGCAATGATAAGAGTGTTATGAAACTATGTATCGTTGTGATTGTCAAGAAAAGTTATGTGTGTATTTTTATCACGAGAATTTTCCTTGAGGAAAGGTCCCAATAATGGGGTACGTCGCAAAATAAATCAAATCGTCTGAGAAGTGGAAAAGGGGCCATAGGTTTAAAGAATGGGAAATATCTAATTTGCCACTTATCGAAGTGAAAATATCTAGTCGACAAAAAATTTATGAATAGTTCATTGTTTTTTCCTGAAATAAATTGATTCAGCCAGTCTAAAGCTTCAGTTTTACGTAGTTAGATATATCACATGAAGCAATAAATATTACATCGCAATCATTGATAATATTTATGTATAAACTCCATATGTCAAATACCATCGTGATTCAAAATTCAAATCTTATTAAATTTATGCACACAAATCCTAAGTAAGTATTTGTCTAGATTCGATAAACTTTGTAATATGTAATTAAATTCCGAAGTAATCTTCTCAAATGGTACGCACTGCATAATTTATATGTCAAATTATGTAGGTATGATTCCTATTATGGATTCACATTTTGGGTAGGAATATTTGTACTTATTTTCATAGCTTGTCACTTAATCTACGGCTGGTATCAAATTTTATTAAATATTATAGTATGTGCGTCATATATATTTATGTATGAATTTATGATTTGAAAAACATTGGAAATTGGGAATTTATTTATGTATACACATTCTATTTCATATCAATATAGATAATTATCAATTATAATAACTTTTAATCTAGTTAGTCATGAACTATTCTAGACAAAAAATATATTTATACACGCACGCGTGAATTATATTTTTTAACTGACAGACTTTAATTCTAAAATTAGAACATCGTTTAAATTTTGATCTCGAATATTTTCTAGTCCGTTCGCGTCGCGTTAGGAAATCCATTATCCGCAAATACCACTTTCAAATACATAGCTGAAGCCTTCGGAGTCCGAGTTAAGTTTGGATCGGTATAATTAACATGATGAACTCCAAACCGAACTCTAAAGAAAAAACAATTATATAGCCAAACATTGATGTCTTTTCATTGAAAAAAATATTCCATTTGTCAAACTTACGAATAACCGGAAGCCCACTCATAATTGTCCAACAAGCTCCAAGCAGTGTACCTACAAGTTAAGAATGCTTACAGAGGAAAATTAAGTTTTATAAATGTATCATAAACTTACGATTTGACATCTGCCCCATCCAACCGTACTGCCCTGAGGACGTTGTTGATATACTGTTTGTAAAATTCAACCCGAATTGGATCATTGAATGTATCATTTTCCCAATGTCCATAACCATTCTCAGTGATGTAGATGGGATAATTATACTCGTCGGCAATCCACTTGACTACTTTTCTTATCCCAAATGGTGTAATTGGCCAACCCACAGCGGTATGATTCCACGATTCATCGTCTGGTTCTATATGAATGTTTGCGTCGCCCTCAACCCAAATTGACTCATTGTTATCGTCTGGGACAACCTTATAGGCGAAATAATGGTTGAGCCCCAAAAAATCTAGAGTTCCTAAGAAATTAGTGGTCAGTTTTATACATAGTTTTGACTTTTTGCTCAAAATGTACGTCAAGGGATTTTTTCACAAATCACTCACCATTAACAATTTGAGTCCATTCGGCATCAAAGCTCGGAAGTCTGGATTCGTTTCTACCTTCTGCCTCACTTTTGGCATCAATTAAGGATCTCATAATTGGTGGATATTCTCCTCGAAGAAGTGGATTAGCATACAATCCATACTACAGATTGAATTGCAGTAAAATTAAAAATAATACGAAAAATTAAGCATGTATGCAATGATAATGAACACCAAGAATTATGTTCTCACATGAAAATGCATGGATCGATCTGAAGCTTCTACATGTGCAGAATTTGCTGGATCTAGTGGCTCAGGCCAATCACAGTTTCTATTCAGGTTAAAAAGTCAATTACTCACATCTCAAAGGGTACCGTAAATTTTATGTAATTGTTTGAATTGCCTACAGCGTAATTCCCATTTTTCCGCCCTGTGTTGGTCTAAATTCCGAGTCATACATTCGCCAAGCTAGAGCTGTATAAAATTAATAGATACTTATCGAATATCCCCATAAATACTTGATACATATTTCGTAGCCGGAAGCCATACCATGAGCTTTGAGAATGTTATGTGAACAGATGTACGGTTTAACCGGTTGCGTCCAATTGAACGGATTTAAATCTAGAATAAAATAACCCCGGGATAAAAAAATATAAAGCAATCTTGTAATATATCCGTGCAAAACATACAAGCATACGTCCAATCCGCGAAACAAAAGACGTGCGGTTCGTTAAAGGACAACCAAAGTTTGACTCGATCACCATAATTTTCAAATACAATTCTTGCATAATCTTTGAAATGTTCGATGATATCCTCGTTAAGCCAGGAGCCATCCCAAGTCAGCGGTAGAGGAAGATCCCAATGGTATAAAGTGATGAAGGGCGTGATTCCTTCGGCGATGAGGTTATCAATTACTTCGTTATAGTGATCAATGCCTGCTTGATTGACGCCATCAGCTACTCGTCCAGTTGGAACAATTCTGGTAGTTTAATAACACATCATTATTCCAATTTAAAATCAATATTTTACACAATTCAAGCATTCTCTCAGCAGCACACTGTTAATTTATAGGTTGAATTTTTACCTAGCCCATGAGAGAGAGAAGCGATAAAAATCGGCCTGCATGAAAAAGTAGGATGCAGTTTAGCATATGCACAAACTGTGTAGATCACATGCAATTTTTTAATACTTACACCCATGCTTTTAATGAGAGCGGCGTCTTCCCTAAATTTGTGGTACGAGTCTCCGCCAACGTCTCCATTTTGACAGTCTCTGACATTACAATGACCTTCATAGCTGCCATTGTGTGACCAATAGTCCCAATTTGATAACCCTTTGCCTAAAGTTAAAAAATAAAATTAAGAATTTCGTAATACATAAAAGATTCTATGCTTCGTGTTGCAGCTTACCATCGGCAAATGCACCCCCTTCAATTTGGTAAGCACTGGTTGCCACACCCCACTGAAAATCTGGTGGAAAAACGTCGTAGAGAAATTCATCATCTTGTCCTTTCACTCCTCCAGCCAGGAGGAGGACAGACAAGAACACAAACTTTAGCATTTTTGCAAAAACTAAAAGGTGACCCTCCAGCACGTTGATTGAGTAAAAGTTGACGACTGAAATAGATTGGAGGTGTGTGCTTGACTTAATATAACCATTCACAAGATTATATTTTCCCCATTGTCCAGTCTCTGGGTTGTCAGGAGTGATAAAATAACAATTTGGGACACGCTTAGTTAGAACAATTAACTCTGGGATTACATTCACTTGTGTAATGAATTATGTATAATCGGCTTATCTAAACGGATTTATCGATTTTATCAGATTTTTCATTTGGTATGTATTTGTGCTCAATGGTGGGTCAGAATGTGGAGAAAACTAGACAATAATGATCATCAGCGTCATGTGGACACCTGTTCACAACTAAATACATACATAGGTACATGCGTCAAAAATATCACGATACAATCCACATCCAAAGCAATTTATTTGTTGATAATGTGTGGTAATCTTTCCAGGAATAGAGCGATTTATAATGGACTTACGATACTTAAATTTGATGATTCAGACTGAGTTGCATTTTCACGTTATTAGATATAATTGTCATTAACCCGTTAGGGACCAACTACACATATTTGTGTAGTTTTTTGCTTTCCCTTGGGGACCAAGTACACAAATATGTGTACTTTTTTGCTTTCCGTTAAGGACCAAGTACACACATTTGTGTACTATTTTGTAGTTACGTTGGGGACCAACTACACATATTTGTGTAGCTTTTTTCTTTCCGTAGAGGACCAAGTACACATATTTGTGTACTGCGGAAAAATTTTCAAGACCAAATACACACATGCATACAAGTCAAAATTTTATTTTACAAAATTTTAACACGAACCATTTATTTATGCACATTACCAAAAACTATATATCTGCAAAAACTACAACTGTAGTTCGCTGCAATGCATTGTAAGACTAATTTTAAATTGTTCACGCTCAGAAATAAGCGTATTTTGGAGTTTTCCAGAATAGACATGTTTTCGCCCGTGGCGGAATTTAAAATAAACTTAATTTTTAAAGAAGCAAAAAACGATAATTTTTTGAAAATTAAAAGTTTTTTTTAAAATTGATTTTTTATCCCGAGTCAGGGCTTATGTACCCGTCATGTCCGTCTGTCTGTCTGTCTGGTTTGCGATAACTGCCGTAAAACTAATCCTATCGACTTGAAATTGTGCACACATATAGTATGGGTCAAATGAGGAGTTGAGTTCGAAGATGTGTGAAATAGGTCAAGTGGTTGACCGGTGGGGGTCATCGGAGTGGGTGGGGTATTACGCACCAAAATTTCAAAATTGTGTTAGAAAGCTGAAATTTGGCATAGAGGTTGCTAATGGTTTATAATGAAGGAATACAAAGTAAAATTTCAAAAATTTTCGTCTGGAGGGACCCGAGGGGGTGACCCATACCGATTTTTAAAATTGATCAAATCGAGCTGAAGTTTGGTAGAAAAGTTGGTAATAGAAGAATATTAATTAAAAAGGTACAATTTTCCCATAGAGAGACACCCTATTGGGCAACCCATACTTTTTTTTGTAATCTTCGGATCTTCGAAGCTGAAATTTGTTACACAGGATGGTAATTGTTACTAATAGAAGAATATGAATTTAATTTGGAAAAAACAAATTTAATTTTTTAATTTATTGATATGCATTTGCGATAAAATTTCATGCAAAAAGTCGGATTGAGTGATAAGCACAACTTGGCCTGACTCGGGCTATATCAAGTCTGCACTGTAGGTTTTATATTTTCAGGGTAGTAATTCTGAGCAAAAATTGTGTTTAATTTTTGAAATCGGATTAAAATTCGAAAGGTTACAGCGTTTTAAATCCTGACTTTGGCGGATTTTTTAAATTCCACCACGGGCGAAAACATGTCCATTTTAGAAAACGAAAAAATACGGGTCCGCTTATTTCTGAGCATGAACTAACTAACTCCGGTCAAGATCAGTGAAAACCACTTGGACCTTGCTAAACTATAAAAATGTATGAATCAATAACTTAATATTATTGTAATGAACTGCAGATAATTTTTACTAATATGCATAAATAAATGCTTAATGTTAAATAAAATCATCAAAAGTTGCCGAAATAAATTCGGTCCTTTATGGTTTGCACACCCACTGTGAAATCGGTGACGTAACTACGCTTACTTTAAAATCATTTTGGTGACGTAGCTACACTATTGGTAAAATTAAATTGGTTATGTAGCAACAACTAACTGATAAAATTCTGGTCCCCAAAGGAAAGCAAATTTCAATTATTTCGGTCACAAAGGGGTTAAGTGTCGAGCCAAATATCTATTGTAAAGGTTCTATGTATTAATTCTCTACTCTTGTAATGGTAGAGATGGTAGGAGTCCATGAAATACGTATGTAATGACATGCAAGTTAGCAAGAGTTTAGTCAACGCATATTAACCTGTCTCAATTTGGTGACATTTTTCTGTGTCTTCGAATTTATTGAACAGGACGGTTAGAAATACATTATTTTTCCGGGATAGATATATAAATAAATGTTTATTCTGAACATTACAAGAATTGGAAGTAATCATTTGAATTTTAAATAGCGAAAATGCAATAACGGTAAAACACTTGTAATGCCTGTGATGTTCATTTTATTGATTCACTCTTCGTCCTCTTCGTCCTCGTCGGATTCCTCGTCATCGTCCCAATCTTCGTCCTCCTCCTCCAAATTTGAAACTACTTTGGAAGGCTGAGCTGACTCTAAGACTTTTGAATACTTGAACACCGGAATAGTTTCAATTTTTTTCCGAAGTTCATTCACATCACAACAGTACGTGAATCCCTTCTGGATAGACCCTCGCTGCTTTTTTGTCAGTGAGAGCCAGTCCAGTTGATCACAAATGTCTTTGCAAAGATAGTCCTCCGCAGCTATTGTAGCCCACGGATTATTTATTTGAACCAAGGCAACCGCAGCATCTTCAACCTCACTGTATGCAATCTTCCACAGGAATCTATGCATAAGAAATTAATAGAGTGAAACATAAATACTCCACTTTTGGAAAGTTGTTCAGTCTTAATTACTTGGGAACCGGAAGTCGTTTAACTTTGTCTCCAGACTTTATTGGTAATCCCATCCACAATTCAACATCCTCCTCATCCTGGTTTTTCAGCTCAACTACTCCATGCGTTCCGGTGTAGACATTAACATGAGATGCTAACTTTGCTGACATTTGGCGGAACGAATCTTCTATCGCCTGTTCGAAATTTTAGGCGTATTAGAAATTTTACTTAAAAGCGTACGAATTATAAAGTATTCATTACTTACCTTCCAATTTCCTGCAATAGTAAAGAAATGCAATCATTGTTATGTTATTCATACCTTAATTTAGTACTTTTACATAACAAACCATTGTTTAATATCTGCCATTGTGGTACGACATTAATGTAGAAGAAAGTCCCGTCCTTTTGGTACTTGTAGTACGGGTCGCCATTGGGGAAGAGATGTCCCCTCGATAAGTAATACGTTTGTTTTGGAAAATACTCCTCAAACTTTTCTTCTCCAAGCTTCATGAGGATGAGCATTTTTTATTTGCTCCAATTGTTTCTTTTTGTTATCAATTTTATTGAATTCATACCAGCTTTGTGAGTGTTATCTTCTCCTGCTTTTGTTTGTAAGCCAACACGACGTTAAATGGAAAAAATCCTGGGTCTTGAAATTCTCCAGGTCTTTTACTCGGGTCAGGTTTACCCCCTGCCAGCAATTTCCCATCAATATAGCTTTTCGAGTACAACGTGGTGGATGTGACCTCATCAAAGCAGACAGAGTAAAGGTGGGAAGATTCGCTATACGTTTAATAAAGTCAGAGTTAATTAATATTAAGTAATTGAATATGATATCAATATTGCTTATGGCAGTAATTTTGAAACATAGTCTGAGAAACAACAGTACTAAAATAATTCTTGGTGGCATTTTAAGAAGAAATCGCCAGTCCATTTTTCAACGACCAGTGTTTTATTACCCAGAGTCCGATGTAACATATACATCAATATTTGACGCGTTATTGACACACGTGCCATTCCGAATTAATTCGCCAAATGGGGCTGCTCTGGGAGAACGACATTCAAGTAATTGGTCAATATCTTGGGCACCAGCACCCTAAAAATATGTTGACAAGTGGAAGTAAGTTATCTATATTTTTTCATGATTTTATGAACTATTACCGTATGAGACAATGTCCCACCAGCACAAAAAAGTTCCACTGTTCCTGCTTCAAGATCTCGAAAAATTTGTTTCTCGTTAATACATTCCAGTCTCACTTGTTTTCCGCTGGGTATAATCGCCACATTCTCGTCATTCTGTATCGACGCTGTCAAAGAGTCGGAGCTGTCCAACAACTCCAGTCTCACTGTTCTTGAATGATATGCAAGCGTGCACGGTTTCTCCATGGATGCACCTATTTAAATCGTAATTTAATTAAACGTATACTAATGCAAGGAACCACATGCAACATGATCTTAATGGCTTACCAAATGCAGATTTAGTGCTAACAACCATTATTATAGTTGCAAATAGGAATGTTCCCGTTACGCCCATTGTAAAATACTTATGTACTGCGACCGTTTTAGAAAAATTGGTGAGATTTGGAATTGAGTCTCAATTTCATCCCTTTTATATGCACAGAGATTGAAATCGTCCTAAAACTTTAGTGGTGTCAAATGTTGATCTTAATTCGTATTCAAATCACATCATCTCGTATCCACAAATATTTCCACATTTTTATATATTTAGATACCAAATTAATAATTTGTATGCATCTCGAAAGCCAATACTGATTTTGGGGAAGTCCGTAAATTAATGAAAGCGAGATTATATTTTTCAAGGTGAGAAGAATTAGTACTTTACGACATTTAAATATATACAATTCAGGGTAACTTTATTTTTTATTATTTATAGACGAAAGATGAAAACGCATCTACTAAAGAAATAACCTTGTAGATTTGTCGGTTTGTTTGGAGCACAATTTTTGAGATGATGGCACGATTAAGCGATTTAATGGATTTAAAATTTACTTATGCATGTAAGTAAAATGCACTCGAAATCTTCTCAAGAAATACTAGACATTGATTCACAGATAGAAGTTTAACTTTGATTAGGTATAAAGAATCACTGAAAACTTATTCTAGTTATGTATATATTTAGTTATGTGTATACATGTGCATACATATATCTAAATGTAGTTAAAAAAACTTGTCTCAAGCAACGGAACTATTACATACGTAAATATGTAACTACCCGAATTAGCACAATGGTTAAAAGTTTAAAGTACGTTAAATGCAATGAAAAATTTTGCTTGAGGTTGGGTTCAGTGTTTATAAATTAATACACATTTAGGATTGAACTAAAATAATATTGATAAGTCGAAACAAATTGATTCAAGGTGTCCCTGCCAGTCGGGTATATTCAATTTAAATAAACCTTCAACCTAGATTCGAAGATTGTATAAAGTACAATCAGTAATACAACTTAATAATGCAGTTAGTTTTCATACACATATTTAATAAGTTTAAGGCTACACATACATATGTAGTTTAGATATAACATACAAACTTACAGATACGTAGACTTGTCTGTTGTGGTGGCCTACATAACATTTTCTCCTTCTGAATAATTCAGTGAGGCATCATAATAAAATTCGCAAAAATATTAATTATCGTATTAACTACGAAATAAACTATGTATGAAAATATGTACATTAAAAAGTTGTAGTTCGAGCTGCCCATAAATGTATTTTCATTTCAAAGACAAATGAAATGCATGCAATCAAAAATATGGAACCGAGAAATGCTAAAAAGTTAAGCAAGTTCTTCAACCCAATGTTGTCTGTAGCGTCAGCAATCAGCCTCATTTTCCATATTTTTTCTTGACTCACGATATGTTTTCGGATTGTCCAATGACTGTGCGATTTAACCCAGTGACCAAACATTAAACCCGACTCAATAATTTGTTGATACGTCTGCAACATGTGGCTCATAAATTCTGGTGGAAACTCAAAATAAGTTGGAACGGTGCCACCAAACTCTAATCCAAAACAACGCATTCTGACATCTCTGCGGAAATTTGTAACACTATTTTCAAGCTTCTGAACAACCACGCCTCTTAAGCTTAAATCTGTATAGTACGAATAATGCCCAGCCTTGTTTCCTTCAGAGATAAATTGTTCTCTTGTTGTATTTTGGTACTGAGGTTGCAACAAGTCTAGAAAAACTTTGCTGGTCATGTTTATTCCAAGTCGGGTAAAGTCAGTCCTGCCCTCGGCGTACAGAAGGAGGAAGCTCTTTCTCCCAAACGAGTGAATTATCTGGTACGACGAATTAATGAAAGCTTGCAACGAAACAAATGGTCTTGCATCGTACGGAGCGATAATGCTTCCTTCGATAAATGTGGAGTACACGGAGCAAAGAATTATGCATGAAAACACGAATAATAACTCAGGGATGGTATCAACCTTATCCGATTGTCCAAATAAGTTGGAAATTTCTGTGAAAATATTGACGAAATAAGTTTGTATAGTTTTTGACGTAGTGATTGGGAAGAATATCAACATAGCTAGAAAAGAGTACCACACAAAACTACGAAATGGTACCAACCAGGCGAATATTGTTACAGGGAAGCGTTGCCGAAAACGGCAGTACGCGATGAAATTGTAGCGTGAACCCCCGAACCCAAGCAGCGTTGGAGTGACCACCAAATTTGATCCAGAGCTGTCAAAAAGGTTGGAAACTCTGGCCTCAACGGCGATTCGTCTCTTTCGCCAAATCCAGTCTGGAATTTTAGTTGTGAATTTAGCTGTAAAGTTGTAATGCTCTTTCAGCAAATGTATTAACTCAGCGTCGGGAGCACAGCGATATTTCTTAAATTGCGAACTTCCACTTTGCGATCCTAGTTTTGCTGATGCAGAAAATGTTTCGCAGGGCGTCCTGTTCCACACGAATTTTGTCCAGATGTGGACGCGATTGAAGTTGTAGTCATGATTAAGAGTTTTGACCATTTGGGGTTTTAAGAGATGAGTAAAAGATGTTTCTTTCACAATGGGAAGCCAATTTTGCCGAATTCTTTGATAGTAGTGAATACGGAAGTCATAAATTTGAACAATGTGTCCTGAAGTTGGGTAGTTAAAGTTTTTAAAATGATTAAACTTGGAAGTCACAAGAATTAGTAATGGGCTGTTGGCGTATAAGGCTGAAGAATTCGGCACGAGATTGTAGTTAAATAAGGAAATATTTAAATTAAGCGTGGTCATCGTACACAAAAACGAATATTTCATCATGGAAGTTTGGTTTAATAATTGCGATACGCTTTTATCAAAATTTGTAATAATTGAGACTATGGTCGATGAATTAATAAAAATTTTCAGAAATTTATTTAAACCAATATTGTCCGGAGGAGGTACTGCTGAGGAGTTCGGGCGTAGTTCGTGAATTGTGCACCCTTCAAAAATTGCGTAAAGTTGGACAAAAATAAATAGTTGAAAGAAGTAAGATGCAAGGAACATGTTGTTTAGTCCAAATATTTAATACAATAAACGCGACCTTGGCATCTATTAAAGTTTACAGTTCCACCGTGTACCTAAAATGTAGTTCTTAATGGAGATGTATTATTACAAAGCTATTATTGCATGACACGATGTCAAACTATCAATATTTTTGATACCTTTAAGTATTTACATTACACTATCTACATATATGAGTACATGTTATTTACGAATCTAATGAATTATTGACATTTTGGTGTACTTTATAATATTTTTTTTAATTGTAAGACATAACAGGCAGGATGTAGATAAGGATTCACGAATATCTACTTACTTGAAACAATTTTATTGCCAACGAGATTGGAGTGAATACTTATTTCCTTTAATCAGGTAATGCATGGCACTAAATTATATTTCTGAAGAACGAAATGACGAATACTCTCAACTGTCTACTTGTGCAACTCAATTTAGTATAACATGCAAATAAATATTTATGAACCAATTTATCCTGAAAAAAATTGACAACCTGTCCCCGGTGAAAAATTGTACTTGAGTATGAACCCCCATCAAGTTTTATTAGGTACTATGTTGCATCAAGTTCATGGGCAACTTTATCCGGTACCTACTTTTGCATATAATTACGTGTATTCTGTATATACGACTCGTACAGCACTCGTAAAGTGATTTATATGTGCATACATACTTACATACATAGTGTCCATAGATTAAAGAGAATTATTTTTAAGATGTCCACGGATGTTCGTAAATGTTTTATTTCCCAATGCACTTTCTATTCATCTATGCAATACATAAATAAGTCTGTATGACACGATGTTACGTGGTGAGAATGCCAGCCTTCTCTAGCTTACAGCTAATTTATGTAGAACTTCTAATACATACATAAGCGATTACATTTTTATTATGCTGATTTATTTATGAATTTGTCAATAAACCAAATTTTAATTTTTGAACTAATCTTAAGAAAAGACATTTACTAATTACATTTTTTATTACTAGCACAGCTATAATATTTCTATTGAGGTCAAGTTCTACAAACCAATATTTTCATCCCACTAATGCATAATCATCTTATCCACCAACCATGGATGTCTTGTGGACGGTGGATTCCAAAAACTTTTGAATTTGCGGAATAGCGAATACATCATTTTTCAGACGTTTCAAAGTCGGATAATCCGATAATATGTCAGGATTCACCATAGATTCAGCGACATCCTGCCAATGATAAAATATTTACGCGTAAACTTTCTCCTAATCTTTACATATTTCGTCAGCAATAAAGTTAATTTTTAATTTACCAGAAAGTTAGCAAGAGCGAGATCAGCGTAGGTGAGAGATTTTCCAGCGATCCATTCACCTCCAGCTTCCTCGAGAAGGTCTGCAAACCTTGTAAAGTACTTTGGAAAGTAGTCTTCCACTAAATGTTTCCTCATCCGGGCTTTCTTGACGATGCTGGTTTCCTTGTAGAAATCGTGGAAAACTGCAAATCATACGGGCATCAGAAAGTGTTCTTGATTGAATAATCTGCTAACATTCACTAAACATTGGATTCCAGTTCGCCCTTTTTTTACCTGTATGTCTAATAATGTCCGGCGTTGCAGAGACAAATGAATCCTTGTACGCCACGCAGCCTAGGAAAAAAATTCGCCAATCTTTATAATATACTAAAATTCCACGACTCATTACATAATGCAAAAACGACTTACAAAGCCGCAGATCATAAATCAGCTCGGTGGCTTCATCCGCCCTGGCTTCCTCAATCTCTGTCGTACCGTTAAAACCATACCGGCGAGCAACGTATCGCATGCATGCATGAACTTGTGTGAGCTGAATGGTGTCAATGTGGAGAATTGGAAGTTGTCCGACGTGCTCAGTAAATCCTTAATGCGAAAAAAATTAAAACTATTTGTGAAAATTCAAAGTATTATTTATAAGCTCACGAATTTTCTCCACTGGCCAATGTTGCAGTGGAATTCTTTCATCTACAAAATTCTTTCCAGCGATGGCAAACATCCACCTGCGAATAGGTAAGCTTGTGAATTTGTATGATTTTTAGCAGCACTGCTTTTATTTAAATACGTACCGTATTGGTTCTGCGAGACCACGAATGTCAAAGTAGATCAGCTTGTATTTAGTCATTGTTGCGGTTAAAAGTTCGGCAAAAAGGTTTATGAGGTTAAAGCTTTCACTGCTGTTTCGCTTGCTCAAATTGCTTTGTGCTTTGTTCTCGAACCGAGCTCCTTTATATATGAGACGTTTGATGACGATGAATTACTTTCACTTCTATTTTTGAACATGTATTACGTTTGTTCTACATGCGTAACTGCAGAATCTATCAGAATACATGAATGGTGTCACGTACAATAAATGTATTTATGAAGTGAAACGCACTCATAGGGATAAAATTTGTGTGTGGATTGTCGCAGTCAATGTGGTGTCATGAATTTAATGGTGGTCTAGACATGCAATATCATGGCTGTCGTCATGTTTTTCGTCAAACCGAAGATCAATTTATTAAGAAGGCATAACTTTACGCGGGTCGAGTTATTACATAATTGGGTTGGTGAAAACGGTGAAATTGCGTGTCGTGTGGTTGAACTGTGGGTGGCTGACTGACGCACATTCGGGACATTTTCAGTTACCTGTGTCATTTGAACGACATGGAGATGTCGAGACGACGGTCACGTATTCATGGACGTTAGTAAGATCTGGTACACCTATCTATGATTAATTGATTTCATTTTTTTCTTGTGTGCATACTTACTTGCTCACAGAAAATGAGTTAACTTTAATAAGTATCAAATTTATCCCGGCTTTCATAATATGACAATAATTTTGACCTATGATTTCCAGTAGTAAAGGTGTTTTACCTATTCCTAATATATGTATGTAAATACATGATACGGTTGGTTTACAAGTATTTATTACAATGATGCAATTCTATATGCATGCAAGTTAGTATATGAAGATATTTATTTGGTTAATGTTGGTCAAATGATGTCTTGTATCACCATTATGGCCACCTTTTGTATTATTATTTTATTCATTAATGGCTGTACATATATATGTTCATTGACCACCATAATTGCAGTTAAAGGTTTTACAGTTCAAGCAAAAAATTGAATGTCTATGTACAAATGTAATCATTAATTTTAAAAAAGTGTCTCAACCATCAGTTTAATCATCCTGTGGGAAAGTGTAATTGAACGGAGGTTCTTGCAGATGAAGAATGTTATTTCCTCGCAACCAAATTGAAGATCTCTCATTTCCTTGCCCGTCTTCATCCCCTGCCAAATTATTAAACTTGATACTGGGGTTCCAATTAAAGTAGTCAGACGCGACGAGAAGCCAGGTCCAATACGTTACGACGACAGAGATAAATGTCACCGAAAATACTCGAAAGCCATATTTTTGTGTGAAACCAACCAGCCTTTGATAAGTCTCCACGTTAGCGCTGGCCATAACATGGAGGGAAACTTTGTCAGAATCCTAAAATGGGTTAAATGAAGTAATTTTCATTGCTTGTTTTTGCACGCGTACTTAAATTTGAGCCAACATGCCATATTCTCAAGCTCACCATATCGACAATTCTTTGTTCCTTCTTGGTAAGTCTGCGTTTTGCCCAATAAGTAGAAGTGAACAGAAGCAACACGATGAAAACGAAGAAGATGCAGAACACCATGTGTATGTCAATCGCCATGGTGTATGATACCTTTGGGGACTGCTCTCTGACCGAGGCGAACATGGCGGTCAGCGTGAGGAGCTATTACAGCCGGAAATTTATATTATACCCAAGTTTAAAGAGAAAGTCATTCCTGATAGTCTGAGGTATGGAAAAAAATATTTATGTATCTTGTATGTATACCGTTGTCATTGAAATTCCGATCCTAGCTTCCACCATGCTGGCAGGGATAAGGAAACACAGCCAAGTTATCAGGATAAGTAGTGTTGACGGTAGATAAGTTTGGACAATGTGATAACTGAGATTTCTCCTAAGCTTCAGCCCGAAACGAAGAGCAGAGTAATTTCCCTCTAATAAGAAAATGGGGATGCAAATTAATTTGAATATTCTCGACTGGCATGCCCATTGACCTATTTCACTTAAATCTTACGTCTGTAATAGTCAAACTTTTCCTCAATATTGATCCGGCTATACTTTTCTGTGGGTTCCACATCAAAAAGTTGTATGTCAAAATTGGCGTCGTTTGGATCCTCTAGATATGCGTTGGACTTTTTCCATTGCAAAAGTAATATTTGATTGTCATAGGAATCTGAGCAAAAACGCAAAAAATTACCAAAAACATGTATACTATTTAATCTCATTGGAACGTTGCGTATGTAACTGATTCCTTACAACTTCGAATATAGTACAAACATTCCTGCGTGTCTGCCGGATAATGCGTGAAGTCCATAAAGCATCTTAGCTTCAAGTTTAATCTGTTCAAAAAATGATCCTGTAAAAATAATTTCTATTTCAGGATAAAACACTTATCATATTTACCTAGCACTGTAGACGACGTCGCCATAGTCGTCTCGAGTATCATTCTCTTGTTTGGTAATGATTTCTAACTGAATCAGCTTGCTTAGAATTGATGTTTTCTCGACGGATGCCAGCTTATCTGAGTAACAACATGTGCATAAATATATATGTACTTATGTACTCACTTGGAGCTGGGATAAATTTAGGCATATTACTTTATTTATAATTTATTAAAGCTTTATAAAGCTAACCTATGAAAATGTCCGGTTTCCAGATCAATTTCAACGCATCACCGTCTAGAATAAAATTCTCCATTCGTTTCCCCGTGCATGGATTAGTCCAGTTAAGATCACTGTAGTATTCGAGGATCCTCATATCAAGCCATCTCAGCGACAAATCAGCATCCACTAATAATTCCTATTGTCGGACAATGACAAGGAGTTGTAAGATAAGATGTACATAAGTGTGCAAATATCTAATACAACATTTTTCCGTTTATGGAAACATGTCTTATTTTAAAATTTACAAACTTGCCTCATTGTACTCATCAATACTCAGAATTGACCGGATGAAAAGCGCAACATTTACATATGTAAAGTCTTTTGAGTCCAGTTTGTTATAATTCGGTGGAAGTAGGACGGGCGAAGCTTGCATTTGTTCACATGTCGGTCTAGTAATATTTTTCACTTCCGAATCGTTGGCCACGAGAAACGATGGATTTGGAACAAATGCTTCTCTACTGTCATCCTCTTCGGAGGAAGACGGTATCAGAAAGTGGTGATGACCGGGTGAAGAACTACATGTTTAAATTTAGGACAAAAGAATTGGATCTGATTTTCATACAACAAAAAATTGGACAAAAATTAGCTTAGGATTAATTACAATCAGTTGAAGTCGCTTACATTTCGCCCAAACTGCGACCACAACAAATGAAAAGAAGGACGCAGAAATATTTCAACATTTTTTTATCTAAATAAATTTACAAAAAGCAAGTCTCGTAATTTCACAACGGCATTCAAGAAACTACTGGATATGTTTAGGATGAAACCGTCATCTTTGGTCAGAAACCATAATTATCCCATGATTTTATAATTTGATAATTATACAGCTTTTGGCTATGCCTGAGTTGGGATTTTTGGTTGAGATATTCAGATTCTGGCATATTGACTAATAAATGATTGATGCATACCGGCTACCTTCGTGTTAACGCTGTTTCTGGCGTCGACATTACATATGTATTGTAATTACATTTTTATCTATGGAATCAACATACTAATGTAGTATGCAAGTAAATATGTAAGTGGGATGGGCTGTCTATCCTTGGTCAATAATGGTACGAAGGTTGAAAACGAAACTTTGAAAAAAAAATGTAGGCGAATCTAATATAAGGTGAATGAAGGAAGGTGCATTAATTCAGGAGGTTTTTTGTCTTGAACGGTACCTACTACCTACCTTAAAATGCTAATAATTCGTAGTTTAATTGGATTAAGATAATTGGCCATTCATGTTCGTGTGATATTGATTGAGTCAAGTCAAGTTTATCCAGACAGACGAGTCTGCCCGACTTAACGACGCATCTCCAGTCATGTCACATAGTATTACAAACATTCATATCATGTTCTGAATTTTATAGCCAGACATTTGATATAAAAACCTCGCAAACTTTATAATTACGCAATTATCTGGGTACACATAGATAAGTACTTCTCGAACTCGTATTTTTGGGACTGAATAATTTTGAGGAAATTATTACAGACTCAGACTCTTCATTTGCATGTTGCTTAAAATAAGGAATACATTTAAATGAACTTATCAATCATATAAGGTAAGACTTTATTAATTGCAACTACTGTAATTAATTAGGGACGGGTTGGAAAGGCAAGCTACTTCTCGTGTGAAGGGTTAGGAACTAATGGGGTTGGTCCATTTAAGTAAGTCATAGATAAACTATATTAGAATTTCAGCATGTAACCAATGTGTGCATTCATTGTCTGCCCGACAATAAGAGGACTCTTGTCATCCCGAGAAGATAGTTTTTGTTCAAATATGGAAACAGGTATTTATTGAGAATAAATTAGTGACTGCCACATTTTTATTTAACCACGTTGCCCTTGACAATATAAAAATTTATTTAATTTAAGGAAAATGCAACACATCGAAATGAAAATGTGTACCCTTAAATTATTGAAGGCTTTTAACAATAAAAAGGTTACCAGCAAGTCTGGAGATAAAAAATGTATTTATTTAAAGAAAGAAAGTAAACATGTTTTAATTTTTTTATCCCAGAACAAAATGGGTAATGTATGGGCAGATTCTTCCGTAATTAGATTAAAATAATTAGGGTTGCGTGAAGATCAACAAAGTAAGTTTTCTCAAATTATTTATTGCACGATACATGTATTTGTAATTATATATATGTATGTATATATATATACAGTATGTGCAGACATGCACATACTTATATCCACAATTCTTGCTATACGTGATCTTTAATTCACAGTAGACTAGGTGCATATTAAAGTTGAAGACTCCAAATAAATAAATATTATGGTTAGGCTACGTTTTTTATAATTGTGGATAAACTAACAGTGTAAAGATGAAGCTATGTACCTTATACGCCAATTAAAGAAATAAAATTATGAATGAGCTAAATCACCAGTTAATTGTTTGTCAGACCGATGCATTTTACTACTCACTGATACATCTTATCAATTTTTATTGCATGGACATGTAGTGTGTACACGTTCACCCTGCAGGATTCGATGATCCAAACCTGACAGTTTAAGCTTGGGTACAAACGGATTGCTTTTAATTTAACTCTGTTTCATCCAGTTTATTTATCTGTACAATGCGCATAAAGGTAAACACATACTTAATGCAAGTGATATATGCATGAAGTAATTAGAAGAATGTATGGATTTCGAGGACTTTTATTTTATGAACAATGTTTGTTTTGTACTGTATGGAAATATATTTATAACATTTATCTATATGTGTTAGCTGAAAATTTACAAAATTCTAACCCTGATGGACCTGCACATCTCGACAAATGCAGAATTGAAGCACCTCCCAACTGTGGACGTAATCGGTACGGTGAACCCTTTCAAGGAATCATTCGGGGTGATAGTGTATCGGATGGTGTAGAGCTGACCAGGTTGGACTGAAGACCCTGGCAATTCGGTGCTAATAATTGGGATATCAAATCCAAGATGGATTGCGGTAACGTTGAGGCAAAGTTCAGGACTAGCTGCGCTTGGGATGAAGTCTGCTTCCACACTGTATGGCGTACCCGGGACCATCTCGCATAATTCACCTGAGGAAAAACAACATACGCGGCTTATCATTGACCTCATCAAGTTTTCAGATGAACAAATTTATGTAGTTCATCCGAATCGAGAGACAACGTGAGACAGATACGGCGCTGTGGTAAAGACGATCAACGATTGTGGTTGACATGACGGGACCAGAATCCGAATTGTGTCCCTCTCTGCCTCTCTCTCGTCACAAATGGAAATCAAATTTTTGACTCCCTTTCAAATGGTTTTTCTCACCTTGACAAGTATCAATTCGTAATTCTCGCCATGTCCCAGTTCCACCTGCACAAATTAACCAAAAATTAGACTGGGGTGAAATTTATACTATTAAAGAAGTGTTTATACAACAAAATGTACATACCGCAACTTGTAGTATCTACAACGCCACAGTAAACCGTGGATGCACAAAATGCCAAGAGCAAAAGTATCGTCTTCATGTTCATTGTTTATGTTGAGAAGTTATTACGGACACAAGTTACAGTGCTGGACTTTGGCTTGTTTTCACTCTTTTTATAGCGATTTCGGATAAATCCTTGAACAATAAAAGTAAGCCTTTTAAGCCGTGGTATCAATGACATTTTCTAATTATGATTTTCAATCATGCACTCTTTGGGATTTCTGTATCGTATGACCACTATGACATGTTGGTCATGACGGCATTGCATGGCTCCATTGGATTATATGGATTAGTTGTAGGAATTACTATTAAATAAAAGTACAAAATTTATTAGTTTAATCTAAACATGATAATATTAATTATTTACATTGGATACCTACTACGAGCGTAAATTCTGGATTGGTTTATTGTCGCATTATGTTTGTTGTTTTTGCACCAGCCACTTATTTACGATGCAAATCGTTTAAGTGTATAACTCGAATTTTGATCAGACCAATTTTATTTTGTGCAGAAATTAATGAGAATAAATTTGAATTTTTCATAATGGACGAATTTGAACACTAATTCTTCATGAGATACGATTTAAAAGCATGTCCTCTTTTCCCTGATTTTAAAAAAATGCACTGTCAATTTTATTAGGTTTTTTATTTAAAAAGTACCTAAAGTCGGGAAATGATAAATTTATGAAATTTTGGAAAATATATTTACAGAATCACAAGGAAATAATTCGTAAAATGCAGGTTATCAAATCAAAGTCGTCAAATCGCACCAAAATAAATTAGTCATTAGAATCGGATGTATACACATGAAACATTTTCCTTGAATTCTTGTCACAATCATGGGCTGATGCAATGAGAGGTACTTTAGCGAGCAACAAATTGTTTTATTACAGTAAATGGCTCTACAAAGATTAAGTTTGAAACCAATTCAAGAACGAGTATGATTGAGTTGTTACAAATTGTTACAAATGTTCGGTTAGGTTAGGTTAGGTTAGATTGAACTGAAATGTAACACATAAACAATATAATCAAAAGATATAAATACATAGCTCATTCCATATTGAATTTATATTAGGTAAGATCTGTAAATGTTTACATTCTTTTTACTCTGTATAAAAATTCAGATGTGGAACTATAATAAATGTAATTCGTTGCGAGTAAAGTTTGAGTAAATTTGAATAAGTCTTACGAGCCTCGGTTCATTCTTATAATCTTACTTAAAATCACTTGAGTGAAAGAAATTTATCGTAAAGATTGACTTAATAAGTAAATACTAAATATATGTACATACTTATAAATACATGCATATCTATGCAACACAAAACAATGCCAGTTGCTTAATGGGAAATTGTATTTTATTCCCAACATGAACATAATATGCAGTATAATATATCTCATCTAATGTGATAAATGTGTGACTATGATTGAACTTCTGGTTTTTCTGTTGGAACTGGAAAGTACTGCTATTGAACCAATATAGAACGTTATGTGATTAAATTATCAGCACTAATGGGCTAAATTTTAATGCTAAATAAGTGCAGTCTTAGCAGTTATAGTGATTTTATTCGTAGCATCATATCAGCCATACATAGATATAATATGTATGTACATATAAGCCTGCATTACATATTGTAATTTTGCCAAGCATCTTGTTTAAGCCATACAATCAGCAAGTTATGAATTGCTTTAACTGTGTCAACTTTGTCACTTTTGCACTAAACTATTATATAAGACGAATTGCAGTGGCCATAAATAGTGCATAATGAATATATCTCTGTTCAAGTATCATCAATTGGTCACAATTAAGAATAATTTGGTTAAAGTCAAATATAGGTCAGGTTAAGGTCAATCTGATGCGCAATCCACATTTCTGCCATCGTATAAAGTTTGAAAGCATGCGAAACTGGAATAATATTTAGAAACAACTCCTGAACAGAGAAGAAAGTTTTTCCCTGGAGAAGCAAAAGAGTTTCGTAGTAAAGGTAAAAAATTATTGTAAAAAAGGGTTTATTTTTGTAAGCACCAGTTTAAGCTCAACTTCTTTTGATATCAGATTTTAATTAAGGTTGCCTGAAATTGTCACCATGGTGCTGCCAAATTTCGTGAGGATTTCAACGTTCACCGTGTTACTCATCGTGACCATAATTTTCACGATGACATTTGAGTCATGCGATTCAGCACCGCAGCAGAGAACAAGAGCTCCGTTGACCCCCTATCAGAGATGCTTTCGGTTATGCATGAAAGAATATGGGCACCAATGGGAAGCTCCAGAAGATTGCCGAAATTGTTGTAACAGTCAAAGCTTTTGTGGATTTTTGTAAGAAATATTTTCAAAATTTCTTAATAGAAGTTTATAATGAAAGTGCGCAAGTAATTTCAAATAAGCTTAGGATGAGTAATCAAATTATTCATACGACAGGATTTGTTAACTAATCACCCGATAGATATTTACGTATAAAAAATTTAGTCATAATATTGTGCATTTTATTTGCCTTATGCTTTCTCTAGCGATACTAAATAATGTCCCTGGACATTAAAATATAGTCACTACTAATGTACCAAATACAATGGAGAAAGGTTTCGGAGAACAATAAAGAATATTAAATTCTAATAAATCATGTCTTTCACATTGTTTTCACAAATAATAATACATAGTTGGTTAATCTAAATAAATATAGTACTTTAGTTACATGTGTCCTTGCACGCGCAAATCGAGAACAAATGAAAGTTCTAAAAAATGGTTCAAAGTTTGTCTTCAACTTGATTCGGTAAATAACATATTTTACCAACACGCAAGCGGCACATAGTTCCTTCCTTCCAATTTTCAAGGATATCAAGCACACAATCGATTTAGATATGTACCAAATACAATAGAAACAAAAAACCTGATAAATTGTAAAAGGATTATTTTATTCTTAGGTGATGCAACCCATGACAATAAGCAAGCAAAGATTCTATAGTTAGCATTTATATTCTATTCTTTTTGTATATATGTATGTAACCAAGGAATGCATATTACAATATAGAATCTCTTATCATAACAATTCCCAACTTGAGAGATCCAGTCTTGTTAAAGACCGATTGAGATGATTTAACTAATTATAAAGTCAATGAAATTGTAAATTTTGAGATTGTAAGGTTAAAAGCATGTTAAATTTATTTCATATTTTTCCTTACTCACCTCATTCAAATTTTGTAGACTTATTTATTGATTTTGTGCATGGCTCAACGCAGAAAGTTATTATCAAGAATGAACCATGTGCATATGAGTAGAGCAAAGAGAAAGACAAATTTTTCATAACGTTTCGCTCTTCGATATCTATGCATGCAAAACAAATGTCCTGTATTTTATCCGTGTGCCAATAATTTAATGATTTACCGAAGTCCAGTTACTGTTTGCCCGTTCGTACACATGTACACCTACTCGAGTGTGAATAATGTACTCAAAAAATTTGTACAATAAGAAATCAGTCAATTCACAGTGTGCTGCTAAAAAGCAATTCCACCTAGAAAACGATTTTGATAACAGAAACCTTATCAGACTAATTTATTTCGACTCTGACAACCATTCACTGTCACCAGAATCAAAATCCATGTCGGAAATACCACCACCCGACGTCGACACGAAATTGAACACATTTTCATCTCACTTTCGTAGAAAAACAATGGTAGGACCTAATCCTTTTGCACCAGTCTACTCCTCCCCATGGCGTACAAATTTCATTATTGTGTTCACCCCACTCTTATTGTGGGGGTTTCCCATCCACCTACTCTTTCTCCACCCAGGAAAAATATATTCGGGGGGCACAAAACAATGGTTAAAATCCTCCTTTACATGTCCACACGTAATTTTGACAGTCTTGACAGCCCTGGTTTGCCTTGTGTTTAACATTGCTCTCTTCTACGCACTGGGAAGATTAGTTCAAACCCTTATCATCAATGGGAAAGTTACACTAGAATTTTTTGATCTGGTTACCACATTGTTTAGCATCCTTCCAATCGCAGTTCCGCTCAATCTATTCTGGTTGAAAGGATACCAGCTACGAAATTTCATAATTTTCACATCTAATGAGACCAATCTGATCAAGGCAAAAAAACAAGTGGATGCAGAAGGTGCAGAATTTGATAGAATTTCGAATAAACGGACAACACTAATTTTAATATACGTTTCAATCCTGCTGATTCATGTACTTGATCAGGTTTCAAATTTCTACACAAATGATATCAGTAAACAGGCCAACTTTGCTATACAAGATCAGATCTGGATAGTAGCGATGAACTATTTCATCCCCGTCCTGTCCACTTTTGTCCTTCCGATTTACGCATGTTTCTGTTTCTTGATAAGATACCAGATCGATCTGGCGCAAGAATATGTCGAGGCTCTCATAAAGATGAATGTAGGACCGACGTATGATCATTTTGATGAGATTAAGAAAATGGCAAAAGATATTTTAGACTCCGTGATGATGACGAATTCGACTTTTAGCATAATTTTATCCGTAGTTGTGATAATGGTGGGGTTTGAGTTGTGGGGAGAAGTGGGGCATTTGGTTTTGACACTTTTTAATATCGCCCTGACAGCATTTTTGGGGTTGAGAGAAGAAGGCGTGGATCCCGCCGTGGTAAAATTATTTGATATTGTAGCGAATGTGACGGGAAATCGATCTACAGCCGGATTAGAACCGGCAACGATTAGACTGGTTGTGGCGGATTGTGTGATAATCTTTGGTTACGTGGCATTATTTGGGTGGACAGTTTGGCAAGCGGTACGAACAAATGATGCCATAAGGGCAATCCATGTTTGGCTGAACGACTTTGTTACTGGCAAGGAGGCAAGACTAAGCTTGGAAGTTCACGATGCGGTATACATCAATTAATTTCATTTATATATGTAGTTATTATTATTCGATGAAATTATTAATTCTAGATTAATTTCAGATTGATCGTCTCAAGTGGTACATCCATTCAAGATTGGAGCAAGAAAGGCCTGCATTATTATCAATTTTAGCACTTGCATTATTTCCACCACTCAAATTGAGACTTGTACGATATCGCGTGCAGCATTAAGTACCCAGTAATTTAATATACATAAAACCCGATTATGAATTGTGACAAGAGTGACAGATTAGTGGGTGATCAAAAGTGATGCCATTTATAAATATCTGCTAGTCAAAAAGTATTTATATACTTAAGGATTGTATGACCTATATTATAATCATAATTATAAAAATATATTGAATATACATATCATCTAAATGTAATCATGTCTATAAGTATGTACTTAAATACAACAAATTACTATAACTAATCTACAGTAATATTCTAAATCTAGAAATCTGTAAGTTCCTTAAATCACAAACTACGTAACTTTTTCGTAATAATTTCGCTGTCAGCCGAATATGTTAATCCTTCGTCAGTTCATATTTATTGCTCACAACATAATTACGTTCGACTTTTCTAAAATAAAAAATTAACTTAATTAGGTACTTGATAACAAAATTTAATCGTAAATAAATTCCGATTCATACCTCTTCCAATCTGGTTGTCAATGATTCCAGAATATGATGCCACTTTCTCTTCATGCCCAACTCCTGAAAAAAATACTGGTCATTAAACAATCAAAAATCCAACATTAAAATATATGCGTTGATGTACATCTTTTAAAATGTTTTCATTTTGTCCGTAATGATGCATTGATTTGAGCAAAAAGTGCATAACGTGTTCCGGTTGTAACTGTTCCTCTGGATCATCAGAGAACTTGTAAATTTCTAAATAAGAACGGAGAACAAAGTTGTCAATATTTTGTTCATAGTCGTCTTCAACGTGTGGCGGTGGCGAGTCGTCATGCTCAGCATCGAAGATTGTAGGAGCTACACCGCCTTCGAGGAAAAATAGGGTTAAAAATGAACGTGACATTTAAATACGAGATGCATTTATAAAATTGCTGTTTAATTAATTACCGAAATAAAGTCCCCACCAGTAAAAATACACTTCCCCCCAGAAGATGAAGAAGAATGATGAAATTGCTCCAAAAATGAGTTGATGTTTTACATACTCCCAAACCTTAATTGGAGTTATGACACAATTGTACTGAGTCACAACGTAAGAAGTAAACGGCACCGTTACGTCACATTTTAAATAATTAGAATTAGGAAGCAAAAGTAACCACATATTGAATCCCATGAGAATAAAACCAAAGCTACAGTGCACGACTCTTATCACGAAGTTGGTTAACCTTGTCATTCTCCTTTAAAATAGACACTTTGATGAAATATTTTATTTCTTAACAAAATTTATGTCAAATTTTATTTTCAAATTTACTTGCAATGGCCAGCACCAAATTTAGCAACTTTTTTATTACAAGAACAGATGCAATTTTAAGTTCGGATAACCTTGCTCATTTCCCATTTCCATCATATATTTTGCACGCAGCTCTAAATTTAGAACAGTTTTTCTTTTGCATGTTATACACGTATGCGCTTATGTATGTAAGTAGGTAAGAGGTCGATCAATATCAAGTTCGGAATGCATTATGTACAAATTGAATTGTGGTTATTATGAGGGCACTTTTTTCAAAAGATTAGTACAAATTTATTTTCCACTAAAACGTTTTTCTTAACTATTTAATTATTAACATAAATATGCAAGTATCTATTTAAATGTGAAATCCCTAAGAATGTAATAAATTAAAATTATGAAGTTTTCTTTCAACTCTTGAGTGCACGCTCAAATCTTTGGTTCAACCTTTGCCAGAAACCCCCTATACACCGATGCCCTAAAGATAAAATCCGTAGGCAAATATTGATACGAGAAATGCCAGGTTTGTAGAATTTTACTCGAATACAGCCGTAGCGGCTACTTCCGGCTTTTCTAAAAACAGAATATCAAAAATAACAAAATAGTTCATAGATATGTACAGAAGTCTTCAATAATTATTACCTCTTGTAGTCTTACTGATAATGACTGCAGAATGTGATCCCACTTTCGCTTCTTTGTAAAATCCTATTTAAAGATAATAAACAATGTCAGGATATCCAGCCAGTAAAAATTTAAAGTTTTATGCATCACGCCTCCCGAGTTGGGAGAAGTCAAAGGTCAAAACCATTTTAAAAATCTAATAGAATGCAGGGAATATCTTTAAGCAAAATAATTTAAAATGCATTCACTGAGGGGTCCTACATACAGTTGATTAGCATATTTAATTCGGATTCCATTAATCAGAGTTTAAAATAGACAATAATTTGAGAGTTATGACAACGACAGATGAAACAAAAATTGACAGAGTTCCCGTAGATACTGTAGTGACTAGAGTGTTACTATAACTAAAAATATGCATAAACTTACATTTTCAACAAGATCTTCATTCTGAATATAATGATGAGTAGCCCTAATCAAAAACTGCAAGACTTGTTCCGATTGAATTATTTCGTTTGGGTCATCAGAGTTTTTATAAATTTCAAAATAAGAAAACAGCACAAAATTATTGATGTGTTGTTCATACTCTTCATCTACTTCTGGTAAATCAGCATTCGAATTGGGCAATAAGAAGATACTACTATCAAAAAGATGCTCTGAAACAACAGATACATAATTGAAATGACATTAACGTGTATGCATGTAACTAATTAATTATCCACTCAAATGACACATTATGAAAGATTTTACCTTGTCCGTAATAAGTATCCCCAAGCCAGTAAAATAACTTATAGAATACCAGAATCAATGCATTGTTCACCATACAAAGGACTAAAAATTTTGCATAACCCCAGACCATATCCAGAGTTAATTGGCATTGGTATCCGTACTTATTAAATACGTAAGGTTTGAATGGGATTATAACTGTACATATGAGAGGATCGTTGTCTGAAACTGGCATAAAAGACGACAAACTAAAAATATTGTGCGTCGAGCAAATCAGAAGGAAAGAAATATAAATCAATTGAATAGAAAATGTGATCCAGTTGACATAGGCTGTCATTTTCTGTCCACCACAATTTTCAACACTAATTTTTTGGACGATAAAAGAACTTGATAAGCAAGTTAATATGCTTGTCGTGGATGATGCCTAAATGTTATCCTGTTCTGATGACCCGACTGTTACTTTTATTTTATTTTTGTACAACATTCGTGACAAAAACTACTGGTGATACGGAAAGGTCTATATTTAGTAAAGTATAAAAAACGCGTGGCCCACAATATTGCTTTATAGTTCTATGCGTCAGTATGCGTATGCCTTGCCATTTGGAATGCTTGAAATGATCTCGGGTTGAACTCGCCATTACCCATACATACTTACTCCAGGATCAAAGGAAAAAGATGTATGTACATACAAGTCAAACGGGTTACAAGCATATTTACATGTGTATGTAAATTTTTCTTACGCATGTGCATATTTATTGAATTATGCGAACAGACAAATTTTTTACACAAATTACTTACATTAATCGTAAACATAATCATATAACAATTAAAAATAAGTCCGGTGATAATTTTATGGCATGCCGTACGTTAATCGAGCACAAGATACATATGTACCTACAAAAATTTGCATGCATATTAAGGCATACATGCTTCAGAAGGTTAAAGCCAGCTCAGCATTATTACGTTGGTTTCAAATTCGTCCACTGTGTTCCTGTGTATCCAAGCAAGTCAAGAGACAGATTCACATTTTTAGCCCGAGTCAGGGCTTATGTACCCGTCACGTCCGTCTGTCCGTCTGTCTGTCTTGCGATAACTGCCGTAAAACTAATCCGATCGACTTGAGATTTTGCACAAATGTAGTATGGGTCAAATGAGGAGTTAAGTTCGAAGATGGGCGAAATCGGTCAAGTGATTGACCGGTGGGGGTCATAAAGGTGGGTGGGGTATTATGCGCCAAATTTTCAAAATTATAGTAGGAAGCTGAAATTTGGTACAGAGATTGATGATGGTTTCTAATGAAAGAATATAAAGTAAAATTATAAAAATTCTCATGTGGAGGGACCCTAGGGGGTGACCCATGCCGATCTTTAAAACTCATCCAATCGAGCTGAAATTTGGTACAGAGGTTGTTAATGGCTACTAATGAAAGAATATGAATTTAAATTTGACACATTTTCATCCGTACAGACCCTATAGGGTGACCCATACCAATTTTTCAAATTCGTGAAATCGAGCTGAAATTTAGTAGACAAGTTGATAATTGCTCCTAATGAAACAATATGAATTAAAATATGACAAAATTTCATCTGGAGGACCCTGTTGGGTGACCCATACCGAGTTTTTGAAAACCTCGTATCAAGCTGAAATTTGTTAAATAGGCTGCCAATTGTTATTAATCGAAGCATGTGAATTTAAATTTGAAAAATCAATTTAAATTTTTATATTTTTTGAAATCAATTTGCAATAAAATTTCATGCAAAAAAGTCGGATTAAGTGATAACCACAATTTTGCCTGACTCGGGCTATATCAAGTCTGCACTGTAGGTTTTTAGTATCAATTTCTAAGATCAGTTTTATTTTGTTTGTCAAGTTAAATTTTGATACCTGCTAGTCCAACTTTTCCGATAAAGATTCAAGAACACTTCGCCACTTCCTATTCATTCCAAGTTCCTGTAAGAATAAGATTGATTAGAAAATTCAAGTTTCAAATTATGTTAAGTTAATTTGATAATGGCCACATTGGTCACGCACATCTTTGAGAATGTTCTCATTCTGCCCGTAATACTTAATAGATTCCAGTAGAAATTTTAAAATTAATTCCGGCTGAATTTCCTTTTCAGGATCGTCGCATACATTGTAAATATTTAAATAAGAACGGAGCACGAAGTTGTCGATTTGTTCTTCATAATCATCTCCCACGACAGGATCATCTTGCCATGGTTCCAATAAAGCATACCATAATCCCGAACTTCCTAAAGACACATAACACATGTGCAAATGAATAAGTATTTATTTATGAAGAAAAATATGTATCAAAATTTTATCTGGATAATTCTACAATTTTACCGTAATAAATTTCACCCAACCAATGAAAAAATTCTCCCATAATAATAAAGATATACGAGCAAATTGTTACACAATAAAATTGATTTTTTATATACTTTAATGCTTCATAACTGTTTAAGGCTATTTTAGGAATTGATGATTGACATTTATATGTCATGACAATGTATGACGTGTACGGCACCTTAATTTCACAAGTATCTATAAAATAATGTTTCTTAACTATACAAGAGAACATCCACAAATATATTAAAGCAAATATGGCTAACACTATAATTTTCACAAGTCCGACTATAAGCAACGATAACTTTGTTGCTCTGGCCATTTCTTAGGAATAAATAAAAACCAAGTTTACGAAAATAATGCTACGTTTGAACCTTTGGAGTTGTTGTCACGCACTTGCAATATGCATTCAAATGTACATAGAAAAATATGCAAATGAGTATGCAAATGGAGAAACAGATGAAATGCAGGTGTCGACATCGAGTCTCGTACATTTCACAACTTTCTCTGCTGTCTATTTTTAACTTTTTAAGTTTACGCACAGTTTTAGATTTGATTCAACTACTAAAACATACGCATTGTATTTACAATGCGATGAGATGATGTGCTCTCACTTAACATAACCAATTAATGTAAATTTGCTCATCCTAAGAAATTTTCAAAACATTTTCAGCCCAAAATATGGGTTTTAAAAACGTTTGCTATGGAGTTTATTCTGCTATTAAGATGAAACATGACCAAAGAATTTTAAACATTTACAATTTTAAAGAAAATATATGCATTTGGTAGTATCAAATTTAGGTTATAAGTGGAATCATACGTGAAAATATGTATTGGTGTTAATTTTAGGTTAAAAGTCAGCGAGGTACACAACAAATGATAATTTTTATCCTTCTACGGTTTTTTCAAATCCTTCCCGATCTTATTGATGGCACAGTTTTCTAGAATTTTCATCTCGTTATCCTCTCCTTCCATCTCTTTGAGTGAATTTCCCACCATCACCTCGCCCAAGAGTTCGGATTCAACGGACATTACATGGAATCGGTCAATTGCTCGGAACACGGATGTCGCCTTGGGTCCCATAGAACTTGACTTATCGGCCAAAATTCCGGCTGGTTGATAAACAAATAAATTATGTATTTATTTGCACATTATGTAAGCATTAATCATAACAAATTGTGCATTACCTGGTCGATACATTATTACTCGACGAAACCCCATTTTTCCTATTGTTTCCTCAACTTCTGCTTTAACTCTGGCAAACAAAAAGAGTGAATTTTTGCTTGTGCCTTGTCCAGTTACCCAGTGGATATCCGGAATCGAGACCTCTTTCATCAGGGTGGCAATAGCAAGCGCATTGGTCAACTCGATTTTACGATACGTTTCCTCATCTACTTTGGTCTGGGAAACGCCAATGGCGTAAAAAGCTGCTGAGAATCCCGCAAAAAGTGCACCTTGTGAAGGAATGTTTTCAAAATCCATCGTTGTTTGGGTAAATTTTGCATAGTTTTCGGTCTCAGGAAGTTCTATACGGCTACGGCCGAGCAAGGTTACTTGCTCGTATTGGGGGCAGTTTGCCAAGGCTTTGACAATGCCCGAACCCACTGCACCAGACCCACCCAACACGACGGCTGTTTTCAGTGCCATGTCAGTTGCCAGTGATTGGATGAGATGAGATCTAAATAGATAAGTAACAACGAATTGATTTATGTGGTGAGTCAATTGCTGCTTATTTATTTGAAATATTACCTTATTCGGGACTTTAAAAATGCGTGAAATATGTGTGAATCTGGAGTCTATCTGATGAGACGATTACACATCAATGGTTTGTTGCAAGAGCGTATGTATACTCGACATCGATTGATAACTTTGGAGGATGAGTTTGTAATAAATACAAAATGCCTCTGCGAAAAACAGTCGACTCACTTTTGCACTAAACCGCATATGCCCTTGAATTGGTAAACATTACAGTGCAGAAATTTTAATAATGACAACGTACGAGTTGTGTGGCATGTGTTATAAGCCCAGAGCAAGTTTTTTACAATATCGGTTGATGATAGTCACGGCTTGCGCTAAAACACGGGAGAGTATGCATCTGGATATGTACATTTTATACGTGTACGAACAAGGAAATTCGGAGCGTAGCTTCATCTTTATATCAAGGTTGTCTTTTACACGGTGAAATATTTCATCAGACTGGATCCGAGAAACACAACAAAAATCGATATTTCGGGCAAAACTTGCGTGCTTGTTGCATTTCGTCATTTACAGCCATTGAGACTTAAGTAAAAGTGAGTGCATGCAATTAAAAATATATTAAAAGTGACAGTATGCATTTGTATGTTGCGCATCAAATTTGCATATCATCGTTAAAGTTTCCATATACGTAGGCCATCGGAAACTTCAACAACGATATGTTATTTTAAAGTAATAAATACAAATAATCCGACAACCACCATAACCAATGCAGGAACCCAAACTTTATGTAGATTTAAAGCAAGTACTAAAATGTCAAAGGTACATGATGTACATACAACATATAAAAACCTGGATTTAACTGTGGAAATCTAATGCAATATACTTGAAGCTAATGCCATTTTTAATCATTAAAGTAGATACATGCAACATTTATGGTTTGACATTTAAAACAATTTAGAAATCAGATAGGCCATAATAGATCATAGGATTTTAGATTGACAATTGACAATAACATTGACCAAATAACCATAGCCAGAAGACTTTATTTGAGTTTGTAATTGAAGTGATACTTCAATTTAATTTTAATTATCTATTAGAACTTATTTATTTATATGTACATACATGCATTCATGAGTAGTTCTTAAGCAAGCTTGAAAAAATTAAAAGCTTCATGAGAGATTTGTGTGCCAAAGAAATTTATATTTTTTAGCGCATTCAGGATGCGTCTAAAATTTGTATGCTGCCATTAATGACTAATGAAAGCTGCATGGTGAACAACAGAAGGAAAGTAGCATTGCAATAAATACTTGGTATTGTAACTTCAATTGAAAGTTTCCATGCGTGTTTTCCGAAATATACATCCAATACGTCAGGTCATTAATAGAAATCCTGGATACGATGAATTCAGAGGTTTCATGTAATCTCGTGCAGCCAAGAAAATATCAAATTATATTATTCAATTGGTTTAAGGTTTGTAGAAACTGTCAGAATATTACCAATCGGAAAAGGCATATGAAGTCAGAGAAGAAAAAAAGGTCTTAAATAATTTGCAACACGAATAGATATGATTGCATGATACCAAGTTGAATGCTGAAGTACTTTTTCTCAGAAAGTTTGAAATTGGAATCTCAGAGGCTCGAAGGAAGTAATACAAAATGGAGATAGCGTCAAGAAGGGCCATTAAACTATTAAACTCTATTCCACTTTCTTATAAAATTCCTCCAATTTTCGGTCTCTCAAACAGTTCAAAGATAAAATTAGGGTTATTCAAAGTCGAATATTTCTGGTTGTTAGTACTTTCTTTAGGAAATGTTCTGTACACGATCTTAATCACAATACTTGTGCTGAAATTAGTGCTCAACGAATCACCCGATGTAAGCAAAGGCAGAATATTTTTCTTCTTCATTCTCAACATTATTGGCACCGTTAATTCAGTCTATAACATACTCATCTACGTTGATCATAAGCGTCTTAACTGGATAGCAAGAGAAATTCGTAAATTAATATAATTCGTATTACATGCATCATAAAAGCGTGCCTTTTAACACTTTTGTCTCATGAAAATATATTTTCAGGGGTTTTACTTTGTCAACAAAAGCATCGAAATGGAGGATCGAAAATTTCAGAACAAATTTGGACCTTTCTCATACAAAACACCATCGTGTCAACCTACATCCTACTACTTTTATTTATACCTTTGCCATTTTTTGGCAAGATGGATCCGTTCTACCACATCTTACGCTTATCCACGTTTTCCGAATTCGGTTCAACCCTGTACGGGAAGATATTTCGTTCCATAGTTTTAGGTCTGATTAGTCTTCATTGGGCAGTATGCTCGGTTCGCATCGTGCTGTACTTTGCGATATACATCTTCTTTGCGACCGAGATTTTTGCAGCGTTGCTAAAAGATATCAAGCAACACGAAGGGATTTTGAAAGCCGATACTGCAATTTATAAGTCAATAAGCATTATTATTCATCGGTGTAATGCTGCAGTTAATGAAACGGTTGCAGTCGCAGTCGCGGGTGCTGGTGGGATCTTTGTGTGTGCGATGTGTGCAACGATACGGTATTACGACAGGTCCCCTCTGTTGACATATCTTGTGTTTCCTGGCACCGCCCAACTGATGCTTGTTCTGGTGAGCTTTGTCCTTACCATTGCAGGAGGTGTGGACGCAAGGTCGAGAAACGTGTTGAAAATATACGAGGTCAATAATTCCAGTGTGAATTTACAGGGGAAGGCTCGAAAATACAATGCGTGTGTATTCCGCTCTCTCTTACCCTGCTCGATTAAGTGTGGCAACTACTTTTATATAAAGCGAACGACACTTGTTTCCATGTACATGAATATGTTGGATCAAACTATTTCTGTTTTGTTTATTTAGATAATTAATTTGCATAATACTAGTGCCATTTGCAACTGTTTACTTGTTATTTGATCGAATGTAGGCACATGCATATATTATTCATTCTTTATTAGGACACAATTTTTCAATCAAATCAGGATTCAAAATGATTGTCTAATTTTTATTGAATTAGTTCAACTTATTAAGATTTCCATGCAACTTCAAACATAAATTTACTGATCGAACTATTGATAGGACGCTCGGTTTTACATATTCATGTTGTATTTAACCACAAAAGCCCTTCTAGAATACAATTACATAGGTACTATCAAGTTGTCAAGTTTATTGATCTCGGGCATGTTTCGTAGTAATTCTTATCTTACCCAATTACGAACATTGTTTGCAATTCATTTAGTAATTCTAGCAACACCCAAAAACATGCAGAATCGTTCATTGTTCGTAGTTGAATCCTGCGTCACAAGAATGCGATAAATACTGAACAAGAAAATTCTATCGATTTAGTACTGATCAGTCGAACTTCACGAACCCAATTCAATTAATTACTTCCAGAATTATGTCAAACCAAATACTTCCAACTTCTAAACAAATTTCTGACATATCTCTCTTAAAAGGAGCTAAATTACCCTTCATTATCTTACAGTTGTGTGGCTTCTTTCCATTCTCGGTTATCACGAGTCCTAATAAATCGTCGATATCGGTATCTTCTTCTCCTTGGTACAAATCACCCCCTCAAATTTGGCTTCTGACCTTAATTTTCACCGAACTCGCACCCTCGTTCATCATAATATGTTTTGCACACAACGTTTACAAATCAGTTCTTGAAGAGTTTCAAAATCAAGGGCGCAACACCTTCATTACGATAAATGTTGCGTGGGGACTTTGCAGCGTTGTCAACCCCATCGCCATCAGATTGCATTCTCTAATGTCCAAAGGCCGTTTTCTTCAATTTTGGGATAATTTTTCCAAACTGATTGAAAATTTCCAGGATCCAGACGATGAACAATACGTTTACATATATTTGAAATATCTTCGGATAAAATTTATCCTTCACCTTATTTCTCAAGTTACAATTTCTTTCGTAGAAAGTTGGATTTATTTAAGTTATGGGATTTCTGTCGAGGGTTCGTTGGAAGGAATTGGGCTAATCAGTTCATTACAAGATTGGACATTTTCTCTTAATGGGATTTTATCTCTGTTTTGGTTTCATGGGTTGATTTACTTTGTATCAAGTTATAATTTTTGCATGAGCAGATTATTGGCTCGATTAGAGCGAGAGGATGAAAATCGAAACCGGGCTAATAGAAAAGTACGGATGGAAAAATTAGTTCAAGACTATATTGCAATGGATCATAGTGTAACTCAATTCACTAATCTTTTTAGCATGGTTATAAATATCATTGTCGTTCATGGTTTGGTTTATTTGCTGTATTGTATGTACTTTGTCTACATTTCTACAAATATGGAGGAATATTTTTTAACTTTGCTCACAACTGTGCAGTTGCTAATTTTTACTTTATACTTCTACTGGTTGGCGAATAGTGCCAGTAGTTTGGAAGAAAACAGTAAATTGTTCTGTAAATTGATAAAGTATTCCAATTTTGAACTTGATAATGGATCTTGTGATGGTGGCTGTGGAAAGGACTTACAAATTATTTTCATGAGGCTTGAGAAGAATAAGGTAACAGTTTAAGGCTTTGGTTAATTTTGAATTTATGTACAAACTCATAATATTGAGGTTTCTGTGATAGTTCGATCACTCCGGACTGGAACCAATTGCAATAAGAAATTCGGTGATTGATTTAAATTTACGTCTTCAACTTTCTGTGAGTCATTCAACTATTCATTATTAATATTGAACTATTTAGAAACAGCACAATATGCAAAATGGTGTGTTGTGTATGTACAAATACTGATTTGAATTGTTTGTATTGTATTTAGATGATTGCAGCAATGACTACGTACTTGGTCATAATTGTACAATTTCAAGCGGGTGATACGTCTTAATATAAGCAGAGGAAATTTTCCTCAGGAAAATTTTTGTATTAAGAGAATGTCGTTATGCAAGGTGTAGATTATATGTATATGCGTATTTAGTATGTGTATAAAATTTACAATATGACAAATAATAGATTATTATCGAGGTGAGGTAATCAAGCTCAACACAGTTTATTACGTTACACAATCTGAATCTGCCTATAAGATATGTAGAAGAGAGAATGCTTAATTAAAGAATAATTTGTCAGTGAATTAAATTTATAAGTGCAATTTGGTTAAACATTGATTGGGTCCACAAATGCTTATCAGTGAATATTGAGTCACATGCCTAGTACAGATAGTATGCATACATAAAAGCTATCTATATTTACATGTATTTTGACATGTACTTGTGTGTTTTGTAACTAATCAATACTGTGTAACATACACTAAAAATACATATTTGCAAAATGATGATTTCCTTGAAAATACATACATACGACACAATTTTTTCATATTGCTACATTTGCATTCTACAAAATAAGAATGCTGGCCGGACAAGCGTGCGAGTGAGAACTACATATGAATATATATGGATCATTAAAATTCACAGCTCACGAGAGAATTTGTTGCATAAAACAAACAATTTGTGCTCAATTTCCATTTCCTGGTTTCACAGAAAGTCAAGAATGTCCATATTTACAAGAGAATCTGCTTTAAAGTGTTTGTGGTGTTTCCAATGAATATACAGGATCAGTCCGTGAAAGACAAAAAAGCTTTGAAATCCAAGAACAATCAGATACGTGATTTTTGAAAGTCTGCCTTGCTCTCACCCGCAGAATGAAATATAAAGAAGAAGTTGATTCACAAAAGCGACTGGAGCAAAAGTAAGAAAACAAAAGGAAAAAAGTTAGAACAAACAAAGAACATGAGCAATGTTCATTGTTTCACTACACACATTTGATCTACTGCACATGAAAACATACACTTCTCCAGATAGACCAGGATGAGATTATGCCAGCATTTCTCAGGATTTACATACCCTTCACACGGCGTATTGAGAGTAATATAAAATTAACCAATTTCTACTGGAATGCTATTGGAATTACTACTGGAATTCCTTCCTGTAGTTGAAATTGCATTTTTGTTCCCAAGAATTGCTGTCCTTTTATTCCAACTAGCGGGTCCATCCGTAGAATTCCTACTCATCGGCACTCTTCTCCCTTCGTGATGAACACTTCCGAGTTCCATTTCTTCGCCTTGGGTAATGAGGATGCCAGCAGCGTGTCGCACCGATAACGGAGTTTGAGAACTCATCAACGCATTAGTTGTTAGGATATTAGATTGCGTGTTATCCATGCAAGAAGTTGTTGGTCTAGAACAATTCCGCGAACAGTGAAATATACCAAGGAAACCCTGTAATAGAAATAAATTGACATCCAGCACTCCCAATTTAACAATATCATCGTCATAATATGACGATAAATAGGATATCATCCTATTTAAGCTATTTATGAAGTTCCATCCATTTAATACCTTTCTAAACCTCGCACTCATTGCAAAATATATGCAGGGATTGATGCAGGAGTTTCCAAATGCGAAGAGGTTGATGAGCAGCATGGTGAAAAAATACTGGCCAAAGTGGAGAAAGTTGTCCGACTGTAGCTGGGTCACCAGGGTCACGGCAAAATACGGACTCCAAGACAATACAAACGATAATACAACAATCAACACCATTTTTGCAACCTGAATCAAAAGAGGGTCGATTGCATATTTGCATGTTTTATTTTTAGATTTACATATTCAGATTTACACCTTTCTCCGCCCTTGTTCCAACCTTACAGCTCTGGCATCACGTCTTGTTTGAACTGGAATCTCCTTTAGCAATACTCTCGTAATCGAGAAACAGGTCACCGCAATGAATCCCAAAGGAATAAGGAACACGAGTACGAAGAGAGACATGAAATACCAGAATCGAAAGTTGTCCGAGAAACTGAAATAAAAACATTGTTTGTTTTATCCTTCATTTTTATTCCTATTTTTTCGTATGCATATGTATGCGTCTAATCTTTCATTAATTGGTATAATCCATTCAGTGCCTAGGTTGATGTATACTATTCAATTATACACTTTGAAAAATTAAGTGGATTAGCTTTTATAATTCATGAAGTTAAATAAGCCTGTCTTCCATTCTATTATTAGCTACCGTCTTAAATTTTACAGTAGGCAAAAGATATAGTTACTAACAGTATACATATGCAGATTGTAGTTCATAAATACATGGTGCGAAACTGCGAAAGATGGGACTTGATCTCCATTTCCAATATGTACATGACTCAAACATAACCCTTTCTCAAAAGCCACTTAACTTCCTCCAGAACTAGGAACTCCTATCAACGAACATCAATAAAATGTTCGTCGATACTTGGATAGCAGAACACTTTGCCTACGACCTACGTATAGCAATTCCGTCCTACAAAATCATTTGTGTGAATGAATCTTTTTCACCAAGTCATTCACTTGCAAGTTTTCTCCAACCCAGAAAGTGTGAGATAACCTTAGGCTACGGATTTTGATCATGAACGCCACGCAACAGAAGCCTTGCTTTCAATCAGTCTTTCATCAATGGTCACGTACATACTTTCGTATTATTGCCCAAAAAAGTACCAACAGCAGAAAAAAACTTTCATTACAAGTTTTTTTCTGTTGCTATTTATTGCTACTTTTGTATAAAAATAAGTATGCTTGCTAGATCGAGAACATGTTAAATTGCCAGTGTCCTACAAGTTAAGTAAAGCTGATTCAGCAAAACTGTTTTAAAAAGTATATTTTCTTGGAATTTAGGGTAAAACATTGTGCTACGGTATCAATAGCATGCTTAATTTAGAAACGAAGGGTTCCAACATACTTTTGGATTACTGAGATACTTGATTAATTACTCACCGATCAAAGCAAGTGACACGATTAAACTCTCCATATTTAGAGTACAGAGATTGTGACACAGCTATTGCAGAATGCAGATTAGGTGAGGCGAAGACACAGGAAGTGACCCACACGACCGTCAATACTCGACGAGTGCGAAGATTCGACATGGAAATCCTTGATTGTACCGGATGCACGATGGCATTGTATCTGGAATTATTCAATAATTATTCCACGTGTTAATTCATCCAATCTCAATGGAGATTGGCATGCACATTAGAGACAAGATGCGAGGGTGTGTGTATATGTCTCAACCCAGTATTCGCTTCAAGGTATGCATTTCAAATATAAATCCTCGTAAGGATTCAAATTGTAGAACTTCTCTGCCTTGTGTGGACCGGAAACAATGTTTCCACACACATCTATCCAAATTAAATTGCTGAATTTGTCATAAAACTGAAATTATTTTAAGTAACTTGCCGTTCAAAGCAGATCCCCACCAATGTGAACACGCTAGCAAATACAACGATTGCCTCAAAAAAACGCACGGTGGTACACAACTTGTCAGTCATCATGTTGAGTTCAGCATCCGCCGTTAGTTCGAATAGCTATAAAATTCAATTCTTTTTTCAGTCAGCTTCAATAAGTAATGAACAAAAGTTGAAAGTAAAAGTACTTTAATTAGTGAAGTTGTAATGACTTGAACCAAATCAATTAGTCATGAAAATTATATAAGTATGAACCTATTTATCAAAGTCTCAATTTGCTTACTTACTTTCACTGGGAGTACAACAGCTCCTACCAAGAAATCGCATACGCTTAAATTCACAATATAGTAGTTGACAGGAGTGTGCATGGACTTGTTCTTATAAACGGTTAATGATACGCACAAATTTCCCATCATGCTAATCGCAGCTTCGACGAGGAACAGTGAAATAAATGTAATTCGCACCACCTTGATCTATAATATAATTAGAAACGAAACGTTTATTATTAAAATTGAGTGACTGACAAGTGCTGGATTGACGAATCTAATTAAAGACCTTTATTTATTGATACTAATATTAATATACAATTTGAAGTAGTATGCTTAATATTGGTACACGTACCTGGCTAAAGTCTGGATACTCAATTCCAGCATCAAGCTTTGTCGTGTTATTAAAGTGCCCAATTTCTTCAAAGAAGTTTGAATAATTCTCACCTTCATTGTGGATTGACATATTAAAGTACAAGGAACTAATTGCTCTACAAAGTCAGACTCTTCTGGTAGTTGAGTAAATTCGTAACGTTGCAGATGAAAGTTCCTGGCTTACGTCTCGAGATTCTGAACACTGTGGCGTGGGTCAAAAGTATGAAAAAATAGTAACTACAAAGCATTATTCCTATAAATGGGGAGAAAATTATTAAGCTTGAGACTAAAATGGTGGTATGGGTAAAAATTCTCGGATGTGCTTTTCTCCCTGGTTTTGAGGAAACTGAGACAAACTCGGAGAAAGTTGAAGGTTTTATGTCTCAACTTTTTCCCACGATATCATTCACCTCCCACTTGAATTTGAGCAATTCATACGCACACATGTTGCTTGAAATCCCTATGAATAGAAGTACATTGCGTATTTTTTGACTGGAAACACTTAAATAACTAATCGAATTGTAGATACAATTACCGTTGCATTCTAAAAGCCCTAGAACATGTAAGCATTTTTCAAGTTTTTGTCTAAACCGTTTTGATTCAGAATCTACCAGTCATAAGTGAACAATTTCAGTATTATATTTCTTTTGATGATGAACCCACTTTGTGCAAAACTTCAACATTACAAGTGGAATAATGTCAAAGGAATAGCTAATAAATAGGAAGGAAGATACATCGAAATGAAATGAAATGAAAGGGGGCCTCTTAATCTGAATAAAATAATACGGATATAATCTGCCTTGTCTCAAATGCTATTATACCAAAACTGTGATGAAACAATTTAACCAGGAGTTTATGATTCATCAAATTTTCTTAATTACAATTTTCTCATGGATAAATAAATAGCCTCAAAATTAATGTGATATAATTCAATTTGCAGCTCATTTCTTGTCAGAATTACTGATATGAGTGACTCATCCTCAGAGACTGCATAATTCTTCCCACATAGTTTTCGCTTCAAGTATGTATGTGTTACTGCTATTGCATAAAAATAGTGACTAGGTTCACATAAACCGGTACATGGTGTGTGCAGAGTTGTCGCGAAACCAAAAACGCTCTTACACGTGTCCAATAGAATCAAAAATTAGTGTATACGTGTAACAGCGTTTTTTCTCAATGTGCCCCAAAGTTTTCATATGGCCCCAATTACTGGAACACCACATTTCAACGTTACTAATGGGTTAATTCTCTCCAAACTTAGCATGCTATCCTCGTTTCGTATTCGTCACATCGCCCCAGAGAATTGGCTTCCTAGGTTAATTCTAATTTTCTCCAGTAGTGTCGATGCGGTGTACCCCAACTTTTGATATGTTTTACATATTTAGTAGTGCAACAATTGTCAATCGCAATAACCGTCGAAATCGACCTGTATGACCTTGCTCTAAGGGTCAGGGGTAAAAGTTCGGAGGTCAAGTCTCACATAACCCCTTAAGTGTGACATCGTTGAAAAGGTCTCGGTTAGAGGATTCAAAATATATATACTTTGTGGGGTCTATGGTCACTCCTTGGTGTTCCAGAAGTGGAAGATTATTTTTGAGTTTGTGCCCATCTGTTTGCCATGTTAGCTTCCTATCTAGTGCTGTGTTAAATTCTGGAAAATCAGAAATTCTTATTGAACCGCCTCTAGACATCCACGGAGTGGTCATAGACCCCATAAAGTATATATATTCTGAATCCTTTAATCGAGACCTTTTCAACGATGTCACACTTAAGGGGTTATGTGAGACTTGACCTCCGAACTTTTACCCCCGACCCTTAGAGCAAGGTCATACAGGTCGATTTCGACGGTTATTGCGATTGACAATTGTTGCACTACTAAATATGTAAAACATATCAAAAGTTGGGGTACACCGCATCGACACTACTGGAGAAAATTAGAATTATTGGTACTTAGCGGGAACCTCTGCCAAAATCGATCTTCCTACAAAGTACCCTTAATATTTGACCTATGAGGTTCAATGAAACGGCATTCGAAGCAGAATATAGTGTTTCTGTAGAGATATGAAGCTACAAAGATACCATTTCATAAATTTCGAAAATATTTCAAAAAAACGAAAAAAATTGTCAAAATTTTCAGGTAGATGGCATTACAAATTTTAACCTAGGAAGCCAATTCTCTGGGGCGATGTGACGAATACGAAACGAGGATAGCATGCTAAGTTTGGAGAGAATTAACCCATTAGTAACGTTGAAATGTGGTGTTCCAGTAATTGGGGCCATATGAAAACTTTGGGGCACATTGAGAAAAAACGCTGTTACACGTATACACTAATTTTTGATTCTATTGGACACGTGTAAGAGCGTTTTTGGTTTCGCGACAACTCTGCACACACCATGTACCGGTTTATGTGAACCTAGTCAGTGCATTTCGATGTTACCTATATCACAATATAATATGCGAAAGAAAACAATAATTTCACTCTAATATATACTATTTCGTTATCAATCGTATCATTGAGTTATGTAAACGTCCTTACATACACATTACATTGCGATTTGTTGGAGATGATAAACAAATGTGTGCTAATTAATGCATCCCATTCGTGGGAAAAGTCCAGAGAGCAGCTTAAAATGAGTTAAACGTTCTCGTATCACTCTGATTTATGTATCAGCATGTATGTACAAATTGGAGCACCTACACCTAATAATACATCCCCTCATTGTCCTCCAACAGGACTAAATTACTGCCACAAAACTTCATAAAAATTTAATTTTGGTCCGATCTTCACTTAATCGCCTCTTTCCTTGATAATGGATATTCATTTCTGACGTGCATAAATAAAACTCATTGGTTTGAATTTACCAATTTTATATTAAGGCATGCAAAATTCAAAAAAGGTAGATGATTTACGTCGGCCTAATAAAACCGGACAACTCTCTTGTCAGAGATCAACTCTCTTGTGAAATTACATGGATACTCATATATGTATAGAACTTCCGGGAGGATGACAAGAGAGTTTCGGATTTTGCATATCCTTAGGCATCTGACTAAGGATGAGTGATGCATGATATCATGAGTTTATTCATAAGTGTATATATTCTTTGTATCGTACAATGCATACACATGAGTTACGACGGTTACGAGATTTTGACATTAAAAATCGCCTTCCGATTTTTACAAAGCCTGCCCTTTATTTTTTCTTCATAAACTATTTTATAATACTAAGGAGACGAAGAGAATTGTGAATACCCTTATGGTCTGGTAACTTGTATGTGTAGTATTTACATATTATGTACATATGTACGCCTATATGTATGTTGCTATTTTTCATAGTGAGCATTGCTCACTGAGCAAATGTTCAGTCAGGGATTGAGACGGAGGCAGTTTGGCATAAGGAAACTTCGAAATAGAATAACGTACATATTTAAGCAGGCATACAAAAATAGGGATAGTTAGAGAATAGTTAAACTAAACTGCTACTAAATAATTACGTGTTTAAATATGAGAAATTTTAAAGCAATTCAATACGTTTATATAACTGCTGGCGGTGAAAATTTGATCTTACTCGTTAATATCTATTCGTACCCTCATTTGATAAGTACTTTGTTTATCATTGTCGGTACGACTAAACAAAACATGTGGTTGTTATTCTTTTATGTACTTAATAATAATTTGGTTATGTAATGGCTTTAAACTATGAACTGGACCAACTGATACACGAGGAATTATCACTCAATCACACTGACCGACTGTTGTGCATGAAATGATGAAGTTAATGACAACACAATGAACATGGTGAATTAATTGCATTTTGTAATGTTTGTTGTAACAAGCATGATCCTGCACACGGTCCTCAAGCAATTCTGCTCATTTAGATAGTTCAATTTATTCTGGACACATGTAGACAAACTTTGAACATTTAACAAATAAATAATTATTTAATTGCCAACAATTAAGAAATATAGAAGTATTTGTAGAAATACTCAACGATTTAGAAACAATAATTATCTATATATCTATACCATCATGACCGACGACATTGAACGGAATATCTCTCAAAAGTCAGTCTTTGAAAATCAGGAAGTAAATTAAAACGTTGTTCACCTATTTTTTCTTAGATTATAATTCATTTAAATAATGAGAAGCCCGATCAATAAAGGGATCTCACTCGACTACATACGTGTGAATTTTACGTATAATTTTATTAATCTTATACATAGATCCTCACAAAAATCCTGTCGAACGTTCGTCCCCAATTACAAGACTACCGTCTCGTGTGCAGAACTTGGAATGATGTCATCGTCCTTCGCCTTCTTCCAAAACGTGTCAAGTTGTCCTTCAACTTCGAACCACGCTCTTATGTCAATCGTCGCTCACATTTTGAAGCTCAAGTTGTTCGTGTACAAAATTTGCGCATTCAAAATTTCTGCGTCATGCTCTCTCCCAGGAACCTGCCCAGGGAAGCCATCACAGATATTAATTGGTTCATGAGCAACTTTGGGGCCCAAATGAAATCTGTCGACCTTACCTTCTGGCTAATAAATCCAGCCAGCTATGTCATGTTGGGAAATATTTGTAAAAAGTTGGTCTCAATTGAAGAAATGATTTTGAAAGTTACAATTTCTCATGATTTATCAAAATGGCCTGGGCCGTTGGAACCTGTGAAAAAAGTAGGATTCAAAACTGTCGATCTTTCAAAAGGATGTGTAGAGCAACCGCTTGTACTGAATTTAATGAAGCTTTTCCCAAACGCGGAGAGATTAACGATATTTCCTCCAAAATTTTGTTGCCATGCTTACTCCTGCTTAAGTCGAGGTTTAATACAACTCCCAAAACTTCGAGAAGCCCATCTCTGGTTGGACGAGGGTTCTGTGGAGAAGAGCGTCAAGATTTTGGATGGTTTGGCCCTACTTTCGAATAATTTAGAAAGATTAGAATTGGAGTACTTTCCTGGTTTCGAGAAGAAATTAGGGACAGCTTTGGAAAAAGTCCTCACAAGATATGGACCTAGTCTGAGGGTGCTGAGATTAGGGGGATTAAAAGGGGCGACAAATACCAATGATGACGAACCCGTTCAGCTTTGTTTTCCAAGGTTTCCAATGTTGAGACGTTTCAAGATATGCGTTGACTATGGTATGCATGCAAATATGTTAACGATAAATAACATACTTTGTATTTAAATATCTATGTTTGACAAATAAACAAGTTCTAAATTTCTTAAAGGGGGACAATTAGCAGCGACAGAAGCACAACTAAAGTTCAAGTTTCCATCAGATAAAATTATTACGTACGCGAATGACTTCCCAATGCTAGAAGATTTGGAGATTGACACAGATTTTGGAGAAACAGGTCCACCTTCTGACCCATTTCCGGGATATGTTGCCGAAGCATTTCTTCCAAATGTTGTCATGATTAAAAGGAATACATGTGTAAAGATAAAACGGGCAGAATTCAATATTCCTGAAGAATGGATGCAAACGAGGAATGCAAGTTGGGGGAAGACATTTTTAGAAAAATTTCAGCATGCCTTTCCCAATGCAAGTCTAATACCGATGGAAAAATTGGTTGCATGGATAGGTCGTGAGAGAATTTAATTTAAGCATTGCTAATTAGTTCTTACTAGTATAATTAGTGCATATTTATTTTAAGAAAATTAATTTTTGTCGATAATAAATAAAACAAGCCTTTAAATTCAATAAATACATTACTTATTTGCAAAATAGTGGAAAATGGAAGCTATAAAATTCTGACCGTCTTGAATTTAGTTGAGACGACAAGATGAGACACGGTCAGACTTGCCAAATCTTGAATAGCAATAAGAAAGAAGTGCGTACATAGGTGGGAAGCTGGATAACTCCGAGAAACTGAGCAAGCAGCCACCAACCAACAATCCAGCCAGCATTATTTAGAAAAAGTTCAAATGTTAAAATGTGACAGTTTTACATCGCCAGGACTCAGATTTCTCTGCTTTTCAGCCTCAGATGGCGACTTCTTGCCATAATTTCGTAGCAAGTTGTCTCATCCCCACAGAGAACGGACTCTGCTAGGGGCTGTACACAGTGACATTGCCATTCCGTATGGCTGGGCTCACCCTGTCACGAGACAGCACCTACCCCGTACTAACACCGAGCCGAGTAGGATTAGCAATAGCTTCCCGGCCAGAGGAATCGAACGTGTGACTGCGTGGTGACAATCCTACCCTCGTACCTCTGAGCCATAGGGCCTTGCCTAGTCTTCACAGATTTATTTTATCCGGTTGAATGGACTGAGAATTGATAATTGTTTTATCGGTATCGGTGTGAATAAGTCACCATAATCTTACTACATACTTTCGTCACTTTGAAACTTTGTCAACATGCTGGTGAAGCATTTGCGGAAGGAATTTTACGAACTTCTCTTCGGAAAGGTGAGTAAATCAGCCGGTCACAAGAATAACAACAAAAAACCAAACGTTTTTATCGAACAAATCCAGACACAATTGATGATTGCAAATGCTGGTTATAACATTTTGGTATTATCAATACTTTTGTAGAGAGTCCTCATCATTGCCAATTCCGACATTGATTCCGTCTGTACTGTCAAAATATTTACGGAATTGCTGAAAATTGATGGAATCTCGTTCTCCTTGTGTCCTGTGGATGGAATTACTGACATGAAACAGGCATATTCTGATTATTGTGAGACGGTAAGTTGATTTTAATACTGTTTAATCGTGAGCATGCCGACTTGTGAATTATTTTTGACACATTTTCAACTAATTTCAAGGTGAATGTCTTTGTTCTCATCAACTGCGGCATTTCTCTGGATATTCGAGATTTCTTTGACAACCTGAACAATAAACTCGTCTTCGTTTTGGATTGTCATCGCCCAGTGCATGTCAACAACTTTTATGATGAAACCAATCAGGTAAGCATAGAAAGAGGGTGGTTTGACCTTGTTGACTAACGGTATAATTATGACCGATTATTTTGTCACTGTTTGCATTGTAGATTCGCATCCTGTCGCTGGACGGTAATTTTGACGAAGTGCCTAATTTTGATGATCTGTTTTGGTCGGGTGAGGTATGTGAATTTCTATTTTTATGAAGAATTGTAGTTTTTTTCTGTAGACACACAGTTTAGATATTTTGTCTCAAATATATAGGCCCTCGACTCCGATGATGATGGTAACGACGACGATTCTGATATCTTGGACAAGGGAGAAAGCGACGATGAAGATGGATCGCAACGCCGTGGAAGAAACCCAAAACGTCGTCGCAATGAACATGACAAAGAGCGAAGGCAGATGATATGGAAGCAGAAGAGGAACGAATTGTTGTTTAAATACACACAATTTGGCTACTATGCTCCCCCGGTAATTTTATACATTTAAATTTCCATAATTATAATATTTATACTATTACAGTCCTTGTGAAATTATGTAATATACATTTTAAATTTAGTCATCCCTGGTTGCACTCGAGCTGTCGTGGGCAATTTCTCGAGGTGATATTCAATACGTGTGGTGGACCACGGTTGCCTTAACCGATGCGTTTCTTCTGGAGAAACTTCCACGATCTGAGTACGTGCAGAAATCTACCGAGCTTAGGAGGAGAGTACGCCAACCTGATAATGACAGATCTTGATGTCCTTTGGATATATGGTAGTACCCCCTCTGAAAGCAAAAAGTGTGAAGCGGTTTGATGCCATGGCCCAATTTACGCCCGTCACACCCCTTTGAAGGCGCGCCGGATGCCAAACTAGCTGCACTAAAAAATTCGCCAAAAATCCAATTTTATTCGGATTTTCATAATAGTTACATATTTATGATCCCACATAGTTGCTTTATCATATCAGATATCAATCTGAATTTTTTTGGAATTTTGAATTTTTTCAAGCCATGCCCTTTTCAGGAAATATTCGAAAATATTGAAAATTTCTGAAAAGTTAATTTTGCAACTGAATATGATAAAGGGACTATCTGGGATCACAAATACATAATTATTATGAAAATCCGAACAAAATTGGATTTTTGGCGAATTTTTTAGTGCAGCTAGTTTGGCATCCGGCGCGCCTTCAAAGGGGTGTGACGGGCGTAAATTGGGCCATGGCATCAAACCGCTTCACACTTTTTGCTTTCAGAGGGGGTACTACCATATATCCAAAGGACATCAAGATCTGTCATTATCAGGTTGACGTACTCTCCTCCTTAGTCTGCACATTGCACGAGAAGCAAGTTCAACGGAGACACCGAGGGATTGTCTGAAAGTAAACTTCGAAAAAGAGTAAGATTATTATGCATATTATGAAATACTACTGGTTATTTGTTGTGCCGTGCTATTTTATTAAATGCAAACATCTTGATCTTTAGCTTGTGCTTCTTACTGTATCGCCACTGGAATTTGTACGATAGCATCAAAATGACGACACACTCGGCTTGTATGTTAAAGTCATGGGGTATGAAAGGAGAAGGAAGGTTTCACGAGATGTTGGGAGAGTTGGGGTGAGTACCATAAGCATAAAAACATTGATTACTTTTCACCGGATAATACATCCACTATAATTTTTTAATCAGACTTCCACAACTTGAGTGTCATCAAAAGTATACATCAATGGACGTTCGACTGCGGAAAAAGGTCAAGAATGTATTCAATGAACCAGTTCTCCGAGAAAAGTACAATTTCCAAGACGTTACTGTGGGCACATTCATCTCAGAAATTGGTTTTCGACCAGCGCTCAGTGAATTTGATTGTCAGCTGGCATGTCTTTCCTTGTTGGAAAACCCAGTGTTGTATGGGAGTGGAAATGTGGTGGACAATTTTTTGGATGAGCAATGGATGAGCATGAGCAAATATCCTCTATAAGAGGTGTCGCGATTTATTGAAAGATAACCATTCAAATCTTGCAAGTTTAATATACAAATACATATTACGTATTTCGTATAATTGTTCCACATGCTTGAAAGTATAACTTTTTTCCTGTGTTAGTTGGGCCCACGGTGAATTAAAAGTTAATAAATATTAAACGATTTATGACATTTTTTAATGCTTCTTGTTTTAATATTTTAAGCGCGTCCTTCACCTAAGTTTGTTTTTCAAAATTTATTTATTTAATTATTTTTAGTGATTTGTGAACTTATATGCATAAAATCATATGCAATTATAAAATCTTAAACGTTGTTAATTCTCCTGTGGGTGGATGCGTGGCATACAATTTAATTCCCCAGTTTCTGAATTTTAAGGATTGTTCTGGTGCAACATGCCTTGACACTTAGCGATCTAATAATAACGTAATTCGATTGTCTAGCAACATTGGATATGTTGCTTTATCGCACGTTAGCAACCAGTAACCTAACACATAAATACGTAAATAGGTTGCTTAATGCAAATATTTCAAAAAGCTCTAATTCCGTGAGTTTTCATCCGATTGAGTCGAACAAAGGCTTAAAATTTGCGTATTATCCTGGAGAATAATAAAAATGGCAAGCCCCCGGTCGGAAACACTTCCTAGATGCCAAGAAATGGATTTGAAATTTTAGGCATCGGACTTTCTACCTGAAGGAATTAGAATTTTTGAAAAAATAAAAAAAACGTATCTGTAAAACAGAATTCTCTGGTTTTTTTGTTTCAACATGTTTTCGATGCAACGAACGGTTTGGGCGAAATCTCAGTGGGACCTTTTCAAAGTTGCAGCTAAATGCATACTTAGGCTTCGCCGTAACCATGATGATCTTTTAACATGATCACCTTATGCTTACTTTTCCTTCACCTAAGAAAAATATTGTACGTGAATATGTGTGTGCAAATATGTATGCGTATATTTCTATGCAGCTCGCATATCAAGCTCAACTTTATGCAATGCAGATTGCGAATAAAAGCATGGCAGCAGGAAAAATCATTTTAAACGATGGTGTACACAATATAAAACTTGGTGACAAAATATTTTTCATTATGAATGCAACAAATTAATGAATAAATACTAATTTAACTTCAACTATTTTTAATAATTTCTTTATCAGGTGAAAATACGGGGGCGCGGAAGGGTAGGTCACGCCACGAACTTCTCCAACTTCCAGGCAGCTTCCCGGTTCGGGTTTGGTACTCTGAAATAGCTCGTCATTCTTGGACAACAAACTACTACCAAACCAACTCTGGTCATTTCACTCAAGTCGTTTGGAACGCCACGAAGCGAGTCGGATGTGGTCGTGTCGTCACGGAAAAGTTGTGTCGCGAAGGGAAACTGAAACTGGAACCAATTTACATTGTTGTGTGCAGATATTCGCCTCCGGGAAATTGGCTGCATAAACAGGCATACAAGGATCACGTGCATCCTCCGGTAAACTGCGATTAAATATTAATTTCCGTGCTTTCAATAACGGATATTTTACAAACACACTACCAAAATATGCATTAATAACTGTAGAAAGTTGGGAAACCTAATCAAATTCCAGATTTTACAAAATTTTGCCCACAAGATTCTAAACCGTGCTCGAAACCAATCGTTTGTTGCACAGACGCAAATACTATGAAGGACCACACAGAAAACATTAATTGTAGTAGCCTTTCATCAACGACATCACAATCATCAGCACTAAATCATCAACTTGGACGAAGCTTTGTATTTAGTGGGACAAAAACAACATCAACGTTGCGTCCGGACTACGTTTCGAAAAGTTACTTGGGCAGATCAGTCATGTCGGCATCGTATCATAAGGGACTTCCTTGGCCGCTGTGGCACGATAAAAGAGGAAGAAATATTCGGCAATAAATCTGTGAAACCTGGTCAATTGATTACCAGAATGTCTTTACAAATATATAGAAACACAGATACATTTATCTACATTACTTCATATTTATTTGTGTGAATATTGGTTTTGTCAGACCGGATTAGAGCAATAATAAATGCACAATAACGTGTTTAAGTCAAGTTATAATACAAAGCTCAAAGGAATCTTTTAACAGGTTCCTTTAAATATTTATTCGCATACATACTGAAACAGAAATACATACGCAGCTCAAGTTGAGTAAAGTGGAGCTTATCATCTCCGGCTCGCAAAATATTTGCACCTGCCCACGCTCTCTCTAGTTCAGGGTTCACATTGTCCCCAAAATAGATTTTATGGAAAAGCCAAGCTACTTTGCCAAAGGGACGCGTCCTTTCCTCACTGGTATAAAAAGAGACCACGCCGACCTGGTCCCTTCACAACCAATTTGTTCTCGCTCCTAGAACGACGTTTCTACTCCAGCATCAATTCTCCATTTATTTTGCCAAGTTTTTTGAAGCAAATTTCCAGACCCGAGTAAAATCCATCATGGCGATGTCCAGAAATGTGTTTGGAAACGAGTGGTCAACTCCAGAGACGAATGACGAGAAATTTAAACGAGAAGTAGCCTGTATTGTGGAAATTCTGCGCAAGGAGCAGGCCGAAAAGGTAAGTAGGCACAACTTTGAGAATTTTCAACAACCAATTTGTGAAGTATTATGACGGGCGCAGTAAGAGCTAATTAAAAATAATTATGGTTATGATTTTATAAATTCCCATTAGACTGCTTATTCAAATTCGCCTGACCGAAGTTCGTCCGATAATTGTTCCACTGAAGAATCTTCCCCAACTTCGACAACGTCCTCGTCAGCAGCGTCCTTTTCGCAGCAACATTATTTGCCACCGTATTCAGCAGCTGCCTCTCCGCCGTGTTTTGAAGAATTCGACCCCACCACTCGTCAACAACATGGAACCTCGTTTTCTCCAATTTCCTCATCAACCTTGAACTTTGACCCCTGCCCAACCGCATCCAGCGGCAATGGAAACCTGTGGGAGGAAAATCTGGAACCACTTCTGAGTCAGTCGGTGTATCGGGCAGATAACTCAATTCCGCTGTATTGTCGACGTTCTCGGTTCCAACAACTGGACGAAATTCAGCAGCCAGCAGAATTTATCCCGATCCCACCAATCAGAAGAAGCTACATTTTTACGGGTCCAGAAGGTCCCAACGTTGCGAGAGAAGAGGTGCGGCTCCACTTGAAAACTCGAAATGTTTCCGCTAATCCACAGACTCAGGTAAATATGCTGTTTTTGAATCCAGATTATGTTAATTTATTCGAAAATAAGCAAGTCTCTTCTCGATTCAAATTGACGCCACTTGTAAAAACGAATGATATTTTATGTGTCCAAATTTTATTTCTAGCAGATGCCACAAAACTCTGTGCTCAACGCATACGCGAAAATTTCTCACTCCTCTGGATACACCTCGTGCTTCCCACTTCGGAAATTTGATGCCACCCCCGACAGCTACAATTGCTCTTTCGTCCCATTTTACGCCGGAAAATACTCTGCGTCAGTTTTCGAGAGCTCGTCTTCAGACATGGCTGCTGATGTCCATTTGAACGGTCGGGAAGGTCAACTTTGCCCTTCCGTCGAGTTGGAGGTGTCACGGAATTATCGCCTCGAGTCTCAAAATCCACCCGTCGCTCCGATTTCTTTGGGAGAAAATGGCGAAAAATATTGGGGCGTCACTGTAGACCAATTATCAAATCGGGTGAGTTCTCATTTATTTTTTGAGCATTTTAACATTTTACTTTTTGTCACCATGTTTTTGGCCGTGTTATTGAAAGACTAATTATTTTTTTATCCTTTTAGTTGTACATCTCAGATCGCTCGACCAACGACGTTATTTTGTTCGACACGGTCACATCAACGCCGATCCATCGCTTCGGGGGACTAGATCTCAGGATGAAATTTCCATGCAACCAACTCAGCCGACCAACCGGACTGGTGCTTGATTACGCCAATAAGCGACTTATAATTTGCGACAAGGACAATCATCGCGTCTGCATCTATTCTCTGGAAGGACAGTACATTTCATCATTCGGGAGACGAGGTATAAATCTGGTGCATACTAAAATTGTTGTTAATTAGTTATTAATATTTATTTATTAATTAATTAATTCTACGTCTCACAGGTCACGGGCCGGGCGAATTCCAGTATCCGTGGGACGTCGACGTTACTCCAGCCGGGAACCTCATCGCTATTTCCGATTCAAGAAATCATAGAGTTCAAATATTTGACCGGTTTGGGAATTTTCTCGTCAAATTCTCCGTCTTTGAACAGAATCCGTACCAGTACAAACAGCATTTCGACTACCCTCGAGGAGTGTCATTCAGCAAAGACGGTGAGTTGATTTATGTTAAATATTATGCAGTTTCGCCCCTCAAAAATCTGGCAATAAGTAATATTCAATTTTTCTGTCTGTAGGTCGACACATTTACGTCACGGATTTCAATACTTCTAAAATGATCCGCATTGAGGTGGATTCTGGCAGCATGAAATTCATCGGACCTAAAGCACAACTCAGTCGTCTTCAAGGACTAACTGTCGACGAATTGGGCAACATGATCATCTGCGACTCACGTAAGAACTGCGTTCGAATCTTTTCGGAGGCTGGATCTCAATATCAGATAGTGAACTCGGTGGGATGGAACCAGATTTCGATGCCGGTGGACGCTTGCATAATGCGGGACGGGGTGGTCGCCATATTGTGTTTAAATGGGAACATTTGTTTTATTTAAGAAAATTGTCAAAAATATCTCGAGGTTAATTCTTATGTTGCTATAGATTTCCACGGTGTTTCTGTATATCTGGTACAAATCTTTGTATAATATTTTGTACGTACGTTTACTTATCATGAATAATCATACTTTTATATGCTAAACCCAGTTAATTTACTGTGTTATCAAGACTTACACATATTTATATTATTAATGATATTAATGTTATTAAATATCCAATTCAATAAAAACAAGTTTGTAAGATTATCCAATCTTTTCGTATTCTTAGATTTTATGGTAATTTTAATTTCATATACTTACTTTCAAGCATAGATAACGTATTAATAATGCTTTCAACAATAGTGCTTTCAACCAACAACACGACTAACTTTTAATACATTTTTCATATCGCGAAGGATTGTTCACCGTCTCATTTCCGATATACAAAATTGCAGTATACATCACATACATATTTATTGTTCACCCTACATATTGATGAATAGTTTACAACGAAATTTTTATCGAAATTTTTAGAAATATTTTAAGATTTAGGGGTCGATGATATTTGATTTCATCGGTCAATATGAAAATTTCCATCTTTCTGAAAATGAGACAACAATTGGTTGCATTGATTTGGAATACATCATTATATTTTCATATATAAATTACATCTTATGTACGTGCTCACAGCATTGTTTCATTTTGCATTCAACCTCATAAAATCACTCTAATTACAATAAACTAATGTGATGCGAACTTCATTCTTAAATGTACATATTTTGGTATGCTTGTACTTCACTTCACAAAATTGTTAGCAAGATTCTTTAACTAATCTTTCAAGGAACTAACATCTTTACTATATTTTAATATATATCACGAATGATAACTTATTGAACCACTGACCACCATAAACATTCATTGTTGTACTTACAAGTTTCCACCAACCCAGTGTTATGTACACATGTACATTTGCATATGTACCTTATGCCATCACAGAGTTAAAGATCATACCGACAAATACATAATCTTCCTAAATCCGCAAATTAAAAGTTTTATTTTTCACACCGACAAAAAACAAAAGGTTAATCGCAGGATCATGCATTTTACTACAAAAAGCATTATATATTCACATAAAACTTAAAATCTAGCAAAATGCTTGACGAATATGCATGGTCGGCAGGATTACATCACACAAGTGGAGACAGACATCATAAAGATAACTAAAGTTCAATAATAATAAAAAATGACAATAAAACACGTGAAGCGAAATCTCACACTTTTGCAAAAACGGTGAACGATCAAATATTGACACGCTGTGTAAATCGACGTCAAATGCGTCCTTCACCCTGAAATTTGTTGAGGCAAATGGATTTCACTTGACATTCGTTCATTCATTATTCTGATTGTAACGCCTCCCAAATTAAACAACTAATCTGCCGTATAAAATCGAGGACCACGTTCAACAAACCTTTAGTGTCAAATCAGTTTTACACCGTCGATCAGGCGTACAATACAAGTTTATAAAATTTTGTTGATCCAGGACAAAATGTACAAGAACGCAACAATTAAGGTCGCCCCTGGGGCCACAAAATGTTACTTGGGAGAAGGACCCCACTGGAATCCAGTGAAAGAGGAAATGCTGTACGTCGACATTTTTGGAAAGGCTGTCCTCCGGTATATTCCCAAGACACAAGAATGCTACAAGGTTGTCGTTGGTGAGTTTATTCGTAGAAATTGCGCAGGGTCTGACTCAACAAGGTGATAATACCAATTTGCCCTAGACGCCGGTCCCGTCTCCCTTGTGGCCCCAATCACCGGTCATCCCAACAAATATCTTATCACGATTGAACGTGATGTCCAAGTCATGGAATGGGATGGTGTGTCGTCAACCCCAACCAGCCTAAAAAAATTGGCCACGGTGGATGATCACTGCAAGACAAATCGGATCAATGATGGCAAGTGCGACTCGAGGGGGAGATTGTGGGCAGGTGAGAATAAGCCTACCATGCACTTGGTGTATGAAATATGGAAAAAATACTAGAATATATTATAACATTCTTGCATTTAGGAACAATGGGTTATGAACCTGCCCCCGGAAAATTGGACGCCAAGAAGGGCACCCTTTACTCCTTCGACTTGGATGGCACCGTTAAGAAACATTTTGACCAGATTGACATTGCCAATGGGCTTGCATGGACGGCTGACGATAAAACTTTGTATTACATTGACTCCTTTTCGTACCGAGTGGATGCATTCGACTATGATGGAGAATCCGCAACACTCAGTAAGGCCAGGATTAGTTTAATTGCCAAGCCAGTAAAATAATTATCAGTTTTGCTATAAATGCAATATTAATCATCCATTAATTAACCCTTTCAAAGGCAACCGACGCACCGCCTTTGACTTCAAAGCCAACGGTGTGGAAGGCATTCCGGACGGAATGACGATTGATGCAGATGGCAACCTTTGGATTGCTGTGTTTGACGGGGCGAAGGCAATAAAACATTTATTACGTTACATGCAAACCGTAACATGACGAATTAATCAAATGCATATCCGAAATATTGCACAGGTGATCCACGTCGACCCCACGGCTGGAAAGAAATTGGGCCAACTCGACTTCCCCACCAAGAACATGACATCTGTGGCGTTTGGTGGACCAGAGCTTGGCATCTTGTACGCCACCTCGGCCGAGCATTTCTTATCTAAGGAAGAACTGGAAGCTCAATCCGGAGCAGGGGCGTTGTTTGAAGTGCGAGGACTGGGGGTTAAAGGACTGGGAGCTGGGATGGAATATAAAGGCGTAGTTTAAAAGTGGGGAGAGAATGATGACAATAAAAAAATGTATTTAAAAATATTGAGTACCTAAATTTGATGATTGTATTAAAAACACGACAATATTTGACAATAAAATTTGTATTAACTTTCACCTTTCACTTATAAAAAAACATAACAAGGCAGACTAAATTTACTCGCTGCGTCAACAAATTTATAACCCGAACCCACTAAGCTTAATTCTTGGTGGACTAAAAATTGGAAAATTTGTCACTGCTGGAGCAAAAGTTGGTCTATTTGCTACCTCCGGCCTTGACGTAGTTGACGTTCCTGATCCAGAACCTGGAGCCTGAAGACAAAGTCGATTTCGACACAATAAAATGCGAAATGGTGCACAGACACAGGAACGACACGGTTCTGACGTATAATCGGTTACAGTGCCAATGGCGCATGATGGAGCGTTTTGGACAACTGCGGATAAGTGAGTGGAATTGTTAAGAAATACAGAATAAGTACATGTGATGCTGCCCTACCTTCAAGTCCGAGTGGGTTCATTACCGTAGCCTGAGAGCTGTGGGATAGCAGCGTGACTACGGTGCCGAGAATGAAGGGGAGGAGTGCGCTTCCCATTGCCGTAATTACAACGTATTTCTATTGAAAGTTGCTTCCGCAGGGAAAAGATTTGATAAAGTGAGTCCAGATTATTTTGTGCTGTTGCTAATATTTGGATCGGGATGAATGGGCAGGATTTCACTTTTTTAAATTTGCATACAATTGGAATTTTGTAGTGAAAATTTTGTCGGCGCATTGCACTTGATGTGTGCAGATTACATATGTGGTTATATAATGCACTGAATTGTAGCATTTGCATGAGTAAAAGTATTACGTATGCATGAGTAAAGCTGCTGGATGGAAACTTCCAGATTTCGCTTTCCTAAATATTATGTAGCCATTTTGTATTTATTTTCATATTTACTGACTACTAAAAGTGAAATCGTGAATGTTATAGGGATAACTACAAAGGTGTTTAGTTGATATTTTTAAATGCGGTTATTGGGTACCACTCATCGATAATTGCAAGGTTTAGAAGTTACATCATAAATATATGTATTGGTATATGTACATATTTATATTGGAGTCTCGTTAAAAAGCTTCAACATTCAACAGCACTAAATATTTGCAAGGAACGATAAATAGATTTCGTGAATAATATTCTAGCAGTTGAATTAGTGTCGAACAGGAATTATGCTAGAAAAAATTTAACTTGTGTACAAAGACTATCTGTAATCAATTACAAGTCAGAGAAACATTATTTTTGAATAGACTTTGCTCCAGTGAAATCCATATGCAAATTATATACACATGCATGCAAGTCAATCAAAGAAAGGATACCCAACGTGTGTAGTTTTACTTATGAGTAAAATTAATTAAATGAGAAATCACAACAAAAATAACAAATATGTGGAATGGATGGAAATGTCTTCGACTTTAAGATTTGTGATGAATAAATTTTGCTACTCGTATTACTCCAAAGGTAACCTGGACGTATATGGATGCAAATATTTACATGAATAGGTTGGTATCGTTAGGTTAATCGAATAACACTAATAAAACACCTCCAATTACTTCGGTGAAGTGATTGGGTGACTTCTGAAATCCTTCAGCCAAGGTCAAGTGACGCACGAGGTGAAGAAATTGTAACTTTGTGCATGTGCACGTAGGTACACAAATACATATTCACTGGTCTTACTATTAATTCTTGTCACTAATTAATTAGCATTCAAATGGGTTGCGACAACTTGATATTTTTGGTCTTATGTTTTATTTTATTTGCCATCCTTGTTGTGACAGATGCTTAATTTATTTATAATGTACAAGTATTTACGAATGCATGTATTCGTAGGCAGCATGATCATAATCGCTTATCTTCTTGCCAGGTTGGGGTAGATCATTTCTACCAAATGTTTCTTGATATTGGCTTATAATTTGAAAATTTTGTTTAACATATTCAGAAAGATTTTTAGTTTTTGAGTATTTATTCTCTTTGTATAAAATGAAATACGAAATATGAACCATATCAAAACTTAGATCCAGCCGGGATACAAACAAATATACCCAAGGATAAGTATGAGAAATCTGAACAATGTCACAAATTGCAATTACGACGATTCGGGTTCCATATTTCATTTTACTGACATATGTGGATATGCTAGATTTTCAAAACATTTTGTTAAGAACTTCAAAATTAAGCAAAATCAGAAAATTGTTCTCACTCTTAACCCTCCTCAATACCTATTCTCAACCAATGCTTATGAATACAAATGCAAATGCTACATTATATAATACAATTTGTATTCGAGTTACGTATGTCACTCCTTACTGAATATTACAAACAAACTTTTACCTGACCTTTGTAGTCATCTACTTAATTAATTTAACCAGTACGCATCAACAACTAAAATCGATCATCCAAACATACATGCGCTTATAAGCGAAATTTTCTTTTATCGTGTCTACACACAAGTTTAATATGCCTAAATATATATCCATGTCTTCATGTTAAGTTCTGAAACTCCTACAAGTTGTTATATTTTTCATTAACACGATATCATACAATAAAACCAGTTTTTTACATGTATGACCTGTAATATGAGACATTTGCCAAAAAAACACAATCAAGCTCAAAATTAAGTAGGTAGTTGAAAATTAGGTATAAAGTGAGCCGCTTTTTCGTTCCATGTTTTATTGAATACAACCCATATTAGCCAAGTTGATGCATGACGAATATCTTTCATGAACCATTAGTGATCACGAGTCAATAAGTTTTTGATTAATTATAAATTCACCAAGTTGTTTTTAAATAAGTGACCAACTCTTTATATTCATTTTGACTACCCTGAAATCTGCTCAGTGCATCTTTGGCCAACAAAGGACCGCAATAATTAGAAATGAATCTCCTCTGGATCACTACCTTCGCAGTGACAGCAGCCTATTTTGGGGGTGTCACGGCCACTGCGCCTCTGAAAGGCCAAGAACACACAAGGCTCACGTCTGAAAAGTAGGCAGCTCTGGACAAACTCAAGGCTCGAGTACTTGATAAAATTAAGGAGGATTATATTAAAAATGATCTCTACATTCTGAAATTCCTTGCTGCAAAAGATTTCAATGTGGATAAAGCGGAACTTTTATTGCTTAACGTGATACAAATATATCGTCAATCGTCATTATATTTTAATGAATTTTTACAAAATCTATGCAAATACTGTATTTTTACATATTTATAGCACATTGCATGGCGTGAGGAAAATAATATGCAAAACATTCTCAAAGAAAATTTCTCTGACTTGGAAAAGGATTTTCCCTACACAATCCAGGGCAAGGATAAAGAAGGCAGACCGTGTAAGCTACGAGCTGTTTTGACAATACTGCTAATGTACCAAAGCCATAATTAAGTATGAAAGTCAACACTAAGGAAAGTGTTATATTTTTGCACGCTCAGTATTGTTGATGGATTTTGGAAAATGGGATATCAACAAAGCTGCCCAGAAAGGGGAACTGGATCGCGTACTCCGCTATTTTGACCGTATGATGGAGGAGGCTGAAATGGAAGTTGCAAAGATGCAAAGTTCTGGAAAAAATGTTACTCAATGGACGTAAGCAATCCCCTTAACTTATAATCGTGCATAAAGTTTTGAAATTTGATCTGCATAGTTGGCTGGTAAACCAGGAGCGTACAGCCCATGTAAACCTCCCCAGTGCAAGGTTTTACTGGTACACGGCCAACGTACTGGAACAAAATCATCCCGCTATGGCATCGAAACTTTTTTTGCTAAATTGTAAGTATGGCGTTCATACTTTTACAAATACGCCGTGGTGACGATTATTTTTACGAGAGAATTGTATCGTTTATTCCAGCACCACCAGTGTTTAACGTCGTGATGAAATCTGTACGGCCAATTATGCCATCATTCTCGAACGACATTTTCCGGATGTATGGGGACGAGTCCGAGTGGAAGAACCAAGTGCTCGATTTGGTGGATGCGAGTCAGTTGCCCCCTTCCTACGGAGGAGTGAAGGGTCTCTCCAAAAACAATGCCAAAAATAATTTACTCGTAGGCACCTTCCAAAAGGAGGACGATGGAAGTTGGTGGTGGGCAAAAATATTCGGCTAATAAAATCAATGATCCGATCAATTATTGCATTAAGAGGGCAAATTAAATAATTCTTCAAGCTACTATATTTCAATTTTACTGTGTAAATGAATAATTTTATCATGAAATAAATTGTATGAGAATTGTAAACATGTTAGCTGGAATGATTTTTGTTTCGCAGAAACAAATTTAATTCAAGTAATTCTAATTATGTATCATAAGCTCGATCTTGCATGATATGAATATTTGCACATTTCAATTGATTTGAGAACAAATTATTAGTTTGAAATACAATTATTTACAGAAAGCCATGCATGAATAAGTGCAGTTTGATCTTAGCTTAATTAAATTGTTAATACATTTTTGAGTAGTTGTCGGTACCAAATAGTTGGAGAAGGAATTTTCGCATTTCGCCCGTGAGGAAAGTCACTACCGGCCTTTCCGTCAATAACTTTCCATTCAAGAGTGCGAGATTTCTCCAAGGTGAGGTCAGCGTATTGGACGTCAGTGAGATCAAGGTAGTTATTTGGTGGTAACTAAATAAATACAAATATTTGTTATCAAGAAAGATAACCTCGTAAACCATATTAATTCCAGACCATTTTTTTGGAATAAGCAATTGCAAACAAATAAGCGAACCTCTTTAGGGGTAACTTTCTTCCGATGGATCTGGTACATGAAGCATGCGTGTAAAAGTTGCCAAAATGTCAATTCTGGCCATGTCACGGGTGTAAAGTGAATGTAGGCATGTGAACTTTCCCACAACATGAAATCAGAAAGGCGTAAATCACCCCCAGTCCTGATAAGCATGTCGACGGGACGCACATCCATTAAATGTTGCGATTGGTCTACCAAGCAGGTATTTATTTGATTGTTATCAGTGTTCCTTTGGATAACGTTCATGCTGCGCAATATTCCTTCTCGACCTATTCCGATGCGTGTATGTAATGTCAGATTTTTGTCAGAATTTATGCTGTAAATTATTGTGTCACCTGTGTAAGCCACTGCAATATTCAACTTGTAAGGTTCAAAGTAACGCGTTTTTTTCATGATGTTAGCCATTCTGTGTTGAACTTTTGCTGGAAGAGTGTGTAAATTCCCAATAAATTGAATGCAAGTATCCATGTTACTACCATCTTCACTAAAATTGGTAAAAAAATCTGTTTTTGGTATCTTCGGATATTTGAACTAATCCTATACAGTTCTTTTAAATATTTACACATTCAAAAGTGATTTTCCCAATTCGTAAAACATCAAATCCATCAAATTTTCCACTTCTTCTTTGGTACGCTTAAAGTTTTCGGTGGAAAAAGCATACACCGTGAGCTCCTTGCAACCTAAGGCTTTTCCCCATGATTCAAGGTTGTGCAGTACGTTAGCTCTGTAAGAATTATATCGAATTAAGTATTTTGGGTAAAATTGATTTTTTGACAGCTATGTACTTAAGGTCCTCAATTATTACCCAGTTTGATGTCCCAAAAGTGTTTTCATCCCCATTGTTCTTGCATAGCGTCGATTTCTGTAAGATTTAGTTAGTCTCATTATAAACAATCGAGTACAATAGTACGACTTGAGAAAACGACTAATCCTAAGATGAAGCTCACCCATCCATAATTACTGCGATATGTTCCGGAATTTGTCCCATTTTAGCGATGGAGGACCCCAACAATTCCAAGACGGATAAATCTTGACTTTGCATGTTTCAGGATTATTTTATTCAACAGATATATGAATCCAAACTGTCTTGTAACAATCTAAAGTACGAATGACAAGGATATTTTGTGGCATTTTGATATAAATATGGTCTGTCCTACAAAGCTTAATAGATAAGTTCATCGTTCGTAGAACTCTAATTAGCTTTAATTAGACTTACGTCTTACGCTTACGCGTACGTAATGCTTACGTAGTGTATAATCCCTTATCCTCTAATCAATGCAAATACCAGGAAAAATAGGAAATTGGATTGTTTAGTTGTTTATGGTTATTGTATATACAGATTTTCCAAGAAATGGTTGTACGTTGCTAAAATTCCCATCATGCAAGTACTCGTATACCAAATAAAAAGTATTTATTATTCTTATAATTAAGTTATATACCATTCGGAACCTGACACTCATCATCCTCAATGGTCCTCTACCTTTGCATAACGGACATACGTATCTCCTAATTTTTATCGCATAAAAATCATTTTACATAGCAATCGGTTTCACAATAAACACGTATTGTATAATTAATTCGTAATTAAGCTTGAGACCGTACATCCTCTGTACCGTCTACGTCAATTTGCAAACATAGTCAGTGGAACCATGTGAGCTATTTTTTCATACAAATGCCCATTCCACGAAGCTAGATCTAAATCTTCATTTTTGTACTTTTAATAAACGATAGTTTATCCAGTGGGAAAGACATTAATAGTTTGAACTCCTCAGTTGAACTCCTCCGTGTAAATGGTCACAGACTACAGAATGAATTTGGTGGTGGGATTGGGCAAGTATGAAATGTAAACTTATGCAAAGTTTGGTTTTACATAACTGATGATTATGTAAAATCACAATTATGTAAAACGGTAGTTATGCAGTAGAAATTATATAAAGTAACCGAAAGTCCCTAAATGAATCACGTGGACAGTCCTACAATATCTCAAATAAGTAAATATATATACGTACTTGTTGAACAGGTCTTAACTTAGGTTTCCTGTTAGGTCTTTCCTGAAGAGAGTGGTTAAAACAAGAATTACGAACTTTGCAGAAATAGTAAAGTGGGAATATGTACATACATAAGTTCGTGAACACAATTCAATGCATCATAAAAATCTGCTTGTTGGGTGCTCATGCATATATAACGCTTGACTTTAAGAATCAGAGTGTAAGGACATATGTATGTAAATATGTATGTATTAGTAACTCCTAATCTCAATCTTTTCAGTTTTTGTAAATAAATTTGTGCATATCTTTTATTTAGTCTGTGCAGTCTCGTGCTGACTGAATATATGTAAGCATCTGTGCCTGTACCCTACTAGCACATTGCCAGTGCAGATTTTGTACCGATGTGCCCCATTTCTCGGTACCGATTGTGTAACGATTTCGTGCTGGCACAGGGAAATCGGTACCTTGCCGGCACAGTTTAGCTACAAATTTTGGGTACCGGGACTGTTCCGGCAAAACTGTACAAAAATGGTATCGGTACATATGTACGGTTCCACCTGTACCAAAACTGTGCCGGTAAGGTACCGATTTCCCTGTGCCAGCACGAAATCGTTACACAATCGGTACCGAGAAATGGGGCACATCGGCACAAAATCGGCACTGGCAACATGTACCGGAACCGCACAGGTTGTGCTGGTAGGGTAATGAGAATATTTATAATTGTGTAGGTCTCCAGCTTCTCTATGCTGTCGGTCTTATTGGTCACTTCCTGTTATAGTAATTTTGCGGTTTCGGTCGATATGAAGACGTTTCATTCACCAATTTATTTGTTATTTATTTCTCGCTTATTGCCACTTTGGAAGTAGTCGTCTTATTTTCAATTAATATATCTAATTGTTGTACTAATTGTTGTAATTAACTCATCATTGCTGATTAATAGAGAGAATTACTACACAATGTACACGGAGGTCGTGAAATTAGATACTTATAGCCTTATTTTTTTCGTTTAAGCTAATATTCCTTGTGTACATGAAGATGCAAATATATGTAGATCTACATTAATTTTTTTTTAAATGTTGATTACTATCATTATTGCCCATCACCGAATTTTGTAATCCATGGATTACAAAATGTACTGCAGTACATTAATACTCAAATTATATAATTTACATGAATTTCCTAGGGCAAGAATTTCTTTGTATGAATACATAACCTGATTTCTAATTGGTATATCGCTAAATTAGAAGTATCGCCCACGAACGTAATACCACAATCATTAACCGCAGTCATGTGCGACACTAACCAAAAATATTTGAGTTCTACCATAGCCAATGGAAACTAATTAACTCATTATACCTAAACTGTCCTAATTTTTCAGGATTTTGACAAATGATGTTAACCGCACGGGACATTTAATATTACAATTATTTCCTTCGGAAACTGTGGTCTTACGTATTTAAACGTATGTCTGGTTTAGTGACACTATTGCTGGCGTTGTTCATGCGTAGGTTGTCGCGTTATCCTAAAATTCACCATTCCATTAAGAATTTGACTGCTCCGAGCTCAAGTCCGTGTAGAAACATTATCAAATTTGCTGTCTCAAAGTAAAAAAAATGTTTTATCTAAATTCAAACGTCCTAATCATTTTTGTACATATTATAACAGCTAATTTCATACTGCACTCTCGAGCTAGTCATCACTCGTACTCATTTCACTTGAAACATTATAGAGTCAAAAGTCCTGGAGAATGTGATCAGAGCGGTAAAAATATATCTTTTGTAAAAATTCATTAAGTTTTCCTTTCCGAAATTGAAGAATACAGATGTTACTAAAAATATAGCTCACCATTCCCACCACGTGGACCTTGGTAGCAATGGGGGTTGCGAGACACTCAATTTACAAGGGGACCGGTGCGTAGAAATTCTAAGAAGTGATTGCAGATATGAATTTTACTCTGGGGATCAATGTCGTGGAAATATTATTTCTCCCAATCGTGGCGATTTTGTGGGATCCGTGATGGTCAAAACATGTCATCCATCAGCCTTGTCATCTGACGACAATGGGTTCAGACTAGGCTGGAGAGGAAAGAAGAAAAATGGCAAATTTTGGCCATTTCCGCATCATATAAATTCCATACAAAAAGAACATCGTAAAAACCATCACCATGATAAGGAGGAGTCGCTCTGGTATTGGAATAGATAACTCAAGGAAGAGTTCGCGTGACTTAAACTGTTGAATTGGCATATATTTTATTGACAACCGGTATTTTAAAATGTAAATATCTATATACGTGCATACTACACAAATGTTTTATTTTGCGTTGCTTTAGTTTATGACGGTTTACAATAAAATACAAAATATCAATAATTGACATTAGATAATTCATTGGTGTCTTTTATCCAACCTCAGGCTTTTTAAAATATTTTTGAAATTATTTCTGAAGCCAGGAAATGTTTAACAAAAAATATTGAGTTTGATATTATAGTTTATGGCTTATAATTATGACTGCAATTCTAAGATTATGAGATTTGCAGACCTTCTTCGGCTTCCTAAAGTCCTTGAGTTAATATGAATAGTCGGGTTTTTCAAAGCTGAAGGTTTCTAAAATTCTAACAGGCATTAGTTCATTTATTATTCATTTCAACCTAACGGTGGAAAGTTGGAAAATTTTGGGGTACGAGTGAACCAGACTGACTTGATTTTTAAACACCAAAAGAAAGGTAAACCGCAAATGGAATACTTTTTACTTCTGGAATTGTGTATTTCATACAATAAATACGTATAATTTAAGCTGGAGCCATACTCACCACACACAAACTCACACAGATCGTACAAAAATCAATTGGCATACATAAATTGTGTAACATTTACCTGGTTCTTGGTGTTTGTTCTTTGCCAAATATGCATGCTCGAGGTGTACTAAAGAAGTGAAACCTGAACTTGAGACTATCTACCTGAACATTGCTAGCTACATAATGACAGACAGGGATTATTAATAAATTTACCTTCTGATTTTATATGTATTTAGTTTCCTTTGAGGTTTCATAAAAGGATTCCGAATTTTTAAGTTAAATAAACTAGTGGTTTTTAGACAGCAAAGAATTTTCAAAATTTTTGGAAATTTAGTGCTTGGGTAGTTTATAACTACTAATATTAATAGATATATACATAATTAGTAATTACATAATAAATAGTTACATAATAATAATTACATACCAAATAGTTGCATAATACTGTACATAAGTACATGGCTACATAATAATAATAAATAATAAAATACATATGTAATTAATAGAGATATGTACACAATTACGGTGAAGTCCGATTGCAATTCACAAAAGTTGTCATGAACCCAACCAGGTGATACTGGACAAGGGACGAATAATATCGAATATAAATGTCTCCTCGAAACCTTTCTGGATTTATCTGCTTGCGGTTTAGACTTTTGATTGGATTTTTCGTGGCCATTTTTAGGTTCTTCTGTCGTCATTGTCTGCTGCGGAAGTGTCATCGGTGGGTAGATTTTCATGCCCTAGTTGCCTCTCTACTTTAGTTGAGAATAAATATTGCATTAATCGGCTGTCGTTTTTTTCCACTGGACAAGTTTTGCACATTAATTGAAAAAATGTTTACCATATTAAATTCCAAGCTCAACAATCCTGACCTCAATCAAGAAACGGATGGCATACTTCTGAAAGATTTAGGCTGGTGGGAACCGACCTCAGAATATTGTATGGATAGCAGTTTGCATGGGTTACGATTTATTGGTCAGCCAAACAGGCATTTTGTGGAAAGGTTTAACAAATTTACATACGTCAATTAACTGGATTCATTTTCACTTCACTGTCAGAGGTTTTTTCTTAATTTGCAGAGTCTTTTGGTGCATAGCATTCTTAATCTCTGTCGCTGTTGCGGTGATCTTAATAGTTGAAATCTGGGAAAAATATCGAGTAACTCCAGTAATTACTGTGTTTCAACACAAGGAGACCAGAATTAATCTCATGCCGTTTCCTGGAGTCACTATTTGCAATACAAACAATGTCTTGAAATCCATGGCAGAGGAGCATGAAAAGTTAGTCAAAACATTTGCATGTAATTGCATATTTACATAATGTAACGAATAATGTATGGTATATTTATTTCTTTCGGGATCAACAATTATGCGTGTATTTTGCAGGCGAGTAATTGAAAACCCGACAGACTTGGTTGCAAACCATGATCTTTATTTATTGAATCACATTTGTCAATCCACCGTAACCTTCACTGATTCATTCAATCTTTCTCTGGATCGTGGGGCCGTGCGAGGTGACCTCATGGACCAAGTAGTCAAATTTAAAACGAGTCGGAATATCTCATTCGGTTCAAACTCTGGGAGAGATGTTGCTCATTTGTTGAGTGATGTAAGTTGAGATTTAACTAAATATATTGAGTGTTTGTTATATCATAAGTTTAGGTAAAGCCATTTGCTAAATAGGTTGCCCAAAAATGTGACAGTATGATTCTGCTCTGCATGTGGGGAGGCGAAGTGAGAACATGTAGCGATCTTTTTGACGAAATTGAGACTGATTTCGGCTACTGTTGCGTCTTTAATATGGTTCCGATGTCATTGTTGATGAATTTAAGGTAATCTCTTCATGGGCAAACTTTAGACGATTAGATTGAATTTCTATGAACATCATTGTCTAATGTTTTCGAAGAAATGATTCACGGGACAATCAAGAACGAATTGACGAATGGGATTCACTAGACTTGGATACGGACAACATTATTCTCGACGAAGATGGTGTTTTTGAGAGCAATTATAGAGAAAAATTTGGCACACGGCCGAAATACCCTTATCGGCAAAGCCGTCCTGGAAAGACTACCGGACTCTCGGTTTTATTGGACCCTGATGAAGAGGGTTATTTCTGCACGAATACTGATTCGGTCGGATTTATGGTAAACTTATTTACTTAACTGTGAATTTTGTGGATATTTAAAAGATGCAAATATAGGAAAATATGCTAATATTGTTAGGCATTGGCTCACCTTCCCTTCGATTTTCCGAACGTGGCTGACAAAGGAGTCCCGATTAAACCGAATACGGAAACATACCTGAAAATCGAACCTGATATAGTTACGGCTGGAAGCGAAATTCAAGGATTCCCACTGGTAATAAGGAAGGACTATTATTTACATATTTAAAAATGCAAGGCATATTAAATAGGAGAGTATTGATATCTTTAGGAAAAACGAAATTGTTACTTTGGACATGAATACTCTCTCAAATATTTCAAATACTACACAGTATCGAACTGCGAAAATGAATGCATTGCAAACTTGACATACAATGAATGTGAATGCATCCGGTACTACATGCCGAGTAAGAAATTGTTTTTTCATATTCTTCACACATTCTTGATTATGTATTATGTATGCGCATGACAAAAATGCATCTGCGTTTATAGGGAGTGAGGCTCAGCCTGTTTGCGGAGTTCAGAAGTACAATTGTTCTGAAAGGATTCTGAGTACGATAAATGCTTAATTTATGATCGCTAATAACATCGTAGATTGTCTAATTGGTGAATCGTAACGTATCGCAGGGAAACTTTTGCAAGAGGGTCTGCAAGACAAATGCAACATGTGCCGCCCTACGTGCACAGATATCGAATTTAGGTTTCAAAATTATAAGTACTAAAGGTCATTCATAAAACAAAAATAAATCGATTTATAAACTAATTTAGGATGACTACAAGTTTTATGCCAATCCGGGAAGACATTCCTCTTTGGGAGTACACTAACAAAACCAATGCCTCATGGTCAGTTTTTGTAGAAGAAATTTAAACAATGCAATTTAATTTTAACGATTTTTTCAGGGTAAATAAAAATGTATCAATCCTTCACGTTCATTACTTAACGGACTCCACATACCCAAAACAAAGAAAAGAGTTGTACGGATTTATCGACTTGCTTTGTAAGGCGCATTATCGAGTTGCAAAAATAATCTGTTGCAAATATTTATTTTGTACACAATTTAGCAAATACTGGTGGACTTCTCGGGCTATGTATGGGGTTTAGTGTTCTCAGCATCTTGGAGATAATTTACTTTGTCACTCTCCGCCTTTACTGCCAGTCACGGTCAGGAAGAAGAATGGGACACAGAATGACCGAAGGAGCAAAGCAATCGTGGTGGAGATTGTCACAAGTTTGCAATTGTGACACATCAAGTGATGTAACAATGTTCAATTTCCGCGAAGGAAATCATGTCAACCAGTTTACCGATCGTAATGGATATGAAAATGATATACTCCAATCTGTAAAGGTTGTTAAACCAAATCATTTGAGAATTATTGAAAGTAATGTAAAAGGCAGTTTTATTTGGTAAGTAATTTGGAATTTCTAATGGTTGACATTCTTTGCAAAACTTTGACATGCCGTCCAAAGTCTATTTAGATTTTACTTTAATATATGTGTACCAAGTTTTATATGCTAAAATTTTAAATAATTATGTACACTTTCTCGTACAATTAAGTATCCCAGTGCAGCTTAAAAAAGTGTACATGTGTGTGTAACTAAATAAAATAGTCTGTTGCTATATTTATGAAGCTGATGGAAGTCATACAAATAAAAAATCGTATCATTGTTTGTAGATTCGAAAATTTGATAAAGTTCTTCATTTTTGCGGTATTTTCATACAATTATTAAATTTCAATATTTTCCACTAAACTTTTCCAATCAAATAAATATATCAATATTGCAAACAATACGGAAACACAGTATGGAATTTCTAAACATTTTAATTATTAATTATGCATAGTTTTATTCCACATCAATTTAGGCAGCAGGTTTCGTGGGGTGTAACGGATGCTTCAATTGCGACATGTCCCTCGGATTTTTAACGTAATGATGAATCCCATCAATGCATTCGCTAGCAAATTGCCAAAGTTGAGGAGCTGCCGTTTGGAAATGTTGGTACCATTTGGCAACTTCCGGATACGGGCTAAAGTCAAACTTCATCACATCAAGCACCACGGTGGCCATAATCAAGGGAGGATCAGCAATGGTTAAATGCTCTGCACAAACCAAATTACTCTTATGTAATGTTAATCACCATTTATAATTCATATAATTAAGTAAGCAATGCCTAACAACATATAATTCACCTCCTGCAACAAATGGTGTTCCTTGTCGGCTAAGAAATTGGTCCAAAATTTTCACGGCATGTTTTAACTTTACGAGATTGTCCTCAGTTTGCTCGTAGAGATAATCAAAGGGAAGAATTATGTAATCATAGACTCTTTTTTGATACGTGGACAGATGAAATGCCAGCCGGTGATTTACGACAGCTCTGGCTTTTGCATCTTTAGGGTAAAAGGTGTCATCCTTACAATACTTGTCAGCGAGGTATTGGACAATGGCGACACTGGGGAATATAAACAAATTGGGCAAGTTTTATATCATATGTGTGCATCTATATATTAGGAAAAAATGAGTATACAAGTATTTAATAAGATTACAATTCCTGACCTTTCTCCAAGGATAAATCCATTGTCGTCGATAACAGGAATTTCTCCTTGTGGATACATCTAAATTTAAATATAATAGCATGATGTGAAATTGATCAGGGCAACCCCAACAAAAAATTACTATGTAATTTAGATGCACCTCTAAAAACTTTGGAGAGAAATGTTCTCCTGCTTCGAAACAAACGGGTTTCACGATGTAAGGAATTTTTAGAAACTCCAACACCATTTGCACCGCACGGCCAGGAGGGCTGTCGACACAAGTGTAAAGCAAAATTGGATTTTTTTCCATATTTCCAACTCCTTACTAAAACTCCAAAGGTGGCAATGAAAAGATGTCGTGTTCGCTGTTGCTATCCAGTGAATACTACTGAAAATGTAACTTGGAAAAATGTTTTTACTGGTGAATGCACATATCTAGGTCTGAAACACGAGTTCATGAAGCAGACTCAATATAAAAAACAGGTTTCATGTTCTGGAGATGATTGAATATTGGATTCCTACTTGTATGATAAAAATCATTATGATTGCATATGTACATACAATACAATAAGCCTGGTATTTCTTTTCTATTTAGTTTGGCACTTAGTTTAGCAGACACTAGTTTGTTAAATAACCAAAAAATCATTTGCCCTGGGTTTGGCTTGAAGATGTCAATTGAATCGGAAATCTAACCACTTAACATACGTGCACGACGATGTATAATGTATTAACTAATTAAAGCAAACAAATGATAAAATAAAATTTGAAGAAAGGGATAAATCAAATCAAATTCTTTCCCTTCGCAAACAAAATTTTATTTTCTACGAAGTTTTATTATTTTCAGTTTGAAACATTTATAATTCTGTACTTGTTTATGTAAAGAATAATTTATGGAGAAAGCACATGTTACTGGTAAATTAAGGTTGGAGTAAATTGTAATTTTATCTTTTCCACTTTACCAAACCAACCAAGTGCACTTATCTTGAAAATCTTGAATGCCATTTGAGTCAAAGGCCTGTATTGACTGAATAATTCGTAAGGAACTCGAAACTCCAGTTCATTGTATCTGGAGTCATCATCCGGGTCCTCGACATCAATAAATACTTGAATTTCTTCTCCGGTTCTATTATGTCTTCGGAAATCTTCTTCAATTTTGTCACAAAGTTCTTCAAACAAGTCATAAAATGCACGCTTCATGCGGCCCGAGTACTGAATTTGTAGTGATGGACGGCCGAAATTAGATTTTCCAGCAGACACATGTTTGGTCATTAATTTTTCGACAACGTCCTCATCACAATGTCCTCGACAAAGATTGTGAACGGATTCTGCCTCAGCTTCAGTGATGCCCAAGTGGAACATTAGTTCCGACACGTTTGACTGTTGCAATCTTGCTATGGTCATTTCTGGGTCATCATTGTTAATATTTTCTATGATGCGTCCACCCAAATCACCACCAAAACCTTTGAGTTGTTGAATAAAGTTTGTACCAGAATTCCGTCCGAATCCAGCCTTATTCATTATAGTTAAACCGTTTGGTTTATGTAGAGCGCAGGCGAACTTGGCTTGAATTTTATTTACGGCAACAGCACCGCTGGAGTAGAATCCAGTGTCCTTAAGTATTTCGGGTCTAAATTGGTCAATGATGTATATGCCGTAAAGGTAACGAGACTCCTTCGTATTATCAAAAACCATGCGAAGCTTTTTCCTAAAAACCTGGGATTGTTTTAGTTCTCCAAAGCATTTTGATTTTAGGCAGAAAGTGGTCCCAATTGGGATGGAATCTAGGATTTTAGTCAGACCGAAATAAAATTCATCACTTGGGGAATGATAGATTTCCATAATTTCAGCCCAGCCACGTGCAAGTCGGAGGGCTACAATTGCATCTAAAACGTCCCATGAGGCGTGACGTAATTTGCGACTTTCAGGTTTGTTGTACTGCGTGCCTTTCCTAATAATGAGCAAATTTGAGCATATTTCTTGAGCTTCATCCACCGTATTTTCTCTTGTAATTGAGTATTCATTCTTTGCCAATGGTGAAACTGACACAATTCTGTAAATAGAAAATGATGAATATTCCTTGTTATATTTTTCCTTCATTCAGACCCCTTAAAATTGTGAGAATTTACCTATTCGAAGTAGGATCTGCTAAGATAGTCGGTCTGTTAAAATATATTGTTTTTCCCCGTTTTCCATATCTATCGTCTAGGTAAATCTGGACCTCAAATGAGTCCATGTCGATGAAACCACACGCAGTATCCGCGGACATTGTTTGAACGAAAGGACTAATTATCGAAGTACTTTATTGATTGAAAGAAAATCTCAGAATAATAAATATATTTCTACGTATTGCATTTTATACTGGTGAAAAAATATTTATGTATCAGTAATCACAGTAAAAATTAAATTGTATGCATGATAAGTATGTACATACATACATACATATAGTACATACATTTTCATCGTTTGTTAAGGAAAACGTTTGGCCATCAAAATTAACCTTATCAGTGAAATTACTATCAGTTAATTGAATTCAATGCCAATCAGTTCCATCCAACAACGATACACCTTTTTATGCGTATTTAAAAATAAAAAATATACAGATTCCAGAAGCATTAATATTTATCAATTATTATTTATTTATTATACGTTTGTCAATTATTTATTTCTCAAGTACAGCCCAATGAGTAATGCATATTGTATTTATCTATTTACTTTAAAACGCTTTATTTGACAATCATTCCCCCTTGAGAATATTCAAATATCAAATATTCCACTCGTTCTATTTATATGTAACACAAGATATGCAGATATATGTAAATGTTTAGAAGGTGGTGGCTAGACAATGTCATAAGCGTTGTCCAATAAATTTGTGAATTTGCTGAAAGAACGAAGAGCAGCTTAATTAAGATTTATAAACTCTGAGGATGAGCTTAATTATAATTGACAATGCTTGCTTCATGTGTTTCTGCGTAGCAGTTTCATTCGTCATAATAACATGTGTACACGTACATACATACTTAATACCCACCAGACACTAATTATGTACAATGCTTTTTGATTAATATGTGTACTACAACAACAATTATTGAGCTAGGTAAATGCTAACGAATGATGTCATTCAAATTGGAAGAGTTTAATTAGGCGTTTTGTTTCACGCCGACTTTATCGCTGGAAAGAAATGTCATGATGTGTTCTGGTGGGGGTGCGACAAGACGTTGTAGACTTTAAACTTGTCGTAAATTAAAACACAGCTAAATATAGCTAGCCACACAGATTATGCAAAGTATTAAACGTCTAGCATCACATTAATTTAGAAGTCACCTTTATTATCATCGTATTGACCTTTGTATACATACATAATAGCACTCGACCAAGGAATATTTCAAGCCGTTAGATTTTAGCGACATGTCGAACTGAATATTCGAGACATTTCCCTTCAAAACTTAGCATCGACTGGAACTGTTCCGGTGGAATAAGAAAACTCGTCCCACTACTTATGACCACATAGATCAGGACACTGTTATCGAGGAAAATGAGATTCTCATCTTTTCTCCCCTCCTCATACAGCACCCTGTTCATCCGTGCCCTTTCCATTTGCACAATGTGCCACACTTTTCCAGTAATCTACCGAAAATCGGGGCAAAACTCGACCTGCTCAAAATCTTGGATTCATTTCACCTGCTTCATTTTGTCCCTTCTGAATGAATTATTTCACATCCTCATGTTCTTGGAGTGGCTTTACGCTCAGGAATCTGAGCAGCCATTGTGGAAGTCCATCATGATGTTCTACTTCCTCGGTTGCTACGGCTTTGTCTTCGTCACCAAGTTCATCTTGGCTTGGAGGCAAGATGAGACAAAGGAGCTTATCGAACGTGCCGTGGAGTTGGAAAAATTGTCAAGCAAGTCTCACCCGACTCGGGTTAGAGTGACACCTGTCCTAATTTGCGTCATGTTTCTCCTCACCTCGACAACATTACCGTTCGTCATGTCCTTCTTGGCATTTATAAGACCGTGTATGCCACCCTTTTTCAGCATGGGTCTGTTGGAATGCAAATCCTGGAGCAGTGTGGGTGGAGCATCCGTTTCTTTGAGAGTTGGTATCGCTCTTTTTGAGCTCATAACTTTGTTTACTAGCCTGGCAAATGCAGTAACGATCGGATTAGTGGGGCTTGTTGTGTATCCTCCTGTTGTTGAAGAAATGTGGATTGATCTTGTCGATAGGTACGCATTTTTGCATATAAATTCATGTGAATATAAATGTTTTCCACGATTTTGAAGTTTTTGATTTTATAAACTTCGAACTGAAATTGCATCCTTATGAAACGTACCTATTTTTTTTATTTTTAGGGAATTGAAAAATTCTGCATCCCTATACTCCACTGCAATTAAATATCGAATTGTCCAGTCCATGTCGAACTTGCACGGATCTGTGATGAGGAAGCCGTTCATGTCGATGATAGTCGGGGGTGTGATGATGGTAGAAATAACATCATTGTATTTGGTGATCAGTTCCATTCACGAGATGCCCCCGCCCGTTGCGATTTTCTTCATCGTGATGGTCATGGACTTTTTTGTCGTCATCCATCTCTTGTTCAAGGCGCTGTGTCGTCCTTACCTGGCGTCCGTGGAATTTGTGAACAGGGCCAAAATGAAAAAGAGGGGGAAATGGTTCGACAAGTATCTCAAGTCCTGCGTGCCGTTGGAGTTATCGATGGGTGGCGGTTGCTTTTTTGACAGGTTGACATCATTTGTGATTTGGAAATTCTGCGTGGATCAAGTAGTTAATTAGTTAACTTGTTGGTTATGTAAAACATAGACTACGAATATAGATATTATAAGTGCATATTTATTAGCAAGCAAATGAATAATTAAAAAAAAATGAAAGATCTAAGGTTCGGTTTTGAGTGCACCAGATATTTCTGCGATTTTTGCATGGTTGAAAATTCAGCATATATAGAAACATAACATAGGAAATAGCATAAGGAATAACTAAGAAATACTTTAATGCACTAATTTACATGGTTATTATATATTTAGCACCCGCTGTAAAGTCTTTGTGTCTAGGAAAAGTCGTTCATTTTGAAACCAATCGCAAAATATTTGATCAATCAACTTGTACGGATTTGGTTTGTATGGTTTTTATGAATATTTCATAAGTCTGTATTATAGTCTATATTCTAGTGTTTATATAAATAGATGTTTACTTAAGAGTCAATTCATTCATCATATAAGACAACAGGAACAAGTTTTAATGATTCTTAATTTGCACGTTCTACAAATAGCTTTAATTTTAGAAAACAAGTTTAATTACTAAATATCCATCGATCCATTATGTGTATAGGCATGTATGTATTTGTATATGGTTACCCAATGTGAATGGAATTACATTTACGAGTGTGGACCCTATATGTATATCCATCCATATAAGTGCATAATAAGACAATTCACTTAATAATGCTTGTGAAACCACTGCCTAAATACATTTTTACTGTATATTTTGCACATTTTCATTGACGGTGTATTTCTGTATTAATTAAGCCTCCTTGTTAACCTATGAATATATCATATTATCGACAATTTAATTTTATGAAATCGGTATATTTTCCGAGCTTCTAATAAATCGTGCATTATCGGAATGATGAGTAACAATAAGTTCCTTTGTTATAATAAACATTTCTTAAATAGAAAGTGAAAACTGTAATGGAGTGTAAAAGTGTAACTCTAGTTTGTACTACATTTTAAGTAACAGACTTGGCAGACCATATATTTGTATGCATGTGTGTAAATACGAACGAATAATATCACCTAACAAATTTCGCTTCATCCAGTACAATAGTCTTCAAATTTGATTGAGAGTTTATTGTTGTCGATAAATGTCACAATTTCTTGGGCCGATTCCCCACACAACTGCAAAAAATAAAAGTTTTGAATTATCCATGAATAGAAAACATATGGATGACTAGAAAAATCACATTAATTCCAGATATGGTGACTCTGGTCAATTTTCCAATGCGCAAGAGGATCTTCTTAAAGTTGGAAACGAGTTCGAAAGATCTGTATCCACCATTTCGAAGGTCATCGTCAAATTCGCTATTACCATAATTTTGTATGGTCAATGTCTTCAAGTCTTGCAAATACAATAAACAATGGATTAAACGTATGATTAGTTTATACAAGTAGATAAATTTCTTGTTTATAATTGCATACTTTTAGAAATGTCGCTTCCGTTCTCGAGACACGATATAAACGTCGTCATTTTCTCAGGAAACTGGGTCAATATTTTTAGATATTTTAATTTTGGATGGACACAAGATTTCAAAAATTCTTCCAATAAACGATCTCTACGGGAAATCAAATCTCTTTGAGCCTGCTCATTATCAGAACCAGCACACACTGAAACGTGGAGTTGTTGTAGGGCTGGAAATGTTGTTGACTTCAGCAGAGCGGCCAAAGGTTCGGGATGCATCACGCCATCGACTGCCAATGTCTTGACAGAATCAAATCTAACTCCAGGTTTAAAGATGTAATTGAGTAAATCGTCTCCCTGCCTCCCATGCAAATTAGAAATATTCAGAGTTTTCAAAACTGGCATTTTTTCACTGGGAATTCTACCATCAGTATTTCTAAAAAATATATCGACACTGTGACACTTTAAATAGTCCAATTTTGGCAACAGAGGTAGAGACAAATTTAGGTTTGCTGATTCAAGTATTGCCAACCCCACTAAAGGAATTCCATCCTCGTTGAACAGAGCTAGCTCAAGGCGTTCCAGAGAAAATGACACTTGACACAACATTCTGGACAAGTCCTCTAAATTCAGGCTTGCTTCAGTCGTACCGGTATAATAAATGGAACGCAGGTTAGGATTTGCATTCAAGTGAGGATACCAATTTGCTAGAATGCGGAGTTTCTCTAATGCTGGTGATGAGGCAAGGAGTTGTTGTGGTAAACTGTGTGAAATTGGATTTGGAGGGACGTGAATTATCATGGATTTCAATTTAGATTTTATCGGAATAGATAGTTGTTGAAGAGCCCCAGAAATGCTTGTCAACTCGGTTGGAAGGTTATCATCTTCCAAAATGCAGATATCCACTCGGGTAAAATTTGGACATGAATGGAGGAATATATTGTGAAGCACGGGAATTAAACGTAAATTAAACCCCCAATGACCTTGAAGACTGTGATATGTTCACTGAATTTTGTACAAAATTCGGGCAACCCAAATATTATTGGGGGAAATGAGGAGGACTGTGCAATGTGGTTTTTTTGACCTCCTGGACATCTGCATTGTTCTTGTATGTCGATACGACGAGCCAACTTGGGATTCATATTGGTAACAAATTTTTGAAAAGAAGTGGAATTGCAAAATGTGTGGTTTCTTTCTCCAAGGTCCAAAGATAAACTAAGTTTTGGCTCGGGCAGTGAGAAAATGGCGTCATTCCATAGTTTAGAGGCGAGACGAATGTGTTTAACGCTGACATATTTTAAAATTTCTTGGAGAATCTGAAATGAGCAGTGGCATATGAATTACCACATACACTTTATGAGTACATTATCACAAGTTAATTAGTAACATATTACTTGTTGCAGGTAAATAACTTACCACAGGATTTGTTAAAGCTTGTAGCATCGGTAAATTGGAGTCTTTTGGTTCAGAAGGATGTGATGTTTCTAATTGAGCTAGATAAATCCGAAAGAGTAATATTCCAGGTTTAAAGCATAACATATTTATCAAGTTAAAATGTAAAATTTATTTTATTACCCTCCGGTAGTATTTGTCGCGTCTCCATTTCAACTGGTTTACTTATGTAGATATGTAAGACGCTGTGCAAGATTAAGGGTGAACGTTCTACGTATGTAGATAGACATTTATTAAGGATTTAAAGCCAATTTACTTTTCAGTATTTATTTGTTTATTTACATTCTGGATGTGTGAAGTGTTGGTTACACAAAAAGTAAATAAATGGAGGGAAGCTCTCTGGCCCTGAATATGTACCCTTTTGCATTGTTGTTACTTACATAATACACTCCACACTGGACTTCTATCCTACCTTCCTCTACGCAACAATGCAAAGTTGCATTTTCTGACAATGAATGGCATAATAGTACGTCACTCGAAATGAATTGAGCATGATTCGTTACATGTCCATCTTTAATACATTGCAAATCATCAAATTTGTAACTTTTCCAGCTTATCTACACATGCAGGCATGTTATTACTAGTATTCATGATACTAAAACTAGAGATACAAATTTTATTGTCACTGATGAAATTATATGCATTTATTCCTTGTTAACATATTGAAAGATATTTATTGGTCGGTAATTTATAATAAAATTTATACATTACCACTTCACTGTTTTATCAAAATGCCACCCTCCATAAAGAAACTATGAGCAATTTAGTACATACATATTTAGAATACTTAAATTCCTTGCATACTATCCGTCAAAGGACACGCAGGGTTAGAAGAGGTCAGAGTTTATTAATACACCAGAGCGACGCTTACTTACATTTTTCTCTTTTGATAAGGTTTATTGGCTTGGTTGGCTTCTTGGCGTCTCTTTATCCCTTTATATTCTCTCGCACTCAGTGTCCAGCTTCACTTGAGCTTTGGTCTTCCTTCAGAGCGGACGTCCCTGCTCTTTCCTCCCTCATCGTCCCGATCTCTCTGAAGGCTGCTACTCATTTTAGCGAAGTGCGAAAACAAGACCATTTCCACAATTTTTGACAAAATCAGACAGTGCAAGTCCAGGCAGACCAGGGGGAACACGAGGTGAACGGAACAGAACTAGCTGGTGGGTACCGATTAATTACTTGGAAGATTTACCAATTAAATTTTTTTTGTAAATTTTGTGTGCTCTCTTTTAAATTTCAGGTTAAAACTTTACTTACAAATTCAAAAAAGACAGAGAATCAACCATGTCTCACCAACATTTGCCTTCCACTTCGTCGCCAACGTCGCCGCCCACTGCGACGTCTCATGAAGCCGGAGATCAAGCAACAATAATGTACCAGACGATTTCTCATAATTCGACTTTATCGTGGGGTCCCAGCTCGCAGTCTGCAGGACAGCCCTTCGTTCCTTACAACAGTCAGAGTTCAGGATTTCTTTCGCACCCATTTCCAATGTCGTTGGCGGACCAGCATCTCCATTCCCCCTGCCAGATGACTCCCTGCCTTCAGTGTTTCAACCAAGGACCACTCCTCCAAGGCTTACCGACGCCGCCAGTACTTATCAATATATATCCGACGTACTCTGGAGTCATGACGACTCCGCAACTCAATCCCATAATCTTGACCCCATTTCCACCGCAGCAGCAGCCGCAGATGATGTACCCTGTACCACAGCCAGTACCACAGATGATGTACGCACAGGAGGTGATGACGCACCCGCAGGAGGTACCACAGCCTCAAATGGTAACCCAACCCCAAGGACCAACCGAACAACATAACAATGAAACTAGCAGTGAGATGGTCAGTAATAGTCCTTAATTTATGAGAAATACTTGTTGATAGCTTCTTCGAGTGTTTTTTTATATACACTCGGTTAACTTTGTTGCCGTACATTAATTCATATTTAATTAAATTTGTAATTACAATGCAGCGACTGCAATCCAGCACAACTCGAGTTCAAAGAGCACCTCGGCGTCAAGCACAAGGACATGGAGCCCGTGGATCTCAAGCATGTGAAACTCGGGAAGAATATTTTGGCGAGACCGTTCCAAGAAATGGCTGGAAGCCGTACTACCGAGTGAGGAATTCTGCGGGGAGCTATTATAAGCTAAAATATTGAAGACTACAAACTGTAAAATACTCTTCGTAAGCTAAATTAGCCAAATTTTTCTACGACATGGACCGAATTGACGATCTTAATGTAAGACTGAATACTACACCGTAACAATATTTCTCTAAATTTTGTCGAGAAAAAAAAATCAAGTCAGATGTATGTAACTCTCATTATTAATTATATGAACTTAAAAAGTATAACTTAATATAAATAATGGAACACATTAACTCGTAAGATTTTAAACCAGTATTAAACAGTCTGACTAGTAATTAACTAATACTGAGACTGAAATGAACCTGAAATGTAACTTTTAAAATAATGAAATGAACTATGTATTTTTTATGTTAAAGATAAATGTATAAATTTGCAATTTTTATTTGTGGCTATGATGATAAGCTATACCTATTTTTGTCAAGTTAATGAATTAATTACTTTTAATGATATGTACCTTAGTCAATGTTATGGAATCGGTTTTAATTGAATGTCTTTTTATGAACTTTTGACATGTCAATTTTAACAAAATTGTTGTTTTATTTATTTCAAAATGAATTACAAAATAAATAAATCTGAATTGGCATTGAAATTTAACGATTTTTTCATTTATAATTTACACTTTTGTCAGTTTTTTTAATATACATAATTCATGAGGTTTTGGTGAATCATTATAGTGAATTGAATTCCTTATCTGCATAAAGCTCCGTTTATATTAGTAGTTCGTGTCATCATCATGTCAAACTCTAAATCCGACTTTTTGATGGATCGAAATTCGTAATTGTCTGGTATGATATTTTTGACTAGCTAATCATAAAATCGGAGCATGTCATGATGATGACATGAGCTATAAACGGAGCTTGATACAAATTTTCATAGCAATGATGTCACAACTCTTTAAATATTTTGGGGACATGCACAGTGTTCAAAGAGGCCAATTTATTGGAAGTAATTCCCCGAGCACTTTTCTCTTAATATTTTTGCATTTTCCGAGCTCTGGGGGGTCAAAGACGTGTCCATAAAAAAATTGACGAGCCACACCCACTTTGGGTGTGGTTTTTTCCTAGTGGGTTTAGGGTCAATCGCCCAGTCCAAACTTGTGTGCTAAGCGATTCTACACCTTCTAAAAAAATTTCATCAAAATCGGTCCATAAACAAAAAAGTTATTGCAGGTCAAAGTTTGGCGAAAGGCAAAACACCCCTACTTTAGGGGCGTGGTTCTCCGAAGAGTGCAAACTTCAAACTCTGAAAATGGTTGTAAATGATGGCCCCCCTTGGTATGTACATATTCTGAAAAAATGGAGTTCTGAAATTTGCACATTTCCATGAAACATGGCCGGGAACATTGAACAAAATCATGTCGAAATTGTCCAAAACAGGCGAAACTCAACATGACGTAGAGTAGTAAAAATCGATATCTAGCTTCAGCTAGGGCTAAGAAGTGCGTCGCAAGTGAAATTGACCCATGTCGTAAGGGAATGGCGTCGACTTGTCGAAATTTCGACATGATCCTATAAAGCTCAAATTTAAAACTAGTACTCCCCCAGCATTCAAAATAAATATTCTAGCACTTTTGGCAATGTCGACAGCCAATTTCGCCGATTTTGAAATTTGGACATTTTAGGGTCGACATTCGGCGAAATTGGCTGTCGACATTGCCAAAAGTGCTAGAATATTTATTTTGAATGCTGGGGGAGTACTAGTTTTAAATTTGAGCTTTATAGGATCATGTCGAAATTTCGACAAGTCGACGCCATTCCCTTACGACATGGGTCAATTTCACTTGCGACGCACTTCTTAGCCCTAGCTGAAGCTAGATATCGATTTTTACTACTCTACGTCATGTTGAGTTTCGCCTGTTTTGGACAATTTCGACATGATTTTGTTCAATGTTCCCGGCCATGTTTCATGGAAATGTGCAAATTTCAGAACTCCATTTTTTCAGAATATGTACATACCAAGGGGGGCCATCATTTACAACCATTTTCAGAGTTTGAAGTTTGCACTCTTCGGAGAACCACGCCCCTAAAGTAGGGGTGTTTTGCCTTTCGCCAAACTTTGACCTGCAATAACTTTTTTGTTTATGGACCGATTTTGATGAAATTTTTTTAGAAGGTGTAGAATCGCTTAGCACACAAGTTTGGACTGGGCGATTGACCCTAAACCCACTAGGAAAAAACCACACCCAAAGTGGGTGTGGCTCGTCAATTTTTTTATGGGCACGTCTTTGACCCCCCAGAGCTCGGAAAATGCAAAAATATTAAAAGAAAAGTGCTCGGGAAATTACTTCCAATAAATTGACCTCTTTGTACACTGTGACATGTAACAAAACGCCGCAGTCGCTTATTACTTGCTTATTCTTATTACTTGACCTTTGTAAATTAAGCAATATGTGCATAGTTAAATTGTATGTATGACTTATGGTATCGGACAACTGAGCATTGATTTTCGCTAAAAGCAAACTCACCGAATGACAATAAAATAAAGTTAATTGAATACAAGTGCAATTCGATTAAACGCTACTCAACGGATGCGATGCACATCATTCTTAATCACTTATACCGTTTGCTTATCAACTGGAAAGTACTAAAATATTGTGACTCGACAAAAACTTCCATTCGCCAAAACGAAGTACTTGCATGCGTGTTCCATAGATATACAAATTAATCGTGTAAAGATTGCTTATCAGTTGACGTAGGTGTTTAATTTGTTATGATCCAGGAACAAACAAGCCTTGACTGTCCTCTAATCTTATGCAGCACGAATGACTCAGGGTGGATCTGAAGTCACTGAAAAAGTACATATACCAAACAAGAGAGGCCAAGTTTGAGCCATTCACAATTATAAATCAGATCGATCCCGACCATTTTTTTGTACTTATCACTTCTCTATAAAATATTTCGTTAAAAATGAAAATATATTTCATAATTTTCTTTGTGGGAATTAGTTCCTGTGCAAACATTGATCCCAAAGTGTCACCATCCTTGAGCGCATCGTTATCACTGACTGACGCTACTATACGAAGATGGGACCTTGTAGTAGAAATGGAGGGAGGCACAACTTCCGTACTAAAAAATTACAACTCAATGTCAACCTTGACGGGTACATCCCGTGAGGAAAAAGCTGGCCTTTTAGCACGAGCTCTTCTGTCGCATAGCACGCTTTCTCAGAAGGCCGTTATTTCTGGATTGTCCGAAATCAGTGCGACTAGAAAGGGCGGCTTCAGTTATTCAAGCAGTTGGATCTCAAACGTGGTATTTATTCAAGTAGATGAATCACCGGACAATGTAATGCTCGTTTCAGACTTGATCTCTCGCCTGGTTCAAATTCCTGGCGTGGCTTTGGTAAGGGAGCAAGTAGTAGCAAAACTTGGACCAGTTGTGGCGACAGTGTCAGACGGCCAGACATTAGCGCGGGGATGGAATATCAACAAGGTTGGGGCTCCTCACTTTTGGGAGACTAATAAAACGACAGGGGCTGGAATTATAGTGGGGCATATAGATTCGGGGGTTCTAAGTACTCATGAAACGCTTCGAGCCAATTGGATTGGTGAGCAGGGAGGGTGGTTAGATGCCCATTTCGGTCAATCAATTCCGTACGATTCTTCCAGCTCGAGTCATGGAACTCATTCACTGGCGTCAGCGGTAGGAAGTAATGGGTATGTAAAAATGGGAAAAAAGTATGATGCATGACATCCCGGTTGTGTGATTTATTGTTAATTTGTATCCTATTTGTAGCGTCGGAATTGCACCAGGCGCCAAGTGGACAAGTTGTTTAGGATGTTACAGAGACGAATGTAGCGAAGAAGACCTCGACAACTGTGGACAGTTTATGCTGTGTCCTCTTGGGTCGCCACAATTCAGGAATTGTACTGGAATTCCAAACATTGTGACCAACAGTTGGGGTGCGTCCGTTTATGCATATAAGAACTAACAGATATATTTAACTACATATATAGTGGCTAACAATTAAATAATTGACTGCAAATTATCATTTATCATCAACAGGATCTTCCCGAGGCGGTCAGACATTTTACGACGCGGTAATTTCATCTTGGCTAGCTGTCGGTATAGTCCCAGTTTTCGCTGCAGGCAATTCGGGTCCACAATGTGAGACGTTAGGTTCACCCGGAGATAACCCATCAGTCATCAGTGTGGGAGCGACATCACAAAGTGACGGACTTGCCGAATTTAGTAGTGTTGGTCCCAGTGTGAAGTGAGTCATACTTATCTTTTTAACTCCACTACAAATATTAGTGCATGTCGTAAGTTGTTGATTTCTTCGTGTTCAGCCGCATCCTCAAACCAGACATTGTTGCACCAGGAGTGCGAATTAGGTCAGCCAATGCTAATTCCGATACCAGCTATGCAGAACTCAGCGGAACGAGTATGGCGACCCCCCAGATTGCTGGAGCCCTCGCCCTCTATCTCTCTGCCAACCCTTCCCTTACATATGGTCAAATTAAGGCCATTCTAACTGAAAGTGCAGAACGCCAAGGACTTTCTCCAGTAAGTGGTGTGCCAAATTGTGGTGGGCTAAACGGCACGACTTGGCCAAACCACAAATTTGGCTTCGGCAGACTTAGACTTGGACCACAAATCATTGAAGAAAATCATGGAGCTGGGAGTAGGTTTGAAATTAGTTTCATATCCATTGTACTAATTGTAGTTTCTAATATTTTGTAATCAATGGTTGTACACATAGTTTGATATTCTCAAATTTTGATTGAAATGAAATAAAATTCATTTGGTTTATTTCGAAAGCAATCTGCAGTTGATAAATCAAGTACTGTAATTTTTGTTAACTGGTCATGTACGATCATCGTACATGACCATGATCATCGTACTACGATGCACAAAATATCCTGGGCGACAATGGAATATATCCAAATATAAATTGTGGATACATATGTATATCGGTAAGTACGTAAACCTACTCAATATACTTGATTTGATTATACATACATACATATATACGTAGATACATATGTATGTGAATCGGAAGATTGCTTTTAATTGACGCATAACGGAATATGGATAGTGGATATTTATCGTTAAACCATGAATACTAGTGCATGAGTATTTGTATCTTTATTAAAACTCAGACTGAATATTTAGCTTTTACCATAATATCAATATATCTATTTTACCAAATAATCTTGGATATTTCTATCTAACTGCAGGTACATGTTAAACATCATATTACGAAGTATGTAAATATGTCAAAATATTATCCCCGGCTAGATATGTAATTTAGTTTCCAGTTACATACATACGGATATTTATGTCCAAAGATTTCATGAAATCTTGCATTCCCTCATAAGGTACATACTTATTATTTGTGATGCTCAACTTTGACTTGATTACTACTGTACTTCTCTTGAAAATAATTAATGCAACAACATATCCAAGAGTCATTGATGGAAGTATTAATTGATATTTACATGAGTAAATAAATATTATGAAATTAAAACTACCAGCATTATATCAGCAATTCGACCTTTCGATTTTCCAAGCACTGTACGGGATCAATAATCTGGTCCTCTATATTGTAACAACTTACTGAAAATAACCCTTTAATGTTATCTGCTTTTGTAATTGAGAACGATTCCACCCGTGAACATGAATTAGCAAAACTTATAGTTTTTACTTGCCCGTTGTTCAAATGGTTCATCCCGTTCTTGTTGCAAATTGTCATAAACTGTTGTCTCAACCGTGTATCCCCTGTCCACAAGACAATAACTGGGCTAAATAAAATGTAAACATAAAACAAGGCGATTCCACAGGAAAAAAAAGTGCCGGCCGTGGTAGAAGAAATCGTGTTGGTTGTGGCGTCTTCTGCGCTTGGAGAACTTCTACGAAATACTTGATACCATGAAAACACGAGGCCAAAAGGAACCCACAGAACGATAAAGAAAACCGTGTACGCGAAAATGAAGCGAACTCTTTTCCACTTTTCTAGCGTTACAGGATTTCGTGCTACCTGAATTGTTGTACAAAACGTTTGTAATGTCCCAATTAGTAATAAGTATTTCATATATGTATGTACATACCTTTAATGTTTTGATATATTTTAGCTTTCCACGCCATTTGTACAGGACTGTTAAAAAGAAATGCAAAGGTATGCAGGAATTTAATTCTGATAATAAGTCTTTAACAAGATTCAGTTTAGAATAAAAAAAATCACAAAGGAACTGTTTATGAAATCCTCTTACGAAAAGACATGTAAGCTGGAGCCCCCAAATGAAATAACAAAGCACGAACAGTTTCCACGATAATGCAGAGCACAACGTTATTAAATATAGGAACCTGCATGACACACAAACACAAAGAATTATACATGCAAAGAAATGTGAGTTAATTAAATTTCACTCTGAATATGACAACCTTGGCACATTTTTCTGTAATGATCTCGCCATCCCCTCCACTCCTGGAGAAAGTCGTCCCGAATAAATATGGTGCTGCTCCAATTCCGGATAAAATCCAACATAAGCCTACCGTTCTTAAAAGAAGAAGATTGCCAGACCGTGGCTGCAGTTGACAACATGATTCGTACACTATTGCCAGGACGTGAAGTGGATACATGTTAGCCAGCCAGTCTAATAAATGCAATTCCATGAAAATTTTTTCCGTCTCATTTTATAAAGTTTGACTAAATTACTTTAAAAGATCTATAGTATTAATAAGAAATGTTTAATAATTACTTCTTAGGAAGGAAATGAACGGACAGGTCCACGGACCTTGGATGTATTTGTCGCCATCGCCGAAATAGAATATGGTGCCTATGGATGAGATGCATGTAAGCAATGACCAGTTGGCGATTAGAATGTTGACAGCCCTAAATAAAATAGATAAACTGTATTAAATTGATTATTAAATTGATATGAAATATGAATAACTCTACATAAATATATATGTATGCACCTAGGATGCCTTGCTTGAAAAACGATCACGATCACGAAAGAATTCACCACAGTTGATATCACGGATATTAAAATTGCAAAACTTTTGAATATTGTATCCATCCTGAAGATGTTTCTATATGCATTCTGTAATTATGTACAAATATGTATGTATGATCTGGAGGACTTTCACTCCATCGTGCTCGCACGTCAAGAGGAGAATTTAGATTGTGAAGTAAAAATTAAGGAGAACTTTGCTCTTTCGATTTCAATCTTATTTGGTTCACTTCACTCGCTCCTGTTGGAGAAAGTAGAATGACGGATTATTCTGAGGACATGATGTTGTGTATTGTGTCCGCATTAATTTGATCCCGTTGTCGCTTCCTCCTATTTGCCAACGGGACGTGGAATAGTGATGAATTCATGTGCTACACGGGGAAATAAATGCAGAGACTTACGACTTTAATTATGCATACATATGCAAAGCATTCGCGAAAGTCAATTTTCCTGAACAACTGAACAAGTATAAACAGTTGAGAAACTACGGAAGCGTATATTCTTATTCTAAACAGAAAGTAAATTCTATTAAGTTAGACGTTTTTGTTGAACATGAAATAAGTGCTAAACCATTAATTAAATGAAGTATCCCAAATATAAACCTTTTTTAACAGTATTGAGAATTCAGTTAGGAGAAATTAATTCCGTCTGTAGAGTTTATTTTATTTCCTGCTGAAAGAAATAAAGAGCATTTTTGATATTATTCTTTCTGGATTGCTTTCCTTTGGGAAAATACGACATGGATGAATATTCAATTATTATGAATATAGAATACACGAGATGTGCATTCACACTTGCATAAACTTTGGTAGCTATTGATTTTATTCATGACTTCGTGTATTCTGCATGTACTTATTCTGACATGTCAAGGTCACTTGATTAACTTTAATGTTAAGTCAAACTTTGTAAGCGGATACACATATAAATAAATTAATGCGGAATCAGTCATAGGTCCCTTCCAAGTTTGTTAAGTGCATAAATATGCATATATGTTAATATGTATGTATGGTTAATGGAACAATCTACCGAAGCGTTCTTGTGAATACTTATGTACGTATACATACGTTTTAACAGGGTTTTCAGTATTACATCTGTGACTTTGAAAAAGAGACGGTAATATGCGTTTGTACATAAGTGAACGAATACTTGTCCTGCAATTATTTGTATCTCAACTAGATAACCGACCATCATACTATTTGAACTCATATTTTTTATAACAGATTTGTGGTCGGGTATGGTACATAAGCAAATTTGTACTATAACCAATAATTTTTTTCATGAGGCGACAATACCGCAACAATTACCACTTTGGCATCATTTTAGATATGTTCAGTAATGTGTATTACCACTTGAACCAAATGTGTACGACTGCCACTGACTTGTCTAAATACTTGTCACCCGTAATCAGTTGTAACCACATGAAGCTGGTACTACATACTAGTAACTAGCATCGTTATAGGAAGTTTCCATATAATGTAATATCCCTTGTTGTGCGTATCTTCATGTGCATGGTACCTACCTATACTTTCCTATCAATTGTAATTGATGGGAAATTATAATAATCAATGTTTTTGACTTATTTTAAGAAAACATGAAGATTATGCTTTCATATAAACTCTACACCGCATAATTTGTTTGCTTATTAAAATTTACTAAAATGAATGATAATCCATCAGACTAAATTTTATATGACCTTGTTTTCTAGGCGAAATAGTGTTAATCACAAAATTACAAAAATATAACTTAATTTTTAGCTTAAATAATGATCCGTAGATTGCTTTGTGGTACATATTTGCGTATACATTTGTGTCGTGCTTACCATTATTTAGCTCCGGTGTCGTTATTCATTACAATGATACATATGTATATAAGGGAGTAATTCTGTTTGGTGGATAATCACTTGTTGTTAATACTTGATAAGCTCAACAACGACGAGCGACGTTTCAATCGCCAATCTTCCAAAATGGCAAAATTCACGGTAAGATTTTTGAAAGACAAGCACAATATTTTTATCACATCAGAATTTTATTGCTACCATTAAATCTCTTAGGCAATCATGATCCTCTTCGCTTGCGTGGCTGTTGCCCTGGCTGCAGTTGCACCAGTAAAGAATGTCCAGGAGAGAAAGGACTTGGACACCGCTGCGGGCCATTTTTTGGGCGGTATCAACTTAATATATTTTGTGATTTTCGGTTCAGTTGATTACAAAATTGTTTTTAATATTTAGGTTTTGGTTATGGTTACCCGTTCTATGGCGGATTTTATGGCGGATTCCCAGGATTTGGACACGGATTCGGATTTTATGGTTAAGATAAGTACAGGGTTTATGACTAAAGTACTCGGGCCTACTTATTTAAGAGATTCTATGTACCATTACCGAAAAAATCTGTATGTTTTAGAACTTATGTAATCACATAAAATTGGCTCTCAAAGTCAAAATAAAGCTCTTTCCTATTTGAAGTAATCCTATTTATGAGGAATACAATTACGCAAATAATACAAATTTTGGAAAAATAAATAATTTTATCCTAATTGTCTCCCTTCAGGAGTGTGGGAGAGTCATAAAATAAAAGCCATGACAATGCATGCATGAGAAATCGAATGACAAAGTATGACTATTACAATTTACAAGGGAATACATTCTGCGTATGAATTTACATAACTCGGTGCATAACGATTACTTTCACATGCATAAATGGAAGCAAATATATCAAACGTGATTTTAGTTTATAAAAATGCGTTAGGAAAATAACACAAAATGTAGACTTCATTTAGCACAAGTCAGGGTCTGAGTTCAAATTTCTAATAATTTCCTTCATATTCGTAAATCTGCATGCATGAAGCCAAATTTCGGATATTTCAAAAACCAGTGTGGGTCACCCTGCTGGGGCCCTCCAGCAAAAATATATTTTAATCTGATTCCATATTATTTGCTATGATGTGCACTGCACTTGCACCTTCATACGAAATTTCATTCTAACCAATTAACTAGTATGCATATTCTTAGATCTTGTTGGGGCTAGTGAATATACGTGCATTTTTTTAGTAACTCAAGCTATAGGAAAGAGTTTATTCAGATGTCGTACAAGAAATTGTCTATATACATTTCTATAATGTTTTATACGAAAGTAAAACAAAACATGCTACTAACAATAAGATTAAAACAATAATTTGTAAGGTTAAAATACTTATAAACATTGAGTGTTTACAAAATTTCAGTCAATGAATGACTCAGACTATACCTAAGTAAAAAATTCGTAAAGATTTTATGATGGCAATAGTGTTGTACAACTTATTATAAAACATTATGTAAATATCTATAAATGTCAGGTTAACAGATCAGAAGAAGAGATTCAAAACTGGAGAGCGTTTTTTAGAGTTTACCATCCCATTGGGGTTGTATTAACCAAACGTCTCATTCGTCTGTAAATAAAGTCTCAGGTTTAGAATAACGTGGCAGCTTAATTAATAATTTTTAATAATGATATCTACCTCGTATTTCTGTCCTGGTCACGAATCTTCTTTTCAATTTCTTGTTCAGTCAGCGTTTCCAGAAAAGGTGCCCATGCATCTACTTCTCCTGGCTGGCGAAACGGAGCTTCCACAGTTTGTAGGGGAGCTTCACTAAAGGCGTAAGTCCTCTGATGCCACGAGATTTGACCTTTATCACAATTAAAATCATGAACTTTCTGCATAAAGTATAATAACAACATATATCTAATAATAGTATAAGCATAATAGTTTTTACATTACCTCTAATGGAATAAGCAATTGCCGTAACAAACTCTCCGCCCAGGTCGAGCTCGGCGCAGAGTCGCTTGGCAAACTTCTCCGGACTATTTTCTTTTTCCCCCATATCCCATTCAATCTGGTCGGTAAGGCCGGTGTTACCGACATGAATGTTGAGCTACAACACAAGAAATATTCATGAATATTCCAGTGTTTATTTTAACATTGGAAATTGAAATTGGTGGCAATAAAGAAAAAGTACTGGCACCTTTATAATGACCCTTTGATCACTCTGGTCTTCCAATAAATTGTCGGTCGGGAAAGCATCGACTTGTTGACGAATAGACTGAGCTATAGCTGGGATGAATGTGGTAGGATTCAAGTTCAAATCATCACAAAGAACTTGTGCAAATTGCTCTGGCGTGACCAGCATTTCTGTAATATGGATAAATTGGATAAATAAGGACATTTTTAAACATACTGTAGCATCTACAAACCGTTCTTATTCCATGTAAACGTATCCCTCAACTTTTGCCCTTCAATTTCCATATCCAGACGAATCGGGACTAATACTTCAGGTTGCAGAGCGTTCTCCTTGATCGCAGAAGGATCAGTGTCGTCAAAGCATGTAGGAAAGGTCCTAACTCGTTTATGATTGATTCTAGATCTACAAATTTGAGTTGCTTGGGGTACAGCGTCCAAATGAGAGCTAATTGGCAATGAAGGGACCAATTGTGTCGGCTTCTTTTGTCGTTCATCCCTGAAACCAATTATTTAATGAAATTACTTGCATAAATAAGTTTTAAAATATATACAAAAACGTTCATCTAGTTAATTGAAATCAAACAACTCAATTAATACCTTAAAGCTTGTTGTTCCACAGCCAGAACCGAGACCGCCTTATATTGTTCATCATTCCCGTCCAGAATTTCGTCAACTTCGCACGCTCTGATGAGAGATATGCTGGATGCGACACAATGCTGATTCAATCCTGAATTTAAAAGCAAGCCATTTAATGTGAAGTATTATTTTAAAAGATATATAAACTAACCCAATTCAGCCAACTTTTTCCTTTCTTCATTTGTCACCATTCGACGACTCAGACCTGGATACTTTTTGTAAAACGCTCCACGAAAGAGGCGCAAAAAATTTCCGACCTATATTCAACAAATTTTGACAAAATCATTTCAATTTACATAAATAAAATAAGTTCTATTGTGTATTAATTTAAGTTACATACTTCTGATCCAATACAATAGAATTCGCCACCCTCTTCTAACTGAAAACTGGCAGGTTTGACGCCATAAGTTTGTGGCGACATGACGAATAACGTTTCTTCAAGAATGTAATTAATTTACAAACTACTACAATTATACAATCAACAATTGCGGTGATTTTCAGTTGCTCCTTCCCATAACAAGAAATATCGATCGATGGATTTATGTATGCAGGAAGTTGACAGTTTAGTCGCGCGCACTCGCCCAATGAGAGACAAAAGTTCAACGCTGTGAGCTTGGGTTGGATTTCCGTTTTGGATTGCCATGAAAAAAATGAGTTTTTTGAAATTTATCTATTATTAACAACTAAATAATTGGGGGGATTCATTAAAAGTTCGCATGTTAGCATCGCAACAAAATTTTGAAAAATATTTTGCCTTCTAAATCTTGCCCTGGAGATGCACAAGTTCGCAAATGCATTTTCATTTTCAAGCCAAACTTGTTTGCTAACTTTTTTCTTTTTTGCCAACATAGGAACTTGTCGTGAGTACCCTCTTCCTCATTGTTCAGTAAAACTTATTCAAAATGCTACGAATATTAGCTGACCATAGGTTAGGAAAGACTTGCTCATGTCCACAATTAGTACTGAGGGTTAGGCGAGATTATAGAACGTGTCGAAAACTATTAATTTTTAGGCGAAATATTTGTTGCTGGATATTTTGAATGATTTCATCGTATTCCTCATCCTTTTCTCATGAGGAATGAAGTTATCATTTCCAAAAAGCCGGGCTTTTAAAGCCGGCAGCAGATTTTCTTTGAACCATTGTTCATCTGAAAGTTTGCAAAATGCATAAAAAATTTTATGTCCATTTGAAAAAAGTGTCGATCTGAAGTTTCAGATCAGAATTAAAGCACTAAAGGCGCATAACCGGACGTAACTAGTTTATCTTTATGCAAAATAATTTAAATTCCGAATATTAAGAAAAGAATGGCTGCGTACTGGGTGGTGATCCGAGCGGTGTGAGAGGACGCAGCGTCATGATGAAAAAATACCTTGTGGGTCTCGCCGCGATAAGGTTTTGGAATTTCTTCTTCCAAAAGTGGTTTTAAACCTTTCTTAACATAGTAGGTGGCATTAATCTTTACATTATGGGGAACTCGAAACAAAGGGAGAGTTCCACGACCGCTCATTGCCCCCACTACCATAACCGTGACCGCAAACTTTTCACTTTTCTCGCACACAAACTTCTCCATATCACTTCGGGACTTTGAATAGCAAATTCTTCGAGTCCCTTTGCAATCTTGGACAAAGAAGAGTGCCTCGTCCAATGTGACAACAAATTCAGAGCGATTTCCGGTCAAATGACTTTTGTACAGCTTCCGACATGTGGTCATCCGTATTTTTTTGTGGCGCGGTTTTAGGACGTGAACTCTCGTCTTTTTAAGTGTCTTCTTCCGTAGATCTTGATGAATAATTCGGTCTATTGTACGTTGTGAGACTTGGTGCTTCTTTGCCAATTGATTTTGGGCCAGTGGATTTTCTTTTTTAATATCACGGTTAACTATTCTGACAAGCGTCGCTTTTCGCAATTTTCGGGGGTTGTGGTTGGGTGGCTGTGGAAGTCCTAGTTCCATAGCCTGGTTCCCTTTTCCAATCGAATCCTTTATTTTAGGCATTGGGCTATTGGAAATGACAATTGTTTCGTCCTGGAGTTTGTATTGCTTAACAGCATGGAGCTCTTTGGGGTCCATTTTTGGACCCGTTTTCAAAATTTCGAAATTGAGCTTTTGGGTCACGGCGCAGCTTGAACCAAGCTTCCAGAAAAGTTTCGAGTATTTGGAATTAGCGCCATTGTTTAGCGTATATGGGCAAATAGCTACACGTTCTATAATCTTGCCTAACCCTCAGTATTGCACATGGATGGTATTGCATCGCATTTACCTATCATATGCATGCACTCCAGAATTATGTATGTATATGAAAACGACTGGAGAGGAAGCAATGATTCACGTTGTATAACCGGTCATATATTTACTGCAACGCTTGTGACGAGCTTGTGCATAAAATTATTATTGAAATAATTAAGCATACAGATATTTAGTATGAGATTTATTGCTAATAAGCAAACTCGATAATTTAGAAAAGCACAATGGGCCATGAAACTTCGAGAGGAACCCGTCCTAATAAAAGAATATTCAATGATTGTTCTTTTTTAATTGTTGTATATTAAAGCCTAATGATCAACTTCCACTCCAGCTTCAGAAACAAATTTATACTGATCCGTTACATATATATATGTTGCATAGATCAAAATAAATACGCTGTCAATGTGGGGTTTGATTGGGAAGGTAAAATATATATGAAATCATGGGCAATATTCGTGGAACTTTTATAGTAGTAATACTCGCGATAGTGGTGGCGATTCATTTTTCAGAGGTTTGTAGTGAATTAATAATTTATATAGTTTTGAAATGCTAAACTAAAGGATTTTCCAGGTTGATAGTCGCCGAAATAAACATTGGGGGAAGATGTTAGCAGACGCATTCATGAGACCATGGAATGATATGGTAAGTATGTGCGTTTATGTATTTACAGTACAAGTATGTACTCCAATGCATGACGCACTTATGTAACTCATAAATAAAAATAGAGGGATAACTTGTGTATTAAAATATTAAAATATGTAATGCAGACCAAAATGGTTAAAGGGCCAAGTTATAGATACTGGCATCATAGAAGAGGTTCAAATGGGCGATGGGAAAAACGCAAGTATGGTCACTCGGATTCAGAGTCCGGATCAAGGTCGTCAGAATCAAGGTTAGTTAGAAGAAGGAATATACCTATACAAATTCATGAGAAACGTATGCACTTACTAATCTAATCGTCCATTTCAATCATATTAAAAATCAAGATCTGAGTCAAGTTCTCGTGAAAGAAAATTTTCATCGAGGTCCTTCGAGTCTTCGTCATCCGAGTCATCGAATTCAAGGGATGATCGTATAATGGAAGTGGAGTCATTTTATCTTTTTCTGGATTCGAATGGCTGCTCGAACGTCACAGCTTTCCAGCATTTTATGTCATCATACAATAAGAAAATGGACAAGAAGTATGAATATAATGACAAGGGTGAAATACTTCATGAAATGTCTAGGTTAGCAGGGGAAGAACTACTTGGTCATATCGACCCTGTTCCACAATCTTGCCCACAAAAATGTCTAAACTAATCCTAAACAAACTTATTGTAGTCCTCATGGGTATATTTAGTTTAAATTTAATGAAGATATATGTAAAACTATTTTCGGCCTAATAAATACATACGCGTATTTGTAAATGCTCTATTACATACATGTGTGTGCAACATTGTATTTGCTTAAATTTCATTGGATATAACATACATAATTGGTACTTTTATTATTTCATCATAAACTAGATGGATAACTTTACTGTTCGGCTGAAATATTATACAACAAATTGCTATTTGCATGTAGTATTTGCATTTGCATTAATTACATAAAAGAGACAATACGATTTAGATCATGTACTAAAAATATCCACTTATGTATGCTTATTGCAATTATTTTTGTTCTTTGCAGTTGTTTTGCAATTATTTCATTTAAAGATATCAATCTGCCTATCATGGAAAACTACAGCAATAAATAACGATCAAGAATGCATATGAATGATATTCCAGATAAAACAGGAGTGTACAATAAGTACATAATTTTGTAGGGATATATAAATGTACATACTTATGTCACATGCGTGTGTAACACACTGTTAAGTTGAAGTGACTCGCGTCCCGTGCCCAGTACACACAATATAGTTTCTGCATCTGCATGATAACCCTTGCTTATAAGATTAGCGTTATGATCATAAAGGGAAAACTAATTTGAAAACAATAGCGTTTGAGCAAACACATTACACAATGGTCACAGCGTGTCATACATACTCAAATGAATTATGTGGAATTAGTGAAGTTGATTACAGTGTGGGTATATAAGATCAAATTTTGATACAGTATGGCTGCAGGGACAACCATCTTAAAGTAGTCAATTCCAGTTTAATTTCCAAAATGTTTGTTGCCTTGACCCTCGTCGTTGCCACCGTGGGGCTTATAATCTACATCCTTAAAATCTATGAAGCCCGTGCAAAAAGCTACTGGACTGATCGTGGATTTGCTTCCACCCCAAGCGGAGTTTCCTTCTGGGACATATTTTTGGGAAAAAAGGATGCGATCGATTCTGACGTTGAAATCTACCAGAAAATTGGTCATCTCCAGGAGAAAGTGGGTGGGGTCATGGAACTGGGAGCATTTTCATCTCCAATCCTGTTTGTCAGAGACTTGGATGTCGCAAAAGACATTTTAATTAAGGATTTTGACCACTTCTTTGACAGAAGAAGTTTTGGGGATTTCGATAAATTGTTCAACGATGGACTTTTCAATATGAAAGGACAAGACTGGAAAGATATGAGAACATTTTTGAGCCCCACATTCACTTCAGGCCGGATACGTAGCATGTTTTCCCATTTTGAGAGGTGAGACTTACTATTTGATTTTTAGCTATCATTGGTAATTAGTTATGCATAAAGATATGTTCGTATTTCAGGACTGCTGACAAGTTGAAACAACATGTCAAGTCATTTCCAGTCACAAAATCCGGATTTGATATTCCAGTTTCAGAATCCATGCGAAAATATACGCTCGAAGTAATTGTTACTTCAGTTTTCGGCATGAGTGTTGATGTCTTTAAGGAAAATGACATTATGTTCGAAATGGCTGAAAAATTTGGTAATAAAATTGTAATACTAATTATTAATCAAAAAAATTTTAGCTAAAAGGGTAAAATTATTTTCCTCTTAGGTCACTTCTCTTATTCTCGAAAAATTAGACTCTACATGATTCAAAATTTTCCAAAGTTATCAAAGCTTTTAAAAATTAGTGGAGTTGATCAAGATGTTTCCGACTTCTTTTGGGGAATGTTGTCAGCAGCATTGAAAGCCAGACAGGAAGGAAACATAAAAGGGAACGACTTTGTGCAAATGTTGGTTGACGCCCAGAATGGCAACCTGAAAGAGGATCAGGAGTCGGAGTTAAGTCGGGAGGAAAAGGACGCCATTTTAAAACCCAAGTCCGGTGGAAATAAGAACAATATAAAATGGAGCAATGAACTCGCCATTCCACAAGCATTTATATTCATGGTGGCTGGTTTCGATACGGTCGCGAATAATTTGGCAGTAGCGAGTTATATTTTAGCCACGCATGAAGATATACAAGACAAAGTTTATGAGGAGGCTTGTCGTGTCTTGGGGAATGGGGAAGATGGAAAGAAAATTGCATATGAGGAGGTGAATCGCTTGGAATATATCGACATGTTCATATCGGGTTCGAGAATTTATTGGTCAATCAGCATAATCTGGTAACTAATTAATTCTCTCAATTCTTTTTTTAATTTACAGAGGTCCTTCGTCTGTACCCTGCGGTGTCTAGGTTAGACCGGAAATGCATGCGAGACTATGCATTGTCAACATCGGATGGTGAGAAACCTTCCAAGACACAAGTCATCAAGGCAGGGACATTCATCGCAATTCCGGCCGAAGCTATCCAACGTGATGAACAATACTATCCTGATCCTTTAAAATTTGACCCTGAGCGATTTAACCAAGAGAACAAAACCAAACGGAATCCATATGCTTACATGCCATTCGGCATTGGACCCAGAAACTGCATTGGTACTTTTAAAATATTATTGTTTGGTTTGATTTTTATTGCAGTATTTTATATTGAGAATGTCTTTGGTTTGCTAGGAATGCGATTTGCTCTGGTAGAAACTAAAGTTGCGTTGGCACACATTGTACGCAGCTTTAAGATTGGACCGACAGAAATCCCAACTTCTAATCAAGAAAGTGTATTTCGAACCGTTTTTGGTTATCGACTTTCCTCAGACTTGAAGTTGAGATTTACGCCAAGAGTATAAATAACTAACTACGCTTTGAAAAATGGGTAGAATCATCATACAGATATTTTTATGTAACAAATTAAATGGATTACATGGAAATTGTTGTTGATCTTAATTTTAGCTATACAATTACATCACTTTATTTATCATCACATCATGGAGATATGTACATATTTCTGCCACCCATGATTGCAATAATCAAGTCTAGGATTAAAATATTGAATAATACGTACTTAGATACATACATACATATGTACACACTGCACATATAAATGCTTATACATAAATAACATTCCATACGATAAATACACTGTCACTAAACTAGACTCGAAACGAGATAAGATTACGAAATAAATTATGGTGGGAATTACCCTTATCATACGGCGTGTTAAACCAACAATAAGATAACGTTTAATATGGATGTCTTACAGAAAAGTGCATCATTTCCGTATTGTCCATTTGGAAAAAGGCTGAAGACGTAGCATTTCCATTTAGGTCAATGTTTGGTTGTTGCTTTCCGTCAGTACGACTGCCCTTTTGTTGTTGGTGTTGCTTTCTTCGCCCTTGTCGACGTGAAGCTTTGTTTTTCTGTGTTGTTGATCTACCTGATGTATCATTGGTCTGGTCATAAAAAGCTGATAACTCGACTACTGGACTATTTTCAGCTTGGCCAACAGAATATGAAACGGTAGATTTGGAACTGTATTCGTTAGGTTGAAAAGTAGCATTACTGTTGGCCGAATAAATTTCAGCGTTCGATGTCAGCGCTCCGGACGCCACTGGGGAGGATGCTTTGATATCACTGGTAGTGGGGTTGGATTGCTGGACTTGAATATTTCCGAATGATGAAGCTGTTTGTTCTTCTACTTGACCATTTTCATATTGTTGTTCCACAGGAAAGGTGTAAGCATGACTTGGTGCATATGAATCAGTGTCAAATGTGGAGGGGAATGCAGAGATGCCAACTTTATAAGTCTCATCCGTTGCTGATTTGGGATAGAAGCTACTTGGAACATAGGCGTAGGGACCTTCTGCATATCGAGAGTAGGGAATTTGATAGTAGCTTGCACTACGAACGGATGAGACAACTGAAGCAATGTCAGAGCTGGTGGGATTATCATTTACTCCAATAATTTTAGGGTTCACTTGATCGTTTTCTGGAAATGAGGGACCAATGGTGGACGAAGGATCAGAGCTGATTTGATCTTGCTGGGAGGTTTTGGTGGACGAAACTGATTCAGGACTTGAAATGCGTCCAATTGATACGGTGTACTGATTTCCATCCTGATCTTCACTGGCAGTAGCAGATGAGTAAGAAGTGGAAATAAGGACTGAACCCGAACCGGAAGTTCTTTCCCCAGTGATAGTTTCCCTGATTTCATTATTACCGTCACGTGTTCCAGAAGTCCCATTTGATAAGACGGATGATGAAATATTATCAGGCTTCTCATCTTCAGGCAAAGTTTCACCAGTAATCTGGCTGGAAATAGCTCCAATGCTACTCACACCCGACTCTTCATTCGTGCCATCCGACGACGCAGAGTAAATTACATTAATTGGACTGCTTGCACTTCCAACCACGCTTTGACCTAGGATATCGGTTTGACCAGTAATGTCCAATTTTGTGTCGCCAACGTTGGAAAAAATATCACCCCTGCTTCCTTTCTCCACCTGTTCTGATCCTTGTCCCTCAAATGAATCCTTCTCAGATACTGATGCCCTCCCGTCTTTAGCATTAAACATGCGTGCTCCTCCCTCCCGATTCAAAAACAGGATAGTTGGCTGTGGTGGAGAATCATTCTCATCGGTCTTTTGTTGGATGACCTCCAAACGATGTTGGTCAGCTTGGGGTCGGACATAAATGGTAGTTTTTGGTGCGGGGGTCGAATCTCTTTGAATTGTGATTTTGTGGTTGTACACATGAGACGGTGGGTCAATAACAATGATTTGGTTCTCTGTAAAATTTTTGACATATAAAAAAATTAGATTACTATTTCACAAAAAAATATTTAGTTATGCCAGAAAATTCATATTACCTGGACTAGATTTTGGTTTCTGCAATTTGATTGGAGGATAAACGATTTTCACGGTGGCAGGATTGTTCTCGTTATTCTCATCCATGGCACAAAAAACGGGGTTATTATTCCCATCCATGGCGAAATCACGACGACCCTCTAGACACATTTCACGCCACATTTTCATAGCGTATGCTTCCTCTTCTGGCCCTGCTTCACGCACTATTCCAGCACAGCATGTCGACACAAAAAGTGTGGAGAATAGAAAAACGAAGGTGATATTTAAAGTCATTTTAGGAGGTTTAGAGTACCAGCAAACAAAGTGGTCAGTCTGAGGTTACGACACATCTCAAGTTCAAGGAGGAAGTTTCAGTTTTATTTATAAAGAGAGCGAAACAAGAATGCAAATTAGGGAGGAGAGCGGTGGGTGGTTAACATGCGCTTATTTAAATGGTTCACACCTTATAAATATATGGAACATAAATTGACATCTGAAAATGTATACAGAAGAAAGGAAGGAAGTAACTTAAAGACAGGAAGGAACAGATTGGTTGCTCTAATTTATTTACAAAAAGTGATGATAATGAATCGAGTTAAAAATTGGATCTGATGAGACAAATGTTATATTGTGTGACGATGTCAAGTTCATGGTAAAAAAAACCGGTCAGCCTTCACTTTGTACACAAAATTGCTTGGAATACATAAGATGCATGGCACGAGTTGTAATGTATGAATCTTGTCCACCATAAACTTGTCACTAACAATGCATAAGATTTAATGGTTCTTCATATTTAGTAAAGCAAATAAAAAGGAATGCCATGCCCAAAGGTAAAACTCTATGCTCTTCCTATAATATTACGATACATGCACGGTCAATTAACGAGAAGATTAATGAGTTCAGATCCTTTCATAGTTCATACCTTTTTGGACTGATGTCTTCATATTCCATTAGTTGACTAATTAATACAAATTAAAAATGCTATTTCGAGCTAAAGCAAATCTTCCGAGAATTTAAGAGAAGGTATTCATACGACAGCAAAAATTCTCCAAATTAGTTATGACGATAGAATTAGAGATATATGTACGAAGTATACACATACATAGATGGAAATTACGCCATGTATTTAGGTTATGACGTAAAATTATACTCCGTAAAACCGTAATTTGATTTTCCGATGGAACATTTTCTTGCAAGCCTTAAACACCGCGACACGTGGATAGTCCTTACACATATTGAGATAACTTACAAATTCTAAATATGTAATGAGCAACATTTGCATTATGGTATATATTAATTTTAAATTACTATGTATATAATGTGTATGTAGTAGTAGCAGTAATAATATATACATAATTTAGTAGATTGGTTTATATAAAACTATGTATACTCATCACACTAAAATTACCAATGAAATCGTGTAGTATATAGCCAAGGAAAATAATTCAGCTCGAAATCCTTTGGACATGTACAAGAATGATCCGACCGATAACCTAATAAGTCTGCAGCTCTTTAATTGCCTCCTCCTATTTCCTGAAGGATTTTGAAGATGCCAAAAGGTGACAAAATCAAAAGACAAAGTTGCAACCTCTATAAGAAGAGGCATTAAAACGTGAATTATGACTGAGAATAAGATGAGAAAGGACACAGCAAGCATCGTAAGGGGCATTGGTACTGCACCGGTCAATTTTATAATTAGATACCCCATACTGACACAGCAGATCAAGGTCACCAACATTGCAGCAGGAAAAACGGTAAACATTACTTGGTTCGTTACAACAGTAATAATTTGAAGTTGACGATATTTCATGAAATTGTTGGAGAAATTACCCATTTCACCAAACCGGGTAGTAATTTTTGATGTTGAGGATCCTAATGTTTTCCTAGTATCCTATGTTCCGACAAATGTGTGCCTGGCCATCTTTCTTAAATTGGTATCTAGTGATAATATGACATTTGTAGCGTATATAATGCAAGGAAAAATGATCATGCTCCCATGCATTGTAATGATGAAGAGGAGCAAGATCCTTAAAGCAAGTATGTAAGTGGGTGGAAATATTCGTTGAGCGTGGCGAAACCAAAAATAGGTCGGGTCAATGTTGTCAATGAAAATTGGAATGATGCACATTAAAAATCCGTTGATAATTGGAAAAGGAATCATCATATTTAATAAAAGTCCTACAATCGGTGTAATTGGTCCGTCGTCAGTATTTCCTATTGATCAAAATCATTAAATATGTAGTACCATAACCAAAACCATGTAAAAAGTAGTTTAGGTAAACAAAATTTTTCATGCCTGACGGTTAAAAATCTTACCCTGAATAAGGGCCATCATTTTCGTGCTCCCCAGATTGCTCAACGCGAAGCATATTTCGTGCACTTTAAACACAAAAGTGTTAATCACTGCTATATCGAGTCCACTGACACAAATACAAAGCAAAAACATTAAATTCGCTGCTATCGACATGTCGGAATCTTTCTCGTAAGAAATTATTTCCCGTAGCACAAAGTACAAATAGCTCATCGTTGCCATAAATAAAATGAAAGACATGGAGAACCACGGGATTAGCTTGGATATCGGTGTTGGATATGGTTTCCATGTAGCCCTATTCCATGTGATGTACTGAGGATATAAAGCTTCCCTAAATATTGCGTAATGTTGGAGAGCCTCGTAAGGACCTATTGGACAACTTAACAGTTTGTAAATTATTTTGGTTTCCAAAAACTCCATGATCCGACTAGATTAAAATTTAAAAATACGCAAGACATGCAGTTTTTACTTCTGTATTATTGCATAGAATCTTCAACTACGACTGTGCACAAGTGTTCATTTATTTAAAGAAATACTCAATTTATTTTCCCTCTCATGTCAAGGCTGTAATTTGGTGAAGAGCGTGGCGAAGGAACTGAATTGCTTTGCTGGATTAATTTGCCTACGAATTTTGATTTTTTTCCTGGTCTTTAATTATGTACATATTTGACCTTGACCAAGCAGAGGGTCAATAAACCTGCAGATTCTGGTTAGTAGGAAGGTTATGCGTTTAAAGACATTGAACATTTATGCACGTGAGTACAATTAGTACCAGGTTGATTGCAACAGAGTCAAAATTCTGCAAAATTATTTCTGTAGAATTAAATTTTAAATTTATTAATCTTTATGTACTCATCAGATTGTGTATATGTACATGTTTCTATCTATATGAACTGCAAACTAAAGATTTGTAATATAGTACAAAGACATGTATAAAAACTGAGAAAAATTCTGGTATTAGAACCTATTAATTCGAATATTAAATTTTATTTAATGTATTTTATACTATACAAACTTACGTACTTACGTCATACATACGTATTCAAATGTGATTAACATAAATCCTGTTTGCTATAATACTTGAAAGTTAATAAATTATAATTTTACTCCATATCTGGCTTACAAATATAAATAATAATAATGTATAAAAAAACATATATTCAGTAGAGTATGTATATATCTCTAGTAAATCTATTAAAAGTATTCCTTTAATAATATTTAAGTGTATAGGTTTTCAGACTAAGAATTAAGAATCACCATACTTCACACTTGTCGACCGGATTCATATCAGATCCAGCCTTACAGTTCCAGTCTCTCGCAAAATCTTTATTATTTGCAAATGTTCCTTTGACCCGAAACTCTCCGGGCGAGTGTACCCCGGTTAAAATGTGGTTTCGTAACCTCTCAGGTCTGTGAACACTGCACCAATTGCTCGCCGCAGAGATCCAGAAGAGTTGGTTGGGCGTGAAGCCTTCAAAACCAGGAATGGTCTGTGGGAGGAAGGAGTGGAGGGAACGTTAGTTAAAATGAGTGATATTTCATTCATTTGTAAACTCACCGATTCCAGTTCGTTTTTTCTAACCCATGACTGATATCCCCGATAAGCTTGTTTTATTCCCCCTGTTGATCCCATAAATTGTCACAATATTATTTTAGCAGACTAGAGGAATGTGATTTTAGGAAAAGTATATATGTTTGAGAATTACCATTGTCAGCAATATTCTCGCCTTGTGAATTTATACCATTGAGCTGAAATTTATTAAAATAGTTTTGACTTGCTATCAATTTGATAGTATCAAATATATCCACGATACCTTCAAACCAGATCCAGCCGGACTAAATCTTCCATACTGATTGATAATGCACTTTGTCTTAGTGATGTAGGTTGATTTGGTGAAAGGGTCCCACCAGTTGGCGTAATTTCCATCCTTATCAAATTGATGACCCTGCAAAAGATGAAAGTTAATTATGATTAGTATTTAATAATTTTATCCGTTTTAGTATGCAAATAAAGTAATTTTTTAAGTAAAACCTGGTCGTCAAATCCATGTGATACTTCATGTCCAGCTATCCAGCCGACCGCTCCATAATTCATGTATCGAGGGCGTCTACTGTCGAAAAATGGGTTTTGCAAAATTCCAGCAGGAAATTCTGTTCAGTATGTAAAATACTTGTGATTCCTACATGAACTCATTTTTTACAAAAGCGTGTTAACTTACGAATGGCGTTGTCTAACGGAAGATAAAATGCGTTCACTGCAGAATTTTTTCCATGAATCACCCAGTCATTCTTTCCGATTGGTTCTTTCAACTTTCCAAATGCCAAATTATTTGCGGCCACCACCAAATTTTGGACATTTCCGAAGAAATCATCTTCCTTGAAATCGTACTGCAAGGATTTTCCAATTATAAAAAATATGTACATGATACAAAATAATGTATTTCTTTGTACCCTTTCATAAAGCGCAGTAATTGTATCATCTCTCAAATGCTCGTTCGGATAGCCAACGTGCACACTCATCCCTAACGCCTTCTCCTTCGCTTTAGATTTCGTGGCAGCGTCCATCCACGTGACCTCGTCTAAAATGTGAAGGAAAGCAGTGTGAATGTTTCGAACCATTTCATCTGCCTCGGATTTTGCACTGGGTGGAAAATATCGTCGAATATACATTGCTCCCACGGCGTTGCCCATGCTCGACGCCACGATATCTGTACATTCTTTCCAGCGTGGGAGGCTTTGTTTTTGACCCGTAGTGACTGCGGAGAATTTGAGTTGGAGTTGACGAGCAGGGGTATTTAAATACGCCATGGAGGAAGAGACCAGCCTCCAAACAGCATAGTTGGCAAGAGTTCTGTATAAGTGTGTATGTTTTTTAAATGAATTTCCATAATAAAATTAAATCTAAGCAAATATTTAAGTTCTTACTCTGTCTCTACTGAGTCAATCAGGGCAAAGAATGCATCTAAATAATGAGGAGCTGATATGATGACAACTTCATTCGAGTTAATCTTAACGGGAACAATTCTCTGGAACAATTCTAGCCACGGCGTGGAAGGGTGTTTTGCCTCCATTTCTGCAATTGTGGTGGGCACATAGTACGCCGATGCGCGAGTCCCTTCCGGTCGATGGAATCTTTTAGCAAGAGCAATTTCAAAATTGAGAACTTGTAGCATTTTCTGCTCCACGAGAGGTCTAGAAGTGGCTCCGAAAAGTAGAGCGGTGTCAATCATGTAGTTGTAATAAGCGGCGACGGAGGGGTCGGCCAGGCCAGAGATTAAAACTTCACGGGAAATACCAAGAGTTGGTTCCCCTACCTTAATACACAGGTAACAATATGTAATTTCAGTTTTTTAAAATTTGCGCAGTAAAGGATAGTGTAAAACATTAAAAACGTACCGTTATAATTCTTCGCTTAACATTTTTAATGTCCGGGTCTACAGAAATCTTGATAAAAATGTCATGGGAAAATCCCAACTCTCGCAACCACACTGCATAATTAGACCACGTGAAGAGATCCTTTGAGAAGAATTTGGGCGAAGGGTCCAAAACTGGCCAAGCTCCGAATTTATGAAGGACCTTTTGCATGGGAGAGGTCCCAAGGACATTGAGTAAGTCTTAAGTCGGGTAGAATAAACGACTGATTAATTATCATTTTTTTACCTCTGTATTTGGTAATTGCATTTTAACTCACCTGTATTCATGCAAGAATTGTAAAAGGTTTTGGCCAATTTAAACGGTTTTGGTTCATTTGGGTGTATTTTTTCTTCAAACAAAGTTCTTAGTTGTAGGGAAACTTTGTTCCTTAGACTTGTGAACGGTGTGACTTCCGTCTCGTCGGGTGGGATTTGCGTTCTTTGCACGAAACCACCACAAGCATACTCGTAAAAATTGGTACAGGGGTCCGCCTTTAGGTTCATGTTGAATTGGAGGCGTTTGGCTGGCAATTAATTTTGTATTATTTACTTTTCAAATTGCTTTTTTATGAATACAAATAGTGTTTTACCTGCTTTCGAGCATACTTCTGTCCTGCATACGGACGAGGGGGGTTGAAATTGTGTAACGTTCTTTTGTGGGATGTTTTTATTGTTGGCATTTGCTTTGGCAACATTATTCTTGTTTTTCCAATAACTTTCAATCCGATTTGGATGGATCTGATGTTGAATTGGATTTCTAGATTCTGCTGTATGCAAATCGTCCCCAAGTGAGACTTGCTCTTTGGGCAAGAGTGGTGGTGACGAGTTTCTTTGCTCCTTTGGTGGATCTATGCAGTGAATTGCATTAATTAAAGAAAAATCTCAACCTGCCTCCAACTCAAAGCTTATTTACCTAACAACGCCGAATGTGAGCAAAGACAACAGGTCCCTTGACACGAACCGTATGGAAATCCTACCTGATGGCAATATCGTAGGCAAGAATCTTCAGTGTGTCCAGAGCAAGGAATGTTCATCTGGTGACAGCTTCCGCTGTTTCCAACACTTCTGAATCCGGGCATCTGGTGTTGTGGAATATTTTTCTGGAACAGTTGTGGTCCTGAGAAGAACCAGGAACTGGAGTGCATTGGTTGCTGTTGAGGTGGAGGAAATGGATTTCCGGAAACCTGTTGAGAGATTCGGGCTCAAATGATTTCATTTATTTAGTTGATAATTATATAAAATGGGTATCTTAGCTTACTTGGTTTGTTAATATAATAAAAATTACTATGAAGGTAAAGTGTATACTTAAATCATAAAGATTTCTATGTCTCTTCATTTTTAAAATTTAAAATTTTCTATTGTTTAAATATTTAAAAAATAAATTTTAATTTTGTATTACTAAATCTAAGTTAAAAATCTGTATCAAAAATATTTAATTCACAAAGTGCGTATCTGTAGCACGTGCTTCATAAGTAAATATATTCTTAAACTGCGTTTTACTAAACTTGTCAGACAACTCTTTTGGTGGATTTATCTTGAGGTTAAAAATGCGTCTATTTCTCTGGAGTGGTTTGGGCCTTTTATACACCGGAGGTCGGTCGGTACTCTCATCCGTAGTCCCGTCATCATCATCTCCTGAAAGTCCTTACCTACGCCACAAAATATCCCAGCAAGTCAAGGAGAGTCAATATACTTGGCTTTTTTAAGACCAGTTTACGCGAGTTCGTCATCACACTAATGCGAAATACGTATAATAAGATGCCAGCGTTTCAAGATCGGTTCCACAAATATACATATTTTAGACGGATTGGGTGACTAACGTTTCAAATAACCCAAACAACAACAGATTTAGTGTCCATCACTAAATGTCACATATGGTTAGACAGAGCCATTCATACGTGCATAATAATATTTTCTTGCCTGAAAAAGTGCATGGATGCATACAAATACATAAAGTATGTCAATGTATTTATGTATGTACACCGTCGTCATCGATCACAATCTCATAACAAATGTTCATGCATTATGCACATCGCAGAAGATGAACTGGACAAACAATTTACGATTTAATAAAGAACTTGGTGAAGCTTTTTGCGAGGCAAAACCATAAGTACGCAAAAAAAGTTGATTTGATTAAAGCCAAATCATGTTGATTGGATAATTTAATGGGTTAAATACACACATGTATTATAAGGTAAGTGGTGTTTATGCTTCACGTCATCGTCACGTCCTCCTTCAAATCCGATTTTTTGATTGGCTGAACGAAATTATCACTACGACAATTAAAAATTTTAACCAATCAAAAAATCGGATTTGGAGGAGGACGTGACGGTGACGTGAAGCATAAACGCACCTGTAGAAAGTGGTTTAAGGAAGGAGGCGATATATATGCATATATATGTGCTACACATAAATACTTAAGCTACATAACTACAGATGCTCAGTAATTTTATTATTACTCAATACTTGCATTGATGATCAGATTACGAGTACATAGTTATTTGTCAAATGAAACACGTTTAGTGAGCTATCAGCAAAAGCCTTGTCATAGTAATAATTGTATTGAGATTTGTAGTTGATGGGCTTGTCATCATTTGGTTTAAAACTTGGAAATAAAAACATATTAATCGTATTAGTATTAGTAAATATTGGTAAATGTCACATGGGTAATTTGACAACTGCGAAAATGCAGATTTATTTGTTTTCCCTTGTTGTTATGGTCTCATTTGAGTAAGGGCTCGTTAAACATAAGGCTTGTTACCATTGTGCAAAAAAACGGTTGACGGTCTTGTTTTATAGGCGTGGAAATTTGAGTCATGGGATGAGGTGTCTGAACGAAAAAATTAAACAAGTAGTAAAAATTTATGCATGAATACTAATTTATTCAGAAGTTAAATTTTTACTACTTTATTTTGGTGAAGTGATATTTGTGTCGGTGTGAAGCACATTATGCATTGTTTTTTTGACTACGCAGATTTTAATTAATTGCGTAATCTCTATAAATTAGTGCGTACGTGTAATGAATGTGGGAGGGAAAGAAAATTGCGATGCTGAATCCAAGATGGGCTATTTGGATTTGCTGATAAAATTAGATTTTCGATACATAATCAACTTGACGTATTTACCTAAATTTGTTAACTCTGAAGATGGCTGGAATGAGGCTTACTTACAATTAGTGTACGTACATAAGTAATGTATTTGGTCCAGTTTTGCAATTCTTAATTTGACATGTGTAATGACATGTCAAACCAGTTAGCGAGTGACGAAACGAATCGTGTTACATATATATGTATATTAGTAAATTTACTAATAATATGCATATACGTAATGTTTAACCCGGACCCACATTAACAGCTATCAATCTTCCAAATTACAAGCTATTGAAAACAACAGAGATGCAATCATCATCCTAAAACGCTAAACAACAAAACAACTAAGGATTAAATTTCACATTTTTGGGATTTTCCATACCAAACCAGATTCTAAATATTGTTAAAATTTTTACAAAAAAAGGATAAAATCGCATAAAAACATGCTGTATTGACGTAAAATTCTAACAAAAGTACGACTTGTTATTGATTTGACAATTTGTTTGTATAAAGTGAAGTCATGCGCTAAATATGTAGCTGATCATGACTGATTAGTTTGTTCGAAATAAACGCATCAGCAGTTCTGTGCACTTTATTACGTGTTTTGGGGAAAATGGTTGATGAAAGATGTTCGTCAGGATGTATATACCAGAGATGGCAACATTTTGCGTAAATTGTTTTTTTTTATTAATAACTTGTATTGTATTTAGCAAGGTTATTTAGTCATTTATCAAAAAAAAACCACTACAATATGGTTTTTTCCAAAAATAATTTACTCCGTGTCAGATTCTTGGATGTTAATAACGCTAGAGAAATCCACCGAGTGCCGGAAACTGTCAATGACAGTTTGAGCCTTGTACAGCTTCTGAACGTGTAATAACAATTATAAAATTAATTTTACATTCAAGTAAATATCGATCACAATTAGGGAGCTTACACTAAGCATTTCCTCCGTGTATTTTCGATTCAATGCAACACTCTCTGACTCTGAAATCAGGGTGCTATGTTTTCCAGCAACTTGCTTTCTCTAGGCACGAAATACATACATATATAATAAGACACAGTTGACAGTGTAATTTTGTACTTCCAATGCACATAAAAAGTAGGTTTCTCACAATCTCAGACTTCATCAACTCTACACTTTTCTCGTATAGAAAGTAGTAACAGTGCTTTGGTAAGAAATCCCCAACCTCGTGTTGAATAATGCGACAGTACTTCAAAACTAAGTGGCGACAATAGTCAACTGTTTTGGGCTTTATTTCTCGAGTTGTGAGAGGAAGTACTGCAGCTTGATGAACCAATTTAATTGATGATTTGGTCAAGTTATTATTTAGATCCACGTTTTCGTCATCAATCGCTTCGTAGTTCGGTTCACCTGTGGACAATTCTTGACGCTCCCACTCCTAAGTATTACATACATTAGTTTTTTAGTAATATGATATGAACATCCACTTTATCATAAAGTATTACGTATTATGCTTTAGGTATGTAGATACATACACAAAAGTGAAAAATCTGTGTCAAAACCGATGCAGTTGAAGTCATTGCATATGTACATTGAGTGAAATTATATCAATGATTAAGCGTGCATATAGATACTTACAAATGGAGAATAAAATTTTCTGGAAATTTTAAAAATATTAAATAATTTGTAACCATGCACAATTTGGGACAACTTAAAAAACGATAACGTTGGGCGTGGTAGCAATAGGGCGATTTATGCATGTGTGTATACTTTCGCTGAAATTTTTTATACTTTATACCAACTACCTCAAAACCTAGTTTCAATAAGCCAAATTTTCAAAACCATCATAATTTCTTACTTTTGTCATTTCTCTAAACTTGGGTTCCAGCGAGTAAATCATGCATCGTTGCACCTTGAGGTATTCCTTGATCATTTTCTCAGTTTCACTTAATTGCCCTCTTAGAGTAATTTTGGTGATGTGGGATAAAAGGACACTCAACTGTGGCCACTTTACCCCTTCCTCTAGGGACAAGTCTATCGACTCACTTAGGAGTGTATGGATGACTCGCGCCTCTTTAATGGCTACTGGCAGCAATTCCTTAATTTTATTTCTTGACACGCTCTTAAATGCTTCCTAAAAGTAAATGCAAACGTGTTTCATTGCATATTAGATATAAATACATACAACAAGTTATATAATATATGCATATATATATTTGAATTTTAAAACCTCAAGGGATGCGAATCCTTCAAAATTGGTGTAGTTTTTTAGCGCATCCCTGATCTCATTATCAATTTTCCCCTCGATGTTATTATTGTGATTTCGAATCTTTTTACTCAACTCGTCTGCATTGATCGAAATCTTTATGGCGAGCGAGCCTGTTGTTGTAGTTTGGTGAAATTTTTCAAAGAATTTAATAATTGATTCTTCCAGTACGCTCTGCTTTTCACAATCCTTTACCAATGGTCCTAGCTGATCAATGACGCGTTTGTGGTGTTGGATTTTTTCATCGACATATTTCTGAGGCGAAGATTGCATACAAATTACAATTCAATCGTATTACTAAATAAACTATTGTTATGAATTACCGTCAAATTAGGGAGGCACGTTTTGATATGTTGAATTAAAAGTTGGTTCAACTTTCTTGCAAGAAATTGAGAGCCAATTTTGTCTTTGAACGATGCATAATTTTTCTTTAGAAAACGACTCTCGTTTTGCAGAGCCTCTTCAACTGATACGTTGTCTATTATGTTTTGCTGAGATCTGTTCACGACTCCAACAATGCCATGATTAACCTTGATAATCTCTCCAGAAAGGAGGCGGGTAGCGTTGGTCCCTTTGTCCATCAAGTCTAGTTTGGTGATGACGAGTAGCGTTCTCTCCCCGGTTGGGTCCACTTGTTGAGCCAGTTTAACACTTTCAGCATTTGCAATGTCTGCATTGGCTGGATTCACGGCCAAAATAATTGCATTCGGGTTGCTTATATGTTTCATGATGAGTTCACGTACTTGATCTTCAATGTTGTCCGGCTGATCACCAATCTTAAGCTGTGAAAGTAAATCATTCATTTTAAAAGGTGAAAGTCGTATTCATTTCTTTAGTTTGTAGATAATAAAAATTGCAATCATGTGTCTAAGCGTTCTAACTTGATATATGGGAAAACGTAACGACCTTCGTGTCTTAAATTCAGCACAATGGATTTTGAAAGTGTAAATAAGCATCTAATCTACATTTCTAAAATAATTTATCAAACATGAATCACTTCATTCAAGTTGTAAATGGCTTCACCTATGATCACTATGATAAATTGTGAGTTATCATATCAAACAATTTGAAATTAATACAAACTGTATTATGTAAGTGTATATATGTGAAGTGAAAATGTAAGTGCATGGTAAACCTGGACCATACTCACATGCACAATTCCTGGAAGATCAACCACTGTGAGTGGAATTACGCTTGGTGACCGAATTCGAACAATGATTGGAGTATCTGTGATGGCTTTATCTTTATGATCGGTTAGCTCATCCATCCTGTTCTCAAGTGCTTGTCGCACTTTTTCGGTATCTGTGTACTCCACGTTTGGTTCATGGTCAAATTGATATTTCCACGTCGCCTCGCTTTCCCCTTTAGCAGAATCGCTTATAACTTTGATTTTCCGCGTTAATTTTTATGGAAATATGGCAAGCCTTTAAAAACACATACCATTGTCCTCCTCTTTAAGAAGTTGCAAGATAATCGGACATCTCGTCACAATATCAGTACCTCTTGGTAGGAAAGATTTACCCACGAAACTCTCCAAAACAGAACTTTTTCCAGAGCTCTGTTTTTATAATGCATAATATATGTAAAATAAAATGGTGAAAATTTATTTGAAAACCTCACATATTTTAATATGTTGTATATCTAATTCATACTTGTGACCCCACAACTACAATTTGTGGAAGTTTGATCTCTTCGGCACCGGTTGCTTTAAAAATCAGTTGTAGGTTATTGATGGCTGGGATAAGTTGGTCCATAATTTTGCACTAGGGATTGTTCGTAGTACAAATATGAATATCAGAAATTTGAAATTATTTGGGAAAGTACAAGTAATCAGGGTTATGATGCGTTGCAGACTGGGATGAGATATTGCTGGAGTCTTCAGTATTATAGCAAGTGCTTATGAACTACATACAAATCATGGGTATTACCTTACAACCATAGTATCAATAATTTCAAAGTGATGAGTAAGTATATATATGTATATGTACTTATATGTATGTTAGATCTGTGGCATGTTAGACCTGGTGTTATTGAAACTTGGGAGCTTGAGATTAGGATATATTGTTCCTGCACACGTGATAATTTGAAAATGAACCACCGTCATGGCCATTTATAAGTTTCGTTCATTGCAACATGACTAAAGCCTAAATTAGATAAAATTTATTATAGAGTGAGGCCCTCTTAAGCGAAGACTTTGCCCATCCGTTTGTCTGTCAGTCTGTCCGTCAGCAGGATAATGGGAGAACGGATCGAGATAATCGAACTCGGTTTTCGGGATCATATATATGACCCCAGGACGATGATCCTATCAACTTTTGGGGTCAATCGGACCCCCCCCCCTCGAGGTCAGCGAGTGTGCATATTTTTTTGCGGAATTACTTGTTTCGAAGATAACTATTATTAGACATTTAATTTTCTTTATTCAGTAATGTCCAGAGACAGTGAATTTAATTTATTTTGAGTTTACGCGCCATTCGAAAGTATCTTTACTATCAATTTCGATGAGGAACATTTACTTTTATTTCGTTGCCGGCAGACATTTGTAGCTAATAATTATCGCTGGCCCGGCGGGAGACGGGCTTATTCGCTAGTCATATATAATTTAATACTTTTTGCAACCACAATTAATACCTTTTTTCCCGAATACTTCCTCTTATCATAATGCAATCCAAATTGAACATTAAGAAAAAATCTTATCTTGAAACAAACGTAGGCTTGGTTGACCAGCAAAAGCAAGACATTGTGGTTGGCTACGAATCGATAAAATTTATAGTTCTTATTTACTTAATTTTAAATTTTAAAGCGATCTTGACGCGTATTCTCACTTCTGGAAAAATCTAGTACTTATGGACAACGAAATACTTTATTATACGTAAAAGAAGTGTTTCTGTAAAAAAAAATACTTAAACTTATTATGGTCTGGAGTAGTATTAAATTATGATCAATTAAACATTCCCCAATATTTTTACTTCGAATAATGTGCGTAGACTCTACATACACACATTATTCGCTAAATATTGTGTATGTTAGTGACAAATGACAATAAAGAATCAGACAATGTTGATCAATATTGTCCCAGGCAATAGTTTTATATCACTAACTGACTCAAGGTCAATATTTCATGTACCCCTCCAGTCATGTTAAATAACTTGGATAACAATATCAGCGTTTTTTGTAGCACTTCGTGAATGTACATATGTATGTATGTATGTGTACATATATACATATGTATGTATCTATGAAATATGTACCATTAATAGGTACTATGCAATACGCAAAACTCATAGTAAATGTCAGGTTGAGACATGATTCAGCTTTGTACTAAACGAGGTGAAACTTGATTAAGTAGTAATTATCGGTCGGAGTATTTATAGCCACGTGTATACCAGGTTTGGTCGCATTTGTGGCAGATACGAGATCAAACGCAAAGAGAACTATATTTTCAATTAATATGTATAAACTTCACGATTTCAATGTCCGAGGACTGGGTGAACCTATTCGGCTGATGTTCAAGTACAGTCGAGTCGAATTTGACGACATTAGATATCCATGTACAAGTATCGACTCAAAGCTACCACCAGAAATTAAAGAGAGTAAGTTAAAAATAGTCATTTGAAATTGTGCATTCAATATTTCGTGTTTTGGGGACGATTTAATACATTTATGCGTTTTAGAATGTCCTTGGGGAGATGTTCCAATGCTAGAAATTTGTCAAGATGGAAAAGAAACCCGTAAATTAGCTCAATCCTTGGCAATCGGGAGGTATATTGCGAACAAATGTGGTCTAAGAGGGTCAAATGAATTCGAATCTGCCGTATGCGACGAGTATGTGGATGCATGTGCAGATTTATTTGAAGGTATGCATAATTTTCCATTGTAAATATCTACATAAGTAGACTTTGGCTTTAACGCTAATATATATGTACATGCGTATGTAGCTCTATTTGAATTGTACACGGAAACTGAACCCGAAAAGTTAAAACTTATCGAGGAAAAGGTGTTGGAAACGGTGAGGGGCAAATACCTGTCAAAATTTGAGAACATTTTGCAAGAGAACAAACGACAAAACGGAGTTTGCTGCCTGGTCGGGGGTAAATTCAGTTGGGCCGATATTTATTTGGTGCACAGGATCGACGACGCGAAGATTTCACATGGCCTTGATTTCACACGCGATAAGCATGGTGAAAAATATCTTGAACTTGTGGCTTTATACGAGTCGTTCTACGCTATTCCAAGGATTCAAGAATGGGTTAAACATAGGCCGGTCACAAAATTCTAAACCAAACGATATAGAGTGCATGCAAATTAAAAATAAATATGGACATAATTTAAGATGGTTAGTGGTTCAATAATTTTCAACTATATATGCAACTCTTTACTAAACTTGTATAAATTTTATTTCATGAATTACATAATGTAAACATTCAATTAATTAATAAAATTTAACAAAATAATGAAAGAAGTTTATAGTAGTCGAAACCTTTAGTTTAATCCGGTGTCACCACTTCTATCTCGTTGCACAAGGCGAATTGGTTCGAGTCTGGATTTTCTGTGTCTGTCTCCCAACCATGTTAAAACGTAATTATTGAATAAGCCATATCCCTACTGACCTAATTTAAAAGTGAGTTCTCGTTTTACCGGTAGTTGTTGGATCGCTGATTTCCATGAACGACTGGCCTTCTGAATTTCTTCGAAATACAATATGTGCATTTGCCTGAATTGGGATTTGCAAGATCGATCCTTCAGAGCAGATAAGGATTGAATTATCAAGCGTGGTGGGCAGGATTGCTTCTGCAACATGTGGAGATGAAAGCGAGGCGACCTCACTTCCAGACTGGACAAGGGCTTGCTGCTGCTGAGGTGATGGACTACAACGAGCCTCCTAAAAATGTCAATAATAAATTATAAGATATGGCTTGATTTTTAAATAATGTTTAATGTAAATATAGTGTCTCTCGTGCCAGTAACAGTTGTGCTCCATGTTGGTTCCACCAACGTTCCACATCGGAATGCTGAATCCAGTGATCTGATTTTTGAATATGATCCGATATAGCAGTTACAACATCCTGATCATTCATGTTGTCCAGCATCTCTTGATTTGCTTGGAGAAATTGAACGACCTTCCGCCGTCGAGTTATAGTTAACGGTCGACGAGTAGTTTTTCTAAAAATTAAACGTGATAAATGTAGGGAGTAACAAGTTTTGGTAGGATACTAATATATTACTTTGAGAAACAAAAAAAATACCCGCTGGACATGACGATTACTGTTGAAGGAACCGAAACAACTGTAATCTGCAATACACACAGCAACAGGTTGAATTGAAATTAATTATTGTTAGTAAGATTTTATCACATACGTTAAAGGATATTTTCAAGCAAAACAATGACTTCGGATCAAAATAAAAAAAAACAAATTCCCACATTTCCCACTGTAGAAAAAAATTGGTCACGAAATAAATTATGAAACGTTTTACCAAAATTGTAGTCGTCAAGCGCAGCCAGGTTGGTTTAAAGTTCCAGTGCAAGCTGAACAGTGAGAAATCAATCCAGCGACGGAAAAATAATTAGACGACTAAATGACGATGACGACTGCACACAGGGCAGAGCACAGGACAACTGAAGACGGAATGCGGATAAACTCGAGAAACGTGAGAAAAGTGAGAAAATGCGTTTTGCCTGGGTTTTTGTCCCTGTTTTGGGGAACAGATCAGACTTTTGAGTTTGATCGTCCCATTTCTCCCCCATTATGCAAATAAGTGAATATGAGAATGATAATAATTGATACTTATCAAAATTTATTGCCGTAAGCTATTAAAAAACTATTTTTTACGTTACGGGCGACTGTACCGCTTCCACCCCACCAAGCTTTCGACAAATAAATATTCTTCTTCAGGATTAATACAGATCATGTAAATATTTTACAATTAATCACTTTCATTATTTGTATAATTCGAAATATTACATTAAATAATTCTCTTGGAAATTTGAAGATTTTTTATAAGTGGTAAAATTATTGGTGTCCATATGGAATTTATTTCCATTCCATTATTGATAAAAGTAAAATAATACATTGTAATTTGTAATACATACATACATAGTACGTAATATATGTAACAGTAGTTATGTATTACTCATCCTTAGAAGATGAAAGTCATATTCTTAAAAACATTAAAAAATTACGTAGAAATATAATATTCGATTTGGGGATCCGTTATTCTCCCGAGCTCACTAATTATGATTCCACTAATTTCTTCTAATGCCACGACCCCACCCAAAACCAAGTCCACGACCCCTCCCAAAACCACCAACACCTTTAAATGAATACAATTTACTTTTTTGAAGTTGAGTTTGAAGACGTCATACGATGAATTGAAGTATTATTCAAAAACTGTTGTAAATATGTAAATATTAAATACGCACATATGCATAGTACACAGACAGATCTTCGTGTAATGACGCTTGCTTAAAACACAAGCCCTCCTTCTGCTATAGACCCTTCATCGATTTTTGAATTGTTGTTCTGACGTTTAACATGAATTGCATTTTATTTTGCTACGTAGTTATGCGACTTTATTTAGTCAATATGCTATACGTATGCGTAATGGACATTTTATTACAACGCAACTTGAGAGTGATGACAAAGCAACAATACTTGAATGGAAGTTCTTCCTTCGGAAATCCGGATTACATTGGATTGGAAATTAGATTTCACCAACCAAATCAAGAATATACATCCACTCAAGCTACTTTTCATTCCCAGGGAATTTTATTATCGTCAAATGAAAAGTGTGAAGTAATCATTTAGTTTCGGTAGAACACATTACATCTCTACGAATGTACATATGTACATATGTACATACGTGCAATATTACATGCATACACATGTACATATACTCGATGCATACATGTCATCTACATATAATGTGCATATGGGTATGATGTCTACATGTATCCTGTGACAATTACTTTTTGCAAGTCTTTAAGCATTAAAAGGTGTATACAAGCCATGCATCTCTGTTCTGTACCATCAAATTATGGAAGCAATCAAGAAGACAGCAAGCGTGTCATATTTACACCTTCGGTGGAGTTCGTAATTTCAATTTCGTAATTTATTATCATCCGCATGTTTTCAACATTAATAATAATGAGGATTTATTTGTTCACGCAAAATCAGTCCATTACATTTTTAGCAAAATAAGATCAAACCCCATCAAGTGGGAAATACTTGACCTTATACATTTCTACAACATATCATGCTTTATAGTTCATAGTTTCGTCACATAATTTAATAATATAATGCAGTACAAATCGAGTAATTAGTTATAATTTTAACAAATAATCTTTCAGCTTCTCTTTAAAACTCGTATAACACATTTCGTTCTTTACCTCATCAGATAACTCATTCCATAAACATATTGCTCTAAAATTAAACGATTTTCTACCAAATTCAGTTTTCGGTTTCATACCGCTTCGATAATTATTTATAGCACCTCTAGTTGCATAATTGTGAATCTCGCTTTGTTTTACAAATTTTCCCGCAAAATAAGGAACACCATTTAATCGAATTATTTTAAACATGATACACAATGTTTTATAAGAACACATTTCTGTCGGAAACAACCATTTTAAATCAGATTTTATCGTTTCCGCTACAGGATCATATTTCCGTCTTCCAGCGACAAGACGAGTTATTTACGAGACAATTATGATAAAGTAAAAAAAAAGTCGGGATCAGCTAGGCACACGATCACTTTTTAATTCGCTAAATATAAACATACGTACAGATGATAGACCGATAGATACATACATAGATATTTGTTTAAAAATAAAAGCAGCCATATTATGCAATTAAGTTTGAGTAAATGTTACAATTTGCTTTGATTTTTCCTGGAGTTAAGATATTCTGCGACATTCAACTGTTTTGCCGATTTTACTTCACAACTCGGTCTCACCCTCATTATCGCCAACATTTAGTGTTGTGTCAACTGCACCCCAATCATAAAACCCTGAACTTTTAAATAACCAGGTCCAATACCCCGCATTATAGAAAATGAACAAGCATAAAAAGGTAAAGAAAGCATACTTTTCAATTATTTCAGAATACGTTTTAAATTTATCTTTTTCTTCTTCATCGTCGTCCAGGTCAGCAAAATTGTCTTTGATTAGTGGATCCGCTTTATTATACATCAGTTCTGAGAGTTCTATCGCTTCGGCACGAATCCCCGATTTTCTACCTGCTTTCTGTATCATAAATTAGGAAATATGTATAGCAATAAATTACTTTGATACCTTTATGAATATACAGAAATGTGATGACTACGCATAATTTTATCCTCACCTGAGCTTTTTTTCTCTTCTTTTCCTTCTCGTCATTCCTCAAATGTTGCAAATTACACAAATCAAACCCATGCAAATGTTTATATGTGTGTAGTTAAATAATTTTGACGCAAATATGTCTGATATCTGCATATTTCGCCATACCATGCCAGGATTGAAAACTCAAGTAGCGTCAGGAAAACCGAAAAAATACACGAAACCATCCAGACATCTAACGCCTGTTATGCATTTGTAAAAGATATTACACTATACATAACATTAAATAATACTTTTATAAATACCTTGACATATGAACTAATTGGCGAGGTCTCTCTGACAGAGGCGAACATGGCAGTCAGCGTGAGGAGCTATAACAGCCGGAAATTTATATTTTGCTCAAGTTCAATGAAAAAGTCATTCCCGATAATCTGACAATGCAAGTCTTTTACGTGTACAACTCACAAGGGAAACCTCCGAGGTGCCGGTTGAATCCAGGGTTCCCACCTATATACCAAAATGACCACAATATGCGATTTATGGCGTAAAGTGGTGAAATTTACGTGCAAAAATCACTTTTCGTCAATCTGTGACGATATTTATGACGAGCGTGTGAGCATGGGTAGCATAGAGTTTCATCATGAGACGTCCGGCGCCCGATGCCTCGCACAAGTTGCTGACTGGCTGAACACATGGTCTGTATTCTCTTTTTCAGTTTTTCATGAAAACAAATCTTTCTCTATTTTCATTTGGTTTTTAAAATTCTTATGCACAATGTCAGACCTAATTAAAATTTGTGAGAATGTGTTGCAACTGGCTAAAGATAAATTTGGAATACACGGTAGGCCAACCAATACAACGACCAATACAACGACCTACAATTTAAACATTGCAAAGAAAGTGTTCTCATTTGTGGAAGACATTGTCAAAAATTCTGGGACTGATTTAGAAACTATAAGCACATTAGAATTTGATATGGACGGGGACATAGATACATATACAGATACTTATAGTGAATTAGTGTGTGATAGTGATACTTTAAATAGTGATAGTTTTGATGTTGAACAGAACTCTGATAGCCTTTCTCAACAAGTGTCGCAAGAATGGGAGGAGGAACTGGTTGACGGTGTCGTTTTTACGTATCAGGAAATGGTGAACATTCTTCATTTTTACGATAATGTTAAAAAAAATAAATTCAACCAAACGAAACGATGATTTAAGAAAATTAAACACAGCAAAACAATTACCAGATTGCGAGCATATGTAGAGAAGAAGAGCACAACATTTCAGAAATTCAAACAGGTGGAAAAATTTGTGCTTGAGCGATTTGAGAATGCGAGATCATCAATGATTCATGTTAATGAGATGGATTTAAGAAGATGGGCGATGTCAAAATCAAGGGAAATTGATTTAAAATTTAAGGCGAGTCCAAAATGGATAATGGACTTCAAAGTGAGAAACAGAATTGTTGGGCGAAAAATAACGAAGTATTTAACGATGGGTGAGCATCAAAATCTCGATAGAGTAGAAAACGAAGCATGCGAATTTGTGCAGACGCTAAATGAAAATCGGGTAGGAATTGAGGAAAAAAATATTTACAACTTTGATCAATCAGGCTTCACGTACGAATACACGCCAAGACGGACCCTTTCGCACAAGGGTGAAAAGGATACGCTCGGAATAGTTGTGTCTCAAAACGCCATATCTCATTCATACACAATTATGCCTTTGTTATCAATGAGTGGAAAATTTTATGGGAAACTACTAGTATGTCTTCAGGAACCAAAAGGAGTATTGGGTCCTCGTGTCGCTGAAACTTTACGGGTTCCAGAGAACATATATTTAACAGTGTCAAAATCGGGAAAAATGGATAAACAGATGACGAAGCGATGGATCGATGATTGTGTTCAGCCTTTGATAAGCGATCAGCAAATAATGCTTATATACGACTCGTGGGCTGGGCAGGTCGACGAAGAAACGTATTCGTCCCTTGGCGAAAATTGCAGAAGAGAGAAAATTCCGGCAAAAGCAACGTCACTTATCCAACCACTTGATAAGTACATATTTCGTCAGTATAAGATCTTCCGACGACTTATTTTTGAAAGAGTGATGCTTGACGAATTGGCGTTGGACATGCATAATCGGGAGAATGTGCTAAAAATGCACTCACTTATTTTTAATCAAATGCAATCCGAAATATTTGTGCCAATGTGCAAATATGCTTGGTACGCTTGTACATACACAACAGAAAAGCAAGACTTCAAAAACGTTCAAGAATTGTTATTCTCATCAACATATGATAAGTGCGAAATGGATTCATGCCCCATGGAAAGCTTCATCAAATGCGCACACTGTAACCTACATTTCTGTTTCGACCACTTTTTTGTTGAATACCACTACCACCCACTAAATAACGACACTAATTCACATCTACATGATCCTGCACAGAATTCCGAATAAGGTGAGAATTAAAATTATATTAATTTAGAATTTGGATAAAGCGAGAGTTCGTTGCCATCTCCGAATCGCACGGTTAGCCGCTTGAACCTACTCTCAACCGTGGTCACACGCTCGTCATGAATATCGTCATAGATTGACGAAAAGTGATTTTTGCACGTAAATTTCACCACTTTAGGCCATAAATCGCATATTGTGGTCATTTTGGTATAGGTGGGAACCCTGGATTCAACCGGCACCTCGGAGGTTTCCCTTGTCAGATCTGGTTGGGACCAATTTTATTTTGTTCACCACAAAAAATAAGCATACCCGTATTTTTTCATTTTTCATAATGCGCTAATTTGAGCGCTGGGCGCGAATTTTAAAACATTTTTCAGCCAAAACCTCGGTTTTAAAAATTCTGTAAATTTTCGAATTTTAGCGCGAATCCAAAAATTCGAAAACATGTGTCTTCAGAATGACTTACTTGACTAATGAAAAATCCGCATGCATTATTTTTTGAAAAAATAAAAATTTGAAAGAGTTTGTAATTTTAATGAATTTCAAAAACTGGCAAAAAATTTTGAAAATCAAATTTCGAGACAATTGGATTTTTCATAAGTCAGGTAAGTTATTCTGAAGAGACATGTTTTCGAATTTTTGGATTCGGGTTAAAATTCGAAAATTTACAGAATTTTTAAAAACCTAGGTTTTGGCTGAAAAATGTTTCAAAATTCGCGCCCCGCGCTCAAATTAGCGCATTATGAAAAATGAAAAAATACGGATATGCTTATTTTTTGTGGCGAAAAAAATAAAATTGGTCCCAACCAGATCTGAGTTGTACACGTAAAAGACTTGCATTGTGAGGCATGGAAAAAATAATATTTATGTATCTTATATACCGTTGTCATCGAAATTCCAATCCTCGCTTCCACCATGGTCGAAGGGATTAAAAAACAGAGCCAAGTGATCAGGATAAAAAACGAAGATGGAATATACGTTTGCACCATGTGGTAACTGAGTCGGCGTCGGAGACTAAGTTTAAAACTCAATCCGTTGTAAATCTCGGCTAAACACAGTTAACAGTAAAAAATGTTAAATAAATAGTAGAAAAAAACACTTGAGTGACAAAATAAATATTCGTGGGCACCTCGACGTTTCAATTTCCGAAATTCGTATCCTGATAACTGTACGTCAAAATTTGATTCGTCCCGGTCTGCTAGATAAGGTCCTTTATACCATTGCAAATTTAGGAGGTTTTCGTTGTATGAAACTGTAATTAAGAGTCAAACTATAACTATACGTAGCATATACATATGTACATATTTTCATTTAAAAAGTTGGAAAAAGTTTGACATGCATACATCCACGAATTAAAAATTCACAGGTTTGTGTGTCTGCCGGAAAATACTATTGCATACACAGATAATAAAAACATATTGACAATTCATCCACATGATAAAATATGATTGATTTTGTATGATTTACGTGAAATTTCATGGGGCATGAGAGCTTCAAGAGAACTCTGAAACGAGTAAAGCATTATGCATCATCAGCATACCCCGGAAAAATATTTTTTTATCCTACCCTACTCATGTTGAGCTCAACACGAGTAGGGTAGGATAAAAAAATATTTGTCCGGGGTATGATCATCAGACATCACATATTATTTATTATATGTAAATGGGAAATATTTATTTTTTTCAAACCGGGTTAAATAGTACAGGAACCCTCCATCTGGATCAAATTTCAACGTAATTAAATCCGTCATGAGTCTAGGTTGAGTTTTTTCTATGAGGTTGTCTAAGTATTGGTTTAAAAAACAAACATAAGTGCATTTCTTAAGATTAGCTTATTTTTCATTAATATTCCAGCTTACAGATGTATAAATTTGGTTTCCAGATAGATTTGAGATATTCTGGATTATTAATTGTGACCAAGTTTCCTAATCTATCTAAATGCTTTCCTTCTGCAATGAATTGAATGACTTGGTCCTTGGTCAGATTTTTCCGATGAGCCAAGATTTTCCAATCTGTCCACCCCAAAGTGATCTCCATGTCCAAGGTTATCTCCTGTGTCAAGACGCACAACGCAATTAGCATAGTTAAGCCTTAATGGTGAATAAATTGTTAATAAATGGCATTCCTCTTCTTGTAATCCGAATCTGACCTCTTTTACTTCGTTAATTTCACGAATTGACTCTACTCTGGCTTTCATGGTGACATTTATGGGTTCCTGCTTGTCCCCACTACCTAGAATTATTTATTATTTAGAAATATAGAAAATATTGTATAGAAAATAATTTTATTCTGCTATTACTAAAACTCAAAGTCAACTTACTTGGTGGGAATGGGATGTCGAAAAAATTATAACCTTCCGGCAGTTTCAGGACGTCTTTGATGCACCCATCCGCCGTCGTGCAATGTGGAATTGATCGTTTCACTCTGGAATGCAAATAGTCCGACCTTGGCCCAAATACTGTGTCGTAGAAGTCAGAATGGTATTCGGAAAGGCCAGCGTATGGAGGGACTTCATTTTGACGGTTGGTCCTCGCCCTTCGTGAGGACTCACAGCAACTATTGACATGCAAATTTATTCAGTAGACACAAATCGTAGGCTCTAAAAAAGGGTCAAATTGAGCCGTATTAATTATTATGTGATATGCAATTCATAACGGGTTAACCTTGTTATCACGAGTAAAATTAGTGAAATGCTGGATAAAACACTTTGCATTTTATCGCTTGTATTTAGCACCAGTAAGATATTGTAAATTTCTCATGAAATTTTGAAATATAAATAATTATTGTTCGGTTGAGGCAACAAAATAAATCCAGACATTGACCAAGCACTAGACCACTACAAGTTTTGTTTGACGATATCTCCAGGTATTTAAATAAACGTGAGATTCATAGTGAGATTGCATCTAGGAGCGTCAAAAAATCAAGGATTTCTGCAATCAGGATACCATATCAGCTTCAAAGTGTAGTGATTGACTTTGTAGGTACGTACATTTTTCCCATGATATCACGAAATATTGGCAATAAGCACTTTTCTTATTATAACGTTATTATTATTTTTTAATCCGTGATCAAAGCGATCAAAAAATTGTAATTAAAATGTAAGACTTGGGAACATGGTATATAATAATAATGATTATTTTGTATTTCACTCTGGGGCATTTACTTTGTAATAAATATCCAACACCTCCACAGGCTGAAATGTGTCAGGCCAGCCACCACTAATTATTATCCTCATTTAGGTATGTCTGCTGTACCAATTCCAAGATTTATAGAAATAACGAAATCTGTCCCACACTAATAATATGTTAGTGATCCAATCGAGTTAAAAAGTGGCTTGCCCAAAAATGGATTTTTTAAAATTACTTGGGAGGAATTAGTGCTCAACCATGGTCAAGGAGGAATTAGTGCCAAGCTAATGTATTCTAAAATGTGAAACGAAATTGGGCTTGCTCTTATAAATACACTATTTTAAAGTCTTTGCTTTTCATTTTATTTATCCACGCAAACATTAATACATATATAATATGTAAGTGTTTATGCTAATAAACTATGGTCACCGGAAAATCTCTTCCAGTTAGTAAATTAGACACACAATTATAACCGATTTTCGTATAACGCTTGCCCCACACGCATTTATTGGATAAATCAAAGTCAACAGTTATTGATCTAATTCTATCGTGTGGTGTTTATTCAATTGTTAAGTTACATAGGAAGGTCATTGTGACGACAAGCAGAACAGCCTACAGTGTGTAGGCCATTTTCTCCAAACAATTCATTATTTCTCATATTTGACATTTCAAAACTTCACATTTTAAATTTATTCGAAATCTTCATAGATATTTTGAACGCAATTTAGAAAGAAACCTCCTGAAATTTACTGAATACTCTTATGTAGGTATTTAGATCTGATTTGAACTTATGCATTCGTGTCAAATTTCAGTCTTTTTTAATTTAAAAAACAGGTGGGGACTGGAGATTCCCACAAAAGACATAATTTGATCATTATTTCAGAATAATGATTTAGATTTGCTGTGTTTTCGGTAATGTGCAGAAATTGTATACGACAAACTGGTGGCTTTATCTGTCAACATCTAAGGAAGATTCATTTGATCTACATATTCTGCATTGCATAATCCAATATCACTCACCAAAGCTTTATGGTTACATATGTATGATTGGAAACAATTCTATTTCCCTTCGCAATATCAATCCTACATATATGTACATACCTACATTTGGCATATGAAAAACGAAACGTTTCTTTCATGAGATTGGTAGAGATAAATGTCATAAAAGTAATTATTACTAGCATCCAATAATTAGACTTCTTTCTCCAGTGCATATTCTTTGTATTTTCTCGGAAACCTAAATCCATCAATTTGTCAATCCTAAAATATACACGACCAGGGTATTCCGACCTGGGTTTTAATGGGTTGGGTTTTATTGGGTTTTAATGGGTTTTAATTGGTTGTAAATGAATAAAACCCACTGGGTTTTACCATGTTAAGTGGGTTTTATTTGGGTTTTAATGGGCTTTATTGGGTTTTAATTGAGTTTCACCTTAAAACTACATTCTAGAAGTTAAATACATCTCCTATACGTTAGAAGGCGTTATCTCAATTCATTCTAAAGTAGTCTATTTCATTACTATTCTAGTGTATGAAAATTCGGAACAAATCAACAATTGACTCCATCCTTTAGCATCACAGATTTCAAGTGTTATAAAACAAAAATAATTTCCGAATAGATACAAATTCCGAATTATTTTTGTTAAGTTATTACTTAAAACTAATAAAACCCAATAAAACCCATTTAAACCCAATAAAACCCAATAAAACCCATTAAAACCCAAATAAAACCCAATTAACATGGTAAAACCCATTAAAACCCATGGGTTTTATAATTTTTGATTAAAACCCTGGGTTTTTCCGAACCCTGTACACGACATAGTCAATTTATTCAGTAAGTAAAGTTATGTATGCGTATTTACATTTTTAGAACTACACTTTGTAAATATAAGCCACAATAATTTTCGGCGGAATTCAATTTGGTATCGTAACAGAAAGCATAAATTTGGACGACAGGACTCGTGCATTTATGGAGATCGAGCCAGAACCTTACTGTATATGCGCATTACTCAAATAGCATCCCCCATGAACTTGGAATCATATATTGATTTTGAAATGAACAATATTATTTGCATAGTTCAATTAGTTACTCACCAATCTTGCCATTTTCTTTGTTGGCTCTAAATGTCTCGACTTGAGTCTTGTGATCGTCACAGGATTGCGTGCAAATACACAATTAGCTAATATACTGCTCCCGATAATAACTTATTACCAATGTCAATAATGGTATTCCTCTATGACGGCGTGTATGTACATATTCTTGGTCAACCCTCACCCAATTATCTTCCGAGTGTCTGTAAAACACCGACATGGCCAATGTCCAGTAGCAAACTTGTCGCAAATGAAATAAGAAAGAATTGCAAGGTGTTTAGAAATAAGACATTTCGAAAAGATGCAGCTGCGATCCTCCCAATACGGGTAAGCAACTAAATAATACCAGCTCAAGACATGATTTTTACTGTAATTAATAAACTTCATTATACATATTTCATATTTAGCTCTGATGAACACCAAGATAACAATACTGCCCAAAGTAACATCGTCATGGTCTCTCAGACTCCACAATTGCCTCCTCCCAACAGTATCAGCAATGGAAGCACCACTACACCGCCACAAACCCCTTCACATTATGTCGAACCATTGTCGGAAACGGTTAAGAATTATTTTGTTGCGTATCCATTATTTCTGCTAATTATTTGGGGAGCATTTTACGTGTTTTGGGATGAAGCAGCATTACCAGGTGAGTATGCTTTTTTCATCTTTTAATTAATGCTATATTTAAATCTTTATTATTCCAGGAGGAGCTGTATACACTATCATTGTTCTTGAAGTTTGTGCATATGTTTTGGGTGAGTGGATATAACTTAAGAGTCTGAATTAAGATATTGTAAATTATATATGCAGTTCTATAAAAATATTGAATTAAATATTGTGCAGGAGAGATCGTCGCCAAGAGTGATCTGCCCCCACAATTAGGAATGCTTATGGCTGGTTTAATTCTAGGGAATATTCCGTACAGTTTTATCAGTGAGGATTTATACCAGCTTGTAATACTTCAATTAAGGTGAATATTTTGATGGTGGGGATTCGTGTCAAATTTACATAATCGCATGTTCAAATTTGTGATATGCATGACTTTTTATTAGGTGGCTGGCCATCGTGGTCTCAGTGACAAAAGGTGCACTCGGCATTTTCCCAGGAATAATATGGAAGTTTCGGAAAGTTATACCACCATTGGCAATAGCTCCGTATTTTGCAGAAGCAATTATCTGGTATCTTGGATCTTATTATGTCGCCGGACATTCCTCATCAGCATCGTTCTTTATTGCGTGAGCATACATAATTACATAATTTATCAATTAGTTAATTAATTAATATCATCACGTGCAAATGATCAAGTAATCAGCAACAATAATTTATAAAGAATGTTACCCTGTAAAAATATGTATTTCTCAATTTTACGTAGAGGTCTATATTCCACCATGTCTGGAATTTTGCTGTTCCCCTATGTTGATAATCTGGAGAAGGAAATCCATCCAAAATCTTCAGACTTGTCATCTGAAACTAAACAACTTTCTCCTCATGCGCTCGAAATATTGTTTGTTGCCAAGAAAACCATGGGACTGGATGCCGTCCTAGGAATCTTATTTGCTAAATCGGCATTAGGATTTATGTTTGCTGGTAATGTTCTTAATTATTTAGCTTGGACTTTGTTAAAAACAAGCAATCATTTTTATGAAATATTCTAGATGACTTTCAATCTGGCCTTATCAAGGGACCAGGAGAAGTAGTTTTCGGTGCAGGCTTGGGAATTTTATGGGGCGGTTTGTCCGGTCTGCTTCTCACCGGGCACAAGCACGTCGTGCTGCGCGTTATTACCGTAATTCTTGGTGGGACAGTAACGTTTATCGGAATGAGAAAGCTGGGCTATCCTCGCGGAACCCACGTGGGCGTTTTGATTGGAGCTTTTACTGCTATATCAATTTGGAGATCAAACAAAAAGAAAGTTGTCGGATTGGAGAAGATTATCGATACCAATGACAAAATTTGGGCACTTTTAGGTCTTATTCTTAAAAAAACTATTCGTCTTTGAGACAAAAATATGAATTTAGCAATAATGAGCTAATTTTGCAATCCTTTAGAGCCCTTTCTATTTGCAATTATTGGAGCCAGGATTAATGTGATGGCGATAAATTGGAGCATGTTTGGACTAGGATTTTGTGTATGGGCTGCTTGTACATTGGTATGCTGATGACTATAGATACATACTAAGCCAACTTAATGCATATTTATGCATATGTGCTATGTATATGTAAATATATGCATGTGCATGTTTAAATACATGGTTAATCAAATTATTTTATATGAAATTACGTATTGTTTATCAGGTCCGTCTGGTTACTGTTTTCTGGTCAACGCAATGGTCAGGATGGACCCTGCGAGAACGGCTCTTTATAGTGACTGCTTGGTCAGGAAAGGGCACGCTCCAGGCCGCAATTGGACCAGTCCCAATCGAAACAGCACTATTGAATCATCTAAATTCTGACGTGGTTGAAAGTATGAGGAGAGTTATGGAGTTGGCCGTTTTGATTCTGATATTTTCCCATATATTTGGATATGTTGGGGTTAAGTTGTGGGGTAAAAAGTTATTAAGCAAAGAAGATGAGAATAGTGCAGTAGTAGTTTAATATTATATATGATAAGCATAAGCTTAATTTATACATGCAAAACAGTATTAATGAAAAATAAATGTCACGTTGAAGCACATACATATATGTCAATATGTACATATGCATGCACATAAGTAATTACTGGACACGGCGACCCATTTTCTTGATTAGAGTGTAGTGCTAATTAACGGTGTTCATCGACCAATAAAGTTGACTTTTACAGCCGCACAATCCTTCTGTAGCTTAATTAAGGAAATTTACATAAATTCCTTTGCCTTAATTTCTATGGAAATCAATTCCTTACTTGTAGCGTTATGAAAAGTAAGTCTTACTAAATACTGGAATGTTTCATATTGATACCAAGTCCCAGACATAGTACTATGGTAAAAATTTTGATGGAGAACTCTAAATCAGTCAGAAATTATTAGAGGTCACAATCGTATCGTTCACAACTTAAGGATCTACTCTCGGTAGAATATTTATTCACAAGAATGATGCAGTATTAAATTATTAAAACTCATTAATTTGGCTTGGGCACACATGTACAACATATTTCAAGATTAGGATTTTTGCATTAAGTTAACATTGAGCTTAAATAAAAATACAAATGATCCCTGAACATTCTGATCTGTATTTTGTGTCTCAAGATCTAATCAGAACTCATAAATTACTTCCGAGGTGTTACAACAACGTCGAAGGGAGCAGCAAGTGCATTGAGTCCAAGCACCGGCATTAGACTCGGTTTTGGACGACCTTCCTGCAGAGAAAACTTGAGGTTTCGTATAAGTGTGGTCAGCATAATGAATAATGCGTCGCGAGCTACTCCTTCGCCAATGCAAGACCGTTTGCCTGAGAGTGAGAAAAAAGGAAACTTAAATTTGACAAAATATCCCTATAGTTATCCTTAATATTTAGATAAAAACAATGGTCCAGATTTCATTACTCACCCGTCCCAAATGGCACCGTATTTTCGTCAGCAAACTCTTTGTTAAAGGATCCATTTTTGATGAATCTCTCTGGCCGAAAGTTGTCCGGATCGCCCCAAACGTCTTCGTCCATACTAATCGTCTGTGCAAACATCATCAAGGCTGTGCCCTAGAAAGATTTGTAGTCAATATGTACATGCATATCTAATTACATATCTCAGCTTATGTAAATTGATGAATTGTCTTGTATCTGCTTATTTACCTAAGTTTCTCATCAAATACAAATACCGATACATACATACAAAAAACCCTATCTTTATGATTACGTAGCCTTTATTAATTAGATTTATAACCTTTTTAATGCGGAACCCTTGATACCAAAAATCCTTCAACACATTTCTAGGCATTATCATTATATTTCGGGCATATCTCAGCGTCTCTGCTATGACAGCTTGGGCGTACGGCATTCTGGACGGATTTTATGCAGTTATACTTTTTGTGAAAATCGTTCCTGACGAAATATGTTGAGAAATAAGTGACTTTATATTACTTATCTCTGTCATCCAAACATGGAACACCTTGCGACCCAACAACTTTGATAATTTCTTGGACGAATTTTTCCTGAACAGTTGGATATGAAGTCAACAGCAAAATTCCAAACGCCATATTGCCCGATGTAGTATCCGACCCGGCTTGGATCAAATCCATCACCGTGATAATAAATTGGTCGTCTGATATCATTTTCATAGTTAATTATAATTACACTCTAATTTGTTATTTGTAATATTCATGCCTGTGAAGAATCTTTCCTCTCCATCGCTCTTTTTCTCTTCTTCGTCAATTTGTGCAAGAAATTCGTCAATAAAACAGTTCTGACTCGTTTTATAATTTCCAGACGCTCTCGCTTCATACAGCATTTCCTATAATTTTAATTATTACGTTATACGCATTATTAAATAAGTTTGATTTTTGTCTGTTTGACATAATACTTGATTTACTGTACCCGAGCAACATCGTGCATTTCTGTGGATAACTTTTTAGCCCGTGTAAACCCACACAGTTGGGGACAAATGTCTTTGAGGAAAGGCCAATAATTGTAAAGGCCCGAAACCATGGAGAAAGATTCTGCCCATTTTCTCCCAACGCAAAGAAATCGATTAACGGCGGAATTCTTGTCATTCCTGTCACACCGTTTACCTTGAAAGATAATGAAAATTTTTGTTCGTTTAATTGCTAATTTTACTTAATTTTGTGGTTTAGTGAATCAAAATGTGTACAACATAGCGACGCCGCAGTACTTCCATACCTGTGAGCATCCACAGCACTATGTTCAGCGTGTTTACAGCGAAAAAGTCTCCCGCGATACGAATCGTTCCGTCTTTAGAGGACTTTGACATTTGAAGAAGTTCATCCTGAATTTGATTCGCTTCTGAACTTATGACACTTTCCATCACGGAACGTTTTGAAAATCCAAAATTTTTCAACGTCTTAAGCGTGAAGCGACGCATTTCCATCCATGGGCGACCAACTCCGACCAATATTCCTACCGTGGTGATGAAAGGTTTAAGAGTTCATCTTCAAGATTTCCATACAAAATTCTTATGAAAAAATTAAAATTTGAATCTAACCGAGATTTTTGTTCATATTCCTGGCTTTTATTTCCTCGGCGAATTCTCTACTAAAGGTTTCTTCTCGAGTTATGAGGTCTTTAGTGGTTTGGACATCATTAAGGAATACTGTAATATGTACACGTACATATTTACATATTCACACATTTCAGTTAAATTATAAATGATATCTTAAATATGTACTTACCTGCATTCATGAACCCCAACTGAATTCGCGTAAGGCCATGCTTTCCATACCGCTTGCATATCTTGTATAACCCGACGTATGGAATAGGATCGGATATGGCAACTTGGAAGAGATTCCCAAAAAATGGAAGTCTTATAGGACCTTGCATAATTAAGGAAAGTGTGATAAATATTTAAGGAAAAATATATCCATATTTTTTAAATTATGAAAATTATTTATGAAAACTACGTATGACGGAGTAAGTCAGTAAGTATTTAATATTTGATAACGTACCTGGGGGTTGGTTTTTGGAATCAAAATAATCCCAAATAATCCATGTGATGACACCAATCACTAAATAATTACCACTTCATTTACTGGGAATTCAAACATTTTCCGTCGAATCAGAGTCTGAATAATTAAAGTAGAGCTTAGGACTAGGTGAAGAATAACGAAATATAGTCGATGTCATGCTTATTTGAGCAAAAGCCATTTAGGTACTCCAAGTGTTTTTTGTGTCGAACAATGAGCAATAACATTTCATTTATTATCATATCGGAATTAACAAAGCCAAGGCAGTTTGACAAGCAAAATTTAATGATAGAAGGATCTTTGATCGGTTTGAGGAAAACTAAGCTTGAAAATTAATTTATCAATAAAACAAGTCTTAGGTGAGTGGTCAATGATGTTGTCGAGGCTGGAAACCAATGCAGGCCATGAAGTAAAAATTTGTGTATATGCTCATAAATACACAATTATATATGCAAATAATTTAAACGTGTGTATTTTTATTCGATGACTTGAAACGGGTATGAATTTCACTACTAATAATAAGTTTTCCAAGCCCAGCATCTTTTAGGCTGTTATTTTTCACGAATTACTTGGTGTAGGTGGATACTTAACGCTCGCAGCAGTTCTGGCGTATTTTTTATGACCATTGACCCGCTTTTAATTGTGTTCCTCTGTTAAGAAAAACACCACGTGCATGAAAAGACAAAGAAAATTGGTGACTCAGGGCTTCACACTGATAAACAACATATTTACGAATCATAACACCTTAGTCAATATTTTTCTTGAAACGCAATGGTAAAACGTGGAATGCAAAACACAACTCGTGTCGGATTTGCAGCTTTGCAGCATGCAATGCAATCTGCATAACTCCCAATATTTACGATACAACGCAATGACTATTTTAATTATTACCGTGTTGGCTGGAACTGATTCAACGAGGTACGAATGATAATTTTTTCGTTACTTAACATTTGACTAAAGCAATTCTTCGTGATTAGATTGCATTAAATGCATGAATGATATTATAGACAGTGCAAAAAATCCGAGAACACCAAACGAGGAAAATGAATACAAATTATTTTAGTAATAATTATCAGCTACCAACACTTTCATACACCCAAAAATGTTATGAACATATTTATGTACGAGTTAAAATGTTAAGACGACAAAAGCATGAAACTAAATTATAATTAGAAAATTTTCCAAGTACAAAATTTCAACAATCTGTATTTTATTTTTCAGCATTAAGACTACTTATAGAAGCTTAAATAAATAAATAAATAATCAATAATTTTCTTTTAAATTGTGGTTCAGATTTGAGTAATTAGTTATAAATAGAATGCTGGCTACCTACATGGTTGCACAATTTCGTTACGCAAATGCGTTCGACGCGAGTACTAATGCTATGACTAATGTATTTAATATTTGAATTATGTTGAATCATGCTTATCTGAACTCAAACGGATTAACTCCAAGCTGAGATATGTAGGTATGCAATCAGCTCGACAGTGATTTTATCAAACTTTATTTAATCAAATATTAAAAATTGCTCAGTCCAAATCCGAATGTTACGCTGATACTTGCAATTTTTTATTTATGGTGGTTGTGCAGGTCTTGGTTAAAAGATTAATTCATTAATAATAGTAATTGCTCAAGATGTATCTTTCCTCAAAACCTGGTATCCTTAAAGTGATTACTCTTGTAAGTTTTGATCTGCATTAATTTCATTTTGATGTTAGTTTGGCGTATCACTTATAAAAATTTCTAACAAAAATATAACGAATGCAGGCAGTTCTCATCACCTGCACAGCTGTTGGGGTCAGTGCCCACTATAATTCAGTAGCGAAAACACTATTCGACTCGGACCAAGGTTACAGGCTATGCAAGATTACTTCAGAATGCCCGCATGTGGCGAAACCGTTGGAAATTGTATTCGTCTGGACAAATATCGCTGTCTTGGCATTACTCTTAATTAATCTGGCTGTGTATATCTTTTTGAATAAAAACGTTGCCAACTTTATTGCAATGGTTTGTGAGCAATGAATTAATGCAAATAATTTATAAACAAATTATAAACGAATGTTTTAAAAATGTCATTTATATTTTTCAGGATATAATATTCACCAGTGTGGCAGGAATATTTGTAACTGCGGCAGGATCCATATTTATCTATTGTGCTATTATTATGGACAATTATTTAGATGGAGAACTTAGGAAGGAAACGAAATACATACACAAACTTGCTGCTGGGGTAAATCAATTGCATTAATGTGTATACGATGAATAATATGGAAATTTTTAATATTCTGACTTCTTACAGGCGTTGGGAATTATGGCCGGAATATTATTCTTGACAACAGCAAATGCAATTCGATATTTTAGTAATACATCGTCAGCGCCTGCGCAGGGAGCTTTTGTTCAGCAACCATATGCTCCACCCCCTCAACCACCCCCAACAGGAATCCAAACCAATGACAGACATATAAATCAAGGACAGGAATATCAGCAGAAGCAGCACCCACAACAGTATCAACAACCACCAATCTATTCTAGCAGTTATTTTGGAGGAAATAATAATCCCCCGCAACAATTCCAGCCAGGCACTGCATATACAATTGGTAATAATGCTGGAGGATATCAAAGCAAACCGTACCAGTCTGTTGGATATTATGCGCCCACGCCAAAAAACGATGGTGGAGGATACGACATAAGTATTCCAAGAGTGAAATATTAATGAAATTCGAATCTAAGTTTGAAATACCTTTTTCTATTGTTGAATGTATTACCCATATGTTAAATAATAAATCTGATCATGAGTACAGCTTCAGCTTGAGAAGCTACATAAATCTAAATACATATTTAGTGAACTGATTATTTATAATAATGGCACAAATAATATTCCTTTGAATATTCCATTTCTTCTGAAAATTGTCAAAACAATTTTATGTATGTGTGCAATATTTGAGTAGTTGAATTGAGTTGGTTGGAAAAGCTGCTTCATATATTTCTCCAAATTGTGTACATATGTTCATGCATATCATACGTAAATATATTTTCTTATATAAGCACGTAGATTAAAAATATATCCATTTTATTAGCGTCTTGGATTCTAGATTATGTTCTTTGTTGTGAAAAACCCTAGGGTCTAAATATGGTGAAAATTAATAACTTCAAAATAGTGTGCACCTTAGCGGCTCGGCATTATATTGATGCAATGATTTACAGAATATTTTATTTAACAGTATATTTTAACAGTCTGTATTTACAGATAATTTAAATAAATTTTTGGTTAGATATGTAAGTTAGATAGAATGCCTAACATTCACAACCATCAACACATTTCCTGCAAGTTTCACTAGCCTGGTCCCATTTAAGACCATCAGGACATTCTAAATCCTCTCTATCTTCCATATGCTTGGGGTCATAGTACCAATAGCGCCCTGTACATTTATCTTCCTCATCCTGACCCCATTCGCAAACCTCTGGAATAATGACACAATTTTCGTCTGCCAGATACCCATCACGAGTAGCGTTGCTTAGATTATCCCATTTGTTACAAGCCCCACCAAACCCATCTTCCACTCCGGAACTCGGCTTGAGGTCAGGATCCCACCAGAGATCACCGTCACAGGACTCGTGAACCCACACCCCCGTAATATCCAGCTTTGGATCAGAGGGGAAATCACGTTGACACCTAAAGTAGAAAGAGTGCAAATTCCAGCAATATCCGCATGGCTGACATTGATTTTTTCCACATGGTAGACCAGCGGTTATTCCATGGCAAATCGTAATATTGGCGACAGGGGTTTGTGTCGTTGGTTCTTCGGTTGTGGTGGTGGTCGTCTTTTTTGTAGTTGTCGTCGCTTCTGCCGTGGTGCCCTCGGTTTCTTCGGGTGTATCAGTTGGAGGTGGATCGACGATACATTCTGTGATCTTTGGCCACTCGCACCTCTCTTTGAAAGCGTCATAACGAAGAAATGGGATTCCGAAGCAGAGGGTATTAGCCAGGTCGCAGTTTGGACACGCCATATCAGATGCATATCCGTTGGAGCAAATAATGAATCGAGTGCAATCACTGGGGTGAATGTATTGTCCGTTAGGTTTCCCAGAACAGTCATAGTAGTCGATGTGGTCGTAATTTGGTCGTGAATATCGTGATGCCTTTGAATCTTCATGGCTGTCGCTATCGGTGTCGGCTAAAGTAAAAATATAATTTAGACATGTATTAAACCACCTTCAAGAGAAGTGCATAATTGAGTATACGTCGCAAGTAATGCATATTTACCTCCCCACGCAATGGCGACCAAGACCAGAAAAATACTCAAACTTGTAACAGGTTTCATATTTATTTTATAAATGGACAGAAATGCAAACTCTTGTGCAACTCTTGCCCTTCGAATTTGATCTAAAAATTAACTGTAGCTGGTGCATCTATTTATTGAGGTGCATATGACGCCAATATTCGGTAAAATACATGAACATGGTGTAAAATATTTTATTCCTCTGGTTTTAAATAATTCCACTCGAGTAATAAATTAAATCGGGGTTGGGTATTATCAATATCAATTTGAAACTTTGACACTGGCTCATAAAACGTCATACCAGTAAAATCATGTAATTAATCGTTCACTCATTGCTCATCACTTCGTCATGCCATACATATGCATAAATAAACGCCTGCTAAATTGACCAATTGATGTAGAATGCCTAGATTATCCAGGGGACGAAATCCCTTTTACAGTTTATGTTTTTCCCGAATTAAGTAAAAAAAAATCCATCTCCATAAGTACCAACCACGTAAGTGTAGGTAGCTTAAAGTCATCAAATCCCATAAAAATTTGAAGTGATGTCAATGAGTTTGGTAGCAATAAAACACTTCAAGTTGATCTTTCGGCGAAAAAACAAATAAATATAATAGAAAATAACAATACAACTATTCATTACATAGTAATTACCACATAGGTTCATGTACTTACCTCCAATTGCAAGGTGAAACACTCCAGATTAGTCGAAATTTCATATGAAATTGTGATAATCCCCCTCCTGCGTAAACTCCTAGTTTCATTAGTCACGTCGAAAGCTTTGACGTGATATTTATGGCTGGATTAAATCCTCATTACTCAACATTTTTAAAACGGGTATATAACTGCTTCCCTTGGTCCAGTTGTTCATCATCATATTTTTCTTGGGCTTGAACGATTTCTATAATAATAGCGAATAGGCCACAATGGCGACGAAAATTATTCTCTTGCTGGCCACAATTGGGGCAGTTGTTGCGGGTAAAAAAAATATAATTGCATTAAATATTATAGCTCATTTTTATTTTCAGCGTTTAATTTCAAACCAAACCATCTCAACTTTCTCAAATTTTCCAGTTCCTCATAAGTCCTTGAAACGCCCCAACCACGACCACATCGACTACTATGACTGTTCCGGAAAGGCGAACGGGTCATACGTACATCCCTCCGACTGCACTCGATTCATCATGTGCTCGAATGGAAATGCGGCCGACATGGCGTGTCCAGATTGTAATGGACATGACCCGCAATGTGACGGCGAGGCGTACCTTCGTTGGAGTGAGACCACAGGAAACTGTGAATGGCCAGCAGATACCGAATGCGTCGCTGGGGACAGTGATCCCTGCCCTGGCATTGTTGCGGGGGGTAGTTGTGGAAAAAATGATTGCAAACATTGCGGGTATAATATTTTTTTGAGAATGACGATGATAAGCATTATTTCTTAAATATTTTACTTAATATTCTGATAACCTCCTTTATAGATTTTGTACGGAGAAGATGTCACAATACTACCGATGCAATCGCACTTTCCCCTCAGATCCAAAGCTAGAAATTACTGGCAAGTGGGTCATCGAGTCTTGTGATTCTGATCTCTGGTGGGATCCTGACCTCAAACCGAGTTCCGAAGTGGAGGAAGGATTTGGTGGGGCTTGTAACAAATGGGACAATCTTTCCCCGGCAACTAAAGAAAAATGGAGGACTGACAAAAGTTGTAAGGCTGTTTTAGAAGAAGTCTGTTTGTGGGGACAGGATGAAGGTGACCAGTGTTCAGAACGGTACTGGTATTATGACCCCGACACTATGGCTGTGCGAGAAGATCTCTCTTGTCCTACTGGACTTTTGTGGGACCAAGCTACTGAGACGTGTCGGTCGTGTGGGAACGTTGCCGGTTGTGATTGCAAATGAAGCATTTAGTTGTATCATTTCTACAAAATGAGAAGAAAAAACCTTCGTATTTCAGCTTTGAGTAATTATAAATAGAATTCCTGTAAAAATTAATTGGAAATGTAACTAAAATAGTTACAGTATTTAAGCAATAAAATCTTGCATATAAATCTTGCGGTATTTTAATTTATTGAAATGGTAAAACAATACGTACATAATTATTAAATGTGCATATTGGCATTAATATCTAAAGGTTAAAGAATCATATTTTATTATGCAGTATAAATGGATAAGCTTAAATGCTTGTTTATTCGTCCAATCAATTTTATTTTTGATAATAATGGCAGCTTATCATAATTCTATTTAAATCTTAAACGAGACCTCCATTGTCCATTATCCTCCTGTTCCCGTGGCAAGCCCCTGCTTTCACCCAAGCCAGATACCTGTGACCCATGTAAAGTTGAACAAATCGAAGAATGAGGCCACCAAATCCGAGGATGAATATCGTAACTGGATTTAATTTTGGGGGAGTATCGTAGTCTAATATGTCATCAGATGTGGGAGAACTCGAATAATGGCGTCGTGGGTTGAAGAAAATTGAAAACGTAAAAATCAGAGTGGATAAGATTAGAAACCAGGTGGACATTATAATCCATGATGCGACATCGTCAATCCTAATATGTTCATTCTCATCGGGTGTGTTCTGCAGGATAAAAGTGGGTGCACGTGAGTCACTTACATTAATATGTGTATCGTTGCTATGTATTTATTAATTTACCAGCATATTCACATCTACCGTGATCTGGATCCCGATAAGAACAATAATCACACTTAAACAAAGTGACCAAGCAAAGAGGCTCATCCCTGCATGAAATGAATAGCGTGAGAAAATTGCTTAGAAACATTAAAGTATTTTTTCATTCATACTTACAATTAACTTTGTTAACCGAGGAGTCGTCTAATTGCATTTTGTCCTCCTTGTCAGCATTTCCTAGGTTAGAAATCACGTCGAAACCATTAATGCAGGAGAGGAAAATTACGCTGTCCGCATAAAAGACAAGTGAGATGAGAATAATCTAGATAAGAAACAAAAGTAATCAAGATGCATATATCTCATAATTGAATATATGCTATAAATATGTATTCAGCAGAGGTCCACTATCGTCGACACCAAAGGATTATAGATTTTCAATATTTATTAGTTTAAATTGTAGACAATTTAAAAATGAGTTTCATATGTATCCGATATGATAAAACAACTAGATATATAGAATCAGGAAACTCCGAAAAGTATCAAAATCTGGTGAAAATTGAATTTTTGGCAAATTTTGAATGCGACGCTGTTAGTTCTTGTCATGCTTTTGAGGGGTGACGCAGGCGCAAATGGGGCCATGGAATAAAACCTTCCTTCACCTTTCGTACACTCGCCTAGTACTAGAACATGCATATGCAAGTGTATCCAAGAGGCATCAAAATCTGTCAACCTCACAACCCCTCCCCCTTAGTTCAATATGACAATAAAGAAGAATTCCAGTGATGCACGGTCATTATTACTATAGTATAATTAGAATAAAATAAAAAAAAAATGGGTAAATATTGTAATTGTTCTTACAGTATTTATGATAATCACACATTGAAATATTTTCCTGTCCCGTTTATTGTTTTGAAAAAACATGACGTCAATTAATTATTTTTCCAAAACTTACACACTATTAGATGAAGGAAGACGATTTTTTTTAGCAAATAACTTTTGACAATTTTATATTTTTGTTTGTTTGTTCTTCTTGTCCATTTTCATCCTGAGTATCCGTGTATATTTAATTGTGCAAGTTTTTCAAGTATTTTGCGCAAATATACTGAGAATTAGGTTTGTGCCAACTGGAGTTGTTCCAAGTTTAATGTTTCTCCCTTGTTATGCCATCTTATATACATAATTAAAGGATGTGGTCTGTCTCATTTTACACACAGACATCTCATTGAAGTTATGGTCACACTATTAGTCGTACTATATGGAAATTACGAACATACGAAAAAGTGGAAGAAAGCGTTTATTTAGAAATGCATTGCCGGTCAAGAGTAAGTCCGTCTTAGAACTCTACGTTTCAATTTCACACCAAATTACCGATTTCAAAATTATGTTGCACAAATTAGCTGTCAATTCTTGTATCAGATTCATAAGCATAGGCTCTTAGAGATACATATACATCTTTGTCGCATAAATAAATGCATGACGCACTGGTAAATTTTGCATGGAAAAAGTATTGCTATGATATTCTTTCTTATCGCCAAAATATACAAGTTGGACAAATACCAAGTCAAATAAGACAAGGTATCAAATATTTGCATGAAATTTAATCCATTTTGCTATTTAATAGCTGCATGGATTCAACTCGGTGAAATGAATCAATGTCGCTTTATCACGAGTATGATACGTGACACAAGATACCTACATATTTACATACATATGTAGGGAAATGACTGCACCTTGCGCACACAGGTTATTTTACACAACACACAAAAACGTTTGTATGTCGTTTGTATATGTAGTGTCGTCACTTGCATGTATTATTCATCAACTTCAAATGTATTTCAATCAGTCTATCATCACCGCAAAATGTGTGCACACATTACATCGTATTTTGATTTGTCTTCGGTAATCAAGGTTGAGAGTAGGATAAAAATAAAATGTTGACCGTTGGAGTGATCGGTGATTTCGGTATCAAAAGCACAAATTCGGTCGCTGTCTCAAATCTCGTAAAATCATGGAACCCAGATATCATTCTGACCACGGGAGATAATCTGTACTCGCCTCCCAGCCAGAAAAATTACTCATCAATTATTGGAGTACTTTACCCAGAGTATTTAGATAATTTACCACATTTTGTGAGAGGAGGAGGAATAAATTCCAACAGCAATAATATACTTCGCGACATCAGCAAAAAATGGAAAGGGAGGAAAATCTACTCAAAATTCTTCCCATGCGTTGGAAATCACGATTTTCCATTTACCAGTTACACCAACTACTTTCAACTCCCAACTTTCTACTCGGTGGAATTTACTCAGCCTAAAAAACATTTACTAAAAGTTATTTCCTTAAACAATTATAAAGACGAGGAGCATGGCAGATTTGACGACGCAACTTCAAACCAAAGGAGCTGGCTTGAAGAGGAGTTAGAAGCATCGCAAGATTTCGACTGGATCCTCGTCACATTTCACTATCCTCAATTGTGCAGTAATAGCTCACGAGAAGAAAATGAGACAAACTCGAAGCGATTATTTCCATTTTACAAGTATCAAAATGTGGGACTCGTGTTAAGTGGACATCAACACATTTACGAACGGTTGGAGGTGAATGGGGTGACCAATGTGGTCGTTGGGACGAGTGGTCATTCAGTGAGGAGAAAGTCTATCGCCTTACTGGAGGAATCGAGACAAATTGATGACTCTGGGTTTGGGGCCGTGAGATTGGATGTCAGTAAAGATGAAATTAAAGGGGGTTACGTAGTTCTAGAAAATATCAGAGGGAGGAATAAGAAACAAACAGTTATTAAAGATGAGTTTTCTGTGATTAAAAAGCGATAGGTTAAATGATAAACTTTTTCCTAAATAAATTTTGAATATATGATTTTTTTAAATGTAATATTTCATTTTTTATTTATTAAAATTGCGACATGTAGCATAACGGTAAAATTTGCAAAATATACAAAGACCTGTTCATCAATAAATTATTATGTATAATAATTTCCGTGTTACATATGTATGATTTGTTACAACAACAAGTGCACTTCAATTTTTATTTTGAATTACATATTACTCTCCACTTTATGATAATGTCTCTTATGCGAAAAGAGGGAGTTGTAGTTACTAAAAATTCTGTGACATTGGGAACATTTTAAACATTTTGATAACGTGCCATGCTCAGTTTTGTAATGTTCTGTAACACCTCGAGAATTTTTACAGTCTATTAAACATAAAACACACTTGTAGTTTCTTTTTTTCCTTTTGTACAAAATCTTTTTTGATTTTGTAGAAATTTTATCATCCTTCATTTCCTTCAATTTCAATTTCTTTTTGATAGATCTGTGGCCAGTACCGATGGGAAGATTATTGTGGATGTCGCGTCGATGCACGTATAACGTCTTTTTAAATCGAAATACACGGTGACATACATTACACTTCCATTCCGTCGTGTCTGGATGGGCTTCTCGGTAATGTTTGCCTAAGGCGATAGGATGAGGAAACCTAATGTCGCATAAGAGACACGTATATTGGAATTTTGGTTTTGTCAGGCTTGGATTTTGCACTGTCCAACTGATATTACTCGTGCTCGTTGCTGTAGTCGCGGAAGGTACTGGAATTGTCTCACTATTTTTAGCAGTGTGATCATTTGTTGATGACAATGATGAAACTTGCTCGTCGTCCATTATTTTAATGTTCTTGGCCTCATGTTCATATTGTCGATCGACAAGGTCGCGATTAATGGGTAAATTCTTGTGTACTTCTTTCCTGTGATAATATAACTTAGCTCTAATATCAAACTCTTCATTGCATACAGAACACGGCCAACGTGTTATTCTGCCCTGTTCTCCACCATGTTCAGAATAATGAGATCCTAAAGCAATCGCGTTACCAAATAATTTGTCGCATAAGAGGCACGCATAGTTGCGGTGATTAGAAGAAGGGACAAGTATTTTACTACTCTTCATAAAAGGTTTCTGAGTTTTCTTTATCTTAAAGAACGATGGCCGAACTGTTACATGATGCTGGAATTGAGATTTTGTTGTTTCATTACTTTTCAAGGTTTGCTTCTTATTAATTGGTAAGTTTTGATGAACAACGCCTCGGTGGCGATACAATTGTATTTTCGTATCAAATTCTTCCTCACACACATAGCATCTCCAAGAAGTAGGGTTATTATGTTCAATCGAGTAATGACTTCCGAGATGTAACGAACTGTTGCATAGTTTATCGCAAAGTAGACAAATCCAATTTCGTGGAGTATAGTTTGCCAATGATGGTCTTTTGATCTTGTTTTTGAGCGCGACAACTGGTTTAGTTGGCTTCGACTTGGGTTTTAATTCAATGTGATTCGGGGTCTGATTAACTGGCATGTTTTTGTGAACAGTGCTTCTATGTTTGTAAAGCCTGTGCTTCATATCAAATGTTTCATGGCATGTGTAACACTCCCAGCTTTTCGGATTGTTGTGAATCGTAATGTAGTGAAGACTCAGTTCTCTGGGACTAAAAGAAATCTTGTCGCATAGCAAGCACGAATAATTCCGAGGAATGTTATATTTTGCATACTTCAGCAAAGATGGTTTCTTGATTGTCTTTTTAAATGGGATTGATGTTGAGGATGATAATGCAGCTGATGATGATGGTACTACGACTGATAGTCTTGATGACAACTGGGCAATTTTTGTTCGCGTTTGGTTGATAGGTAAATTCTGGTGGGTTATGCTTCTGTGAGAGTAGAGCTTCTCTTTCCTGTCGAATTTTTTATCACATGCAAAACACGGCCAAGTCGATGGGTTATCATGAACTTGTGAGTAATGGAGTCCCAAGCTACTTGAACTCTGTAAAGATTTGTCACAAAGCAGACAGCTCCAATTTCGTGGAGTATATTTTCTTTTTAGCCTAGGAATGACTTTCCCTCGTTGTTTTGACAATTTATCTGCGTAACGCAGAGGCAGTTTGATTTTTGTACAAAGGGTTTTTGAGTTTGAACTTGAATCCTGTCAATAATTTAAGGGCATTAAGGGTAAGCGTACCATTAGTTAAAAAATAAGTAGCAATAAATAAAATTGTCAAAACACTTGCCCCATCCTCTTCTAATTCCCCTCTGTCGGATGGCATAGGTTGAAGTGGGTCTTCAACGATTAAGTTATCATCAGGTTCGTCCTCATCGCTATTTTTGTCCTCCTCCCCAAGTTCGCCGTCATAATAAGAATCCAAAATATTTCCCAATTTGACATCTGCCTCATCATGATTTTGAATAACGAAATCGGATTCTTCCTCCTCTTCTACATGATCAGCAACCCAAGAAGGATGGTTTTCATATTGAAATTCCTCGGACTCACTCACATGCTCCTGGCTATGATAATTATATGTTTCGGAAGGAGTGGAAAGTGGGGACGACAAAAAGTGGGGAAGAATCTCTTCCCCGAGGTTATGGATGGAAGTGGTTGAAGAAATAATTCCGATTCCTAAAGTTATAGAATTATAAAAAATAATTAATCCGTAAAGGAATACTTTCAACTAACGTTAACACTTGAACATATTAAGGTGGACTTACCATTACAGTTTTCCTCAAAAGATGCTTCCATTATGTTATCGTTATCCACGAGAACATTGAAACATTTCTTCACATTGGTGGCAAGCTTCAGCCTACTCTCTTGACTGGTGAAGTTCCGATGATTAGTTTCCACCACGAGTAGGTGATTCAATAAAGTGTGCTTAACCCCTTCCAGCTCCGCAGCAACCTCATCCATTCTGGACGATAAGACGAGCCCTTGTTTCACAAGTCCATTACATGGGTCGCAGAACGATGACAGTATTCCGCCACCGGCAGTCTTTGTATTCTCCAAGTATTTTGAACATTGTAACAACGGAATCTGGAACAATTTACAGCACAGGAGTAAAAAAATGGAATAAATTGTTAAGGTCATTATTAATTTGTTATATTACTCGTCAAATTATGTACAAGTATTGATTATTCAAAATAATTTATTTTGAATCTTACGTTCAATATTTTGTGAAAAAATATAATGGCATTTAACGTCTCAGTACAAGAATCTTCATCGCAGGGGTCTGGGGTTGTGGAACTAGCTCCACAAATTAAACAGGTCATTGTAATTATTTATTTATTTTTCAGAATAATTAAATAAATGATTTTTTGAGCTTTCAAGTGAAAGTCATGTTCCATGCGCTGGTGAAGATTTGTTTGCAATAGTGGGAAGAATACTTTGTTTATGCTTTTGCCAGAAAACTCGATGGCTTTTGCCAGAAAACTCGTTATGTTATCATGTTACATTCATGGCTTGTGCATCATAATATTTGATATATTTGTCTTGAAATTAGTAATTACCTAGAAGTTAATACTGAATACTGGCTGGAAAATAGGTAAAACGATTAACTTGTGCATCTACTGTTTATCTTAATTTAAGATCACAGGGATAGGTGCATGTATGCAAATTGACTGCAATTTGCAAAGGTACATATTTTTATGCATGATCTTGAAATCTATTCTTATTTCCGAGTACGGAATTGATGCAAGAAATTTAAATATCATTGAGAATCATAAGTTTACTGTTATGTTTTTCATGAAATAATGCAAAACACTGCAATTTTCTGATATTTTTACTCTTTGCACAACATAAGATTTTATTCCCTAGTACCTCAATTGCTAACACATCATTTCAAGATGAACCATGTGCTAATTCGCTAATTATTTCAACCTCGTGAACCAACCATCACTTCTTATCAATACTGCACTAATAATACGTAGTTCTTCTAATTTTTCTAAGACTAATTTGGTATTTTGATTTTGTCTCAAGCAAACTAACTAATGATGAACTGTTTTAAAATTTAAATAATTGCGTAACGTGTAAAATGGCATTGTGTGTTGCACTACTATTTCTGGATCGTCGTTATTGTCAATGTCAATGTTACAAAATGATATCTGTTCATATCTATTTAAGATCTAAAACTGGAGTGCATTGTTTAAAACGAATCAAAATAAGTATATGAATATTTATGCTAATTGCAATTTGCACACTGAAAGCTACAACCAAGAATTATACCAAAAAAATACGTATATATGTACGTAATACTGTAACTTATTGACTCTTTTATGTATAATACGAGCGAGATGATTGGGTTTTAAATATATTTGTCCTATTCCATTCCAACGAATTCTAATGTTTCATTAAACCATTTCCTCGATCAATCCAGCCAGAGCAAACTAGTTATTCGTCTTATTTATTGTTTCTGCATAGATTAATAAAATGATATCAATTCCTAATTTAAAGTAACCTCTCTCTCAAATAGAGATCATTTTATGATATCGTGTAAAGTGCCCAACAACGCATCAAAATCAAAATGTACACCGAGTCATGCGTGCATCCAACGCCTTGCAAAAAGAGTTCCTGTTCCACTACTAGCAATAGAAAATCAGATTTTGATGTCAAAATGGGATCCTCTCGTTTCCAAAATTTGTTCCTCATTTCGCTAAATTCTCGCGTAAATGGATCCGGAATTATGCGAAATGTTATGGCCGTTCAAAGGGAGAGGAGACGCCAATGGGTTGCTTTTCCAGCAACGATTCACCCCTACAGTAATTTCCGGTAATGTTTTTTAAATTTCTTTAAGTGTTTATACACTTTTTAATAATTGGTTTGTTTGTGTCCTATCGTTGTGTGTAGCTGGTATTGGGATATTTTTATCACCATCATCCTTCTCTTAGCGTTAGTGGCAAACCCAATTCAAATTGCATTTTATTCCACAAATGAGGAAGACAACCTCGGCGTTGTAATAGCAAGCTTGATTGCTGCAATAATATTTTTTCTTGATATTTCCTTCAATTTTCGCACCGGATTTGAAGACCAGCACAGCGATCTTGTTATATTAGATCGGAGTGAAATTGCGAGGTATGTGAAACGTCTTTAATTTTGCGTGGAAAGCAAAACGTAATAAAAAAAAACAGTAATTCTCCGTTAAATATTTCCTACAGGACTTATCTTCGCTCCTGGTTCTTGATTGATGTATTCTCAAGGTACCTTTTGTATCAGTCTGGATTTAATTAAAGCTTACATACAATTTTCTCTCTAGCATTCCATTCGATGCGATTTATTACATCATCAGTAATGCCACCGTGTTGGGGACGCATCACCATTTTTACTACAAAGTTATCCGGCTTCTCGGCTTGCTCAAAGTTTTTCGCTTATTTCGAGTTATTCAATGCTTGCAAAGGATTGAGAAAGCGTTTCAAATTCCGGAACTGCGAATTCGCCTCATCAATTTACTCGTCATGATTTTCACCATTCTTCACTGGTTGGCTTGTTGGCATTGGTTAGTTGCGGACTTGTGCAATCCACCCGGTTACAGGAAGGAATTTTCCTGGATTACGAGAACAAAATTGTGGGATAAGCCGAACTGGATTAGATATATAAACGCTGCTTTGAGGGCGTTGTCAAATATGGGATGTTTGGGGTATGGTCAACCTTTTTTACACATGTTCTTCACCGTTTTTCAAGTTGTGATGGTTCGACAGGTACGGAGGTTTCGCAGGAGAAGCCCCTGCTGAACCGGAAGATATAATTGCAACCTTGATAAGCATTATGATTGGAGCGACGTGCTTTGCCCTGTATATTGGCACGATGGGAAGCATTGTTCAAAGTGTTAACGCCTCGGAAAAGAAGTTTGGAGAAGTTATGTTGGAAGTGAGTTTGCAATCATTTTTTTTCGTCTAACGAGTTATTTAATTATGAACAATATGGTAATTTATGTAGGTCAATGAGTACATGAAATTCCGAAATATTCCTAAAAATGTACAACATCGAGTTAAAACGTATTACGAACAGAGATACAGACGAAACTATTTTGATGAAGGGATGATTCTAGGAAGTGTGTCGGATGTTTTACGAAACGAAATGCAAATGCACAATTGTCATCATTTAGTGGAGAAAGTCTCGTTGTTTAAGTCTTTGCCAATGTCATTCCTTACAAGGATTGTGGCTAATCTAAAATTTGAGGTAAACAGGATGCACAATTTCGACTCTAGTGTTTTAATACTTTCTATTAATATCATAAACTTTTATAATTTGTCATAATAGGTTTACCTACCAAATGATGTAATAATCGAGGCTGGGAATGAAGGTCAAGCCATGTATTTTATTCAAGAAGGCGAAGTCAACATTTTATCGAATGACCAACATGTATCCACGCTAAGCAGCGGTGATTACTTTGGGGAAGTAGCTCTTGTTTCGGACAATTGTAAAACTACGGCTACCGTCGTTGCGAAAGATTACTGTGATATGTATCGCCTGGAAAGGTAAGTAGTTAAGGAAAGAAGTAAGAAAATGGTTTTCACATATTTAATTGAATATTTATCATGTTTCCAGGAGTGATTTCTTTGCAGTATTTGAAGGACATTCTGAAGTTCTTGCGCAAATAAAAAAGGTTTGCTACTGTTCGTTCAAAATTAATATGCAGTAAAGTCCTCAAAATTTTGTAAAAAGTCAAATGGTCGAAGTTGCTGGTTGACATTGACAACGATTTAATTAGGTACATTTTGTCTACTTTTTCAATGAATATTAGGTGAAATTTGGAAAATATAAACAAACTCAATCAATGGAAACCAATCATCCGCCAAATAACCTTTCAGACTTTTTACTGCATATTAATCTTGAATGAACAGTAGTTACTTTATTGTTACCATGAAATATATATAGACGTTTCTTATCAATTTTGATTTTTGGATCTATTTATATTTTTATTCGTTGAAATGTGTTTATTTAGGTTGCGCAAAGAAGGAATGAAGATACACAAAGAAAAACCAGCACAGTTACCAAATCTTGTCTTGAGTTGGTTATTGAGTAATTGAACGAAATGGTGAAAACTAATATTTAAGATTAAAGAATCTATATAATCCATGTATTTAAAAGATTATAAAGATCCAAATTTGAAGTAAATGCTACAGGGAATGCAAGAAGTAAGTAAATTGTTAATAGTCGTTAAATCTACATACAGCGTCTGACAGTCTTATCAATGTGCCCCTCAACTACCTGATCAATTGCAGACAACTTTCTTACAATAATATCTATTTTTAATATATGTAAATAGCAATTGTATGATGTTATCATTCATGAATTAACACAGCCTGACTAACTAATTTCGCTACCCATTAGCATTTGAAATGTCTTAAAGCAGTCATTGTTGGTTTTTAAAATGTTTAAGGAAAATAAACCCCAAAAAAATTTGGAAAATGATGAATTGTAATCACATGATGCTTTATGTGCATACCTCATATTGCTACATGTACCTATACAATGGGAAGCGTGTTATCTTTATGCCATAATTCACCTGGGTTTCATACGATTATGATTATTGTTTGAGATGGGACCAATTATTAGATTAGATAACTAGATGGTATCTCAACAATTCTGCGGATTTTAAATCTACTTTTAGATAAGGATCTTAAATCGTGCATATGGATGTAGCAAATATAATGTCAGCATTTTTTTCTGGGTTGAATAGAGCTGTACCTATATACATACTCCTTCCTCCGAATTTGTTGTTATTTAGGCTACATAAATTGAATCTTTGCATATGTGTAATGACTCATTAAATCTTTACATATATTCAAAAATTACTTACATATTCTTAAAATATATAGTTCCAGTATAAATACATAGCTATTTATAAATTAGCTGGCCATATATAAATACATATGTATATAGATAAATACACGTTTCTCTCACACCGTAATAAGTTAAGTTCGGATCTAACATTTACATTTTACATATTTGCATACATACATATGTACATATGTATAATGTCATGGATCATTTCAACTCTAAAATCAACCTCGGTGGAGCCATCAGCATTCTTGCTACTGATATCTGTGGTAATGACGGGAATGCTGTGTTTCAATCTGCAGATCGAGTCCACCTGCATGGTTTACTTGAATGAGACGGAAGCCGTTTGTAAGGAAGTTGTGAATGCGTAAGATACTCATCATCAATAATAACAATGAATCAGAAATAATCCAGCCACACATTAATTTTAATTTTATTAATACTTAGAAACAGTACATTTTCCAGTGAGGAAGTTGAAGTCCAGAAAGTCGTCGCTGACGCCCAAATTTATTCCTACATAGTGGAAAATATTCTTCGGCTGTTCTACATTCTTGTCGCAGGGGCATACAGTGAGCGCTATGGGAGGAAGGGGGTAATGACGTTGAGTTTATTTGGGGCTTGTTTGCGAGGATTTGCAATGATGATAGCGTCACGATATTATGCAACGTTGGGTCCCTACTGGATCGGCTATATTGACGCAAGTACGGGCAATATTTTTGGGGTAACCAATACATGCGATTAAGACACCCGAATATTATTTTTAATTAAAATGTTCGCGAAAATGTGAACTTTACGAGTTTTGCAGAAAGAGACCGGATTCACCATGGCCGCTTACAGTTATATTTGCGACATGACGGAAGAATCGACACGAACCTTTCGAATAGCAATGCTGGGTGCATCCTGCCATTTTGGTATTGCTCTGGGTTATTTGATTGCCGGAATGGTGATAAATGCTGGATTGAGCTCTGAGATGAGCTTCCTCATTTCAATTCTGATTTCCGTGATGGCCTGGATTTTGCTAATCTGCTGTGGAAACGTAAACTCTAGGAGACAATCGAGGGAAGATTTTCTTAATCAAAAGGAACATCCAGGATTAGTAAAATCAATTATTTCCCCAATTGTTTATCCCTTTGGTAAAGATCTGAAACACAGGAGAATGTATGTTTTCTGGATTTTCATTACTTATGTCTGTACAATCGCTCCGTTTCATGGTAATAATATTTTTTTAAATATGGTTACATTGTTAAAAAATACCAAAGTATAATTTACTAAATACTAATCTACTAAATAAAATACATGCAGGAGAATCTTCTATCTTGTACCTGTTCTCTAGACGCCTCCTTGGCTGGGATGCTACTCAGTACGGATACTTTTGCATCTATGGGATGGCTTTACGAGTTTCAGGAGTCCTCTTATCAATGGTGATACTGAGCCATGTCTGGAAATTGCGTGACCCTGTGATTGGATTTATTTCTTGTTTGAGTCAAATATCTGGACATGTAATGTACATGATTGCGACGAATGCGGTCACGATGTTTTTAGGTGTGTTAATAATAAATAGCCCTAAAATGGAGAGAGGGTGACATGAAATGTTCCTAATATATTACCAATTTTGTGTCGGACAGCCCCTGCTGTTGGGTTAATGACTGAGACAACACATGTTATTTCAAGATCGCTGTTATCAAAAAGTGTGCCGAAGGCTGATGTTGGAAAGGTGATTGGACTCATGTCAATTTTGGACATTATTGCGCCTCTGGTTGTTATTCCAATTTATAATTTGATTTACAAAAACACATTGACAACATTTCCGGGAGGCGCTTTTCTATTTTCGGTGGGGATTACACTTCCTGCTATGGCAATATTCTTGTACGTAATGTCAAATAAAGGAATGATATCTACGTATTTATGTACACTGTGTGTGACTGGAATTTGTGAATTTTCAGCTTTATGTTGTGCAAACCATCCTGGTGGACAAAGAGGGGTCAGCCTAACATGGACATTGAGCGAATACCAATATTACAAGAATAAGACTGTTCCAATAAATACTATAATAATAAGACCTTGATCAATTTATTTTACCAATTATTACACATGAACGTATTTCTACATAAATTATTTATTACATTCGACCAATTCTAAAATGGGAAGATATATTTACTATTCAAATATCTTGAAAAAACATACTATGTGTCTGTAGTTAACGTGTGAGGGCTGTAAACCTTTTACTAATGCTGCAGCATTGGGTATGCATATGTTAAAATTTCATATTATGCACCCTTTACATACATACGTGCATATTATGCACACCATTTTTTAAAGCATTCATACTCTCGTGAAATACAAATTCATATTACGTCCAAATCTATGAAATACTATTATTTAGGTAATCTTAACTTTTGGAAGATAAGTTGGTTGAATTAACGCAGAAATTTATGAACTTTAATTTTATGCCACTCTCATAAAATTATTGCCTAATTCGTTTTAGCCATGTCAAAGTTTGTCACACTCATTGTGGAACTCAACGTTGATTAATTTCTACCTAATGCTATTTGAAATGCAACATCAAATTATCAAATTTGAGTACGTCGTATTATTGCTACTTCTTTCAGTGCTTGTGAAAGTTGATGTCCACCATGAACCATTAGCTGCGTCGGTGGTAAATGTGAAGCTTTCTAGCCCGGACAAATCATCAGAAATGGACGAAGATGCCACGGATGTTCGAATACTTGGTGTAGATGATACCACAATAGTACAGTTAAACTCGTCAGAGCCATCGCTACAGTCTCTATTAAAGTCGCAAACCTCGGATTGTTTCACATATTGGAGGTTATCGCAGAGAAAGTAAGACTCCAATTGTAGTTTTTGGAGATTATAATAAATCCAGGCCGAAAAATATGACACTTTTGTGAAAACCGCAGGCTTTCTCGGGGACTTGAGAGTACCATTTTCATCAACCTCGCAATCTCCATCTCCTCCCGACCAACTAACAATGCCGCAGAGAAGGTCATACGAGGGGCGGTAGGCTGCAGGCAAGTGAATGCTTGTTTGATAAGCATCTTCGTCCCTGCAAATCGCAGGATATCCCGAATCCCCGGTGCATACATTCGACCGTAATCCTTTTGCACACAGCATGGAATTTGTCACGATATCGTCACGGTTCGTGTGTTGGCTTTTGCACTCGGCATTTGAAATAATTCGCATTTCTGCTTCTTGTCGAGTTTCTCATTGATATTTGTTGAAAGGATTTTTGTTGCCCCCAATCCAAAAACGGTAAGATTGCCTACATATATTAAAAATAAGAAATTATGTTGCATATTAATTTAAAATTATGTCAAGTTTTAACTCCCAGTGTTGATCTATGTACGTGCCCCATGTCAAAATTCGTGGTCGCTTACCTGTAAACTCTCGACCTCTTATTGGTACTGGTATAAAATTGACAAAGTTGTTGAATTTAAATGGCGTTTTGAGTCTTGCAAATGCAATATCATTTTCCAGAGTAGCAAACACATAATCAGGATGAGTGTACCTAATATAATTAAAAATTCGTGCATAACATGTTCATTTGTTCAAGACGCTTAGGTAAATGCGAACTAATCAGCTAACAGTCGTCACCTACACATTTTCGATAAGTCGAACTTGTGCTGTATCATCTGGCCATTGAAGGCTGTATTTTCCCCCAACGATACGAATTTTATCCAGATTCCGACTATAAAGTCGAGGAAATGTGTCGTTTCCAATTTTTCTTCGTTCGTAAAAACAGTGGGCAGCGGTCAGGACGAAGAAAATGTTCAGAATTGCCCCTCCACAAAATTGTGTGTTGGTCTCGGTGTCCATGATGGTTACTTGGAAGGGTGAAAAAGTAGGTGCTCCATTTACAACTCTAGGAATTCCTACCAGAAAGTAATTTAATTAGTTCGAAATTCTGACATTTAAGACATTTAAGCCGTTTTTATAAAAATTTAGTCTCAATTTACTTACGTATACCCATGATAGTAAGTAAAGGTTTATATTTTGTTTCTCGTCAGTAAATTACCAAGTACGTATTTCTGCGAACAATTTTACAAGTGAAATGTGCAGACAACAATCTGTACATAGCCTTCGTTGAAGGGTAACATTTCAAACAAAAAATCTTAACCTCCCGTTTCCGTGTCATCTATGCATAACATTATGTATGTAACTACCTATGCATTTGTAGTTATATAATAACCCCAGTATATGCATATAAAACAAGGCTGTAATTTGGTTTCGTAGTCAATTTACTAAACCATTAACTTGAGCAAAAGCATTTAATTATGCGAATATATACGTTGTAACTACATATGTATATATGCATGTAATCTTAATCTATAATACATTCCAACAGGTGCATTTCAATGGTGCGTTACTTTTAGTGTACATGAGAGAAATCGATTTTTTCATAGGGATGTTCAATCACATCAACAATAATTGAGAATGCGAATAACCGTGTGCTTCAAAATATTTTGACTTTTCATAAATTTTGGATTTTATTTTATTTTGAAAAGAAAGCTAAATTCGTATCTTCAATAAAAATGACGCCGTGAAACTAAATTTTCTATCTGATTCTATATTGTATTAAAAACACCAACTAAAGCCATTTTCTGCAATTGAATTAATTTAGAAAAAAAATATTCTCGATATTTAATCCAACAAAATCATTATTTGCATTTATCATTTGCAGTAATATCTGCCATATACATATGGAAACACATTCATTAATTTACGTATAATCAAGTTCTATTTAAATTAATCACATTATTTACCCAATCTTTGTGAATAGTTACGGTTATAATTTTACAAACTGATTCTAAACAAAGTACTTGGTTTTTCACGTTATGCTTCTGTGGATATGGTGGATATTCGTATGTACTCAGCGTCATCCTCAAGCCTAATCATTAAACAAACGTTTTTTTTAGATTTGATTTCAAATGGGCTGCGACAACTTACACAACGACCAAGGGCACCACAGACATTACCACAGCATTGACTGTGATCTTGACAAGTCATTCCAACAGTCCGACAAGACATCTATAACAAAGTTAATAAATGTAATAAAATAGAGAATTATGAACTTTAATTGGACTATTATTTTATGATATATTTTACTAACACATTTATTAACGTAGCAACCTCCTGCAGCACAACAATGGGAGTCACGTTGGCACGTCTGTCCGACAATGCGACAACTCGTCTGCAAATCATGTGAAAAGGTCCACTTATTGGTTCCTATATTTTGCAGATTTGATAATAAATATAAATTTTTTTATTTTTAAATTTACGCATATATTGAGGTAGCATCCGCCAGGTTCGCAACATTGCTCGTCAACTGTGCACACTGTTTGGCACTGCAAAGAAAAATAAATAAATAAATCTATTTATATTCTGAATACTTTTTTAAATTTCTGAAATTTCTGACCTGCTTCGTTGGGCTGGAATTTACTGTCACAATGCTAGCGAGCAGCACGACCAACAGGGCTGAGCGGAAGACCATGATGAGCAGCTATTATTTGGAAATGATAACGGCGATTATTCGAATTAAGACTGATTACATGCACACGAGGCGAGTAGTATTTATGTATCGCTGATTTTATTTTAAGGATTTTTTGATTATGGATTTACTGCGCACTCGATTTTTCAACATGTAACTAATTAAGTGATAAACGCAGTACTTGAAGTACATATGCATGCAAATTGAATGTAGTCGCATAATTGATTGACAACGGTTGCCATTTTTTGCTTCAACTTATCTGTAGTATTGGGAAAGGGGGAAACACCCCAATACACACATTGTACAAGTTTGAAGTTGAAGTCTTTTGTTATTATGATTAAAATGAACATCAATCTATATACATAGAGCAGTTTGACAATTCGGAGGTGTGAATTATGAAACTTTACACGATGTGTTATGCATACATTGTACACACCCAAAGAGCTTGAGTCACTATGTTTTCTGATGTTTTGACATTTGGGAAAACGTCGGAATTCCCCGCATGCATAGGTAGTAATACTCATAGATTATCTAGTTTTCACCGAATTTACACTCAATTCATATTATGTATATTTGTTTCAGGGTGATGAATAGGTACAATGTAACAACATTTTTATATTCCATATGAGCATAAGCAGGGTACAATTATAAAGTGATCCATGAAAATTTGTCAATGATTAGTTATTTATTAATTAATTTAGATATTTTAATCCAAAATTATATAAATGTTAACAAGTATGCGCATTTAGTCTATGACAAGATATTTCCTAAAATGGAATTTATTTTATGTTTAATAATTCTATTTTGGAAAAGAATCATATTAAATACATGCAAATGTGCAAATATATTTTATGTATGTGTTTTATCCCACAAATATTTTAACCGATAAATATGCATCTACCGGTTAAAATATTTGATATTCCAAATGAGCTTCTCAAATTACGAATCTCAAGCTTGGAAACATTGCAGAAGAGTATTAAGATTAACTTAACTTAACTTTAGACTTGAGCTCTGAACTAAAAAATATATCAGAAATAATTAGATCTGCTTCTTGGAACTTTAAAACTAAGATGGCTCCAATGTCGTTTGATGAACAAGAGTTACAACAATTAAGGATGTCGTAAGTTATACAAATAAGAAGATTTCACTTGAGATGTTAATATGAATAAAATTCCAAATAGAGCCCAATGAAGTCGAACAAAGTTTTTGAAGAAAGTGGAAGAAGAAAGTTCTTGCTTTTTTGAAGAAGAAAGTTATTGCTTACGGCAAATCTTAGGACGGACGGCAGGAACAGGATGATACAAACTCTGAACTATAAGCGTTTAAAATATTTGATAAATACCATTGTAAATACATATATACGAATATTTTATGTATTTTACTTTTTTAATGGAGATGGGAATCCCGAGATGATCAACGAAAACAACTTACATAATAGATGCTTATGAAAATGCTCAAGGCTCATATGTACAAGAGAGATGATTAAACATGGAGGAGAGAGATACATAGGTCAAATTAAAATCGAGCATCATACACATGCATAATTATAAGCATTAAATTCATATGTTCCCTTTACACGTAATAAATGCATACTTCAAAAGTTTTGAACTTATCAATTTATAAATATCTTACGGAGACGTCAAAGTTTGACGGTCAAAGCTTGACGTCTCCGTGTATTCAATTATTTATTTTTGAATTATACATAGTTACTGAGCGCCGGCTATAACCATGTCGTTCAAAGTTCAAATCCTTGCAATGATCTAACTGTTAATTTGAAATATACAGGTCTAAAAAAATATCCGCTCAGGTTTTCCCCGTTTCACAACCACCAATACAAGAGATAAACTTGCCATGCAAATATACGAGGCTGTCATTGTCACTCATCGTAGTAGAAAGCGTTCAATGTATTTAAGCCCTACGTTTATCAAATAATTATATAAATGTTAACAATTATGCGCAGTAAGGCCATGACAAGAAAGTTCCCAAAATTGAATCAGCTCGAATATATATAAATACAAACCGGCTCCATGGACAGATATTCAGTACCAGCTTGAATTATTCAAATTGAACCAAGCTTTAGAACATTTCCCAAACAACAAACCATCATGATTTTTCGGTCAGCCCTCTTCTTGGTGCTAGTCGCCACCATTGCGACTGTAATGTCCAGCCCCACCAAGCAGGTAATTGTAGCGAGATTAATATTCTTGTCAACATTAATTAATTGCTTGTTTCATTTCTTTGCAGTGTCAAACTTTGTGCACCACTGACACCCAATGTTGTGAGCCTGGCGGATGTTACCTCAACGTTTGCGTAATTCAGAAAAAATCTTTTAAATATTTTATGTTCCTGAATTTTTACAAGTTGAAGTATATGGAGATTATTTTCATTTTTATTTCAGACAAGTTGTCGCATTTCTGGGCAAACGTGCCAACGTGACTCCCAATGCTGCGCTGCAGGAGGGTGTTACGTGAATAAATGCGTAAATAAAATATTAATTAATTAATTGGCTACTTCGATAAAGTAATTGACCTTGTTGAACGTAGATGTCTTGCCGTACCCTTGGAATGACTTGTCAAGCTTCCAGCCAATGTTGCAGTGGAATTTGTGGTGCTCTGGGTCATTGTGTAAGTACTGATAGTTAATTAAATTTAAGTAAATTATTTTAACAGACATTCCTAACGTGTACATTGTTTTCAGGTTTGAAATTTCCCATCATGACCTTCATGGATTGCTGAACAAGTTTTATGGAAAAATAATTATAAATTTAGCATAGCATCGTTTAAAGTTATAATAATATTAATATAATTAATAGCTTGTACCCAGGTACAAGCTTTGTCAAATGGCACATCAAAAACACAATAAAAATATTACAGCATTAATTACTTTGTTTTTCAATCTATGCATAATAACTTAGTCGTCATCATCATACATAATCTACCAATAAAAAATCTGGGAACGGAAAATAAAATGAGAAATGGAGATGCATACATAATTGAACTGTCATGACAGTTTTGATTGGGTTAAAGTAATTTCAAAGCATAAACTAATTTGGTGAATATTTATAGTCATGTGCGCCTGGCTTAGTTTATATAATTGCGTTTATAATATATATAAAATACTACATATGTGGCTAACTTGCTGGTGGAAATTACTCATAGAAGAAACAGGATTTATACAAACATATAGATAATATATAAGTAATTACCTACACACGCCTGTCAATTTACAGAAGTGAAAACATCTGGAAAAATTTGTTTTTGATACTAAATAATATAAAATGCAATTTAATTTTACTTGCACACGCACTTCATTACAAAGTCTCTATATATAACGTCCGTCATAATAATGCATAGGTTCTGGATTTATGGTAGTAACGAATACCTCTAAATACCAATTTTTAAGGAAAGTATATTATAAAATTTGTAACTTTGTGTAGTTCTTTGGCAGCTATGGTGCTTTCTCTTGCCATCAGCTTTAGGATGGAATAGAAGTGCCTTAATTTACCATTTGGAGACGAGGGATGGAGAGAGTTGGAAGCGAAACTTTATGCGAGTGGACGAAAACGGAAAATTTATTGGGCAATGGCTTTTCGACCACGCCATCCTCACTGCGGTCACAATCAATGAGAAAGACATCATGTATGGTGGCCTGGATGGGCAAGATCTGCTCAATCTTTGGGATAAGCTCTCCTCCGATGCGAGACAGGTTGATAAGGCGATTGGAGAATTGCTGGTCCCCTTTCCAAAAAATGATGGACGAATACAACTTTCTCTTGCAATGCCGTACATTGATGGGAAAGTAAGTTAGTTTTTTCGCTAAGGACCAAAGTACTTACCCAGCACCATAACTTGCTATTATTATGTTTCAAAGGATCGCACCGTATACGTTGAGGGTAAATCTTACTCCTTGAAAAATCCACTCGACCGCAAAAATCTTGTGACTTGGTACATCCTTAAAGTAAACCAACTAAGACAAAGTGGAGAATTAAAGAACGTGGACATTTTAGGCGTTTACTATCACCGAGAAGATATTATAGATGCGTACGGAGATGTTGAAATTGTAACGTATTTTAATCAGCAAGTTCATAAAATGGGGATGAAATCCGTGCACGTTCCTTATTACAATGCTCCACATGCGTGGGATGGAAAGACGTTGCTTGGGTTTGATGTCCTCGTGGTGCAGCCAGGTTACTCATTTGCGTCGTCGATTGATCGAGGTAAGGTCAAGGTTGGTTAGTTGCTATTATTCAAATTTAGTCAATTTGTTCCCTTAATGATCACATTTTGTCCATCAACCAGGCACAGCAACTGGGGACAGATTATACGCTATTGGTCGAAAATCTGCAAATCTCAACCAGTGTTTTGAATATGAGTTGCGTGGAGGGGGACAAGACCGACTTGAAAACTGGATTGCGCATCAGTATCTTGCTGTTGCACAATCTAGTGGGGCCGCCAAGTTTCCACAAGTATTTTTTGTCGGTTCAGACTTTTTTGACAGAATGGGAGCAGGGTCACGACAAAATGGGGACAGGTGGTGGGCATATTCCGACCTGGCAAACTATTTGGGCGGTTTGCCAATAGCCAATATGGAAATATGGATTTCTTTCGGACCAAATGACTATCAACAGGTTTCCACAAACGTGCGAAGCAAAAACTGGATCGTTCCAGCCGGATATGAAGGGATCACTTCGATCAGACTAGATTTCAGCGATTCCAATGGATATTGGAAGGGAAAGTTGGTGGTGAGACTTCCTGGCAGTGCTTTTTCTGCCTTTTCTCAACGCACTGGAGCAGATACCATCGACCCATCGTATAATTCGGTACTAACTCCAACGGCAAATTTGAACATAACAGCAGGGATGAATTTGGTGATTGAGCTACACAGAGAAACGGCGACTACTCCGTGGCCAACCATTATTCAGATGATTGCAGCGAAATTCGAGCCTCCGTATTTGGCAAATCCTCTTTTCGAAGACACCTCTTCTTCCAGCGTGTCCGTAGTTGAGGGACCGTACGCTGACAATGCCCCCACCCATAAGCAATACGCTCAGGGGAAGCTGACGGATGGGAAGGTGGCTGTAGGGGAATCATGGGACTGGGACGGAATAATGGGATGGACACTAATTCCCGAAGGGGTGTTTAGTATCACGATTGACCTGGGTCAAGTGGTTAGCTCAGTGGCGGATGTTAGAATATGGTCCCATGTCGATGGTAGTTCAGCTGTCAGACTTCCGACTAAATTGGGAGCATTTGTTGCAACTAGTTGTCCCCCAAGGGTGAGGGGAACGCTGGAATTGGGATGTCCTCCAACGGCATCTTCCGGCCCAGTCGAAATAATCAAAATTGATGGGAATAATAATAACGACGACAGATATTTACTTTATTTGCGATTTGAGAATGTGAAGGGCAGGTGGGTGACGATTTCTGGAGTTCCGTTAGCTTGGTTTCTATTGGATGAGGTCGAAGTTCGGGATAATACGGGGACTGTGCTTTCACGAGGTGGGTGTGTGTACAAATGTTTTATTCAGAAGTAAATGAATGCTAAAAGTTGAAAGTCCGTAACAGGAAAGCCATATATTGTGACTCCAATTCCTGGGGAGGGAAAGTCTTCCTTCGCGTATCCAGACACTGGGAGAAAGTTGGTTGATGGAGCAATTTTCAAGAAATTTGTTGGAGGGTCTACAGGTGCTAAATTCATACATACATGTATACAAGTTGGTCCAAAAAGGACTGAAGAAATTTTTCCGTGATTGTTTGATCCTTTCCATCAGCTACAGAATAACATCACAAATTATAATGACATATTATGCTTTAAAAATTATGTAAATGCTGACTTATGAAAGATGAACTTATCGTCCTGCAGGTATCGTTGGAATAAGCAAAGAACAGAAGGATGGGCAGGTTGAGGTTGTTTGGGCGACAGCAAAATTAGTGACATGCATGAGGGTATGGATGACAGAAGCAGATTCGGACTACGGGATTGGACTTCCGGGAAATGTCACTCTGCAAGTACGAGATTACCAGAGAAACTGGCAATCAGGGGTGAAAGTCGCCACCCTTCAAAGTTGTGGACCATCGCCTTGTGCAAGATTGTGTTTCGACTCGAAAAGGTTTGTTACTGGAGTTCGAGCGAGTTTCTTTAGTTTGCAGGCATGGGTTATGGTCACAGAAATTACCGTCGAGTGATGACACAACATTTGTACTATGGTAGTATAATTATATGTACTGCGCTACAATTCATGTAAGACGGAGACTAAGAGAATTTATTGAGGAATATTACTAAAATAATTTTGAAGTATATACATATACATAAATAAATATAACAGTGTTGACATTTTTTTCATCAAGGTACGTCAATCAACGTTTAAAATGAACGATCACGACAGCAAATATTTGGTATTGGACACGGCATGTCTCATTCGCACTCATTTATACAGTCGTTAATGCATACATATATGCACGATAATCTCTAGGGTTGTCAGATTATCACAATATTTCAGATAACGAACTCAACGGTAAGCTTGCTTTACCTTGATGAATATGTGCATTACACGGAACGCAAGCGACTACTAACCTACGTACATATACATACAAATAATTATAAAAAAATCATTAATCGGAATAGCTAAATATGATCTGGAAACTACTTATTGTTTCACTTACCATTTTGAGTGCATACACACCCTTTTCAGAGGCGGCTAACTACTCGTGCCCTTTACACTGGGTTCCAGAGGGATATGGGAATGTTCCTCTTCATGCAATTATTCCCTCACCTGGCGAATTTATAGCGAGGGTGAATCTTCTTGAAGATGAACTGTGGCGAATAGGTCGTCTAATTCCGGAGGAAGGAAAGGCCTGGGTATGCATACAGATTTGTGCATAAATAAAAAATAAAATTTAAAATAAAAAAAGTACAATATTGTATAGTATAACATAGTTATGATTTCATAAATGTTTCAGTTTGTCTTTGTGGTTCCGAGCGGAGAGCATACAGTCCACATTGCAGAAACATACGAGGTACTTACAAACCCCGACAATTGTGTAGTAGAATGGGTCGAAATGATTGGCGGAAGTGTACCACAATATGCGATACCTGCGGACGACAAATTTCCATTAGTTCCTATCGAGTATGTCGGTAGGGGGATCGTCGCCGGGTTTTCAATGGTGGCAGGTTTGCGAGCCATATATATAATTGATATTTTTGTCCATATCGTTGATAAATATATATTTATAATATTGCACGCATGATCTGCAGGTATACATCCCAGCGAATCTGCACTCCTAGTCCCGTATGAAGGTAACGCATTTTGTGAGTATGTGCATATTAAATTGGTGTGCTGTATAATGTGTACTTTTCTTCAGGGAAGGTATACGTACGGCGTCATTACGACGCTCTGACTTCGCGCTACCCGCTTCTCTCGCTGGAATTGATCGACTTTACCTTTCCCATCCTGGATTATCGGGTAATAGACAAAAATTCCAAGGAAATGCTGATTGGACAGATGGAAGTTGTGAGTGGATTGGACGATGGTGAACCGGCCCAAGTCGTTCAACCAATTTCTCATACCAAAAGTGTCAGAGAAATGTTTAAATGGGATGAAAAACAGAAATGGGAATACGTTGCAAATCTGACGATCAACATGGATTTATGGGTAGGGTCACCGTCAGTGTTTGTACAATTCACTAACATTCATGAGCAGAGGACGCTTGTTGGTGTCGATGGGGTACCCGGAGATCCGAAAATATTTTACGATAGAATTCACCCAGTTAAGGTCGATCGAACTGTCACAATATCGGGAACTGGGGGTTCTTCAGTGCCACATGGAAATTATCAGGTATTTTATACTAATACAGGAAAATTATAAGATAGGTTTCTTAATTTATGTCATAAAAATCCAGGTATGTTCTGCAGTAACGATGCTGCACGATTTCGGAGTAAAATTTGAAGCTTCTGCTATTGTGACTGCCCCAAACATGAGGGCTGATCAAATTAGAGAAATTTTAAGAAGAACAGAGAGAATAATTATGGGAGATGGTGTGGAGGAAGAAGATTTTGTAGTAGCTAAAATCATGGGAACGTTACGAGGTTCTTTTGTAACGGGGACATCCTCACATTTTACGACGATGGATTCCACCGGTCTTTGTAATTCAGTTGTGTCAAAGTCAAAACATACAAAAAGTTATCATCATTTTAGAACAAAGTATTAAAGTAAAGTATATTGTACGATTTGTAATAAAAGTTAAATTAATAAATATGATAGTTCATGGTACTTTTTACTATTACAAATTTAAGTGCAAATATAATTTCATCACTTCCTAAAATAAATCATCAATCAACTACATTTCGTCGAATTTGTGCAGTTAGTACATAACTCATGACACACTCTTATCAATTAAGTGCCGAATTAGTAACCCACATACCACAAGCAATGCATCGTAAGTATAAATAAACTCCCCACTTGTGAAATATTTACCTGGAAATAGATACGAAAATTAGCCATATGCATATTTCTGTAGATAGCGGGTGATGACACGTTTGTTGGCATTCATTTGATTCGACTCGCTGTCAGATAAAGTGACATGTTATAATCATTTCGGATTAAAATGTCGCATGCATGTCATAATGTCATTGGCGACCGCCAAATTCAATGAAAATTAGGGCTTTATCGCAATGGTATAGCTTTGGAATGAAGTATGATTGACGACTATTTTCAGTGGTAATAAATTAATTAAGCAAGATTATTTTACTCGCTTACCTCACCTCAGTTTGCATACCCTTCTGCAATATAAATATGCATACACAGTTTGCTCGACCTTGGCAAGCCTTAAAAATATTAGCAATTATATAAGTGTAAATATTTGCAATTATTTTCTCTAAAAATTTGCAGAGATATTAGATCACGGAAAAGAATAATATGGCATCAGTATCAAGCAGAAGATATTTATCAGTCACATTCTTTCTACTTGTAATTTGCAACTTATTTTATAAAATCAATGCAGTTGGGTTTGGGGAGCCTTGTGATACTGAAAACCCATGTGACCCATCTAAATACCTGCAATGTGGCTTCCTTTCAAACACTTGTGAATGCATGAACACTTTAAACACTTGGTATGACCATCAAGATCAAATTTGCAAATTGCTCGTTGATGTCAAGTGCGACAGAGGAGAGGGTTTCCAAAGCTGTGTTACGAATGCATTTTGTCCGGAAACACTAAATCCAACTTGTACTTGCGATCAAGGATTCGCTAGTAATTCGGAGAGACGTTGTTTCTTACCGTATGACGCAGAATGTGATGTTAGCGATACAGTTCCTGGAGATCCAGATCGATGCGATCCAGCTGGATTTCTTAAGGTAAGTAGTAGGTACAGAAACATGCCAGAAAACCAATTAACTAGCTAATTACTAGATTATGAAATGTCTCGGTAGCATTGTTCATAAACGGTAAAAATAAATAATTTCTAGTGTGCCAGAGTCAACAATGGATACTTTTGCAAATGTCTCGATTACGAAAATTCTTTCTACAACCCAAACACAAAGAAATGCTACTTACTTTCCTCTGCTAATTGTAACTTGACCAACAATTCGATGCCCTGTCTAGAAAACGGCCACTGTGATATTTGGGATAGAACATGCAAATGCGATGAAGGGACTCCTGTCACTCCGGAAAGAAGATGTCATTTAATGCATGGTTCGGACTGTGATCCGTTCAAGGTGAAACTCCTGTTTAAATATAAGAATTACTCGTTATATGTATAATTTTCTATACAGGATACTTGTAACATTATGGGGCATGTAAATTGCCATACAAACCTGGAAAAATGCTTATGCACTCCGGAGCCGGAAGCTATTTTTTACCCTGCGGAAAGTGGATGTCGTTTATTGGAAAATGCTGGTTGTTCGGTGGCGGAGGGGGCGCAACGATGCATAAATAATTCTGAGTGCCTTCCATCGGTGGGGAGTGAGCCGAGAAGGTAAATATGATTTACACAAGTACAATTGGCAGTGTTCAAATCTACATTTTTAGACGACACAATCTCACATTTTTTACAGATGTAAATGCATGTACAACCTGTCGCCGAATAAAAATAGAGAATGCCACCTTACTTACGACGACAGGTGCGACACACGGGATGATTATTGCGATCCGGCCGGATATCTTAAATGTTCAAGTGACAATACATGTTCATGCCTAAATCCAAACTCATTTTATGACGTCGGCGCAAGGGAGTGTCGTTATCGAGTAGGGGCATCATGTCGTCCAGGACAAGCAGAACAGAATTGCGGAAAAAATGCAGCTTGTTCTCTGGTGACAGAGACTTGCGAGTAAGAACCCGAAGGTAACGAGTGATTTTTACGGTAATTACGTTGTTTTGATTATCTTAGATGCAATCCACTGTATGAAGATGCCGGAAATGGGGACTGTCTTCGAAGCTTTGATGCCCCATGTTCTCAAGAAGATCCATGCAATGGAAGAAACAGACTCCATTGCTATTTAGGGCGTTGTCAATGTGTTTCCGGATTTATAAATTCAAAGATGGGCTCTTCGAATTACGATGTGACCTGTTTACCTGGATATATGCAGGTAATATGTATGTCGTCGGTAGTATATTTACGCAAGTACCACACTTGTTTTGCATGTGGTTTAATATTTTCGTAACAATTTATGCTCTTAGGCCTGCCCGCATGACCCCGAGCTTCAACTCCCCTGCGCCCCGGAAGCTCTGCTCACATGCATTGGAGGATTTTGCAATTGTGTCGCACCCGGTCATCACATTCCTCAAGAGAATCGATGTGCGCTCCTTGTTGGCAATGAGTGCGTTCCTTTGCCCGATAACACGACCAATGTCTGCGTTACTAATGCAATCTGCCAAACCGATGGGTTCTTACCTGGTAGGTGTGTTTGCAGGTTTGGTTATACAGAAACGTTTTATGGACAGTGCATCAATACTGCTAATTCTTTACTTGTTGCAATGAAAATGCCACAAATTTCGATTCTCGTGGCGTTCTTGTGGCGTTACTTTCTTTGTAGTTGAGTCATACCGTGTTTAACCTAAATAAAAGAGTACCACTCAATACGCATACGTGCATAACTCAGTCGTCCGTAATGTAAAAGTATATATATGATGCATGCCACAAGCTGTCATTAAACCAAAATAATCCTTCACTGCTTGATTCACATTTATTGTTATCACATAACAACAAATACTGAGCGTGAGTATATTATCATTTATTTATCGGCACAGTGCCAGTCGTATTTCTACGAGTGGAGAAGCATCTGCAAAACTCATACTTTTTCTCCATCACAAAATTTTAACAAATTGCCTTAGAACTAAAATTTAGCCGACACATATCTACATATTCAGTCTGTACGATGACAATATTACTATTCGTCTTAGTTTCACTCTTACATATTCGGCTTGGTGCAGCTCAATCATGTCCCGCTGGCAGCTACTGGGACCCTTACGCTCAAACATGTTTCGTGAACGCTGGTGAGCAGTGCGAAATAAATCCTACTGCAACACCCTGCATCCCAACGGCTGCATGCTACAATCAGGGAGGTTTCCCTATTTGCGTGTGTCAGGGACGACTAAAACAGACGAGTGAGGACAAGTGCCACTTAATTTACGGGGATCGATGCAACACGGATCACGACATGTGCGACCCGGTCCCATTTTTAAGATGTTCACTTGAGAAACGCTGCGATTGTGGGGATGGTGCGACCTGGGTTAGTGACAAGTGCTTCCTACTTCCAGGTAACGTGTTGTCATCCTGATGTGAAAGAGGCAGTAATGATTCATCAAGGGCCATTGTTCTGATTAATGATTTTGCAGGCTCAAATTGTAATGGCACAGCCGGCACAATTGAATGTATTCCTGGAACATCGTGCCAAAGTGGAACATGCGAATGTGCCATTTCACAATCGAAACCTAGCGTGGATGACCCAACTAAATGTTTCTTGCCTCATGGGGCAACGTGTACATCCGGAGGATCCCCACTATGTGACCCTTACGCCCATCTCGCTTGCGTCTCCGACACATGCATTTGTCCAGGAGAGAATAACACATCAATTTATGATACAAGAACACATACATGTCTGGTTCTGGCAGATCAAGTGTGCACTCCAGGTGGAATGCCTTGCATTCACTCCAGTTCGTGTAAGATGAGCGGATCAAGCTTCACGTGCCAATGTCGATATCCCATGAGTCCCGGTGAGTACTTACAACGGAGGTCTCCCAACGTGTGCTCACAAATTTTGACCAAACTAACAATGGAGGCGCAAACCATGTTCAGCCCAGATAATTTTTTGACCTTATTAGTTTGAAAGAGCAAGTCTTTACAAACAACATTTGGTTCGGCACTTGGGCAGATGCACAAATTTCAGCACGTTATGGGCGCCGCAAGTTCGCAAAAACGCACGAAGTTGAGCTCGCGCTGGGCATTGCCCGAAAAATCGTGCGTTTTTGCAAACTTGCGGCGCCCATAACGTGCTGAAATTTGCGCATCTGCCCAGTGCCGAACCAAATGTTGTTTGTAAAGACTTGCTCTTTCAAACTAATAAGGTCAAAAAATTATCTGGGCTGAACATGGTTTGTGCCTCCATTGTAAGTAGTGTCCATCAATCACAGATATAAAATTTGTAAGAGGTACTATCTGCCAATACTCAGGTTTGGCAGAGACATTTGAATCCAAAGAGTAGAAAACGCACAGTAAATTTGGAAAATATATTAGGGATGATTTTCCCCTCTTTGGATGCAAGTATCTCTGCCAAACCAGCGCATTGGCAGATAGTGCCTTTTGTAAATTGCATATTCATTAAATATGTGATCGATTTGTTCAAAATCTGTGAGCATACGTTTGCCATATAGTTACATATTTGTTAACTGACTGCTCGTGAAATCTTTACGAGACAAACGTAAAATAGTATTTACATTACCAGGATCACCAACCTCGTGAGTAAAGTGTATAGTTCAAAAAATATGCATGTAGGAGTTAACAAGATAAATTGTACCAATCTTTAATCCATTCAGGATTCAGTAATCTGGATACTTAATTGGGACTATTTAATCCCAATAATTTGCCAGGAGCGTCTCAGTATCCTTCTAGTTTCTTTGAATTTTATGCACCAACGATAAATGTACCAGTAACAAAAACTCTAATTTTCTAGGGATCGATAAATTCTGTTATTTGCAACATGAACAAGACTGCACTCGTCAGAATGATTTGTGCGACCCAAACAGATTCCTGTTGTGCAATTTTGAGGGAAAATGTGCCTGTAATTCTGGAGCTGCGTATATTTCTTCGTTGGAAGTTTGTCGAGTCCTTCCAGGCTCAAATTGTAATGACACAGCCGGCACAATTGAATGTATTCCTGGAACAACGTGCAATACAACAAGTGGAATATGCGAATGTGATGATCTAGAATCGAAACCTAGCGTGGATGACCCAACTAAATGTTTCTTGCCTCATGGGGCAACGTGTACTTCCGGAGGACCCCCACTATGTGACCCTAACGCCCATCTCGATTGTGTCGGCGGCACATGCATTTGCCCAGGAGAGAATAACACATCAATTTATGATACAAGAACACATACATGTCTGGTTCTGGCAGATCAAGTTTGCACTCCAGGTGGAATGCCTTGCATTCACTCCAGTTCGTGTAAGATGAGCGGATCAAACTCGACATGTCAGTGTCGACATCCCATGAGTCGCGGTGAGTACTTACATACAATGGAGGTCTCCCAATATATGCTCACATATTTTGAGCAAACTAATGTCAGTCATTCACAAATTTAATAAATATAAAATTTGTAAAAGGCACGAGCTGCCAATGTGTAAGTTTGGCGGAGATAATCCAAGGAGTAGAAAACGCACAGTAAATTTTGAGTTTAAAATTTCTCAACCTTAGCGAGCATTTGCTTTTCTTTGGATGCAAATGTCTCCGCCAATCCTGCGAGTTGACAGATAGTGCTTTTGCAAATTTCATACGACTCGATTGACACTAGTTTGGTCAACATCTGTGAGCACACGTTTGCTATATAGTTACATATTTGTTATCCGACCGACCGTGCAATCTTTACGTGACAAACGTAAAATAGTACATCATTCATTACCAGAATCACTAACCCCGAGAGTAAAGTGTAGTTCAAAATATGAATGTAGGAGTTAAATTGTACCAATATTTAATCCATTCAGTTTTGAGTAATCTGGATACTTAATTGGGACTATTTAATCCCAATAATTTGCCAGGAGCGTCCCTTTCAGCTTGGTTGAATTTTATGCACCAACGATAAATGTACCAGTAACAAAAACTCTAATTTTCTAGGGATCGATAAATTCTGTTATTTGCAACATGAACAAGACTGCACTCGTCAGAATGATTTGTGCGACCCAAACAGATTCCTTTTGTGCAATTTTGAAGGAAAATGTGCCTGTAATTCTGGAGCTGCGTATATTTCTTCGTTGGAAGTTTGTCGAGTCCTTCCAGGCTCAAATTGTAATGACACAGCCGGCACAATTGAATGTATTCCTGGAACAACGTGCAATATAATAAATGGAATATGCAAATGTGACGATCCGGAATCTAAACCTAGCGTGGATGACCCAACTAAATGTTTCTTGCCTCATGGGGCACCGTGTACTTCCGGAGGACCCACGCCATGTGACCCTTATGCCCATCTAGATTGTGGAGATAATGGGACATGCATTTGCCAAGGAGAGAATGTAACATCAATTTATGATGAGAGAACGAATACATGCTTAGTACTAGCAGATGAAGAATGCACTCCAGGTGAAATGTCTTGCATCCACTCCAGTTCATGCAAAATGAGCGGATCAAACTCGACATGTCAGTGTCGACATCCCATGAGTCGCGGTGAGTATTACTCCTGAGTACATATCCTTAGTCCAAAGCAAAATTTTAGAATTCTTCAAGATATGTTCTATTAGTTAAATGGTAATTGTAGTAATATAAAAATATATAATTCCTTAGGGAGCGATGGATTTTGTTATTTGCAACATGAACAAGACTGCACTCGACAGAATGACATGTGCGATCCAACCAAATTCCTTTTGTGTAATTTTGAAGGAAAATGCGTCTGCAGTTCTGGAGCTGCATATAATTCTGCTTCGGACGTTTGTCAAATCCTTCCGGGCTCGGAGTGTTCGAATGTACTTAACACAACCAAATGTGTTTCAGGGACACGGTGTGAATACATTGGAATTGAGAGAAAGGAGAGATGTGAATGCGACAATTCCCTGTCGAAACCTAGCGTTAGCGACCCAACTAAATGTTTCTTGGCCCATGGGGTAAAGTGCGATGATCCAGTACTTCCGGTAGAATGTGACCCTTACGCCCATCTTAGTTGTGGAAATGATAGGAGATGCATTTGTCAAGGGGAGAATATCACATCAATTTATGATAAAAAGACAAAAAAATGTCTCCAACTGGCAGACGTACAATGCGTCACAGAAAGGGACGGAGGAATGAGTTGCATTCATACAGCTACCTGTAACAGGATTGGATCACAGTTTAGATGCGAATGCAAAAATCCAATGAGCCGAGGTATGTATGTATACACGTAAAATATTTATATATTCATCAATTTAGTTTTGAGAAATTGAACAAATTACAACTTCTAGGCGTTGATGGATTCTGTTACCTCAAACATAACCAAAGTTGTATACAAATCAATGATTTGTGCGACCCAAACAAATACTTGGGATGTAATTTCCAAGGGAAATGCTCATGTCGGGATGATTCTACGTATGACACCAATTTACAAAAATGTGTCCTCCTCCCTGGGTCGGGATGTTCAGGAAGCGGCGGTCCCACCTGCATAAATGGCACAAAATGTAATTTAAATCCAGTATCAAGGAAAAACGAATGCACGTGCTCCATTGAATCATCAATTCCCAGTTCCCATGATCCGGGACGATGCATTTTACAACATGGGGATAAGTGTTCAGAATCAGGAGCAGAATGTGACCCTTACAATCACCTCGTGTGTAGCAGGAGCGTCTGTATTTGTCTGGGAGAAGGCGACACGTCGCGATATGACAATAAAACACGCAGATGTGTCCAGTTAGCGGATAAAGCCTGTCTTCCTCCAGAGGAAGGTGGTATGAGTTGCATTCACACAGCGTCATGTAAACAGGCTGGGTCAGACTATAAATGCCAGTGTCGTTTTCCCATGTCTAGAGGTGAGTTATGAAATTAAATAAGCTACGAGCATCCGAAATTAAGTTGTGCTAAATCTAATGATTGTGAATCCATGTATTTGTATGTACTTATTTAAATAGGCGTGGACGGATTGTGTCACCTGACTCTAGGCCAATCATGCACAATACTAAATGACCTGTGCGATTCAAATATATTCCTAAAATGCAGTTTAGAAGGAAAATGCTCATGTCGGGATGATTCCACGTTTGATACCGATTTACAAAAGTGTGTCCTTCTCCCTGGTTCCGACTGCAACGTGATACGAGACGGACCAGATTGTATACGAGGAACTAGATGTGAATTGAACAGAGTGTCCAGGAAAAATGTATGCACCTGTGCCATAGAATCATCCATTCCCAGTGTGCACGACCCGAGACGATGCTTTCTACGACATGGCGACAAGTGCTCCCAACCAGGAGCAGAATGTGACCCTTACTATCATTTCGAGTGTCAGAAAACTGCCTGCATTTGTAAAGGAGAAGGTGTCACTGCAATTTATGACAATAAAACACGCAAATGTGTCAATTTGGCGGATGAAGAGTGTCTTCCTCAAGAGGAAGGCGGCATGGGTTGCATTCACACGGCGTCATGCAAACAGGTCGGGTCAAAACTTAAATGCCAATGTCGCTTCCCGATGACAAGAGGTTAAAATTATTATAAGCAAAACTTAAATAAATAATGAGCTAGTTTGTCAGGTTATTATTATTACAGTGATTATGTATTGTTATTCGTAGGATCTGATGGCTTCTGTTATCTCAATCACGCACAAAATTGCGCAAAAGATAATGATTTCTGCAATATGCACAAATTTCTGCACTGCAACTACGAAGGAAAGTGTTCTTGCAGAAATAATGCAATCTATGACTCCACATTGGAAACTTGCGTCTTGTTGCCAGAACAGGGATGCAATTCTACAGATTCGCAGTTATGCTTCCCACCCACAAGATGCAGTCAAATTAATAGTGTCACTGGAAAGCACATCTGCGTCTGTCCTGGTCAATCCCGTCCTTCACGTTTAGATCCGACCAGGTGCGTGTTGGGTCATTCGCATCCCTGTGCAAATTCAGTTGGCAGTGATTTGTGTGACCCATTTCAATATCTGGAATGTTCTGATACGATGCAATGTCAGTGCAAGGGAGGGTTCAGAGACTGGTATGATAAGGAATCAAAAACTTGTTTCCTAAAGGTGGGTATTTCCTGAAAGATATGTACATGAGTTTTGCAGTAACTTTACAAATTTTATACAGGCGAAGCAATCATGCATCCCCACAGAAGATAACCCCCTTGCTCAAAGGTGCACTCCAAATTCCCATTGCTTTCACAAAGACGGCGTTTCTCTCTGCGTTTGTAATGCTGGTTTTGAAGCTAACAGAAATGGACATTGCTTTCTCCCACATCTGTCGAAATGCCTGCTGCAAAATGATTTATGTGACCCAGCTTCATTTTTGAGTTGCGATCTCGAGACTAATTGTACGTGTGGAAAGGATGCGATATTTAATCGGGCAACAAAAACTTGCGAATTGTTATCCAGTGCAAGTTGCAATTCCGTCATGACACAACCGGAATCTCAGAAATGTATTGTTAATGCCATGTGCTCCAAGAATACTGGAAAATGTGAATGTATTCGTAAGTGCAAACCTTCTTTTCACAAAATAAAATAAAAAACTATATTTTACACTGCAAAATTGGATTCATTGCTAAAAAAAAGTTTAATTCAATTTCGTACAGAGGAATTTGAAGAGAACAAGGATCGCTTTTGTTTCTTACCAAGGGGCAATCGTTGTGATAAAAGCAGAGATTTGTGTGACCCCAAATCCAGGTTAGAGTGCGGGCATCTGTCGGGAAGTTGCGTGTGTCAAGGGGAGGAACATGGGGTTGGCTGGTACAACAGATTTCAGAAGAAATGTTATCGCCTGGCAGGCAGTCCATGTGAAAATGGGGACGAGTCTCAGTCGGGTTGTGTCCATAACGCGTATTGTGACCCCATCGACAAAATATGCACTTGTAACGAAACCCTTAAACTTTCTCCGAATCGGGATGGCTTTTGTTTTCTGCGACATGGAGTCAGGTGTAACTTGAAGAACGATTTATGCGATCCTGCTGCATTCCTGGAATGCTATCAAGAAGCAGGTATTTATCAAACAATATAATTTGGACATTATTAATATTTAAATAAATATATCGTGTAGTTTACATTTTTAGCTTAATATTTTCCTCTTATCTAATGTAAAATATGTATGATAATTTCAGGAAACAATGCTTCCGTCCCTCTCTGCCGATGCGAACGAGAGTATGAGACTTTCTTTGACGCAAACACGTCTTCATGTCGACTAATTCATGACAGGCCATGCAATCTTGACAACAAAGACAACTTGATACCAGCTGTCAAACCAAACCAATTATGTGACAAGAATGCAATGTGCTTGGCTTATGCTCCCGGTAATTTTACACACCGGTGTGGATGCAATGATAAATTTTCACCAAATCCGGAGGGCATTTGTTACCTGCCGTATCAATCAGAGTGCATATCTGCCCCAACAGAGTGTGATCCTTATGGATACCTCACTTGCAGGAAGCGATACAAGGATGATGGCAAAGCCGATATCCGGCAGTGTCTCTGTGCCACGGATAAAATGTATTATGATCGCGAACAGAACAAGTGTTTTTCATTCCCAGGCGAAATGTGTGATAATTCCCCTACTGGGCAGAAATGCAGAAAAAATGCACATTGTGGTAAAAACTATATGTGCGAGTGTAATGCTGGATATGAAGAAACGCCCGATGGACAGTGTCTTTTAAAGTACGGAGAACAATGTGATGCGACAGAATGTCATCATCATGCAAATTTGGAGTGCCGAAGCGGTTTTTGCCTTTGTCGTGAGGGTTATATCGAGCACTATTTCTATAGTGGGTAAGCGCAAGTTATATGTCTAATAAGTTTTTTTTCCATGTGAAACTCTAGAATATTAATGATAAATGGTATACACATTTTAGGAGCCGTAACAAAACCATATGCTTTCCTGGATATCATATGAACTGCGAAGAAAAAATGTGGACACATTTCTCGAACATACGATGCAGTCCGGATGCATTCCTCGTATGCAATGAGACTACAGCGGGTGGGGTTTGCATATGTAAACATGAAAACCAAGTATTTATCGGTATGTACATTATGTAAATGCAGCCAGAAATTGCATAGCTTCACGTAATCCATGCGTTTACCTAAATGACCGATTGAATTGTTTCAGGGAAAGAAAAACAATGTCAAAGTACAAGAGGGAATTTTTGTGATGGCTTTGAAAAGATTTGTGCTGATGGTATGAATTGTGTGGAATCAGAAGATCTACCGCAAAATCATATTTGCCAATGTGCCGAAAATTACACCGTGAACTGGATGGATCCTAAATTTTGTGTTTCTGATGGAAGAAGCGTGACGAAAAATTATTTTTCATTTGTTTCGATATTTATTGCACTATTTGTAATAGTTAAAAACTATTTTGTTTGAAAACGGAATAAATATATTCAATTTTTAAATTAAATATGTAAAGCGCACAGAAAATTAGGATGAATAGTGAAAATATCAAAAGCAGAAAACAAATATATTTAAATCTGTGTGTTAGCATTGACTCGCATATTTAGTTTTAGTTTAGTCTTATCATAATGCATATGGTGATACAACGCCATAAAATATGAAAGTTGAACATTTTATGCATTATCATTTTAATTAGGAATATGTATATGGATTCGAAAAATATTAACTGTCTGAAAACTTGCCAAATAAGTTCTTGCAATTCTCTTCAATTTTAAATATGTATGTAGTGCAAAATACCATGCATAAATGTTAATAAAGTTGCGAATTAATCTAGTCTAGAAACAGTGCAGTTAAATAAAGTGGTTTGATCAGTTTGATCTGTAATTTCGATAAAATGGCTGTTTGATTTTCTACACGTTTTCCTCAATAACACAGTTCTGACATTGGAATCCTATTTTACATGCGTCCTAGTGTAAGATATAAAGTATTTACTTCTCACGAGAACTCTTTTGAAATTAACATTAGAATATGAATATGGTACAGTTATAAATTATGCATGGAAAAAAATATCCACAACTTTTGTCATTGAATATGTAACCAGTCCTCGCAATAATTATGTTCTTATTTGTGGACGAAACAATTTGATAATAAAAAATCCATTAATCAAAAACAATACGATAACTATTTAATAATTATTACGAATTGGAAAAATTATTACTGTAAACCTTGATAAAACCCTAAAATATTTTTTGTGTGTAATATATGTTAAATGTCGATCAATTAATTATTGACCCTTGATTTGACATTGGCCCAACTCTCCAGATTATTAATAGCCATTTGAGTTAGATAAATATATATTTTAAATAGCCCAAATCCCAAGAATTTGAATACTGGAAAATAAAAAGGCTCAAATCGCACTTTTCCATGGAATGCATTGCAATGACGAAGCGAGGCCTCTGAACAAAAAGAAGCCAACGGTGGTGGCGGATCACTCATATCTCGTTGTTCCATGCAGTCGTCCGTTCTTCTCATCTGTTCATTCTTTTTGCATTTGACTGCGCTGCTGCTGCTGCTGCTGTCTTAATTTGTCTGGTACATACAACAACGAAGTACAAGAATAGACAAGACTATCGCACCAAGTACTTGTTGCACTATTGTCTTATTTATAGGTCGGATTAAGACTTAATTGTGTCGAGGGATATTCCCCACTGTGAAAAAGGTTAGAAAAACTCAAAGTTTGTGGTGACTTTTTACCTGAATTGTGACTTGACTTGACCAAGTTTTATTCATATTATTGTTACTTGTTAGGTTGGGTTGAGAGGGGCGATGATTGATACAAAGTTTGGTAAGAAGGGTGAGGAGGATGAGGTGGAAGAAGAAGACATGATGATGACCATATTGGAAGGGGACGAGGCGGCAGTGCAACAGTCATGGGACAACCGCATTTCGAGTGAGGAAGCCATCCGATGTAGTCTCAGCATTCCACACGAGTTTACGGTGGATGATGACGAATTTTTGAAGAATATCGCCAAAGTGTATGACCAAGAACAAGAACAGTTTGATAAGGACATTAAACATAAGAAGGCCAAGATGAAGTCATCATCATTATCAACTAACCAAATGGAGTCGTCGACCACTGTCACGCAAGAAAGTGGTGATGGCGTTATTAGTGAAAGTTGTGCTAAAGAAATTGTTGTTAAACAAAGTGGTATAGTTCAAAATAATAAGGAAAGTCGTCCTACTCCGAAAACTAAACTTTGCTCGGTATTCGCCAAATACAAGAAATGGGATGAGGCGGAGAGATGCAAGGTGGAACTATTGGAGAATAACAAGGTCAGGATTGATGACAATTTCATCGTGGAGGTTGACCATTCAAACTACATCAAGGAAGAGGATGTCACCTTGGACCTTGATGAAGATTACAGAACTTGTTCCATGCCAGAACTACCCACTCGTCCGTTGGACTCTTTCTGCGAGGCGTCTACTTGCCGACTTGGTTGTATTTGTGCCAGCGTCAAGAGTGCGACCGCGGTTCGGAAACATTGTGGGATTCCAAGTTGCTTTTTCAAATGTACCTGCCACAAAGATCGAGTGATGAGGGATGGAATCATATCAAGGTTACGACCGCGAGCGAGCCTTCTTAATTGGCGTTATGCAGGAGAAGAGATGGACAAGGATAAAGATAAGGAGCAGAGATCTCGTCCGGTGAGTTAAATATTATAATGGATTCATACATTTTAAATGTTGGTATGGTCTTAGTTAATGGGTGTTATTAGTCGCATCTGTTTGAATATATTACGTTGTTGTATATACATAAATGAATATGTGTGTGTACATGTATCGTTTAGATCAACTATCGCCAGTTGGAACGAGGCTTCGGAATTTACCCACGACCAAGACGTGTAGCTGTTGCCGCCCCGCAAAGATTTAGAAAAAATCAAAAATTCGTTGTGCCAAAAAATGTTCAAAATCTCAGAGAATTGCGAAGCAGGTCGATTTCGGCTAGTAAGCTGAACCAGAAGGAGTCAACAATTGGGGGCGCCCGTCGGGATCCAAGTTTCATCTACTGTCGCCGCCCTAATTATCGTGTCAAAAGCTTGCCCAAAGAGACTGAAACGACTGATGATAAGTCCATTCCTACTAAAAATAATAATAAACTCCGTCCTAAACCAAAAATAGTGGTAGACGAGTCACTAAAAACGTAAGTCATTGCTATTGTTTCATTCGTTCGAATAATAACATATATGTAAACCCAGCTTAAATATCATTTTGTTTTATAGTATTGAGACTGAACCCGAAGAATCTAAAAAATCTGAGGAACAAACACCACTATTAATTCCCAAAGGTATTCATAGAAAAAACTGAATTGGTTTGCCATTGGATACCATATACCATATTTGCTCATTCATGATTGTACATATTTTTTTTACTTACTTATCACAGTTGTTCAAACTATCCAACGTGACGCCATGGTTTTCTTGATGGGTTCGCAAAGCTTGTGTTTTCTAACGTTCAGTCTAGAATTCAAACATCCTCGTGCCATCATATACAAAGAAACAAACGGAGATCAAGTCGAAATTCCTTGGTTGTATCTTCCATTTCCATCGCATGGAGAATCTTGGGTATTTCATCAAATTCAGAGCGACTCATGCTACTCCGAGTTTACCTGCATCCCGGAAATAAACTGTCTCATCCCTTCGAAAGCGCTCAGAATGCACATGAATTCATCTAACATCAGAAAAAAGACAGTTGCGCTGAAAATAATGTGGATTGGGGAGGACGCTAAGCACAGACAAGGTATAGCATTCCAAAAATTATCCATAATTATATTAATCTAGGCGTGCTATAAAACTTCAACAACGTTAATTTTCTTTGTTACATAATTACAGGAAATATCTACATTCTACCGAATTTGCCAAACGTTATTGTTTGTGGCCCATTTCCGAGGCATTTGATGACAAGTAGATTCAACCCTGATTTCAACCCAATCCGAAAAATTGAGAACATGTGTCTCTTTGCCGACAATCTGATAAGCAAAAGGTCAATTGGCGATGGAAAAACATGGGAGCGATTCTTTACTCAGAAAAAAGAACAAATTAGTGCAGAATTGCAAGCAAGGGTAAGTTAATTTTGAGTTTTTAACATAAATAGTATTATGCATATCAATGGCGTTATGATTTTGTGTTCTATAAGAACTAGTCTATTACCTTATTTTCTCTGTTATAGGTTCGGAATGACACTTCAAATATTCTTCGGGATAAACCAATCCCCGCGAATGTAATAATGGAAGGGATGAGTGATTGTTCATCCGATTCGGTAAGCTATCAAACAGAATATTTCAAAAATATTTCACTGCCAACCTCTAAAAATAACTCGCTTAAATTCAACAGAGTTCAACATCTTTAGTTGAAGAGAAAGTGGAGGCGAATCGAATTTTCAAATCAAATTCGAAACTTAGTGTATCGTGGAATGATGCTGTAAAGTTGTTATCGGTATTTCCATAGAAGAATCAGAGACTGATTTTTTTACGTGTGGTATAAAAAGTTTACAAAGTCTATTAGTTTGTCAAGATCATAGTACTCAACGTATTATTCAACTTGAACATTTCATGGTTGAATGAATGTATATTTAAAAAAGGTGTCTCTTTTGCTACATTTTTCTTGTATTGTTAGATATTTAGTATTTAAACTTGTAACGTCATATTAATATTAGTAAATGTTGTCTTTATTAGACTCAAATGTTTGTGAACCATATTTTTTACACAGGTGCTTTTAGTACCATAAAAATATTATGACTTTTTTAAAACATAATTAAGACTTGAAATAAATCTCAAGATTTACTTTAATGTGTTAATTCTTGTGTCAAAAAAATAAGGAATAAATTTAATTGAAATAAACTCTTGAGTTCCACTGATTCAATAAACCGAATTATAGTCGCATCATTTTTAATAGTAATTTTGGGTTTTGAAAGTAGGGTCTTCGGTAGGTTGCGTAAATATCCCTTCAATCTCATTTAATGCACTTGCATTGGCGATCGTCCATGTCTAGTAACCCGTTTTCCTGACAAGTCGAATGGTAATACATAAAACAGAATCACTGCAACAAGGTGGTCAATTCTCATTCAAAACGAATTTTCTAGCTTTCATGAAAAACTTTTCTATAAGGAAAATATTGCCGTATAAAATAAATCATATTTTACTAATACAAGCGTAACATGCTACAACATGTTACATGCGTAACAACTACTTATGGTCCGATGACATGAAGGATCAAAAATATGAATGAAATACCGGTTGACGTAACATGTAACTAGGGAATTATGTATTAAAATCAAGCAAAATAGGTCATGAGAATTAAAAGAGCGCAATTATAACCCTATACGAGATCTAATTTATTCCGAGATTTTTATAATTTAATTACAGTTATGAGAGTGACTTGACTAATTTTAGCTCCATAAGAAATGTATTTCTGCATAAAATGATGCGTTAAAATGGATCATTATTATTTAGCTAAATGACTAAACAACATTGCACCAGGTTACATTGAATTTAGTATGTACTATTATCATATTATCATTAAAATATCGAGTATCGAATTGCGGAGAGATACGTCCATCACTCACGTCCCTGTACATTTTTCTCCCCAGATCCCTTGCGTCCCATCGCCAAATTTCAGGTTTCTATGACAATTGGTGCTATTTACATATTTTTACCCCCGTCCCCCTTCCTCCACACCGGTGGTCAATTACTTGACCGATCATGCCATCATTAAACTCGTCCACGGTCTTCCAAAATTAAAATAATTGGTGGCATTGCTGTGTTTGCAGTCATCAAGGTAATTTGGGAGGAACATGTGCAGGGACTAGGGAGGCAGTGATGCGACGTATCTCTCTGATGGGGCAATTGGTCAGCATTTATATAAAAATTCACGTAACAAAAATTCCTCAGCAAAAACACAAAAAAATATTGCAATGTCTATCAATTAGTAATTCATATGTAATTAATAAGTATACAATAAATGAAAGTAATACAATACAAATGACTAAACAAGCTTTGAGATTGTTGAGAAGTTGACATCACAAATATGACACTTAAAATATGAAGTCCAAAAGGGTGTCATTTTAAATTAAAGAATAGTTCGGTTTTATCCTGATTGATCTGATACATTTAGTTATTTCTTTTTAACCTCCGACTTCACCCCACTCCTTTAATATGTCTACCATAAGTTCACATTTGCCCTGGTGACGTCGCAAAGCAAATAACGATGACAATTTGCTATTACAGCCCACGCATGTAATACAATCGACGAACTGACGGTGTTTTTGACGAATGTGAGAATGAAAGATAAATGCGCCTCCTATGACGAGCTCTCCGCAGTAACAGCACTGATGAATTGCATCCTTTCCTGTTTCGTGAGTTTGATTTGGTTTAGATTTGCGAGACGAAGATGGAAATGATGATGAAGGGACACCCTTAGACCCATCTAAACATGAAACAACAAAACCTGACTTAGTACATATTCAAATAAGTCAATAAAATTGCTTGCTATGAACTCAAAACCAAAATCTTACGCTTCTTCTTTTTTGTTGGTGGTGATGTGATTTTTCTGTTTGAGGTGAAACTTCTTTTTGTACCTTTTTTGGCATTTGAATTAGTAGATTTTCTGATAGGACTGGAAGATCCACTGTTGGGCTGATTTTGTTGGTTATTCGTCCAATATTCGGACAGTTCTAGCAAATTTTTGTCATCCAAATTTTCCGGTGGTTCAGTAGTTGTGGTTGAAGGTTGTTCCAGATCAACTTGTCCAGCATCCACTGTTACAAGGAACCACAAATTTTGTTTGAAACTTATAATGCGGAAATAACTGCTAATATTAATTCTTACATAATATTATTTTTTATTACCTTCAACAACAACAGACTCATATCCAAATTCAACTTGGCATCCAATAAAAGTGTTGGAGCTTGGAGGAGATTCATCTTCTTGATTGTTGTCCTCATCTTGACCAGAACCGGGTTCAGTTTTAACACATATTTCATGGACAATACTGTGATCTCCAATGTCTGCATCTTCAACATTATTGTACAAGATTATGGGAAGATGATGCTGCTGATCGTGTTCCGTTTCTTCAGAAATTATTTTTGGGTCTAATTGAAATGCAAAATAAAATCGCATCTGTTAAACCCCTCCCCTTCATCTGTGAATACTTAATTTTAACGGGAAAATCACTAACATTCATAACTATGAAATACACTTAGTTGGCTAGGAGACAATACTTAATAATTAATTGGTACTTGCCATGGTCATTATCCGAAGCCATCATTTCTTCGTCTTCTTCGTCAGTATAATTTGTAAAGTTTGTCCACTTTGCTAGACGATTGACCAATAGTTCCAAATTGCTTAAACGATGGATAAATTCCAGCTCCATAATAATTCTGAAAATGCTTAGTTTATTTGGGGGAGGGGGTAATTTATTCTATGAATCAAGCAAAATTCACTTACTTTTGAGAGCGAGCGAAACAATTTTGTGAATTTCCTCCAAATTTGTATTTTATTCGATACGATCGATGATATTTCCTAGATGGTTTGCTGTTGTTATGATTGTGTAAGCTTGAGTGGATGGGGAATAAAAAATGGGCAGTGGACAACCGAGTCTCAGTTTGCCTCACGATGCTTTCTTTCACTTTCTCCTCGGATTTTGTAGATGCCTAACTAAGAAATAAGGATAAAGGATTTCCACCAATTTTTAGGCCGACGCAAAGGGCTTAAGCACCGCCGTGTCCGTCCGTTTGTGCCAGGATAGGGCCAACACGGCTTTGTCGATTAGCTTCAAATTTTGATTATTCATAATTGACTTTCTTGATTCTAAAATTCGGCAGAGAAGCAAATCCGTCGAAAGCGATGAGGTCAAGTTGGAGAAAAAGCAAACCTTTAATTTATTTAATTGATCTGTCATCAAAACCCAAGATACCTATTGCGTGATACATGTATTTCTAAGGAATCTTTTATTCCAGCGTTGCAGAAAGGGGACTAGGATGTCCTGGGGAAAATAATAATTTGACTGTTTTTAGATATTTGCATATGTACACGTACATAAATATAAGTAGTTAGTATATATAGCTCAAGTTTAACGAAGTTGAGCAAAGTGGAGCTTATCATCTCCGGCTCGCAAAATATTTGCACCTGGCCACGCTCTCTCTAGTTCAGAGCTCACATTGTCCCCAAAATAGATTTTATGGAAAAGCCAAGCTACGCTGACCAAGGGACGCGTCCTTTCCTCACTGGTATAAAAAGAGACCACGCCGACCTGGTCCCTTCACAACCAATTTGTTCTCGCACCGGGAACGACGTTTCTACTCCAGCACCACAATTCCCATTTCTTTTGCCAAGTTTTTTTAAGCAAATTTCCAGACCCGAGTAAAATCCATCATGGCGATGTCCAGAAATGTGTTTGGAAACGAGTGGTCAACTCCAGAGACGAAGGACGAGAAATTTAAACGAGAAGTAGCCTGTATTGTGGAAATTCTGCGCAAGGAGCAGGCCGAAAAGGTAAGTAGGCACAACTTTGAGAATTTTCAACAACCAATTTGTGAAGTATTATGACGGGCGCAGTAAGAGCTAATTAAAAATAATTATGGTTATGATTTTATAAATTCCCATTAGACTGCTTATTCAAATTCGCCTGACCGAAGTTCGTCCGATAATTGTTCCACTGAAGAATCTTCCCCAACTTCGACAACGTCCTCGTCAGCAGCGTCCTTTTCGCAGCAACATTATTTGCCACCGTATTCAGCAGCTGCCTCTCCGCCGTGTTTTGAAGAATTCGACCCCACCACTCGTCAACAACATGGAACCTCGTTTTCTCCAATTTCCTCCTCAACCTTGAACTTTGACCCCTGCCCAACCGCATCCAGCGGCAATGGAAACCTGTGGGAGGAAAATCTGGAACCACTTCTGAGTCAGTCGGTGTATCGGGCAGATAACTCAATTCCGCTGTATTGTCGACGTTCTCGGTTCCAACAACTGGACGAAATTCAGCAGCCAGCCGAATTTATGCCAATCCCACGAGTTAACAGAAGCTACATTTTTACGGGTCCAGAAGGTCCCAACGTTGCGAGAGAAGAGGTGCGTCTCCACTTGAAAGCTCGAAATGTTTCCGTTAATCCACAGACTCAGGTATGCTGTTTTTGAATCCAGATTATGTTAATTTACTCGAAAATAAGCAAGTCTCCTCTCGATTCCAATCGATGGCACTTGTAAAAAAATTATATTCCATTTTTTACAAATTTATTTCTAGCAGATGCCACAAAACTCTGTGCTCAACGCATACGCAAAAATTTCTCACTCCTCTGGATACACCTCGTGCTTCCCACTTCGGAAATTTGATGCCACCCCCGACAGCTATAATTGCTCTTTCGTCCCATTTTACGCCGGAAAATACTCTGCCTCAGTTTTCGAGAGCTCGTCTTCAGACATGGCTGCTGATGTCCATTTGAACGGTCGGGAAGGTCAACTTTGCCCTTCCGTCGAGTTGGAGGTGTCCCGAAATTATCGTCTCGAATCTCAAAATCCACCCGTCGCTCCGATTTCTTTGGGAGAAAATGGTGAAAAATATTGGGGCATCACTGTCGACCAATTATCAAATCGGGTGAGTTCTCATTTATTTTTTGAGCATTTTAACATTTTACTTTTTGGCACCATGTTTTTAGTCGTGTTATTGAAAGACTAATTGATTTTTTTATCCTTTTAGTTGTACATCTCAGATCGCTCGACCAACGACATTATTTTGTTCGACACGGTCACATCAACGCCGATCCATCGCTTCGGGGGACTAGATCTCAGGATGAAATTTCCATGCAACCAACTCAGCCGACCAACCGGACTGGTGCTTGATTACGCCAATAAGCGACTTATAATTTGCGACAAGGACAATCATCGCGTCTGCATCTATTCTCTGGAAGGACAGTACATTTCATCATTCGGGAGACGAGGTATAAATCTGGTGCATACTAAAATTGTTGTTAATTAGTTATTAATATTTATTTATTAATTAATTAATTCTACGTCTCACAGGTCACGGGCCGGGCGAATTCCAGTATCCGTGGGACGTCGACGTTACTCCAGCCGGGAACCTCATCGCTATTTCCGATTCAAGAAATCATAGAGTTCAAATATTTGACCGGTTTGGGAATTTTCTCGTCAAATTCTCCGTCTTTGAACAGAATCCGTACCAGTACAAACAGCATTTCGACTACCCTCGAGGAGTGTCATTCAGCAAAGACGGTGAGTTGATTTATGTTAAATATTATGCAGTTTCGCCTCTCAAAAATCTGGCAATAAGTAATATTCAATTTTTCTGTCTGTAGGTCGACACATTTACGTCACGGACTTCAATACTTCTAAAATAATCCGAATTGAGGTGGATTCTGGCAACATGAAATTCATCGGACCTAAAGCACAACTCAGTCGTCTTCAAGGACTAACTGTCGACGAATTAGGCAACATGATCATTTGCGACTCACGTAAAAACTGCGTCCGCATCTTTTCGGAGGCTGGATCTCAATATCAGATAGTGAACTCGGTGGGATGGAACAAGATTTCGATGCCGGTGGATGCTTGCATAATGCGGGACGGGGTGGTCGCCATTTTATGTTTAAATGGGAACATTTGTTTTGTTTAAGAAGATTGTCAATTTAACAAATTCCTAGAAATGTTTGTCTCTAACAGGGCTTGTACAAATCTTTGTATATTATTTTGTACGTACATTTACTTATCATGAATGACCATAATTTTATAAGTGTTAAACCCAGTTGTTCTACTGTGTTAATAATTTATCAATACTTCGCTATATGCATTTTAATTATGAAATTGTATGTCATTAAATACTAATATGCTATTGTACTGATATAACAACAATTTAATACAATAATTCAATGCTTTCGTACCATTCCTTTCAGTTCCATTCATATTATTTAATTGCATATCATGCCTCATGATTCTTGAACTATGTATTCATGGAGCGTATCGTTATTTATTTCTATTATTATTTCGTTACTTCGATTAAATATGCATTCACAATTTCAATTAGAATACAGTATTTAAAGTACCAAATTAAGAGTTAAAAAAATTATTTGCATATTTATCTGTATAGTTCCTATTCTTGCATGTACACATACAGACATAATCTATACATATTGCATAATCTAAAACAAAGTTTTTATTGCTCAGGAATTAATTTGATTTAAATGTTCATAATAACACTTGGATTTCTAAAATAAATAAATAAAAATGGCCATATACTTAATAATACATACATATATGCTCACATTAATTCTCTCTACATGACTTATTTAAAATACATCTCGACAAGGGACCATAAAAACGATACGGCTAATAGGACACCCCAAATAATAAAAACGGTTTGTATACTACCCGACAATGCCATGGCGTTCACGGCTTGGTCACCATCTTTAAAAATCTTGGCCAACAAATCTTTCACATTTTGCCTAGTGCGCACAACGCCCTTATTCAATTTCCTAAAATTACTCTCCCTTGCCTGTAATATTTTCTTATAAATTCCAGATTCTAGAATCTTGACAAAATTTTTGGGTACTTTTGACACAGATTGTTCAAAAAGTGCATAAATGTATTCGTAAAGAATGCTTTCTTTCGCTAAAGTAAAGTCTACCACGTTACTTGGATAATATTCTGTTAAATATTCTAGCTCATTCATTACTTTACCTTCATATTCTATGTACGCATACTTTTTATGACATTGAGTTATTAATTCTTCCAGTGCAAACTCTTGTGAGACTGATTCAGAAGTAGAGATTGAGAAGGGAGGAAATTTTTGCGTTTTTACGTGTAAACTGATCCCAAGCAAGTTTCTAAATCCCCTGTGGGAAGCGAAATCCACGTAGTTGACAACATCCAGAAGAAAAGTGTGAATCGTATGCCAAAACTTGTAATTAACAACATGACGAGGACTAGTCGTTTTAATTTGTGGAGTCAAGAATACAAAATGTTCTGAAGCCTGTGTGGTAATATTACTCTGAAAGTTCAATCCTATTGATGCATCTCCGATTTCCCAAACCCTTAAGGACTCCTTCATAAGTTGACCTTGATCAGCGGTTTCGTGATGTTGGGGGTAAGTTAGTAGATCTATAAAATATTCGTATTTTTTCAGAGGTGGAAGTGGTGAACTCAACTTCATTATGAAAATCCCAAGAAATGTATTCGTCAGTAAGATACACAAAAGTAGCCATAAAGTAAATACGAATCGTAATGTAGAACTGGTCCAAATTGACTTGTTAGATTTTTCGAAAATGTACGACTCTTCAAAAAGTGTAGCGCAAAGGAATAGAGCTACAACAGAAGAGCTTCGATTTTTTTCTATTTCGCTACCGGTGATGCAAAATCTAATGACAAAGTTTGCAAATGTTAACACAGTAGCAAGCGTGATCAAAATCGCAACCCATAACTCGGTCTGAAATGGGGCCACGTATATTTGAAAACTCAAATTAGTTTCTTTATAACATGTAAAAAATGTTAGTCCTTCCTGACGGATGAGATATTTGTCACTGTGTTGAATCATGGCTTGATAGGATAACACGTTTTGGATTAGTGTAAAATGTGGAGTTTGGTACATTTGTCGGCCCCATTTGATCACACAGTCGTTGGCTAGTTTGAAATCAATGCCACAATTGTGCTGTATTGTAGTATTTGCAGAGAGGAAAATACTGCTGAGAATATGGGCCATGTGGAAATTGAGGTTCGCCGTACCACTATTATTATCTTGATTTATTTTCTGAGAAAATGGATTTATTGAGCTGTATCGAATTAAATCAGTAATTCCTAAATGCGCCGAAGTTAGTGGAAATATCCCAGCGTCCCTTAAATTCCATCGGGTGGCTGGATACATAATGACTGACATTTTCTGAAACTTGAGAGGCTGAAGAAGATCAAGAGACGTCAACTCGTCCAAAATAATAGTGGTTGAGCAACGGAGGCACAAGTAGTAAATGTGAAATGATGAATTTTTTGAAGATACGAGAACAACGCCAATATGGTTGAGAGTTGTAATTGCGCTTATCCACTTGTATTTGTCCAAATTAATAATGGCTTCACGTAATTGGGCAACAGTAACGTTGGTGACGTACACGATGTAAGACTGCTCCATGTGAACGCTTTTGACATAGTTGTTCCATTGAGAGTTAAAACTCTTTGTTAGGTATCCGAAGTACGTAAGTAGCGAAGTCTTATCGTTAGAAGGAAATTGTAGCCATTTCTCCAAGTCGTCATGAGATAAGTGGGATCGAGCATTAGAAAATATTATGAAGACACAATTCATCCGAGGAACAAGGGTAGTCGTAAATGAATGAGACATATGTGGGGATAAATATACGTCGTACAAGAAAATGGTATACGTCTTGTCGATATTATCTCTTTGGTCGAAAATGTTGCTAACTAATATGGAATTGTGGACGATGTGCAAGTGGCAATGCGACACGATTCGAGATATATTTAGAATTTGATAAGAGATAATTTCATGAATTTCATAAAAGTGTGTCTCTTGAAATGACAGGAGGAACAAACTCACACTAAAATATGTACGCAACGGAAACTGACAAATTATAGATTTGCTCATTTTGTATGTATAGACGTGGATATAGTTTGCTGGAAACGTCACTTTACATATGTAGCCAAAATGTAATATGTGCCTTCGAAAATCCAATTAGTGAAGTAGCTAAAAGTAGAGTAAGTTCACAAATTGTGAAAGTTGCTATCGTGGATTACTTGACTTTTTGTACACCAATAAAATCAATACAATACAGGAAGAATTGAGGGACCATACATTCTTGAAGTCCAAGATCAACACTTCAACAATGGAAACAAGTACATGAATGCTTATGTAAGTTACGCAATGAAACCTTTTTACATTTCAATATTTACTTCCAATTTAATATCAAATTGAATTTGCACGTAACATAAAATATGTACATACTCATGAGATAATACTAAATTATGTATCTCAAAGTTTCACCGTAGAAATTTTGCATTCCTCTAGTGTCATGCTCGATGTACTCATATTTGATCAATCAATACACTTGAATTGCACTTGCTTCAAACAAATGCACGTAGATGATATATGATCTGCATGTCGCACCTTTTGGGAAAAATTATAATTTCTTGAGTCATAAAACTCTAGAAATTTAAATTATGTAAATATTTTTATCTGGATGAGACGTGCTTTAAAATATGCACGTAATTTATCAATCATATAAAGTATACACTGATTGATCTGTTCACATTATCCATCTTACTCGAAACTGACCAATAAATTGAGTGTCTGCACCATAAAATTATGTACACAAACTACAACTATCCAGCCAGTGAAGGTAAAAAATATGCCAGCTTTGCATGTCACCCTGTTGCGATTCCAGGTTTTGAACACCCTCCTATCAAACTTAGTCATCTTTGAGGTCTTGCATTCCCAGAAGTGTAAAACATTTTTCGAACTGGTTTCCAGCGTGGCAGCCATTTTAATCTGACTAAATGTTTCATATCCACACCGGAGAGCGCAGAATGGAAACACGGTGTTCGCTTTGAAGTCCACGTCCCAAAGTCGTATACTTCCAAACAGGAGGAGTGAACATATCGCTGCAATGAGAAGGGGGAAAACTGAGAGGTATGGTCTCAGGGCGTCATTGAGCAGGTCTATCATCCTTTTTATTTCAATATATGACCGGATTCCTGCTTTGAATGTGATACTTTGTTGCCTAAAAATAATCTTCCACTATATTCCTCATGCAAACTTGTGTTTGTTTAAATGTCGATGGTAGAATTAATGGGATTTCACATACATACCTCATCTTGACACACTTTTGAGCCCCCAGAGACACGCCGAGGTAGACGAATGACCAAGTAAGAAACGCCAAGAGAAATATAATTCCCATAAAGTATGCTTCCCAGAGGCCAAAGAGAAGTTTCCAACCGATAGTTCCAACATCATTGTCCGCGATGGATGTACACTTTAGTACGATTGAGCTTATCAGATTTGGGGCACATGGGGTGTGTACAGCCACGAGAGCATGCGGTACTGGATTCAAATAGAGGAGAAAAATGGCAAATGACAAGGCGTTTCCATCATTGAATTTTCTACAATTAAAAGAAATTACAAAAAGTTTTAAATTGCGAACTACAAAAATTGCAGAGTCATATGATTTCAGGAATGCATGATACTCACTCAGTGGACAGTTTATCCATTAAAGTATTTCCATACTGCATTACTTCTACTTGAAAAATATTGTTTTGCAAGGAAACAATTGATATCGTAGTGGACGCCAGAAGCCAAGCGAGATTCACGACCTACGTGAAAAGAGTTATTCGTATGTATAAGAATTGGGGTCTAATGAGCTTAAAATTAACTCGCCAATCTAGCCATTATTTGGATGCCTTATTTCTTGTAACCTTAACTTTAATAAAAACTAAAATGTTAACAGCAGCAGGACTCTTATACACTTAAAAGTAAGTTATTTTCATTTACGTATAGGACAAATAATTGATGATTATCCGAGGACGGCGCGAAGCGCCGGACGACGGATAATTGTAATTATCCGAAGTAATACGGAATCTTGAGGTATTAGTCAATTGGTAGTTGTCTCCTGACAAGCCCCAGCTCCCATCTATATAAAACACATAAAAAGAAAAGTGCCATGCATGCCCCGGGCTAGTATATCACCTCACAGTCCAAAAAACATTTTCGAATGAACAATCGGGTGGGTGGGTGAGGCGCTAATACCTCAAGATTCCGTATTACTTCGGATAATTACAATTATCCGTCGTCCGGCGCTTCGCGCCGTCCTCGGATAATCATCAATTAATCCTACAGTATACTCCATCTATCGGTATTAGTCAATTGGTAGTAATTCAAAGCTTCATGAGAAAATGCTACACAACAAGCAATTATGAATACATGTTTAAATCAACATTTATTATAACATTTATATTAAATATCATTAGCCATTCAATACAGCATTTGCAAATTCGTGTGTGTTTATAATAGGTCTACGATAATGTTTAGCAAAAACTTTGGAGTTATTACACCACCCAGCAGCTTTATAAATAGAATCAACACAAACTCCTCGTTCATGAGCTTTCGAGGTAGAAGAATGACGAAAACTATGACCTGAGTATACATTAATATTAATACCGGACTTATTTAATACTATTTTTAACCAACGACTAACCGTATCTCGAGAAACGGCCCCATAAGGGGTTCGTGTAGAAATGAACAGTTTATCTGTTTTCCGTATCTCTTTAGTTTTAGCTAAATAACATTTCAAGGTTTTAACTACACATAAGTTAATATCTAAAAAATTTGGTAAGGATAAAATTGTCGTACTACCTGGCTTACTAGACTTTAATTTATCATAAATTACGATTTCACATGAACCACTTTTAAAATTAATATTGGGAACACTTATAGCAGATAAGGTTTGTACTCGTTGGCCTGTGGTCAGGGCCAACAAGGCCACTAATTTATGTGACAAATCAATAATATTTAATTTCGAATTCTCGCCTAAATTTTTACAAAATTGAAGCACCAAGTTAGAGTCCCATGTATTTTCATATTTTGGTTTGGGGGGTCGACTGTTTGCTACCCCTTTTAATAGGCGACACACGACGGGATGAGTCCCTATATTTTGTCAACTTTCCCTATCATTGTAGAAAGACAAGATCTCATTGAATTAATTGAGGTATACCCTAATCCGTCGTCATGAAGTTTTGCAAGAAATGCTAAAATACTATTAATTGAAGGCCTCCAAACTGGGAGATTGTTAATGGTACAGTATTCCGTCCATTTTTTAAAATTTGAAGAATATTGTTTCCAGGTAGAATCCTGGCACGATGAACGGAGTAATTTTGTTACGTTCTCGGGGTACTGGTCGTTTTGCCACATAAAATTGACCACCGGAAAGTGAAAGCGTCAACTATTTCGGAATTTGGATCTGGAAACCAAGACGCAAATCTGGTACATTTAGCAGAATAAGTGGAGGCAAATTCATCGATTTCGGGCGTCCCGAAGTGATCACAAATAAGATTAAAGGATTTCAGATCTAAGGAATAATCCGTCTTATCAATCTCTTCCCTGGATTGTTTGTCCGCTATATAATTCTGCGAGGATTTGATATATGATGCAAATATCCAAATATTTCTTTCCTCACACCATTGCCAAAGGATTCTAGCCCATTTTAAATTTATTTCTGAGCGACATCCCCCAAACTTATTAATGTATGCTATAGTGGTGGTATTATCACTGCGAACTAGAATATTGCAATCAGATGAACTCGAGCATAATGATTTTAACCCATTAATCACTGCGATCAACTCTAGTGTATTTATATGAAGAAGCTTTTCGTCTGTTGACCAAAAACCTCGTGTAACTTGTGACTCAGTGTGGGCACCCCAACCAGTCGTAGACGAATCAGTGGTCAACGTCGAGACAAAGCGGTCCGATCTTATAGTTTCAAATGAATTTGGCAACTTTCTCTGCCACCACTGAATGTCTGCTCGACATTGTGCATTTATTGTGCATTTTCCATTATAATCGCCATTGCATTGAATTAATGCTGCATTTCTCAGCAATTCTAAGCTTCTTATGTAAGTACTCGAATAACGTATAGCAGGACTAGCTGCTACCAGATTCCCTACCAATTTAGCTAACTCTTGAATCTTAATTGTCTCCTTTTGTAAAACTTTCAAAATAATGTCGTTAATTTTAGTCACCTTGCGTGCAGGCAAAGAAATTTGCATGAGTTTCGAGTTATAAACAAAACCCAAGTATTCAACTACTTGGCTTGGAATTAGTTTAGATTTTTTCTCATTAATCGTAAATCCCAACCAAGTCAATAAACATTTAGTTGACCTTATATTCCTTAAACATTCCGATTTGTTTCTACCTGTTAGAAGTAAATCATCAAGGTATTGATTAGAAATAAACTTTCTCTTTCTTAATAATGCCATTATCCGTCTAAATATCTTAGTAAAAAGTCTTGGAGCACATGAAATTCCAAAGGCAAGGCAAGTAAATTGGTACAAATTACCTTCAAATTCAAATCTTAAAAATATTTGATCATCTGGGTGCACCGGAATGGCATGATAAGCATCCGTTAGGTCTAAAGTTGTCATCCAACAATTATTTTCTATAATACTAATAACTGATTTTAAATTTTCCATTTTAAAATGAGGAGATAGAATATACTCATTCAAAGATTTAAGATTGATCACTAATCTGTAAGAATTTGGCTCCTTCTTTGGGACAAGAAATATTCTTGAAACAAATTGACCTTCGCAAGGCAACACTTTAACAACTGCACCAGTATCTAATAAAGTTTGTACACATTTTCTAGCATATGGTAACTCTACCTCAGAAAATCGAAATGGCTCTGGTGCATTACTTTGGCATGGAATACTCACAAATGGTATGCGAAAATTTTCGATTGCCTCTAGAGTTTCCTTGTCTTTCGTAATTTTCTCCCAATTTTTTAAATATAAACTTAATTTTCTTGCCCTGCTTACATTTACTGCGATCGACTCGGTGGTCTCCATTGAGGTCGCAGCATCGATCCTCTTGGGTTGAATTGCGTGAAGTTTTGTCTGTGATTGAATCGCGGGCCCCCTCGGCTGTAGGAGGCCCGATTGTAGTTTAAATATGTACCTCTTGAGGAATTAGTGAAAGTATTTTGGGGTCTGTTTGAAAAACGGGAAAATCCTCTCCGGTTTGTGGGCGTCCTGATAACAGTGGCAGCTGCTCTAGCGGCTTTGATGGTGTCACAAACATTGTCTCCAAACAGCAGCTCAGGTGTTGATGGCGTGTTACAAACTGCCACAATTTCAGTGCTTCATGCAGGCTTAATATCCTGCTTCCGCTTAATATTGATATCTTGGCTCAATTTTGAATTCAATGTTGCAGCTTGCATCTTTTTCGAATTCAACATCACTTTTTCTGCTAAATGAGCCAATGCAACAGTTTAGCTCGATAGGATTGTTAACATTTGTTGGGATTGGAAATCTCCTTGCTTTGATTTTTGAGGCAATACGGTCCAAATTTCTGGGTTTACCCTTGGAACTCCGAGAAGTTTGCAATTAGCTGGTGTAAGAAAGGGTTTCCTCAATTCTTCGATTTTCTCTTTAGATAACACTGTTTTTCCCAAATTCGAAAAAGAACTGGCCACGTTAACATGCAAATCCGGTCCAAATTCCGGTTCAATCTGACTTTCATTTAATATATCTAAGAGCTCAGATGTCGGTCCATCGTCAACGAGAGTGGAATCATCGATCACTTCTATGAACAGATATCATCTCTGAATACCTCTTTTATATTAATATTCCAATATTTCCAAACCTTTTTCATGTTGGAGTAAGCTTTGCATTGTGTCGTCAACAACGTCGACTGATTTCTGTTGGCTATTATTTTGCGTACCCAGCAAAATTTCCTTAATTTGCCTAATCTCATTAGGCAGTGACTGAAATTCAGCAATTGCTTTTGAATGAGAGGCCAAAACGGACACTTTCCTCTTTTTCGGTTTGGGCGGACCAGCGGTCACGTCATCAGCACTAACGATTATAATAACAACACATGTTCAAGTTTGACTTTTTAAGTTTTCAGTGCTTTTTAATTTTTTTTTTTTTAATGAGGGACTACGTCCTCTCAAAAAATATATTTGAGGTAACCACGTTATCCTCTTTCTCTAGAGTGACTACGTCATCTCTGTTATGTGCGACAACGTCGTCACAAAAGTTTTTTTTAAATATATAACTATTTGCCCTTAGGTTAAAAATAATAGCAAACATGGCTTACCTGTCCCCCTTGCCGGTTGACGACATCTTGATTTGCACAAGGTCAAATATTGAACGAAATATCACGAGAAAAATATCACGAGCTAAAATTTAGTGATGTGAGCTGGGTCTGCATCAAAAAGACTGTGAGGTGATATACTAGCCCGGGGCATGCATGGCACTTTTCTTTTTATGTGTTTTATATAGATGGGAGCTGGGGCTTGTCAGGAGACAACTACCAATTGACTAATACCGATAGATGGAGTATACTGTAGGATTAATTAGAATTTATTTTAAAATATCTATTCAAAGCATAAGATTTATTCTGATCAATTTAAACCATATTGTTTTACCAAAAAAACAGGAAATGCAACATGTTGACTCATATGTACAATGTAAACTAGTAAAAACAATAGCGCATTTTGACCTTCATGAAGAGGGGAAATTCCTCCCGACCTTGGCCCACTTGACTCCACAGTCGGAAAAACGAAAACGTGGTAATTGTGCATAAAACCACACTGTGCAAATTAATGAGCAATTGATCCCGTCTGCTTTCCCTTGATGGGATAGAAAATCGTCTCAACTTCTCATTCCAATTGAACGGAAGTACTTTTATGGTGCAAGCAAATCTTATAATTTTCAAATACAAAGTGAATGATGATGATGGTTCCATTATTTTGAGAATGTTTAATTTGCTTGAACGAAATAGTGTAAAGTCTGGGCTAAAGGAAAAGGAAATTTGATTGAGCAATGCATTGCGAGTGAAAACGCGCACTTGACGAGTAGATTGATCTTTTTATAGAATAATTTCTAGGTAAGGCTAGGTTAGATAAGCTTTATTTTTCGCATCTCTACGTAAATATGTAATTATTTATGAGTGCACAATTAACTAACTAAGCGAAAGATCGCATGATTATGGGGAAAGGACTGGAAACAATGGGAAAACTTCATAAATAATTGTTAACGGTTTTGTGTGGCCCCTTATTGTGTCTGTGTCTGTGGGCGTTGCATGGTTGCATTAAATACTTATTGCCAGGTACATAAATATATGCATAACTTGGCGAATATTTGCATGTTAGCAAAAACTAAAAGAAAGCATCCAACTGTGTTGTTTCATTCGTCATAAATATGCCCCGTGGTCTGAGATGTAGACAGTGCACAGTATTAATAGCAGTGCAAAGCTCATGATTTAGCTCAGAAGATTGAGCTAAATCGATACAGGATTGACATGGTCTGAATGATTCGTAATCGTTGGTTATGGCTGAAAATTATATCATTTCACAATTCTGAAACTATTTACTGAGTGAAAGTGATCAAGCGGTGTTTATTCGCATTTACATATCTGCATAGGTACATATGTAATGTCTATGCGTAAATAAATGGATTATACGGACTAGAACTTATTTAGGTTTTAGCACTGTTGCCTTGATGACGTCCTTCCCCGTAATTTAGAAATTATTTTATTTTGTTTAACCTACCGTAAGCTATTTACCCCCCACGATGCCTCACCCTATTCAATATGCGTAAATCAATTACGACATAACCTACTCCTATGTCTACGAAGTAAATTATGCCTTGTTTGCTCTATTTTCACGGGTTTTAAATTAATGAGGCTAATGTAATACGTGATAAATGTTGAGGTCATATGCCCAAAATGTCTGGAAGCTCTAGCATTATGCAACTCCAAAATTGCTCTTTTGGTCACAAATTTTGTCACAAATGTGACATGCAAATAGTGTTTAACTTTGTCAAATGCTGGTCATTGTGAGTTGCCCAAGATATTTCTGTAATTCTGCATGCCTACATGTGTTAGAGTGTAGCATTTTTGCCTTTGTCGTGATACGAGGGAAAATTTATCAATTCTCAGTAATTTGAAGGTTCTCTCCTTTTTCTTAGATGAGGTTTTAGTTTCTACAAGAAAAAATAGCCTATTTATGCAATAGGGTTTTAAAAACTTATTGTACTTGGCAATTTGGTAGGTCGACTGTCTATTTTTTCTGCTTAAAATGCAATGATCCACTGATGCTCAAAATATCAAAATTCTATGTCACTCAATGAGGATGAAATTTGATAAGCACTCGTGTTTTGTCTCATCTAGGCTTTCTTTTTCTGGGTTTGATTTATGCATTAAATTAAATCATAGGATGGTGAACTCGGTTTCAGCCAGAAAGAATAAATGGGACGGGATTTCTGTCCCGAATGTAGTTTATACTTATACACAGCTAGTCAGTCACTACGAAGGAATTCCCAAAAGATTAAAATTAATGATTCCATCTTGTGAATGTGCATATTTATGTAAGTATCTGAGCCGAAAATTACAGTAATTTACTACGGCCGCTAGTCTTCCAAGTTCTTTCAAAGAGTAGATATTTTGAAATTTTCGTTGATAATTGACATGAGTTTAACTTAAAACTGGAAGGGATAAAAGATTTAGAACTGAAAACATTTGCAAAATTCGCATACCTTTGAATATGTATAAGTTTCATATAATAAATACAAGAATTATTCTAAGGAATTGGACAGATTTTCTAATGACAATCATTTTCAATTAGCTTCAATTATCTCTCAAATTAGTTATTTTAATCCCTAAATGTTCACATGTATATGTGTCTAGTACAACTGCATGACAAAGCGTCATTTCATTACTACACGATTGATTATTAGTCTCATTGTAATGAAAAATTCGTGACATGAAAACATTAGTTAGCAAGCAGCCAAACTCATTGAGGCATGGAATCCATGATGGATGGCATGGATCTAAACGAAACTGGACAGAACTGGAATCACATTGCCATTAATCAAATCAAATCTCTTCTCTGAAACTCTACATTTTCTTCTGAGAATAGCAAAGTAAAATGCATTTCATAAAAGAGTACACAATAAAAAAAACTGCAGACCAGCAGTACAACATAGTACTTCAAACATTCATAAGGCGTATGCATGTATGTCTGACTGTCATTATTAAGCTGAAAACTTTACACTTTCATTCTTACAAGATCACGAATGGATTGCCAGAGGCAGTTTGTCTTCGCAGTTGATTTGTGGTGACATGGGAATATACAAATGATGACAAAAAGACGAAAACTCTATCGAATGCAGAAAAAACCTCTACGGGTGACTTTTGTATAATCCGCAAAAACTATTTAGAAAGAAGACGTCAGGATGAAGACTATTAATGACCACAGAGCAGAAGGAGAGAGACTAATCCAACCACCCCCTAATTTATTCCAGCGCATATGCGTTTAATTTTCATAATACATAGAATTGTCATACCCTAGAACTCAGTCTTGCATAATCTTTGACTGAATGTAGTGGTCTATAGAGTTCAAAATTATTTATAAAATGGAATTGTCCACAAAACTCAAATTAGGACTGATTTATTTAATAACCGGAATAATTCTTGCTATTCCATTCATCCTGTTTGATTTTTCGCAAGAAAGTTGTGCCGCTAATTTATCTGCAAATAAGGACAAAGAAAGTAAAGGAAACTTCAATCATAACTTTTCTCAAAGTGACATCACTCAAAAATTATTTGAGATTATTGACAAGTTGCAAAATGGCGTGATTACCTATACCGACGATGACGGTATGGTTGAAGAGGATGTTAACAACGCTAACAACACCAACGACGCGTGGCATCAAAATACATCCTCCTCAACAACTAGCAATGACCATTGTGAATTGAGCGACATTGAGAAATATTCGCCACTTTTGTTTAGCGAAGAACAAGTGCGACGAAATGTTAATGACTGGCTTCTCAAAAATGGAAAGGTACATTTGCACACATATGCATCCAACCAAGGAAAATATTGCTATCCAAGTTTCATAATTTTGTAATCCCTGTAAGGACTCTCTCTACAACCGCGTCCGTCTCACCCGAATCGGATGGGCAAATGATTGGGTCCAACTTTTTAGCGCCACGCTGGTCTTTTTAACATACGCGACGCTGTGGGAGGGTCACTCGTTTCATGCCTGGGCCCAATTTTACTTCGTCTCCCTGGAATTGCTGCAGCGGTCTGTGAATATCCTGCAAACAACGGCATTCCACTGGGACTACGCGTCAGTTTTACTCAGTCATTATGATCCACATTATTTGCAGTATTGTTCACTTGTTGGTGAGTGGAAGATAGGAAAAACAATTTTTATATGTATGCTGTCAAACTGAAATGTTTTAAATTGTGAAATTATTGTATTTCTGGTAGATTTGTTCTGTTACTATGTTCCTCTGTCGCAGTTGTTCTGCTTGACTGCTCTGATATACCATGTATGGAAAACTTTTGGGTAAGAATGCGTGATAAAATATTTTTATATATTTTGCAGACTAACTTTAAGCTGTATATTGCTAATTTCAGAAAAGATACTCTGGTAGCAGATTCGCGAAATGAGAAGAGATACATCCAATTTGCAGTATTTGGAATATTTGTCCCAGCAATCTACACCAGTTTGGGCTTCTTTATGCATCACATGACCCCAGGGTACGTAGCAAATCTTTTTGCTAAGTTGCTAATTGCAATGAAAAAATTAGTGAAATTATAAATTTACACAGCGGTTATCTTTGTCATCCATCTTTTGAGACCATATCGGACCTCATGCTCTACTTGGTGTATCGTTACACTCCTAGCGGAGTTTTGATTTTGCTGAACTTTTACCTCATTTCTCGTACTCAAGGGGCACTTGATAAGGTAAATATAGTTTATATTATTACCATTTTTTCTTGAAGAAACCTTATTAATTATCAATTTAATAATTTCTCTTTCGACAAGGTTAAGAGAGAGTGCAGAGTTGTCCGAAAACAGTGTTCGAATCCAACTTCCAAACCAACAAATAGGTTTGTGACCAAAATAAAATGCGTAGAAATGTTTTATTATCTGTAAATATATGAATTAACACCACCATCGCTATGCATAGATTGAACCTTTATTTGAAACTGCTCTGGATTCTCTGCATCTTGACACTCCTTCTGAAACCATTTTCCAGAACAATGATGGCGTTTGGAGTACATTTGGAACAATATGACGGCGGATACACCAACATGGCATTGTACATTCTATCACGGACACATAGTTGCATTCTCCTATTTGTTCTCCTTAATCATGCTCCCACCCGCGTTGGGCTGGAGAGGGTGGAGAGAAGCTTGTCGGAATCAATTCAGGATGAAAATGGTACATAATTTGCCTGTTAAATATAACAATGAAAGATAAAATTACGTAATGTTAATCTCTTTTGATGGGATAATAGACAATATGAAAGGGAAACAAAAAATGGCAAATCCCAGCAGTAAAAAGGATCACGGTTTTCTTGGCTACGTTGGAATCAAGCTGAGAATAATTATGACTCAATTTCTGCTTCAACTTTGCTACCTCTGCAGCGGTCGACTTTGTTTTGTCTCCTGGAAGAGAATTGTGAGAAAGAAGAAAGTCCTGAGTGAAGAACACTCGGAAAGCTCGAGCACGGCTTAAAAAATCGAAACGGAGAAACCCAAGGATATAAAGTGGAGCAAGATCATAGTTTTCTGGACATGATTTTAAGATATGTATTTGGATAGATGGGCACATGAGGATGGGATGGCAAATATATGTGTACAAATTTTTACTCTTTTAATAAAAAGTAATTATTCTCAGCGTAAATACATAGTTAGTTCTTAGCAATCCTTGGGCTAGGTTGACAATTTTTGAAAAGTTGAGGAATAATAATTTCACAACAGTTATGCATATACAAAGCAGAAAGATATTACAAAAGAACCATACATAATTGTACACTCTGTCAGTATGACGGCTTTTTTGACGCTGGAAAAGGTTTGCACATCAAAAACCCTGAATGTTTGCCTTATTCGCGATAAAATTTGTGGTTTACAGGGCCACAAAAAGAAGGTGAACATACTTATTTACTTAAATATTTATATTATAAAACAGGATAATTTTAAAGTAGAATAAATATCCAATGCGTGTTTTATGGTGATACATAATTTATTACAATTATTACAAACAGAGCGATATTTCTTAACAAAGGCTGGATAGTATAATAAATTACCTGCTAACACGCAATTACTAATAGATTATGTACATTCTTAATTGTCATTGTAGTGCAAATCTGTGAGCCACTTAAGTAGAAAGAAGCACTGTTAACATTTACCCCGGATAATATATGACGACTCGTACACACTTTTTAAGTTTGCAATTTATAAACGACATTGAACCGTTCTGCATTGACCCCATAACAAACTCTTTCATACTTTGAGAAATATGCCCCGATCACTGCCCCGAAAACGAATAGTATCAGACCACCAAATACGAGGAAAACGATGGTCCATGCAGCAAAAGACCGTGGCGTGTCAATCTGATCGACGGGTGAATAGTTCATTTTGGTTTCTCCATTCGAATTCGATGTACTAGTTTCTTTCACAATAGAATGATTTGTAGAACAAAGTTGCAGTGATTTTGGTCTCACGGGGGTAGTTAAGGTCAGAAGTCTTTCTGTGTAATAGTCCTTTGGCATTCCGCTCGTTTGAAGTGTGTATGACCCTGCCTTATTTTGACAATCGCGTTGTGCATACAAAATTACACATTGGTCGTAAGTCCGGATGGATACGAGCAATTGAGTTTCATTCAGAGTGACGCAACCGTTGGTCAAGTTTATATTGGCAGAATTTCCTTCCAGACAAAAATTGTAAGTTACCGTTACAAGCTAATAAATCATATTGACTCAAGTGTCTCACCGTAATATCCAAAGAAATCATACACGGTGACCACATTGTCCCCCGGAGTTTGTTCCGGGGCTGGTTTCACTTGTGGAATTGTTTTATTACAAAATCTTCCACACATTGAAACTGCTACCGTGTTCAGCGCGTAGTGATCTTCCCCTACTCCCCAATACCACAAGTCATGTAGGTGTGGATAACCGGGTCGAAATTGGGTAAATTCCCATCCACAGGATGAATCGCTGTGTAGTTCTACACAAGAATTGGACTCCTTTCCAGAAATTTGTATGGATTCCCAAAGCTTGCGGGGTGGAGGGACGAGGATACATTCGTCACCTTGAACGATTAGAGTGGTTGCATTACCTGTAAAATGGAATGCAATTAAGTAGAAACTATTTATAACATTTGAATGTTGTTTATATTAAATAAATATTCAGGTGGCAAAACCTTCGAAATTCTCGTCATCATATAACGTTATGAGAACGGAAGGATCTGTGGCACCTTCCCAATTTCTTGGGTCGCATTTATCGAAACATGGTCCTATCGACCTAACTAACAAGTCTTCTTTGATTAGATTCCCATCTTCCCATTTGTGACGAGACGGTCCGTATAAACGCTCCATACGACCTGCGACATATCGTATGTACGGTCCAGTGCAATTTTCTTGATGGTAAATGTTGAAACAATTCCCGTTCGCCACGATTGAGTGAACTCGCCCATTTGAAGTGTTCGGGATGGTTGGGTTGCAATAAGTGACATTGTAGTCTTTGGCTATACATTTTAACGATTAAATAAACTGTAAAACTTTGCTCATTCAGAGCGGAAAACATATTAAGCAAATTATTTACCCGAGGAAGCCGAGTATGATGTAGAAATCTGAATAATGCCCGAAGGCGGGACGCCAGCAGCAAATTTGCAAAATTCAATCAGAACAATTGCAGACAGAATGATTTGATCAAATGTCACCAGTGTATGTAGTTTCATAGTTGATTTAATTATCGGGAAATAGAAAATGGACAAAAGTGTGAGTGAACCGGTTATGTGGAATTGAATGTGGTTTTAAAATGGGTGGATAAAATCAGAGGATATGGTAGAATTTTGGTAAATAATAAATTGTTCATGTCTTAAGAACTTGACACTTACGGAGAACTGACGGACCAAATTAGAGCATGGATTGTATTGCATAGAGCGAGGATGAACTGTCTGTGATGAACTTTGACATTTTAATAATCTGCATATGATTCGACTTATAAATGTTTAATAATGAACACTTTATGATAAGGTGTATACATATAAATTCATATATATGTATAGTTGTGATTCATGGGGTACATATTCAAGACAGTTAAAAAGGGGCAGCATACACTGATTGTTGCGTTCGAGATGGATTCGTACATATTTGGTAATAGTCCATACGAGTAGATGGACACTTTTCCTGGTAATAATTACTCTGAGAGTAGAGCTTCAAATTGCAATGTGTGACACAAAGTCAATAAATCTCATTTCTGAGCACTTTATGTCTGTTTTCAAAAGTCATACATGCATGAATGTATTCCAGTAAAATTCTTCATATATTTGACTATTCTGTATTAAATTATAGCAATATATAAATATACGATTATGATTGGCATAGTCTGATGTATGCATGTAGATATATATGTGTAGCACGTATCCAATAGCACCTGCACTGACAAATTATCTTCTTCAACACGTTGATAATTTGTTATTTGACAAATTAAACGGTTGCTTGATAGTTTCCGAATCTCAAAATGTTCGATGACTTGTGTGACTAATGCCTTGAATATGGTTAGTATAAGTTCAATAAAAGGTCAAAATTTATGCATTTTGCTGGATTACCACTGGTCAACCTTACCAATTTACATGAATGTGTGCATACCTACATAGATATACACATATACATATATACATGCATATGTACTATGTACATGTGTTGTGTAAATTACCTCAACTCATCCGTCCAAATTCCACCCTAAGCATGTTCAATCCTATAAAAAACGTATATTTAAATGTATGTTGTATATATATTGAGGAGCTGAAGATCAGTTATGGATCATTAAGACGAAGAGTAATAGTTTCTATTTATTAAAACGTTGACTTTAGCACTCAAATTATGATTACAGTTTTGTAATGCTTTATCTGCATATGTACACTACTTGTTGTAAATCTTTCATTCGTTAACTCAAGATTACACAAGGTTTGGTCAAATTTTATTATTATTGAAGTATTGTTATGCTCTCCACCTGTCGCGTATTAAATATTCGTTTAGGTTCATGGCCAGGACATGTCAATGAACAAATATACTTATTGAATGGACCAAAAAAGATAAGATGACTATCTTTGGAAATTTAAAACCAAATTTTCGCATCCCATTTTGAATCATCTAGTAGATGTTTAAAGACAGTTCTGTAGCTATCGAAATAATTCAACAACCTTAAATTATGGCCTAACTACATAGACATCAAGTCCTCCTTAATTACATACGGAGTAAATTATTTTATTATATGAGGAAGTAAACATCCTATATATGCAAATATTTGACCATATCATGGATAAAACTCCAATAAAACATCTGTACATAGACACATAGAATCTAGTTATAATCAGGATGCTCCCACAGGTAGTTTTTAATTTACATGCAGCACCAATACCTGTGCATTTTTAAGTACAACAGTCTGTCACGTCAATAATGCGGAATCTTCTAGTTATGTAGGTAGATATGCAATCTATGCATGAAATACCACAATATGTTGTGAATATATCTGCCCAAAAATGCTATATGACGTCCTTTTTACTCATTTCCCTTGAACAGAGTGCAAAATCAAGGCCCACTTCTTCTTCTTCTAGTCTTACACTTAAATACTAATAAGCAATGAACAGAATCGCGTTTCATAACAAGTAGCCGTTTATGCATCCTCATCATGATAACAACACGACCACGACCACTGATTCCTGGAATTAATAAGCCGAGTAACTACATATTAGCCATTATAGCTTGGGTGCTATTGAGTATTGAACCTTTGCTGTAAAAAGTGTATGCAAAATGCAAATATGAAAATTATAGGTGGTTAGGCTAGCATGATGTGGACCTGGTTTGATTAACACGGCATTTACACGTGTATGAAATTTATAATCCGAGTTTATCGCTGGTTCCCACAAGCAGCAAAGTTGAAACATCAGCAAATTCGTCTTATACTGAGGGTAGTCCACATCCGTGAAAACGTTTTTGACCTTCAATATCTTTGGCGCTAGTAGAAATTTTGAATTGAAATTTTTACAATTTGTTCACCTTATAGTCAGCATTATGGGTGCAAAATTTCAATTCGCTAGTCCAAATGGCGCCAGAGATATTTGCATACGAAAAAATAGTGATGTTCTAAAACTGCCCAAAACTGCATAAATTTTACGTTTCAGAATATTTTTAAAACCTTCTAGAATTGTGAATTGTTTATGGAATTTTATGTGGGTGGTATGAAAATTTTTGGCATCTATGTGGCCTTCATAAATAACTCGAAATTTCCCACTTTTTTTAATTCATTTCATACCAGGTGGATTTGTACGAAAAAAGCGTGAATAAAGTTTGTTTTTGTGTTAAATGGAATGTTATTAATCACAATAGCTGAAATATTTTCATGTTTGTTATTTTAGCAGTTAATGGAGACATTACTGATGGTAATGCAAACAGATTTTGGACTACAAATGTTTAATTTCGTGTAATGGAGGTACTTAGGAAAAATTAGCGAAATTTTGACAAATTGGGGGCTGTTATAACTCTTACTCTGAAACTCTACCCAGCTATTTTTTTATCAAAATTTAAACTGCATTGTGTACTACAGACATGGGCTCACACAATTTGCTATTTCCTGGCATTTCTAGCCTATCAGCAACTGCTCCATGTCTTCTAACCGGGTAATTTATGTCTGAAACAAAAAAAACATCATTGTTTTACTGTGGGGTTAGTTGAAGGTCTGCTTTTTACACTAGAGAATTGAAATTTTGCACCCATAATGCTGACTATAAGGTGAACAAATTGTAAAAATTTCAATTCAAAATTTATACTAGCGCCAAAGATATTAAAGGTCAAAAACGTTTTCACGGATGTGGACTACCCTCAGTAATGCCTGCATTTATGTAATGCTACATAAACATGTACATATGTTATAAATGTCGGGCAATAATTCTCCAGCAAACTATTTAGTCTCACACGATTCGATTTATTTCAAGATAATATTCACTCGATATACATGCATAAAGACATAAAGTAATATTTTAAAGAGTGAAATCTGAAGAAAAACTGATGCTCTCGTTTACTCGAATAATCTTGTTTCTATCCAACTATTTATCGGCTGGCTAACTTTTAATTGACATTGACCATGCACAACCATTCCATGCATTCTATGCAGAATCAAGGTTGCGTTTACTCAGTAAGTAACAAACAACTGAGGAGGACTCAATCAAGTGGTCAACATAGCACTGCTTACGATTGGTCTGGGACACTTTTAAGAGGAAGTAACAAAGGAAATGATGAAAGGTGCTAGTCCATATTATTTCTGACCAGGCGATCATAGCAGATTCAGACATTCTCAGACGCGAGGTTAGCATGGACAGTGACTAGCTACATACCTAAATACTTACATATATTTATTTATTTACATAATGTGTGACTGACCAGAAGATGTTTTGTATATTTATTTATTTTGTTTTACCAAAACCTTGTGCCATAAATATAAATATGCATAATTAGTTCATAAGTGATCTAAGTTTGGCAAGAATTTAAAACCGGAAATAATCATGGGTCTCATTATGGAAACCGTAGTATCGGCGCTGCTGTGCTTCGTCACCATAATTCCCCTCGTTCTCATCCTACTCGTCAACCAAGTCGTGCGCTTCCTCGTCGCGCTAAGTCTCCGTCTTATCCATGGTTCCAGTATTGTTCTCAGTGATCACGGATATGACAACATTTACATGCACAAAGGGTACAATCACCCCCACGGGCGACGCACAGTTCTTTACCTCGCAGTTCTGACTCCTGGAAAAAATAAACTATTTGACATTGCACAACATCGGAGAAACTATGAGAAACATGTTTTGAACAGAGAAGAGTTTTCTAAACTGACAAAGGTGTGGGTAACCAAATTTGGCTACACGTGCCTTCAAAGGGATGCCAACTTTGATGTGGAAAATCATGTCAGGATGTACGAGGAGCAAGGCGGAAAAGTAACCGAGACCGACCTCATGGAAACGCTACTTCCTGAGCTATGCAAAGATATGGAGGATGATCATCCCCAATGGGAGGACGTCATTGTACCAAATTTTGTTTATGAGTACGCAGAGATTCAAAATAAATACTTCCATCGTTCAATATCCAGCATGTGAATAATGATAATTATTTCCCCACATTTTTCAGCAACGACCCCATAGTTCCCCGGATTTTGAGGATTATTCGGATCCATCACGGCTATATGGACGGTATTTCGAACCTCTTAATGCTTGCTGAAACCCAGAGTGGCGACTCGGTTCATAATTTTCCTTGGGTTATCAATCCACTTGAACCACGCCAAAAAACAATTGGATTCTGGTTTCGGCTCTTTTGCCTCATACACTTGCCACTCGTCGCAATGAAGCATCTTATGTGTGGCATCTGGCCAAGGACAACGAAGAACGCAAGTTGGATACCAGACTCTTTTACTGGACATACTTTACACGGATGGTCAGAACCGCTGGACATTAAACTGCTTGGAGATATCAAATCTGCCAGCGATTGTTCAATGCCAGCCATCCTCACAACAGTACTGTTGAACGCGTTGGGGCGATTTCAGGACGAGTTTGGACAACGTAATGACTCTGATGAAATTTTGCTGGGGTAAATCAATGAGTGGATTATTTTACATAAACATACGCATATTTTCTTATGTTATTATTAAAATTACTATTCTACTTAAATTGAACTTTGTTTTCATAGCCTCGTTTCTGCCTTGCTTCCCTATCCCTCAGTTCACCTTCGTAACAAGCACGGCATCCTCCGCTGCGAGTTGGATGCTGGTCGGAGGGACCTACCCAGGCGTGCCCGACTTTGGAACATTAATCAAAAGCTGAAGAAAATTAGCCAGTCTCCGGAAACTTGGTTGAATCACGTGCTTCCTTCCTTATGTGGTCATCTTCCTAATAGAATCGCCGATATGGGAACTTCCCTCATAAGTGGGGACGGCGTAATCTCAAACTTTCCTGCAACTCGAGAATCCATTAAATTGTGGGGTAGTCAAGTTGAAGAAATGGCCGGGTGGGTCCCACTGCTCACTAGAGCTGGTAATACGTACATGCATGCTTAAAGTTTTTTACCCGTGCTTAAATTAAATCTGGGTGTACTTTGTATTCATTTTTGCAGGCTTCGGTTGCGTGACACTGCGCTACGGGGATAAGTTGAGGTTTTGTCTTAATACAGACGAAGCAGCAATTAACAGGAAAGAGCTGGAATGGCTTTTAAAAGTTATAGTCGAAGAGGCGAAGGCGCTTTCGTCCGATTTTTCTTCTGCGTCGCGAAGCTCTTCGTCAGGATCTAAAGGAAGTTTAGTGGGGAGATTTCTCGTGTTTCCAGTGGATCAAGTTTGTGAAAATACTACTGACGACACAACCAACAATAACAATCCCGACAATATCGACCAAGGAGTAGTTGAGATGAAGAGTGAGCCTAGTAGAGAAGAGCGAATTTCCAGAGCGATGAGGATATTGATGTCCACCATGAATAAGTTAAAACGAGCTTAATTGATAAATAATGTCAATATAAAGTTTTATCTTAGAATAAAACGTATTTATTTTGTTTTCTTTTAAATACACCAACTTGGTAGCACAAAGTTATTGTTCACAATATAATATGAATGCATAAGGACATATCCAATTGCATCTCGTAAATTTTGATATTCAGAATGACTATAATTTAGCAAAATTAAACCACACCATCAGCTTTTGCCAGCGAGTAGAAAATTGAGTTCTCATCTTTTAATAGGGTTTCGGGTTTATCAAGTTCGGCAATTTGTCCATCTTTAAGTACCATTACCCTGAGTGTTAAGAAAACATACATATTATTTTACTTCCTCGGCAATTAGGTACATATTTATGTAGGATGCAATTACCTGTCATAATCCATAATAGTGTTTAGTCTATGAGCAATGCATAATACAGTTGCATCCTGAAACTCTGTCCGTATAGTTTTCTGTATCAACAAATCCGTTTCTAAATCCACAGAGGCAGTCGCTTCTATTTTTACCAAGTAAATTATTAAAGTACTGACATCATCAAGCCGTAAGAGCGTGTAAGAAATATGTGATATAAATAATACGCATGAGTATTTATGTGCATGGCTCACCATCCAACAAAAGAATCTGGTTTTTTCGCAACAATGCCCGTGCGAGGCATATTAATTGTTTTTGCCCCATGCTCAAGTTGTCGCCGCCTTCACTAACTTTGTGCAAAAGTCCGTCTGGGCACTGGGTTATCACAAACTCTTTCAAATGTGCCAATTCTAGTACACGCCAAATCTCAGCGTCCTCATATTTCGAAAATGGATCCATGTTCATCCGAAGTGTACCAGAGAAAAGGACGGGATCTTGAGGAATGATTGTGATCCGTCCACGAATGTCATGAAGGGCAAGTTTAGATATGTCCAAGCCGTCAATAATTATAGAATTCTGATCAACGGGTTCAATAATTCGTAATAAAACCAGCATTAGTGTGCTTTTGCCTGACCCAGTTCTCGATGTACATCCAATCTAATTAAATTGGTCAAAATCATACATTGTAAATAATCTTATTGATATTTGTTTAGATGGAACTTTTAATCTACCTTTTCGCCAGGTAAAATTTCACAGCTCAAGTTCCTCAGGACCAAATCCAACCCTGGACGATATCTTGCTTGGCAATTTTTAAAACTGATTGCACCTTTATCAGGCCAATCCTTGGGTGGTTTTTGTTCGCCAATAATCCAATCGGCTTCCTGTTCAGTTTCTGAAAATTCTATAATCCTCTCTGCAGAAATAGCATCCGTTTCTATTGCAGATATCATCCGGACCATCCAATTTAACGTGCTAGTCACTTGCATAGCGTAACAAATCGACAATCCAACAGTTCCAGGATCTAGTTTATCTCTATTAATGACGGCAAGCACCCCTGCCAAAAATACCATGATATTCGAAACTGCTTCGAGGCGAACGGCAAGCCACCTGGAAACGAAATCCAAAAGTTTATACTTCATTCTTTAAAGTCATGCAATTTTTATACTTAAAGTATAAGCTATTTTACTCGCCGATTTCCGACTATTGCCGGGTAGTAGCATTTTTGATGAAAATCTATCCTGTTATCTGATGCGCGTACGAATCTGTCCTCGGCTCCATAGCCTCGTATAGTTGCTGTCCCTGATAAAGTTTCGCTAAATTGTGAAAATATTGGAGACATTGAAATTGATTCCATCCGCTTCAGTTGCCCCTTTGACGCCACGTAAAATTTAGTTATGTAGCAGTAAATTATTGATAGGACGAATATAGCTAAGAGAAAAGCCGGCATGTTGATTGAGATTATTATAACGGTGGCTACAAGGGAGAATAACTTTGGGATGAGTGAGCGAAGATGAACACCGAGATTAAAATCCACATTGTCGAGATCCTTAGCAAATCTATTAACGATTCTTCCCACTGGGGTCGTTTCAAAAAACGACATGGGAGCTCTCATAATGCGAGAAAGCATTCTTTGGTGAAGGATTGAGGAAGCATTTAATATAGCAAGAGACATACAAACAGTCCCAATCATGATGGTGGTTGCTGTAATAAAAATACTTATTAGCTTTGTTACCAAATTTTACCCAATTGTACAATATATGCATGCAGCTAAATATGTATAGAACTTACCTTGACCTAAGCCAAATAGACCGTAGACACTGAGGTACATCAAATTGTTATTATTGTTCTCCGTGGAATCGTGGTCAGTGGTGGAGTTGCTGGGATTTTTGTGGTTATCATCATCATCAGCCCATTTTGCTAACCAAATGCTGGATCCCATTTGTAATGCTTGGAAGAAAGCATTAAAAACTAACGCCATAATCGCAGTCACTATTCCCATGGATTTTATAAAATTCAAGTACACGTCGCGTTGAACAGTTCCGACCTCCATTTTCTCAGATTTTATCAGACGTTGCTGTTCCGGGATAGGAAGTGGAGGTGCCTCATCGTCGATGTAAACATCGTCAGTATTATCATTATCTGAAATGAGTTCCAAAGCATGAAGGGAAATTGCAGAAGATGCAGAAAGAGAACTGCTTATGCGTCGTTTTATGGGTGTGGTGGTGGAGCGCTTTGTGGGAGAGTGTGATCTTTGACTTGCACTTTCTGATATTTGGCGTGGTAGACTATGTACAAGAACAGTACTTTTTGGTACATGTTCTTCCTCTTCTTCTGTTTCTTGACTGTATTGGTTCAAAAAATCGGAAAATGCAGCCTATGCACAAATCAATTCATGTTAAATTTATGGCTTAAAGTACAAATGTATAATTGTAATGTGTATCGTCTTACACCACTTTCCAGTAGCGCATCATACGTCCCCTCTTCACTTATTTCGCCATCCTTCATTACTACAATGTTGTCAATGTGTTTTAAGTACTTGAGACTATGAGTTACGAGAAGTCTTGTGGTATGTTTTAATAATCCATTCGGACCGAGGACTTTATCAAAGAGATGCTTTGATACATGAGCGTCTACTGAGCTTAAGGGATCATCTAACAGTATCAGGTCCGACTTGCTGTAAACTGCACGAGCTATAGAAACCTGGAAGTTAACAAAAATATTCTTATACAAAATTCAATTTATTAAAAAAAATATTAGCTTTACCCTCTGCTTCTGGCCGCCGCTCAACGTAACGCCTTTTTCCCCAATTTCTGTACGATCCCCCGCAGGTAACATGTCAATATCCGGCTGGAGTGCACATGCCTCAATAACTTTTTGATATGTCTCCTCATGGAACTCTTCTCCGAATAAAATGTTGTCCCGTAGTGAGCAATTTTGAATCCATGCCTGCTGAGCGACATATGCAACTTTTCCCTAAAATTTGAGTAAGTATCTTATTACAAATAGACCAAATTTATAAATCTCTTTTTCTAGCTGGTATGTAAGCCTTTCTTACATGTCTCATAACTCTTCCAGATGTTTTAAACATCTCACCAAGTATGGCCGCCAAAAGAGATGACTTTCCAGTGCCAACAGTACCAACAATTCCTAATATTGAACCCTGTTTAACATTTAAGTTGATGTTTTTAAGCCGAAATGCATCCTCGCTCGGATCCCAGGAAAAGTCTGCATTCTGTATTGAAATTGCCAAATTACAAGTAGAATTCTTTTCTGGTTTTTGTTCAATTGCATCTGCATCACGTTCTTCGGCATTGAGGAATCTGTTTATTCTCTTCACTGCAACACTCGCCTCAATTAAGGACACTATCGTTACTGGCTGCAAATTATTCAATGAATATTATGCATTAATTTTGTAGATAGAAAAATATATTAATTTTGTAGTATGAATTACAAAGTTGTTGAGAGGTTCCTTCATAATGTTAAACAGTGCGAGAGATACGAAAGCCTTTTCTGCGTCTAGGACATTGTTCTCATCGACGAGAACGAACATTCCAAACGTGACAAGGGAAACGAAAAATGGGGCACACGTTCCAACTAATATCTTCGCTGCATTTAAATACGCAGCCCTTTTCAGTAACTTGAGTTCCTTTCGGCGGACGTCCATCACCTCGTTTTCAAACGGAGGTTCAAAAGCATATAACTTCAGCACCTGAAAAAAGTAAAGCTTTTTCTTAGTGATTTGTAGATGCAATTTTAAAAGTTATGAGAATAATTTGCTCAACAAAATGAGACAATTTTATACGGCATTGAAAGATATTGAGTATTAGCAGAAACTGCAATCAAAAATAAAGAAAGTTACCTTAATTCCTGCTAAAATTTCACTCATCAACTTCACCCGTTGGTCCTGGTTATGTATGAAATTATGTTATTATCTTATTACCGAAATTTGCCGAAATTTACCGAAATTACCTTATGCTTCATCTGTTTTGCTTGCAGATTCCTCACAAATTTACCAAGCAATCCATTGACGGAGATCAGAAGAATCATTACAAATACTCCAGCGAGGACACTGTGACCCAAAATATTCCACAACAGATACATTGACACAAAAATTTTTAACGGAGCACTCCAAAGTTCGTTTAAAAATGCTAACGCATTAAGCAACTTGAGCGCATCAACGCTCATTAAGTTGACAATTTCTCCCACACTTGAATTCTTCCTTGCAATACTTGAAATTCGGAGAGCTTTGCGATAAATGGCAGACATCAGCATTGTCTAATCAAAAATTTATTTGATTTAAAGGGTTAAATTGTGTGCTTTTTAATTTATTTTTTTGGGGTTACTGGAAGAATTAGTAAAATAGCAATTCATCTATTCACCTTCATCCTCATGTACAGTAATAAATTGACTTGCATAAACTGAGTTATAAATACAGTTTGTAGGGTGGATGAGAGGAGGAGAACTGTAACGAAAAAGTAGCCTTTCCATGTTTCCATGTCTTTGGTTTTTGTGAAGGAGATGAGCAACCTTAATAATAAGATATAAAATATGAAGATTTGGCACGATGAATGATTTAATTATATTTTTTTTACAAACTTTAGAATTTCTGGCGATGCAAACCCTAGCATATCACCTCCGAATTGAAAGAGTGTTCCCAGTAGAAATGTTTGGCCAAGAGCTTTAAGCGGTGAAAAGAATGCATTTCCTTTCAGACTTCTTCCATCTGGAGCTTTGCTATTTTTGTATTAATTCGAACCAATTAGAGGAATTATGCTTTGATGATGTTAATAGAAAAATATCCATCGTTAAATTACCATTTTCCATCTTTAGGTCCAAGCCAATTTTTATAGAATTTAGGAACTTGATGATCACATGTTTCCCTTTCGTTCAAATCCCAGAGGTCTGATATTTCCAGTGGTCTCTTGTATCCTATCCAAGCCAGCTCTTCATACCAGTAAAATAACAATTTTGATAGAAATGAAGCTGTCTGATCGGGGCATGGCTATTAAAATAAAATATTTAGTAATTATAGCTTCAGTAATTCTTATCATTTCAGAATTTAACGAGTACTTTTGCATTATTCTTGGAGGTCCTTGAAATGGGTACATTATCAGCCCAACAATTAATTACGAAAGTTAGCACGACCAGTGGAAATTGGAAAATGTTAACGACTCGTGTCATTTCATGAACCTGAAATACGTAGTTCAAATTTTAAAAACAACCACAATTTCAAGAAATCATTTTTGTCAATTACATTATTTTGTTCATTTCGTAAAGCTGATTGGAATATTAAGATATCGCAGCAGAGTAAAAGTAGCCAGTATATAAACATTCCACCAGAAGATGTGACACCGGTTATTTTGTGATGGACAATCAGTATTAGAGCGAATATCTTAAAAAAATGCAATCTTTTGTTATATTCATAGTAAATAATGATTTCAAAATTATTTTCATAAAGACTTACATAACCCAAAATCCGAATAAATACTGCAACCCAATTCGCATCAGAGGCACGATGCAAAGAAGCATCTTCATAATTGAGCTGGACAAGATTGATCAAATGCATAAGAACTAATCCACAGCATAGACTCGTTTTTCCAACAAATAATCGGGTAACGATTAAACGCTTTGTTAAATGTGAATTGTGACATTTTCTCAGTTTTGAAGATTTGGTCATCAACAATGGCTTCCTCCAACAATTCATCCAGTTATTGCACAAGTTGAATCCAACCAATCCCAACAATAATACAAAAGGAATCCAGATCAACACAGTTTGTTGGAAGCATGAAGATAAATCAGGCCGAGTTGTGTTCCATGTTAAATTATCATCCTGACAAAAAATATATTTTAACCACGGTGCTACTGATACTGGACAGACAATTACAATTAGGACGCCTGATAATTAATACCCAAAATGTCGAGTTACAAAAGTTTTCCATTGTTCAAAATTTATACGCCGGCAGTGTGCTTCATTCTTTGAGTTACGTGATCTGTAATTTATTTGGATTCATAAGTACATAATGTATAATGAATTTAATAGCTTTTTATTAGCAATCCTAGCCTTTACCTCTTGTAGAAAATTTTCGGTTTTTTGCCACAGATTGACACTGATTGTCAATGTCTCACTTGGCAGGTGGTGTTGGGAAGAATAAGACGAAATCATGTCGACATTAGCATAAGTATGAAAAATTTGTTGCAAAACGTCATATGGAGCAGTGAACTGTAAGGTTGCCACTAGTTATAAACACACATGTATAAGCATATAAAAGCATCCCGGGTTACGGCAATATATTTGCAAGGTCTTCACTGTCATTGCTGAGATACAACGGCATACATAACCTACGAAACGAAAACGATTTGTGGTCCAGTTTATTATTTTGCATGCGTATTAAGTTTCGCTTGAAGAGTGAATTGCATACAAAAGAAGCATTCAGGTGCTGGGGGATAAATTTTACGGATATGACGAGCGACGATTATCTGCAAATTCTTCAAAACAACTCTTCACCGTCCTTCGCACTCCACAATAAAATGGGAAATTATGTACGTAAATAGTTATGGTCAACGTGTTACTTTCGTATGTTGTCAATCAAAGCCATTCACACGTACAATTTGAAATTTAGTGCATATTGCATGTGTGGGCAGTAGTTTTGCTTGATCAGATATGTTGACAATGCAATGACGCAAGTATGACAAGAGAAAACACCACCATTTATAAATTTGCTACCTCATGGACATAATTTGCATTAGATTTTAATCAAATTTAGTATTATTATGTTCCATTAAATTTTAATCTCCTCACACGCGCATGCAATACCCAGTGTGATTGAAACAATCGAAAAGTTGCATCTCAAACATTAATAACATTTTTGCTGTTCTTGAATGTATTCCATTTGCTGAAAGAATTCTGCTAGTCGATTGCATATTGAATGCATCTGCATACAATTTTGGATCTTTTACTATATCAATGCGAGATGTGTATGAATTATCAAGTGATCAATTATAATGGTCGTCGATTAAATGTGTAGCCAAGGCAAACGGGTCTCATCTTCCCAATCCCAGCGAAATACTTGCATCATAATTCGCTAATTCGCTCTCTCTTTCTCGACATAATAAATATGTATATGAAGACGCAATTCTAATTTAGTTACTTCTATCAAGAAGCAGAGATCATCCTATCTTTTCGTCTACACAAATATCTTTATCCGACTTTCTCGTAATCAAACTTCCAATTTTGAAAATCTTTTAGACAACTGGAATAATCATGAACCCCAAAATCGTAAGCTGTTTATATTTTAGTTGCATACTACAATTTAACATAAAAAATGAATATACAAGCATAATTTTCACACAGGTATTGCTTCTCGTTGTTTTAATCGCATTTGTTTGTGGAGCCCCTCAAGAAAAGCGAGGGAGGTATTTCGAAAAGGCGGAGAGCGGAGACTACAGATACGGGTATGGGACGAGGAACGGTGATAACGTCGAACAGGAAGCTACGATCAAACTTGGTCCCGTTTTGGAAGATGGAACGCAAAACATGATCCCGGTTGTTCGAGGGTCATACTCGTTTGTGGATAATTTCGGTAATTTTATTTAATATTTTATTTTCTGGAATGGAATGTGGATCAGGTTGGTGATATTTAAGAATATATGGACATATTCACGTATTTATATTTCAGGGAAAAAGCATGAAGTGCGATATGAAGCCGATGAAAATGGGTTCCGCGTTTTGGAGTGAAGTATTTTCATGCGATTTAAATAATTACCCATTCTGAGAAGGGCCATATTTTTGAAATCAGTTCTTGTTTATTATGAATTATAAAATGGTTTTATTGTTATAAGGGTTGTGACTTGTGGCTGATATTTGTACTCTGATCCTAATAAATAAATGGTTCTTATACTTGTATGCATACATGCATATGCACTTGTAAAGTGGACTGTTTTCAAGAAATCATAACATCAATGCAATAACACAATTTCCCAACCTTTTGACTAAAAAGTATTTTTAATTTAATCATCAGTAGGATACATAGCTATGTACATAAATATGTAAGTGTCATAAATTATGAGCACCTGTTGGTTTAAATTCTTAAATTGGGGTTTCCCTGACCAGCATCACTTACCTGTTATTTTATACACTCACGGAAGGAATTCCATTCAAATAAATTCAAATCAGACGAATCAGAGGCTATTACAGATCTGTATTAAGATGAATTAAGATGAATTAAATAGTTCTATATACTCCATGAATTGAAATTTTCGACTATTTCGTATGAAATAATTCCTAAAATTAATTATTGACAATGGTCGCCAGAATAAGCGACATTTCATTAATAGATTCTATATAGATTCTACACCATTTGTGCTCTTATTACTAATCATAAGCATACATATATATACTAAAAAACCTTTTATCTAGGAAAGGATTAAAAGAAAGGTTGGGTTTTCCTAAGTTTGTGTTTTTTAGAATTTTATTTTTACCTTTTTTAGTGGGCTTTTCACACATTCATTAAAAATGCACCTGCCAATGGCAAATTGTCATACTCATACCAAAGGGCGCTTTCGCTGGTGGTGACAAATTTGTCGTTGAATAACCCCGGAATGGTTTGTCGTAGCGGGTCAAAATTTTGAACCGACGAGCATGTTATTCTCAGATAGTTGTGGGCAAAAATTCAACTCCCTACTTTCAAAAATGCCTCCCCCACAGCCCCCAGAAGTTGAGACACTCATTCCAACTCTTTCCAAACTCCGTCTAAAAAATTCGGTCTCCGCAGAAAAGATTTTCTTTTCAAGTATCCGAACCCAAACAAGTCCATTTGACTTACATCAGGGGATTATACAGGTATTTCACTATTCGAAATGATTTTTATCCCCAATCTAGCTTCAAGGTCCTTTGCATAAGCTTGGGTCAACTTTTCCGTCTGGGAAGACGCTGAGTCATTATGAAAAATCACCTTATTTATTTTTTTACCGTACAATTTAGGAAAGTGCTATTCTAAAAGTAGTTTCAATACACGGTCCACATCATACTTTGCAGATATCTTCACTTTTTGAGGGACTTTGATAAGTGGGAGGATACCAGGACCCGACATTGCACCCACCAGCAAAACTGTTATAAAAAGTTCTCCTTACGCGGAAGCACCAACTTGCGTGAATTGTTTTCGGCATTTGTCGTGTAGTAAGCTCTTGGAACCCAATTAGTAAATTGTAGAGAAATTAGTGCTTCGTCAAATGTCACCAATAACTCACTGTGATTCCTTGACCGAAAATTCAAATAATTTTATTTGTAAACACAGGCGCGATTTTTTTCCTGTTTTTTTGGTCAGCTGATGCACACGAGTTTTCCGACCAAGTCGTTTTTTCAAAATCGTAATTTCTCGTTCCACTGAACGCTTAGAGACCCCAACCTTACGGGAAATTTCCTTTTGGGTCGGTGGATTATCTTTTGAGGTCAATAGGTCAATTTTCCTCAACACGGTCGGAATTGACACTTTTTTTGCCTTCTTCTAGGGGGTGGTGGTTGCCCTCTACTCAGAATTTCTCGCTTTTCACCTATATTTTTCAATACCTTATTGATTCCAGATTTCCAAACCGTTTTCCCTTCAATTTTAAGATGTTTTGTTATTCGGCTGTACGAGTATTTAAGTTTGGAAACAGTTTTTATGTGTGTCTCAATTTCTGGGGGCTGTGGGGGAGGCATTGTTGAAAGTAGGGAGTTGAATTTTTGCACACAACTATCTGAGGATAACATGCTCCTCTGTTAAAAATTTTGACCCGCTACGACAAAACGTTCCGGGGTTATTCAACGACAAATTTGTCACCACCAGGAAAAGCGCCCTTTGGTAGTACACTAACGTGAACTTCGAAGGGTAGTTTGGAATTTCCTGGTTTAATCCAGTGAGGACTGGAAGACTACAGGTCCGCAGTACTAAATTGCATTATTACAAAATATATCTGTCCTTTCTCTCTGTTGTATGGTCCGTCGTGTATAAAAGGGCAGAGAAACCACGCCACATTTCACAGTCACTTTTGATACCACAAGTAACAAGCACCTCAAATTATCTCCCTTGCAAATTTACAAGACTCCACAAATCCTTTGAAATGGAATCCAGAACAAATAGTTATCTTTCGTTGATCTTGTTGGTTGCCTTGATTGCTTCCATTGGGGTTGCAATGCCAACTTCTGAAATTACATCTGCTAACGGTGAGTTTGTTGTAAAAAAATCTACGGAAATTTAAAATAGAGATCAAGCTGGAGTCTCCGATCATACAAATACATTGAATTATTTTTAACGATATTATTAAATTTTTTCAGTTGGCACTGATTACTCAATAAAGACTTCCCCCATCATGTCGCGGAGAGCAAGACAATACTACCCGTATGGTGGTTATGGGGGTAAGATTTTTTCCTTGTCTTCTCACTCTGTGATTTACATGTGAGAATATTTTAATTGGTTATTTAATAAACGCTTCCTAATTTTAGGATACGGAGGTTATCCAGGAGGATACTACCCGGGTGGTGGATTGGGATTCGGACAGAGTCAATCCAGTGCAGCCGCGAGTGCTAGTGCTAGTTCCGGAAGTACTGGATTTGGTGGATTTGGGTGAGTTGGTCGAATAATCTTTTCTAGCTATTAATCGCGTATTTCACTTACTGACTTACTTAAATATGCAAATTCAATTATTTTATTGCAGATACGGAAAGTAATTCAACAATGCAAATCCGTTCGTTTTCGTCTCCGGATTTTAATTAGTCAATAATTAATGTTATTTATTTAAACTCATCTTTACTGATTTGTACAACTAATTTACAAATTTTGTTGAATAATCTTAAACAATTATATCGACATTTGGCATATGCCTTGTAATTAATAAAATTTCCTTTCCATATAATTTCGTCCCGTCTTTTGGAAGGGTAGATTAATTTCATTTTACGTTTGCATATGTATTTGTACACATTTAAATACTGTTAATTTACTCGTTTAACCTATAAAATTTTGATCATGATAGGTTCATGAATGTTCGCATAATTTCTCGGCTAAAAATTATTCATGGGTAAGATCCAGCATAATTAAAGCTTACTCTTTTTGATGTTGAAGTATAACCAGAATTCTGCAGAAAAAGATACATTATTGGTAGTGTTGCATCGTATTTTTGTAATGAATTTCTCGAAACATACGTGACGGACATGATCGCATATTTTATTGAAATTACATATTTTTAGTTCCCTCTACGTAAAAACGGAACTACTTATTTGTGTGTATGTATCTTCACAAAATTGACTGATGTGCTGTTTTGGAGGTGGAAGAAAGGGTGGAAGAGCTTACTCGTAGCATTAATGGAAAGCATTGGCGATTGTGCTATAATATCTTGTACATATTTAGTATCTATAATTTCATCATGGAACTACTCACCACAAATTGTCCCATAATCAAACTAGATTCCCATAACACTGCAATTTCGGCACATAGGTACACAGTCCTGCATTAATTTTTGCAAATCCATTGCTATTCCATAGTATTCCATACTCGTCTCATACATCAAACTCACAATCAAACGTGAACGTGTATTTCTGTGCGTTAAACTATTATTTTGTCAGGAGATTTCATTATGAAATTTCAATGAGTTTAAACACATTATGTTCAACAAAAGTCAAAAGTAAATGGCATATTTTTCAAATACAATTCATCCATTCATTCACTGTACTGCTAAAAAATCAACTGGCTATATTATATGTACATATTTACCATGCATGATTAAGTATTCGTGTTCTTGTGTTTAACCAATGTCAAGAGAGGATTAAAAAATAAAATCTCTATATACCAAAGTCATAATCACGATATATGTGTAAACTAAACATACTTTACTTACGTCACTCTCAATACATACTTAATAGTAAATATTTTGCATTATGAAGTTCTTACATACATATGCACGTGGCCATAGTAAGCGTGCAACTCTACCACCATCGCAAATACGGCCAGGTGCTGTATTGTAATTTTGCATGCACACATTTTATAGAAATATTTCTATTAGTGAAGATGATTTAATAGATTGCCTACATACTTACTTACGGTGCGCATTATAACAACTGAACACGACGATGGTATGCATTCATGGTCAAAAAACAACAACAAATTCGTGCTTTTTGTCTCCTTTATTAGTCCTTGATGAATGAATAATGTAAGTATATTCCACCATCCATAAGTATTTATGTTATCCGTCACAGCGAAAATGTGAGCTAGAGTACGTAATTTTATGATAGTATTCTCATCACCTTCCCTCTCACTTTATTTGCTCATTTATTAATTGGCAAGCATTCCGTGAACAATACCAATATATTTATTGGTAAGTGCGTCGCATTGAAATGGGATTCAGTGTATTTGTCTTAACGTGGGATATCGAGGGCAAAGTTCCACGAGGTGAACTAAAAGAACTATTGCTTAGGAACCCAGCCCCCGATATTTACGCAATCGGATTACAAGAATTGGAACAGAAGCAGAATGATAGATTCTCGTACAGCAGGCACAATGAAAAGAAGGATGACAAGGCATTGGAATGGGAGTAAGAACAATAAACGGAGATATTCTAGAAAATTAAGAAATTGTTGAGAGAGTGAGACTAATTTATTTTATTCCATAATTCAGACAATGCTTGGAAAATACTTTGCCAGGTTATGTAAGATTGACCACGGCAAAATTGGATGGCACAATTCTCTTCATTTATATTCAGCAAAGCTTAACCGCTGTTGTAGAGAATTTGGAATTAAAATCGTGTGGACCGTATTCGAGAGGGGATAAAGTATGTCAAGTTTTAAACTAAAATAAGTATATGCAAGTGAATATATACATAAATTATGATTTTAAAGGGACCAATAGGTGCAATTGCAGCACGATTTGAGATGGGTGGAGTGTCATTTTGCTTCACAAACTGTCACTTGTCCGCACAAAGTGAAACACTGGAGGAACGAAATCGAGAATTTTATTTGATTTGGGACATTCTCAAATTCCCCAATGGTCGTTGCATTTATGACCACGAGTAAGTTAACGTGCACAAATTTATGTAGCTATTTAGTAAATGATAGAACGTTAATATTTCTCTAATTTGCACTCATCCTTCTCCAGCCACGTCTTTATGCTGGGCATCCTAAATCATAGGGCGGAACGTGGGGAAATATTCGAGGGATTTGTAGAAGCTGAGGAGGACAGAATGATTAAGAAATATGATTCTGACTCGGATTACGAGTATTACGGGCGTAAAGAAGAGATGAGAATTCCTGGAGGGTGTGACCGAATTTTGTATAAAGGATACAAAGCCGGTTATAAAGTGGAAGAGTACCAGCAACACCCATATTTCAGAATGAGTGGCGAGCACAAACCAGTGACGGGATTTTATCGGTTCAATTTTCCGAGCTATGTCGAAATCAAAAATTCTGTAGCGTGGAATACTTAAGATTTTAGATCTATATTTTCACTACTTTGTAAATACCATCTAATATGCATAATCAAATTCATTACGACATAATAATAATAACACATTTATAATTTTACTTACTTACAAAGCTGTGATTTTTAATGGGTATGACGTAAAAGTGCAAATAAATATTTTACATAAATTGCAGACTTTAGTCTTTAGACCTTATTTTATTCTTTTCTGTTCAATCGTTAAGTATCAGGATACAGGAGATAATGATTTTGTACAATTCTGGTGTATGCATCGTTGTATCAATTGTATCAATTTTTGCCAGCGTAAGTAAAATATGTATGTACATACAACATATGCGAACTGCATCTCATTTCTCCATAAATAGGGTCCACACATATGTACATACACATATGTACATATATGAAACAATTGCTGCATTTTATGTGTATACGACGGTTTATGTATATGATCGAGATTTAATGAAACACGTTGTGTGTTAAATTGTAACCTTTTAGGATTATTTTAGATTCATAGAAGTATTTCCCAACCTGCTGAACCTTATCGTTGCCATTGTCACATATAAATTAAATAATTAATTGGACAATTTTGTTGGCAATTCTACTGCGTGCATCTTGAATTAAATAGTAAATATTATTTTTCAATAACTGCAACAACTGCATCCTCAGTCAGTCGTTACATACATATGTAAATATGTAACTACTGTAGACAACCACACATGCCAAATGGCTAAATTGTTAAATATGTATCAAGTCGAGATTCCAGTTATGTGACAACGTGCTGTTGCCGATGAGATCGGATCATTCGTTTAACAACATAATACATTCAATATGAACTTATTACTAAATGCATGACCACGATACATAGCCACATCCATTAGTTTCTTGTTCTCCATCACATTAATAACCCATTGTGCTTACATAAATATGTACGTACATACATAGGTTAATCTTGAATTATACATACTACCTTTTAGAGCTTAACCATACTACTTATCTGTCAAATTATAAGGACAAAGATAACCTTGAAATTACGCGAGCAATGTCATTTCACAAAACCTACCCATTTTTCGGCGAGTCACGAGTTGCTTTTTCTTGAGCATAAAATAGAACGAAACCAAGCCGGATTTGTCCAGTCGATTAATACGAGAATGAACTGAGGATAAGGATTCTTCAACTCATCATATACATAAACGTATAAAATTAATTTTGAAAACAAGGCACATTCTTTAAGTTTCCTTATCTGCTCTTAAATATAAATATGAGCTCCACTACGGCAACTGTCGGACCTTCGTCTTCTAATGAATTAAAAAAATCAAAAGTTAAAGTCGCCGTGGTTCAAGCCTCGCCAATTATTCTGGACAGAGAAGCGACAATTGAGAAAGTTGCAAAAATCTGCAAAGAGAATGGGTGTTTTGGTGCCGGAGCAGAACTTGTCCTTTTCCCAGAGGCCTTCATTTCGTGGTACCCTCGCGGAAATACCTTTGGGGTTGGAATTTATGATGTTACTGACGAGGGAAGGGATATTTTCAAGCGTTACTGGGACAGTTCCGTTCAAGTACCAGGTGAATTTAACTCGCAGTGTGATAAAAAGCCAAACAATTCAACAATTTGGTGCATGCTTATTTAAAAATACTTTTCTGCAGGAAATGCGGTTGATCGTTTGGGACAAATTGCCAAAGAGAACAAACTCTACCTCGCCATTGGAGTAATTGAACGGGAAGAAAACAGTGGAACCCTGGTACATATTCACAATTTCATGTCTAAGCTTATGCACATATGTTGGCAAAATAAAAATTATGGATATCTCACTAATTTCAGTACTGCTCCATCTTATTCTTCTCCCCATCCGGTGCACTGCTAGGAAAGCATCGTAAACTGATGCCAACTGCGGGGGAAAAATTATGCTGGGGATACGGTGATGGGTCGACAATTCCAGTATTTGACACGCCCATTGGGAAATTTGGGGGCGTTATTTGCTGGGAGAATTTCATGCCCATGATAAGAATGGCAATGTATGGGAAAGGGGTGCAAATCTACCTCGCACCCACAGCCGACTGTTCCGATGCTTGGTTGCGTTCGATGCGTCACATTGCATTTGAAGGACGATGTTTTTTGTTAACATGCAACCAATTTGTGAAGCGGTCTGACTACAAGGAAGGAGTTGACTATGGACAAAGTTTTCCTAGTGAAGACCCGAACTATGTGATGTGCAGAGGTGGGTCGGCAATCATTGGTCCGCGGGGGGAAATGTTGGCCGGACCAAATTATGAAGGGGAGGCTGTACTTTTTGCTGAGCTGGACTTGGGGGATATCATTCGATCAAGAATTGATTTTGATCCGATGGGCCATTACAGTCGTCCTGATGTGTTTAGTCTGGTGGTGAATGAGAGGAGAAATTTGAATGTTACGTACGTCAACAGTGAGCAACGAGGGGATGAAACAGGCGAAGGAAATACAGATAATAACAAGGACGGATTTGGGTTAGGTGCTGATAAAAGTAAAGCAGTTAAAGACGGGTTGAAAAATTTGAAGATTTAATTCTTGTAAAATCTCGATTGCATTTTGTTCGAGAACATTATAATTATAAACTTAAAAATGTCTTATACTTGGCTGTATTTCTGGATATGAATTGATTAAATAGGTTGTCATAAAAATAAATAAATTTGAACAATCTATTTAAATACGTGTGAGTGAATGCCTGAGATTATTTTTTCGCGATATAATTTATATTTTAGTTCGTACATAGCAAGCTTTATCTAAAGTTACACTTTATAAATCAGGAAATAATTAGTTTTGATTATATTATCATTTATGTATGAAGGCAATTTATCCACCTACAAATGTTGGTGCATATGAGGCTACCATGTGCTAGCTTAAAAGTTCAGGGTTATCTTTAAATCGGATTACTTGTAGTTTTCACAACGAAGAACATTTGATGTTGCCAACAAAATTAACTAGTGAAGCTAAATATAAGATTTGAAGATTTCACATTTAGACATCAGACAAAACCGACATTAAATTCGATTTTGCTTTGAAATATTGTTTGCGTGAGAATGATTCAAGAATACATACCTGGATATGTATATTAATATGTTCAAACTTGTTCCAAAGTCACAAAATAATATCTTAACATGGGAAAATAATTTTTTATGACTTACATGTGTATTTTAAAGAATATCAACCAATTTATTTAAAAATTTACAATTACAGAACTAAATAAAATACTTTTTTTTTACTTCAATATTTCTTTGACCAATATACTTTTTTGAATTGAAATTAAAAAAATAATAACATATGTATTTCAAAAGTGTTTTATGTAAAACTTACGTGGAAAGATCTGTTTTGATAGTCTCATAAATATGTACTCACCACCTTCTGGAGTCCAAACTAATTTAAGTACGGATTAGCTGGTGACAAGGTCATGATCGCTTTGACATACAAAACAATATTATGCATAATTCCTTATAGAGATGAAATTGGTAATAAGGAGCTCAAGTACCTGATTTTAATTTATAGCTTGGCAAGTCTTCGCCACATTTTAATCTTATTTCATCCTTGCTCCAGCCTAGACCTCGTAAAAAAATTCTTGTAGACATTATATTTCCTAAAAATCATGAATCTACACGTTTTCATAATCGCATTGTTGATTCCATTCACCACCCAGCAGCGGACCAGGGCCACAACGACAACGTCCACCGAATGTATGGAATTCGAAACTACATTTTTTCAATTTGTACACTTATTGGTATTTATTTTCAATGTTTTTATAGTGCCAACTGGTGGAATTGAAGCTAAATGCAGTGGGAACTGGTGCACAACGCCTCGGCCTTGCACAGGGTTCGGGTGTCCACCAACAACAACGGAGAAAGCATATCCGGTAAACCATTAAGACTTTAAGTACACATTTGCACAAAAAATGACCGATTGATTTATTTGAATGAGCTTCTTCAGATCCCACCCACCCCACTTATCAACCGGGCTTTGGTGGCATTTAATGTGGGGAACGACATTAGTGGGATATATGGTTATCTTGAACTTGCCCAAGATACGCAATATGCTCCTGTTCGCATTAATGGAACACTACATGGACTTTTACCGAGTAAGCGCCTCGGATTTCATATCCATCAATCTGGAGACATTCGGGAAGGTTGTAGCTCAACTGGCAACCATTTCAATTTTGGACCTGTAATGAAATTAAATATTATGCTGAGTGTGGTCATAGATTGGGTTTACTTAATTTGATTATTCGTCCATAAGCTCGTGAACCATGGTATTCCGGGAAACATGGTACGACACGTTGGAGATCTTGGAAATATTCAAACGAACTCGTACGGAATCGCGACCATCTCCATGTCAGACTCGATGATTTCTTTGAATGGAGAAAGGTCCGTTGTTGGAAGGACTTTTGTGATTCACGAGAAGGAAGATGATGCAGGAAGGGGTGTGGATCAAGAGTCGAGAGTGAGTGGCAATAGCGGAATGAGAATGGCATGCGGCATTGTAGGAATTCTGGGAACAGTGCAGGCACCTTATTAAAAGATCTATGATAAGTTAGTCGAATGTATGTAGTGGAAATTACAGCAATTACTTATTGTTACTACACACATACATGGCTGTAGAATTGAAAAATAAACAAGTTTAAAATATGTTTGCTTTAAGAAAAGTTATAAAATTATTTTTCTAAGCATGCACATATTATGCGGAACATAACATGCATATTTATTATGCAAGTGTGGTAGATTCAACTCACTTTACATATTAGTTTTATGAAATTTGCATAAACTCGTGGGTGAATCAAGGCAAGAAACTCTGCAGACAATATAAACGGTATTGACAATTTATTTTAAAAACAGTATCAAAGAAACTGTGTTCAAGTACTTAAAACCACACGAATTTAGTTCATTTAAAGTATAGAAATGATAATCTCCTTTGTAAACAAAATACTGTTACACTGTCAGTTAAATATACAACGTACACATGTTGTGACCATATTTAATAAGTTTCTCGTTTCATTCAGATCAATAAAGAGATTCTTTACTTGTTCGCTCAATTAGCAGCATATTTTGTAGTAGAAGATCCCGGTATTTGCGGTGGCAGAGATTTTGAGTTTGCAGATAGTTGAGCCAATGTCTTTTGTTTTAGCGATGTCCAGTCGAAATGGTTATCATATTCATATTCCTTGACTCGGCACAAAATTCGGAAACTTTGTCGAAGGTATATATAATCTGGGACTTCTTCAAAGCGAAGAGTACGACAATAATTCATGTACATTTCAAATTCTTGGGGAAGTTTCTGTTGAAAAAAATGGAATTTAATAAATAATATTTTAAAATGAAGGATAAAGATGATACGATGAAAATACGTTACAATTCCTTACCTTACAAAGGTCTTTTGTTGAAATTTGCATCTTCGCTTCAGTGATTTTCTCGTATTTCTGCTTCTGGTTAGATGCTTTTAGACCTTGCCATGGCAAGCGACCCATCAAAAAGTATATCATCACGTAACCAATTGCTTCCAAATCGTCCCGGCGACTGCAAAAATATCAAATTGATTATAATGCTACAAGACTGGAACACATGATGTGAGGCTGGTTCTATCACCTCTGCTCGTGTCCCTCATGAGCATTAATGGATGCGTAGCGAGCAGTACCCGTTAAACTTTTGTCACTTCGATGCGGAATGTGACGACCCGTAGATAAGCGATATTTCTTGGCGAGTCCAAAATCAATCAAGTATAGCTTTGGTACAAATCACAGAATACATATAATTACTTACTTAATGACAATTGTTTAAAGCATTTTTGAAAATAAGGTAGGTCTTTAACTAATGCATCGTATATTAGGCATACTTTGTTCGCGTATCTTCCAACGCCCATGAGAAAGTTATCCGGCTTGACATTGACAATTAGAAAAATAAAATAAGTTAGAGCCAAATCAACTTGTCACACACAACAAACGCAGATTTAGGATTACATTTGAGATATAGTGCATATTTGGAAAATTTTGTGGGTCATTGTATATATATTTAAGGTAAAATAAATAAACAAATAGTCATAAAACCTTTATATCTCGATGGATAAAGTTTTTCATATGCAGAAATTCTACCCGTGCAAGCATTTGATCAACTAACATCAGAACCGTTTTGAGCGAGAATTTACGAGAGCAATAGTTGAATAAATCCTCCAATGAAGGACCAAGTAGCTCCATAACCAAAATATTATAGTCAGGATTCCGTCCATACCAACTATTAACAAAAACAGTCATTCAATTATTTCAAAATTCAAAATTTTATACTTCGACAAGAAGTACTTACCGAGTGTTTGGAATTCCCACACCCCCTTGCAATAGTTTGTACAATTTGCTTTCATAGAGCAGCTGAGGGTGACTAGTCATACGTCGTTCGATTTTAACTGCCACTTCCTGAAGTAGTAAATGACTCCCAGTTAACCCCAGCTTATTTCAGCTGTTTAGGAAAATGTAAAAAACCGAAATTGTCGCACTCACCTCTCCGGTTTTGATATCCAACCCTAGGTAAATATCCCCGAATGATCCAGAGCCGATTTTCCTCACGAGACGGTAATGGTCACCCACGATATCAATTGATGGTTTAGGTCTCGGCAGAGGCTTGGACTGAGCCATTTTTATAAAACCGCTTGCAATTAATATATATCTACCACAACTTCAGAACAAACAGATTTGCATTTTAATGATGGACTATATTGTAATTATATTGTAATAAACGGAACTTAACAAAATTTTAATTTATGAAATAATTTTATTCTAGAAGTGTTATGTTATTACTTTGCCGCACTGTACTGACTTTCAGCAGTAGTCCTCTAGACCCTTAGTCTAGTTTACAACGAGACAAGTTATCAATTACTAATTATTCTTGAAGATTAATTTTTTAATCGAGTCGAGAAAGAGAAAAAATTTTGATGGGTTCAAGTTCAACGGAGCGAATCGACCGAGATTTTCTAGCGGCTTCTTTTTTTTGCATTGTGCCCCGCAAGTTTAAACTTTGCTGAAAACCTTTGTTCTTTAGGTTGTTTTTGCATAGCAATAATTTTTAGACTATATTTAGATTTAATTTAAAACTTATTTGTAATTATGATTGACAAACCCTGGATATCACGGATGGAAGTCTGAAATTGTATATGTTTATAGTGAAATGGTATAATATCTTAATAATATATAAGCCATATTTGTTTAATTTATAAACTGTTATTAAATTAATGAGTCCACCTACCTGAGACTTCATTACAAAAGTTAAATCTTGTACTTCAAGTAATTCCAAAATTCGAATTATTCGAAATGAGAGTCATGTCAATAGTAATGATCTGCAGTGGTAAAAGTTGTATGCATTATTTTTTCATGTATATTTTATTCATTATGATACTGTAATGTACACTGTACACTGTAATGAGTTTTATGATTATTTTAACTTAAAACTCAATAGTCTCAACGAGTGTATATGTATGTATATGCACATACATATGCTGATGTACGTACTTACATTGTATGAAAATAGTAAGTAAATATGAAATAGAGTTTGTGCGAAATTAAGTATAATACACGCATACTTACTACTTTGTTTTAGCTGGGGATATATAAAATTCTTTATTATAGTATGCGTCCATAATACATGAATATGTACATACATATTGTTTTAGCTTTGTATACTTATTTATTTAAAATATGATTATACAATTTACCATAATTAAATAATTTAGTTAGGATTCGAAATATTCAAGTATAAAAAATGTTGCATTTGATCTTGTTACTCTGAAGAAAAGGCGAGATTAACATTCCCACCTGTTGCATGACTATTGTTTTCGCCAACCCCCCTCCTGTCCACCTTCTCGTCAGACATGGTCAACTCGGTGTCACGATTATTCCTACTCGGGTCCACGTTCTTTTCTTTCAATTTTTTACAACAAGCGAATTGTGTAAAAATAGCGTCATATGGGGCTAAACTACGGAACCAGATGGGTAACCATTTCCAACTTAACAAGAATCCGGGCAAAAGACTCGGCCTCTGTAATAAATAATGTGGAACCATTAGCCCATAAGTTGCATGTCACCTTTTACCAGATAATAATAATGACGTAATCACACTTTCGTACCTTAGCTCGGAGGAGATTCACTAATAATACGAAGAGAAAAATGGAGACAATAAATCCCGCAGCGACAATGACGTACGCCGTCCCAGCAAATGATAATCCCATGAAGACCCCGGGAAGGAATACGAACATTGCAACCATATACACGATAGCGAACCATCTAAGAAAATGATTATGTAATTAGTTTGTTTGTTAAGAATTACGTAATTAATAAATTCGAGTAATGAAAATCTTTTGGAGTGGTATATATTTAAATACATCTCAACTTTAACTTACCTATATTTTGCGGTCGTATCTCCCAAAAATTTCGACATTGCGATCGGCCATCTTAGAAAAGGGATGGGGTAAAAGATGAGAATGCCGGTTACATTGAAAAGGAGATGACAAAGAGCTATTTGCATCGAAGGCTTGAATGTGTCCCCTTCCACAGCCATTGATGCCAATAGCGCCGTCGTTGTCGTGCCGATATTGGAACCAAGTGTGAGTGGGTACACCCTTTCCACGGTGAGAACACCCAACCCCACGAGGGGCGTTAAGGCAGAGGTGAAAACGGAACTGGACTGAACCAAAAATGTCATAACTGCTCCAACCAAAATTGCAATGTATCCCGTAATCCAAGGAACATAAGGAATTTTAGCGTTAAGTGTTTTCTTGATGATGAGCGCAATCTGCCCTTGAAGGACAGAGTTGAGGATTTTCACAATTAGGATGAGACACAGGCAGAGGACAACGAGCGACACGACCAAAATGATGGCACCAGCGGCTGCGTCGGAAAGTGACGTTCCGTGAAACAGAAAAGAACAAGGTTCTTTGCCGGACGGCAGGGCTGTTGTCGTTTCGACATCTTGAAACAGTGGAAATGATGCGGCTGCCGCTTTTGCTTGGAAATCTTCCATGTATGAAGATACCATGGGGGCTTGTTTGGAAGACGATTTCTTCACCTTGCACAGATCCTTGATGAGGGAAGAATTTTCATGCTTTGTACAGTCTGGTTTGGCCCAACACTCCAGAACTTCCTTATCGATTTGTACGATTAGATTGACGAATGGCTTTGTAATTTTTCCTAGCAGTTCAATTTCTCCCCCACCAGAACTGTTTGTGGGGATGAGCGAGTCCATGATAGCAGTCGTGACGTGGTACAGATAATCTGAAAAATGGAAACATGTTAGTCTGAATATGAAATTTTGTTCTGTTCAAGTTGCAAATAAACTCATTGCATATGTCCACTTACTCGTAGTCACTTCCACAATTAACAATGTAATAACTGTCAACCAGTTGAACATGTCATGCACCGTGGCTCCAGCAAAGGCACGTCTAAATTGATTCCTATCCCCTGCCTGGGTCAAAGAGACGATCGTATTCGTGATCGAAGTGCCGATGTTGGCCCCCATGATGATAGGGATAGCTTGCTTGACGTCAAGAAACGAGGCAGACACCTGTTTTAGGGATACATAGAAATTTGTAAATAATAAATAAACCGTTATGAAAGAGGCAAAGTATTTTAAGTACCATCGAAACGATGATGGATGTAGATGTCGACGAGGATTGGACCATCACAGTTGTTAAAATGCCCACCATGACTCCTACGACAGGGTTTTTTAAAGCAGGCGAATCCCTGAAAATGTCCCCAGTCGTGCGACCCCCCACGATCCGGAAGCCAAGCGAAAGCAGGTCGAGAGAGCAGACGAAGAAATAAAGGAGACACATGAGACCGATCGCTTTTAGCACTCCGATGACCACTCTTTTTCTCTTTTCCGCGGGGGTCAGTTCGTTCCAGGGTGCGCCAAAGGTTTGCGGGGACGCGATGCTCCATGGGTCGAGGGTGGAGGAGGTCGTCGAAGGCTGGTGTTTCCCATTTGTTGGCGGTGCATTCTGTAATAACGGGTAAGACGAATTTTTAAGGTATTGTTAACATTGCAAACCAATATGAAATAACTTTGCAACTTTTCGTATGAAATCTTACAAACTGTGTGACTGTGTAAAATGATTTTGTCATTTTGTAAAAATTTTACTAGGTTTAATTTATTTGTAAAATACTCGTGGTTTCGGTAAAAATGCTAACTCTGATGTTATGCTATGTGTACATTAGTCATGTTCACAACTGTTTAAACTTTGAACTAGTAAATTTGTGCGAAAATTTCGTATAGAGTTTTGTGCCAATTGATATTTTTGAATTAGCACTATTCGCTATTACTGACTAGAAAGCTGAACAATGGATGATGTTCTACTATGACCAAGTACTAACACAAACTAAATGCCAGGTCGAATGTTTAATAAATATTTGCAGAAGACCAAACCAGTCACCATTATCATCTCAATACATTACATCCCATGTTTGTGAGCCTATATTGTTGCCGAGATTTAACAATGCACCATGCATCAGCACAGCTTCCTTCCCCTTAATCGTGAATCAACTTTTGTATATTTGTTTTTTACTGGTTGCGAATTTCCAATGAATGAATAAATTAAGTGGTGATTGCCTTACACCACTGCAAAAAACAAGTACGGGTTATTGGTATGAGTCATGATTTTGCATGCATGTCAATATATGTCCACTTTTCCCTATTACATGTTATGTACATGTGTTAGTGTTCAATTCATAATTTTTCCACCTGCAGATTTACCAACCGCCGCAGGCTACTATTAAACTACACAATTACATTTCTTATTATTACAGACTTGCAATGTCACTGTCAGATCATTTAATCGACAATGGCATACTTTTTTGCAACACTTTTTTTCATTTCACCTCTCCATTTTCATGAGTTTTATCCAGACTAAATATTTGCAACCTTTCCAGTCTTTCTGTTGATATTGAGCAGTTAGGGAATTGGGCCAACATATCAACAAAGGATTCACTACATGCCATCATCATTAGTGGGGTTAAAATTTAGTACGAACGGGGAGAGCGACTACATGTTTCTGTCAACATATTATGGGAAGGGAACAATGGATAAATAACTTCCATTCCAACCGGATTTTACTCACAAACTTCATGAATCATTTCGCATACAGTAGTGGTAAGGACTGCGAAAATAAGCAGACAAGGAAGGTCATACATGCTGTAGCGTGTCCTGGATATTAGAATGTACGAGATTGGATTGGATTACATAAATGAATGGACAGAGGATACGGACAGGTGTGGAAGTGAAAAATAGCTATTTATTTGCATGGCTAATATGCATGCGGCTGTACTAATAATAGTCTGCGTAGACTGCTTCGTGCTACTTTACTGTGAATTTTTGGCAAATTGTTGGAGGATTCCTGCATGAATTCCACGATTCATGGAACATTAAAGGTGAAATTGGACATGCATGCCTGGAATTAATGAGTTAACTTTGCAGAGCAGAAGGATGAGTATGAGATACAAAAGTTACACTTTTACTACTCAAAAGATCACGTGGGGCATGTGTGAATTTTTTTAACAGGATCGACAATCAGTCCATCAATCGGGTGGTAGACAGTTGATTGATATTATTGAGTTCTTTAAACGTAATGATTTGGCAATCGCAATGTGCGATAATGACGATACACAATGTACTGTCTGCCGATTACTGTCTGCATGGGGGGGCAAAAGTCAGAGCGTGCAATTTAATAAATGGATGCCATGAAAAACGAATAAGGTAAAGAAGCGTACAATTGTCCTAAAGTTTAGAATTTGCGAATGCCAATACTTGGAACTGGACATTGTCCGTGATTGCAAAAATTGAAACAATGATGACACTTTTTGCCCAGCCAATTAACATATTATGCAACTCATCCTTTACCACATATGTAAACGACGCCTATGAAATTGATCTGGTCGTAAAATGTGTACATACCTCAATCACCAGTGCAGTCGGGTAATCAAGTCCGGCTGTCAGCATGTCGTTATGATCCTTTTCATGGTTCCCAACCTCAATTTTTGTTGACGAAGGCGTTCCTGCGCTGCCCATCTTCGTTTATTTATTCGATGTTCTTGGAAGTCTTTGTTATGTTTACTGTTGAACACGTATTGCTTGCTGTGGTTTATGTTATTATTTACGGTGGATTAAAAAATAAATAGTCAATAAATGAAATATTGAAATAAGTTGTACAAAAAAGTTTAACTGGAAAACTGCGTTAATTAATTATGTATGTATGTCTTTGTTTCTCTCGTTTTTCCCTGCCTCAACTGCAGACGGCTGCAGTGCTGCTATAAAACAGCGTTTCTGAGATAGTTAAAAAAGTATTTAGTTTGATTAGAGAAAATTAAAAAATTAGACATTATTTTAAATGCAGAATTTTAAAGTTAAGAAATTTAACTTTAATGGAAAGGGTTTTCTGGAAAACGTGGTATGTAGCAACGGAAAGCTTTCTGAGCGTGTGAATGAAGGAGGTATATCCGACCAACCTCTTTTTATATTGTTTTGGAGCAGACTTGATCGATTCAATGAATTGTTCTTATCAGTCTGGCGCGATTGGTGGTGGCATAACGTACGTACATATTTATGCAGAAGTGGAAGTAGTGGTAGTGTCATGTCGGTCTTTATAATATTTCTAGGGATTGATCAGCAAGGTGTTTTTTACCTGGATTGGATTTTGATAATGAAATGCAACGTCAATTATACAACAGTTTTGCAGTTATGCCTGAACATGATATGCTACATTCGGGCTTCTCATGCTCCAACTATTTTCATATGCGAAAGTCACTCACATGATTTTACACTCATTCATATCTCTGCTGAGGATTGCACTTTGTGAGAATCTTTATCATTATAAAGATTGTGCATTGTAATTTACCATTTACATATTTAGTAAAGTACAAACAGTTAAAATGGCTTAAAAACTACAATAGTGGTAATTATCTAATGATAGCATTCCTTATTTATACGACAATGCGTATCCATGAAAGGTATCACAAATTATGAGGCTCGGTTCAAACAATGACTGACTAAAACTGATGTCGGAACGTGTTATGCGCATACATTTTAATTAGATGGAGATAATTTATTGAACTTTGTAATAAACTTAGAAGTAAATCAATCTCATTATAGTCAATACACGTGATTTATAACATGGTTGAGGATGAGTCAAGCCAGATTAACTTGACAGCGGGCATATGTATTATGTATGTATCTAAATAACTGGAATTATCCGGAAATGTGTGCACATTTGTTTCATGTAGAATTTATAAGCAATGTTAATTGGTCGGATTTTTACTTTTAGGAAAAATCTTATTCCAAGAATATGCATACCTCTACTTCCTATCACTAAATATTTATGTAGTTACATCAATAAATAGAACATCCTATTGTTTTACAGATTTAAGCATAGCCTCAAACACAGGCAAATACACCTTGGAGTTTCTAACTTAAGAATTTAAATTCGGCGAAAACCAATTAATTTTGACAATTGTGTGGGAAAGTTTACAATATTGCTAATTGTAAAGCTGATAAGTTTTGACGCTATTGGCGGTGAATTATATAAATGAATTGAACTGATTGATACAGTTACGTTGCCATTATAGGCTCAAGTGCCTATATGTGTACTATAGGAAGAAGAACATGGTAAAAATGCACACTACATACACATCAACCAGATCAATCAGTGTTAATTGACTTGAAACATTTTGATGACTTGGCGCAAAAAAAGAAGGCGATTGGCTACAAATTGCCACTCCTCTTTGCGGGTTCAATGTGAACATGAAAAGGACAGACGGCTTAATCATACTTTCCGTGAGAAATACTTCAATAGGTACGTACATCATGGTTGCATAAACGATTTCTTACTGGACATTGGACACATGAGACTGGATGAATCAGGAAAATGTATAGTTATGCAACTACTTGTGCGCTAAAATTAGGTACTGTCTACGCGTGTACTGCAGACAACAATTACATGATTTATGCGACATTAGCGATAAGAAAAATAAAGTTCAAATTGAGGTAAACGGTCAGATTACCAATGTGAACTTGGGGAATGATGAGCCTGGGAGATTTTGTACATTAATATTAACAGCACTTTGAGATTATAGCAAATCCTTTTCAAGTAAAATCCCCAGTTTACGAGTAGTACATGGATTAAGGCAAATTTGCATTTAAAATTGATGACGATAGCTCTGTTACAAAAAGTAATAAAAGGGTTCCACGTGGTTTATTCGTGTGATGATTTTTTCTGCACAATCTGCAATGCTTTGCATTAATTGAAGAGTCATTTCACAAAACAATTGAATCTATCTAACCGAAATAAAAGTATGTTTAAATTCATAATAAAAAATCCGCAAATCCCCACGAACTGCATTCATGTCGTGGCGTGTGATTCCCCTCGTGCTTAGAAATCTGGTCATACTATTGTGCATATTTATGTATATGCATGCAAGTAGTTGTTGTACTTTGTCCATCACATTGACATCAGCAACTATTTATCCGAGAACACAGGATCGCTGATAGTGACAATTTTTATCAAACAATTAAAACTTGTCCTTTGCTCCGTCTCTCTCCCACGTGAAGTTTGCGTGCTGTTTTAGTAGAGGATTCCTTTGTTGTGCATTTGTGAGATGCAGAGCGCAATTAAACTGAACAAATATCCGCGAATGCGTTGTGGATAACGTCCTGTCCGATAATCCATCAGATTTTGTAAAACTGTAAATATTTTCATTTCAGAGAACACTCTATTTTCATGCAAAACATGTTTTTGGTTTGTACTAATTATAACTACTTATTCCTGGAATGGAACTGCGAACTATGAGGAACAAGGTTATGAATTTTGAAAGGTCAATCAACATCCACAGGTAAATAAATAGAGTTGGACAACACGCACAATTATGTACATTTACCTGGACATTAATTTACAAATAATTTTGCAATACAAAAGTGCATATTGAAGGTGCATTTTGTGCTATCTCTGTTTTTGTCAATTTCATCCCTCCCATGGTACCCACCCATGTTGGGGACATCGGAAATACGACGGCAAACAAATGAGATAGCTCATAATGCAAATTCTACGACGATACCCGAAGAATTTGCTAAAGCTGTATACATGAAACATTACAAGCAACAAGGCATTAAAAATATTGCGTAGACGACAAAAGCTGGGAGTGAGTGGGAGGAGGATAAGGTGTTGGGAAATAAAAGTTGGTTAGTTGGTACTGGTCCGAGATAGAATAGAATAGAATCGTGGAACAGGAAAGCTCGTCGTTTTATACCCCTCGTTTGACGTCAAGAGTGAGCCTTATCTGAAATTGGGACTTTACAAGTGCACATTTAATGCTTTGATCTTATCTCAAGTGGTTAAATAATATTTTATTGTGTAGAATAAGATGATTTAATATTATAAACTAGATAATAGTCACACGCCGTCTGCATGGTTTGACATTTTTAGAGTAGTTGGGCTTATGTATGGGGTTAAAAAACTAAATGTGTGTGTAGTGCATCATTCATGCACACGTCGACAGGATATGCTAAACACCTTTACTCATGAGTATTATACTTGAAGTGAGTTAGTTATGTGCTGTGCGAATGGAGCTAAACTCACGAGAAACCCTAGTCTCAGCACAAGGTACTTCAGGAGGCCGTAGGTTTAAGCTCCACCCGCACAGTACATAACTCGTTCACTTTATGTATAGTTAGTTAAAGTAATAGTTAGTTATGTACATATTTACATATTAGTTGTGACTCATTTATGTATGTATAACGTGCAAGTAAATAACTATAATATTGCGAATAATAAAAGATGAAAATAAATTCGTAAATTTTCACTTTCTTCGATTAACGAGTTTTTGAAGGTTATGGTCTTTTAATTCTCGACTCCTTTATGGTCAGCTTATCCGACATCTTTCTTGATAATCTTGCAAACCTCACATATATACTATTAAACTCTGTGGTATGCATACATATATGTATGCATACCACAGAGTTTAATAGTATAATATAGTTTAATAATAATATAGTTTAATATGTATAGTATACTACACATATACATATTATTATGTGCATAAAAGATGAAGTTAGCGATTTTATTTTCGTACTTTTTCAGAACGGCATTGTACATAATTATTCAAGTTTGAATATTATTCGAATATCTAGTTTTGCTGAAATAGTTCGATTTTGGTAGCGCAATGGACAATACTTGGAGTCAAATTTAGAAAAATGCAAATTCATTTTCAGCAAAGTCACAATTAAAGGTGACAAAAATAAGTACACGGTGATTTTAAACTCCATACATGAAAAATATTTTTACCAATTATATCAATATGCATACCTGTTCAATTAAACTTAAAGCTTATAACGCAAAATGCATGTATATGTACATCGACGAAAAAGCAAAGCAAAATACTTTCATTTTTTTACTGAATTGTCACAAATATTGCAAAATTAGTATTATTTCATAACTAAGAAGTAAGATGGTCAACTGATGCTCCTTCAGGTTAAGCTTAGTTTTAAAGCCCGCAAATATTTACTTTGAAAAAAAAACTATACTTTTTGTTGTGCTTGGCATACCTTGAGTACCCTTGAAATTCTCAAAATCAAAATACTTTGCAGGTCAGCGTATGTGCATGAGTATGTAGTGTCGTCCACTTTTTGGAGGGCACAATTATTTGCCATGAACAAAAAAAGATACATTTGAGGTAACCATAATCCAGAAAATATTAAGAAATGTATCTGTAACCACATAATTAGAGGATGACGTTCTAATATATGTACTAATGATGATTTCTCTAATTATAAAAAGCTAATCGTAAGTGTAAAATACACCCTCAAATGGACGGTGGACGGAGGCAGAGCAATTAAAATGAACTTAACTTAATTACTACTATCTGCATGTATGTGAGATATGGGTACTTTACCTGGAAATGGATTAAAGAACTGTGTAACATCATGCGGAAGTTCACTTTAACAGAATCAGGATATTCGATTTTTGTATAAATTGACAACAAATGCTGCGCTCAGACAACAATCATCATAAGTTTGTCTTGAGCAAAACTTTCCAACTATATTGTTTCTATCACGTTATCACAAAGTTAAGAAATAAAAAAATGAAGGTTATCCTTTTAACGGTACGAACACAAACATTTCTAGAGAGTTTATTTTAGTTTGGTTTTTAAATTTATTTGATTGACATTTCAGGTTTTTGCAGCCTTGTTGGTAGCAGTAGTAACTGCATCAAAGTCCAAAGATCATGCCCATGGAAGCGACGTGGAGAAACTTCCCCCAAAAGTGTCCACGCCCGCCCCGTCCCCCAACAGCTCTTATGTCGCCCATAGTCGTGAAGAAAGAAGATTCGGTAGTAGGGGTAACAATAACAACAACAACAATAATAATGGGGGTGGTCGAGGAAATAATAACAACAACAATAACAACAATGGGGGTGGTCGTGGAGGAAATAATAACAACAATAACAACAACAATGGGGGTGGTCGTAGGGGCAACAATAACAACAACAACAACAATAACGGTCGCTGATCGTCGTTTTAAACCTACACAAATTCATGTGGATAATTGCAGTTAGTTGAATGATGATGGATCGGATATGTGGCTGTCATTATGCATATTTTTCATCTTTATTTATTTACATATTTTCAAACATATTCTAAATTAGAATTTAATAAAAAGTTTTATGAGCAGTGTTGATTGGCTTAAACGTAGTTATTGAAATTGTAGGAACCCATCTGATAACTAAAAATTACATTGTGAATACAAGGTAGTCAATATTTAGTTTAGAAGCGTAAGAAATTCTATCATCCTACAGAAAACAACTATTTGTCAAAAACACAATCAAAATGCGCACGCCAAGACCTGGGTTCAACAACAACGGACAATCAAAGTCTTTCATGAAGTTTCATGTATGTATACTTAATACGATTTTGGTGAGATCAACTCGGTCTGATAGTTTGATGACTATCAGACTAGTATATATTCTTGCATTTTAATTAGTGCAATAATTTGAGGTTGTGGTGGAATAATTTGATAAACATGCAGTGCAGTACCATGTATTTAGTTTAAGGCTGAAAGCTTATTATTATAATTCATCTTTTCGAATTTTGATACACGTTAAAAAAATCCGAAAAAATGCATTCTTAGAGCTATTTATCTACTTGACGAGTTGGTCTATGGTCCAACTATCTGTATGTACATAGGTCACAAAAAGAGCTGGGTTGAACATAGTATGAGCTGCCATTTAAAAGTATTTATTGTTACCTTGTCATAGGTACACACTACACACATATTTCATCGCAAAAAGAGATCATTATTTGCAAAAGGTTTACGGGAAATAAATGAAATTAGCCTATTCCATTGGTGTACCTTGGCCCACTTATTTGAGCACCTTGGTAGTAATTGACGGACTACACTTATAATTTGTCCGGTAAAAAATGTTTATCACAACACAGCCGTGGTTATAACCAATGTACACATAGGTACGTACATACGTATAATGCACTGCTGTGGATAAGTGGATAAGCATACAGCTGGTCCACACCCTAATAGAATGTTGGATAAGACAGCCAATCGTAAAATATTGTAGTGTGCAATACTTAATATTTGTATATTATGTAATTTTGTATTTACTATTACAGCCGGAAATTTATATTTAATTAAGTTTACAGAGAAAGTCCTTCCCGATAGCCTGAGGTATGGAAAAAATAATGTTTATGCATCTTGTATTGCATAATCGTGAGTGAGTGAGCAATGATCAAAATAGAGAACAAATTAAATTATTTATACAAATTGTGAAATAGATGGAGGATTGGGTTTTCATTCGGGACACTATAATTGGATGGATGCTAGTCGTAGGAGGCATCTTATTTTCCGGTTTCCTGACCTTACTTGCCTCAGCAGCATTAATTGTGACGAGCTGGATGAGTGGAAAGTTCACGCGTCCAGCGGCCCTTGTTTTTAATAGCATGACATCACCAGTCTTCAGCATCGTAAAATTATTTTGTGACGCCGTTTGCTAAATATATTTATCTATGTACGTGAATGTGTAAAACTGCGTTCGATATAGATGTACTTACGAGTAGAATAAATTAAATGTATATGTAGGTATGAATATATGTACAAATAGATGCCAATGAAACGCACCATGTCGATGAATATTGGTGTACGCATTCAAAAGGGAAATTGCAATGAAAAAATGTACTTGAAATTTCAAATGATGTTTTGAACTAAATTTTACACTTTATAAAGGTAGTCAAGGTTAACGATTATGTGGATTATAAATAATCACTTGCGATTATAAACCGGAACTGTGAGTGGACAGATTAATGTATTTATTAGAACTTGATTTTATTTTTTGCAGCAACGAAAATGTGCAAGTCAATTGCATTCATGGCGCTGCCGCTTCTATTTAAAAGTTTCTTCTAAAATACTATAATAGTCGACTATAATCCATAATAATCCTGTATGTAGACGATCAATTTTTTTATAACAAATAATGTAATCGTCCATGGAGAATTTTTACCCGATTAAATTCAAGAATCGATCCATATACACAATCCCCAAACTTGACTACAGTAAACTGTAAGCTAAATAGTAAACTATCCCTTGTGTACTATGATTTTTTTAATGTTCCATGAAACATAATAAACACGGTATAAAATCATAAAGACAATTAATTAAGACTCTTTATTGAACAATAGCACCAATTGGTTGAATACACTGAGCAAATATATCATATTATTAATAATAAATACATATATCATCCTCGGTCTCTGTGGATGCGGATGACTCCCGAAGTCCCCACTTGATATTTTATCCATAACTAGAATTATACAAACGCACTGTTAGTGTTTTATCCATCAGTTGTGTGTGAAATAATTAGGAGAATTTCAATAAAAACTTACATTCCAAGCCCAGAGCTTCCAGAACTAGCACTTGCGCTAGCTGCAGCATTTGATTGACTCAGCCCGAATCCCCCACCAGGATAGTATCCTCCTGGATAACCTCCGTATCCTAATTATAAAAATATACGTAATTATTTCATTAGCTAGATAGCTAATTTGATAATCCAATAATCGATGATAAGCAAATGAATAAATTCTCACCGCCGTAATATCCACCGTAACCAGGATAGAAATACCTAGCTTTCCGCAAGCTGGGAACAAGTGGCGATGGCTTCGAGGAGTCCACATCTTAAAAAAATCAAATTATCCGATCAGTTTTACATATATTTTCTTAAAAACAAAATTCGTTCTACGAATTCAACGCATATACATATGCAAGCAACTTACCACCAATTGAGACCATTTTTGAGTCCTGTGGAAATGAGATGGCAGACACTATCAACGCTACGATAAGCAGGGAGATGAAACTGGTTCGGGAATTCATTTTGGTAAGAAATACAAATTGTTTGGTGAAACTTTAATGTTATTCGATGAGAAATTGTAGCTTGCTCGTGTCTGGTTTATATTTCAATGATGCGAGAGAAAAGTTGATGTTGCTCTTTTATACCTGAAGGATCTGGTACTTAAAGGGTATTTTTTGACATACTGTAAGGTTGCAACGTTTTTGTGGAAATTCCATAAAAAAAGGATAGGAAAGTAAAAAAAAATATTCCTTTCAAGAGGACAGGATTTTCCAAACAGAAATAGACAAGTTTGTTACCACATATGCCCTTAAATGCATGCATTGATAAACAAAGGGTTACTAAAAATGACCCTGTGTGCAGTGCGCTTTAAGCGGAGATAAAAATAAAATGCCCAATTGTTGAGCTGGGAAATCCTAGGAGACTTACATGCATATAAAAAAAAACACTGTGAAAATACCCATCTAATTTTAGTTTATTGAACCTGGTTACTTCTGTAGTGGGTAAATTTAAACCGTGCGTCAATTAATTAATGCACCAGGCCAAAAACCCTTCGTAATGTGTCTCTTGACGCGGGATGATAAATGTCCGAATTAAATAGAAGGGCTGCGTCTTCAATGAGATAGCGATAATAGTGAAAGTACGGCTTTTGCATGGTCTCGGTGTCATCGTCCTCAACAGCATTGAATTCTTGAGTCGGGTTCCAGTCAAAATAATTGGAAAATGTCAAAAGCCACCACCAATAAACAACTACGAAGGTCACGAAGGCCAGCGCAAATACAAAGAAAGCATAATATTTTGTAAATCGTAAAAGTAGGCTATATTTCCTTTTAACTTCTACTATGGAGGACGGGGGTGGTTGATCTCCGTGACGAGATACACTTTTGTCCTCATCGTCATCAGAGTTTTTATTTTTCTTTGCCTTGTTCTTCATCCTGGAATGAGAATGATAAAAATGCACGACTTCAAACATTGCATTTCACTCTGGTTTATCTAATTAAAAAACATTTGTGTATCTCACCAAAAAATGGATGTGAACAACAGCAGTGAAACAAACACAACGAAAATGCAAAACACCATCCATTTATCGATGCCCATAGAATATGAAACCGAGGGTGCTTGTTCTCTGCAAACATGAATTGTTACTGTTTTAATACAATGCATTGAATTATTGAGACATTTTAATATACTAAAGTTTTTTGTTGTATTGATGAGCATTAATTACCGTACTGCGGCGAACATTGCTGTCAAGGTTAGTACCTATTACAGCCGGAAATTTATATTTTACTCAAGTTTAAAGAGAAAGTCATTCCCGATAGTCTGAGGTATGGAAAAATAATGTTTATGTATCTTGTATACCGTTGTCATCGAAATGCCAATCCGAGCTTCAACCATGCTTGCGGGTAGGAGAAAACATAACCAGGTCATTAAAACAAGGAGTATGCTTGGTAGATACGTTTGTACCAAATGATACGAGATTTTTCGTCTAGCTTTGATAGTGAATGTTAAGGCAGAATAGTTTCCTCCTTCGTGGTGTAACAATTAAAATGATATATGTAAAACCACGATGGAGGTTTTAAAGTTACTAGAACATACTTCGGTAAGGATCAAAAGTTTCCTCAACAAATAGTTTGTTGCTTCCATTTACAGCGATTCTGGGCCAAACTGATTCAATTAGTAGGTCGAAATTAGGGTGTCCTGTATCTCGAAGAAATACAGCATTCGGAGTTTCCCAAAATAGTTTTAATCGATTTTGCTTGTAACTAACTGAAGAATTAGAAAGATTTAAATTATTATGCAAATATCGTAAATATGTTGCTTTTGAAAACTTACAGCTTCTCAAGTTATATGTGCAGATTTGTGTGTCTGCCGGGGTAATAATGAAATTAGTAAGCATTCATGAAAGTAAGTATTCATTACGAATATCACCTGCTGGATAGTAATGAAATTCCATTGAGCAATCCAATTTTAACCTTGTTCTGTATCAAGACAAGCGTATAATTCCAGTTTGATAATTTTTTAGACTTATTTATTTGCTTAATTTATCGGTTAACCTTTCTGAGAATGCGATTTGTGCGTCTTTCAAGTTATTTGTGTTGAATAAAACTTTTACAGTTTTTTGAGTTGCCTCGGCCGCATCTTTTTCCTGGGATGGCGTCCCATCTTGAAAGTGCAAAATATTCACGCTACAAAATAATATAACCGAAAAGCTTAGGATTGTATTTCTACCAAACCGAAGAAAATATCAGGTTTCCAAATCTTATCCAGTGCTTCTGATCCAAGCGTGACATTTTTTAAAGGACCCGTTATCCGCTTGGATATTTTATAGTCGAGCCATCTCCTGGAGAAATGTGCATCAATTGTAATTTGCTGCAGTAATTAGAAAAAATGCGTATTACAATTTGTTTGTAGATTCTTTACTTGTCCATTACTTACTCCCCCTTGTTCATCAATATCTGATACTGATGTGATAAACAGGGAAACAAAGACCGGGATGAATTGGGAGCTGTCTACGACAGGAAGTTGATATGGGACATAGGTCGAAGGTAGCAGAACAGACAAATCTGCTTGAAAATTTTCTTCCTCTTCGTCTTCAAAGTTAAATTTAGGATCGGGTGCTTCTGTCGTTGGTGTGGTCGTTGGGTCGGTGCTCATCGTTGTAGAACCAACGGGTAGCGTTGGAGACTCGTCTGAAGTCGTACCTATTGGAATGTCGTTTGACGGGGAAGTAGCAACAATGGGATTAGCCGTAGTCGTAGTCGTTGAATTTGGCAAAGTTGGTGAGGTTGGTGCAATTGAAGTGTTTTGAGCTCTGACAAATTAAGCAAATATTAGAAATTAGGGTTATGAATATATTTACAGGATCACAGAGATTGAGAGGATTAAATACAAGATATTTTTCTCACTTTAAAGCTCCAACCAGGGTTATGATAAACCAAAATGTGGAAAGTAAATTTGTCATTTTTATTTCAATCGTGGTACACTAATACTCTTATCCAGTCAATAAGGGATCAATTGCCAGCACCAAAAGGAAATGAACACACAATAACTATTTATCATTAATCAGCTCCTCTTGAGTAATCAAGAAAAAAAATAATCTCTGCAGATTTGCAATTAAGATGCCACGCTTAACATTTAAACCAGCACATTGTAGTTTTCATGAATTTGAATACAATGATCATCATGAAAAAGTTATGAAACGTTTTTTTTGCAAACTATAGATAAATTGTTATTATGATAACTTTTAGTTCGCATGCTATACTATTCTTCAATCTCCAGGTCCTCCATTACTGAAGAAATATCTACATTCGTGCAGAGTATTTATGTCATGCATAAATATATATCAATTTTTCAACTGCATTTGACCATTAACAGCCCAAAATTCCGAACATATCTACATACATAATTCACAGCTTGGCTGAAAGTTGGTTAGTTGATCATGAAATTCAAGGTGAACAAGACTATCAATGCACACCTTATGTACGCCTCACTAACATAAATTGTGGATAATCTGCAACCTGTTCCTAGTTTTCTTACTTAATTACTCTTTAAGATAAATCATAGACTGCTAATTATTGAAGCATTGAATAGTTTACTGAATGCATAACATTGTTGTTCTTGGAGTAATATTTCAAATTATTTAACCGTATTTAACTAGTCCAGTTGATTCAATAATCTTGTTATTTTTGGCCATGCAATTTCGAAAATTAGAAATGAGGCTAGTGAAAATAAGTTTACCGAAAATGGTAATTTTTGCAATAACTACTGTTTTATTTTTCTCTCTTCCTGGAAATATTTTATCCCGTCCTGACTACGGATTCTCAACGTATTGTCAACCGTGCATTTCTCCCTGTGCAAAACATCCCGAAAAGAATTACTATTTTTGTAATACTTATGATTGGACATGGGAGAACAAAGTGTGGACTTGGGACTACTGTTCACTGTCAGAAAATTCAGACCACATTGGAAGAAATTGCTCATCAGCTTGTGCCTATCATGGTGAAGGTTATCAGTGGTGCACAAGTGATGAAGACTGGGGTTATTGTTCGGGACCGTTTTGCGTGTAAAACAAATTAATGTTTTCATTATTTGCATATGCATGTACATGTAAATTTGCTGTGTCTTCTGCATTTTAAGCTCCCAAGCGACCGAATTACCAGACTACGGTTACTCTACCTACTGCCAGGTTAAAATAAATAATTAATTGTGCTGAATTTCGTTAGATGTTAGATATTTTGTAATCGTTTTGTATGTAATGTTTAACTATTTATTTGTTAATTTTGCCAGTCATGTATTACACCCTGCCAGCAGACAAAGTCTCAAAATTACTGGTGTGGAACTAGGAAATGGAAATTTGACAATAAAACTTGGACATGGGATTACTGCTCTCCAAATAGTGGGGTCGACTTTCAGGTTTGTTACTTAATTTGCTTAATTATACATATTTTATGAGAATATGTATTGTTTTCAGGGGAGTAGATGCTTAGGAATATGCAAATTCAGAAACGGACTCAAGTACCAATCGTGCCCAACTGAAAAACAGGGTGGAAAGGGATATTGTACTGGAAAAGGCAATGTGTTGTGTGACTTTTTGCCAAAGTTTGATTGATGAACGTTACAAAATGGTTCCTGCTTGGTGAAATCATTTTTTTCACTTAAAGTGACAGCACATCTGGAAATTTATTTAGTCATGCACACATGCGTACATTTATTTATAAATAAAATGCCAATAAGCACAATTAAACATGTACATATTTGCTAAAAATGTAATGGACTGATTTTGTGTTAACAAATAAATCCTCATTATTATTATATATTTCTATATGCATCTACAATGAAATATTATGGAGTATTCATTACGAGTTCGCATGCTCACATCTCAGCTCAAGTTCGCAAAAGATTTTTCAACCCAATTTTTCAGACATTTTTTACGAGCTTCTAAAAACCCGAACAAAGTTTAAAATCTCAAAAATAATAAAATCAAGAAACAGAAATAACTTTGACTTGAGTTGTTGAACCAATTGGCTTGAGTAACTTTTCAAATCACAATAAGGATTTTATACGCAATTGTTCTGCTTTTTCTGCTTTGTGGATGAAGCACACAATTTTGTCTCAAACAGAAAGACAGAAACAGCAGAGGAGAAGTATAGTTATGTAATATTCAGGGTTGCATGATTCGTTGTAGAATTTAGGACTTTTCTCCAATTAGAAGGTGTAATAAATCAAGGAGGATCACAATCTTAAGAAGATTTAGATTTTAATTAATACGTACCTAAAATGTCCAGTCAATGAATATAACACAATTGAAAGTATTCAAACATATAAATAATAACCAAAAACCTGAACGCTCACTAATTTCATTGTATTGATAAAAAATATTTACATAACGTATGATTAACTAAATAATTTGTCAAACAAGCATTTGCTTAATGGCTTGTTGAAGGAGTTGCATAAAACTTGCATATCGTGCGAATGGGGTTGCATTCTGCCTCTAATTGTAAACCACCTTTGTCAATTCTTCGGAAACTTTCCATAGTTGTTCAGCTGCTGTGACGTCTTTTGCATTTTTGGGTATCTCCAACTTGGTCACGTTTCCGCTTGCCCCCATTAAACCCCCAGGACCGTAATACTCGCCCCCCTTTACAGTAGGACACGTCGCCGCACAGAGGGAGGGATGAGACCCAACTGCTGCTTCTTGCCTGTTGGTAGAAAATTAACGTTGTTCAAAATAAATTAAATAAATCACGTTGAAATGAGTTAATTAAAATAGTCAAACTTGCCCAAGAAATGGAAGGACAGCGACACCAATGAATTTTGAAAATAGAGTATCTCGTTTGGCAGTCATTTCCGTCTTGACGAGGCCAGGATGGACGACGATGGCTGTGGAATAATTCAGGAAGACAAAATCATTACCGAAACATTATGACTTTTCATTTAGTGTATATTTGTTTAGCTTCAGTCCACACACCAGAAATTCCCCACCCATTCGCATCACTTTTTCGCTGGAGCTCAACGGTGAATAGCATATTTGCGAGTTTTGACTGTGCATACAATTTGTGTCCCGGATACTTTTTCCGCTCTGTTTGGAAATCTTCGAAATCCAGCGGTTGACAATGTTCTGCCATTGCACTGGAGACGGTAACAACACGTGGGGCTGTGCTGCGTCTAAAATTTATGAAATAATTAAAATGCATGGCATGACAATGACTTTGACAAGTCATGAATTTTACTTGAGAGATGGGAGAAGTTGTCCCGTGACGGCGAAAGTCCCCAACTGATTTGTCCCCATGACAGATTCAAATCCATCAATTGTTGTTTGTCTCGTGGGTGGTGCAGATATTCCGGCATTGTTAATTAAGATGTCCAGAGCGAGCTCTTTAGCGTTGAAATTTCTGGAGATTAAAAATTGATTTACATTTTCAAACTATATTTTTATCGGTCAAACAATGAACACATTTTTTAGACGACTTGCTTTGCAAATTCCTCAATAGAGGCCATACTGCCGAGCTCTGCCTGGAGAAAAGAGACCGTTCCGGCTGATGGAATCAATTTTATTGCATTTTTGATTTTTTCCACTGCCTCATTTCCTCTTTCTTCACTTCTTCCCACGACAAAGACTTGTGCGCCGGATTGGACCAGTGCAATCGCAGTTTCGTACCCAATTCCACCGGTGCCACCAGTTACCATGCAAACTTTTCCGGTCAGGTCGGGAATATCAGTTCGCGCCCACGGCTTATTGGACGTTTTGGAACCCTTCGGCGACGACGAACTTGGCCCAACAGCTGCGGCTGCCATGTTCAAATGATTACTTTATAGCAACTTTTGAACCTAAAGCTAATTTCGAAAGCTAAATAAGAAAACGGGCAGCTGCTCCTTTTCGTCACGGGTGAAGAGTAGCAAATATGTTACTGGGTTTACTTTGTGGTGACGAGGAATAATGCCCAGTCACTTTTGTGGGGAAGGAAATATCTACAAAAAATGACCAGATAAAAAACTGGTCACATGCAAAGTTAGTCAGTCTGGGCAATAATTGGAGAGAGGATGTAGTTTGCGTCGGGATCGTGCGTCGTGGTTAATGATGTATCCGTATCCAACTGGACAAAGAGAACCACGAAATACGTAAATATACAAAAACCTGTTGCTCCATGCATAAAAGTGTATCCAAAGGATGTTAACATAGGTTTGGTTGGGCTACAAATGAAATGCAGTAATGCAGGCATAATACAATTCTATTCTGCTTTGAGCAAAAGAGAGAAAGTGATTATTGATTTTATGCACACACGTATGACATAAATGTATGTCCAGATATTGGACAAAAATGAGACTCATCACATTATCTTGCAATCAAGTTGGATTCAAGTTCAATTTCAATAATTACTCCCTTTCCTCTACAGTACCTATCCTAGTAAACCTGACATGCCAGCCCTAACTATACCTTTCCTTGTAGTTGTTGATGTCAGTATCTATCCCTGTCTTGGTATTGGAAACGATGTGGCTCACATATCATATACCGCAGACGTAAAAGATTGAACAGAACAGAACAGGATAAAAATAACCATTGCACAGTTAATGGTGTCAAATTAACAATATGTCATTATTACTATAAATACTTAATAATAATTTTCCACTAAGCGACGGATGTTTCATTCACTCACATTAGATTTCCATACATAATTAATATAGTTACACGTATTTGTCAAATAACAGTGATCAAAGTACCCTAAAGTTGCCTTCACATGAAAGTTATCTTCACATGCGGTTTAAAATTTTAAACCCGAATAACATTTTTAGTCTTTAACGTATGATTACACTGGTTTTACAAACAGATAATATGACAGCAAATTTAGACAGATTTCAAGATGTTGCATGGATTATTTGTATTTTAACAAAACAGAAATTTAAATTTTATACAATTCGTATTCCTTGATGATGCGAATATGTATATATTTATTTAATCCCTCATGTTTAGTTATGAATCATATAACTTATGACGCAAGAATGTACAGCTATATCGATGCAAATGAGCTTATGTTTACGAGAAGCCTGTCCAGCACTCGTTAAAAAATTGGCACATCTAAAACAAATCGTGTTGGAGTAGCAGATATTATGCGAGATACGCGTCAAGTTTTGCGTGTTGCGTCGATGGCTTAAGCTGCATATATAAACATGTTCCGAACATGCGAAAATAAGTCAACATCCTAAACAGGACCAAGCCAAATATAAATTGAGGCAACAGAATTCATTAATATCTAATGCATATATTAAATACAATCAAAAACCCGTAAATATTATTGTGATTATACAGCAACTTGTTTTAAAGTGCTAATTATTCGCAGAACATTATGGTTAATCGAAAATAACTACGGGCTGGAGTTGTTCCTAAACCTCGTTTCACTTTTGATGGGGCCACGTTCAAAAGCTGCCTTCCAATAGTAATCTTACGGGCAGATGGTTTTGGCGCCAGAAATTCCGGCCAAATTACTTGTGACATGCCCTTTAGTATTTTGATGCACTTATGTATTTATTTATCCATGCATGTAGGTATATGCCGGATGCGGAATTTACAAACCGACACAATGTGTGAAGATTGTGGAAGGTAAAAAACTAAAATGGCACGCGTGCTTAGTTTGTTGTTTCATTTCCTCGGAAAATGAACGTACGTAGGAAATTCAGGTTCATGCCTATGACTATTTATGTTGAATAATTTTATGAATAATTTTATTGTTCTCTTATTCTTCGAGGAGGTATATAAATAGATGAAATCAAACAGAGTTAATTGAGGCATTGACAAGATTTACAAAATAATTCAACAAACTGAAAAAATATTTTATTTTTCAATTTATATAAAGTCGTTGGTGTAAAATTATTTTGGTTAGAATTATAACATTATGCATTCCATAAAAATAGTAATCATTGTAGTCCTCGCTAGTTTGTCTTCATTTCTCTTGAGTGACGCTACTGCAAGTAAGTTGTTCTCTATTTTCACTAAACGGTAATCTTTTTTAACTTTTACTCTACTCCACAAGCCTGGTGTCTGGTGCCAAGAAAATGCAACAATGGGACTTACGATGCTTTGAGTAATCCATTTGGGAGCTTGGCCTGCACAACGGCTTGTCAACAAGTTTGCGGATATGGTTCGACCGGCCTGTGTCAATCGTTTGAAGGAACAACGGAACTTTTAGGTCCCAAGAATGATGCCCGTCCAACTTCTGCCACTTGTCAGTGCAGCCCTGCAGCTAACATGCTTTGCAAAGCGAATGTGACAAGCTTGGAACTTTCAACAGCGAATTTATTCATATTTCCAACAACGTGGTGCGCTTCTTGCAATGCGACAGGTGTCACAAATTGCTTCTTTGACCCTGCCAAATATCGGTTTAGATGCGACTGTGTCTACTCGGGATTTAAGCCATAAATCATGCTTTTATGTTATTGGACTCTCAGATATGCATTTATTTATTTATATGTAGTAAATTATTACAATTTATAATGTCAGTGCACATGCATGTATGTATTACTGTACCCGACGAGCCAAGAACTGAAAGTTTTGTAGACAATGGGTAATCAAATATCTGTACACTTTAAGTCCAGATATGGCAAATTTTGTGGTGCTCAATTGGTAGAAAATATTTGTGCAGACACGGTACAGACAAACTAACGAAAATCTGCAGTATGCATGCAGCAGTATTAGATCTTTACATTATTTTCTTTGCACATCACATACAGATCTGATAACAACAGATCTGTACATGCGAATTAGCAAACATATTATGCAGACCAACATACACAAAAATGTTACTCGTCTATTGGTAAAGAATTTATTACACAATTTCTTTATTTATACTTCAAATACTAAATACTTTATACAAAATTTAAAATTAAATCATACACATGAGTAATTTCAACATATTATGAATTACACAAAACAATAGAATAAAAATACTGATCACTGTTATCAATTGGTAACAAAATACATTTTTTTTCTAAAGAGTCACTAGAAATATAACAATCCGAACCCAAATGAGAAACAAAGGAAATTCCAAGTTTTCTACTTGAACAAGGATAGAGTTTAACATCTTGAGGAGTTTTAAAGTAAAACCCTTTAAAATTTCCTGACTGTTGTTTACCGTCAGACAAAAGACAAATTCGGTTATCTTTTGTCATAAAACAGCGGTCAGCAATTCTTGACCCCACAGACCAACGTGGGCTAGGTTTCGGAATTGTTTGAGACAGAAATTGCTCTGATTCTCCTACTCGTTTGACAACTTGACTAAGGTGCTTTGATTTGGATCGTAACATGCTTTTAAGGGGCTGCATGAAATTTTCAAATTGAAAAGCACTAAAATTATCCAAAGGTCCATGCAGTTTGACCTCATCTGCCAAATGTAGTAAACTGTGTGTGTTGTACACCAAAAATTCAGCATAATACAGTTTAGGAAGGAGTTGTACAAACTTATTAATTAGTTCTTTTGCATATGAAACCCACTCTGGCTTATCCGAACAATTCGATACTAATATGTGCATGGCTGCATGGAAAAGCAAAAAATGTTCATACTTGTCTGTTGGAAGTACTTTTTTAAGCACGACAGGCCCTACGTATAGTAAAAATAGTCTAAACTCTGTGGCCTTCCAGTGTTTCAGTTCATAAATACTGCGACATTTTCTAGAAAATTCTGAAGGAATTCTGCATCTCAATCTCATTAATTGTTTTGTGACTAATTGCTTTTGAAGACTTGAAAATTTATGGGGTTTTTTTCCTTCAGTCCAAACAAGTAAAAGTTTCTTCATAGTCCCGAGCAAACACAAATGCATATAATCGAGAGGTATCTGGGAAATCATACCAAGGTTTAATAATTCCAAAGGGGAAGGGGGACCCTGCTTATGATGGCTTTCATACCATCGTTCTTTGAACGACTCGTCCGTGTAAGAATCACAAGCTGGCTTGATTGGATAAAGAATTCTGGAATATTTATAAGTTCCTCGACGATAGCATCGTTCACATCCGTAGTAGCCATTATGTCCGTTTATACGTTTAATAAAGCTACGGGCTGGTGCATCCGCTACAATACACCGCGTCCTGACCGAATAATTTACACCACGGGCACAAATTCCTTGGTGCTCTAAATCAACCATGTCTCGTACAAATGGACCTAAATAAGATTCTAGATTTTGTGGTTTCTGAGATCCGTAAAAAAGACTTATAATAAATACCCTACGAAGTAAATCCTGATCTACTGTTCCCAAAATGGGCCAAAATTGTTTGTTGGAGCTTTTTGAGATTGGCAAGCCATCTATTCCAATTTTAAGGCTTAAAAGATTAGGCACGTTTTGAAGTTGGGGCAAAGGAGAATGCGCAGAAAGCCTGATTCTATTATTCTCAATTGCTTTTAAAATATGGCTGCGAATACCAAAATGATAAAAGGAACCTCCTTCTATTTCTTGGATTTTTATCTTCCTTTTCGTTTTTAGCAGAGTTCGAGGATCTTTTGGGAATCCTTCATGTGGAAGCCAATTTCTTACTAAACTTAAAAGACTTTTCAAAGCGTTATGATTGATATTGAATTGGGTAGCCCAGTGGCCTAACTGAACTAATTTATTGGGTGTACCACTCAATTCATCAACTACTTTTGGCATGTTGTGATTTTCTACATATATAGTTAGCTGGACTGGGCTTTGGAAATTGCAATCACCATTTAAAATGAAATCTTCCGCTGAATCACATTCCAGATTTGCAGGTTGGATCGATGCATTTAGTTCAGTTCCCCGGATTCTCTTCAGCGCCGCCTGCACCCGCTTCTCCACTCGTCGCTTCTGTGTCCGGCGCGGTGTTAATTTCATTTTTCTTTTTTCGGGATTTGTCTCGTTCGGCTGACTGACGTAGCCAAGCTCCAATGTGATTGTTTATTTTAGAATCAGTAGCGTCGTCGTCGTCCTCGTTCCCACGTTTGACGGAATCTGAAAAATGGTAAGCAGAGTGATGGAGTCAGTAACACTAAAATGAAAAATGTAAATTACAAATGGAATTTAAAATATGAAAACACAAACCTCGGATTAATTTGGCAATCAATTTGTCTCCGAATGAGATTTTCCCGCTTTTGTTGGTTAAGCGAAGAGTAAGAGCAAGTTCATGAGATATCATCCACTGCAGCGTATTGTATATGCACTTTGTCACAGTTGCTCCTCCAATTTTTGATAAAACGGACACCTAAATTGTGTAGTCACATGAGTATTATGCTACAATTAGTGTTAATGTAAATAGAGTTTTTACCTCGTGGTTGTAGTTGGTCGGATCCCGCAACCAAACTTCCACTGATATTAGCTCGCCTTCGTCTTTGATTGGCCAACTCCAAGTATTTTTAGCGGAACAGGCTGCTCCTTGCTGTGAGTTTAGAGAATTCAGTACAATTTTCTCCAATTGGTGAATACGTTCAAGTAAAAGTTCTTGGTTTCGCAGAGATTCAACTTGAAATTCTAAAATGAGAATCATCATCAAATACTGCCATTAGTTTACTATAAATACGCAAATTACTTACTTCGAAATTCATTCAGTAATTCTGTGAGTCGTGGATCCGGTTCCACCTGCAGACAGTGGTACTCAAGATTGGTGGTGACCGAATTATTTTCTGCATTGGTGTCCACAAGATGATCAATTCCGGGATTAATTTCATCAACAGAAGGGTTAATTTCAGTTTGTACTAGTTTAAAAAACATATTTAATTCATATTTATTACATGCGAGTTTTTTATTCAAATGTTTGTGGTCATACCCCCAAATATTGGCTGAGCGGGGGCCAATGGCGCTGCGACAATATTGAAATTTGTGGACGACGATCGCCCACGTTTAACTCCCTCTGCGTCGCTGGAGTCAATTGGCTTATTTTCCAGTAGCCTTTTTAGTTTCGCCACAGCTCCTTCGAAAGTTTCTGCGGGAGTGTTAAAATAACTTTATAGACCTTTCTTGAACTCGCCAAAGCATTGCAACTGAATCTTGAAAATTGAAGAATTAAGTTGGGATAACTTACTCGAAGTTTTGACGCAAGTCACTTCCAGATTAGTCCACCCGTCCTTTGGAAGAGAATCTTTATTTGATTGTAGCTTATAAAAATCCTTTGGCGGTGGATCAGGATAGGGACACAAATCAATTCCGCCAATGCTAGAAATCCAATTGGTGGGGACTACACTTAGACCCAAATCAATCTTGAATTCAACCACGGTAAAAATTTTCTTATTAATTGACATTGCAGAAATTGATTGGACGACGGGAGGAAGTAGAGAGAAAACGCATTGCTGTTCAGTTGGCACAAGCCAGACGAGTGATGTGGGTATCGTGTTACAAATGGCGGTTGGTTCGCAAATCTGAGGGTGCAAATGAGACACAGATTGGGCACTCTGTGATCTGTGTTACACACTGAAAGTTTATCTGTACAAAATTTGCACCAATTGGACAAATGCAATTAGACAGACTCTGGTAAAATAACATTGACACTAAATGTTTAACTATTTGATACACGTATATCTGTGTTCGATTGGTAGTCCGTGTTGGGAGCAGATACGTTACAGATTCCGAGCAGATCTTTTTTTGATGTCATTTGGGTAAAAGTTGCCTACACTATGGTTACAGACTAGCTGTTGCGGTGAAATGTGCACAAAATCTGCAAAAACTTTCAGTCGGATCTGCAGAAGATCTGCATAGAGGCTCGTCGGGTATGGAGGCAGGAATAACTTGAATATGTCCTTCTAAGTATTTAATATGAATAAACATACAACCTATGTATTTATATACAACTGATCATATCTATGTACATAAATAAATTACAGTTGAAAATAAAGATGGAATTTTCATTCTGTAAAATAAAATAAAAAATATATGTACATAGAAACAATACTATGATAAATTTGATTCGTAGATTGAAACTTAGTCGTCTTAATTGCTTAATTTCTAGAGGAGGTCAACGTCAGATGCACTATCTGAGTAATGCAATACTGTCCGTTTCAAGAGGTTCTTTAGTTTGTGTTCCAGAATCCGAGTTTATTTTCGGTGAAGATTGGTAATTGGAGAGATTGGAATCTTTTGTTGCGCTTGGCAATTGTTGGGGCTGATTTTCTTTACTTTCTATTTGATCTTTCACAAGTGTACTTGTGGTCACTGTTGTACTTTGATGAATCGTTTCAGGACTCGGGGGAGGATTTATCGGGGTAAATTTTACAGTAGGTTGAAACTTCGTGGTTGTTGATGAACTTATCTGATCTTCCTTAGCAGATGCAATAATTGCAGAATTTGTAGCTGTACTCGTTGCATTTGAGCTATCAGCAATCAATGGGTTAGGATTTTGTGCACTGGTTGGGTGCAAGTTTGTGGGTAATGCGTCTGCAGAAAATTGTGATGAATTTTCGACGATCGCGGACGAAGGTGCATTGACGCCATGTCGAAATTTATATTTTGTAGTTGATTTTGTGGATTTTTCCGTAGCTTTAAAATACTGAGAATGTGCATCAACTATGCCTCCCGGTTGTGAATTTAATGAGTTTTTTTGCTCATTTCCGTTTGCAGGTAGGGTTTGCAAAGGTTTGATGGATGTTTCTGTAGCTAGAGAACTATCATCTGTCCGTGTGAGATTTGTAATGACTGTAGCTGTTGAATTCGCAGTAGTCAAATCATTAGCCCCTCCTGACGTTGTCGCTGTCTTATTTTCTGCTGCATTGGATTGGCTTGTAACCGTGATAACTGACTGTTGTGTGACAAATGTTCTCCCTTCTGGTCGCATAGCATCACTGGCAGAGCTTACTGTAATTTGCTGCATCGTTTCTTTGGTTTGCGTAATACCCGCTGGTTGTGTTACTTGTTCATGAGCAGAGGTTTCTATCACGGAATTAGTTATTGTGGTGTCCTGAGGTCGATGTGATTCCTCGTTTAATATATTTTCTGACCCTGAATTAATCGGAGATGTGTGTCGAGTTTCTGGTTGAACCGTTGTTGAAGGAAATTGCATAATTTTTTCGTAAGGAAATGCGACGGATGATTGCAATGATTCAGGTCCAGGTAGCCGTGTGGTCCCCATCACTGAAGTTGGCGTGGTTCTTAATTCTGGCATTGGAGTCGTGGCAAGTTCCGGCCTTGAAGCTGTATTACCAATTTGAGGTATCAAAGTCGTGCCAACTTCCGGCTTTGAAGTCGGGTCAACTTCCGGCTTTGAAGTGGGGTCAACTTCCGGCTTTGAAGTCGTGCCAACTTCCGGCTTTGAAGTCGGGCCAATTTCGGACATGGAAGTCGTGCCAACTTCGGGTCTTGAAGTGGTCTTAGAAATTTCCAGCATTGGAGTTGTCTTCCATTCGGGGTGTTAATCCATATATTGCTGTAGTTTGGAGTGGTGGTGTTGACGCTATTATTAAGCCTGAAAATGTTTCTTCGGGCATTTGCGTTGTCTTCAATTTGGTAATTGAGGTTGTTCCTAATTCTGGAATTTCCGTTGTTGTAACAATTGGAAGTAATGTAGTTCCCAATCCCAATCTAGTCGGCGTATTACTTGATTTACTATCTTGAGATTTCAACGCGTCCGGATTAGAATCCGTAACTCTGTGCATATTATTAACGGCTTCACTTTTTGCTTTCTCAGCTTGGTTAATATTGTCATCATACGCATCAAACACAGGAATTTCGGTTTGTGAGTCGTCAGAATTTAGTACGTGGGGGGTCGGGGTGGACGTTGAACTAGAGTAGTCTGGCATGGACTGTGGTTTGAATTTTTGAAGTCGTGAAAATCCTCGCCCTTGTGGAATAGCAGGTCCTCTTTGTGATGGTTCTACATATTGATTTCTTTCTCCGGAATTCGTAACTACGTTCTTTTTCACAATTGTTTGTATAGAAAATTCCTGCGTTTGTGACATTTGTGACATATTTTGGTTTTGTGGTATACCTGCCAACTTTGTTTCCGGTGTGGGAGTGCTAGTAATTTCTTTGCCTTTTCCTATCACATATTCGTTTACATCGTTTTTTGTTGTGACAAGTTTTGCAGAAGAAACTTCCTGTCCTTGGCCAGATATTTTATCGACTTGATGGAGGCGAGTATGCCTAATAATTCCGTGTTCTTGTGTGATGGTAATCTCTTTGGTTTGATTTCTCCAATAAATGGTGTCTTCTCTGGAGAGCTGCGCATTTTCAGGTCTTACGACAGTCTTTCCCTGATATGTTTCTGACTTATCGAATGTTGTTGGCACCATGTCCGAACGTTTCTCCGTTTGCCGCACAGTTTCGTGACCGGTGGATTGAATCATCGTTTCGTGACCAGACTGATTTTGAAGTTGTCCAGCTATTTGGCTGGTAGAATAAGACTGGGCAAGAAAGGCTTTCTCGTCACTGTTAGAATTTTGTCGTGTGAGTGCGTCCTTTTGGGCATGGTCGGCCAAGACTTGGGGACTAGATTGTCCAGCGTTTGTTTGAGATTGTTGCTCACTTTGTTGCACCATAGCCGGGTTTGTAGCCTCGATTTTTAGATTTTGGTCGGTACTTTGTGTCATGTCTGATTTAATGTTATTTTGTGTTTGTTGTCTGGTTTCTGGTTCATTCGATTTTATTTGAGGTTGAAGCTGCTCAGTCGAAAGTGGAACAGAGGGTTGTGTATCTATTTCTGGTCGTTGTCCGGCAAATGTATTCGTTTCTGGGTTTGTTTCCAACTGTATTTGTTCTTGACGTGTTGTGGATTGCGACCCTGTTGATAATTGATCTCCAGTGTTGCGTTCCAGATAATTTTTTGAAGTTTTTGTGGTATCCTGTTCGGTGGGGTTGCTGAAACTAATGGGTTGTGTCCCTCCTGATGATGGTCTCGTTGGATTGTTGAATGCACCAGGGTTTCTCACCATTGCTTCTGGATTATGTCCTAAAGGCGTGATTGGTTTGTCGGGTTGGATTTTTTCAAATTGTTGCTCTTGTAGTCGCTTTTCATAATAATCTTTTGACAAAGTCTGCGCCCCGTCGTTAAGACCGTTAAGCTTTTCCTGGGGACTCATTTGGTTGGGGACAGGTTGCGTGTTGGGAGATTGTTCAACTCGTGGATGATGAATTATTGTCATTGCCTGTTGTACATATACTTGGTTTCTTTGTGAATGACCGTGTCGCATGCGGTATTTCTTATAGTGCTTCACCCCTACTAACTCACTCCCAATATTGGTTGGAATTGAAGCATTTTGATATTTTCTTCTTATCATAGTATTTTGTCCATGTTCTGAATACTTCCATTTTTGTTTTTGCTGTATTGGAACATTCGATTGAACAAGTTGTGCATTTTGCTGTATCACGTCGCTTTTTGTTTTGTCTTTTGTCGTTTTAAGTTCCTTCCAGTTTTGCTCAGTTTCAGATTTTGCTCCAGAGACAATTTTTTGCTGATAGGTCGACCCCTCCGAATTCTCTCCTTGGATTCTTTCCCTCGTGGTTCCATTTATTTCTTTGCGGCGTTGATGCGTCCTTTTTGCCTCTTTCATCTCTTCCACAGATTGTAGGTCACCTTGTCTTCCTGAATTGCATCGATGATCGCTTCCCATTCCCAATCCATCTTGATGCCAGTTTGTGATACAATCAAGATTAATTGCAATTGGGATACTCGAAAGAAGGGGAAGCTGTAAAATTAAAAGACCTGCGTCATGAGTTATTCAGTAACGACAATTTTAAAAAAATGAATGCATGTAAGTTATGAAGTTATCTTACAGCTCGAACAAAATGGTATCGATGGGTTGGGCAAAATCCAAGTAGGACTATGAAAATGTCAAGAAGGACGGAAAGGTGCATTTTGCAATTAAATGCTGGATATCCAGGTTTTATCTAGGTACGCAAGGTACAATAACTTACCAATTGTGAAATTAAGTGTAGTAAGGACAATAAAAATTGGTTTCGCAGCGAAATCATGGCAGGATGTGATTCAACAATCACAATGTCGTTTAATTGCTGTACCGATACTTTTGTTGATGAATGGGATGCTTATTTAATGTACATCCTCTCAATAAGTACAATGAATGGTATATATACAAATTATTGACTAATACCACTTCTAAAAAAACAGTGGTATTTTTTAGATAATAAAATTAAAAATTCAATCAATTACATACATTACACACAAAATATGGTATCAAAATCCACTACTGTAGGTAGATAATGTTGTGACAAAATTGATATAAAGAGAACATTCAATTTAATGACTGGGATACTTGCAGTGATAAAATGTACTCATTCCTGGGGTTTCCTCAAGCTGCAGTAAACTTGTTATGCACACATATATATGAAAAATAAATAAATTATAGTGTCCAATTCAATAGACTTTGTACTTTTGTTGAACCAACATAATTGGACATTTAACTATAACATAGCGACAATTTGACACTTTACCTGTTCATCAATTTTCCTACATTTGTGGATGCATGCATGCCTACCAGTAAAGTGCAGGAATAGTCAGGCTTGATGCGGTGATATGATGGTAGGATAGCTAAATGTCGTTTAAGCTGCCTCTTTAATGTGGGTGTTATTACGTCAGAAGTAAACGTGAAGATGGCAACGCATAAAGTGTCGAGTTAAACATTTACTCAACATTACACGAATAGGAAACCAATGAAACCATGCCTTCTCTCTACATACCTAAATTGTAACACAATTCCACGTGGCTTTAATATTCAATATTAAGCTGCCGGCTTTTACTATTAAATTTAATTGATTGTACAAGTATTGATAGTACAGTGAAATTACCAATAAGTTTTTTTCAAATCCAATAGTTACATGTGCACATATATATTTTAATTAAATATATTCTTAAGGAGATAATATTCATTTCAGTTTTTATTTATACGAGCCATTTAACTATTACGACTCGTAATTTACGAGGCTGATTATTATTTAAACCACCTCATTTATCAATTATGACGGCGAGTGCAAGATATTCCACCGACCCCGATCTTGTCTCCTGTCTAACGGAGAAAATATTAATCCAGGCTGGCATTTCACTGGAGCAGATACAAACTGGGATTTCCGTATTGCAAAAAGTTTCTGGAATTTTGCTTTCTTCAAACATTCCATTGCCACCTTTAAATCTTAATGTCGAGAACCTCGTCCAGCAAAGTGCAACTTTGCAGTCATCAACATCATCCAATGATGATGCTGTCAAACTGATACACTTTCTCAAAGATCTTCGCCTCCTTTCCATTGCTCTGCTCAAGAGTAACAAACTAAACAAATCCAATGTTGACTTGGGAAGAACGCCAGCAAATCAAACTCCACCAGAACCGGAAGTGAAGGACAATGCTCAAGAGTCAGATGAAGATGTTCCTGGACACAACTTGAAACAATTAAACAATATCTGCTATATTTGCAAGGAATCATCCCCTCCGCCAAAGCATTCCTTTTATCCCTGGCTCTGTTTGAAATGCGGTGATTTGAATTTCCAGAAACGTTATCAAACTGCCAATCTTGGTGGAAAGGTCGCCCTTGTGACTGGTGGCAGGACAAAGATCGGATATGAAATAGTGCTGAAATTGTTACGATGTGATGTGAAAGTCATTGTCACGACTCGATTTCCAGTAGATGCTCTGAAACGGTATGAAAAAGAAAAGGATTTTTCTACCTGGAAAGATAAACTTCGCCTTTATCGGCTGGATTTGAGGTTTCTTCGAGACGTTGAGAACTTTTGTGATCACATTAATAAAAGTTATGATAGATTAGATATCCTAATTGAAAATGCGGCCCAAACGGTACGACGTCCAACCGTGTATTATAGGGAATTAGTGGATGGGGAGAATAATACTGGTATTTTAGAAAACGGGGACATTTTGCAAAGGTTCACTAGTGGCAGAGTAGAGGAGAAGAAATTATTGGGTGGGGACGAGAATGGAATATCTGACACATTGACGACTACAATTTGTGTGAGGGATGTGCAAGGGCAGCGACACCACGAGGCTGTCTCCATGGTCAAGGTACACAGGGATGATTACAAGTATGAGAAATGTGAACGGTCAAGCCTCCAACATTTCCCATCCGGGATACTAAATAAGGATGGAGATCCGATCGATTTGAGAGGAGAGAATAGTTGGACCTTGGACTTGGAAGACGTTGAAAGCGGAGAGATGGTTGAGGTCGCTTTGGTCAATTACATGGCGCCGTACATCATTCTCCAGCGGTTGACACCACTCATGAAAAGGGGAAGGAGTGAAGGGTAACTATCTGCACTTACATACTTTTTATCTGTATATCCGCCAACACGATTACCAATCAATTTTGTCATTATAAACTTTTACTTTCTTGCATTTTAGGATAAACTGGGGTTGGGTGGTCTTAGTTTCTGCCATGGAGGGCAAGTTTGAAGACTGTCAGAAATCCGCAAAGCATCCCCACACGAATGCTGCAAAAGCCGCCCTCAACATGCTGGTGCGGACGAGTGGAAAACATTATCAAAGAATGGGCCTTCTTCTGACCGCCGTAGATACTGGATGGGTAACTCAAGAGCATCCTGCGTACGTTCCACGCACCAACAAGCGTTACTCGGAGCAAACTCCACTGGATGTAATTGATGGAGCAGCTCGTGTTTTAGACCCGATATTTCACACCGCAAATACGGGGAAGGTTTGCTTTGGAAAATTCCTAAAAGATTATTTCCCGACGAGTTGGTAACGTATACAAAATGTGTAAATATATGGAATACGGATTCAACTTAATAAAAAAATGAAAAACATTTTATTTGAGATATTTATATTATCATGTACATTATATTATCTGTGTATTGAGAAATATGCATAACTACATTTATGTAGGGTAGTTGAGATATAGTTTTAGTTCTGAATGTTGAAATGCTTAGCAAGAATTTTAGTTGAATAGAAAGTGGTTTCAAGTTGTGATATTACGAATTATATATCCAAAACGGTCATATAATTTAATTGAGCCTCTTTGCAGTCACTGCTTCCACTACTTCTTTTACTCGTTCCGTTGCATGTGTGAAGAATGGTGATTAATTCATCACGAAGTTCACCAAATGTTGGACGATCTGTAGCACAAGGTTTCCAACAGTTTGACATTATGTCATATCTGAAATAATTGCGTATTTAAATATTTAACTCTTCGCGATTTAAATTTTGAAATTGACATTCAATTGATGGTGCAAAATAATAGATATGCTAACATTTCATTCGAAGCAAGCTTTGGTTGCTGCAGTCGATGTCCAGAGACGAGATTTTCAATGAATGCTGCATTGTATCGAGAGTCATCTCCGTATGGCGTTTTTCCAAGAGTAAAAATTTCCCTGCGGGTGAAATTTATCACAAAAGTATTCAAACATGCAGATTGCATTTAACTTGCTACATAAATTTAAATGCTTACCATATTGTAACTCCTAGAATAAAGAATTAAGTTTAATTAAGGTTAGTTAAATGTTGGGTTACACATTTTCGATAAGTAATCAATTCAAAGATTCACACCAAGATTTGTAAACCGTTTATATAGGTTAATGACAAGCTAGGAGGCAGGTTCAGCCCACAAAAATGGTGTTCATTTTATAGTAAGTAAATACTTAAAAATCGCATCTCGATGCATCGTTAAATTGTGTACCATTTTGTAAATAATTTCGTAAAATTTACAAGGCTTACAATTTCGAGTGTGAACCAATTGGAATTGAATAAATAAATTCCATATTAGATACGAACCGAATGACCACACGTCGCTTTTCTCCGAAACACAATGCGAAATTAAGCTTTCAATCGCAAGCCATTTCCAAGGAGCAGGTTCCTTAGGGCATAACATTGTTATGATTATTAGCACACGATATTTAAGGTAAATATTTAAATACATACATCTGCGGATTTTATGTAAACCCCAGAATATCCTAATTGTCGGGAAAGACCTAATTTCAAAGAGGAATCGGTAATACTTTATAAAAATAGCAACTCCCTAGTTAAATTAATTCTCACGTATTTAGAAATTATGCACATGTTTCAATTAATGAATTACCAAAGTCACTTATTTTTATATCCAGATTTGCAGATAGAAGTAAATTTCTCGTCGCAAGATCACCATGAGCGATCTTAAAAGTTTGAACCAGTTACAATACAATAATAAAAATATGCATGCATTATTAGAATTGTCATTTGCTTTTAGTGCTTACCCTTTTTGAGGCTAAATATTCCATACCAGCAGCAATCTGTGCAGACCAGAGGACCAGGTCATACATGTTCAGGAAACCATACTGCGAGTTGTCAAACTGATAACTGTAATTTGCAAGTTACATAAAAATATTGTAAAATTCTTTGATAATGAATTAGATATTAATTAAGGTGTATAATCTATGCATATTTATTACTCTGATGTAATTTTAGCTCCAGGATGATCACAGATGCTGCTGTCCATGACTTCGTTGGCCATAAAATATTTTGAGTTTTTTATCAAATAGTCGTACAGATTTCCATTCGGGCAATATTCTACAACGAGATACACTTCACCTACAATAAAATGCATAATAAATTGATAAACAATAACGCATTATCGATATTACAGTTGACGAAAAGATTTTCTTACGTTGCTTAATGTTTTCGGTACATGCTCCAACAAATCGCAAAACATTTGCATGTTCCCCAACGTAGGCCAAAATTTTTAATTCACTCAACAAAATTTTGAAATCCTGCACTCCAACGGTTTTTAGATTTGTTTTAACTGCTACTTCTTCCTCTAACTGGTCAACTTTTGTCGTAACAGATTTATTAGTGAGTAGAGTTGCCTTGTAAATTATTCCAAAGTTTCCTCGATTGATTTCTTCTTCTATTTACGTTATATTGTAAATATATTTATCAAGTAATCATACGACACGATGAATTAAAAACATACTAATTTTGATGTCACCGGAAGCTATTGTATGAGAGGCATTCCAGGGTTGAGACTGGATCGGGTCGGGGGTATAATTATAGGATAATTCCCTGCAGAAAATTTACCACCAGGGATAAGAATTGAAAATGCCAATATTTTATAAGTTAGTCATCAGACGTACATTTTATACACATATTTATCAGTAGTATTGACAAACTAATTCCTTACCCCTTCTTTTTAACTGAATACTTTTTTGGTGGGCAACCAAGCAGAAAATCGTCCACCTCGTTCTGGGTCAAATCCCGTATTTTTTTCTGTTGAAACGAATCAAGTAATCATTCAGAATTAAGATTTACAACGATGTGATCTCATGAGGGGTATTTTTTGACAACCTTCAAGTTATTAACGTTCCTTCTCCACAATAAAACAATTGTGACAGCAATTGCTAGAAATGTCAAGGTAATCCCAGTCACGATGGCTGTGAGACAAATACCAATTATACAATTTGTTAAATGTAGAATTACATAAGTTCTATATTTATATGCCATTTAGAAAATATTCACACCTATTGGAATTTCATTTGTGACACAGTTTTTTTCATCTTCTCCATTCTCCTCACAATCCACAACTCCATTGCAATATTGCTCTTGTGGAATACATTCCCCGTACACACCACAAGCAAACTCATCTACGGTACAAAAATTTCGACCACGACAATAATTCGGCTTTTCATCTGAACCATCTTTGCACTGCACAGACTGATCACAAACTGCGGATAATGAGATGCACTCTCCAGAGCCACATGTGAAATTATCCGGACCACATCTGCATACACATATCGGTATAGCAAACACATGTATGTAAATATGTATTTTGTAACAGGAGAAGTGACATTTTTATAAAAAAAACTAGTGTATACCTTAAATTATTTTCGATCCAGTATAGCGTATTCTTGTTCAGGTCTCTAAAGTAGTATTCAGCTCCAGAGAAGCATTTTCTGGAAGCATTAGTACTGTAAAAATTGTCCACAATGCCACTAAAGTAGTAGGACCCGTTTATGAGACGAACTCCGCCCACGTCCTGGTGGATGCAAGTCCAATGCGTATTTTCTAAAGAAATGACCAAAAATTGGTTGGGCATTTACATATAATTTAACTGCTTATATTATGGCCAGTTAAGATGAATTATCCTTACGTTGGCCAACAACTGCACACCACTTGTTGCGATAAACATTAGGTCTTGTTTCATCATTGTTTTGCCATAAATTATTACAAGTCGAGAATGGTTGTGTTTTTAGCCGGAGGAACAGATTCTCATCAATATTTCTGTTCCACCCAGTAACGACCAATTCTTCTTCGGTTTCTGAAAGCGTTGGACTCCTCAGTTCCGTAATTAGGGCCTCGTCATCAGAGGACGGCAGACAAATTGGTTCGACGCGGGGATCATGCACAGGTTCGGATAGATGAAAGAGGGCATAATCATTTATCCAGTGGGTCCAGTTCCCCTCCTCGTACTGGGGATGGATTTGAATATGCTTGAGAGAGACCATGATAGCGTTGGGGTCTGAATGGATGGGGTCACCTCCCTTCCGGGTAGCCATGGAAGCCACATAATCCGAATAGGGATAAATGTGAAATCTGTGAGTACCTTTTTCTAGGAGATCTAATTATCGGAATTGTTATTAAGCATTAAATATTTTATTTTTATTTTTATTAATTTAAACTTACAGTGGGCCGAGGCGAGAACGAGGGAGGGCGAGATTAGAACTGCAGAAAATGTGGCATCCGTCGTGAATTCCGACCTGACAGTTATTGCCACTGACCATGGGATGTCGACTGGGCTGAGAATGCCCGGTCCTGTCAGGTTGTTGGAGTTTGAAGGACGCCCACAAGGGAAAACAGCACCACCTACAGATTGCATATCGATGCAGTTGTATTAACTTTTGTAAAGTCAGACATGTTATGTTCCTGTCCAAACTCGGATCCAATATTTTCATATTGCTAATCATAAGTTTGATCGACTTACCTACGTTTTGAGCACAATTACAAAATAATGCTAGGATTTGTATCACCACACTCTCAAAACTTGCTAAGCACCTCTTCATCATGACAATTTTATTCTGCAGGATCAGATTACAGGTTACAAATACACCTTCATCAGCACTGCAGATATATCACAGAATTTCAACATTCTCAGAACAATTAGCGAATCAAATTGAATTTTAAACTTTTATGGCAAAAAGTTCAACACCAATAATTTCAAGCCGACACATTAAAAACACCAGATCATCAACTTCTGTTCGCTTACAGTACTCGAAATGACATAAAAATGCAGCTCAACGTGCATAAAGTAAGTTTAATGCTACACTGAAAATGTTGCCATGCCATTGGTTTGATCATTTGGATTCAGCACGGCAAAGTAAATAAGGTTTATTTTGAATATCGATTTATCAATTATCCGTCCTAAATAACAATTCGCTAACCAGAGTCAGTATAAAATATGTTGCAGTTCAAGAGTAAATAAATACTTGCTTTCGTGAGTTGTTGTTAATGTGCACAGGATATCAACGGAACAAATACATACATGTACCTAATTTCAGCGTAAATGTACCGATAAATAAAACTTCCTCATTCCGGGTGGTATGGGTTAAGTCGCAAATCTGACTGAGGATGAGCACATTATTACAAGTAAATAAAAATTCGTCACTCATGAATAATAATCATCATCATTATGCATACAATAAGTAATGTGAGTTGAGTTGTGATGCTTCTGCAACATGGGCAGCGAAATGTGAATGGCAAATATTGTGGCCTAAATTTAAATGAGAACATAATCGATTAGCATATTTGCATACTTTATATGAGTACAAAGTAAGGACGGTGATAAGAAGTTACTCTGCGGAGTTCTCAAAATAAATTTCCACGAATTCATAAGTATTCCATCATGGGTTTTCGAAAGTTTGATTTTCCAAGCAATGGATAGACGTACAAGTTGGAATATAATTAAGTACTTACTTCATATGCTTCTTGTAAGTTGTACGTACGTGGGCAAATGCATGTATTAACATGAAATGTAATCAACTTGTAGCATGGCATAGCTTAAAATCTGTGCCTATATTTACCTTCGTAAATAAATTATTGACGAATGATGATGCTCTACGACGATTTGTCGATATAGTACGAGTGGATTAGTTTGCTTGTGGAAATCCTATATGAGCATGCAATTTTACAGTGTCAATCCAATTCTATGACAACAACGCTACATAGAATTACTTAGGATTACATAGTTTACTACCACTGGTCTTTCAAGGATTGTCAAATCCTTGAAATCCTTGATTGTCAATCCATTGTCAAATGGGAAATTTGGAAATCGTCCTGCCAGATATTGGAAGAGGTCAAGATTTAGCACCCCATAGATCCATGCAATTGCAATTGTACCCTCATGGCGGAACAACGGATGCTAAATTCATTCAGGACGTTGAGTGGTTTCTAAGCCAGGATTTTCGCAAAACTATAACTACTCAGATTAGGGGGATTCGTCGAATCAAACTTGAAATTTCGTTTAGTGATTTGGAACGACAAAATTTGATTTTTATGTGCATATTATTGTGTAGACATGTGCATACAAACCGTTTCAAGTATACTACGTATGTATCTTTCACAAATTTTTTGCGTATACATATAGTATGTACACATATTGTTAAAGTGTTTTCTGATTTATGTATCCATAAGTAAATGGTGTTGATTGATTGGATAAATTATTGATACAGGATTTACATATCTTTTATTTATATAAGATATCAGTCTCTGTCAATGATGTGATACCAAGAATAGGTTTTTTTTTCAATGCAATAAAAATAGCATGGTTAAACTTAAAGAAATAATGTCTTGGCTAATTACGTAACTGATTCCCTTGAATAACATTAAAACATCTTTTGCCACTTTTTCAGAACTGAAATATTTTCTTACAGATATTTATTTGTCTACTTGGTCTGTGACTTATAAATTTATAATCAGCCTAAAACCAGTTGGAACTTATTTCCTCTTAATTTCACTTGCGTAGTAATTTTATTCTAACGAATATTTTCACTTAATAACTGCTTTTCGTAACTTGACAACCAATTAAATAATCCACGTGTATCAAAGCATTCAATAACCACTCAAGTCATAAATACATATGTACATATCTATGTATGAACGTGTGTCCAGTCACTTGTCAATAATTGCCAGGTGACTGTATGTACATGGTTGTTCGTCATATTGTTGAAATCCTTGTTCAAAAGAACATGTAGTCTTAAATAAAGATTGGCAGGCAATCATTAAATAAACCTGTTTTACTTCGTCTCCTCTAATTGCTTACGTACATATGTTCACTTGAATGGTTCGTGATCGGCGTCAGATAAGGATAGTGCTCACAACCACTAATGCATAATACTTACGTATTTCTTGACAACATGTTAGACGAAGGATGAGTCAACCCCTCCATGACTTCCTGACATTTCTAAAGTAATATAAGTCGTTTAGCTAGGTTACTTTGAACCAGATTCAAATTAAAATGACACCTGCTAATGTCTGAAAAATTGCATGCAAGCCATTTATGTAAGTAGTAAGTATGGAGTGCAATATATTTTATTGAATTGACGTAGTTTCGTGCTTCTAATGTGGATATTGCGTCAATTTAATTTACCAAACAGACATTAGCAGATAATTTAAAAAATAGATTTCGTTTTTCTGTAAATCTATTATGCTGTCATCGATTATCGTTGGCATTGTGAACTTTATAATAAAAATCTGCCTGCGTAGTAGATACATTTTCAATTCTCCGTACTTATACGGATGTCAGCTCAGAATTATGTCATATTCGCAATTATAAATTCTCTTTGCTGTCCAGGTGCGAGCATGCACAGTGGCGTTTTCACACGACAACAATGCATTAGCGTTACGTAAAACAATACTTATTGTTTTGCAATAGTTGCATGGAGAAATATCTTAATCGTTAAAATGAAATGCTGTCTGGCCGGTTTTAAGATTTATAAACTATATAGCTTATCATGGGAATACATATTCTCATGATTGTATACATACTTGTAAGTTCAGAAGTACATACATATATGCATACGTGCTTTCTTTAATGAATTGGCTGCTTGATTTATTATAAGGTGAATTTCTTATCTAAAAACCTGGTCGCTCTTTACTTTGATTTGTGTACATGTACGTATCCATGCTCAATCACGATATGGATTGAATTTAGTAAAAACTGGAAATATTTGTATGCATCATGACCATACCCCGGACAAATATGTTTTTATCCTACCCTACTCGTGTTGAGCTCAACATGAGTAGGGTAGGATAAAAAAATATTTGTCCGGGGTATGATCATGACCAATCCGACATATAAATTCAGAACCTATGCTTTACTATTTTCATTCCCATTTGGTCCTTTGATCACTGCAGTTGATCAGAACAGTTTATCTAGGTGAAAAATTATTCAAAATGGTTCAAAATAAATTATCGTTGCAAAAGTTAGGACTTTGTGTTTTTATTTTTGCAACAAGTATTTCTCCAACCGTGCAAGTCTCTTTAGATGAGTTTTTGGCATTGACATACGAGCAAAAATTAAAGTTAGATGTGGTAAGTACTCGGCTATGTGAAATCAGCCTATGAAATTTCTGTAAGGATTCCAAGTGCATAATCCTGGTTGAATTACATTTTCAGTTTCGCGACCGCGTCACCCCATATCTGCCCCATGAGTACATGAAGAAAGACGTGTTTCTAATTAGATGGCTGAGAGACAGAGAGTTCAACATTGCAGAAGCAGAGAAGCGACTATTGAGTGTAAGCAGAACATTTATAAGCTCTCAAATCCCGCATAATTTCTAAATATTGACTTGGATAATATTTGATTAATTTAGCATGTTGAGTGGCGTGAAGAAAACGATATTGACAGCGTTCTAGACGAAGACTGGGCAGATTTTGAACACGAATACAAAGCATATATTGAAGGATGCGATAAGGAAGGAAAGCCAAGTAAGGACTTTCACAATAAATAAATTCACATACAGAAATTTCCAAATTAATGAATTCATTTACTTATAGTTATCTCGGTGTTTGTTGGAGATTGGGACATTCGTCGAGCCGTTGTTTCTGGTAAATCGAAGAGACTAATGCGCTACTTCGACAGAATCTTTGAGCTGGCATCAAAGGCTCTGCGAGATATGCAGAACGACGGTCAAAACGTGACCCAAGCAACCTTACTTTTCGACATGGGTAATTTTAATCTGGTACTTCAAGGTTGCCCACGATGTAAGCACCATAAATATTTACAATTGATTTCTTAATATGCATTTTCTAAACGAATTGTACTAATTTAAATACATATTTTAGGTATTCCAATTTATCTCTACATTCTCTCGGTGTATGAAAGACAGTACCCTGGCTTGGCTCACAGGCTGGTATCATTAAACAGTAAGTTCTCACGGATTGAGAGTTTAACCAACTTTTATCCCATGCTTTAATTATTGGAACATGTGCTTATTACTGTTGTACATTGTTACAGCTCCTCAAATTGCCTTACCACTCTGGGACATTTACAAACACATTCTAACTCCGCAGACGAGAAATATTTTATTCATTTATGGCAAGGACAAGAAGGACTGGCAGCGCATACTTCTAAAGGAAATTGATAAGGACCAACTGTCCAGGAAACTTGGTGGAACCAAAGAAGATAATGCGGTTGATGTCTTTGAATATTTACGAAATGTAAATGTTTTCAGGTGTGAAAATTTATAAAAAAAAGTGTTTGTGAAAAAGTTTGATTCCTAAAACTAAAGGGAAAAATTCAATCAATGATGTCAAAATGTTCCTGTTAGAAATTTAATAGTACCAATAACACGGTATAGCAATTACTATAATATGCTATTTGACTTTTCACAAGCAATGCAATCAATTCATTTTTAATAATTTAGTCATTAAATATTTAAATTGCGTTCATTAGTACTTCCTACCGTAACGAAATGGAAGTTAAATAAAGATCTTATCTGAAGTTTATCAGTGCTAATTTTATGTCATATGCTATTTCATGGATTTTTGTATGAATTTGGTGAAAACTGAGGAGCAAAGTTGAAAGCAAAAAATAAATTAAGTACTTAATCAATCAGTCTCTAGTATTTTCATCTTCCTTTACGAAAATAATCAGGGCGCATAAACTAAGGAGTTTCTCCTAAAGCCTAGTATGCTGGTGGAACCTTTTCGCTGGCGAAAAAATCCAGCGAAAAAGTACAAAAACAAAAGTTCGTGAAAAGTACCAACCGGAATTTTATCTCGACATTTCACTACATTTTTATCTTGTCCTTCCGCTGGGCGGTATATTCGTGGATTTCGGATAAAATATCTAAAATTGGGGAAAGATGAACCAAATCATCGGAATTATTAAATGCACCTCATTCTTTGCAGAAGTTTATTCGTATAATTTCTATTTATTTCCGTGCAATTACAATACTTATTTTAAATTATAATTATACACTGGATTGTAAACTAAAATACTAAAATTATGGAGTCAGAAGCAATTCACACGAAGAAATTATCAAGTGTTACCTGTCATTTAATGCAATCATAAAAAAAACTAAACGCCGACCAAAGTACAGAATAAGTCCATACTTGAAGTTAAGGTCAACAAAGGGCAGATACGTAAACGATGTAATTTATTTATTATGCACTTAAATATGTGAAGTTAAGTAACGCAAATAAAGTTCCAGGATCTAGTAAATCATCCTCCTTCCTTCAGAGAGAATTAATAATTATACGTATATTGATTTGCTTCATTGTCCAATCTCCATTCATTTTATGTTTTCTAATTCCATCTTTGATGTTCGGTGCAGTCGAGGACAATCAATTTTTATGCGTATAATAAATGAAATTTAAAATATAGCCTCACTGTGGATTCGGTTTTTTGTCCATGAAAAATTTCATGGAATCCCAAACAACGGAATAAACGTAAAAATAAACAAATCTAAGCTTTTTCCCGAATAAACTGCTGATTTGGGGTAAAATGGAACAAAATCAATGATTTTAGCTCAACTTTTAGCTGAACATTTATCTCAACAATTGTCATCATTTCACTGCAGATGAGAGCGAAAAAGAACTGTTTTTTCGCTGAGCGAAAAGTCGAGATAAATTATCTGAACTTTTCGCTTGCCACCAGCATACCGAAAAGATAAAAGTGTCGTGGAATTTTAGCCGGAGCGTTTATCCGGTACATTTATCCCACCTGTACACGCACCTTAAGGAGAAACCACGGACAACAAAAAAGTTGGCTCCGTATTAAGTACATGAAGATATGCAAATGTATTTATAAACGACTATGTATGTAGAGAAAATTATAAAAAGAAGACCCGCCGATATGTTGTTTGCTCCCCGTATTACATGTATTTTTACGCACCCTGGAAAATAATTGTTGGTATATCAAATGTTGCTTAAAATACGTAAAAGTACATTTATTTTGAAATTAAATACATACGTGCATAAATATGTAAGGGAAGTATTATGCATTTCCAAGTACAGGTTCTTAATATGTGGAAATATTAAATATTATAAATATACATACATTCATTATACATACATATGTAAATACATACATACTCATGCATGGGATTTTGATTGAACTTATCCTTACATAAGTATAAAACGAGTAAATAATGGATCTTTTTCATCTTGTGCAAGATGAGAAAGATGTGTTGCCTTCTCTCACTGACTCCATAATAGGTTCTACTTCCTTAATTATTTGCAATTTTGGAATATATTTTCTCACAACTAATCGCCCAACCATCACATGAACCACTGTTCCTGCATTGTTCTCTAGTTCCGAGCGAGATTTTAAGTCCTGTTCAATACTGCCACGCCGTTTGCTTGTGTATGAAACTTCACCTTGAGTTTTGGTAACCACTTGACGACGACTTTTCCTATTTGACTTGGTTGAAGGGAAGCCAGAAAGTGCGGACAGGGAAGCAGCCGATGGACCCCTGTGCTCCGTGGGGGTGGAACAATTTTTGGACGGGGTCTGCTGAACAAAGTGGATGAGGTCCTGAGCAAATTTATATTTCTCTTGTACTCGTTTTTCTTCCAGTTTATCAAAATGGTTCAACAGTTGTCCTCCTGATTTTCTATTGAAATGTTCTTGAGCACCTTTCTCCTTGTTGTTGCTGAGACGATAATCACTCATTCGTAGCAGCTAATCAAATCAGATAAAAGTACTGAATTTAGTTTTGCATGTCCTGTTTTATTTAGAATTACATAGTTGAAGGGTTCACTAATAAAATTCGAAAAACAAAAGCACACTTTTCCAATCTTTTTCTGGAACGCCTTCCTTCTCGTCGGTTGCTTTATTGCATCGTTGCTGATGCTGAAGGTTGCCATCTGCAAAAATATATGAAATTCAGTTGTTACATATGTATTTTTGAAAATGCATACCTGAATTTCTTCCATATCTAGCTTACATATGGAAGAAATTCAGGCATGCATTTTCAAAATTAATCTTGCAACAGATTGGTGACCATGCATTATCCGTAATTATATTTTTTGCATGTAAATAAATTTGTTTCAATTACATTTTTGGATTCTTTATGTCCAGTTAGTAAAACCATTGCCGTTTAGACGCTTTAATTGATATCCAAGTTAATTTAGATAGCTTGTCACTCCAAATATTGTATCACCGACACAAAAATTGGTGCTCTGCGAATCTTTTGGTTACGAATGAGTCAAGTTGATTCGTATTATGTACTTAAATAAGAGCAGATCTTCAAAGAACAAAGAATGAGGTTGAAGTTTACCAGCCTCTGTGAGTAAAAAAAAGCAAACAGATTACAGAGTAAGTTATTCCTTGGCATGTTCCCGTACGTTCTACTGATAATTGTACGCTTCTTTTTGGTTGACTCATGTTTCGTTACCCGTATTTCAAATGCACGTCATCTTGATTCATGGTAATTTTAGATCATTTTTTAATAGTCATACTTACTATTTACTTTTACACCCACATTTCTTATTCTACTTTCCATCTAACACAGTCAACAGTTCTAGTAGTCACTGTTGGATAGATATGTAGACACTGACAATTTTCGGGTTGAATTATTCATGATAGTAAATATGTAAGTACTTACCATTACAGACAAAAGAGTGTGGGTTGGAATATCGATTTTAATTAGTGTTTATTATGGTATTTGTGTTAATTGTATTTTTCCAACAACTTTAACTCATCCAAATATTACTTATTATTAGTCATATAAAGATTAATACGGAATCAATATTTTTCATTATGAGACTTCCTCCTGACTATTAAAATAATTGGACATACCGATATTTATTTATCACGTCGTGCCATTCAAAACATGTTTGACGTTGGTATTCTTTTAATTGCTTGCTGTTTTAAAAAGTGCGTTTATTAGATTGGGGACACAGACGCATATGCACGAGGAGATGAATTACATAAATAAATAATTTATGCATATTCAACAAAAGAAATCGTATTCCAGGGTTAAAAATTGATTATAAAATGGAATAATTTTCTACTAGGAAGAATTACGTGGTAGAAATAAATGAAGAGTTATTTACTAGAATAGAAAATTATGTAAGTGCTTACATACATACAGTATTATGTATTGTTGTGGCCTTGAAGACTGGTAAAGTTCCACTTATAGGTTAAAGTTCTATGCCTGGATGGATGGAAAAATTGTTTTTAAACAACAGGTGCTGATAGGACGCTTTAAAAATAAGTTCTCCAGTTATGCATTCATAAATGTATAGAATAATTATGAAGAGCATGTCAATTGGAAGAAGTATAATGTGGTGTACATGATAATATCGATCAAATTTGCATCTTGTTAAGTATTTATTAAATTACTAGCGTATAGCCCGGCCAAGGCCGGGTTCTAGGGGGGGTGTGCCCAAAGCGAAAAATCCGTCATACTATACTTATTCCCAGTTCCCAGAAATAATTCCCAGTGGAGACTTTGTCATACCACATACATACATCAGAGTGAGGGTTTGCCCAAGTTATACTGCATTTCAATTACTCTGGTCACAGTACAATTTGATTTCCCACTGTGGGAGTAGCTGAATAGCTAATTACTTAAATTCCCGTCGCGTGGGAGTAACTGCATAGCTAACTATTTAAATTCCCACGCTTCACGCTCCCGTTAAGTTCCATAAACCCCGTTAACTTCTACAATTAACGCCAAGCTATTGACGGATTCGGATTCAGCCTCAAAAATACATTCGAATTGATGTGCGACATCACGAATAAGCCATATTTGGCCCCCACGGTCACGGCAAGGTCACGGGGGCCTCGCAGGTCAAAACCATTGACGGCGTTGGATTCAGCGTAAAAAATACATTCGAATTGATATGCTACTCGCTGTGGGTGGAGTTTCTCAAACTAAAATAATTAACTAATAGTGTTTATCAAGATCACTTATCATGATAACCACTATTGATGAGTGATGTATGTACTGCTCACTCACTCAATTTACTTGCACACTGCAAATATACAAAGACATTTAATTTGAGATTGATGGCAAGCGTACGTGAAAGTCACGTGCAGGCGAAGTGAGACTCATGCAGAAAATTCATGCATGCAACCGTTGCCTGCTTCCTTCTTTGTCTCCTCTACGGGGCAATTTGCATTGAGAGCCACAGGGACCCAGGCAGAACTTAACACTAACGCTTTATGGAAGTAGATTTTCACTAAAATATATAGCGCCCTTGAACAAGTAAAGCTGGAAAGTGGATCACTCCTACAATTATCTATGTATATACCTATACACATTAGTATAAGAAGTATGCACATCAACTGAAGAAGTAAAAACTTGTAATTAGCGCTACCCGAAATCTTACTAGTAAGTTCAATAATCTTTGGTTGCAGTTGGACTGTATCTGTCACGAGGTAGTGACACATTATATGCAAATATTAAAGAAAAATGTACCAACAATTTTGTTTATCAAGTATAACAGCGGATAATCTGAAAAATAGTTAATTATTTTCATGTAGGATAATGCAGGTCACATCGAAGAATCCACTATGAGCGTAAAAAACAGAAAGTTTCACATAAGTTGTGCCTAGGAAATTGCAGTGGGGTAATAAAAATCTAGCGGTGCAATTCATGGATAGCATGTGGTCCACAGTGTGGACTCCACACTAAAGGGAAAAGTGCACCAGATCCAAAACCTTGAACAAGGAAAGAGATAATTGCCAAAGTTCAAGACCTGCGAAATTTCAATCCAAAATTACCTTTGGAAGAATGAGCAAAAAGTCTAAGACAAAGAGTTGAATGCGTTATTACAGTGCATGGCGAAAAACCAAATACTAATGTATCTCTGAAAAAATGTTTGGTTTTGATCACCCCAGTACTTTTGAAAAATATGCATTTTCTTTTTACAGTACAAAAGGTTACCGGAATAAATTAACTCTTCATTTTGACCCGAAAGAAACGCAAGGCGCAAGAAAATATGTATTTCCCGCAGCTATAGTTCATACGGCGCGTCGCTTTCTCGCACTTTCTTGCACCACGCATTTCTTACATTTTTTTGCAGTGCAAATAATACAGTAAAAGTAGTAATAATAATTTAATAATAATACTGTAATACAGTAATAAACTAATTCTTAAAAAAAAACTTAGGTGAGGCTTGCTTAAAAGGGGGAAACAAGATGTCATCATCGTGTAGTAACATAATATGCTAAATCAACGTTCATCTCATGAATTATAATTTTCGGTAAATATGTAGAACAGCAAATTATATGCGTTTTGGACCATTTGCCTCGCCGTGGGCCGTGATTAATTGTTCAATACAAATACATATATGGGGTGATCCATAAATTATGTCACGCTGAATATGGGGGGGAGGGGTGTCAAGCATCCGTGACAAAGTGTGACATATGGGGAGGGGGGTTCGGCCGATCCGTGACATCACGTTTTCCAGGCCTAACTTAATGCAAACTTTAACTCACATTTTAATTCTCCGACTATTGCCAAACTACAGTTTCGCAATTATTTAGAAATATTTGTCCACCCGAATCCAAAATTTCGACCAAGGTTGGATTTTAAGATTTTCAACCACGTTTTTAAATTTTGTTCAAGCCTTCTAATAATTTGCACAATATCCAATTGTTTGTTTATTTAAAAAATAATTAAAATTAAAAAAGTGCCGTAAAGTTTGTATAATTTCAAAAAATCGTTATAATTTTGTTCAACAACATTTAACAATTAAGAAACATTACCAAATCTCCAAAAATTTCCAGAATTTAAAAAATTGGTCCGAAAGAACCATATAGTCATAGTTTCAAAAATATGTACTAATTGGAGGCAGCTGCATGATTAAAAAATGTTAACAATTAAAAAAATGTATAGAAATAAATGAAAAATTTGGTGGATTTTTTTCAACTTATTTGGAACTTTTGAAATCTAAAAATAAAAAAAAAAATAACGGGAATTTTGGAAAAGGTTGTTAGTTACAAATCTAAAACGCTATGAATTTTCACTCCATCAAAGGTATGATAGATATGAGTATAAATAGAGCTAAGAATTGTTCCTATCCTGTAAAATTACAAGGGTTTCACCCAGTTGTTGAGGAAATATTTCGCTTCAACCGCGATTTGCACTACATCTTCTATGAAAGAGGCGTGGCTTCATGAAATTCGGCAAAATAAAGTTAATTTGTGAATAAACCCAGGTGACACAGCACAAAGATTCCCTTGTGAGTCTTGCTATTACGCAATATTTACTGCTTTACGAATATGAATGTTATTCCTGCTAGGTATCGGAAAAATTCAGATTTTCAGGCGTGACGTGACAAGAGAGGGGGGAGGGGTCACGACGAGCGTGACAAAGGCGTGACAACAGGGGAGGGGGGGGGGGGGGTCATAAAAAAGGGTTTTTTTGCTTGACATAATTTATAGATCTCCCCTATGTATATAGTATATGCGCCATATTGATGGTTGTACCTAAATACCTATGCATAATTTGCAATTATTAATCTTCGTTACTCTTCGATTCTGCTTATACTGATGGCCTACATGAATATGTTTCATAGTAATATTTTATATTACAAATTGCTTCAAGCTTCGTTCATTAAATCATCAACAGATTATGGATACCGAAATTATCTAACTAAATCCTGTATCGTTTCATATGAATTATTACTGCATACCTGTATGTGTATCAAATGCACTGATCGCTAATAAAGTTTCAAGTTATTTTAATTATTTGAAACGGCCCACGGCGAGGCAAATGGTCCAAAACGCATATAATTTGCTGTTCTATTTACCGAAAATTATCAATCATGAGATGAACGTTGATTTAGCATATTATGTTACTACACGATGATGACATCTTGTTTCCCCCTTTTAAGCAAGCCTCACCTAAGTTTTTTTTAAGAATTAGTTTATTTTTGGCTTTTAAGTCTCTTTAAGATGTCATCAATTATAGATACCAAATTAAATCTCCATAAGCCCAGACGCGTTGCCTATGAAATTAATCCCCGGTGTGGATGCGTGGCACACGAAATTAAATACCCCCGTTACCCGTGTCTACGGGTAACGAGGGAATCCGATGGGTGTACGGAAACTTGGGTATGGAAATTTGGGTCTCGGAAATTTGGGTATGGAAATTTGGGTATAAGGAAATATGGGTATCGGAAGTTTCGGTCTGCAGAAATTTTGGTCTCGGAAATATGGGTAGCGGTATATTTGGGTATGCAGAATTTTAGGTATGGGAAATTTGGGTATGACAAAAAAATACTTTTTAACAATTGCTCTTCGGAAAATGTGGTGGCCCTTAAAAGGGCCAATTATTCACAAAGTAATTACATGAGCTACAGTATGTAACACAATTGTAGATGTAACGACATATTTTTTTTTGATACATATGATCCCACAATTTCTAAAATTCCGAACTTCGGGAACAAATGTCAAAAGCATCTACGGACAATTTCCGTCGTCGATTTTTAACGTCACAGACAGGTCAAAGTTAAAGGTCAGCATTTAAAGAAAAATTCAAAATGAGAGGCCAAAAATAGAACTCCATGGATAATTTGACGCTCACAGGAATTTTTCGCCCAGGACAGTTTGGAGGTCTAAAATCGTGACCGTGGCGAAATTCGAACAATTGAAATATACAAAGGCACGTATGCAATGTCAATATGGTTTTGACTTGGTATATGTATTAGCTACCGCACAACCAACGGCCCTTTTTAAGGGCCACCACATTTTCCGAAGAGCAATTGTTAAAAAGTATTTTTTTGTCATACCCAAATTTCCCATACCTAAAATTCTGCATACCCAAATATACCGCTACCCATATTTCCGAGACCAAAATTTCTGCAGACCGAAACTTCCGATACCCATATTTCCATACCCAAATTTCCGGGAATCAATGCGATGCCGTCAATGCGATGACATCATCGGTCTCGCTCCGATTTAGACTAAACCACGATAATTATGTAGCCGTAGATAAATAATTAAGCACGTGTTTCAGGATTTTTAATGCTCACTTTAAACGAAGTTATGATGGAAAACGTGAGCGAAAATTTGCATTTTCACCATGAAATTTTTCTCACAAAGTAGAAAAATACAAATTCTCGCATACGGATTCCATCATAACTTCGTTTAAAGTGAGCATTAAAAATCCTGAAACACGTGCTTAATTATTTATCTACGGCTACATAATTATCGTGGTTTCGCCAAACTCGGAGCGCTGGCGTCACCGCATTGTTAGTATTAAAATTGTGCGGGTAAGAATTTACTATCGAACTTTTAATATTCAGCTATTACCTCAGAGCATTAGTTATTACGAGTACCAGTTTTGTATTTATTTCTGAACACCGCTTGGTATACTATTTGAATACTGGATTTCTAAAAGTGCATACATGTGCATAGTACATACATATAGTATTTATGTACATGCGTAGATATTTACAGTGAAGGGCTTTTACATGTTTCTTCTGTGCTGGTTGCTAATAGAAACGTGGATTTTTAGAAGTAATGAAGAACCATTATAATTAACGTACCTGTCTGCATATGCAACCAAGAAAAGTCTCTCATTTCTTATCCGATTTCGCTCGGGTTTGATTCAAATGACGCGTTATAGATTTCCGCACATTTAATATCGGAGTCGACACTACCATTGCTTGGCAAAAGTGAATTTGCCAGTCATTTGAAAGTTTAAAATCGATTTTTAATGGGTTAAAATAAGATCGCCATGTTTCTAGACCTGACGGGCATCATCTACCCAGCAAGGTCTGCACGATTGCCCTTTACACCATTTCGATACGATTAGCCGTTTTGCTACAATCTTTGGCAGAATATTTGGAGGGGGGGGGGGTCTGTTTGCATACTTAGGCTTCGCCGTAACCATGCATTTTTTCATGTGGTCATGGTTACTATGCCTCACCTAAGAAAAATTAGTTGCCTGTAGTTAATTTCTTAGCCGTTTGGACAACAGACCTTTATGAACTCTTTCGCTACGAGGATTGAAGTCTTCAGGAAATGTAATCACACCTCCATCTTGCTGCTGTCTCAATGCGTCGCGGAATTTACGTGACACTCCGATAAGCACAAGTTTGTGAACAGACAACTTCTCATCGGCTATAATGACCGTGGTGTCGACATTCTGTCGGGATTCGTACTGCTCGAAGAGCATATCGCAGAGATTGAATCGGCCCTTCTTCCTTTCCTTGGTGGCGATGATGATGATGTCATTGCAGGAGCTGAAACTTGTAGAAATTTAAAATATTGATTACATAGTTTATATTATTAAACAAAATTAAATAAAGCCATTAAATAAATTAATAATTACAAATTGTAATTTACAATAGCTCATTAACTTAACTTGAAAGTTAAATTGTAATTGTGAACTCAATTTATGAAATAATTTTGGTCGAGTCAACTGGACTAAGTTTGAAGTTAATTCATACAGATATCAAAATATATTTTTTTAATTTAATGTCAATTAGTCGCAATAATTTAACTTGAAATTTAATCGAGTATCAAGTGTGAACTGGTAGTTGACGGGTTCAACTGTTATCACCTGCTGGTGGGAACCTCTCCACGAGAGTGAGAGAGAGATGGAACACTTCATCTAGTGAACTGGCGAAGCAAGTGTGGTGGCCACGAGCCGGTCGTTTTAGTCAAACCCTCGCGGGAAATTCAATCCTCGTCATTCAGTAGAATGTGCTCTCAGCAAAAATTAAAAGAGTTAAATTATTCTGTGTGCATTTATTTTTGAATTTGAAACGAAAGCGAGAACATTTATCTTATCTCAACTTGAAGGTAAGTTACTTGAGCAGAATATATTTCTTATTACGATTTGTCTGCCACGGTTTTTTGAAAAACTATACACTTTTTTAATGACATTTTCAAGCAGGAAATTTGTGGAACTTTTCTTATTCAACTCTCGCAATGGAATTCCAACCGGAAGTAAACAATGTGGAACATATGGCACTAAATAATCCGATCGTAAGCCATAGATGCAATTAAGAATTTATGCATTTTTAAGGTACCACAAGAGAGTTGGCAAGGAATTATACCACTCACTTTGATTGTAATTTTCTCAGAAATTATAGTAGGTAGAAATTTGGTTCAAATACAAATTTTGTAAAAAATATACTACTCTAAATTTTGCTAAATGTCCCCTTTTGCTGTTACTTATACTTACGTATTTATAGCCAAAATAGTCGAACATGATGAATTTTTTTTAAAACGTCCTAGCGTCCAAACCATACGGAGCACAAATGTGGAACGACTCCCACATCGTGCGAAATAGTTTTACATAGGGAGCATAATGGGTCTCATTTCCATATTGTCTTCCATACTTTTCGAAATAGCATTTCTATACTTGCCCCTCCCTATTATTTTATGTTTCTGAGGTCAAAAATGGTTCACATCTCATTACCTCACACAAATGAGCCCACAAACCGATTATACACCCTGCGGAAATATATAGTGACTCCAAATAACAACCATTATGACCTCAAAGTCCTCCCCCTCCATCTCGGGGAGCTCTTAAAAATACCCCAATGCCCTTGTTTCTATGCGGAGCTGTACTTCATGTCTTGACTCATGTTCTCTAAAAAATCATGTTGCTAAGTCCATAAAAAACTGAAATATTCAACCTCTTGTGGTACCTTAAAATACAATAACAAATGTAATATTTTTTCAAATTTGTAGATTTTGACGGAGATATTCAAACAGGCCGCAACCCCATTGAAAACTTGTCGACTCGTAAGTCAATTTTGGAACAAAATGGTTCTCTCCTTGCCAAATACGAGACTAGCGTTAGACTTGAAACACAAGGAGGAAAGGTGTAAAATGTCATTTTTCGAATTGTGCTCCTCATTAGTCGACGCCCGACTTGTGAAAAGGATTAGTTGCCTGGCCAACTCGACGGTGGACTCCTTCGCATCTAAACTACTCCAAGTTTGTGACAAGTTCGGCGACACCGTGCAAATTTTGGAACTCGACATCGCTAGAGAGGTCTATCTATCATCGGTGTATCAAGTTTTGAAAAATTCCTGCCCGAACTTGAAGCAATTGCGAATTAGTTGCACACGTTCACCGAATTCAGCAAGTTCAACTGATCTGATTCCAGCCGGAGAAATTATGTCAATAAAACAAAATTTGATATTCTTCAAGGTCGTCAAGGCCAGTTCGAAACGGGTGACTTCTCATCTAACCAACTTTATTGACGTGGTTATCAACGCCTCTCCAAATTTGAAGGAGGTCACTCTTCCGTGGGGATTTAGCCCAGATTTGTCAAATTCCAAATATCTCGATTCGTTAACAATAGCGCTGGATAACGTTGACCCATGTGACATCGTCCGAGCGGAAGATAAGCTTTCAAATATGTCCCGAATGTTGAGTCAAGTGAGGAACCAACTCGTCAAACTAAGTTTTGACTACGTCGACAATACATACGTAGGGTACGGATCGACAGAGTTGGACGATACAAAAAATTTCAAAAAAACTCACTTCCACTTGCCCACCAAGAAGATGCCCAAATTAAAAACGTTTCGAAACCGGATGACTGACGTTTTTCGGTGTGACGACCTCTTGCAAAATATCGTGCCCAATCTGAAAAGTCTCATGATTGGGAAAGCGTTTCAGAAGTCGAAATCTGTGGATGACATTGTGCAAAATATTTGTCTCTCGAAGAAGAAGGTTTTGCCAAACATGACGAATTTGAGGGTTATGCAGTTGCATGATCCCAAACTTTTGAAACGATTGGTGACTGTGTTTCCAAACTTGGAAAAGTTGAAGTTGGACACGTTCGACACTAGGGATTCCGGCGGAAAGAAGACTCTCCTGAAGTTGGGGGTAGTGCTCAAGACGTGTCGGGGTTGGAGGGTGTTGAAACATTTGGGATTGAGGTTGCCAAAGTACCCAAAACAGGTTGAGGATGTTATTCAGGCTCTCTTAAAAGCAAAGAAATTATTCAAGCGTAAGTTGTCGTTATTAACTTAATCACGGTCACCTAAATTTTGAAAATATATTTCCCTTTCATTTATCAACATGTTAATTGTTAATTTCAGAACTGAAAACTTTAAGCCTTGGGACGTGTAAGTTTGACAACAAGATTCACGATTTGTCAGCGAACGAAATCGATTTGTTTAAGCAACTCCTCGTCGCAATTCGTGGAATGGACCGGGTCGGAATTGCCGGTATTTATGTGAGTCACATTGTTACATATGCATTGAGACGAATAACCGATTATGCCTGACGGAATGTTTTTTTTTTTTTACTTTATTCCAGTATGGCAAAGAATCAGCAGAAAGTATACGCGCCTTCATGGCGCTGAATGAAATGCGCGTGTCTAAGTTTTCTGTGGTGGAAGAAGAGTCTGAAGAGACGGATGCTGACAGCGTGAACTACGATGGCGACTACAATTGGAGTATGGATGGAGACAGCAGTGTGGATTTCGAGTTTTCGGATGATTGGCACGAGTCTTACGATGATTGGTGTGAGTCCTATGATGATGACAGCGATTAGTTTCATTTCAAGCGTTCCAAACTTTGTTCCCTAAATAAATATATGCACTTTTTTTCTCAAGTAAAATTGATACTCCATCATTAAATGAATATAAAGTAGTTGAAATTCCTCGAAATGTCTTGCCAGCCTTAAAATATTAAAGCTTAAAAATTTAAGTGCTTAATAATTATTATTGAAATACGTCATATAGGGCGTACTCACGACAACTTCTTATTTCGCATCGCAACTCATTTAGCAAACTTGCGAAGATCAAAATATTTCTGTCGTGAGGGGATTCGCAAAATATGAGTTCGCAAATCTCTCTAATCTCGCAAATCTACTGAAAAACACCAATTTTGGTATTGTTTCCATGGATTTCTTTAATTTCTCCTGCTGGAGATGGTGAGGATGAGTTTGCGAAGTACTTTTGCGAAATAAGAACATGCCCAATTGCTGGGTAAATTTGCGAAAAAAATCCCATGGTTTTCTAGCAAAATTTTTGCGAAATCTCGCATATCTCGCAAAACTTCGCAAGTTATGTTGCTATGCTCAATTTGCGAGATATGCGAGATATGCGAAGGTTGACGTGAGTACGCTCATAATAAAATATTCAGTAAACTGTATGTAAATACTAAAGGGTTTCAAGCACTAAAAGTATTTCAATATTACGTTTTAAATTAATACCAAACGTTAAGTGTGTTGAACTTCCTTTAATTCTTTTGTAGCTTATATTGCATGTTGCATTTTCACAACTTTTGTCCTTATAATCACAAAAGTCGAAATTTCAGAAAAAAAACTAAAAACAAAATTTTGATTGAAGAAGTTACCAACGTGTTTTATGAGCAATTTTGAATTATTAAAAATCTCAAATTAAGTCGTAGTGCGCTTGAATTTTGAATTTCAGGAGTTATTTGTTTAATAAATATGTGGAAATTTCTAGGGACACACCCTTCGTAAAGCATAATATGTATGTATGGTCGACTTAAGGGGAGACCCTGTATGAGAAGATTTCCATACATGCAAAAATGGCGCATTACTGTATGTGTGGTGGGGGCAAAAATTATCAAAAATTGTTGATCACATCCTTCAAGCATGACTAACTATGAAATCCGAGAGCAATTTGTGAAATTAACCTTTTAAGCATTTTGACCATGTATGTCATGGCGAACAATTTTACACGAAGTGCCGGACGAAAACACAACAATTAAAAAGATCCATCCTTAGTTACATTATCAGTTTTTTACGAAATTTATTAAGTAACTAGCCTATAAGCCCGTCCTAAAGACGGGCAACGTGAAACTTTTTAACGCTGCTAAGGAATTTTTTCGTCTTGCAAAGGAATTTTGTCGACTTGCTAAGCAATTTTCTTGAAGTTGTTAAGGAAGTTTTTTTATGTTGCTAGGGAATTTTTTTAACGTTGCTAGGAAAATTTTTTTATGTTGCTAAGGAAATTTTTTATGTTGCTAGCGTATTTTTTTATGTTGCCAAGGAAATTTTTGTATGCTGCTAAGGTAATTTTTTTATGTTAGTAAGGAAACTTTTTCAACGTTGCTAAGGAATTTTTTTATGTTGCTAAGGAAATTTTTTTAACGTTGCTAAGGAATTTTTTTATGTTGCTAAGATAATTTTTTTATGCTGCTGAGGTAATTTTTTTATGTTGCTAAGGTAATTTTTTCATGTTGCCAAGGAAATTTTTTTATGTTGCTAAGGTATTTTTTTTATGTTGCCAAGGAAATTTTTTTATGTTGCTAAGGTAATTTTTTTATGTTGCCAAGGAAATTTTTGTATGCTGCTATGGAAATTTTTTTATGTTGCTAAGGAAATTTTTTGAACGTTGCTAAGGAAAATTTTTTATGTTGCCGGGGAAATTTTTTAACGTTGCTAGGGAAATTTTTTAACGTTGCTAAGGAAATTTTTTATGTTGCTAGGGAATTTTTTTAACGTTGATAAGGAAATATTTTTGTTGCCGGGGAAATTTTTTAACGTTGTTAGGGATATTTTTTAACGTTGCTAAGGAAATTTTTTATGTTGCTAAGGAAATTTTTTAACGTTGCTAAGGAAATATTTTTGTGTTGCTAAGGAAATTTTTTAACGTTGGTACGGAAATTTTCTTATGTTGCTAAGGAAATTTTTTTGTGTTGCTAAGGAATTTTTTTATGTCGCTAAAGAAGTTTTTTTAAGTTCTAATCATAATCATAATTATAATTATAATAATAATCATAATTATAATCATAATCATAATTATAATCATAATCATAATCATAATTATAATCATAATGTTAATCATAATCATAATCATAATCATAATTATAATCATAATCATAATTATAATCATAATCATAATTATAATCATAATTATAATCATAATCATAATCATAATCATAATTATCATCATAATTATGATTATAATCATAATCATAATCATAATCATAATCATAATTCGTATCTGTTCCCTGATTGGTGGAGCAGGAAAACCAACAGCCAATCAGAATGCAGGAATGTCACGGAAAATTTCACGGGACGGACTTTTCGAAATTATAATATAGATTATTGTCGACTTTTAATCACATCGCAACGTTAAAATATTCGGATTACATCCAAAGACTGACTTTCTCTCGAGTTGTGGTTTTTAGCCCGAACCAGGGCTTATGTAATTGTCATGTCAGTCGAACTGTCGAACGAGTTAACCAATTTTGACCAAATTTGGTGCAGACATGTATCTGGGCAATGCAACGACCAAGTTAGAAGATGGGTTCGATCAGAAAAGTTTTGAACCGGTGGGGGTCATATAAGTGGGTGGGGTATTATGCACCAAAATTTCAAAATTGGTTAGAAAGCTGAAATTCGACATGGAGCGTTCTAGTTGCTCGTAATGGAAGAATATGAAGTGAAATTGGAAAATTTTGTCAACCGGAGGTACCCGAGGGGGTGACCCATACCGATTTTTCAAATTCATCCAATCGAGCTGAAAATTGGTATAGAGGCCCCTAATGTAAGAATATGAAGTGAGATTGATAAAATTTTCATATGCCGGGACCCGTTGGGGTGACCCATACCCATGTTGATATTCAGAAATTGTCTTAAAAAGCTGAAATTTTTAGAATTTGGTGCCAAGTAATATTAATGACTCGGTGAGTCACAACCCGCTTCTAAATTCTTCTTCGAATTGACCGACATAATATCACCAACCTCCGGTTTATGGATGGTTAAATGTTTGCTAGATATTTTCTATTTGACACCCCTTTTTTTTCAAGGATCTACAAATTTTTCCCAGTTACTACCAGGATCAGTGGGCTTGTTTAACAAGAACTTGAGGGCTTGAACTTGGACAAAGCTGTATGTGCTATCCAGAAGTGGTTTTTACCCTTCATACCAAATTTCAGCTCGGTATGACGATTTTGAAAAATCCGTATGGGTCACCACCTAGGGTCCCTGAAGATGAATTTTTTTCCAACTTGAACTCATTTTTATCTATTAGGAGCCATTAGCAACCTCTGTGCCAAATTTCAGCTTTCTCCGGCAATTTTGAAATTTTGGTGCATAAGATCCCACCCACTCAGATGACCCCCACCGGTCAACCAGTTGACCGATTTCGCCCATCTTCGAACTCGATTCCTAACTTTGTCCAATATGCAAATGGTAAAAATTTCAAGTCGGTAGCTTGTGTTTAAAGAGAGATCGTGATCGTTTAGAGAGAGATTTACGGACGGACGGACATATGACGGTTCCATAAGCCCTGACTCGGTCTAAAAAGCTGTGAAAATTATTATTTTCGACTTCCATGTATGTCATGGTCAAAGTATTTTCTTGCAAAAACAATCGCCATGACTTTGATGGTATTGGTCCTGCAATGCAAATTTTTGTGACCATGACTAACATGGCTTTGGTCTTGCGATGTATAAAAAATATGACATGAACACCATGGTTTTGGAAACTTGGTGTAAAATTTTTCTCCATGACATTCATGGTCAAAGTTCATTCCCCATTTTCGACTATAAAATGTAAATGCTTAAAAGGTTAAGGCGCTGCAAAATGTATGTTCGAGCCGCGTTCCTTGGAAACTATTGAAGAAATCTTCAAAGTGGGCTGCGATCCGAAAGTGTGGAAAGTTCTGACCCTCCGGGAGTCACCCACGTCACACTATTAATTTCGCATCCTTGAAACGAACTGGTGTATTGAAAACTCCAGCTTGAAAAGGTGGATGCTGCAAGTATCGAACTCAGGACGGTTTCACCACAAGCGGGCATATCCGACACTAGTCTACCTTGGCTCTGAAAAATAAGAACGTATTTCAATCAACTTATTCTCGGTGCCCAAGTAAATATTCATTTATGTACATTGTAGGTGCTGGACATCAGCAGTGTCATCCATCGTATGTTATTTTTATTCAATATATAAACCTACATTAGAATTTCTGCTATAAATTGTGAACATATTGGGAGACCTTTAATCAGTCTTGGTAGTTTGGGTTAGCGCACCACACCGCAAACCACACCAACAAAAGTATTAAATCCCGCGAGCCACACCGGGTGTGGTCAGGGTTCGGAAAACCCCGGGGTTTTTGTAGAAAAACCCAACCCCGTGGGTTTTTCCGGGGTTTTTGGGGTTTTTGGGTTTTTGTGGGTTTTTGTGGGTTTTTGTAGACTTTGGGGCAGGTTGAACCAGAATTCCTAAAATTATTTATTAGAGAAAAACTAATTTAATATACGATTTTAACATGCAATTTTAACCGTTATCATTGATTTGGACTATTACATCGAAAATTCATGTTTGACATGTAAACCTGGAAATATGCAATGATACTTGGAAATTCAAGTCGCAAATGAAAATTCTCAAAATTTCAAGATGAGGCAGAAAAGTTAATTAGCATTGATCTACGTTGTAGTTTAAGGGATTTTGTTTCAATCTGCCTCAAAATCTTACAAAAACCCCGGAAAAACCCACAAAAACCCGTAAAAACCCCAACCCACAAAAACCCGGGGTAGCGAACCCTGGGTGTGGTTCGGTGCGCATTTATTGCGAACCAGTGCTTCACTGACCGCTTAAAGATACAACATACACTTTACTTTTAAAAGATGCCGTGATTTGCAGAAAAATTGCTCCGTAAATAATTTGAAAAATTCAAAATTTTCTCATTATCGCCAGTTTTACCAATTCAGAATTGATAAATTTTATTATTATTTATATTGGAATATATATAGGAAATGTATTTTAAAAATTATTCCAGTGTTTCTTGGTGGTTTTAACCTCCGGCCAAATT